GGTTCCTGGTTTTCCTCACTCCCCACTCAAGTCAAGGTTCACCCTGAAGCTGGGCCTATGCCCGTCTGACACTTCGCAATCTGGGTCAGCTGCTGCGTGTTTGACATAGAGTTTGGTCCTTGATTTGCTATTTCCCTGGAGTATGATTGCCACCCTGGTCCTTGGCGATGTCCTCTCTCCGACCTGTCCGATCAACCAAGTCGGTCTCGTTTCGTTTTGCATCGGCCTTGAAGAAAGAAGAAATCTGTACATGCAGCACTTGCATGCGTCAGCAGCGGTTGAAATTGCCAGGAACACGGGCTTGCGTTAGTTGAAACTAGTATACGACTTCTTCATTCGAGTTCACAATACCGACCAAGTAGAAGCGAATACTACCGGAATGTTTTCGTACGCCTGTTGATGAAGGCGAGCCGGACACTGAAAAATATTTGGGACACGGCCTTACATCGAGGGAAGAGCGAAGATTATGATGCACCGCGTGCCGTCAGTTACTATATGCGGGATGCCGGCCTGTTCCGCTTCTGAGCTGGAAGCTGGAGGTCTATCGCAGTAAGGTTCTTATCGCTGTACCGGCACCGGTGCACTGAAGTACTCAAGTATACATATCCACGAACCATCTCGCTGCCATATCCAGGGGAAACCCATAAATAGCCGATGTTGATAGAAGATGAATTATACTGGACTACTGGATCTAAGCCGAGAAAGCAGCGGCAGCTGGATGAGTCGTACCAGGTCACGAGCTCTCTGCCCGATTCATGAGAGGTCGTGTACCCGTAGCTCGGACGTTGCCCGCCTTAAGATGCGATAAGGATGAAAATGCGCCAAAGGCAGAAAAATGGTGAGCTTAGGCGTTTCCAGCCAACGGCCCAAACAGGTTTCAGTGGTGGGAGGCGGCATGCCAAACGTGGCCCACACCCACCCCCCTCTCCACATACAGGCAGATTGGATCATATGCCTGGCCTGAAGGGTAAGGATCGAGAAGGACGCACCTAAGGTCCCTTGGTGGGATGCAAGAGGATGTAGGATGTGTACGAATCAGAGTGGTACCTGTACAATGGGGGAGTGCCAACATGACTGGCGCCTTACCCGGTAGAGCACATTAAGCCTTGGATCGTATGCCGAGTCTGACGGCCAGTATCGGGGGCACACGAGCATACCGCACGACGACGATCTTACCTTGGGTGAATGGCTTCATAAGTTTGGACCGGTCGAGATCTTCAACAGCATTGAAGCGCGGTAAATTTGGCTTACAGGAAGGATTTTGCTGACCAGTGGCTTTTGTCGCAATTTCAGTGTTTGCGAATCCGCCGCATCACCAAGTGGCCGATGCGATGGATGGAGTTGGACTAGAAGTGGGTTGGCTGGCCTTCGAGGGGGGTTCTGGTGAGCGTGATGAACGCTGATTATGTCGCCATGGCCAACTGCTGTTTGTATGGCAAACACACGTGCGGGAGTATAGTCTTCCTACACCGATGTTTCGCATGCGTTGTGGCACCTCTCCAGGCCCCAAGCCATCTGTTCCGCGGGAGCTAGTCTAGCCAACTTGCCATCCCAACCGGCTTTCCGTAAAGAATCTCATGTTGCGAAGCGCTCAGCCGAGGGCGTCATGTTGTTCAACAGGAAGACCAGCGACAAGAAAAGAAATAAGCGCAGAAACAGGGGTACGCCTGGCGACGAGGCCTATCGGCATTGCAAACCTGGGTATCCAGATAATTAGCCAGTGTTCGAATCCTCCTGGATAAGTACGAAGCGAGAAGGCAAAGCCAGCAGCGCTGCCTCCAGGTGCTGTAACAGCTCGGATCTGAAATCTGTAATCGCCTTCGTTTGATGCTGGTTTGGGGATTCGCAGTCGGCAGCCAGGTTTAGTAACTAGTCCGATAGGGATGCATCTATAATGCATATCAGTAGCGCCCGCGAACTAAAATTGGCAGTAGCTGTCAGGACTCAGCCCGACCTGACACAAGCCGTTGGCTCTCGTTAGCTGCGTAACTTTGGACGTCGTTCTTGCGAGCGGTGCGAAAGATGTCAAAGGACAGATCATAGTCGGCAAGAAAGCGAGGCAGGGAAATGGCATCGTCATATGCTCTTCGCGTCGCCATCCATTGGGGAGATGGGGGGGGGGGGGGGGGGGAGGGGGGGGGGGGGGGGGGGGGGGGGGGGGGCATCGGGGGCATGAAGAGGATTATGGGATCTTCGCTGGATGCATGGCCATTGATGAAGCCGATAGGTTTCCGCCCGAGCAGCAGCCGCACGGGTGGAACAACCAAATTGGTCATCTCCCCCAAGCCAGTGGCCTGCGCAGGGATGGGGTTAATTTTACTCCCAATGCGCCGAACGGGCACATCCCGGTTGGACCATTTAATGACCATGAGCGATCGCACGGCGTATCCAGATCCACCTGAAAAAAGGCTGTTGTTGAATGCTCGTTTGCTGGGTCGCGAATTATCCAGACGCCCAACCTGTCAGAGGTAGATCAGGTCTCCAGAGTTTCCGAGGCCCTGTCCAGCCAGCCATCCTATGAGACGCATGGATCCCGACCGCGTTTCTTGTCTCTGCTAGAGAGACCACCAAATTGGCCGGTGGAGACGCTCGCGCAAAGGTGCCATTCGCAATCAGTGGCCAGGAACCACGACGGGTGCAAGCGAGCGAGCCCACGGGCGTTTGGATGCTCTGGGAGGGCCGGTGTCTCGCGCGAGAGCACCGCCGTTCTGTTCTCTGTTTTCTGTCTTGAGCGGTGTGCTGCAATGGAACCCCGCTGACCTGCAGGAGGGTATTTTGAATGTCTATCAGAATTTTCTGCTGATGCCGGTCCCTGGATCTGTTTGGGTTCACGAACCCTTCATCAAAGGGTAGCTCTGATCGACAGCCAAAAGCTCAGGATAGGCGGCCCACATCAATTTAGCACCAAATCTCCCAGTCACATGGCGTGTGCATCACTGCAGCTAGAGCAGGCGGTAGCGTCCAAATAAACGTGCTCTAGCGGCCAACGGGCCACTAACGCTAGAGACCTCTGTCCTGTCTGTATGTGTGTGTGTGTGATCCTGCTGCTTTGGCTGCTGCATGCCGGTACATCGAGCGCGAGTCACCAATACCACTTGCAGATCCCTGAAATTTGCACAGAATGCGACGGTACTGTCCAGCCGAGAGTGCGCCCTGGCTCCCTGATGACCGCCGCCCGCAGCAGAGGTGCAGAAACGACATGCAGCTTTCGCCGCAGAGGCAAAGCTGCGTCAGGAGACGTGAGCAGCATTGGATGCGCACTGGTAGGTGCTGGTGGGTGCGGTTCGTTGAGAGAGATAGCCGCCATGGCGCATGGTTGGTGGTGGTCGTCGTGTTGAGAGAAGCGATGAGTCAACAGGCGATACGGCCCATGAAACGGTTAGCATCGTTACGAAGTGCAAGCTGCACAATATTCATGACAAATGGGCTCCTCACGCTGCATGTGCCTGCGGATACTCGAAATATATGGCTGGCAGACTAGCACACGAATTTTGCTCACCTCCCTCGATCTCACTCTGAATCCGAATGTGAATGTGAATCTAAATCTAGACGGTCCCTCGCTCGCCATCTCGTCGGCAGCGTTTTGTCGCGTCTGATATCTACACCTAGTAACGATGCGGTACCATTGTACAGTAACCTATCTGACGATGATGGGTCGTTGGGTTGACGCAGATCCCGAGCATCTAGCCTGCCAGGCCACCCAGGCCACCTAGGCCATACATAGTAGTCCATAGTGTAGGCCGGGGGCCACATTGACCATATGCTTCAGATGCCTGCTATGCTATTATTCATACATGGCGAGGACCCAGGGCCAGGAAACAGATGAAACGCATCCGATGTCTAATACGGCATCCACATGGTCTGCACAAGACATATACTACTATGTCCTACAGTCATAGTACGTGTATCTTTATTCCCGTTCCGTTCCTTTCCCTTCCCTGCGTCGCCCAGGCACTCCACCAGGAGGGAGGGTAGCCTGGCGGTGGCGTGCGCTCGACGCTCAAAGAAGACGAGCAGGACGCCCCTTGTCGCTGCCGGTGCACTGCTAACGACGTTGTAATTTCTCGACTTCATTTCAGAAAATGCTGGGAGGCACGGGCCAGACGTGGTAGGCGTACGATGGCCCGGCAACAAGCGTCTATCAACCCACGGGCGCTGCAGGCTCTTGCAGGGCTCTTGCAGGCATGTCGCGGTCGCATCGAGCTTGGCGCGTGTGGCCGGGGCGAGGAATGCAGAACAGCCATCCATGGATGGATCCTGTCCTGTCCATGTCCTCCTACCTATGCTACTGCTATGGAGATAGTTCAGCGCAACCTTGGAAACCTTGGGCGCATTAGGTGGCCCCTCCCCATCTTGGAGTTCGAAATGTCGCGCTGGGCCGGCCGCCAAATGGGCAGCAGAAGTGGGCTGGCGGTGGACGGCTACTTGGCCACCACAGCTTTTCCTTCATTACCTTGGTCCTAGGTAGACGCGCTAGGCCGGCACCACCCTGTCTGTACCTGTCCTGTAGGTTAGGCCGGCCAGCCAGCCCAGCTCAAAGCGCCCCCCCCCATCTGCCCATCAAGCCCATCAAGCCCATCCTGCCCATGGCCCCCCCCCTTCTGGTGGCATTTGCCAGAGACCCGCCCACGGCCCACCCGCACCCCTGTAGCTTCCCTGCTGGCGTCCCCTTGTCCTGCCGGGCCAGCAGCCCAGTGATTGGACCCTGCGAGTACCACCTCCCTCCCTATTATTTTGCGAGATGAAAGACAGCAATTAAATAAGAAGCGGCAGAGCTCAAGAATTCTTGCCCTCCTCTTCCCTCCTCTCTTGTCCCGTGTACTCGACGCCCTTTAAAACAAAGCATCTGCCCCCTCATCCCACACAAAGATCTCTCCCCCGTGATCTGACCGTGTCGAGACCAAGCATCGAGTACTAGCTACTTGTTTTCCATTTTCTCCTTTTTCTTGTTGTGATACCCCGTATTCTTGATACCCAAGTTTCTCTTCTCATAATACACAATGGCCGACGTCCAGAAGCCCACTGAGGTCCCTGAGACCACCCCTGCCGTCGTCGCGGAGCCCGTCGTCCCTGAGACCACGCCCGCCACCGACGCTGCCGCCGCCACCGAGACGCCCGCCGTCGCGGAGACCAAGCCTGAGGAGCCCGCTGCTGCCACCGAGGCCGCCGCTGAGACTGCCGCCCCCGTCGAGGAGGCCAAGAAGGAGGTCAAGCCCGTCGAGAAGGGCAAGCTCGAGCACAAGGCCACCCCCGCCAGCTTCCCCAAGTAAGTAAACCAACCAGCCAACCAACCAACCGAACCCTGGTTGGGAATCGCGTCTGTGCAAATCAAGTTCTAACACCTCTGAAGGAACTTTGTCTACTCCAGCCAGGAGTTCTGGTTCGGCGGTGACGCCGTCGCCTCCGACAAGCTCGCCGCCTACCTGAAGAACGAGAAGGCCACTGATGTCGCTCACCACGTCGTCTCGTGGGCCTCTGAGACCGGCAAGGGTCTCCTGTTCTACGGCAAGACCGAGGCCAACCCCACCGGCGTCATCCAGTTGGTGAGTCTGCCGCGTTCCACGTCACTTTCATTACTTGTACTGACTAGCAACAGTCTGAGGCCAGCGAGCCTACCGTTGAGGGCAGCAACAAGTTCACTGTCACCTCCAAGGGTCACAAGCACGCCTTCAAGGCCCCCACCGCCGCTGACCGTGACAACTGGGTTGAGCAGCTCAAGCTGAAGATTGCTGAGGCCAAGGAGCTCGCCACCACTGTCACCGAGTCCGAGTCTTACAAGAAGACCCTTGAGACCCTGAAGCCTGCCAAGAAGGAGGAGAAGCCCGTTGTCGCTGCTGCTACTGAGACTCCTGCCGCCACTGAGGAGGCTACCCCTGTTGCTGCCGAGGCCACTGAGGCCCCCGTCACCGAGGAGGCCAAGAAGGAGGAGCCCAAGGAGGAGCCCAAGCGCCGCTCTGCTAGCCGCAAGCGCACCAGCATCTTCGGCAACCTCCTGAACAAGAAGGAGGAGGTCAAGGAGAAGAAGGAGGAAAAGAAGGAAGAGAAGAAGGAAGAGGAGGCCAAGAAGGAGGAGACTCCTGCTGCCACCGAGCCCGCCGCTGAGGTTGCTGCCGCTGAGGCCCCTGTCACCACCGAGGCCCCCGCTACTGAGGCCGCCACTGAGGCAGCCCCCGTCGCTGAGGAGAAGCCCGCTGAGGTCAAGCCCACCCCCACCAAGCGCTCCAGCATCTTCGGTGGTCTGTCCTTCGGCAAGAAGAAGGCTGACGCCGGCTCTGCCCCTACCACCCCGGCTACTGAGACTGCTCCCGCCGTCGAGACCGCTCCCGTGACCGAGACTGCCCCTGTCATCCCCGCCGTCGAGACCACTGAGCCCCTCTCTGCTGAGGTCGCTTCCCCCGCCACTGTCCCCACTGAGACCACCGAGGCTACCCCTGCCACCAACGGTGAGACCAAGAAGGAGGTCAAGAGCGAGAAGCGCAAGTCCAGCCTGCCCTTCGCCTTCGGCAAGAAGGAGAAGTCCCCTGCCTCTGATGAGGAGGGTGAGAAGAAGGCTTCCCCCTTCTCCAAGCTCCGCCAGACCATCAAGGGCAAGGGCAAGTCCACCGAGAAGCCCGCTGACAAGCCCGCTGAGACCACCGAGGCTGTTGCTGAGGAGGACAAGGCCGTCGAGCCCGTTGCCGCCACTGAGGGTGAGGCTGCCAAGACTGAGGAGACTCCCGCTGTTGTCGAGGAGGCTGCCGAGAAGCCTGCTGCCACCCCTGCCGTCGCCGCTACCGCATAGAGAACCTGGAAGCGCAAAGCAGGAAAAGTTCTGTGTCTCGCAGAGCATGACGGCGCCGCTGAGCACTAGCTGCTGAGCCGGTGCCAAAGTTTACGATGTTTTTCATACATTGGTCGGGATCGGATTTGCATTTCCATGATACCCAGTCAAGCGGTTGAGAACAGAAGCGGAGCTAGTCGCCGTCATTCCTCGATCCTGTGGGTCGGGCCTGGCTGTCGTCTGGTGCATGCTTGATGGGGAAGCGAAGAGTTGTGATACATGATTTTGTTTGTCCTCGATGCTTTTTGCATTTGTCTTGTCTGTCATTTCCTTTTTTTGCTGATACCCAGTATACCCAAAGACAGTCATTTGGAACGTTGAAGGAGACCCTCAACAGCGAAACCAAAATTTTCATAAAAACCCAATCATGAAAAGGGATGGAGGAGCATTTGACGGGCGGGATGTTCAGAATGAGGCTGCTCACATTACCTGCCACGTAGGGCGGGAATGTGACAGCTATGGTCATTCACTTAATAGCTAATAAAACTCATGAATTCGGCTTTGCCGTACTAAAATGTCTACCTTGTTGTCTTGGTCTTCGTGTGTAGTGGTCCCTCTAGTGTGATGTCCTGTCTCGTAGTCGTCTTAAGTTGCTGGTAGTCGTGAGTTTGATCTTATGTTCCATTCGCCACACGTTCCAAGTCTTGCTTTGATTTAAAGTCACAAGCCCTTGATATACTACCTTCATCATATCCACGGGTAACCGCGTACCTGCCAGTAGCTGGTGCTGATCTTGGTCTTGTCCCTGGTTGATCGTGGCCCTATTCACCTTTACCCAATATCCATGACTGACATGCTCCATCTTCAGGACCGTTGAAAGTCATTGTTCTTGCTTGGGCTCCTTTGTCGGTGATGCGTCCGTCATCCTGGCCCTTGATGGACTCTAAAGTTCGTGCTGCCGCAGCTCTCCTCGCGTTCAGAGCAGGCGGTCGATGCTGACCAAGAGCTCATACTGCCCGTTTAGGGACCGCCGTGTAGGCTGTACATCACTGCAACCAGTTGCCTCGAAATGGAAGGATGACGATCCCCTCGCTAGCCCCAGTGAACACTCCAGTGCATCTTTGCCCCCATGAAATTTGGTGTCTGAAGACGATGTGAGGATACCTTGCCTCATCGCTTCAAGGCAAGACCGCTCTGTGGCTCTGAAAAGCCATAGACGACTCCTTGTAGTCATTCTAGCGTCCCTATCCTCGTTGCTACTAGCTAATGGCCAGTATGGGGACCATGAGAAGGACTTGCCGCAGGCCGATGACTAACCTAAGAGGGTTTCTTCGCGGCTCAGAGGGGCGTCGGGTCGTTGCTCGATGATGGTTGGCGAGCTCTGTGGGTGATAAGAGCAACTGTACCGATCGTTCTGGGTAGGATATGTGATCTTCTAGAATGTTGACGCGTTTTCTAAGTGTCTGATGGTAGAAATAATCCACATACGTCGGAGGTTCTCAATTTGCTGCGGGAGACTGGACGATGATGATTCTATATTGCGTTGGCTATCGACAATAAGCATGCTAATTCCCTGGTATGATCGTCCCGGTCCACGAATACTGGCTTCCTGTTTCCCGGACGGAAGAATGAGTTGTTTCGTCCGGGAGATCGTTTCATACGCCGAAGCTTCAAGACCAAGGAGCGTTGTCTTCACGGTTCAATCATCGAGCTATGGTCAGGTGGAAACGTGGTTTTATGAGTAGAAGCAGGACCACGTGCGGAGACCTCCATCACCAACTCAGTAACCATCCATAGTCCTCGTTTATTGGTTGATCACTGTGCGTGCAAGTTGTTACGCAGTTTCTTGGTTGCCTGTGACCTACTCCCTGTCAGAGCCCGATTTATGCTGGATGCAGTGTTGGTGGAGGTTTTCCCGAGAAGTGCATTCTGCATCAGCTACGGTCAGTAGAAAAATGCTCTCCTACATCTTGTCAACTCTGGACGTGGGCGTTCTAAGACCATTGGATAGGGAGCCAAGGTAAAGAAACAGTAGCTTGTTTAATTGAACGTAAGACTTGTGTGTAAATGGCAACCCAGAGCGGGCTTGCATGGAATGATGCATTTGTTATACGTTTATAAGGTCCTATAGGAGAAGATTTCCATTGTATTTGTTGGAGATCATGGGCTTCTGCGGCGCCTCGTCATTCAACGTGGCCAATTCCTTCTTGAGGACTCGTGATCTTTTCTCCGATGCCTGATCACAGCACGTTTCTCCGGATTGTCGGAAAGTTGGGCGTGATGAGGTAGGTATCAAAGCCTCAAATGATAAGTCACTACTACGAGTATCTATGCGGATATATATCATAATTCCCACTCATGAACGTTGGTTTGGGAGTAGTTGGTATGACTATACAACACCAAGCATATGATGCGACTTGGCGATGAAGCATCGTCACTATGGGAAGAAGTCATTAGGAAGCGCAATACCATTTAAGCGTAATTAGATACGCTGAGACGGGTTGCATAGTCATCCGGGCGATCGCGTCTGCAAGCAGGCTGCGTGTGTATACAGAAGCCATCACTATAGCAGATGAACAGCCTTCACCCAATCAGAGGGACCTCTGGAGAGACTGGCCCTTCGAGCTGCCCTGGATCTCCCGCTAGCCGCTGCAGATTCCAGCATGCATCCATGCCAAATGCAGGGTCCCACCCGCTGTCAAGGACAGGCCGACAGCGCCCCCCACAGCGTCACTGGCGCGTCCAGAAGCGGACGGTCACAAGGAACAGCCCAGCTCAACCAACCTCAAGCACCGGATCCATCCCTGCGGGACCCTTCGGGTTTCTACTAGACAGCTAGGGTATGTTCGCGACGTCCCGCGTCACCGCCTCTGCTGAGACTCCAGTCGACTTGCGTCGGTACGGCAGCATCATTCTGATTGTTTCGTGTGTTTTTCTTGGGGTGCCAGAGAAGCAAGTCTTTCAAAGGGATACCGGAGCTGCGCTCCCAACTTAGTCCCCGTACGAGAAAGACCGAACGGTCGGCTCCAAACGCGCGTCCACGATCCCCGTTAGTATGGAGCAATACGCCGGCAACTGATACACGAAGCCGCATACCGCTCGGAGGGCAGAAGTCGATAAGAGAACAACGCCACACCCGAACAACAGAAGAGTGAAGGGCGGTTGTAAGCCCCAAGGACGGGACGGGACTGGACGGGAAAAGGGAGGGAGGGGCCAAGGCAAGGAGGAGGAGGAATACAAGAAGCAGCAGCAATGCCCGACTTCTTCCCCTTCATCCCGGGCAGCGAGACCAGCCGCACGGCGCGCCAGCACGCCTCGGACTCGTCGCCGCTGCTGGGCCGCTTCCGCGCCGTGCCGCGCACCTCGCACCGCCAGCGCTCGTCGCAGCATCTGCGCGGCCTGCTCGCCGCCGGCGGCGGCCGCGGCAGCGTGCATGTCGGCTACGGAGCCCTGGTGACGGCCAGCCTTGACTCGGAATCGGACGACGGCGGCTCCGACTACTACGACAGCGACGAAGATGACGACCACTGGTGGGATCGCGCCGCCCGCGCCGTGGGACGCAACGTCAGGGACCTGTGGGTTGCGCCACGGCAGGGTGCAGTCCGGAAGGTCGTCGAGAGCTGGTGGAGGAGGTGGGGGATGCTTGTCTTCTTGCCGGCTGGCCTGGTGAGTACTCTGTCTCCTATAGGATGAGGTCTCAGCGGGGCCACAGTGATGTATAACGGGGAGACTTGACTGACGGGCTTGTTGTGATCTTTAGGCAGTGGCATGGTGTGCCATCCCCTTTCCGCAGTATCCGCTGAACCCCGATGATTCGGATCGCAACCCTGGAAGCCAACGGGACCACAGAGCCCCAGGTCACGGTTCGGCGCGGGTGCAGGTCAACTTCTGGTTCTTCCTGTTTGTCTACTACGGCTTCTACAACCTGACAGCCTTGATATGGATCACCAAAGTCTTCAACCTGTACAGCTTGAACTGGTGGCCGTCGACGCTGGGCTTCCCGCTCACCGTGTCCATGATCGCGATGTTGAGCATTGCTGCCCCTATCCCTGTCTACATGGTGCCTGAGCTCAACTTTCTGACAATCCACAACACGGCGTGGATCTCTTGGACCTTCATCATCATGGCGATGCCAGTGGCGATCGCCTTCTGCATTATGATGCTGCACGAGCGACACCTGGGGCTGCGGCAGTCTCTATCCGACACCCAACGCATCTTTACCTCGTCGTGGTGGACCGGCGAACCCGACTCTGTCTCCTCGCGGCCTAATCGCCGGCGTGCTGGCCTCAGCAGCAGCTCGTTTGACCCAGACTCCATCTTGCAGACATCGCCACCAGCCCGGGGTAGGATACCGGCTGTGGTGCGCCGCAACTGGCTTCCTGCCAGCTTTGTGCGCTTCGTGTGGTTCTGTCTGGCGCTCACCGTCGGTCTTCTCGCCTACCTGATAGGAGAGGCGTACGCCGAGATTTACCTTCGCACACTGCCGCATAACAACCTGGAGACCATTGTGTACGTCTATAGCTGGGTAGTGACGGTCCACCTGCTGGATGCCTTGACGGGTTGGATCTTGGGCGCCAGCGAAGGCGAGAGAGTAGGAAGCTACCCCTTAAGCTGGATCTTCAAATTGTGAGGACAACAGACCCGCGCATGACTTTCACCCCTTTCATGATGCTAATTCGTAATGCAGATATTTCATGCTGACCTACCAAACCTACGTTCGCGCCTTATACGCGCGCCTTCGCTCGCCGACGCAGTTCATCATGCTGCAGATCCTCTCGTCCAGCTCGCTCATCATCCTGGTCCCCATCACCATGTCGAGCACCTACCACCGGATCCTGGGTTTCCTCGGCCTGACGACACAGTCCTATGCGTCGTACCAGAAGCTGCGCATCCGCGACGTCTTCATCCGCTTCCTCGCCGAGAACGTGAGCATGCTGACGTTCCTGGGGAGCATCCTGGTGCTCCACTTTGGCGCAAACAAGGACGTCTATCCGTACTTTGCCTTTGACGAGACGGGCGACGAGCGCTCGTACGATTTCGGGCTCACCTTCTACGCGTCGGGCATCACTTGGGCCTGCGAGCTGATCGCGGGGATCGTGCTTAGGGGGCTAATCCGGTGGATCTACGGCGTGAATGCAAGTGTGGAGGGGAAGCTCGACCTCGCGGTCTGGCCCGAGCTGCTGCCCACAAGCGTAGCGGTGATGCTGCATGTGTTGCAGAACATGCTGTTCTCCATCATCCGGTTACATTTCCATTGAGTTGGATGGGTCGCCAGCCCGTCGGTCGTGTTGGGGACGTACGCAGTGTTACACTTGGGTAAATGTTGGCTTTCGCCCAACAGGGCCTCCATATATAAACACTACGTGGGTTGCGCTGCCCAGTTCTCCTGTTCTTTCAGGGGATTGGCGCAGCTGGCAATCAAGGAGGGTTGCATCTGTTTGGACCTTGCACGGGTTCAGCTTTGCTCGCTTGCTGTGGGAGATGCCACCGGTGGCCAGGTCGGAGGAGGATGAGGAGATGATTGATTGCTTGTCGGTTACTTGTTTATTGATTGCTATCTGCTCGCCTAAGATGCCAAGGGTCCATCCCATAGGACCCTGGCATGGGTGGGTGGAACGAATGATACCCCGTCTAGAATCCCTTAGTATAGAACGATTAGATATCCCAGCTACACACATAATAATAATGGAGAACTGCTTTTGCACACCCGAGGGTCTTACGAGTATGTGAAGGGCTGATCTTTTCAAGGAATACTAGCTGATACAACACGGAGTGCGGTCTAGAAGCTGCAGTCCAGCCGACGGAGTCATAGCTGCATAGAAGCGGAGACTCGGAGCAGGGACTGCACAACATACTGCATGCTAATCGGAACGCCAGCTCAGCAGCTAGACACTTAGCAGAGTGATCAGAAGATATGCGCCCCAGAGTCACCGGAGAAATTCGTGGCTGCGACGACAGAGCACGGAGTAACACCAGGTGGGCTCGCGGTCCAGCGTAGATTAATTCGTTCTAGTTAACCGGCAGACCGGTAGCCCGGAGATTGGGACTTATTTACCGCCAGAGCTGTCACTGAAGATTGACTCCAGATTAGACAACTACCGATTCGGACGAGTGCATGATGCTGTCCAACCTTGCGGCCCAGACCGGGACCTGCCACTCGACATGTTTGGTTGCCGAAGGCTGGCAAGTGCGTTATCAAGGCCATCAACACTATACAAGATGATGGAAAGCCTCGCTCAAAATTGTACCAGCAACAGAGCAGGTCGAAGCAGCAAAGTCCTTCACTAGTGAGCACAAGCTTCCAAGCGATGGGGTGTCGATGTAACGGTCACTGAGATGCGCCTTCGAATAGAAGGCCGCCATATGGCAAAGCAAGGCTGTCCGTCATAGACTGATTAACTTAATCGTCCATTTCGCGATATAGACCTTTGCGGGCCATGATGGCGGCATTAGACTGCGATCCAACGTGCTTTTGCTCCGGCAGAGACTGGCGGTGAGTGACACCTGACTCGTAGCTCAGGTACTTTGTGTTAGGTCCAAACTGGAGCGTTTTCTTAGTAATTCGAGGAGGCTAGCCGCTCGCAGAGTTCAGCTCTGGGAAATGCCAATTTCCTCGGCTTCGGGTGTCGGGTCTGAAGGACGGTAGCTCAGGAACAATTCACAGCACCTTGTTGTGCCTGTTGACATAGCATCACAGATATTTGGCATACAGAAAAGCCGCCTGCTGCCACCTGTAAGCTACGTTCATGGAAATCAAATAGAAGAACGGAAGGCTAAAGGTGACTCAGGTCGCCGATATCGCCGATATAAAACATTTCGAGTGTCCAAGTTGATATGTTCTAGGCAACAGTCTTGCCGTTTCAAGTATGGACTTCGTTTGACCAGTATCGGGTAACTATAGTGCATGCTGGCTTATACAAGCAGACATATCCGAAGAAGTAGTCGTTGGGATTTGAAGGATCACCGTGGGCCCGTCCGCATCTGGATGCAGCTTGAATCCAGACCCGGCTTACACCGAAAACATGTTGCTTGAGGGAAAAAAAAAAAACCAAGGACACGGCTCTCTCATCCGTATCAAAAGCAAGACTGCCCCACGAAAGCGCAGAGATAGCTCACGTAGTTGCCTAGCTGTTGAATGAGTTTGCACCACTGTGACTACGGCTTAAGGTTGTTGGCTGTCTCGTCACACGGGAACGACCTCCGATATTTGAAACAGCAAGCAACGCGATCCATGACGGCAAGGGCTTGCGCGTGAATCATTTGTCAATACATCTGTGCTCTTGGAGATCCAGGCAGACCGCAACTCGCAGTGTGGTTACACCACTGCAGGCCGCAGACTATGTGGCCGTGGGCCGGGAGCCGTTAGTATCGTCAGGGTCGTATCAGTCATGGCCGACAGGGCCAAACGGATGAACTGGATCAGACTGATTCGCCTGACATGGATGTTTGAGGCGCAAATAGTAGAGCCCCATGTTGACAGGCACCAAGAAGCAAAAAAAAACCGGGACGGTCTCAAGAGCCTGGAACCATCCGGCACAAGGGCCAATGAGCGGTGCCATCAAGACAGCACTCCTGGGAGCTTTCAAGCAGCGAGTCGGAATGGTCGATAAACACACCACCCTCGACTGACGGGCCCAGTCTGGTTATTGGGTGAAGATCCATGGAGCTCAACGAAGATTCGTCCGACCGCAGGCCTTCGCGAGATGCAAGGTGGCCGAGGGGGGAACACAAGGGAACACGACGAAAAGCCCCAATGGAGATGAGCCTTTCGTGTGGGGGAGAACCGATGGCTGACAGATGCGATCGTCCTTCAGTGGGAGAAAGTTGCAGGCAAGGCGGGGAAAAAATTCCCGGCCAGAACTTGCAAAGCCACTTACACGTAACACAGCCATCCACATGGCCAGTTATTTGCTCCGTAGTCGATGACGTTACTCTTCGTATTCTAGTTGGACATAGGATGTTATGTGCGAACGTGCGGCTATCGTATCATTCTTCAATAGTGTATCGACTCACCCATCGCTAAGGCTGATGTACGTTAGTCCAAAGTTGACATGTTTCGGGTGACTGGTGGAGGAACGGAGCTCCCTAGAGCTGAGGTGTAGTGTATAATCCGCACATGCATGGAACCTCAAAAGATGGTTAGCAACCATCATGCAGGGGGTGGCGGTGATTGATACGCTATCACGTACGTGCAGGTCTACTTCAACCAAGCTCCAGCGACTGGCACCCTGATGGGTACCGAGTATCGCCAGATCGCCAGATCGCCAGGGACAGCTATACGATGCTGGAGAGCCTCCACTTGTATGTTTCTGCACCAGCTAGTCACAGCTCACAGCTCACAGCCCTCTCTCGCGCGCTCTCTCTCGATCCGCCGGCCGGCCGGCATTCAGGTTGTGCGCAGACTCTGGTGAGACCGGCAGTTCCATAATAGGCCCTATTGTTCCCCATATGTGCCGACGTGCGCGGCTGGACAAGCGTCCCAGGGGAACACGGATGAGTCGTGAGAAACCGCTTCACCTGCTCATGCCGCTTTGAGCTGTTTCAATTTGGACCCTGGGCGAAGCCTGGCTATAGTACCAAGGTAAGGTACAACAAGTCCACACACCCACCTAGGTAGGTAATGCCAACCCACCTTTTCTTGCACATGCTGGCAATGGGTGCATACCCAGTCTGCCAAGGCATGGCCTCAACACACAATCGTACATACATACATGCAGCAGGGTGCACGTTCTTGCGCCCACCTCATGGAGCGAGAAAGCGTGTGTGTCTTGGTGGTGCCTTACCGCCTCTGCTCTGAGGGCCTTCGCATACGGTGCAGCCCGCTGGGCGTCGCGAGAGCGCTCAATCAATCAATGGGATGGCGGGCGGCCCCCAAAGCAGCCGACGGTCAGAAAGTGGCTGCATGCGTCCTAATTCTCGTTCGGCATGGTGGCATCGAGAGATGGTGGGGTTGGCTGGACCTCCCCCTGCAATACCCACCTACCTCTCCCACGAGGGGCTCGCCATTTGTCTTGACCATTACTTGATGGCAGCCAGAGAGCCCGTTTCAAGTGCTGATGACGGTGGATGATGATGGCGATGGATGGGCTGCGGCCTTGTCTTCCGAGAGAGCCCAATGGCATGGCCACCTGGCAACGCTGGGAAGAAGCCCCGGAATCCTGCCTATCGTGGTTAGAGAGCGCGGTAGCCGGGGGAGGAGGACGGCCGCCTTGCTTCTACTATGTACTAACTTGAGCACTACATTATCTAGGTGATGTAGCTATCGTCTAAGTACAGTACAGTACAGTACAGTACAGCAGCTATCGTCAGGCACGAACGGCGGCGGGCGGCGGGCAAGTTAAGTTTCGGGTTTACCTAGGTAAAAGGGCGCCCATTGCGGTCGTAGTTAATTACCTTGGTACCCAGCAACCTAAGTTAGTTAATAAGTTGGGCAACCCAAGCACCAAGAGAGGAAAACCCCATCTCGCAACGGCGAGTCCCAAGAGCCTAGCGCGGGGCAGATGGGAAATTCAAGGCTCGCGGCGTGCAAAGACGTGATTGATACGTGAAGATTTTCCTATCTGTGCCCCCCCGCCAGGCGCCAGGCAAATCACAGCCCGAACTGCGAGCTGCCCGCGCATCCCACTCTCTCACGCCTCTCCACCCCGGCGCAACACCCAACGCTCCCAGTCGTCCCTCTCTCTCTCTCGTGTGCTACGGCCTAGCCTTGTTTGTTTTCCCTTATCCGGCCCGGCTCGTCGCTCTTCTCGCAGCAAGCCTGCCTGGCGGGGAGCGAGGAGGGGGAGGAGGAGGGGCAAAAATAAAAATGAAAAATAAAAAATACAATCAAGTGATAGTCGTGATAGACCCGGCAGTGCCCAAGCCCGCGCGCGCCGCCCAGAGACATATTACCGGGTCAGGGCTAGGCCGCCGTCTAAGTCCCCAAGTTCCCAACTAGGTACCCAAGGTAATTCTGTTCCCGTCAAGCCTGCCTTGCCTTGTCTGAGTTGTCACTCTCGCTGTGCCTGTCTCACCTGGAACCCTGTCCGTCCCGGCCTTCCTCTTCCAGATCGACTCCCCCTCGGCCGCCAGCCAGCTCGTTCGTGCCACACCCCAGGCCGCGCTTCGAAAAATTTCTCCCCGGATACAGATACCGCTCTGCGTCTGCCACCAGCTCGTCCCCTTCGTCCCCTTCTCCTCTTCTCTTTCCCTTTTCTTCACAATGAGTGCGCCTGTCCCCACCGGCAGCAGCGCAGATTCCGTGGCCTCGAACCCGTCCCAACCTGCCGCCGCCGCCGCCGCACCCGCCGCCCTCGATGCCCCGCGACGAGAGCCCCCCGCCGCCACCACCGGTGCCGCCCAACTCGCCGGTCAATCGCTAACGTCGGACCGCGAGGACACCAAGAAGCGCGTGCTGGCCGCGCTGCGACGCTTCCCCGACTTCCCCATCCCCGGCATCCAGTTCATCGACATCCTGCCCATCTTCCAGGACCCCAAGATCTTCGACGCCCTGCTCCAGGTCCTCGAGGCCGAGATCAGGGAGACCCTCGGCGCCATCCCCGATGTCATTGTCGGCCTCGACGCCCGCGGCTTCCTCTTCGGCCCCTCCCTGGCCCTGCGCCTGGGCTGCTCCTTCGTCCCCGTCCGCAAGAAGGGCAAGATGCCTGGCCCCTGCATGACCGCCTCCTACGAGAAGGAGTACGGCGCAGATTACTTCCAGATGCAGTCGGATGCTATCAAGCCGGGACAGAAGGTCCTGGTGGTAGATGATATCATTGCCACTGGTAAGTACAGGTAGCCTGGTCGCCAGGCCGTTGTTATCAGTTGTGCTGCGTTCCCGCTTGTTATTATACCTGCAAACCCCTACGGATAGCCGACCTCTGGGGCCTAGTCAATTGCGCAAAGCCCGTTGAAGTCTAGTACACCGGCCAAGCGACTGCGGATAATGCTGGCCCCTGGAGAGTCGAAGGAGTCGCGAGATCAATGCACTCTCGGAGTTGACTTTGTAATTCCAAGACCTATTAGCCCAGGCCCTCGAGGTCGGGGGAGCAAGTGCTCCTGACATGAGCTCCGCGATGGAGTGACGGAGTCGATGTCAGACTACACCTTTTGTCCCTGGCGTATAATTCCCCAGAAGGGGTATATACGAGGAACCACAAGGGATCAAGCAGTATTCAGACGGGCGTCGTTGGTTGTTTGCCTTGATTTCAGGCTCTATCAGTGGCCGCTTGTTCTCCCACTAATACACTCTCGCAGGAGGATCTGCCGCTGCCGCGGCATCTTTGGTCAACCAACTTGGCGGCAACTTGGTGGGGTATCTCTTCATGATTGAGATCGGCTTCCTGAAGGGCCGAGACAAGCTGGGCGACGTCCCGGTCATCGCTCTGGTCGACTCGGACTAAAGCCTTTTCATGGCAAGAGTGTGCCCCGTCTCGTCGCCGTTGGCATCTTCAACAACGTATAAGCCGCCCAGTTCAACACCTTCTACTGAAAAGCGAAACGCAATAATGACTCTTTCTGTAATAATCGATGCTTCCCGAAAACGGCGGGGCAGCAACGTGATAGACGTTGGGAAATGTGGCTCATGCATATACCTTCCGCCTCCTTCGAAACAAAAAATCATCACCGGAGGTAGGGCAAATCTTGACTGTCGCATGGGCTGGCGTTGGGTATAGGGCCGTCCAATGCTGGATCGGAAAACTCGAGCGTGTGCGAGGTTCGCAGTTAAATAGATGCTTGTGAGTTGCCATTATACAAATACAAAAACTGCCTTTGCTCCAAGCAGGGCCCATGATTACTCGGCCAGTCTGATATTTCTACCTGTGCAAGCCCTTGGTACTCTATTGCCCCCTGTCGACGCCGCATTTTGTTCAAACGTAAGCAAGCTCTAATGTCAATGCCTTTTGGTCTCGGTTCTTAGTCGTACTATATCTATTCATGTCACTAAAGCCACGCGCCGAGTTCGTGCGTCGCTGGGGTTGCAATTGAGTGTTTCTTACGATTTGGATTTGATTCAGTATATCTCATCCTATAATGCCAAGTTCTATTTCTTCACTAAGCTAAATACGAGCCCAAGAACCTGCCGCGTTTGATCGAACGCACTCTTACACCTTCGCCTGTGGTCCAGCCCCCCTAGGTACCTTGTCAACGACGCCGACATTCTGCAGCCCCGGAAACCCTCACCTTCACCCTGCCATCCTGCACGAGCTGAGACGGCCATTACGCCAGCGGGAGGCGCCTCGTCAGCCCTACGAATGCAACTTTGTGTCATGAGGAGTGGGAGGGGCAAGGCATACCGAAGCTGGCTGACAGGGCCAGGTCCACCAACCAGACCCAGGCTTGGCTGTTTGCGTGGCCGGCAGGTTCCAGGGGTAATAGGCTATCACTGTCTGTCTTGTGGGTGGAGGAAGGTATGTTGTTGAAATAGACTTTTGGCGGATATGAATGAGCATTAGAGCGGTCGAGGCAGAAGCTACGGGGCACGAAAATGTGGAGGTAGAGTTATCATCTCGTGGAATTACGGTCGTGTCATTGTCTATTCTACAATGTTATACATATCGAGGCTGGCCGGGTCCAGGGGTTTCCATTGCCCATGACGAGCGGAATGGTGCTGATGACCTAGTGCACGGGGGCGATTGGCACCAATAGAGATCAATCATCATCAAACTCCGCGTCGCCATCCTCCTCCTGCTCGTAGATCTCCGAGTCCGTATCTTCAGAGCTGTCTGTTTCAGGCGGGTCATCTTGCCCGGCCGGGTCGTCCCCAGAGATGTGTGAGGGGGTATCATCATCTTCCTCCTCGTCCTCTCCGCCGTGCTCCGATGCGGGCGCCTTGACGTCCTCGGCGAAGCCCACGTGCTTCGGGGTGGAGGACCGCGACTTGACGGGCTCTTCCAGCACGTCCCCACTCCACGGCTTGCACTCCTTCACCAGCTCGCCGCAGCGCAGGCAGGTCCAGCCCTCCCCTTCTTCTCGCTCCAACCTCGTGGCCAGGCAAACGAAGCAGTAGATGCAACCGCACGGGGCGGTCTCGTACGGGTTTGTGATATCTGTCTGTGCCGAGCCTATGACTCCGCCTGATGCGGCAGCTGCGAGAACCTCAGTCTCGGAAGTGGCCGAGTTCTGGTCTTGGTAGCATATGGCACACGTTCTCTCGGGGAGAAACGCGAGTTCGCCCTGCTTGGTGCTTTTTTCGTCATCCGTGTTGATGTGGACGATCTCCTTGGTCTTCCGCCATGTCCTGCTCAGCCATCTTCGCCACCGGTTGATCCCAACCAAAGGTAGTACGAAGAGCAAGAACTCAGTGAAAGCATGCCAGACGAGCTGCCGGTTAAGATACTCGAATGAGACCTCGCGGCTGACCTGGCTGGTCGGGGGGACTAGTCGTAGCCGCAGAATTCTGTCGAGGAGTGTTCGATATCTCCCATGTAGCAGAAAGACAAGGAAAGAGGCAAAGGCAGCCAGCGAGTGGACAGTCGTTAACCTAGTTGTCATCGCCGAGAGTCTGTTGACCCAGGGCGTAGGAGGGTCGTAGCCATTATCCTGGTCCAACAACCAGTTCTCCCACTTAGTCCAACCGTATTTACCTCCGACGGTGATAAGGCCGTACAATGCCTTTTGCCACCTGCTAGGAGGTACCAGGACTGAATCCGACCGTCGCGCATCGGAAAACTTCAGGTTCTGTAGGGCAGCGCCGTACGTAGCGTCGTGGTCCCATACGGTGAGCTTGAAAAGTATAGCTCGAAGGGCCAAGATGATCTCTGCTGACCAATCATCTTTAATGTTGCCGTTGAAGTATTTGAGGGCGTCGCCGACTTGGTCGCGCAGCAGATCGACGAGCTCCTCGTCCAGGAGCTCGGCGTCGACCTGCCCGACCCGGAATGCAGGCCTCGTGCCCTCTCTCGAGGACAGGACCTCCCACGTAGATAGAGACGAGGCACCGAGGCGGTTGAAAGGGAAAGGCAGTCGCGATACCTGCGACCAGGCGCGGGATGCGTCGCGGCGCGCGGCGATTTGCGCCTGCGTCTGTCGTTCGCGAGCTTGTCGGCGGGCAGCCAGGCGCTGCTGGGCCTGGGCAAAGTTGGTGGAGCTCATCTGGGGAGCATCGCCAGAGGAAACGCGGGCGGGGGGGCTGTTCTCCGTCTCAGTGCTTTCGCATCATCTGGTCGCGCGACGGTGAGGGTTGCTGTTCCGGCGTGTAACGTTGATCTCAGCCTGCGAGGTAGCTGATGGGAAGTGCGCCGAGCATATCACCTTGGCCCAGCGTGACGTTGTGAGCAATGGAGCGCCGGCTTTTGGGCAGGCCGAGGTACAGCAGAGCTGCAACCCCAATGCCCATCAATTGGCCGGCTAAGGGAAGAGACCCTGACGGCCCTTCGGTGGCGCCGGACCCCCGTGCGGTAAGGTTAACTCACAGCACTTTGGGGACTTGGGCCTGCGTGTGGTTCCCGGCTAACCAGTTCGAGCATGACAAGCAATACCTGGCAACAGTATGCACTCGCATGACTATGCGAACAGCTCATCTCTGTTACGGCCAAGAGCAGCCCCAGGTGACCCTTGTGACTCTTTGTCGAAGCCAACTCATCATCGCTATGCGTAGGCGAAGAAACAAAACCAGCCATGCACATCGAGCTCAAGCTAACATGGACATTCCGCTCATGCATATTCCTGCACTTGCTGGCCGTGGCATGGCCAACTCTGCCCTGCTTGTACGAATGTGGATACTCCGCACTCGCGGGGCCCGTGGCGGCCGGGGAGTTGTATCAATGCCAAATCATCAAACCTTTTGTCTGGGAACCAAAGATATAACTTGCATCAAGATTGATTCTGCTGGGAAGCCGTTGCAGGCCGTGGTGCATATCGAAAGACGCACCCGCGAGGCCAATCATTTGTCGGCTGGAAATGATAAGGGCGGCTGTTATCGATCTTGGCATCTGACATCCCGCACCAAAGACTCCCGAGTGAAACTACGTTAATGTAATTGCAGCCGTCGAGAATGGGAGTCTCCGCTTCGCAAGTCGACTTCGTCTGGTTACCTATGTGGGCATTTGGAGGCGCCCAATTGAGCCATGCGCCCGCCGCTCGTAGTTCTAGAAGCCAAGGAAAGGACCTTCCATTCCTGAGCAGTGCGGATGGCGCGTGATAAGGTTCTGAGGCCTCTTTCAGCGTCCGTCGAGTTGTGGAAACTGACCCACGAAACAAGCCGCACCGTTGCCCGTGCAGTTTGTCAGCCGCTCATTGACGTTGTAGGTCAGTACGTGCTAGCTCGAATATGCCATGATTTTGCGTGCTTTCTATGTCTTGGGTTAAAGACAACGGTGAAGAGTCGGTAGAGCACAGCCTCAAATTACGTCTCAGCCCTGCAAGCGAGTGCCGAAGCCATACTCTCAGGGTCTACTGAGTCCAAACGAAACAACGCTACGAGGGCAGAGCGGGAGAGCGGTCAACCGTTAGACGTCTGATTGTCTTGCCGAATGTGGCTTTAGTCTTCGGCCAGCCCAGCCGTTGACGCGGGTGTCCATACTGCCTCCGTGGTGAGTGGTCAGCATTTAGTCTGCCTGCAATACAACCGCATGGTCCTGGTGCACTGGAGGGGAGTACCCTGTCTGTAGGATCGATTCCCGACGTTGGAGATAATTGAAAGGAGTCAAACGCGAGACTGTCATCTACCCTTGCCATGTTCGAACCAGGCCAATGATCAAATCTCACTGGCCGTCCTAGCCATTCCACGTCGTATGGACTGCGGTAAGCAGGCGGGGCGGGCTCAGCTACCTGCATGGTCCTCCTACCCATGAGCCTCGCGTCAGTGAGTATCTAATGAGAGTCTCGAAATGTACTTTCCGACGCTTTCCATTGCGAGATCATTGTGACAATTGTCCTGCAACATATTGGGATAAGAAGCTGCAAAGGGTTCAACACATCTGTTCCCGGCTCCGCGGCGTTCTGCCATCATCCTATATTATATAACCAATGATCGCCGCCTGATCGCTAGGCCAGGCATTGGTTGAACGTCAGGCTTACGCTATCTTCTCTTCTCCTGGTCAAATGCCGAACTTCTCGAGAAATGAGGACAAGCGTTCGAGCCGCGAGGCTTCGGATGCATCAACAGCTGAGGGTGAGGATGCGAAGAGACACCCACGTGCCAGGCCGTCGATTCGGGTCTCGCGAGCCTGCACTCAATGCCGATCAAAGTTCGAAAGCCACTTTATCGTTCAGCACGGCCTGGGACTGACATTGGATACAGGCATGTCAAATGCGACGGCTCCATGCCGGCTTGCTCGCGTTGTAAAACGGAGGGGTTGCCGTGCTATTATGCCAAATCGAGACGTGGTATACGAGACCCGAAGAAGCGAAGCCTCATATCAGACAAGCCTCCTGTGCATCAGACGAAGCTTGAGTTGCCGAGGACTACGTTGACCCCATTTCAAGGCCAATATGCGAAGGAGTCTATGTGCTGCGTTGTCGACCGCGAAGCGTCCGTATCGTCGTTGTCCACCGGGGATGTCCTGCTGGATGCATTTTTCACCTATTTTTACCCCAGTCATTCTATAGTACTTCCAAGACGCTTTTTTCTCGAATATGCAGAGTCAAATCCTGACTCAATGACCTTCCTACTGTCTGTGGTCAACTACATCGGTTCCCTGTATGTTCCCCAGAGATCATCTGAAGACCTCAGAGAGGCGGCCTTCTCAGCCGCTTGCGGACCTCTCCCCATGACACCCCAATCGGTACAAGGCCTCCTTCTTCTCGTATCCGCAGCAATGGGAGAGATGCAGTTCGACTACCAGAACCATTGGACCGATAGAGCGATATCTATGGCTATGGCTATCGGGATGCAGCACAGAGCATTTGCGGACTCTGCTTCAGATGCAGTTCAGGCAGAATGCTATCGCCGTGTCTTCTGGGGCTTGTACTTTCAGGACTGTACAAGCGAGTCTCGAGTTGGAGCGAAGGGGACGTCTCTTCGACAGGGCGCTTTTGACGTAGATCTGCCATGCGAGGAGTGGGAATACGATGCAGGGGTAAGTCATCCACGTGGTTCGGCCTTGATTGACTCTATAACATAGGATAGAGCAGTTACTAACTTGAGCTTCCAGAGAATACCGCCACCTATATCTTTAGCCCAATACGATTTACAGAATAATCTTGGAAGCGGCGAGTTCTCTTCGTGGACATACCTCATTGATATGGCCCGGATATCGAGCAATTTGATACTTCCCTACCACGATGCTCCGAACGAGAAGAAGACAGAACTGTTCGAGAGAGCAGATGCGTTGATATGTGACTGGCTGATCAGAGTACCGCAATGGAAAATGGACCTCGTGGACGCGGGCGGCGTAGCTGATATGATTCTCTTCCACGCCATGGCTTTCGCTCAACAGTAGGTACCCCATTCTGTTATACCTTTACTGAGACTAAGCCGTGCTCAGAAATCGCCTCAGAATACGACAATGTGCCTCAAGACAGGGGTTAAATTTACGACAATGTTTTCCCCTGGGGCCAGCTATGGGCCCACATCGGCAGGCGCAGAAGGTCAAGGGCTTCGGATGGAGTGCCATGCCCGTCGAGGTGCAGGCGGCCAACAGCGTGTGTAGCCTTTTCCGACAGTCTTTTCCCATAAGGAATTTGAGTCCCCGGTGCCTACCGGGGCTGCTCCGAGTGTCTTTGGCCTACCTGGATGCTTGCGTCTTCCTGGGACTCGACACTCCGGCCTTCAGGGAGAAGCTCAACATGCTGCTACATATCATGACGGTGCACGGGGAAATATGGGCCATCTCGCGGAAAGTCGCCGAGGAGGTCAGGGAGGTGGCCAAGGAATACTCGTTAATACCACAGTCTCCCGCTCCGAGCTCCTGTGGAGAGATGTGGGTGCCTGGCGTGACTACGGGCATCGCTTCTGACGACACCCTACAGACGAGTGATTTTGATTTCTCGATCTTTCCTGATATCAGTCACCTTGGCGACTGGACGGGGAGCCAAAATTCCCAGGCACCCTTAGTATAGGGGAAATGATCTTGTCATCCGTGCCGAAAGACCGGCGGTGGAATTGCCAAGGGTATCAAGAGAGTAGTCAATTGAGCACCCAATGATACATCATCTTCCTCTGAAGTCCCAAAACAACCCTGAGATCATTCAGGTGTATGGCAATCAGACTTGAGTCGGCTCGCAACGCGCTCCAAAATGAAATCGTATACACATGGCCCGAAAAATAAGAAAGCCCACGATGTATTATCCCTCATGTAGGTATTGAGCTAATATGAAGCCATGATAAACCGTATATGCTTCTTCACAATTTACCGACTCGGGAAAAATGTTAGAGCCTCTGGACAAGCACGGTACAACTGATAGTAGGAAATCTGCTAATGGTATTGGATCTTCGCCAAATGGTCCCAATCCAACACCATTCTACCTAAACAGACACTGAAGTTTCAATACCTAATAATTTGGTGAATTATAGGTGTCGGTGAGACACCTTAACTAAGAGACTTCGCACATGGTCAAAGTGAGGAACTGTGCTCTGACATGAGTTTGTAATCGAAAAGCTGACTACTAACAGACAAACAAAGGTTTGCAGGTGGGAAAATAAATAAAATATGCCGATTGCTATCGTGATGCCCAACTTGGTTGCCGAGGCAGGGGTTCCAGGGTGTTTTCCTCCAAGCTCCCCGCGTCTAGAAAACTTTTAGCGTCCCCTGAACCCTGCGCTCTAGCGACTTCGTGATGGTCTGGCGGTCGACCAGAAATACATCATTTGCAGGTTTTCCCAAGGCATGCTGAGCAGCCTTGGATTCAACGCTGGAGTGACACGTTTCAAAGGTCCTCTACCGGTGCAAACGTGAAACAACTGCGTTTGGCAACAAAGGCACCCAGCGGATTCGTTGCGGCATCGTAGCCTCCCCTGTGGCTGCCCCGCCATTATCCTATCCATCCTTACACTCCCGTTTCCCCCCGCCTTTCGCAGTCGCGGTCAGAGAGACAACCAAGCAGCACGAGCGACGATGAGCTTCGCGATCGAGGTTCCAGGAGAGGCGAGCCCCCTCAGCCTGCAAGAGCTGTGCCGGACCCTACAGCTGGCCACATCGTCTCAGGACTACAGCCAGCGCCAATCCGCCGGCCAGCAGCTGTCGTCGTGGGAGTCTCACGTCGACTACTACGCTTCTCTCCAGCTCGCGTTCCTCGACAAGTCCTTGCCGCACGAAATACGACTGCTCGCCATCATACAGCTGAAAAATGGCGTCGACAGGCACTGGCGTCACCATACGCTGCAGAACAGTATCCAGCCCCGCCAGAAGGAGCAGATCCGATCGAACCTATACCGAGGCAGCGTGGGAGAGGAGGACAAGCAACTCGCGCTGCACAATGCCCTGGTTGTTGCGAAGATCACTAGGATTGACTTTCCCCAGGCCTGGCCCGATGCGATGACCAACCTGGTCAGCCTGTTACGGGAAACAAAAGACGGGAGCCCTGGGAACCTGTCGGGCGCCCTCACAATCCTCCTGCGCGTGGTGAAAGAGCTCGGAACCGCCCGCCTGAGAAAGTCCCAAACGGCACTACAATCCGTCACGCCGGAGCTGGTCTACCTGCTCGGGGAGATATACACCAGCAGCACGGCGGCATGGACCGCGTTCCTGACCAGCGGTCAAGGCGACGAGGATACCGCTGACTTCGCCATGCAAAACAGCTTGACATCTTTCAAAACACTCCGCCGCCTTCTGATCGTCGGCTACGAGTTCCCCCACAAGGATAACACAGTTCAGCAAGCATGGAATCTGTCTCAGTCGCAGTTCGGTCAGTTCCTTGGTTTTGTCAGCCACGACTCCCCGATACCCGCGCCATACTTGGAGATCGTCGGAAAGCACCTCATGCAGTTTACCAAGCTCCATCTAGAAATGGCACAAGCCCACCCGGCTAGTTTTGCCTCGCTTCCGAACTCTTTCGAACTCGTGCGGTCATATTGGGACTTAGTTGCCAAGTTTGCCGAGGTCTTCACGAAGTCTGGCGGACTGCGTCAAGGAGCCAGCACAGCGGATGGGGAGGCCAAGTCCAAGATGGAAGGCCCCTTGCTAGAAAAGCTGGCGCTCAAGGGCTTGCTGCTTGTGCGAGCATGTATTAAGATGGTCAACCAACCGCAGCAGACGTTTAGATACCGTTCGAAGGAGGTCAAAGAGGAGCAGTCACAGCTTATCGGCCAAGTGAAAAATGACCTACTGAAAGACGAGTTCATAGTACAGATGGCCAATATCATCATTTCACACCTTCTGATCTTTCGCCAGGCAGACCTTGATGCTTGGGAAGAGAGCCCGGAAGAATGGGAGCAGCAAGAGGAGGCTCAGGGAACCGCTTGGGAATGGGAGGTTCGACCTTGTGCTGAAACCGTGCTTCACTCACTCCTCGTCAGTTACAAGCATCTCTTAGTCCAGCCGCTTCTGGCATACTTTGAGACTGCCAAGAGTCCGCAAGCCAATATCATGACGAAGGAGTCTGTGTACACTGCGCTAGGCCTGGCAGCTCCTCATCTAGAGAAGCAGTTCGATTTTGATGACTTCTTGAGATCGACTCTTATCAACGACGCACAGCAGCAAGGGCCGCTGTGCAAGGTGCTGAGGCGCAGGATCAGCATTCTCACCAGTCAATGGGTTCCAATCGGTGTATCCAAGGACAGCCGGGTATTGATTTACGAGATCTACCGACATTTCCTTAACCCAAATGACCAAAACAACGACATTGTCGTTCGTATCACGGCTGGAAGACAATTCAGATTGGTAGCGGAAGATTTCCAATTTGAGGGACAAGTGTTCAGCCCATACGCCGAGGGCGTTCTCACAGAGTTGATCAAACTTCTACACCAGACAGACATTGATGAAACCAAATTGGCAATTCTGGACACGACCAAGGCTATCATTGAACGGATGGAAACCTATGTCAACCCTTTTGCAGACCTAATTGTCTCCGCTCTGCCTGCCATATGGGAATCCGAGACCGATCTTGGCTACATGCTGAAGCAAGCAGTTTTGACAATCCTGCAATCGCTGATAATGTCTATGAGGCAGGAGTCAAAGAGATTCCACGCAATTACCGCCCCACTGATCTTCGATTCAGTTAAAGAGGATTCAGATGTCTTCATCTATCTCATCGACGAGTCGTTGGATCTATGGACCAATATTCTACATCAAAGTGACACTCCATTGTCGCAGGAGCTTTTGAGCTTAATTGAACCAGCCATAAGGCTGCTTGGTGAACACACGGAACACCATCTCATATATCTTACCATAGCCGGCTCCTACATCCTGTTGGCCCCTGAGGTCATGCTCGAGGAGCGTTGGAGACAGCCTTTACTCAAAGCATTGGGCGACACGTCTACCTGGCAGCATGCGCGTGACCAACAAACCGTTGCCAGCAGGTATATCGACTTTTTGCTACGCTGCGCTGAAGAACTCGGCAAGATCGATGGGCTTAAAGTTGTCATTCAGGACATGATGGCTTGCGGTTTCTTGACGCAGATGTTCGAAGGAATTCACGATGCCTACAATGCACACCAGACGTCGGGGCCGAATAGGAAACAGCCCAAAGTCAACAACCTGACTCTCACCGACTACTTCGCTACTCTCTCACGCATCGCCGTGATCGATCCCAGCACATTTGTCGACATTCTTACGTCTATCGGCCCTCTCGACCAAGTGTGGCCCTGGCTGAGTGCTGAGTGGTTTTCCAACTTCGACTGTATTTCCGACGACAGGCGACGAAAGCTGAACCTGCTTGCCCTGACCCGACTCATGGAGCTCGGAGAGCCGATGCAAGGGCTTGTTCTCGCAAAGCTGCAAGACTACTTTACCATGTGGACAAGCGTCATTGCCCCCATCCTGGACGAGCAGGACCCCTCGATCGATCTACTCGTCCTCACGGATGGGCTCGAGTCTACGGAATGGGATACGCCCAGGGACCTGCGGGAGAGGGCGCTGAAGGAAAGCGACCCTGTCAGTCGGGTCAACGCGTTGACTTTCGTCAGAGACACGCTGTCCGGGTTGGTCCAGAGAGTAGGCGACCAGGCTTTCCAGGAGAACTATCTCGCCAACGTGGACTCGGACGTGGTTGGCAGTTTCCAGAAGCTCGGCACCCCTCAGTCCAGGTAGGGAATACAAGTGAGCTGCATGACAGTGAATGGCGTCGCCGAGAATCGTGAGCTTTCTACCATGTTTGCTTGCGTACCGTTGCATTGCCCCCGAGTAAGGCGGCTCATAAAATAGGTTGTGCCTTTTTCTTCAACGCAAATCGACCACGTTGGTCTGCTATTAGACGGAGAGGCGTGAGCATATGTGATGATGATGGGTGGACATAACAGATTTTATACGCTCTGCGGAGAACAGATGCGCTGTAGGGACTATACCATATTGGCACGAGACCAAGCCTGCCACCAGGTCAACAAGGTTGGGCTGCTGTGTAGCGTTCGTAGCAGACTAGACAGTATATAGATCATAAGACTATCTAATCGTTTGCCACTTCACTGCTCGGCTGACGACCGAGGCTGGCACTCACAGGGACGTTATTGGCCGACACCACTCACTAGCCAAACCAGAAGTCTCAAATTGCCGGTTTGAGGCTGACCCCAGGTTCAGGCAGAGACATGCATCTTCGCGCGCATGGCGATGTTGCAGCGTGAAACTGTAGTGGGTGTTTGCCGAAGAATGAAAATTTCGAAGGGGAGAAGACAAGTAATGGAGAGCGGAGAGGCACGCCGCACGAGATCGAGATACCTTCGCTCTGCGGAGCCGAGACTGTTACTGATGAGACGAGACGGGACACATCCTCTCGCTCATGCGACACGACCTACTGAGACATGGATTTTTTTCACGACCTCGAGCTAAATCCGAGTGTCTGCATACTGGTCACTTGTTGCGCACCAAGTAACGTAGTCATTATCTTGATCGGGAGGGTGTTTGTATGATATCACGCAACTGCCCTGTATTTCCTGTAATGAATTGGGTTTGCGCAAAAATCTCTCTGCCTTGGCGACAGTAATGTAGACACTGTTTCTTGCTGTTTCATATAATGCCAGCACGAAGAAGCTCAGGCTGATGTCTTCAATGCGTTGCGCGGTTCGTACAAAGGTAGGCATATTACACGAATTGCCATCCGTTGTCAATGTTGTACGGCAACACCTAACTTGATACTGCAGGTACCACGATGAATGCTCCAAAGATAAGGCTCTGCGGGAATCCGACGAACCCACGTGGCATATTATGCTTTCTGGTACAGTGTTAAGAGCCAAGGGAAATAGACGAGTCGGCGGCACCGAGCCGGCTAAACTTGTCACCCTCACAACATCAGATGAACTCTCCCAATATCCCGGGACCGGGGAAGCATTTATCGAGTTTTGATACGAGAAGTTTTGGATATAGGAACGGCGGATAATGAAGAAGGCCCGACCTAGTAAACAGCACAACATGACTTGCTGTCGCATTCTAGACCACAAGCCACAAGACCGGTGCCTGAGTCAGGGTGATGTGATACACGGGTCCATACTACCTATGTAGATAACAGTAGGCAAGCCGGGCAGTGGAAGCGGAAGTGCGTGCGTGCAGACAGCAACGGTAGAAGGAATTGACCACGAGCTGGCTTGTGCACCCCCGATGGAAGTCGGCTGGCTGCATCCATCGACCCGACGACCTTCGACATTCTCGAAGCAACCCACATTTCCGCGCGTCGAACAATTGGCATTTAAAAGAATGCGCGTGCCCGACGGGTCGGCAGTGCGATGCAGGAAACCCTATCAGAACTACTGATGTATTAACTCGTTGCCATTTCATGCGGCTGTTGTGTTGTAGATGCTCCTATTAACGTCAACCAGTAGCACATTGCGCTCCGCGGTGGTAATAACTAAGCGCAGTGGTAATTTTGGTTGTTTCCTTGGAAGTAAGCTGGAAGTGGGATCGTCGTATGTGCAGCCAACTGCTTGGCCTTGCCTTCCTTCCCCTTGCATCCTTCATGCAGGCACCGGCTAGAAGCTCTTCCCGTTAAAAATAAAGAAAAGACTCGGTCCCATCTCGCCTCCCTCGGTTCGCAAGGCCTGGGCGTGCAATTATGGAGTTACCAGAGAAGGAGGGGAGAGCGAAAAAAAAAAAAAAAAAAAAAAAAAATCAGGTCAGGCCACCACGACTCTGTGCAGGATGACGTGTTCATGCGCCGGAGGGTGGAAACAAAAAAGGACTCAGCGGTCGTTGGTCAACGTGGAGATGCGCCCGTCAACAACGTGGGTATCGCATCTACACCACGAAGAGCGTGCGCGCGCTGTCTGCCAATGCGTCTGTCTCGCCCGTCCAGCAGCCACCTGTCAACGTCGGCGATACCCCGCGAATTCGTCATGCGCACTCGTATGTCGATGGTAAGGCTCATCAAACGGAAGATGAGGATTCCCACCGCCGTACCAGTAACTATTAACGGACCCGAGCCAGATCGATCTGGCGAAATTTGACAAGCGTCGAACGGCTTGGATGGGCCCCTTTGAAGAGATTGGGCCCAAGCCCGCTGGCGCCGTTTGGACCACCGCGACGCTGACCGTAACCCCACAGGCTTCGCCACCTAGCGCCCTGATGGAAGGGTCCCAAGAATCCAAGAAAGTCACTAACATGCAGTGCATGTGGTGCTACCAAGGAAGCCATTGGAGCAACAGTCACGGCGGCCAGGGCAAGCCAGGAGATGCCCTCTTGGCCGCCTGTCGAAGAGTTTCCGTGGTGATCGTACGGAGTACCTGGATCGGTGGGAGCCGGATTGACCGTCGCTCATTTGCATCAGCCTTACTTTTTTTTTTACCGCTGTCCTCACAGATCGTTTTTAGAACAGGGCCACCATTTCGGGCCCTCTGTGCTGTGCTGATCTGATCTGGCCGATCGACTCGCTCGAGACACGACACAGAAAGCTTGGCATTCGAGTTGTCTTGTGGCACCTCGCTGCTTGTCCAACATGGGACTGGCCGAACGCTGGGCGTCTAATTATCCTACGGTCACGGTCGGCTTGGCAGCCTGTCGAGGTGATCAGACTCGCAAAATGGTGGCCAAGGTGACCCTTCATGGAATGGACCTGAGAAGCTGGACATCTCATTGGCACAGCTGGCCCATTGCTACCACGAATGGTCGGCACGCTTGCACGCCCCCCTGGCGCCCTAGAGGTACCGGGACGATTCATGTCGTTCCTGGCCAATCCCTGTCAGATGCTGGCATAGCCCGTATGTAGATCCCCCTGGCGCTACTCAGGGCGAGTGACATTCTCAATGCGCCAAATCTGGTGCCGCACGCATGTCTCTCTTTATTACCGATGCAGGTACGGGCCCCCAAGCCAACGTGTGGAGATGCCTCCTGCGGTCTAGCCTCCATGTCGGCACAGGGTCTCGGGAGCCAATGATGCCCCTGAACGGCCCCAGGAGACCACAGGAAGAGGCGTGGAAACAGGAAACAAATTGAGAAGTTCCCACACCCTCCATCGGTAGTGCCAAGCCATCCATTAATCTCCCTATCCCTCCGTATTTGATCCTGCTCCTCCCTCCACCCTCTCTCTCCGAGTGATTTTGTGCTTTGTCAACTGGTTTCCATCTTCCCGGAAGCGACAAGCTAGCCACTCATTGTCTGGTGATATCTCACCAAGCCGCTCATTTGCACAGCATTCGATTCAGTGAAGGCGCTTCATTGTTGGGGTTATTTCAACTGGATTGCCACGTTCATTTCATTGCTATTGTCCGCCGCCTCGAAGTCAGCCAAAGTACATAACTAGGATCGATCCGTGACGATATTGACGACCGTTGTTCAAAAGCGTTGTTCAGATACCCCCAGCATTTTCAAGCATAGTTCGGGCGTTTCGACAAGATGAAGTACACCGCCGCTGTTCTTCTGGCCTCGGCCGCTGCCGTCAGCGCCGATTGCGCTACCACCAGTTACGAGGAGGGCGGAAACTGGTTCTGCCAGGCTGTCAACCAAATCAAGTACACGAACCTGGCCGCCAGCGGCTCCTACAAGGCCGTCAGCTCCATGTCCTCCTCTGGAGACTGCTCTTTCTCTGACAAGGCCTACTCGGGTGCCATTGCTCCCTTCGACGAGGAGGTGAGGATAGCAGCAAGCGCTCGTTGAGACCAAGTAATGCTAATATAAACTACAGCTCTCTGTCCACGTCCGTGGCCCTACCCAGCTGAAGTCGTTCGCTGTGTACAAGCCGGCCGCTACCAAGAAGCGTGCCGAGCACAAGTCTCACAGACGTCACGGCCACCAGCACCTGCACAAGAAGGCCGCCGAGGGCAAGCAGGAGGAGGCCCGCGCTGTTGGTGACGACGTTATTGCCACCATCAACGGTCAGGTTGTGTCCTGGAAGAACACCTGGGACGGAAAGACGGCCGCCGTCGCTGACTCGAAGGCTGCCGCCACTACCTACCCAGCAGCAGCCACCACTGCCGCCACGTCCAGCAAGACCACCAAGGCCGCAAGCACTGCTTCCACCTCGGCCGACTTCGACGCTGCCGGCGACTACACCCGTGTCGCGTACTACAGCGCCGAGGACCAGACCGCCGATGGCATCACTTTCCTCGGCAACTACGGTGGCCAGGGATCCGGTGTCTTTGACAAGTGAGTGAAAATCAACTCGCTGTGAACTTGTGGTTCACCGCGACTAACACGTCGATGCAGCACCTGGGGCAACAGTTTGTCTTACCTTAGCGCCGACGGTACCAGCGGTGCCGCTTCGTCCGAGATCCTCAGCAACGTTCTCGTTGGCGACAACAAGGAGTACGCCATCTTCGCTGACACCGAGTGTGCTGATGGAGATGAGGAGTGCGGATACGCCCGCCCTGGCTCCGTTGCCTACCGTAAGTAGCAGATAACTTATGATCTACGGTCTATGTATGCTAACAGGTGCTAGACGGTTTCGGTGGCGCCGACAAGGTCTTCCTGTTTGAGTTCCAGATGCCTGCCAGCGGCAAGACTGGCTGGAACGAGGACATGCCCGCTATCTGGCTCCTGAATGCCAAGATTCCCCGTACTGGCCAGTACAGCTCGTGCTCCTGCTGGGGCAACGGTGACGGCTGTGGTGAGGCTGATGTCTTCGAGGTTCTCGCCTCCGGTGACACCAAGGCCAAGTCCACCTTCCACTTCCTGAACTCCCTCGGAAGCTCCGACTACTTCGACCGCCCTACCAGCAAGTACATCAAGCTGGCCGTTGTCTTCCAGGCCTCGTCCGAGACCGCCTCGATCAAGATCATTGACGACTCGGTTGACTTTGCCTCGTCTCTCTCGGCGACCACCATTGAGTCTTTCGTCAATGATGATGGTGACAGCCTCCTGTCCACCATCATGTCCTTCCTGTCTGGTTAAATCCAAGGGTAGCATGAAAGGCCGGGTGCACGCGCGTGGTGGATGAATTTATTCCTTTTTACTTTTTTTTGGATATCGATCGTGTTTGATTCGTGTCTATTCTTGGGTGTCTTGTCTTATTGCTCCCTCAAGATCATCCTACACCTATTATATGCGCAAGCGAACCTATCAATGTCTGATTCTCACAGCATATAATGTTTGGTGTTTTGTACCCTCAGTCAAATTCAAAGTCGTTCGATAACCCCAAAGCCTACACACGAGTGGCCGCGCATCTGTTTTGCTTTCGCGCGCATGGCTGGTTCCTATCTCGTTGCCTCGCAGCTATTCCCGTAAAATTTTTCCAACAGACTGGTTATTGTTGATGGGACTCTGTCATGACCCAATTGTGCCCTCGTCGCAGTGCTTATACTCCGGTCAGATGACTTACCGGAACGTATAGTTGAATGTATAGTCAGGCGTAGACTAGGCTGTGGACCTTGAAGTGCGACGAAAGCCTAGGGAGCTCTGAACCTAGTTTGCGGCGCACCAACCTAGTAGGATGAGGACTGGCTTCAAATTTTACTCCGGCAATTGGGAGGCTTGCAGTATGCAGGGGAAATCAGCGTGGAAATCTACAGAAAAGCTTCAGTCATCTCTGACTAGTCGCATTATGCAGAGTCATCCAGAGCGACATTCCTGCTCGCATGCTGTTAATAGCGACGCGGTGGGGAATTGTTGGTTGATTGATCAGCTTGAGCAAGCAGGTCGGACGCTCGCGTTTTCGGCCTTTCGCGCGCTTACTGAGATCCTGCGGTATATATCCAAGGCTTATCGATAACCAAACCTACCTGCTCTCGCCTCTTCCCATCAACCCACCAGAAGCCGACACCCGTAACGATGTCAGCCAAGAATGCTGCCGAGCCCCTAAAGTTGGCAAACTCGAGCTAGCGTTGCCGAAATGCCGGTTTACCAGAACGCACCTGTATACTTATCGTCTCTGAACGAAGCAATGAATAACATTTCTTCGAGTTGAAAGATAACGTGAAACGGGGAAATTCCCAATGCAATCAACATTGCCAAGTTGTCGATCAGTTCGAGCCCAATATCGCGGAGACTGCATAGGTGTGCGCAACGTTCACCGTTTTCCAGGCGCTAGACTTACACGGACGGCTAACAACTAGTCGGAGTGTAAAGCCCCCGAATCAGACATAGCACAGCCTTATTAACTCACACGAGGCTCCTCCCTGGTGACCGGAATGGCCACTCACACAGCTCAATTCCTTGCATTTGCGATAAGCCTTGCGCCAAACTGCCTCGCTCAAGTGTGATTCCAAGAACCTGGGCACCTTGGCGAGCCCCCTCGGTCGGCCTATAAGACATATCGTCTTTCTTGGCCTGGGTCCCGGCCAAGCCTCACGATGCAGGAGGCTGGCTAATGCGCCGAAGAACCGTAACATCTTCGAGAAGACCCCTCCATCTGGGAGAGGTATGACGAGCTTTCCAACAGGGCGTTTTCGCCAAGGATGCGTGATCCTGATGATGCTCGTTGGCTACAGGGTCCAAAAGTGTTGAGCATTCCGGTACTTAAAGTCTTGACTATCCCATGCGGGGTGACATAGTTCTTGTCTTTGTTTACTCAGTCGCCCATGTGAACTTCTTCCCCCCTTGGCCTCGACTTGAAGAATCCGAGACCTGAGAAGCAAGATGGGGAAGCCAAATCCCCTCGACGGCCATGTCTCTGGTCAGTCCAACAGGCCCATCTCGAAGCCTGCCCACAGCTTGCCCTACGCCGACGTGATACGAGAATTGGGTGTAGACGGCGATGACGGGCTTACTACCTCAGACGCAGAGAAGAGACTCGAGGAGTTCGGAAACAATGAACTCGACAACGGGCCGGGTGTCAACCCGACCAAGATCATCATCAAGCAGGTCGCCAATGCCATGATGCTGGTCCTCATACTCGCCATGGCCGTCTCGTTTGGAATCAAATCCTGGATCGAGGGCGGCGTAGTGGCTGCTATCATCATTCTTAACGTGGTAATTGGGTAAGCCTACTCTTGAGCAGTGCGCCCCTGGATCGCGTCAGCTAATCCGACACAGGTTTATGCAGGAATACAGCGCCGAAAAGACAATGGATTCTCTCCGTTCGCTATCTTCGCCGACGTCGCATGTTGTCAGAGGCGGCCAGAACGTCACGGTACCCACGATCCAGGTCGTGCCCGGCGATATGGTCGAGCTTAAGACCGGAGACACTATCCCAGCCGATATCCGATTGACCGAGGTCATGAACTTTGAGACGGATGAGGCCTTATTGACTGGAGAGTCTCTCCCGGTCCAGAAGGTAGTCGACGAGACATTCGATCCAGAGCTGGGCCCCGGCGACAGGCTGAACGTTGCCTTCTCTTCCAGCACTGTAACCAAAGGCAGAGCAAAAGGCATCGTCTTTGCCACTGGCATGTTCACAGAAATCGGCACCATTGCCGCCGCCCTGCGCGGCGGGAGTTCCCGTATCCGAGAGCCCAAGAGAACCCCAGAGGGCAAGGTGAAGGCTCACCGACGGGCGCAGGCGTGGGCGCTCACCGGTAAAGACTTTATTGGTACTTTCCTCGGTGTCAACGTCGGGACGCCACTGCAGCGCAAGCTATCCCAGCTCGCCATTGGCCTGTTCTTTATTGCTGTGGTCTTCGCGATCATCGTGCTGGGCGCCAACCGTTTCGTGAACCAGCAGGAGGTTATTATCTACGCCGTGGCAACCGGTCTTTCCATGCTGCCGGCCTCCCTCATCGTCGTCTTGACCATTACCATGGCAGCCGGGACGAAGCGCATGGTGCAGCGCCACGTCATCGTGCGGAAGCTCAACGCTCTGGAGGCACTCGGTGCCGTCACTGATATCTGCTCGGACAAGACCGGCACCTTGACGCAGGGTAAGATGGTCGCCAAAAAGGCCTGGATACCATCACGGGGTACATACGCCGTCGGGGAAACTGGCGAACCGTTCAACCCCACGATGGGAGCATTATATTTCAACACTGGCGCACCTGACGAGGCAGACTCATCAGACGATGAGGTTCCCCCTGACCAGGATGACAGTAAATCGGCCGAGGAGCTGCTGGCAGACAATGGACCTCTGGAGGAGTTCCTCAAGGTCGCATCCCTCGCCAACCTCGCTTCTGTCTACAAGTCCCACGAGGGCGAGGGCTGGACTGCCCGAGGCGACCCGACCGAGATCGCCATCCAGGTCTTCGCCTCGCGCTTTGGCTGGAACCGCCGCGGCCTGATGGAGGGCGACGACGCCAAGTGGCAGCTGATCACCGAGTACCCGTTCTCGAGCGACGTCAAGAAGATGTCGGTCATCTTCCAGCAGAAAGGCAGCGACACCAAGTACGCCTTCGTCAAGGGCGCCGTCGAGCGAGTCCTCGAGGCTTGTGTCGACGTGGACATGGATGGGCAAGGGAAACCCACTGCGCTGACTGAGGATCTGAAGACCGAGGTTCTGGACAACATGGAGTCCCTGGCATCCCTGGGCCTGCGTGTTCTCGCTCTGGCCTCCAAGGTCCACGATGGCCCCAGCAGCACCAGCGATGAGGACCGCGCACAGGTCGAGAGCGGACTAACTCTCCGCGGCTTGATCGGTCTGTTCGACCCGCCACGTCCCGAGTCCAAGGGCGCCGTCAAGCGATGCCACCAGGCCGGCATTGGCGTGCACATGCTGACGGGTGACCACCCCGGTACCGCGCTGGCTATTGCCAAGCAGATTGGCATCGTCCCTGACCGGCTGAGCGAGGTCAGCAAGGAGATGGAGGCCGCCATGGTCACCACAGCCGCCAAATTCGATAAGCTCTCCGATGACGAGATCGACGGGCTACCCGTCCTGCCGCTGGTGATCGCGCGGTGTGCGCCTCAGACCAAGGTTAGAATGATTCAAGCGTTGCATCGTCGAAAGCTCTTCGCGGCCATGACTGGAGACGGCGTGAACGACTCGCCATCGCTGAAGCACGCCGACGTCGGTATCGCTATGGGACAGGCCGGTAGCGATGTGGCCAAGGACGCGTCGGATATCGTGCTGACGGATGACAACTTCGCCTCGATCCTGAACGCCGTCGAAGAAGGCCGCCGAATTTTTGACAACATCCAGAAATTCGTGCTGCACTTGCTGAGCCAGAACATTGCCCAAGCTTGCACGCTGCTGATCGGTCTCGCCTTCAAGGACTCCAACGACCTGTCCGTGTTCCCCCTATCGCCAGTCGAGATCATGTGGGTCATTATGGTGACGTCTGGGCTTCCAGATATGGGACTCGGACTTGAGCAGGCGGCACCGGATATCCTGGACCGGCCGCCGCAGAACCTGAAGCGCGGCATCTTCACGACGGAGCTCCTGGTCGACATGGCGGCGTACGGGCTGTGGATGGCGGCGCTGTGCCTGTCGTCGTTCTCGCTCGTGACGTACCGCTGGGGCAACGGGATCGAGGGCACCAACTGCAACGACGCGTGGTCGCCCGAGTGCGACACCGTGTTCCGGGCGCGCGCGACGTGCTTCGTCTCCATGACCTGGTTCTCGCTGTTCCTGGCGTGGGAGCTGATCCACTTCCGGCGGTCCTTCTTCCGCATGCAGCCGGGGAGCCCGCGGTACCTGACACAATGGATGCTCGACGTGTGGCGCAACAAGTTCCTCTTCTACTCGGTGCTGTTCGGCTTCGCCTCCGTCTTCGTCATCCTGTACGTGCCCGTCATCAACCACGACGTCTTCAAGCACACCGGCATCACGTGGGAGTGGGCCATTGTCATCGTCGAGGCCGTCCTGTTCTTTGGCGGCATCGAGGCCTGGAAATGGGGCAAGCGCGTCTATTACCGGCGGACGGCGAAGAAGGCTGGAGGCGGACAGCGACGGAGGCTGAGCAGCGTTGTGTTTGACGGTTATCTTGATAAGCAGGACAGCAGGCTTGAAGCTACAGCTTCTGAGGATGAGCGCCGAGCCGCAGTGGAGGAGAAGGCGTAATTACAAGACATAATTAGGCATAGAAGTATGAAGCAATGATTTAGTAATTGAGCATGTTATGAATTCACTTCAGAATATCTTAATAAGGGAGGAATTGACCGAAAGCCATGTCATTAAGAAATGCTAGATCGATGCATCAACTTTATAGATGAGGTAGAGTAAGGACGACTGGAAATGAAATATCCCACGTCGTATCGCGGATCGTGAGTGATCCTTTCACACTGATAGTGGATTGTCACTCGTAACGCACATGATATCTTTTAACTGATTTGTTTTGCTGACTTGAGCTATAATATATACAGAGAGCTTTCTTGAATAGCTCATATGATTTTACTTCGGGTATCTGTCATGTACAACTACGATGTACAAACTGTTTTGTACAACTGTTTGAGCGGTTTAGTCCGACTCTACTACGCCACCCTGGTGACCATCCGACGAGGATGGCACGTCGCCCTTGAGAGTTCCATCCGGAACGTGGCTACCATCCCAGCTGGCGGAAGTGATGGGGTTGACGCGCAGCAAGTACATGGTGTCGATCTCCTCCAAGCTGCGATCCTTGGTCTCGATCATGAAGAAGAAGACGATAAGGACAAGAGCGGCACAGCAGCCAGCAAAGACCAAACCGTACCAGTAGTCGATGGCATCGGTAATGAAACGAGTGCTGTGTCAGAGTCAGTATGAGTTTTCATTATGATGTGATCAGAGACGGGGGTCCTTACAAGAAAGAGATCATGAAGTTCCAGAACCAGTTGGAGGCAGTGGCCAGAGCCATGCATGGTGCTCGGTAACGTGCAGGGTACATCTCGGCGACGGCAGCCCACACAATGGGACCCCAGGTGGTCGCGAATGCAGCGATGGCCAAGCAGGAGAAGACGATGAGAACCGAGCCAGCAGCAGGAGTTCTGGAGGGGTCCTCATGGTCGAGCGAGTACTGACCGACGAAGGCGTAGATGAAGAAGCAAATCATCATCCAGCCAGCACCCGCGATAAGAGCCTTTCTGCGTCCAACCTTCTGCACAACGTACAGACCGGCGAAGGTACAGACCACGTTGACGGTACCGAGGATGATCTGAGTAACGTAACTGTTGTCAAGGCCGGTGGCCGCGAAGACGGTAGTACCGTAGTAGAAGAAGAAGTTGGCACCGGTAAGCTGCTGGCCCATCTGGAGAATTATACCGAGGATGGTTCGGTAAAGCATGCGAGGACCGGTGAAGATCTCAGTCAACTTGGCCTTGCCGGAAGCCTTCTCCTCATCCAGCTTGGCGCGGATCTGGGAAAGCTGGTCGCTGACGGAACGGTGGTGGGGGTCGACTCCAGCAAGACCGGCGATAGTCTGGCGGGCCTCCTCCTCACGACCACGCGTGAAGGCAAACCGAGGGGACTCGGGGAGGAACAGCACGCCAACTCCCAGGATGAGAGCCCAGAGGAAACCGAGACCGTTGGGAATACGCCAAGAGCTGCTGTTGAGCTTGGCCTCGGTACCGAAATCAACCATGTTGGAAGTCCAGATACCGAGGGTGATGAAGAGCTGGTAGGTTGAGACCAGAATACCACGGATCAGAGCCGGGGCACTCTCGGATTGGTACATTGGGACGACGACACTCAGGGAGCCGATAGAGACACCGGTGACCAGGCGACCGATGGCGAACTGGTACCAGACGTGCTCGGAGGAGATCTCGATGACGGTTCCAACACAAGCCCACAAAGCAGACACGCAGATGGCCATGCGGCGTCCAAGTGAATCGGCAATGTTACCAGCAACTAGAGCTCCAACCAAACATCCTACAGGAAGCAGACCGGTGATAGTACCCTGGCGGGTGGCGCTGAACTCGTACTTTCCAGTGGCCTCGTTAAGTTGACCGAAGCGCTCGGCAAAGTCATGCATCAAGAAGAAGCCGGAAATCTGACCACTGAAGAGGGCGTTGGTTAGCAGATGCCAAGGCACCTGGGCATGGTTATTGGGTGTCTTACCTGACGTATCCGAACATGAAACCACCAATACTGACGACAATACCGAGGAAGACCGCCTTGAAGGTGACTCTCTGGTGCTTAGCAGCCGGCACGGTCTCCTGCTCAGCCTTGACCCCATTGGAAGGGGAGTTTGAGGATTCGACCTGATCGGCCTGGCGCTTGAGGAACGGCATCTTGTCAAGTCTCCTGTGAATAAACGGATGGAAGGACTAAAACACCAGGAACTGGATGTTGGGGAAGCAAAGTCGGGGGAGGAGAGGAGGAGAGGAGAGCTTTTAAATATGGGCAACTCTAACGACGGGTACCCACGATGGCCCTCGGGGCTCCGCGTGCCCACACAGGAGATGTTGCGTGAGAGTACCGCGACTCGTGGGGCTCGTGGATATCTTCTAGACGTCACACTACGAAGTACCAAGGGAATGGGACAGGGAAACGAGTCTTGGGACCTGCTCACCCAGCCGGGTAGTATGGGGACTGGCGGTGGATTTGCATTAGGACGCAGCTGATCGGGGACCCTTGGCCATGTCGGCCGTTCCGGGTTCTGCCGTCACGTCACTCGACCGCAGGCAGCCCATAATAGTATATCAAACCTTTTTTTTTTCCCTTTCCGCTTGGGGGCGGTTTTTTTTTTTTATTCCCTCGAGCGATCATAGAGAAGTACCGGTGCTAACTGGCGGTTTGGCGACGCACGCCGAGTCACGGGGGACCCACCGTGTTTCCCGATTTGGACCACGCTTGCCTCGTTTTCAGCCCTATCGTGAGCAGCTCTTCGACGACGTCCCTTCCTCTTCCTGAACCTCCAATCTCTCCCGCGACTTTGCGAAAAGAGCTGCCCCCATCGCCAGACCGAGGAATTATCGCGGATTGCCAATTGATTGTAATCTCGGCCGTTCTCAGCAAGCAAAACAGCCAGAGAGCGGTGGGCTTCTTAGGGTGACCGAGTAATGAACCGAGAGTCGGTCCTGTTATGGATCAAAAGCGGCTCTGCTGCTTTATCAGATAAGCTCGAGCCTCGCGTCTCAGCGCTGCCGTCTGCCGTTTCGGGCGGCCCTGGATTGGCGAGCTCGCGCATTGACGTCATGCTCGACCGACAATCTTGCGGTCGCGGGCAGAGAATTTTAGAGTTTTGCAGATTTTCGCCCGCGCCCAGTCGCCGGGCCTCTGGTGTCTTTGCCTGCCACGGTGTTGCCATTGTCGCGTAGCCGTCTTGGCCTTGGCCACCCAGAGGTCGCTACCAGTAGCGATCACCCGATGGACGGCTCTCCCGGCCCCTTACCGGGCGCCGTTGAGGGAAACTGTGGTTCCGTAATTCTCTGCGACGCCACGAGCCGTCAACAGATCCATGAATCTCGAAAACCCCCGAGCTGGGTGGGGGCCTGCTCCGTAATAGTTGCTCGATATTTCTGCACGATGGGTACCACCGCACGGCATCGTCTTCGGCCTCTCTGGGGCTCCATGGGCCCTGGGTAATAACCCACTAATTAAAGCGCTCCATGCATGGTTGGGAATGAGGAGCAAGAGGAGACTCCTCGGGGTCGTGTGATCACGCAGAAATCTCCCCGGGGATTGCGGGCGTGCTTTCGCGGAGTAGGTATGGGACGAGGGGATCTCGAGGTCCGAGAGCACCACCGTGGCCAGATGGACTGAGGTCTTGATGCAGCTCGTGAGTGGGTCCGGATGTCGTTATACATAGTACATAGTATCCTTCGGGTTGGCCTTCTAGTCCGGGACGACGAGACCACAAAACACATGATGGCGCCCGCCACCGGTTACCCTACTCGCATTCTGTAGGCTTTTTTTTTTTTTTTTTTTTTGCCTTTACTCTGTCGGTTGCAAATGGAACGGTTTTTTCCCACAGGAAAGTCCCAGACGCTATTCCCGTCGACTAAAGCCGAGCTACATCCTCAAGACTACCGTAGCAGCACTACTGACTTAACTACCGCCTAATGTATCTGCATACCATTCCATGTATCCCCATCTGCGGCCACTGGCGAGATGGGGATTAGAGGGTCGCTACGATCCTGGCCTTTCGCCATCTCGTACTGCCGAGTAACATCATGCCAGAGTTTCGTGATCCGGCTGATGAGCTTCCTATTGTCGATCATGTGCGCTGTCGTGGCCCATTGAACATATGAGCGAACATTTGCGCTGTTCGACCACCTGTGTTGAGGTGCATCTGATTGCATGAGCATGCATGCATGCAAGCCCAGCACACGAACCGTTGCATCCAGTGGCACGCAGGGTCGTATCGCCCGCAGCGTGTTGCATGGCTTGGGCAGGTGCACCGGCCGACGGAAATCTTCGCGTTATCCCCTATCCTACCAACAATTGAGGCCAATTCATGAGGCACGTATCACCAGACATCGTGCTACCTTTACATATCCCCTGAACAAGGTCTGGGAATGCGGCAAGCCCCCTGTTCACGTCCGCCCTGGGCCGTTATCCAATCAGGATCGGAGCTACGTTGGCATCCTTCCGCATCTGGCTTGATCTGGCTGTTCTGGCGATGTGGAGTAAATAGAACATTCTAGCCCCGAAAGAGCTCTCTACAGTGCCACAGCACATAGTTACGCCTGCCTCGAGGTAGCAGGATTTCTTTTGTACCTGCTAAAGCCCAATTTCTCGGTTTAATTGCCGTTCATTCATCTACTGTCTTTGAAAATGTCACTTAGTATACCCAGGCATTCGTCAATTTGAAGGGAGTTATCTCCCAGTACTACGCCAGAAGACTGCGGTCGATCGATAGACCACCGGGGAAACGTGTCTGACCGGCGTCCAGGGACTTGGCTCGAAGTGGGCCGGCGGTACGATGGCGTGTTTGTTGTGCCTACATTGAGTCCAAAGGTGGTAATACATCAGGTGGCGATGCATTCTTGAGCATTGACGCGCGACATCGTAGTATAGAGATACTTGATCAAATTGAGTACATGGGCGGTTTTTTACGACGCAAATAGAAATATAGCGTGCCTTTGCATTAATCAAAAGGTTGAAGAACACGTCCTGCTTGCATCTCAAGTGTATTTTTGCGAAATATGAACCACTTGCTACGGTTATTGATTGGTTTCTGCTTCGCTCTTTGGGAGTGCCTCGTTCGCTTTGCAATGCGTGTGTTCCGGCGGATCATGTTCAGTCAACCCTTGGATATGTAAGACAATAATATCGCCATGCTGATCTATGATGTTGACGGATATGGCTTGGTCGTCAGTTCGAGCATCTACCCGGATCGGCCCCTCAAGAATTGAGGAGGTTTATATCCTGGTCATTAATTGATCTTAATCGTCACGGACTATAATCATCCAGAGTGGCCTATCGCGACTGAAATACTGTGCTACCGTCGTGTAACATTTATGAGGACTCCAGTACTAAAAATATCAAGATTTTTTGTTGATAGAGATTTAGACCTGCAATCCGGTAATTATTAGAATCCAAGAAGGAGTGTTTCGGCATATGTCTCATCCCTCCGCTCTCTGATCGCTTTTCCTTCATCAATTCATATTGTTGATAGCATGGCTCACTCTTGAACGCAAAGACACTTCTTGCTCTCAATCAATCATGGTGCTCTAAGAGTATTGCCCCAATCCACACGGCAAACGTTCGATCCTACGGGCGGCATAAGAATGTGGATATTTATGATTGAGAATGTTGTCTACTGGGCATAGAGTCGTCCATAACTCGAGGTTCTAGTGCCCAACAATGGCGGCATATGTGCCAAGTCCAGAATTAGCATACAGTCATGTGACTGCTTCTTGTAGAATTAACCAAAACTGCTAGCATACTACTAAGTTTACGACAGCCTCTAAACAAGAGAAAAAGAAAACCATCGTAGACATCTTCCAAGTCGATGGCAAGGCTCTGAATATCACGAATATTTATTGTCTCAATTGGGCCCCTCAAACCGTAGCCAGGTAGATCCAAGAACGTCTACAACATGAAAACGCGCCCGCGAATCACCACCATCCTACCCTGTTCCGATATGGCCTCTGCCATCCAGTTCTTCATCCGTTTGGGCTTCACAGCTCCAACTCAGGCACAGCTCAGTGAGTGGGACCAATATCTTTGTCTATCTCACCCCAACGGATCCGACATCCATCTCCGCCAACTCGGAATGGACGAGGAAGGGTGGCTGGTGCCGACCAAGAACTCATTCGGCATCTACGTGTATTCTGAGGACGTGGAGGCCCTGGGTGTGGATTTTGCCGACGAAATCATCGAGGCGGGCAAGAAACCCGAGGTGAAAGAATGGGGTCTGCTTGAGTTCAGCGTGAATGGACCTGATGGATGTCTCGTCCGAGTTGGGTGGCCGGCCGATGAGATTGAGAAGAAAGCGGCGGCCTGAACATGTTTCTCTATCCGGCAAGTCAAGCCTTCTCCACTGGTCCTAAGATCTTTTTTGGCCGTCTGACCCTTTCGCTTCTCGGGGGTTAGGGGCTGCTGAATACCAACGTATCAGTACAAAGTATCAGTGAATAGCAAGAATGTGCATTACCAGACAAAGCATCTTTCTCCACATAGATAAAGTCGCATATTTCTGCAACGTGCACCGACTCCAGCCCGGTGGACTTTCTTTATCTGACGGCCAACCATCCGCAAGGGTTTCCTCGAGGAGGCTCGCGGCGCATCACTGAGTTCGAACTTGGAGCCGGCGGGTCTCGCCTGTTTGACGGCAACTATAAATACATTGAGTCCACCGAACGTCAGATCGCCGCTCTCTATGGCGGTAAGATAGCGTTCCTCTACTACTCAGAATTTAGGCTAACATGACCCATCATGACTGCGGTAGCACGCCCTGGTGACACCACATTCTCTCCACTGGGCTTCCCGAACCGGCCTATAATAGCATCCTGCTGTCCCAAGCTGCCCGGGTTAACGAATTTCATGTACAAGTAGCGGTATTTTAGGAGTTGCATGTTTTGTTCACTTTGTTCTCAACTGTCACAATAGAGACGGAATGCGAACATGACCACCGCGGGACTGCGTGGTTTACCAAGGCCTTCTCAGTAAGCAATCGCACTGAGGCAATTCAAAATATGATTTGGCCTGGAGTAGAGTGAAATCGTTTCGCAGCCTCGCAGGGCCGCACATAGAAGTCTATTACCTGAGCCTAGCCTTCCTCCCTGCCCTACCAACCACCCACCTAGTCTATCATGGAACTTCTGGGTCCGAGGGGGAGTGGAATGTATAATATGCTGAAATTAAAATCGAAGCCCCGGGGAGGGAAAAATCACTGGTATCACGTCTCTCCCTCTGTCTCTATCCCCCCTTGCGCGTCATCGCCATCGCCATGCCCGCAGAACTACGACTTCTCCCGGGGCAGGTTGGCGGCCTCGGCGGGCTCGGGCTCGTGAGCGTCGTGCTTCTTGTCCTTTTCCTTGCCCTTCTTCTTGGAATCCTTCTCCTTCTCCTTCTTGATGGCGGCCTCGGCGACGAGCTGCTCGAACGCCATGTACTCGCCCTCCTCCTCGGGCGATCTCTGGGCCTGTGAAAGGGGAACGGAGGTGTTAGTTGTCTGTGCTTACTTACTTCCTTTTCAAGAAGGGACCGGAGAAGACATACCTTTGAGCAGATGTCGGCGATCAGCACCAGCGCCTGGGCTCTCTCCAGCCGCTTGTTCAGCGGCACCTTCTTGTCGTTCAGGACGCTGTCGCACACGTCGCGCAGCACGCTCTGGATCTCGAACTTGGACCCCCTCCAGGCCGCCGTGAGGATCTTGCCGGTGACCCGCCTCTCGTACTCGACCTTCTTCTCGTCGGTCCAGTCGTCGCCGCCGGCCTGCTCCAAGCGAGCCATCTCCTCCATGGTCTGCTGAGCGTCCAGCGCGCTGGAGATGGTGTTCCAGGTGTCCTTGACCAGGGTGCCCTTGTCGCGCATGCGGCTGAAGAAGCCGCCGATGCCCAGGAACTTCTGGCTCTTGAGCAGGCCGGTGGCCTTGCTCATGTAGACCTGGCCGATGGCGTGCAGGATGTCGAGGCCGAAGCTCTCCATCTTCAGGTTCTCGACCTCGATCCGGATCTTCTCCTGGAAGGCGTGTGTGACGTCGGGGCCCTTGTCCGTCTCGGTCCACACGCTGATCCGGTCCTGCAGCTTCTGGACCAGGTTGCTCACGCGCTCCTCGCGGATCTTGGCGCGCTCCTTCTCATAGGCGGCCAGCTGCTCGCGCTGCTCCTTGCTGAGACCCCCCTTCTTCTTTTCCTTCTTGCGCAGCTCCTTCTCCTCCTCCGTCTGGCCCGCCAGATGCGTGTCGTCGCTCGGCCGGTCCATGAGGGCCGGGCGGATGGGTATGGCGTGCCTGGAGGGGGTGGATGCGCCGCTCGGGGCGGGCGACTTTTCGCGTTTGTAGGGCGGCGGCGCAGCCGGTTCCGGGGCAGTGCCCGCAGACGCCGCTTCGGCCTTCTTCGTCTCCTTTTCTTCTTCGACGTGGACGGCGGGGACCTTTGGTTCTGCGGCAGGGGCCTTGGCGTCCGTAGCAGCCGACTCCTTGGCGCTCTCGCGCATGGCGTCCTCGGTGCCGGGGAACTCGTCGTCACCGCCAGCGGCGGCGGCGGCGGCAGCAGCAGCGGCGGCCTCCTCCTCCTCCTCACCGGACATGGTGATGTCCATGGTGGCGGTCAGGTCCTTCATCAGGCTGATCTCGCCGACCCAGTCGATGAAGGCGTCGCCCCCGAAGATGCTGGAGAAGAACTCGGCCGGGTCGACGAAGCCGTCGCCGGGCTTGGCGCTGTCCTTGCCATACTTGTCGTACGCGGCGCGCAGCTCCTTGTCGGACAGCACCTGGTAGGCCTCGCCGATGACCTGAAACTTCTCGTGGGCGGTGGGGTCGTCGGGGTTCTTGTCCGGGTGGTGCAGGATGGCCAGCTTGCGGTAGGCCTTCTTGATCTCGATGTCGGTGGCGGTGGGCTTGACGCCCAGGGCGTCGTAGTATGCGGTATCTGCCACCATGTCTGCCGGTGTATGTCCTCTCTCACTCTCGCTCACTCGCGCTCTCTGGTGTCTTATCTGTGCTCTTCCGCGGTGTGAGCCTTGGGTTTATCGCGTAGTCGACGGGGTCGGGTGACGAATGCGCCGAATTTCTTTTCCCACGATGACCCGCGATTTGGGGGGGGACACTATGGATGTACAGCTAATCAGCGTGGGGCTTAGCTTCCAAGGCTCCCGTTGCTGGCCCCCGGTGGCGCTTGGGATAATCAAATACAAGTTGTACTTTGGTACTCTGAGGTGCTGTCTGGCGGAACGATGTGAACAAGTGTCCAAGGGAAAAGAAAAGAAAAGATACCAAGTAAGTTCAGCAGGAGAAAGATGACCAGTCACTGTTTATTTATCCCATCGATGTTTTGTCACCCATCGCAAATCCGGACGATTGGCCGCCTGAGGATCGGCAGCACGGCACAGCCTTGGCTGGGCCCCGGGGGGATTACGTCAAGCCTGGGGGCCTTTCTGCGCAATACCGACCAACTTTTCAGACATCAGTAATGGGTGGGTGCAGGATGCCACTTGTCCAAGCTCGATCTAATGTGACCCGAAGAAGTTCGCATATAATATCGACTGGTCCCAAGTGCGTTGTATATACTACGTAGTTGGTGTTTTACCGTAAACAATGTCCTAGATACCCAGGGTTTCTATATCCAGTACCAAGTGTTTGGGTTCCCTCACCGCCTGAGCAAAATCAACAACACCCAGCCCGACCGTGGACTGGACTGAGCTTGTGATAGCGCGGGGCACGCGTTGTGTTGCGTTGCGTTGCCAGGACAGGCAGGACCCTGGACCCCACTATGAGTTCGTATCAAGGCGCTTCAAAGCCACGTGCATGCATACCTCTCAATAGTCCTACTAGAGAGCCCGACTTGGGAACATCATAGCTATTGATTGAATGCCTCAGAAAATCACAGGCTGGTCAACGATCAGATCCGTTATAATACCACGGGTCATACGTATCTAAAAGTACGCTGCGCGCCTAAATTGGGATAACTGCACGGAGTATATCACAGCGGCTTTCCGGTCACCCTTTCGCTGAGGCACTCCTAATCAAACTCGGACGCGAAAATTCTTGGTGGCTTTGGTTTCTGCTTTATTTCATTACGAGTTGACGTTTCAATTGCTGCTCAAGCACTTTTCAGCAAAAAAAAAGTCCAACTACATGTCTCCAGGCGGAGATGTCGTGAAGAAAATATGCCCGCTTGCATGCCCTTAGCCCCCTTTTGTTTGTCGGCATGTGTCTACTGAACCCCTCCCGCCTTCATTCTCTCAAAGCACTGTCTGTAGGCAGTGTGGATCTCGGGCACGGTGATTCCGTACTCCTTGAGCTTCTTCTCCAGCTTGGTCGTGTCCAGCAGGCAGTTGCTTCGGCCCGCCTTGATGACCTTGGCCTGCTCCTCGACCGAAAAGTTCTTCCAGGTAAAGTCCGGGCGGATGATCTCCTTGAAGAGCGAGAGCACCTCGTTGTGGCTGATGGCACCGGGGTTGGTAAAGTTGTAGACGCCCGTGTCCTGGTGCTCGGCCATGACGATGGACGCGGGGAGGAGGTCGGTGAGGATCGAGTTGCTGTTCGGGATATCGACGACGCGCTCGTACTTGCTGATCTTGGTCACAAAGTTCCGAGAGTGGAGGTCGTCCGAGACGGGCATCCGCAGACGCAGGATGAGGCAGTTCTTGTAGAACTTCATGACCTAAAGAAGGGAGGTTAGTTGGGCATCTGGCACGCCACCCATCCGGGGAGCTTACCTCCTCAACGTGGCCCTTTGTCTCCGAGTAGAAGCTGCCCTTGAAGTTGGCAGGGTCGGTCTCGGTGTAGCCGGGGCCGCCAATGGGGTGGGCGTCATCGTAGTGGTAGATGCAGCCGGTGGCAAAGACGGTGATGTGGATGCCGGCCTGGAAGCAGCAGTCGGTCAAGTTGAGGGTGCCGATGACATTGGACCGCATCGTCTCCTCCTTGTGGTCCTCGCACCAGTCGACATTCGGCCGTCCGGTCGACCCGGCGCAGTTGAAGACGTGGGTGGGCTTGTACTTGTCCAGCACGGCCTTGACGGCCTCGCGGTCCTCCATCCTGACGGTTGTGGTGTAGACCTCCTTGCCCTGTGCCTGCAGGAGGGCCTCCAGGTGGCCGGCGACCCATCCCTTGCCTCCCCAGATGAGGTAGACATTCTTCGAGGTTCCGTTGGCCGTCATCGTGTTCGTGTGGTTGTGTCCGGGGGGGACCGCGGTGGACAGTATGGTATCTGGGGGAGCTTGTGTAAGTCTTGCGGGTTCGGCCGACAGCGCGCGACAATGGAGAGGAAGGACAGAACGACGGATAGTTATAGACACAGGCCAGCTGAGGGGAGATGAAGCGGAAGGGAAAGCAATACGCAGGTCTCACCTTTGTAGTTCCACCGAGGGTGAGACACTCAAATGGTCGTCTGGGTGGCGGTCGCTGGCCGGGTGGGTCTGGGGACGCGTATAGCTCCGTTCTGCGCTTGATTGACCAAGCACAATGCGCAGCACGTTGCTTCTTTCGTGGTGTCTGCTTGCTTTGCGGGATATTGTCAAAGCTGTCAAGTTGTCAAGACAAGAATGGCAGGACCGCGGTCTCGCCCGAGCGCCCTCTCTTTCTTTGCGGATTGATGATCAGGTCGAGGCGGGGAACCTTGAAGCTATCCATGGTCTGGTCTGTAGCGACTGGGAGTTGCAGTTGCACCTTTTCACCAACACGGGACGTCGGCAGCTACGGCTACCAACTGGATGTGCACGGGGAACGAACTAAGTTCAATTACTTGTGTCGGGCAGGTCAACCAGGAAAGGGATTGTCGCATCCAATTACTTTCACCGCCCCGAGAGCGACCAACCGAGTCCCGAGGGACACGGGTCCCCGAAGCCCTTGCTGCGCCGCCCATCCTGTATGCATGCCTACCTACTTGGACATCGCGGTATAAAGATGCAGTCACGCAGTCGTGCTTGGCCATATTCACCCCAGACTGTCGGAGTCGCATTCGATGTAGGGACTGCCGCTAGGTGCGCGAAAAGGATCGAGCCACATGGGAGCCGCGCAACTAGTTTCCACGCTGCATTATTAACCCCGCGAACCATAGTGAGTGTACAACACAGATACGGACGCAGTGCGACGCACCAACCACTGAAATGTGAATGCCCAAAGCTGTGTGTGCATGCCCGGTAGAGGTGCAGTGGGCAGTTGTCCTATGAGACGGCTGAGGTAGATGCGGGCAGTACGATGGCAGCACGCAGGCTTGTCCTTGTCCGGTGTCAGTTACTCCTGACTGGAGTCTGCATCAGGCATGGTCTTGTATTGGATTGCTGCGCTGCAAGTTGCTGTATCTCAGGTGTAATGCCAGCCATGGGCTGGTGCGACTTTAGGCATCTATCCATAGCATTCTTTTCTTCATCAGCTGTGCAGCGAAAGTATAGCACGCCTAGGTATAAATGTACATGTATGTACGGCATCATGATGCACATACGCAATACATGCGCCCGGATGTTAACCGACTCTTCGGTGTGGCCATTGGCCAATGGAGGGGGCGTTGAGTGCTGCACCAGTGCCCGATGCAGTAAAGACCCAAGTTGCCAGCAGGCCCCCCGCGAGCTTCAGGGTGCTTGGGGTGCAGAAGGCCCCTGACGGTCCTGGGCAGCCCGCCCAACCGCCTGCTGATCAGCTACAGGCTAAATAACGGGCCTTGGGCCACGGCACGTTGGCGGATGAAATTAATCCGTCGTCGACTCCTTGCTACCGGGGACGGACTTTGACGACGTGATAATTCTCCTGTCCGCTACAACAACTGACGGGGAAACAGACCGTCTTTCTTGATTGCCAGGCAACCTCCTTTGCTTCCCCGACGCGCTCCCCAAGGACCCTCCCTGCGCCTGCATCAGTCCTCAACGACTTGCGCAGCTTCTGAGCTGCCCGCGCAGAGTTCCACTTTGCAATTTCCGCCCTCAACCCCCTGAACCTTTGCGGTCCAGAAAAAAAAATATTTTAAAGAAAGTTTTTATCACAGTACGCAAAGATGCCTTCCGTAAAGAGCATCCTCTACTACATGTTCCACCCGGAACAGCTCCGGTCCATGATACAATGGCAAGTCTGCGCCCGCGCCCTCGTCGCTCGGCCGAGCACTCTGCTAACCCCCTCCTTACAGGAAGGTCTGGCACGAGCCCGTCTACCGCCGTGATCCCTCGAAAGAGTCCGACACCCTCAAATCATGCTTCCACTACCTCGACCTGACGAGCCGGAGCTTTTCGGCCGTCATCCAGGAGCTGAATCCTGACATGCTCGTGCCGATTGCCCTGTTCTACCTCGTGCTGCGCGGTCTTGACACCATTGAGGATGATATGACGATACCCCTCGAGAAGAAGGAGCCCCTTCTCCGTGGCTTTGACAAGCTCATGAAGATTGACGGCTGGACCTTCACCGAGAACGGCCCCAACGAGAAGGACCGCGAGCTGCTCGTCCACTTTGACGACATCATCGCCGAGCTGAAGAAGATCAAGCCAAACTACTACGAGATCATCGAGGACATCACCATCAAGATGGGCAATGGCATGGCAGACTATGCCATCAAGGCCGAGAATGGCGAGGGAGTCGAGACCGTCGCAGAGTACGAGAAGTATTGTCACTATGTCGCCGGCCTGGTTGGCGAGGGTCTGACAAGGTTGTTCGTCGCCGGAGAGTGGGCAAACCCTGCGCTCAACGACCGCCCCGAGCTCACCGAGAGCATGGGGCAGTTCCTCCAGAAGACCAACATCATCCGCGATGTCCATGAAGACTTCGAGGATAAGCGGCGCTTCTGGCCCACCGCCATCTGGAGCAAGCATGTTGACAAGTGGGAGGACTTGTTCAAGCCAGAGAACAGGGAGAAGGCACTGCAGTGCAGCTCAGAGATGGTGCTGAACTCGCTCAAGCATGCCGACGAGTGTCTGTTCTATATGGCTGCCATCCGCGAACAGAGTGTTTTCAACTTCGTCGCCATTCCCCAGGCCATGGCTATCGCCACGCTTGAGCTGGTGTTCAGGAACCCAGCAATCTTCGAAAGAAATGTCAAGATCACCAAGGGCGATGCTTGCCAACTCATGATTGAGTCGACACAAAATCTCAGAGTCCTCTGCGACGTCTTCCGGAAATACGCCAGGAGGATAGCGAAGAAGAACGACCCCAGGGATCCAAATTTCCTCGAGATCAGCTCCGCATGTGCCAAGATCGAACAGTTCATTGAGACTCTGTTCCCCACACAAGACCCCAAGAAGATTGCTCTGGTTCAGAAGAATTCCAATTCCGAGGACGAGGAGAAGATGGACCCCTGGGAGGGCCTCATCCTCGTTGGTTCCGTGTTGCTAGCTTTGTTTTTGATTTCAGCTTTGATGGTTAGTGACATGTCCCCTCTGTCGGTTGCGTTGTATAGACTAACGTTTTCGCTCAGATCGGCGCTGCATACCTCATGGGTGCTAGATTTGACAAGATGTTCAGCGGAGAACCGTCAAGCCTCGTGCCAGCCGGCTCAAAACCGACGACATCATTACTCGGAGACCACGACGAGTTATAGTTATGACGTGTATACTAATGATTTCTTCTTCGGTCTTGGCGCATCATCCCTGAGGCATTCTCTGCATTTCGGGGCCGCGACGAGGCTGGGCTGCCGGGCCAAATGGATTAGGGCAGCCTTCAGGGCCTAATCACTTACATATGAGATCTCGCGGTCGAATATAATCGGTCTAAGCAACGACAACTAATGAATTTTAATATATACCACGCAGAACACGCCTGGGAAGTATGCGTGTATGCCAGCTCCGTTTGTCTCGACTGATCTTCTTGTGACAGCCACTGCATGCATCAAGCCGACAGGGAAGCCGGGAATGGAGGGAGAGAAGACCTTGTCCAAGGAACGAACGGACCTAGCACGGATGTCAAATTACAATTCAGTCCTCCTAATGACTGTGGTTGTGCCGAGAAGTGCTGATATTGAAACGCGAGGAGTACCGACCTCATGAGGTCGTAGGCACTCGGTGTTTGGCTCCTCCTATTTTTCTGTGGGATGGGCTGAGCGCCTTGGATCGCGGACATACCTTATCCTCGTTGGAGGATTTCCCATCAAAGTTCCTGCGATGGGCCGCAATGCTTGTTTTGTGTCTGTATGCAACTCCGTGAAGTCCTATGTAGACCTCCAACCCTTCCACACAAACTCGTCCCTGAAACGCAGAGCCACGATCCCACCGCAAAGCAACCGAGCAATGTGACGTCGTCTTTGTCCATCCTAGATAGCTCACTGGTTTGACTCCAAACCCAGGACTGCCTGCGCCTCCCTTAGGTAGGGTAGGAATGAGGAGAAAGAATTCAATCAACTTTTTGCATTATGCGTTCCACGTCCTCGCGGTCCTATTGTGCTGACTACAAAATCAAATCAATCCGATGCTCAGGAGCTTCTCCACACTTTTCGCCCCCTTCCCCCCTGGGCATTCGTAGGGGGGCGGATTTCTGTTTTCATAACGCCAAGAGCAGAGCGTCTCCCTCACAGCTGTCTCGTCTCAAGTTGCTTGCGCGTTGCACGTTTGATCCCGGACACGCAAAGCCCGCCGCCCGTCCTCCAACAACCGTTGCGTCCGTCTACAGATCGGCAAGTGGGTGGGTTAGGCACTCGGGGCTCGGTCTTTCGGTCCTTTCTTGCTCTCTTAGTCACAGTCTCTCTCGTTGCCCCTTTGATGCCCGTTGGAGCACGTTAAGAATGGTGTGCTCGGGAGAGGGGTTTAAGCGACATTGATGAGCTGTTCTGCGGAACTTTGCTTACGATTTGCCAGGGGCGGCAAATGCCATGCCCTTCGGATAGGCTTAAATTGCAGTGAAATTACAGACCGAACTGCCCACGACGGTGAGGCTTGGGCGTGAGGCTCTCGGGAGGATTCGTAGGGCGTGTTCTCTCCCCACCTTGGTACGCAGGTCCCAACTCAATGTCCAGCTCAACATGACAAATTAGAGTTGGCGTGTGGCAAAGACGAGCAGAGTTCCTGCAGCACGTGGGAAATGCACAGACGTGGCAAGGTTGCGAGGTCCAAATTCGTGAGATGATCGAGTCGTGACGTCTACACGGACAGAATACCACAGTCAAGATACCATTTCACCACAAGCCAAGGTTTCCTTTTCGTACGTGTTGGGTATATACTTGGTATTAAGTCTACCTCGATGAATATGCACAGTCGATTGAAAAAATGGCTAGACTTCTATATCGTAGATTTTTCGCCCGGAACGCCGCCGGCGCAGGGGGCGTCGCTCTCTCGTTTTATCTGCTCTGCGTCTACTTTGTCTTCTCCTCTCCTCCTTGTCCATCTTGGTGGCCCATCACGGCCCCAAGGCGGGGTTTGGGATGCCGAAAGAGCGTCTCTTCCCCATGAAATCTTTCCTCTTTGATGCAAAAAACGACGTGGCGGCTCTCGCAAAGGTGCTGCTTTGGGGCCCGCGTAAAACCAATGTTTGTTGGATGTGATATAAAAAAACGACGACGCTGAATGATTGGTAGGCAGAATGATGGAGGTGACGATGAACCCGCTTGTAAATTGATTTTGACATGGTAAGGATTGGGGGATGTGATTTTACAAGTTGCCGTTGTTGGCAATGAGGTTGGTGGTGCCCCGGGTGTTGCGGGCAACGCTGGCGCCCGTAGCACCGGCGAGCTCCTTGATGCGGTCCGAGACAGCGGTGACATCAGTCAGGCTCTCCAGAGACATGAGGTAGGCGGCCAGGCCGGCGATGTGAGGCGAGGCCATGGAGGTACCGGACAGGGTGTCGGTGGCCGAGTCGCTGGTGATGCCAACACTCTGGACGTTGACACCGGGGCCGAAGATGTCGACAACGGCGCCAAAGTTGCTGAAGCTGGCCTTGCGGTCGTTGGTCTGGTCGATGGCACCGACGGTGATGGCGTTCGGGGACGAGGCAGGGCTGACGTTGGCAGCGTTCTGGTTCTCGTTTCCGGCAGCGACGACGGGGACGACACCAGCAGCGGCAATGGCCTCGACGGCAGCGTTGACGGCAGCAGACTTAGAACCACCCAGGGACATGTTCATGACAGCCTTGCCACTCAGGCCCTTTGCCTTGGCGTCGGAGGCGACAAAGTTGAGGCCGTCAATGACGCCGGAGTTGGTGCCACCACCATCGGCATCGAGAACCTTGACTCCGATGATGTTGGCTTTCTTGGCGACTCCGAAGGTGGCACCGGCAATGGTTCCAGAAACGTGAGAGCCGTGGCCGTTCTCGTCGGTATCAACGTTGTTCACAGAGTTGAATCCCATAGTGGCGCGTCCCTGGAACTCCTCGTGAGTAGTCAGGACACCAGTGTCGACGACGTAGGCGGTGATACCCGTGCCGGCAGTATCATCGAAAATGTAGCCAGCTGACGTTGCGTTACCAGAGGTCTGCGCGTGTGACAAGCGCACCAAACCAGAAGGAGCGTTGGTCTGGGACTGGAGAGCAGAGGCCTTGACGTAGGCATCGGCCTCAATGTATGCAACCTCGTTTGCCGAGTTGATGTCCATCATCATGAGATCGTCACCCTCCATAGCCAGAGCTCGCCATCCCGACATGGCAAACGTCTTGACGCTGGTGGACAGAAGCTTTCCCTGAAGGCCACGCTTGCCCAGGTTGCGCTTCTTGACCAGGTGGGTGATCTTCAGTTGATGGGCGTTGACTTCATCGTCAGTGAAGGTCTTGTTGTAGACCACAATGTAGGCGTTGGGAACAATATCCGTGGCGTCCTTGTTGGCGATTGGTACACCCATGAACTGGTCCGCCGCGGTAGACGAAGGCTTGGTGATGGCAACTGCTTGGGCAAGCGGTGCTGCCAACACCAGCAGCGAGGTGAAAAGAGTGCTCAGCTTAGGTGCCATGGTGGATACAAGTTATATCGTGTAAAATGGAATTGGTAATATTCCGTGTTGTACCAGACAGGTTGAAGTGAAATTGGGATGTCGTCGAACTGGTCAGATGGTTCGAGTCCTTGATGTGGAAGAGAATATCCAAGAGAATCAGACTGTAGACGACACTGAGGGTCGACCTAAGAATTATTTCCGGCTCCAGGCGAGAATGTGTGTGTGAAGTGGTATACACTGTCGGGCCCAAGTGAGGGACTGGAACAACAGGGAGGGGGAGGGAGTGTGTAAGATGAAAGAAGTGTGGTGGAACAATGGGGAATGTCAAGATGATCGAGAACAATATACGATGTTCTCCTTGACGACTCTCCAAGATACACGCACGTAACGAATCGAAACGGATACTCGCGAGAAGGACAAGAGACTGAAGAGGAGAGAATGCAGATATCAAACCTGGAGTCCTCCGGCCTTTAAAGGGATCCATCTCGTGGATTGGCAAAGATCTGCTGGGGGGGCCAAGTTGCCCCGTCGTGCCCGTCGCGCAAGCACCAGTCCCCCGTCGTGGGTGTCTAGGTACCTGCGTCGAGGCATGAAAATGGGTCTTCATGACTGGGCCGCTCCACTAGTCGAGGTACAAATCTGGGCAGCTAAGTGGTGTTTGGCGCGGCGCCAAGCGCTAACCAATGCATGCTTAGTCGCCAAGTCAAACGGGACCCCTGGAACTGCCGCGGCGATCCACCACTACATGCCTGTCTTGGGGTGCGACCGCTTCAATCCCAGACAGCCCTTGTGTTACTGGCTCGGCGGCGGAGGCGCATAGTGAACCGCAATCTCGTGAAATGAACACCACCGACTCCGCGAACCTGAACGCATCATGTGAGCCTCTGCGAGCTCTTTACCCGGCTGGCTCGCGGTGCCTACGCTTGCTCCTGAGTAATGTAGCTGCGCAGGCCATGAATCTGGGGACTTGCCGCCTCCCGGGTTCGGGACCCGCAACGGTGGTGGCTACGGCCCACGACAAATGACTTGCAGATACTGAATCGTGAAGCCGCAAATTTCTCCACGCCTGAGCAGCACATATCGCTTGCACCTTCTGGCCAGAACAAGCACGTTGGAAATACCGTTTGAACGGCAATGGATAGCGTAGTTGGCTTGCGTAAGTCTGGCACCGGCGGGGGGGATTCTGAGCAGTGGAATAACTCCCCGATGCTTCAGATCCTCGCGTTGACGTGCCCCCCTAGCCCAGGCATGTGCAGTTGTTTGAAGCAGAGGCCATGGTACGAGTTCCTGGATTTGTGAGGCAGAGCCAAGCCTGGCCGTATATGGCAGCAGCCAAGGTCGAGCAGTCCGGGGAACCCAGGGCGCGGCGAGGCGAAGACATATTTCTCCGATGGCGTGTGGGATCAAAGGGTGGTAGCAAACAGCGAGCGAGCCTCACGGGCCCGCAGGCATACACGCAGAGCACATGAGCCACAGAGTGTCGCAGCCAGGAATAGACATGCGAGCATGAAAACAAGAGGCAACGTCAACAGGAGGAATGTCAGCGGCGGCAGGCCCTGGGAAGATCTCAGGATCGCTGCTTAGGGTCGTGCTGTCGTACAGAAGAAGGCTTGGCTGGAACGTGATCCCTGGGTGGTGAGGAGGCTCTTCTAAAAGCGAGCGGCGGGCGCTAGACAAATCTGGAAGTGTGCTCAGGGCCAGGGTGGGCGATGGTCTTTTGGGGTCCGTGGTCCCCACTGAGTAGAAACAGTAGCCCCCGTTTCAACTCGGCTGGGCTAGCGACGGGTCTGATTGGCTCAGAAGCCTCCTTGTCGGGGATGAAACTTGGCGCCCTGCTCCTGGGAGAGAAAAGTAAGCATGGGAACAAGCTTAGAAACATTTGTGATAGGTCTCGATGATGGGACGAAGTGACGTTCTTGGGGAACATTTGGTGTCAGCCGAAATTCGAGGATCTCGTCGACCTGGCGGTGCTCAACGGTGATCAATGCCTCGGAATCGCAACCGAAGTGGTATGCTTAAACAATAGTCCAATGCTAGAGGTGGCCATCAGACGCAAGCAACTAGGTACTACTACAAACCCTCAATTTACTTCAAGCAAACCAGATTCGGAGAGTCTTTGGCTACGGCTATAGGGTAGCCACGAAAATTGGGAAACTCGCCAACGACTAGTTCCTGTAAGTCGGAATGTACTGACTGCACACTCTCAAATTACCTGAAACGCACTCGCACGCACTCACCCTCTATCTCGCGGCCAGTTTGTATGGCAGTCGCCTCCATGCTAAGGCGAGTGGATCAACGCGTGCCAGAGCTTGGCGGATAGTTTGGCTGAACTAATGCCCTGGTCAAGATCAAGATCGCATCCACACATGTCAAGACCATATTGAAGAAGAGACGATCCTTGCGGAGATGGCTTCGGGAGAACGATAGTATACAGAATAGTTCCCAGCATGTCGATACCGGAAGCGGCGACATCCAAAGTGCCCAGACTAGCCACGAGCCTCATGTGGAGATGCATGGGCGAGCTGTGCAATATATCTCGGGCTCGCTTAAGATCTACCAATTTGCGCCTCTGAATGCCACGCCATTCGGACATTCCACTTTGGAATCAGCTCAAGCTCAAGCTCGGACCGGAGATCTCGTGGCGTCTTCGATTTCTGGGTTGTAATGCGCCTGTAAAGGGACGGCAGCCGTCTGCATTTGAGCCGCATCCTCATTCATGTGAGCTGCTTTTGCACACACTTCTCGTTTTTGGCTTGTCCCGCAAACGTTGCATCCTATACCATGTGGACCATGCGCAGGCTTGAGGATGTCGCCATTTGGTCAAGGGCTTTCACTGTCACCGATGTTTTGCTTTTACGATGCCTTTTTCCTAATTCCTTCTCGGTTCGTTCGTTTTTCTGTCAAGTATCCAGTATCTTTCCACTGTGTCCTAGTTGAATTAGGGTTTTTTTCTATTGTCTCGCGTGCAGGTTCGAGTGAGACATATTGCGCGGTGCGGCCCGCATAACCCAACTTCTCAACCTCAAACAAATCCCCTCGGATGGCCCAACCGCCAATATGGAAAGATGATAGTTTGTTGAAAGAGCTGCGATCGCGGCTTACGGAGCTGTACAGCAACTGGGCCTGCCTTTGCCACTGCTGACTTGTCAATGGCCCCTAGGCATGCAGGAAGGGTTTGCGATCTGCCGAATATGGATGGAAGATGGCATGAATGTTGGCGAGAAGCGACGTTTACAACTGACATGGCAATGCCACAACCAATCCGTCTGGCGGCAGCGTGTTTGTGTTGGGGCCCGTTTAGCAACAGCCCAGGTGGCTGGTGCCAGCAAAGACAAAGAGCTCCATTTTCTGAATGCAAGCAAGCAACTACGGTGGGCACCCACCGGTTGCCAATCAAGACCCTGGGTGTGTCAACACGCAACGGACGTCATGGAGAATGGAGAATGGAGAATGGATTGAAGTGCGGTACGGTAGTTGGTTGGTTGGTTATTTGCTTGCTTGCTTGTAGTCACGAGACCTGGCTGCACTGGCTATCTATGTATGCATGAACTACATGGCTCGCTCAGCCCACCCGGCTGCACTGCCAGACAGACTGCAGGACAGGAATGTTTTTTCTGTTGCCCAACCCAGGCGGCTGTGCAGATCTCCCTGCCCAGATGCAGACACACACAGCCAGAAATAATCAGCGCTGGCCCTGACTAGAATGCTGATGTACCGCCATCCCATGTTGGAACACAGATCGCGTTACCGGCGCGTAATGACTCGTCGAGAGAGTCACGGAGAGTCTATTCTCGATTCTCGGTCCAAGCACCCGGGCGGAGGGGTAGTGTGCTAACGAGCACTGCGCGACAGGTGGCTGCGAGGGAGATAGTACTGAATCGCTCAGCAGAGAGCGGCTGCAGAGTCTAATTGCAAGGAGCCCGGGCGCATTACCTAAGTGAACTCTCGGGCTGGAAGACGGACCCAGTGTTATCCAATCCATATGGGCTGTTGTTGAATGGGCCATTGGCAATTGGCGCCTCGACAGCCGTTGCGCTCCATCCGCTGCCCGTTGCCCTCTACTGCGTTGTCGAGGCTTCCAGGTTCCAGGGCGGGTGCTCACTTCCAGGGAAATTTCCCAGAGGGCCCAGCGCATTGATGAGAGTTGACCCCGATCTGGCGAGCGAAGCGCTGCAAAAGGCCGCGCCCCTCCGACATCTGTCCCGTCCCGTCCCATTCCCATGCCACTCTGGGCCAACCTGTTCGTTGCCCACTGCCCACCATCCCGTCTGGCCCCCGTCCCATCCCATCACATTCCATGCGAGGTCAGCGCTGGCCTGCAGTCTTGAAGTCCAGCCCGTTGATTGACTAGTCCCGACGCTGCGGATCATTCTCGCTGTCCGCCGCCCGCTTGACTGCCACCAGCGCACCGCACTGTTCGCACTGCACTGCTGGGCTGCGCTGGACTGCGCTGGACTGCACTGCACCGCGCTGCACCTTTTCGCGGCCGCCGAAATTGCAACTCACTTTCTGTAACCGCATTGATCTGGGGCCCCCATCAATAGTCAAATTTCGCAGCAATTTCTCACGGCCTGCCCTCGGACAACTTTCGTCCCACCCGTGACCGCCTGAGAAAGCGTAGTACCCAAGGGCCTGCAGTTGGATTTCTCTGTCTGCCCCGACCCGCCGGTGCCCGTTCCATTATCCTCGGTGACCCTATCTCCTCTGTGGCCTGCACGCGACCACTACCACAGCCACGGCTTCATCCTCGCCCTCCCGTACACTGCAAACGCCTTGGCCTGTCGAGTGAGGACTGTTGCCTGCCACGTCCTTCTTTGCCCGGCATAATTTGCAGCAGCAGCAGCCGTATCATCCCCTCTTGGCCGACAGCGAGCAAGGGCCACTCGCCATCCTCCGCGGTCTGTCATGCGAAGCGAACCTCCGGACCTGGAGGAATAGCACCCGACGAAGAAGCAGAAGACGACGACGATGATGATGGGCAAGCGGACTTCGGCAATCTTCGAGGCGGATGACGACCATGGCATGGGCTCCAGTTCTTTCGAGACGCCCTCGCACGCGCACACCATTCACATGCCGCGGACTGGCGCCTACCTACAGCGGGATATGTCGATTGATGGCGATGAGGATGACGATAACGAGGGCTCTGCGACGACCGAGCTGGCCGCTATCATGACGACAACCTCTACGCCTGTCACCCCGGGCCCGTCCAGCCCACCTCTCGACCAGGCAAAACCCCAGGACTTCGTACCGCCGACGCGGCCTAGCAGCACTCCGTTCCCGAATGCACAACAGGGCCAGACCGACATTCGCTGTCTGCATTGTCAGCCCGACTGCCAGGACTGCTCTGACGATGCCATGGCCATGAGCCCGGCTGCGACCCCGACCATCGATCAGCAACCTCTGCTCGGCCTGAGCGCCCTCCCGGCCGAGATCCACGAGTGCGTCCTGGACCATTTGTTTGGGTATCGTGTTTCGACCACGTCGCCGAGCTCGCTGAGCATCCCGAGCGTCAATGCCCGCAGTTGGAGTACCGCCTTGCGACACTCGAGGAGGAAGGAGTTGTCCAACTTGGCCCTGGTCACACCACTGTGGCGCTACCTGGTGCAGGCACGTTTGTTTCGGCACATCAAAGTCAAGGCCACCGTCTCTGGGTGCAACGAGGTGGTGCAGTTCTTTACCGCCAACCAGCACCTGAGGGACTTTGTCAAGCACATCGAGATATGGTTTCCCGTCTTTCAGCCCAAGTTCAACACGCCCTTCCCTACGAATTCCTCGCTGGCCCTCCCCACCGTCTCCCCAGAGGGAATCTCCAGCGCGCAGTATGGGTTGCCCACGGACAATGCCACCTTGGAAGAAGTCTTCTTCCTCGTTGGCAACTCGTTTTCCGAAGTTCAGGTGATGACCCTCGAAGGCGGCGAGCGCAAGAAGGCGCCCAGGGTCCAGTTCACTCTCCCCACCACTTCGTCGCACATGAGAGAGTTGCCAGAGGTCAAGACGGTCCGCACTTTGATCATCAAAAGCCAGTGGAACATTATTCGGCACTACAAGGACTGGGAGTACATTTCCAACGCGCTTCCGAACCTGGAGGAGTGGCATGGCACGTACGCCAAGCCCAAGTCCAAGAGCTATCTGAGCATGGCAGGCACCCTCGAGATCCTGGACCCCAAGATCACCAAGCTCAACCTCAGTCTAGAGACCGACTACCGCCGTGAGATGACATGCCCGCCATACTACCTGAAAGTGTGCGAGCAGCTTCACTGGTGCGACAAGATGGCCAAGGCGGCCAGCACACTGGAGCATCTGTCATACACCGGGCGTGTATGCCATACTTTCTTCGACATGCTTGCCAGGTATTCAAATCCTCGGACGACCCGACTAAAGACTATCGATATCACCGTGAAGAACTGCTGCCGTCAGAATGCGCAGTGGAATGAGTCCGGCTCGGGCATCACAGACATGCACTTCATCAGTGCATTCGAGCAGCTCGTGCTTGGGGGCATCCGATGTCTGGAGCGTTTAAAGTCGGTGAATCTCTTGCGGATCCGCTACGTGGATCTAGGTAAGTATTCCTGCTCCAGGGACGGAGGGAAACGGTGCTCCATACTGACATCGTTCCTAGATTCGCCTGTACCTCCGTTGAACCCTTATTTCCTCATCAAAGACGGTTGGTGCTCTGGTGTTTGGAGCGACGACATCGTTGCAGAACTCAACCGCGTCCGCCCGGACGCACGTTTCGAAGCAATGGCAGAGAGCTTTGGTGAGGTCGGCTATAACAAAGAAAACCGACTGGTTATCAGCCCTGACTTCCCCAAGTCCCGAGTTCTCTCGCTAAAGCTCGCAAACTATGCTATGCTCTCGGGTGGTATAAGCATAGTGTAGCGCCATGATCATACCTGAGTACGAGCGAGGACTTCTGTGTTGTCCCGCCGACATACCAACAGTCTTTGAACAGACTCCCCTCATTCCCAACATAGACCACGAGTATACGATTACGACCCTACCCAATGCGTCAGCCCCTTTTGACGCATAGAGGACAACTTCTTTTCCTTTGTTTGATCACATCTGCGACGGCGTTTGAGAGTCTCATTTTCTGCGAATTTTGAGGCGTATAGACAGGATGGAATCGCGGTCCGCACCATGATACCCCTCTCGGGTACACCTAATCCCCACCATTGAAAGGAGTTATTTGATGTTCAAAATATCTTGTCGTACTAGCACGGAAGCATAATGCCGGTGTTAAAGGAAGAAACAGCAGAAGGAAGGGGACTGAGGCATACGGTGCTGACGGATTATCACGGCGGCTGCGTTGTGCTGCCTGGGCCACACGTCTTGCATATTTGCAATTTGTGTCTTGGAGTCGAGATCTGGTCTTATAAAGGCCACTCTTGACCGGAAATTGTGTACTTCGTACCTACGATAGAAGCGATAGGTAATGCAAGTTGCGCCATGAACATACAGGTCTTGACAGTATGTGAATGCTGGTGAGAAACATGCCTATTTGTCGACGGTCCTCACGGTAAGCGGGCCAATCAAACTGCAACACAATCAACTTCTGCAGCTTCTCTGAAGTAGTGAAACTACATTGCCACTCATGATTTGAATTCCGTCTCGCCATTGATATGGCTTTCTAGTAGCTAGACGATAAAATTCTGATGTTCTAGCTCCCATATCATTTAGCTGCTGTTTTCGACTGACCCACGCTCTTTGGCGCCCCAGTGCTAACATCCGCCTCTGGGCTCCCTTGAAGATCCCCAATGATGATCCCCAGGATCCAACAGTTCACGAGGAAGAATGCTAGAGAAGCATAGAACAGGCCAGGCATGAACGTGCTCTGCCCCAGGAACTCGAGATTGTAGCCCTGCTGGAGCCATAGGCCCTGCGTTGCAACCCAGAGCGCAAGCGCGGAGACGCCCAGGCCTGGCCGGCGAAGCAGCGACGAGGAGGGGAGGTAAAGGGGCAGGAATACCATGTACCAGAGGAAGTACTTGTGTGAAGCATTAGTCCTGTCAAGCAAGCATATGGGAGTGTAATAGTGTAGTCATACCTGGCTAGTGCACACCTTGTTGAACGTCACGAACGCAAAAGTCTGCGCCAGCATCGTCGTGGCAAGATCCTTCTTGGCGCCTACAAGGGGGATCAGCACGCAGCTCAACAGCAGCTGGGGCACAAATGCCACGCTCTCGATCCGCAGGCCAAGGAGCTCGGTGCCCCAAGCCCCCGCCTGGCCCGACTGCGCGGTCACGTATGGCTCCGCCGACGTCAGATACAGCAGGACGTTGTACGGGCTGAAGTTGTGCCGGTGGTCGATCCGCGTCACGTGGTGTAGGAACGTGTGTTGCAGGAACTCGCGCCCGTACAGCGCGTACATGGCGATATTGAGGCCCAGAAACGTCGCCAGGCTGACGATGGCGAGCCGCAGCCGCTCGGGCGTCAGGAAGCGCCGCAGCAGCGACGTGCCTGCGGCGAACTGGCGCCCCATTCGCTCGCCGTCCATCCACCACACGATGGCCGGCGCGTAGATGAAGGGGTAGATCTTGAAGTGCACGCCGAGACCCAGCAGCGCGGCGGCGAGCGTGACGCGCCGCTCGAGCACGGCGTACAGCAGCGCCGTGACCAGCACGCCCAGCACGCCCTCGGAGCTGCCGCGCGTCGAGATCGTGGCCACCATGGGATTGAGCAGCCAGATGCTGGCGTAGCCGAGGGCGGCGGCCTCGGTCCTGGCCGCCGGCGGGCCGTGGCGCCGCAGCACCCGCACGAGCAGCCAGCCGGCCGCCAGGTCCGCGGCCGCGAACAGGACCTTGCCGAACGAGAACCAGAAGACGCCGGCGGCGCCGGGCGCGGGCAGCGTCGTCGGGTACAGCAGCCAGGCCAGCAGCGGCGTGTAGCGGTACGTCTCCCGGGCATACGGCGACCGCGCGGGCGAGTTGAACGTCAGCCGTGCCGCGTCCGTGAAGACCATGTAGTCGATGTCGGTGTACTTGAGCGGCGAGTTGGCGTCCTGCCACAGGCCGTAGACGAGCAGGATGGCCCGCAGCAGGAACGCGGACCCGAAGACCAGGAGGGGAGAAGAGAAGAAGGCCGAGATTATGTTGGCCATGGTGGATGTAGGAGGCCTGGTGCGGCCACTTGACAAACCCCTGATTTTCCTTTTTCTTCGTAGGCTCAAGCTTATAAGACGATCCGTCACAACGTATGCCACGCCGCTTGATAGGTATTGTAGCCGACTTTAGGGGGCGTTCATTATGGTGCTGCTTTCAATTGGTTGGGAAGTCTTTCATAACCCAAGCCAACACTTCCACACCTTGTAATGAAAACAAAAACAGGACCTTTAAAGACACAGAAAGGAAAACAAGTCCGGCTGTGGTATAACAGTGTGTTGACTTGCTCCCCCTAATCGTAGTTACATACTGTATTCACGTTTTCGGCAGAATGTCGGCTTAGCGCTTCCAATCTCTCAATCCCAACGTCAATCTGATCTTCGCCGCTACAGCCACACCGGGGTGCGACACGGTTTCTCCATCAGCAGCTCCATCCAAAGCTCAAAACTGCAACCAGGCATCTGCTGGGCTGTCCGATCACCATGTCAGGGGAAAACACTGTCGAAGCGACAGGGAAAAGAGGGAACAGGATGCCGGGAGGAGTGAAGCGAGACTACAGGGGCAATAAGAAGGACCTGCCTGTCCGCGATGCACCCCGCAACGAGTACACGTCCATGTTCGAGGGCTTCCGCGATGAGCTCGACAAGCACCATGATCGTCGCGAGAAGATCGTCAAGGTCTCGAGGGACGTCACTGCCTTGAGCAAGAAGATGTGTGTCATATTTCTCCCCCACACTCTAGAAACCGAATGACTAACGGGCTTGTAGTATTTTCTCGTTGCAAAGGTAAATTGCCTACATCGTCTTTAGTTAACGTCATCTATGGGAGCTCTCCTAGGCATCATCGACAGCCAAGTCTCCCCAGCATGTCTCAGGAAGTCAAGCTAACGTCTTTCACAGAGTTCGGAAACTCAACCAGCCTCTTCCTGACAACATTGTCAAGGAGAATGAGGAGCGTATGAGTGAGATCAAGTCCATGCTCGCCACCATCGTCGATGATGTCTCGGGTATCCGTCGGTACCGTTACAATCTCATGTGCCTGGAGGAGTTCGTCGAGGCCATCTCATTTGCCTACTACCTGGAACATCAACGCCTTATAACCCCGGAGACGATGCAGAGTACATTAGGCGATGTCAATATTCCCTTCACGGCTAATGACTACGTCTACGGTCTCTTCGATCTCACCGGCGAGATGATGCGCTTCGCCACGACCGTCACTGCTCTTACAGGCTCCATCCCCACGGGTGTCGCCGCCGGTGCTGAAGATGTTCAGACGGGGGCAGACGCTCCTAGGAATATCTTGGGTGACCTTCAGGATATCTCCAGCATGCTACAGCTCATGCAGCTGAACGACAGAACCTACTTCAAGAAGAAGGACGTTATGATTGAGCAAGTACGTAAGGTGGAGCGCGTCGGGTATGGCGTCACCGTACGAGGCAACGAGCGGCCTAAGGGCTGGATGCCTGACATGAACGAGGATGCTGGCCACCATGATGATGGGTCCGCTGAATAGAGCGTGCCCACATCCTTTTCGAGGCACCATGCTCATGGGTACTACCTCTGATGCATGGCTTGAGCTATGCATCTCATGACACCTTAAGCAGTTTACCTTCCTGGACCGCGTTGGGCGAACACATGCGAGTCTCAAACACTAGAGACGTCTCCCTACCTTCCTGCAGCGGAACTCATGTGTATAGCATGGATGTCCCGCATTGTCTGTCGTATCAACTGAAACTGCCCTGGAGTTACTGGTTGGGATCATTGCTATGGTTATACCTTTCATGGCGTCCAGTGCAGGGCCGTGTATGGATTGTTGGGACTTAGCTTGGGCATAGGCAGTCTTTTATGCTATATCAGTCTCAGCAGTGATTTGAGGTCGCAGTGTCTGAAAGCTAGTCCTCTATAGGCCACCAATGAACAGAGTGAAATCCACTGACTGGCTTCATGAATACAGAGAATACGTTGCATATTTGTGTAAACCCTGAAGTAGACGGGTGAAAATGTTGCGGGGCCTGACCCCCAAGCTCTACGACTCTTGCAGGTCCCATAAGGTCTTGAACAACCCTCCTCTCTCTAAGAGTGTTTCGGGGCTATCAAACTCAACGACGTTTCCATCTTGCAACACCAAAACCTTGTCAAAATCCGCAATGGTCTTCAGCCGGTGCGCAACAACTACCATAGTCCACCCCACGAACTCCTTCCGAATCAAACTCTGCATTAACTCATCCGTTTGCTGGTCCAGACTTTGAAATAGTCAGCAACTCTATAACCGCACACTAAACTCCATGAATTGCTTTACGTACCTGCTGGTGGCTTCATCAAGAAGTAAGATCCGACTCTGCCTCAGCATAGCTCTCGCCAGACAAAATAACTGTTTCTGTCCCGCACTCAACCACTCGGTCCGGAGCTCTGCGTCTAAACCCCCTTTCCCCTTAATTAAGTCTCGTAACCCTGTCTTCTCCAATGCTGCGAGCATGTCTTCATCACTCGCACATGACGCGGGATCGAGGTTATACCTTACGGTACCCGCCAAGAGCAAAGGATCTTGGGGCAGCGTGACAACAGACTCTCTAACGTCATTGACCCTCATCGTCGAAGTATCGATCCCGTCAATCTCAATGGTTCCACTCGCAGGGTCGTACAGTCGAAGTAGCAAGGCAAGGAGAGTGGACTTGCCACTCCCACTGCGACCACAAAGTGCGACTCTCTCCCCTGCTTTGATTTCAAGATCAATGCCATCGAGAACCGTGCGCTCACCGTACTTGGCACTCAACCCGGAGATCGATATATGGCCCTGCGGTGGCCACTCAGGGGGCAGTGTGTTCGAACCTTCCTTTTCCTGTGGAGTATCTGCAATGAACTCCCGGATGCGCGTGATGGCCCCCAATGATGTCTCCAACTCAGTCCAGAAGATGATGACCATTGTCATCGTCTGGCCAAAGCTTGAAACGCTGGTTAGAGCGACGCCCAGCAGACCGGGTGCGACCTTGTCGCGGATGCCTACGGAAACGCCAACCAGCAGCACGCACAGTCCTGCAACCGTGAGCTCGAGCAACAACGTTAGCCATCGTTGTACGCAGTAGAGTAGGTAAAACGGCCGCTGCGAGGTATTGAGGCGGCTGAGATGCTCCTGGTAACACTTTTCTGACCAGCCATAGGCGCGGATGGTAGTCAGACCTGCAAACGACGAGATGAAAAAGGAATAGAGCGGAGACTTGAACTCCAGGTCAAGTAGACGGAGTTGTCGCGAGGTGCGCAAGTAAAACCGCTGGATATAGAATAGGACCAGCGCGAGAACTGGGATAGAAGCGGCCAGGTAGCCCGAGGAAACGCAAGTCATGATGATCTGGCCGACAGCCATAATCAGCTCTAAGATTCTCAAGTCAGTATACAGTTCGTCGTCGGCATCGCCGCCCAGATTAAGATTAGACCCGGGAACCTACGTTCAGAGAACTGCATCAAAGCAACAGGTAGCGGGAAGTCCACGAGGGTCATGTCCTGGCTGAACCGGTTGACTATTTCGCCTACATCTGTTGTCACAAAGTAGGACATCGGGGCACTGCCCTGCTATTAATCTAGGCTCTAAATAGAGAAGTACTGTGTGGTTTCAGGACTAACCTCATCGCTATCCTCAATATACCCCAGTGGAGTGACTTTGCAGACCTTGGAACTATACGGAGCAGGAAGATGCTATTTGACGTTAGACCAGCAACATTACCTTTTATTGTCACTACAATCTTGACTCACCTGAACTGCACAATCATTCCAGCGAGGTTCATGACCGATAGTAGGACGTATATACCGACCCATTTACCCGGGTCCTCGTTGGGGTTGCTCGCATTCGCTGCGGTCCAGTAGTTGAGCCACAGTGCTGCCTGGGGTGTCAGTGTACCAGGGTCTTTTCAATTAAGGAGCATTACGTACGCTGCAAGACGCGGCATGCCACCTGGAAGATTATGAGGGAACAGAATATCAAGAACGAATTGCTCATAAGCGACTTGACGTAGTAAGGCAGAGAGCTGTTCATCCCTCCCCTCGTCTTCACTTTCTTATCATCGGCAGTGCCCATTAGCTCCTTTGATTGAAGATGACCTTTTTCTGAATTGTCCTTCTTCTCGGAGGGATTTACTAGCACGCTGATAGCAATGGTACTCGACTGGATATCTTCGCTCTCGTCTTTGTCCCTATCGCTCGATTTGTAAGATTCTTGGAGATCTCTGATGTACTCGTCTTGGTCTCGGAGGGATGTGAATGTCCCAGTCCTTGACACATACCCATCACCTTTCATAACGATGAGTTGGTCTGCGTATGGGAACCATTGGGCTATCTTTTTATCAGTGCCTGCCGTGGTGATAATAGCTTAGCTTGGGCTTTGACTTGCCATTGTGGGTCGCCATGACCACGGTGGTGCCATTCTGTCTTAGAAGTCCGCTTTTGCCAAGCAAGGCCTTGAAACATCTACTGGATGTATCTGCGTCTAAGCCCTTCATGGTATCATCCAGAACCACAATCTTCTTGCGGCTGTATATTGCTCTTGCCAAAGCCTGCTGGGCGTTCAGAAAAGGCATTCATACCTGTTCAGGTGGACTTACCACACGAGCTTTCTGCCCACCGCTCAATGATATCCCTTGGCTTCCCACCATGGATAAGTCACCATTTGGAAGATGACTAAAGTCCTCTTCTAATTGGCAAGCATTGACCACAGTCTTGTAAAATCCCTCGGAATACTCAGAGAAGGCGACGATGTTAGCGCGGATGGTTTGGTTGAGCACCCATGCGTCTTGATCACAGTATGCAACCACTGCCGAACCAAGGATGCTGACAGTTCCAGAGTGAATATATGTCTCACCAATTATACTCTTCAATAGGGTTGACTTTCCACTTGCGACAGGGCCAACCACTAATGAGAGACCGCCGATTGGTACCTTGACGTTGATTCCTTTCAAATTTGCCTTCTCATTATTCTCTTCCCAGCCGAAATTAGCTTCCTCAATTATGATGGCGTATTTCTCCGAGTTGTTATTAGTGGTTATTCGAGATGATGTTTCGCTATTAACTCTGTAGTCGGTCCATTTTTTCAAAAGTAGGAAATCCTGAATGCGGTCCAGACATGATAAACACTGTGCTACACTATTGAACGAGGAGACTAGGATGCCGACTTGAGACTATGTTAGACATAGGAAACCCTGGCTGGTAGGTCCGACTTACCTGGCATCGCTAGGAGGGTGATGAGATTCAATGAAGTGAATGCTTGCGAGATCCCCAGAGTCCCGCTTCCTGACACCTTTGCAACGATGGCGTAGACAGTGAATGTTACAGCAGACATGGACAACATAGGGACGATATCTTCATAACTGTATTAGCCCAGAAATGAGGCCATAGAGAACCCGACACTTACTGGCACTAATCATCCAAATTTGGATTTTGCGAAATTTCCTTGATTCTGAGAGTTCAAAGTCCCTTAAGTCTTGGATCTTTGTGGTGACCGGGCTACTCATGCCGGACATCTTGATACCTTTCATTGAACCTAAAATGTCGGAGGTGATGCCGACTCGTTTCTGAATCGCAACAATCCATCTGCGCTGTCGCGAGGGTATCATTCTCGCCAATCCTCCCACACCAGCAGCGCACACTATCGCAACGATTACGGGCGCAACACAGACCGGGCCAAGCTGTATACCAAGAATCCACATGGCTAACCCTACCTGTACGATGTTGGGAAAGATGTCTATGACTGAGCGTGCGGACAAACAGATCTTATCGACGTCGGTGCTCATGAGAGTTAATGCGGACGACGCGTGCTTGCTTTCGGCTCGAGTTTTCAACATATCACGATATATGATTCCTACTAAAGCTCCGCGAAGCTTCACTATCGCACGATAGTTCAGGAACATATATATCTGATTCGTGATCTAAATCGAGTATTAGCACGAGACGGAAAGATATGGTCCTATTAGCTTGACGGACTTACAGCGGTACCAATGAAAACAGCTGCATACGCTCCTATAAGTCCATACCCATGACTGACTGGGATGATGTTATGATTAATTATGTAAAACAACATTGTTTGGATCAGGTAAGGCTGCGCCATCATGAACCCGATGTTAAATGCCCGAGGAAGCCAGCACGCTAGGATTTCCGGAGCGAAGGTGATGAGAACAGAGCTGGTCAAACAGTGCTTTTTTGACCTGTTTGCTGCAATATCGTTAGCTCGTCTTGAAGCGCTGCAGATAACGTATAATTACTTGTCCGCCATTTCTTGGCCAGTCGATCGGTCAAGTGAGAGCCATCTAGGTCCCCTTCAAGCAGAAAGAGATCGCCAATTTCCAAGTTTTTGGAGTATCCAAGCCTGAGCAATGGATTGACCCATAGCAAAAGAGCCCAGCCAAATATCCCGGAAACTTCCAAAGGAGACGCATCGCTCCTTGAATGAGTGCCGTAGAGGCTTTTCCTCACAGATTCAACCGCCAATATACACAACTTCAATATTAGCGTCACAGTCACAAGTGATGCGATCATACTATTGTCGTCGAACAGCCATTGAGTTCTGACTCGTGTGAGGTCAAGTAGAGACGTGAATGCAAGGTAAGTCTGTACAATCAATGAGGGGTGCTGCACTCGACTGTGCTCGACATTGGAGATTGTTGCAAGGCTGATAGTGGCCGCCAAAGCGAGTGCGCTTGCTGGCACAGTGAGTGCGCTGCGCACACCATCTCCCCGACTCCAAAGCGCGATCAGTGCGATTTGGAAACCTGCCAGGAAGAGGAAGCAAGACTGAGATTCATGAGCGCGTCAAATTTCGTATGAACAGGAACCGGATATCTCACAGCCTTCAGTGCTGATCCCAAAGGCCAGCCAATTGCCTTCGGTCGCCCAAGGAGTGTGTAGCTGCGACATAGCGAGGCAATAATCGCGATTATCGCAGGCACCAGGCTGAAGATACAATCCTCAAAATAGAGCGTGAAGTCAAAGTTGTGACACTCAAAGCCAGGCCCCAGAGCGGGGCCGAAGCTGTTATCGCCGTCGCATCTCTTCATAGAGTTTGAAATGCGAAATACTGAAGTCCTGTACGATGTCTAAGTGTGGCATTTACTTCGCGTGTCTATCACCGTCGGATATATGTTTGAGGCTGGAATTTTGTCTTGGCTGCCTGATCGCGGTGCCGATGAAGCGCTGCGGCTCCGGCGTCATTGAGGACGGGACGTACGTTTCGTAAGCTTACCCGAATAGGGATGAGATATGCTCAGATGTTAGGGGATGAAACGGGTATTATCGTACCACTGTACCTCAATCGGTAACCAGCACATATGGATTCGCTTACCTGCTTGGGTGCTTATTATTGGCAGAGGACTCCCAGCATCTCAGTTCGCATCTGGGGAACGCGTTCGGACGGCTGCGAGTCGACCCTTCGAGTCAGCACGGACGAAAATTATTGCCGCTTTGTGTAACCATTTCCTTCTTGCTGACCCGATCACCCCGTTGAACATCGGTACGGGGGAGAACATTGCATAGAGCCTCAAGGGACAGACACTCGATTTACCCCGAGAATCATCAAGGTTCGAGTGGTACACGAGCTTCAATATCCCGCAACACAAAGAAACTACTTGGACTAAGCGTGAAGTCGGGGGACAATAGCATGGTCGAAGTACATGTTTACTTCGCCTTCCGAGGCATTCCTTGAGTTATGGCGTAGAAAGAGCAGCGCGAAGACAAATCAGAGGGCTCGATGATTTCCTAAGTAATGAACTATTTCGTACTGTTGGGACAAGTGTACTAAACTGCGGAAGATCTTATTCGTGCTGCTCAGAAGTTCGTCTGCCAGCTCCCTTGCCATCAATACCTCGGCATCACCTTCTCCCATCAAATTCCGTGCTCTCAAGCAGCCAATTGGCCCGAAATATCGAATAACGACAAGAACTGAACAAATGTCAATATGCTGTATTCTATTTTGTGACCGCCAGAGCTGTGTGATATACCCTTTAATTGGCCTGGATTGCTTTGAGATTGTTTAATGCAGCTTCTTTATGTGAATCCAGACTCAGCGTATCTAAATGAGCAAATAACGGCCCTAGGGCGTTTCCCATCTTCTCTGCGCTTAATCCGACATCTGGGTCTTGGCCGCAGAACAGCCGGCCTGTGGCTCGCCCCGAATCAATTACTGCCTGGCATCTAGGTCTTCTGACTTGATCAAACGCCTTGAATGCATCTTCTATCTCTTGAGGAGACGAGATGTTGCTCAGTAGATGCCCGAGGACTAGGGCATCTTCGATAGCCAGCCCGGCGCCAGCACCTTGCCAGGGGGTCGTCGTATGTGCGGCATCTCCAACGATACAGGCTCGACCGCGTGCATATGCTGGGGTAGACTTGTGGTCCCACATAGAATATTCTCTCGGGTTTTCTTGTTCTAGCATAAGCTTCAGCGGTGATTAGCGATCATCCGTAAGTAAAGTAGAGATAAGATAGAACTTAGTTATCCAATATGCACTTGGACTTACCTCGACCATCCCCTTCGTAACAGGGTTAGCAAGCCAGCCTGCACCGAAGATTTCCTCCAATACCTCTCTCGTGAGCGGCCGCTTGCGAGCCAGGTTATGGTCCTTCTCAACCGCACTTATAATGCATTGAATCATTGTCCCATTTTCCACGGGTGCATGCATCATGAATGCATCCTCCCCAGCCCAAGCGTACTCTCGATCAATATCCAACGACTCCTCTCCGAGCATAGCTTTTGCCTTCTCAACTGGCACTGCGTGCCTGGAATCCCACCAACCTGCTGGGGAGGCCGTGTGATCTCCTGGGTGACATTCTAGGACATGTTTCCGCACAGAGCTGAATATTCCATCGGCCCCGATAACAGCATCAAAGCTGAGAGTGACGCCATCCTGGAAAGTAAGCTGCAAGGCAGAATCAGACTGTTCCAATGCTAACAGCTTCTTCCCAGCATGAAGAATCTCACTTGGCAGTAGTTCAAGCAGCGCCTTTAGCATAGAAGCACGGTTCATTGCCAGTCCCGTATCGCCTTCAAGGTCAGCAACGACAGTGCCGACGCCGGATCCCGAGCCCTAGTTCAGGTCAGTCAGTACGCTGTCTAGGGTAGCCATGACTCCACGAACGATTACAACGCGAGAAGCGCCAATGGCGACCGCGCCAGCTTTTGATTTCAGAAACTCGGCAACAGCAGGAATGATCTCATCAAACGCACGAAGTGCGAGATCAGATAATCCGATTCCCAAGCCTTGTTCCGAGAACTCAGGCGCAGACTCGAATACCTCGACGCTCAGGTGCGGAAATTTCTGCAAGAAAATAGCCATAGTGATTCCGGCGAGGCCGCCGCCAACTATGGCTAAGTGAATACGGCCAGTCATCTCGTTGGTTGTGGGTGGGAGCGGACGAAGAACAAACGCGTCGTTGATCTCTGTTTCCAGGCTATGCTCGCGCGAGAGTGTCACCTAAAAGAGCTAGCAACTACAGACGGGACAGGCAATAGGGAAAAGTCTGGCAAGGGACCAATATCATGGTCGGGACAATACCTCGGAAGGTGTATGTGCGTTTGCGAGGTTGGGCCAGGAGCCTTGTGCCGGAACCCAGTTCCGGCCCGAATGTTAGGTCTAGAGTGTAACCTTGGGGCCAAATATGCATGCAAGGGACTTATGATCAAATGTGCCCCCGGTAGTGTAACAGTGTCTCAATACTGGTAAAACCTCGGTGTGCTTGGAGAGACCCTTAACTGCACAGTACGATGTCCGTGTTGGCGAAGCCACTGTCGCACTGCAGCGTTCTAGGCATCAGTTGGGATCTTGAAGAACTGGCAGAAACTCCTATTGGTGCGCCCCGCCAAGCCGGCCGTGGTTTATTAATTCCGTGCCGCTCGATCATGTCCTCCTAGGGCCCGTGATTGGTACTCAGTCCGTTGTAGGGTGTAGGACACTCAAGACGAGGCTGCCCTGAAAGTCCGTATTCATTTGAAAGGAAATAAGACTCGCGGAAGGATTTTGACGTATGATTGGAAGGATTGGGTTCATGCAAGTGCGGGCTCGGTAGGCGTGTCCAAATCTTATAGAATACAATCCTGCCACCTTGGTCAAATCAGAGCCTTGGGACTCAAATCGACAACAAGCTTAGTGGCCGCCAATTTTGCCTGTAAAGTGCCAAGTGTGCTATGCAGAAGTATTAACTTGGGACGTCCGGAAGAGTCTGCAGCCGCGGAACTCTCAACATCGGGATAGGACATCACCTGCTGTTTCTCTAAGAATGTTCAGCAATGAAGTTCTATTGGGTACAAATACAGCTGTTAGTAGTAGTCAGGAAAATAGCATAACCTCGAGAACGTGTGCCACTCTTGTATATCAAGTTCGCCTATCTGCCAACATACTTTGCCAAGTCATGTCTGTGGGTCGTATCATAGGGATCGGGGCTTGTTGGCTGATGTGCCCCTCCTGGCTACACTCCAACCTTCTCCAAATCTGTAACCCTTGGAACGCACAGCCCTGCCAAATACATTGGGCTCTAACGGGGATTCGGCATCTTGTAGTCTGGATCGACGGACGTTTTTCTAGTGGTGCTCCATTTCTCGATAGAGTCCCAATTGGCACAGACTGCTCTTCCGTTTGATCGCGCAAATGGTCGTTTGGCTTGAGGACTCTCCCAGTAAAATGAAATTATGGCCGTGTTACCGTAACACATAACGGTATGTCTCAAGGACTCGAGACAATGGTCTTTAGCAGATAGGGTTAGTCAATACTGGCTTTCATATCGTCGCGGGGGCCTACCGAGATGCCCTCTTAGGGACAGGTCTTGAGAGTGAGTGATATTAGGGTAGTAAATGTCTTTGTACGTGTAGAGGCGAAGTTGCCGCTAGACATTAATTAGTTTTCCTCTTTTCCATGTGGGCATATTTGCGGACTTCCATACCAGACAGTGAAGTTCGTGATAAATCCCAATGCTGGCCATATAACCTCCATCCGTCAGCTCTGCTAGATGCCCCATGGTTTCTCCTGCCTTCGCTAATTCGTCGAAAGTCGCGTTGAAGAACGTTCCTGGAAAATAATCAGACCGTGTCATCCCAGGACTGGATATACTCAGAATTATTGAACAAGGTTTTGTGAACTGACCACTTATCAGAGAGTCCCAAGCTCTGTCTTGCTCATCTGTTGGAGGTCCTCCAAAATGGTCTTGATTTTCGTGGCCTTGATCATTTAGAACTTTGACTTCGCATTTGATAAACTTCTGAATGGGTGCTTGAGAATTCATCAGCGTCGAGAGTTAATAACCAGAGACATGATTGTATAAATATTCATACACCAAGAACGTCCTTCAATCGAGCAAGGGTTATCAACTCGTAATATGGGTGCCCAATATGCGTTTATGAAGACAAGTAACAGGACATGGAGAAAAACGAGGTATGCTCGCGCGAGAAGATGGGGTTTAGCAACTTTGTTTCTTGCCTGTGACATGGGGATCTTATTTTCGAGTAGTTGGTCATTGACTGAGTCGCAATCTTCATCGCCACTGGCATGACTGCCCGGTGAAGTTATTGTCGGAGCCATTCTCAGATGACTCTGTCAGTAGTAGTTGGTATGTTTTCAAACAATTATACAGAAGCAGAGAACAGGGTGGCTTTGTTTAAGGTGGACCGTAGAAGCTCCAAAGAAAGATGTGGTTGAGGTTATCATTACCAGCAGGTAAATCGTGGGAACTGAAGAAACATGAACATGGGTGTATGCAGTGTCAGGAGGATGGGAGGGAAAGCATGCGTATCCCCGTCAGCCCATTCCATTTGGGGGCGGTGATCCCTGGACCAAGTGTGAACGCTCATCATCCCGCATATAGGACTAGTGGGTGTCACAACGGCAGGCAGAATCAACAGTGCCAACAACCTGAAGACTTGGCGTTTCACACTCAGAATTGATTTATCGGGTGTATGGTTCATACGTGAAGTGTGAAGTATTTAAGTCTTCATGGCGCCTGTGTGCATCGACTGGCTCTCTGTCCGGACTTGGTCAACCCAAAAATTGAGGAACAAGACTTTCGAACTCTGCTCTCATATTTCCCCTGTTAAACATAGCGCCATAATGCTACCGAGACAAGCTGGGATGGTGCTTTGTGTGCTCGCTGCGAGCTTCACCGTTGTCACACCATTGCCGTCGAGTAAGCACGACTTCCAGCTATCTTAGAGTTGAATGACAGTGCTATTCCTAACGACTTAAAGACTTGCTTTCCCGAGAGAAAGTAGCTCAGAGCAGTTGGCCGATGCCAGAGCGCGTTAATACCGTGGCTCGCCCATTCACTTTGTCTGGTAAGTATTCTAAGAGTCTAAAGAACTAGTTGGTCTGACAATGACTAGCCGAATACGAAAATGAAGATGGAGATTGAGAAGCTTAAGAGAAGGGTTTTGCTACACTTACTGCACTCCAGTAATCTAGAAACGGTCTCGAGAACATAGCCGACTTCCACGGAATTCGTGAGGAAAATAATTCTACTGGAGTGATTCATGTCGTGTGGCAGTAGCCGAGCAAAATGAGCAATACATACCTTGCTTCTCCGTCTTATGCCAGTGTTTCCTTCATACGAAGCATATATCTCAGGGTGTACATCTAAGTGATTTTAGGCAAGACATTTGGAAGTAGGTTCGTGGCGGATTCATTCATGCCGTAGATGTAATGCTAAATGAGGCCGAGTGGCACATGCATACCTAAACAGATACCCAGCTGAAGGAAAATAATACTCCACCGACCTTCGCGAAAATAAACTCGCGTGTTCAGAGTATGGGCCTATTGACAAGGCATCGACTATCTTGGATTCATTTTAGATCAACCGGTGTGACAGTGGGCAGGTGGTCTACGCCGCTGTTTTAACCGCCGCTCATGGAAGGAAGGCCTATAACTGGACAATTATTTTGCTTCCCAGAATGCTAAATCAGGGGCTCATGAGTAAGATGATTAGCCCCGGTTGCTTCGCATGTATGTCACAGTATGGGCAAGGAACCGTGCATAGCCCTCAAACCAACATAATGAAGGACGATAATTGCGTGATATCCATGCCATCGCCGACTAATGGCACCGTCGCACAACAGATCTGCGCTATCCCGGAATGAGCGCACTGTAGTCACATGCTCCCGAAGGAATGATTGGATATAGCAAACCCCTCTGCCTGTGCCGCAATATCCAGATGTCGGCCTGTCGTAGGACTCCCGTCCACTTCGCCCGCGTGCAGAAAGCCTAAGGCTGGTCACACGCAACAATGGCTGGAAAAGGAAATTTGGAGTACTGTTCAATCCTCATTCCCTGCACGCGAATCCCTTGCCATGCTGTGCGACGCATCATTTCACAATGGAGGACTTGTTGCTACTTGCTATCATCCCGAGCTTGGTTCCGATTACCAATTCTACAAAGCACTTCCAGATTCTCGACCCTGACGACCAAGTCTAGGCCCTCAGGGAAATCTTTCACTTGAAGAGCCATATTTGAAGTTGGTAATAATCAGTAAAACACTGACACTTCAGGAGCGTAGCCTTTCCCCTTTATCATTCTTAACGATCGTAGATTCTCATTGAGTCGTTACGTTTGCGCGATCTCTGCCCTTCAACATGTCATTTGACACCGGTTACTGGACAACTCCCAGCCATGTTATCGCTGCCGGTATTGGCTTGTCCATCTTGGATATCGCCTTTGTGTCGCTAAGATTCGCGGCGCGCAAGAAGCAAAGACAACCTTTGAAAGCTGATGACTGGCTTCTCGTGCCTGCGACCGTATGTTTGCAACACATGGAACTTGATAGAATACCTACTGAGCAAACATAGCTTCTTAATATCGGAATTGGTATCGCTATGGTGTATGGCGTATCCAGACATTCTTTAGCCTACCCCTTTGAGGTGCCCGCAGAAGCGGACGGAAATGGGCTCCTCGTCGCGACCGAGCAAATCAGCCTCGAAGGCAAAGTATGTATACCTAAAAGACCCGTGATATCGATGGTATATTGAGTGATACATCAGATTCAGTGGGCCTATACTCTTATGCTCCCATTGGCACTAGGATTTACTAAAGCGAGCTTCGTCTGCTTTTATAGGCGAATCTTCGCTGTTAACAGGTCAAGCAAGACGAACATATTTCTCGTTGGAATGATTGTCTTCATAATTATATGGATGGCAGCGTTCTTCTTCGCGTTTCTATTTCAATGCAGGCTGAACTTTTGGGCGCTTTGGACTTCGCCCATTGCCATCTTGGAGCATTGCGTTAGCGACACACCGATCAACTTCGCACTAACCATTACCGATGTCGTCACCGATGTGATAATCCTTATTACCCCGATCCCATTAGTAAGTAGCTATCACTAGAGTGAGCAAATAGAAGAAAGCTGACAGAATTTTCAGGTTTGGCGCTTGAAACTGACATCAGTCAGAAAACTTGCGGTCACCGCCGTCTTTCTCCTGGGAGCAGTGTATGCAATTTCATTTGAGCTTATGGATACCAGCTGACCGTAAATAGGACCGTATTGGCTTCCATAGTTCGCCTAGCTATGACCACTAAGATTTTGCAAGTGGGATTCGACCCTAATGTTGACGCTATCCGTGAGTTTCGTGATATGCCTTAGCGTATGATCGTTCTGACGTACGTGTAGTGTTAGTAACATCCTTCATATATTGGGGAATGGCCGAGAGTGGAATTGCTGTGTTTGTCGCTTGCCTCCCAACTCTCTGGATCCTATTCAAGGGATGGTCGTGGAATCATTTGGTCAGAGTCGCCAGGAGCATTGCCGACTCTAGCCTTTCTAGTTTGCGCTTGATAAGAACGCGGACGAGTGGGAGCAAAGAAGATTTGGCCACTGGGTACTCCGTCAATGGCACGTCTCTGAGGAAACTGAGCACTTCGACGCCATCAGAGTCTCCGTTCGCCGCGGACGCTCAGTTGATGTCAACCACCGACTCAAGAGACATCGAACTTGGTCGAGTGTAGTAAACCATCGTTGCATATTTTGGGCTCGGAGCTTTTCGAAAGAACACTTCTTAATATTGGGGTTTTAGTCAGTTGGCAAATTGAGTAGCGTGGCGGGGTAGGGGAAAAAAAATACGTACAAATCGTCAGCTCGGTGGAGTTGCTAAGCTTAAAGGTTGCGCTGTTGTACCTCCTTCTTAACTTCCTATATGTTGAGCTGCATTGGTTACGTACTATAAGCAAATATCTAATTAAGCCTCTGCTGCAATACTCTTCGGCAACAACCTTAGACTAGCACTGAGCCTGCTCGTAGAGTGCAGGATTTCACTTCGACCTTATACATGCAGGCTTTCTAAGAGGCGCTTGAAGAGACGATCCTAATTGTGTTATTATAGCGGATGGACAATAGTTTTAGGACAGGTTTAGGATGCATACACACTCCGTTCTACTCGAAGGTCACGACCGTTATCTTTGTTTTCAATGCTGCACGTTTCACAGGCTCTTAGCTATATAGCACTTATTCCCGCGATACTCCCATCGCCTTTATGCCAACTAAAGCGTGTTACTTGCTGGGACTATGAGAATCGGCATGGATATTCCAGTACTCTGAAACAATCTAAGGTGCATTGATACGCAGAAGGCATGTTGCAGAATCCTCTACCCGTTTGAAGGTCTAAGGTTGTAGGGTTTGTAGCTTGTCTGTGATACCAGGTCATACTGATATCATTCATTGATGCCAAGGAACTGGTCCGCGTTTACTAGTCTCGATGACCTGCCTGGTCACGAGCAGGTACTAAACATTCATTTCGGCGTAACTGGGATCACAGCTGATTTTTTGCAAAATCGGACTCAACAATTCCTACCACGGCTCGTCAAAATGCTCGTTGTGATCAATACGATTGCTTGGAGATGTTCGTGTTTGCAACGTATTGAGGAGCAAAGAATCTGGGAGGTGAATTTTTCGCATTCTGATGCCCATATGTTATGATAAGGTTTAGTCGCATGTCAATGCCACGAGGTCCGAGACATCTAGAGCCCACCTCTCATATGACTCGTCAACGCCTCTCGATGGCGAGGAACATGAATGGTGATCGACCATCCCAAGGGTTTGGTACTAGGGTTTGATTAGCATGCGGCTCTCTAGTCAGCGTCAGCAGTCGCACGACAAACTCCGTTGAATTGCTAGGCCCAACCTTAAGGGGCGACCGGCCTGTCAAGCTGGCATTAGGGCCCGTAACGCAGTACTTTAATGAGTCGCGATGATCCCGATGTTCCAGAACCAACGTTCTGAAGATTTCGGCTTTCTTAGTACGCACTGAGTATTTTTGATATTAATAGAGCTATGATACGTGCGCGACCAACGGTAAACTCGTTCTGTGTCGTAACAAGATATCCTTGGCTGACTGTTCCTGCCAATGTTCCGAATCCAGGTATCGTACGCTATCCTCCCAATTTTGACTCGCGGGTTTAGCCTACGCCATCAAATCTTATGTCCTAATCAACCTATCCATGGTATTATCGTAATTCCTTCGCTACATCCTGTACTCTGGCAAACCTCAGACCGTCTCACGAGGGGCCTTGCCACGAGCCTCGCGACCCTTGTCGGACCAGGGGAAGTGGATGACGGGAATGATGAAGAAGGAGTTGCTATGAGCGTTGTGTTAGTCAATGACGTAGCCAAGCAGTATGGAAATACGCACCTTCGGTCGGCAATACCGGCAAAGGCATTGTACCATGCCAAGAATGCAGCCAAGATACCGAAAGCGCCGCCAGCTTGCTGAAGCATCGTAGCAGACGACTTGGCGCCATTGCTCTTGGCAAACTCGCCACATGCCAGCATCAAGAAGGCCAGGTCCAAGGTGAAGAACAGCAGGAAGAACATGACAGTCGACCTCAGAGTGCACATCAAGAGGATGAAGGTGAAGATAAACCAGCCGCTCAGGAAGAAACCGAGCACTGATGCCTCATCTGCCGGTGCCTCTTCGTAGGCGCCGAGAGCATTGAAGCCGGGGGTCAGCAAGATGGCGTAGGATATCCAGAAACCACCGTAGGATGACAGTGCGGTGGCACCAAAGGTGTTGCCAACAGCCATTTCCCTGGTCAGGGTTAGCAAATACTCAATTGTACATCGCTTGTATCCGTGTCATGGGCGCACTCTGCGCAATCGAAGCCAGTCCATGTTACTTACCACATGCCAGCAAGAAGCTGCACCAGACCTCCGTAGCCGTAAGCCAGTGCCAGAACAATGTTGGGGGCTGCGATATTGCGGGCACCCATGTTGATGAGCGACAGAACAAAGGTCGTCAGGGCGAAAGCAGACAGACCAAGAGGCGCGGGGTTAGCAAACTTCCTGTGTTCCGTCGACCTGTAGAGACCCGGTTGAAACTCTCCGCCAAAAGCAGCAAGTCTCCCATCGGGGCCCGAATGGATGTGAGCCATGGGGTTGCCGCCGTAGTCGTACCGGTTCGTGGGCGCGGCGCCATTGGTGTCGGTCCCGGTCGTGGTGACCTTCTCTACATCGTGGGGTGCGGCAGACATATTGTCTTTGGTTTGGTTACCCTCAGATTGATGATACCTTGTTACGTTTGAGCGCTCTGGGGAATATTGCGGGGAGGAGGAGGAGCCTTTTTATAATGGAGGTGGAGCTGCGTAAGTTTTGGTGGTCCACGGAGCAAGAAGTTAGGGGTTCTGTGTCCCAGGAAATGCGGAGGGCCTAGTTTATGTACGGTGGATAGAGGCAATTGAAGGGGTTAAACGAGCAGGGGGCCCGGCAGAATATGTACTGAATATTAACGTAAATATTTGGCATGGGGAAGGGAGGGTGAATGGGTAATCTTCACCACTGGCTGGCCCGCACGCACGTACTGTAGATACATTCTACTTGGTGCATCTGATCCGCCCTTGAACCCATGTCTTCGGACCGCTCAACGGCCTTAGCGACATGAACCATTGGTGAGCTACCTCGGAGGTACAGGAATTATTCCCACAGAGCCGGCGAGGATCGTTGGGGCCTTGTCCGCATCGAGTACCGCGCAGGTCCACATTTGGACGAGAGGAAATGTGCACTTGCACCTGTACCACGAGCTAGTCCGAAGGTCGAACGGCCACCGCCCAGGTGATGAGCAAGGAAACCGACCAACCGTGGTCCGTCGAGCTAGTACCATGGTAATTACTAAACTGGAACTCGTAGTGTGATGACCGGCCGAAGATCATGACCACGTACAGGTCTGCTAACGTATGCCGGCGCTGGTTTGAGGCAGGCGGGTTTCCATGTGGCCGGGCTCTCACGCTTGCACGGCAAACTCTGCAGACCAGACCTCAACCTGAAGCACCAGATCAAGTCTGGAGCTAACACGTTACGGCAGACGTCAATTCACTATGGCGGCGCCCGCACGGATGGTATGGCCCTAAAAGGCTGGGGTTTTTGGCCGGCGCCGGGTGAATGGTTCTTATTTTCTTCTGGCACGCTGGCACAATGTCTTCGTCGTCATCACGCCCGGAGGCTGCTGTCATCTGGGGAAGTTCTGGGCGCAAAGTCGGGGGAGCTACCCGTTTTCTCGCCGACCATGGTATGGAAAGTGAGGGGGAAGGGGACCCCCCTGCAAGCCACACGCATGCAATGCATGGGAGCGGGACTGGCTGACTGGGGGAGCAAAGCCAAGCAATAATGAGTCGCAGGGGTTACATGCAGCAGGACGCAAATGCAGCACTGCTGACAAGGAGCAATTACTTCGACAAAACCCGAACCATGCTGCGCTCATTGATTGGAGGAATCGCCAGCGTCGTATCGACTGACACGACAAGATGGCCCGCCTGTTCCAATGGGGAAAGCAAGCTATGTTGCCAGCAGATTGTTTAAGATGACAGAGCGCTTGTGGTCGGAAAGCCGGGACGGCTACGAGAGAGCTCGTCAGAACCGAAGAGAAGAAGTCCCCATCAGCGTGGTGAATGCGCCAGTGTTGCGTGTTCAGGAGTCGAGTCATTGCTGATCTCGACCGAGGGCTCAACTGTTCTGACGATATGGTTTCCGTTCGACCGTTGCGAGGGCGCTCGATACCAACTAGCGGTTACCAAACAGACGGCGTCGATAATAATTGGGGTATCATGGCCGTCCATCAGATCTGCAGTATCAGGAGATCTAGTTCGGTGGCTGGTTCCCCGCAGGCTCAGTCGCCGCTCACGACATTTCGTAGGGGACTGACTTTCAGTGTGCATAACGGTATATGTAATCATCATTGCGCAGGAGGAGGTTCGGGTGCCCGTCGACCCGTGCTGCGGTAGAAGTGATCCAATGTGAGTGGGATGGTCTCACACACCTTCGTAATGTGGGCGCGCTCCCCAGCAGTTGCGAGAATCGACGCCTTTCTTTCTATTTGCAATTGCTGTACTTGATCGCAGCAGGGGAGAGTTTATGTATGCCCATTAGTACAGGCTGTTTCTTGTCTTCTGAATATGGAAGACGCTCAAGAGTGAACACAGTCAGTTGCTAACCTGCCGAGGTTGGGCGTGGAGTCGTAATGTAATACATTGCTCAAATCCATCCCAAAGGCGACAGAACCATGCCGTGCGCAAGGCGATCCCCGCCCGCGTGCGCTGTGCACCCACTTGGCCCTGGGAGGATGTTAGGCTGGGCCTCCTGCTCCAGAAACAGGCTGTTGCATCGCCCCATCAGCAAATCCAGAAATCCACACCATCGCGGGGCCCCGCTATTTGAATTCTCTTCTGACCATCTTCACCATCGCGAAGCATCATGGCCGTGTAGTCGCCTTGTAGTCAGACCCTCCCCGGTTTCGAGAACTGTGAGGCTGCCGAATCTGCTGAAAAGTCTACTTGGCTACTTGGCGTGGCGTTCTCACTGCCGAAAATGCCATGTGGGAAAAGCATCGCCCGCCGGCTCGGCGTTCTTGGCTTACCAGGTCTGCTAAGCCAGCAATTGCCAAGGCGTCAAGGGCGCTATGGCGACGTCAACAAAAATAAGACTGGCTTGAGCCTCAGCAAAGGTACTGGAATAACACAAACCTTCGTTATGAGATTACTGGCTTTGATTTGGTGTCCATGAAAGGACATGCAGTGGTAAGGTCCCGAGCGCCCGGGTCACCTAGATACTCCTGTTGCAAGAGTACCATACGGTATCGAGCGACTACCTTGCCATGGATACACAACCACATCTGTCGTTGCGCGTTCTCCAATTCCCCAACACCACCACCGATCGTTCGATTGGGGTTCTTGGAGACGCCCCCAAACATAGTTGAACGACACTAGTCGAAATCGGTACAGCACCTAACCGCATGCTGGCAGCCACCTAGCGCAACGATCGCCTCGACCTGGACATCAGATCGCGTAGGCCAAGGCGGCCCAGCGGAAGAGGCTTGCCAGACACAAACGTGACGCCATACGTCAACGGTCGCTCTACTGATGGTCCTCACCAAAGTCACCATGGATCGGGTTGTGTTTGAGCCATTGCGACACTGGGGACCTTCAACCTGCCTCACACTTCTACGTGATCGACTGGATTTAAGGGCGTTGCAAACCTCAAACGCCCTAGAGAAAGATTGGCATTGTGCCTTTTAGTCGTATCGCAATATTTGGACGTGTGCGGGAGATTGAGCGGCCGGAAAGCAGGGTCCAGGGTCCCTGTCTCGTTGCTCGTTTGAGCATCCAGCCACTGGCAGCTGGGCTTGGTGATGGCAAAATCTCCGGCCGCGCCTGGGCATGCATTTAAATCTGGTGATTGTGATCCGACGCTGACGAATTGTTCGTGTTCTCATGTGGCCCGTTCGAAGGATAGTAGAAAAACTTCCTCAAAAGTGTCGTCGGCGTTCCTATTGCATTCGTGCAGGGTGTCCTCGAGCCCGCTTTTAGTTGACGCACTCATGCCAGTTGTCATTTACTCAATCCGTACTGGTGTGGGCGCGTCGCCAACGTGTTTTGCCATTTAACCGGTAGGCTTGGGGCGCACACAGGCATACTATGGTATGAGAACCCTCCATGCAGGACCATGCGGATGACACCCACAGTATTAGGCGGCTGTTTTGACTCAGGGGCAATCACAGGCACTGCGGCGCAATTAATCTGGGAAGTCAGATGGCTCTCCAATCCAGCGTCACCATGCGCAGCAGCCAATAGAAATGTCCATGGATGTTGCAACCGTGGATGTTCTATAGGAGCCTAGAAGCCTCGAAGGGCTGCCTGAAGAGAAATGCTCGCTTAACCATACCATACTCACGTTGACGCTCGCTAAGTTGGTGTTATACCTCCTCACGAAGTATTGAAACGTTCGGCGGCGTGTGCATGATGTTTCGACGAGTGGTATTGTTCCAGGCGTTTGACCGACACTACCTGTGACTGTTACGGGCCGATTGACCGTCTACGGCTATCGTCTCCGAGTAGACACCCGAGGTACAGTTGACAACGTTTGATTCCTTCACACATGATAGTCTTGTATAAAAGGGACTGGTCATTGTAATTAGGTGTGCATAAAACACAGCCAACTTCTTACTGTGCAGGCGGAGTTTGGCCTAAGAGCTGGAGTGGACAATGCCAATGTCCTGAGATAATCTTTTGGTTTGCTTTATTCAGTTTGCTTCATCCGATCATCGTTATCTTGTATATTCAGCTCCACCCCCGGGGATAGCACTGACGTGACCACCACAAGCAATCTATAGTCCACCATACAGCTATCTTTGCAGGGCAATCTTCGTAGGAGACAGAGTCGTCTGAAGCCTTTGCATCAACGGCTTCCTGGTATTTTTGAACTGAGAAAGCGAGATCTCACAGAAACCCTACTTGATCTCAATGTCCGTAATAGTAAAGTTATACGGGGCTCTCTCGCGCGCCCAGTCCTTGGTGGTGTAGCCGGTGAGGTTTCGGATCCCGTCGCTTTTGGACTTGGTCAGTCACCTCCTTTATCAAAGTGCCAATTGTTCAGTCTCACCTTCCGGAAGTCAAATAGCTGACTGCCATATGACACTGGGTGTTGTCGCCTGTCGGATAGACTCGAGCAAGAACGCTGGAGCCGGCTTCGCCTGCACTCAACGTGCAGTCGGCAAAGGGCGACTCAACAGGAAAGTTTTCCGCAAAACCTCGGCACTGGGCTGAGAAAGCGGGTACTGTTGATCCATCGACTGTTGTCTCTGGGCTAGACACGTTGAAGACTGTATAGTGGTAAGCCACAAATGCTCTATAGCATATCGGATGGGCGCTTAATACTCACCATACCAACCAGTTTGGGGAGCGTTGGGGTTTCCATGAGATAGTCCGGCTTGCCAATTAATCACATCCCAGCTATATGTTGATGGCAACACATCGACTGCAGTATCGCGGGCCGAAATGACGGCACCGCTAGTACAGGTCGCCAATACTGATAGAAATGCTGAGGACTTCATCTTCTCCTGCTCTTGTTGACTTTCGTTGAAATTATCTGGGTGGAAATATGCGACCACCGAATTGCAAAATCTCAATTGTTCTTATACTCCGAGTTGCTCGTCTCTCCACCCTAGACACTACTGCCAAGTCCGCTGCGTTCCTAGTGGAGCGTTATTGCCTCCGCAGTCTGCACGCACCCCTCAGGCTAAATGCAAGCGTCTGACTGGCTGCCCTGATGGGAATCGGTCCCGAATGGTTACCTCCGTCTATTTTAAGGCAGCTTGTGCTGTAACCTCGAACGACGACACGTTTCTTTTTGCGGGTCAGGCCCAAATCACTGCGCTAATGCGACAAAACTAGCAATGACGCTGGCCTGGACTGCTCGTATTACTACAACAATTTCCGGAGTGACTATTCCTCCAGCCCTTGGCCAGGAAGGAACCCTTGCCCAGAAGAACTGGAGCTGTGGAGCTGTAAGCGGCTGCTTGCAGGATACGAAAGATCCTTCAGGAACTCGCATAACGGACCGACTTGACGACGAACTCTATAGTCATGAGGTCAAGAGTGAGAAGTATTTCTTTTTGGTCAAGCTAGTATGTGGGTCTTTTCAGCCTTAAAATTGGAAAATGGTAACCCCAGTACTATCAGCCACATATAGAGTAAATCTAAGTTCAAAATCAGGTCACCTATACAAGTTACCTTGACACAGTCATTTTGACAATAGTGACAAATGGGGATGGCGGATGTCGTGACTACATAGGAAAAACATTGCTCAGCTCGACGAAGTCCTTGTTGACAACGACAGAAGCCATTCCCTAATTTTGCATGGTTTATGGTATGCAGCTGCTGGCCGGGACTTAATAGCGGGCCATAATAAACAATGCGACTATGACGGGAAAGAAACGCTTGATGCTGACCTGTTTCTACTGCCCATAACTCAAAATAGCATTGTTACGGCTTGTCAGCTTTGGCACTGACCGAAGATCGAGCCCAACCACTTCGCGTTTTGGAATCAGTAATAAACCTCTTGAATATAATGAGCCAATCAATGCGAGAAATTCCAACCACTAGAAGTTGTGCCTTGAAGCTGCATAGAGTACGCACCAACTTCATTATAGAATCCAATTGGAAACTCGTCCCAACCCGGACCGTGAACTTCCAGGAAGTAGAGCCGAATTATTGCCAAGACCGTCGTACAAATTGTGATTGACTGCACCAGCAGGTAAAGCCTTAGAACTTCACGCTTCTGAATGACTAAAGGAGCTTGAAGATACCATCTCCGTAGAGCGCCTCTACGTTTAAAATTTAAGAATTGTAAGCGCGGAAGCCAACGGTCAGATTATCGAAGGGACTTTTAGGAAGTAGCCGTCCGCCGCGGTATATACGGCAGCTGCATAGCAATGACAAAAGTCCATGTAGGCCATACCGTCCAATTGCGACAATTTAATATGAACTGTTCGCTCGAGGCCCTTTTTGGAGATCCGAAAGGAACAACAAGGTCTAGTTTCGTATTAATACGAAGTCCACCGAATAGGTGTCCGGCGACGATTTGTAAGGCACTGCAGGGCTTGCAATCATCTTCATAAGCGGAGTTTCCGAAGTAAATCAAGCCAATTCCCAGATTCCTCAGCTTCGCCGCAATCTGAGCCTGTACAAACAGTCAACCAAAAGATACAGATTGGATCTAATCGTGAAGTCAACCTCAGTGATTTTAGACAGTTTAAGTGATATATGCACATTAAGGACGAATTGGTGGTGTAGGGTGATCCGCGAGGCTTTTTAAATAGACATGTGTTGTTCCAACCATCAGGTTTAATCTTGTTTTCAGACCCCGTGGGGGAACACAGGGTCATGACCCGATGCACTTTCCACCACGCTGGTCAAGTCGGAGGTGCTATTTTGGGTATATTGGTCGTTAAATTTCGGTGAACAGTGGCGCAGCTGAAATATTGGCATTGCCATAAGTGCAGCCTCCCCTCCCCCAAGGTTCCTCCATACTGTCTGTCATTTTTCCAAGTGCTTTTTTTACCTCTCCCAGCTGCCAGGTCGTGCTTTACTCAATATCCATGGTAACCACCTCCAAACCTTGTTTGGTCCTCACATTAAGCCTTGTAGCCAATGGCTTCTGATCAGCCCGGTCTGGAAGTACGTGGGCACGATGCGCCGGAAGCCTGCCAACCTGGCTTGGAAGTGTGCGATCATAATGCACCGAACGTTAATCGACAACAACATGACGCCTCATACGAGACTGAGCCCGACCACTCAACATTAAAAGATGGACTGAATCACGACTTGCAAGACACATCCACGAAGAAAATAAACAGAATATGTGGGATATCGAAGGGTCACTTCTGGATCATAGCGGCGATTGTGGCCTTAATGATTGTCATTGCTGCCGTTGGAGGCGGCCTTGGTGGTGCACTTGGGATAAAGGGTCACTCAGACGATGGGTAAGTAAGAATAAGTATTCTGCGATCGCATCATCTGCCTGACCATTAGTTTTCTTCTTTATGTAGAGTTTCGACATCAAGGACAGGCAGTATAACATCCATGACCGCAACCCCAACGAGCGAATCCAGCACTGCAATCCCAACGAGCGTATCCGGCACCGCAATCCCAACGAGCGAATCCAGCACCGCAAAAACAACTTCAAGCTTGTCCACTACTGCCCCAATGACTTCTGCTTTTCCTTCCAGCGGGCTTCTCCCACTCGATTGTCCCTCCATAAACAACAAGGAAACCACGATCTCGGTATCCGGGAGGGAATTTTCCTTCCAGTACCGCTGCGGCTTCGACACTTCAAGCTTTCCAATCAAGACTTACAATACGTCGAACATAGATGACTGTCTCGGCAAGTGCGGCCAGTATGATATCGATCAGGGTTCGAACGACTGCAAGGGTATCACCTGGAATGGTAACCTCACCAGCTCTATTTCACAAGGTGGAAATTGCTTTATAAAGGTAGGGAGCATCAGCTTGACTCCTTGCAGCGAATGCCCCCTTGTAGCGTCGGCCGTGCGGATGTGAAGCCTTTTTTCGTACTGGGAGTGTCTAATGAGATTCTAACGTAATTTCAATGTCAAAGGTTCTGACTGGTTGGCTTCCCCTTATGTGCGTGCCTGGCGGAAATAAGAGAATCACGATGCTGCAGCATTTGAGCTGATGCTAGGATTATAGCAGTGAAGAGTCGAAAAATTGTGCCTGCAATCCAGAAAGAAGCAGCTCTCCGCATCAACCCGAAACCCTGGAGGCGTGGGCGCCCAGGATGGAATGACGAAGAAGACCTCCGTAACTCCATTCATCATTTACTTCAAGTCATTTTCGGATAGTCCACCGATATACAGATAGCCAGTGACGGAACATCGGGATCTGTATTTTTGCTGCATTTCCCAAAGAAGCGCCATTGACTTATGAAATATATGAATTGCAAGCATGTTGCGTCCTCAAGTCGCAGCTGCGCTCTTGGCTGCTAAAGTTAGCGGCGCATTACTTTTCTTGTCGTCATCTTATACTGTTATATCATGAAGAAGTCTTCCCATGTGTTCATAAAGCACTCACTTATTCTTAAAGTATGTCACACTTCCACTATCATTGACGAGAGACTCGAATACGACGACGGCTTGCGGGAATTTATCTTGGCGAATGTTCGAATTCTTACGCTTAATCCTTCACGATAACTGTCTCTATTGATAGAAAACCCAGGAAATACGGAACATATCTCTATTCATCATTCAAAGTACATCAGCCAGCAATCAATTGTTCCGAATAGTTGCAAGATTAAGAGGTTAACACTTTGGATTGGTTCTTGGATTGGCCCGACTGGACTCGGTAGTCCGGGCGTGCTCGGTGCTCGGTATAATCTTCTCCACTATGCTCCTTGTACGGGACTAGCAAGCCACCCTTGGTGACAAGGTCGCTTTAGAACAAAAAGCAGCTGGAAAGCTGTCAGAGGAAATCCAGAGTTTCTCGAATGCAACTAGAGCTTTCTACTTGGGCCCAATATAAGTTTTTATAATAATAATCCTCAAGGCGATTGGATTGTTTACGAGGGCTCGGTTGGCGCTTGGCTCGCTTCGCCCCGGTCTCTTGGCTTCCATATAACCCACATTTTCATTTGGTCCCCAGATCCATGCAACGACTAGCTTCACTGATAGGCAAAACGGAGTCGCGGCGGACTCCCGGTGGACCTTCAGGCCTGGAAGCTCGGACCAGACCTCGACAGACAGCTTCGCCTCGAGGCCTAGGATCACCTCGTAGTTTGCGATGAGATACGCGAGTGCAAGAGCTTCCCAGGCTGAGTTCTCCTTGCTACCGAGTGATAAATGGCTATTAAGCGCTTATGGATGTGTATCTGTATTTACCGCCCCATAGGCACGATGCTATGCTTGGTGAAGGAGGGCACAGTTTGCAAAAAATGTTACCTGGCTCCACCCACTGACCCTATTCAGGAAGTCCAGAAATAACGAACGAATCCTTCGGAACGCGGATACCCCTACCGACCAACAGGCCTATGAACCAGGAGGAGTCAAACAGGAGTCGGGGACTCGAGCGTCAAATTCCGCGGCATCGCGGCAATTTATGCTGGCCGCACATTCAAAGGTAGTGTTGCTGTTTTGATGGCAAATGTGTGCAACTTCACTTGATAAATCACGTTGTGTGGTGCGTCCGGTCGCCTCATATTTCCAGTGCATTCGCCTCAGTATATGTTATTCTTCGTTCGTCTTACAATATACTACGCATCCACTTCAGCGAGCTCGAATATTGTCGCCGCGACAGACGCTGGGTGCAAGCAACTTCGGGACCGAAGAAGCAGACTGGTAGTCACTTGGTATCGGCCGTATAATCGACACGTCGATTTGCCCTTAGGCGCTCGTCTGTCAGTAATCCGGCCAAGTAAGCGCGGTATATACCCCGGATTTCGACCATCAGCCGCCGTAAGCTCGGCGAGAGGACGTCAGAGCGCCGTCCAGCTTATTCAGCACACTGACTCGTTTGGTAAGACATTCCGCGTGCTTTTGGCACGTACATATAGCTATGATCAACATCACTTTCGTAAACAGTACGAATACGAGTTGATGCATTTGAAAAGTGCAATAGGTGGTTTTTGGTAGCTTTGGGCCATAGGCTACTGGGGGGAGGGCTCAAACTTCATCTAGCCAAACCAGCTAACTCCCATGTGATGTCAAGAGATACGAAGCCCGTCTTTGGCGTCTCTGCAGCCTGATTTCAATACCTAACAACGAAGGCTGACATAGGGTTGACTCGAACAGAGGAACTCATTATGCCATCCCGAAGATCGCATACCAACTCTCATCACGGGTGAGTCATCGTGATTTCCGAGTCAGCGTAGCCAGATGACCTGACACAAGCCAACAAACAGATGTTTACAGTGCAAGGCTCGGCGGGTCAAATGCGACCAGGTTGGGTCCCTCCATACCAGTATTGTCCATGCATAGCACTTACATGTCTTTGTCGTTAGGCCCAGCCCAGGTGCACAAGGTGTAGCAAGAAAGGCCAAGACTGTACTTATCAACATTTGATGTCATCGTATGATCCATTCAGGAACTACAACGAACAGTCACAAATAACGAAAGCCGGCCCATTGCCATCGAAACAGTCTATCCGACGAGTACGATCAGCAGCTCAAACCCTTTCCTCTAGCCCGGCATCACCAGCCAATTACGAGATGTCGCGTCAATCATCACCAGTGGCTTACAAAATACCGCCGCGGTATGGATTAACGGGGCTGCCCGAACCAGATCCTGTGGTCCATGAACTACTGCACCATTACACGACCCATCTCCCGTCGTTATACGCCTCGTCGCCGTCAAAGTCAGAAACACTACCATTATTTTATTCGACCATGATTCGCCACGCCCAAGAGCACCCCTATGTTCATCACGCCTTGTTGACTTTCTCGGCGCTCCACATGGCCTCGCTGACGGCAAATGCGGAGCAATACCAAAACCCTCCACCACACCTCGTCATTGCTCTCTCACAAAAGGCATTGGCCATCGAGAGATTCCGACCTGTGGTTGAGTCGGTGACAGCCGAGACTTGCGAGCCCGCGCTGGCCGCTTCGGGTTTGCTCACAGCCTGTGCCTTCGCGTTGCCACTTGCTGGGGCTCCTTTTGACGTTGTCGATCAGCTTGCTCAGATTACTTCGTTGTTTCAGGGGACGACAACGTTGTTCAGGATGGGTTGGCGCAAGCCTAGACCGCTCGTTAGTGACGCCGCACCAAAGGTAAGACCGTCGGTGCTGCTGTCCGCGGTAAACGAGAAATCTTGGCCACAAGCCGAGCATGCTGTTGATCAAGTTCTGCGTGTCATTATGACGATAGACGAGAGACATCAGTCCACGAGAGGGAGAAAGGACGTACTGGTTGATGCAGCGCTCAAACTCAAGATAGCGTTCCGGAGGGTCGCCGCAGCAAGGGGCGCGTATGCAGTTGCGGCTATGTGGCTCGGCATGGTGTCATCTGCGTTCGTCGACAGAGTTCGGGAGCGAGACTCCTTGGCCCTCGTGTTGATGGCTGACTGGTCTGTGTCACTCAAAGACGTGCAGCATGTGTGGTGGAGTCGAGGCTGGGCTGAACGAACTGTCAACGCCGTCTCCAGGGAATTGGGAGAGCATGAACTCTATCTGCTTAATTGGGCTCTGGTAGCGGTAAACGAGAATTGTAACCAGCCTCACGAGCTGCAGCCTGTGAAGTATGAGAACTATACGATACATAATCCTCCGACAAAAAAAGGGAAGACGACATAGCCTAGGTTTTCTAGAAATGCCTATACATGCATAGCACATGAAAATGATATGCTTCCTGAACGATAACACAAGTCGCCTATATACATGACTACATATGGTGCCTTTTACTAAAAGAATGATATTCCTAACAAGTTTTGCAGCGAAAGTGCAAACTTCACCAGGAGTGTCTCCTTCTGGTACGTCCGCTTCATCTCCAAGTCGTGCAGAAACCAGTCCCCGCCGGTCAGTCTCCACGTTTCGTAGTAGAACCCGCCGCCGCGGATCTCGGCCAGGGCGCCCAGCGGCGGCACCAACAGCTGGTCCTCGAAGCCCCAGACGACCTTGACCTCGTCGGCGCGAACCTGCTCAAAGTCGCCTGGCCCAATGTTATGCAGCGTCTGCAGGTTGGCGAAGAAGCGAGTGAAGAAGGCAGTGAAGGTCCGGGTGGAGTCGAAGACCAGCGCGCCGAACCCGCCGACCCGGAGCGGCGCCCCGCTGACGTCCAGGAACCGGTACCGGGTGCTCGGGAGCGACACGTCGCCCTCGTACTTGTGCCACTGCTTCGTGTCGGCGTACCGGCCGTAGCGCGCCTTCTTGCGCGTGATGGCCGCTATCACGTCGGGAGGTGGCAGTGACATTGCGAAGTATGTTTTCTGCCTTCCGCAGCTGCCTTCCTATCCAGTTTTGTGAGATGGAAGTTTGGGCCAGGAAGGACGTCACACCAGGTGGAGGTGGGCGGGGGAGAGGAGGGGAAGAAGGCAAGAGGGAGCCTCGTACTACATGAACCGCTCTCATGGCGATGGTTGTGTCTTATACCATTCCTACCCTTGTTCACCTCAGTCCTTGCGCCCCGCTTCGCCAATGCTGACCGCAGCGAATGGGCATCATGGAATTGTTGATACTTACCGGTTTCTAGATACCGGGAAGTGATGCCATTTGACGTTTCGCGATGCGATTACCTTCAATGATTGCTCTTAAAACACTACCAATACTTCGCAGGTTAGTGCTGACGTTGGCATCTATGGCAGGTTATAGTGGCAATATTTGGGCTGATCTCTTGGCCACTCATGAAGGAGACAGTAGACATTCTGATTTGAAAACTATGGAAAGTCATACTCATAAGATGTAGATATTTTCTCTGGCTCAAGTCCCGAATCCTCAGTCGCTAGTATACGTGACATGCGGCCTGTAACGGGGCTCATCGTCTTCGAAATACTCGTCCTCCTCCTGCTCCTCCTCCATCTGCTCCTCCTCCTCATCACGCCGTCTGCTGCTGCGCCTCAGCCGGCGGCGGCCCAGGAACTCCTTGAACCCGCGGCTCATCTTGACCACGGCGCGCAGATGCTTGTCCGTGACCGTGACCGTGTCGAGGCCGTCCTCGAGGGCCTCGGTCTCGGCCATGGCGACGGCGGTCTGCAGGGCGTTGCGGATCTCGCGGCCGTTCCAGCGCAGGCGGCGCACGTCGGGGGCCCCGTAGGCGTAGTCGCGCAGGGCGGCCGAGACGCGGACGGCGCCGCCGGCGTCGCGCTCGAGGCGGGCGAAGCCGCTGAGCCAGACGCGCTCGCGGTCCGCGTCCGTCAGCGGCCGGTAGTGCAGCGCCACGTGGATGCGCGACGTGAAGGCGCTGTCGAAGGCCCGCACCCGGTTCGTCGTCAGGAACAGCACGCCCCGGTAGTACTCCAGCGCCCGCAGGAAGATGGACACCAGCCCGTTGCGCGCGATGTCGCTCGCCTGCCGCGCCTCCAGGTACACGTCGGCCTCGTCCAGCAGCACCATGGCGCCGAACCGCTCGCCCAGCTGCAGGAAGTACTCGAGGTTCTTCTCGACCGTGTACGAGTTGGTGCTCAGGTCGCCGCTGGTCAGCGATAGGAGCGGCCGGTGCGCCAGCTCGGCGATGCTTTCGCAGGTCGCCGTCTTGCCCACGCCGGGCGATCCATGCAGGAGGAAGATACGGCCCTGGCCCTTGTTCTTGACGAAGTCACTCGGCCATGGTGTCACTCGCCCATTGACGCTGGAGAACTTGCCAATGAGGGCCTTGACTGTGAGTTTGATCTCATCGTCCAGGACCAGGTACTTGAAGGCCTCCTTGTCGTATTTGATCTCGCTGAGAGACTCGACATTGAAGTGTGCCCAGCGGCGCTCGCCCAGGATGAAGCCGGGAAGCGTCTTACTGAAGACCAGGTAGTACAAGTCATTCTCCGGGGCTGGGTCGCGGGCCGGGCTGAGGTCCTCGAACTTGGCAAACTGATGGAGCTCGCGCTGTTCGCCCGCAGTCTTGCACGAAGTGCAGCCACAGCGCTGCTTGAAGTAAGGCAGCTGATCCCTCGGGGGGGCTGATCTACGGGGACGGCCGCGTCCGTAACGGTGTCTGTCGTCTCCCGGCGCGTCGGCTGCAAACCTCGCAAAACCGTCGCAGTCAACTATGACGCGGCCATTCATCTGCGCAAGTATTAACACCAGGTCGCATACGCGTACAAGGGGTGCAGGTGCCGCCAAAGGCAACTTACATAGCCGGTAGTACTGGTTGGGTTGCTCCCATCGGTATCAGCGCCCTTGTCGGCGAGAGTTCCATTGTAAGACATGTATGCCGGTCCCTTGGACAGGTTCCAAGCAGCCTTGCCGAGCTCGATACTCTTTGCAGTATCATATCCATCGTTCTTGAAGAAACGGACAGGAATGACTCGTAGGTTGCTGATAGCATCTTCCCCGGTGAAAGGAGGAATGCTAAGGCTGTGCATGAATCGACGCAGCTTTCCATGAGCGTAGACAATGTTCCATGCTTCCAACTTGTACGTATACGGCGCCTCATCGCCTCTGAACCATGGTGAGTTGTCATCGCACCTGCATACGACAAACTCTCTCCACTTGCCGCCTTTCTTGGCACAAACCACATCCCCTGGTTTGAACAACATCCAGAGGTTCTTGAAGATGGTCGTAGGTTTACTGTTGAGGTGGCGGTTCTCCTCCTCTCGGAGCTCCTCGCCGTGGGTCTTTTCTAGGAAACCTAGGAGGACATCTATGTGCTTAGCAGTGATGGCGGCAAGGTCCTCATCATGGGCTTCGGGTTGGTGGGTCTTGTAATGAGCAAGTTGCTGCCGATGATGGACAAGGACATGGTATGGTGCGTTAACCTTGAGAGTGTTGCCCATGAAGTTACCTGTTCAAATATCATCAGCATGCGATCGAGGATACGTTGTTGAGAGACCACGTACAGTCCGGGTAGTAATCGACAACAGCACGTAACGCGTTGATCAGATACACCGAGTTGATCACCATGACCGTCTCCTCAACATCGGTTACGTTCATCCCATCGTGATTGCCTCTCCTGGGCGGTTCGTGAATGATGTCAACGACATCATCATCGGAATCGTCGCTATACATGGGAGGAGGACCGGGGTTGATCCTGGCCCCCCGCTGATTTGCCGGTGCTGCACGCACCCTGGTGATAATCTCCAGGACAGGCTTTTGGGTGCTACGGCCAGCGTTATGGTGGTATTCATCGTTGAATTCTTGAATGTTGATGGGCTCGGTGCTGCGATGCACTGAATTTCGTAAGTCAGATTGCATACAGCGCAGAATAATGATGACGACGATTAAGAAAGACCATCGAGACATATGAAAGTAATTGGTCACTGTCGGACATACGCTCTTTTGGTTCCCTGTCGAAAATCCCCTGATATGTCAGGGAATAGACAACGTCTGGGACTTCGCCGTCCGCAATCTCTTTGGTGCCTTCAGCCGTAGACTTGGCTACAATGGCCTTCAGCCTATCAACAACTCTCTTGTCTACCAGCCCATGCTCATCGACAGAGTCCTCACGGTCGATGACGCGGCGCCTCCGGCCGATATCCTCGAAGCTGACATTGGAGCTGGTATCGTTGTCATACATGGTGCAGACAGGAAGGCTTAGAGAGACTATAGCTACGTGACAAATGTTGTGTGCTGCTCAACGGTAGTAAAGAAAAAGTGGAAGTCCGAGGGGACCAGGCTATGAGCTACTTATACTGCGGTGGGCTCTGGATGTGCGCGCCCTCACCCACAATCAATCGGAAGGCCTTATGTCCTGTCGTGTTGTCAGATGAGGCTGTACAGGCCGTGGTTGAACGTGGCAAGGCAGCAGGGCGCATGTGCTGCCTAGACTTATGCAAGTAAGCGGCGCCCCTACAGCGATAGGGCTGAATGGTCTGTCCAATCTCATCCATGGCACATGGATTCAAGATTTCAGAAGCAGAGTGGCTGAAGATGTAGCCTGCAGGACTCGTCTGTCGTAAAAGAGGGTACTGAGGGAGTTGGTAGTTTGAACAGAAAGGAAAAAGTCTCCACTTTCACTGGTACTCTGTAGTACCTTGGAATCTAGCTTAGGTTGCCTTGATGAGCTTCCTCACTTTCTCAGTCTAAAACGACTCGTCGAGATCCCGACGGCCGTAGTTGTTAGATGCTAAGCATCAGTTAATAATTCAGGCTTCACGATGTTATGGTGATTGTTTGTATTGTGAATTGACTTTTATTGCCCGTTCCCAGGTGATGCAACTAGCTTTTCTACGCTTTGTTCACATCAGTCCTCGCCCCGCTACCGACCCATAATCCAGCCCCGAACGCCGATGTCGAATTCAATGCCTTAATCAATCGAGGCAAACGCATAGGCCTCACCGGTATCAATAAGATCATGCTACTCATGCCGACACGCCTTCTCAGTGTCATTTTACATTTTTCAGTATATGCGGAGAAATTAGGCGTAGAGCTTCTTCTCGTAGCTCTCCATGTTCACACCACCCTCGAGCTGGGCACTGGCAGTTCGGATCTCGAAGCGCACGGTGCCATCGGCGACCTTCTCGTGCAGCTGGGCCAGGCTCTGGATACCGGCGTCCTGCATCGAGTGCTTGACGCCGGCAGCAAGGTAGGGCACGAACTTGCTGACCGAGCCACGGTGAGCAACAGTACCAGCGACACCCTGGGCAACGAGCACGCTGTCACCCTCGGAGAAGTAGCGAGCAGTACCGGCGTTGCTGGCCTGGCTGTTCTTGCCGCCCGAGCCGGCCTTCTTGTCTTGCATGGCATCGATGCTGCCCATGCCACGGTAGGCCTTGGTCTGGACGAGCTTGCCGTCGCGGGTGACGAATGAGGTCAGGCTTCCGGGCGACTCGGTAGTACCAGCCAGAAGGCCACCCATCATGATGGTAGTAGCGCCAAGAGCAAGACCCTTGACGATGTGACCGACGTTCTGGATACCGCCATCGGCGATGCAGGGAACGCCGAATCGAGCGGCAAAGGAGGAGACGGAGTGCACGGCAGCAGCCTGGGGACGGCCGACAGCCATGACCTCCTGGGTGATACAGGCGCTTCCGCTGCCCATACCGATACGGAGGCCGTCGACGCCAGCGGCGATGAGGCTGGCTGCCTGCTCTCGTGTCACGACGTTTCCGCCAATGACATCGAGACCAGGGAACTCCTGCTTGATCCACTTGATCATGTCAATCTGGTACATGGAGTTACCCTGGCTGCTGTCGAGGATGACGATGTCGAGGCCGGCGTCGACAAGCTTCTTGAGACGAAGCTTGTCCTCGGGTCGGGTGCCGATGGCGGCGGCGACGATCAGCTGCTTGGAGTCGGGCAGCTTGGAGGCCAGGGGGTAGTTGTGGTTCTTGGTCAGATCGGAGCGCGAGATCATGGAAACCAGGTTGAAGCTCTTGTCGACGATGGGGAGCTTGCCCTTCTTGGACTTGGCGAGGATGCTGTTGGCCTCGAACAGATCGACGCCGTGCGAGGCGGTGACGAGGTCGGTGACCATGACCTCCTCGACGGACTTGCTATCGTCGTCCTCGAACTGGATATCCCGGTTCGTGACAATACCCAGCAGCTTGGAGCCGAGTTTGCCGGACTCTGTTATCGCAGCGAGTTAGCGATTGGGTTGCATGATGCAGTCCAGGGTTGATTGGAAGCGAAGAGATGGTAGTGGTTGGATTTTTTTGTCATAAAGAGCATTAATTTATTCCCCATGACAGTTATGTCGATACGGTGGAACGAAAGTTATATATTAAGGTGTGTAATCATGTAAAAAAGAACCGTGGGGGGTTTGCTGGCAAAAAAGTTGCGAAAGTCGCCGGAAGGCTTCTCAGGATATCTTTGGCAGAAGTAGAAAATGAGGAGACAAGGTTGCCTTGGGACTTACCAGTGACGGGGAAACCACCAAAGCCCCATTTCTCCTTCAGGGCTCTGGCCTCTCCGACGGTGGTCTGGCGGGAGATGACGACGGGGTCGACAATGAAGCCGTTCTCGTATCTCTTGACCTTGGCGACCATGTCGGCCTGCTCGTCGGGGGAGCAGTTGTGGTGGATGACGCCCAGGCCGCCCTGCAGGGCCATGTGGATGGCCATCTCGTGCTCAGTGACGGTGTCCATGGGGGACGAGACGAAGGGGGTCTTGAGCGAGATCCTCTTGGTGACGGGAGACTCGAGGGAGACATCGGAGGCGGGGAAGCCGATGTAGCCCGGCAGCAGCAGGAAGTCATTGTAGGTGAGGCCGCCGTGGAGCTTGGTGTCCATCAGGTCCTCGATGCCGAGACCATCACGGCTCTTGTACTCGGCGAGGAGCTCGAGGGCCTTGGTGTGGTCAGCGACCTCGGCCGAGGGGTGAACACCGTTGGTGGAAGGCATTGCGATCAGGATCTGACGCGGGACGCCTTGGGAAGAGTCTTGGAGGGGGTGAGGTCAAAGATGTCGCCGAACGATTCTCAATCTGGTCGACGGCAGCTTGCCCGAAAGAATAGAAGTTTTCTTTGGGGCTCAGGTCGACGACGATTTTTTTTGTACACGGCCGAGTGGACCCTGCAGATGCGATAGCGGGGCAGCCTTTTCGGGCAAAAAAAGAAAGAAGAAAAAAAAGCTTTCCAATCGTTTGTCACGCCGCCCCAGCACACGCCCCAGCACACGCCCCCAGCAGCCAGCCAGGCCAGCCCAGCACCAGGCCCGGGCGGTGAATGCAAACGTCAGCGGGTCGGTGTGCTACATAGTAAAGTGCACGGGTGGGGGCAGCCTCGGGGGCTGATTGGGCGGGCAGGGCTGGGCTGTCCGCAACGAAAAAGTGGCTGGAATCGCGAATCGCGCGTGGTACGTTGTGGCTGCCCGTGCAACACCAGCCACAGACGAGCAGAGAGCGCCGGAAGGCCAAGGCCAGGCCCGGGCCCCACAATACTGGAAGTCGATTGGTGATTGGTCTTTGGCCGTCGCTGGTCTTCCCTGTTCCAAGGCTCCCAGACGCAGCTGCCGGTTGCCGGGGCACTCGGGCCAGCGTAAACACAAACATCCCGGCCCTCGCACCTCCTACGTGACCCTCCTACGTGACCCCGTCGACCCCCAGCCCCTCCATTCCGGGCTCGCCTATTCGGACCTTGGACCTCTCTCGATCATAATGGGCCGCTGTTAATGGTCGTGGCTGTTCTGATATTGGCAAGTCCATTTCTCGCCGGTGCATTGCTGCGCAATATTCACTCCCCATCTCTGCGAACGTCATCTCCTGCGAGTCCGCCCAGCGCGCCCTCGCGAAACCATCTTGGCCGGGCCGCACACTTGCCAGAGCGCCCCAAGCACGCCGTGTTTGACCCAGTTCTCATCTTAGGGACCGACGCTATATCCATCGTGCCCGACCTCTGGACCGGGTTCCCTCACCCTCGGGGCCGTCAACATATTTGCGACAGCAGGCATCTGCCGAACCAGAGAATACAACAGCCTCGACCTCGTTCTCCGACCGCGCGACCTGCCTGTTGACAGCTTGACAGCGTGACATATCTCGCTCCCGTCCCCGTCTTCCCCTCTTCTGTCCCTCTTGGAGCTTCCCATGTCCTCCTCGGCGCCAGCCTCAGCTCTCGGATAATCGCCTGCCGGTAGCTGTAATGTGGACGTCATCCCCAGACGACGCTGCACTTCATTCTTTCTGGGACGAACATCCTCTGGAGCACTAGCAGTCTTCTCCCAAGATGTCGTACCGTCCGCATCCCCTGCGGCAGTCGTACACGGTCGACTACGCCACCCTCGACACTATCAACCGCCAGCCTTCGACCACTTCGTCCTCTGCCTCGTCCGGCTATTCCTACACCTCTGACGCCTACGACTTTGGTCGCGCCAGCACAAACTCCTCCGTCGCCACGTCCAGCGCCTATGGTCCCTCCGGCCCCTCCGCTTACACCCATAAGCGCGGCAAGAGCGAAGCTGCAATCAGGCACTCGCCTGTAAGATCCAGCACCTACGATGAGCCCAAGTCGAACCCTCAGGACATGTACGCCATCGCGCGTCAGTCATTGCGCCCCTTGCCCCAGGCCCCAGGTCCCGGCCTCAGTCCGCCTTCCCATCAACGATCGCCTTCCAAGCCAACCACGCCTCCGAGCCTTGTCCGCCAAGAGCGTGCCCAAAGCATAGACTATCCAGGTCGCACCACCTCGAAAACACCGACGCCTCCAAGTCACGGCCGCCACGAGCGTGGCCAGAGCCTGGACATCGGGAGATTGTCGCTGGTTGACGGCAGGACTTCGCCAACTCCGCTCTCGCGCTCTACGGCTTCGAGGCCAACGTCCATGCTCCTCACTCGTTCCGACTCCATCCGACAGAGTCCTGCGGGCGCCCGCGACCCTGGCGCCCTCGTCCACTCGCCAATTGCACGCCCAGACCTTCAGCAGCTGGGCCGGTCTTCCACCAGCCAGCTGAGGACCTTGTCCAAACTTGGGAGTGCCGAGGATTTTGCCATCACCTCTCAAACTCAAGAAGTTGTCGGCCTACGCGGGCGCCGAAGACTGCAGCGTGCCGGTGATGGGAACGCCGCTCCCAGCAGTGACAGGTTCGGCTTCGGCGGCCGGAACTGGATGGATAAGCAACGCCAGTTCCTTCAGGCCTACGAATACCTCTGCCATATAGGAGAAGCCAAGGAGTGGATCGAGGACATTATCCACCGACAGATCCCCCCGATCGTCGAGCTAGAGGAAGCACTGCGGGATGGAGTGACTCTGGCCGAGGTCGTAGAGGCCTTGAACCCGGATCGGAGATTCCGCATATTCCGCCATCCGCGTCTTCAAGCCCGACATTGGGACAATGTTGCGACCTTCTTCCGGTATTTGGACGAGGTCGAGCTGCCGGACTTGTTCCGCTTCGAACTGATCGACCTGTACGAGAAAAAGAACATTCCCAAGGTCATCTACGCCATCCATGCACTCAGCTGGCTTCTCTTCCGCAAAGGCATTGTAGATTTCAGGATAGGCAACCTGGTCGGCCAATTGGAGTTTGAGCACCATGAACTGGAGGCTATGCAGAAAGGCCTGGATAAGCTTGGGGTCAACATGCCTAGCTTTGGCAACATGGGCGCCGACTTTGGTGTCGAGGCCCCTCCCGAACCTGTCGAGACTGAGGAGGAACGCATCGACAGAGAGTTGGCCGAGAATGAGCCCGTGATTCTCGACCTCCAAGCACAGATCCGAGGTGCCATGATGCGCATGCGTCTGGCCAACATCATGAACCAACTATGGGATTCGGAGGATTGGATTGTGGATCTCCAGTCGCGGATACGAGGCGACTGGACCCGACAGATCATGGACTACAGGCTTCAGATGAGAAAGTTCGCAGTACAACTGCAGAGCGCTGCGCGCGGCTTCATGGTTCGCAACAGAATGATGAATAGGGAACATTTCTGGAAGAGCAAGGAGAAGAACATCATCAAGCTCCAGAGCATGATGCGGGCCATGCGTGTCCGCAACGAGGTACGCGAGACGAGATCTCAATTACAGTGCGAGGACGGTCCTATCAGGAGCATTCAGGCAATGTGCAAGGGTTTCCTCGCACGCGAGAGGGTCTGCGCTCAACAGCAAGAGTCAAGCCAAATGCAGGGGCCCATCATGGACCTGCAGTCAGCCATTCGCGGCATGCTGTTGAGAGGCAGGGTCGAGAAGGATCTCTATTTTCTCGAACAAGAAGCCCAGGCCATCCGTGGCCTGCAGGCTGCTACGAGGGCCATGCTGACAAGAAACCAGGTCAATCGACAACGAGCTGCTCTGGAGCAGTTCACACCACAGTGGGAGGCTCTGCAAGCCGCTCACAGAGGTGGTGTGGTCCGGTCCAATGTACAAGCAACCAAGACCGAGTTACACCAGCACAGCACGGAAATCTGTTCTTTGCAGTCTCACATCCGCGCTGCAGCCGTACGTAGAGCGATCGCTGACACACTAGATGCTCTGCACGACCACGAGACATCTGTGATCGATCTACAGTCCATGGCGAGAGGCATGCTGGAGCGTCAACGGATAGCTGCTGATCTTGACGACCTGGAGAACCTCACCTCCGAGATCACGGACCTGCAGGCTAAGATCCGAGGTGCACAGTTTAGGAAGGAGCACTTCGCCTTCTTGGATGAGTTGAAGTCTCATGAGCAGGAAGTCACATCCTTGCAAGGTCTGGTTCGCGCCATGCTTTGTCGAGCTCGTATTGGCGATCTGCTGGCTGAGCTCGACGAGCATGAGGAAGAGATCATCGAGCTGCAGGCCCTCGCAAAGGGCTTCATCGTTCGCGCCAAGTTCGAGGAGAAGAAGAAGCATTTCAATGAGAACATGCAGAAAGTCATCAAGATTCAGAGCTTTGTCCGCGGCAAGCTCCAAGGCGAGGCGTACAAGAGCCTAACCACAGGAAAGAACCCTCCTGTTGGCGCTGTCAAGAACTTTGTGCACCTTCTCAACGACAGCGATTTTGACTTCAATGAGGAGATAGAATTCGAAAGATTGCGCAAGACGGTCGTGCAACAAGTCCGACAAAATGAAATGCTCGAGCAGTATATTGATCAGCTGGACATCAAAATCGCCCTTCTAGTCAAGAACAAGATCACCCTAGATGAGGTTGTCCGGCACCAGAGCAACTTTGGCGGACATGCCAGCAGTCTGTTGGCCAATTCGTCAATGGCGTCCGCCAACCAATTTGATCTGAAGGCACTGAACAAGAGTTCACGGAAGAAGCTCGAGTCTTACCAGCAACTGTTCTTCAACTTGCAGACCCAGCCTCAGTATCTTGCTCGTCTTTTCAAGAGGCTCCGCGAGCAGGGGACGGCCGAGAAGGAGTGCAAGCGGATTGAGCATCTGATCATGGGTCTCTTCGGATACGCGCAAAAACGCAGAGAGGAGTACTACCTTTTGAAGCTCGTTGCCAGATCCATTCGAGAGGAAGTCGATACCTGCAACTCCATCCAGGACTACCTCCGCGGAAACTTTTTTTGCTCCCGGCTGCTGGGCAATTATACCCGGTCGCCTAGAGACAGGAAATATTTGAGAGATCTGCTTGGCCCCATGATCCGGGACAACATCGTGGAAGATCCGGAACTCGACTTGGAGAGTGACCCGATGTTGATCTACAGATCGGCTATCAACAACGAGGAACTCCGGACTGGCCGGCCAAGCCGAAGACCGCTCGATGTCCCCAGAGACATCGCCATCAAGGACCCAGAGACCCGTGAACTCTTCATCGACCACCTTCGGGATCTTCGGGAAATCTGTGATCAGTTCTTCAACGCGCTCGAAGACTTCCTACCGCGGATGCCATATGGTCTGCGCTTCATCTGTATGCAGACCTTTGAGGCGTTGCGCCAGCGATTCAAGAAAGAGCCACAGCATCAGGTTCTGCAGCTTGTCAGCAACTGGCTGTGGCGATTCTACCTGCAACCAGCCGTTATCAACCCTGAGCAAGTCGGCGTCATGGAGAAGAGCCTGAGTCCTCTCCAGAAGCGCAACTTGAGTGAAGTGGCCAAGGTGCTCAGCCAAATCGCGTCTGGGCGACCGTTCGGCGGCGAGAACATCTACCTGCAGCCTCTGAATGCATTCATCGCAGACTCCGTCGACCGTCTTGCCCATATCACGAACGACCTTATCTCAGTCCCAGATGCCGAGAACACCTTCGACATCGACGAGTTCAATGACCTCTACGCCAAGAACAGGCCCACCCTTTACATCAAGATGGCCGACATCTTTGCCATCCACAACCTCATCGCCCAAGAACTCCCCTACATTAGCCCTGGCCGTGATGACGTATTGCGAGAGATCATGCAGGATCTCGGTAGCGCCAAGAGCAACGAGAACGAAATGCTTGCGGCTGGCTCCTCAGATATCCAGATGTTCCTGACCCCGAAACTTCATGATGTCGAAGACCCTGATGCTGAGGTCAAAGCACTCTTCATGGAGACAAAGCGTTGCATCCTGTACATTATTCGTGTGCAGACTGGCGCGAACCTTCTTGAGATTCTCGTCCGTCCACCAACTCAAGAGGATGAGGTCAAATGGCAGAACGTTCTGCACGAGGATTTCACATCTGGCGACAACACCAAGGGCGCATATTCCGACGCGAACATGGTAGATGTCACTCGCATGTCTTACTACAACATGAAGCGCAATGCTCTGGAGAACGTAATGCGACTCGAGCAGTTGGGCCGTATCTCCAAGCACAACTTTTACCAGGATGTCCTTAACGCCATTGCCCTTGACATCCGTACCAAGAGCAGGAGGCGTATCCAGCGCCAGCGTGAGCTTGAAGGCGTCAGAATGACGCTCGGCAACCTGCACGAGAAGGCCCAGTACCTGGAGCAGCAGCGCAAGAGTTACGATGACTACATTGAACAAGCTATGGCGACGCTGCAAAAGAGCAAAGGGTAAGTTATCCCCATTCGGTTCATACCCACAGGACATTGGTCAAAATACAGAGACTAACATCGATCCTACAGCAAAAAACGATTCCTCCTTCCCTTTACCAAGCAGTACAACCACCAGCGTGAGCTTGAGCGTTCCGGACGCGTTCCCAAGTTCGGCTCTTACAAGTATAGCGTACGTTCTTTGGCCGACAAAGGCGTAGTCGTCGAGTGGCAAGGCGTCGCTGAGCGCGACTGGGGTGTTATCAACCTGACAATTAGCTGCGACGAGGTCGGAATCTTCAATGTCGAGGGCAGTCGCGGTCACATCCAGACCCCCGGGGCCAGCGCTACTGTCTCAATCGAGGATCTACTGCAGGCACAATTCGAGTCCCATCAGTTCATCAACTTGTTTGAGGGCAACCTGAGACTCAATGTCAACCTGCTGCTGCACCTACTGTACAAGAAGTTCTACCGGACGCAGTAAGTCTTGGTGCAATTGACTGGAAAGGCGGCCGAGGCAGAAGAAAATGAAACCAAGAGGAGGAGCTACGAGTCCGTCGACTAACGAAGCAAACATGCCGGCATGAAGACACGAAAACATGACTTTCAAGACGGATGGCGGAGTGAATGGATGGAAATAGGGTGGGCATTGAACAGGTGTTTGTTGATATCACTGCTTTGATCACTTGATTCCCGGTGTTACAAGGGCCTGTTTTATCTTATATGTTCGTATGCACTTTAGGGTACATTACATACAACCACACACCTCGAACCCCCTGGATTACTTTGCGGGAGTCCTGTATCGACTGCGGTGACTGGGGTGGTATATGTATAGGTTGCCAGTTGTTTTTGGTTATGTCCATAGCATTGCCGGCGGGATAGCATTGTCGGGGACTATAGATAAAAAGAAATATGTAATTTGAAACTGAAACCCCTACTTCCTCGCCTATCCGTCCCGTACAGATAGGAAAAAGCACTATAGCCATCGTCATTGAGAACCGCCAAACTTCAAAGCGCAGCAACCGCACCAAGGAAACCGGCGGCGGCGACTGCAGTCATGATGAGACCAGTCTGACGCGGCGCTTGCGCCTGCGAAACCGAGGACGACGGCGCCGGCGTGGAGGCTGCCCCGGTACCTCCCGCGCCGCCGGATCCCAAGCCCAGCGTCGACGACGCCGACGTGCTGACCACGGTGTCCGTCTGGATGGAGAAGGTCGCGTCGCCGCCGCTCTCCGTGCCCGTCTCCGAGGCCGCGGTCCCGCCGGTGCCGGTGCCGGTCACGCGCGCCGTGGGCACCTGGCTGCAGGACTCGTAGGCCTCGACGGTCCGGACGAGGGCGCTGGCGGACGGGCAGCCCGAGGCCACGATGGCGGCGATGGTGGCCGAGTGGTCGCCGTACCAGCCGTACAGCGTCGGCAGGAAGGCCGTGAACTTGGCGCCCACGTCGCCCGTCACCGAGAAGCCGCACACGCCCGTCAGCGGCAGCGTCGTCTGGCTCAGCGCCTGCGAGATCAGGTCCGCGTTGAGCAGCCCCCGCGGCAGCCGCGGCAGCTCCGACACCAGCGGCAGCGCCTGTGGCAGGCACGCGCTGAGCCCCAGCTTGTTGGCCACGTCGATCAGCGACCCCAGCAGGTTGTCCGTCTGGCGCGGCGCCAGCGCCGGCGCCGCTGCGTCCGCGGGCCGTGGGGGGATGTTGTTGGACGCCGAGGCCAGGGCCGTGGCGGGCGTAAGGAGGAGGAGTGTGCGTGGGAGCATTGTGTTGGTTGGTGTTATTCTTAGACTGCTATACACGGTGTTTCGGTCTTCAACAGCATCACTCATAAGTCAATGGTTGTACGTGAAGCCACATAACGGGCAGGTGTGCTTAATTATATCTCAAAGCTACGGCAGGTTCTCCTCCTTGCAGATCATCTCTTGGGGGATTTGGCATCGCGACAGCGCCTTGGGCAAGTGCCTTATAGAGTAACATGACTGAGAATCCTGCTCCTCGATGTAGAGCTCCACGGTGATGGTGGGGTTCAGGCGTGCTGATAGGCCACCAGGGCCTCTGGGCATAGGCGACGTCCAATCGGCACACATCCTTGTCGCGTCTGGTCTGCCTCGGCATACTTATGTGCTCTCCAGGCTTAGGTAGTCTACTTGGCCTGCTTGGCCATCTGTTGCTTCTCCCAGCACGAAGGGCAACGTCCGGAAATCTCACAGCTCGTCATTCCACTCTTCCAACTGCGACTTCCATGTTCCATGACTTGGATGTCCGAGTATGTAGAAGAAGGCTCCCTGCACTCTTTACAGACCTTGGGATGCATCGTGACGACACACTGGCGGGTGCCACTGGGCAGCATGAGGTTGACCATGTCGATGGCCATTTTAGGGATTTCGTTCATCAAGGACTTGAATCGGGCATCCTTGACGACGGCAAATCTTGTCGACAAAAAGAACTTATGCAGCGGCTTGATGATGGAGTCGACGCAGTGCAGGGGTAGGCTGTATACGGTCCTCACAGCTCTGGCGAAATCTTCGAACCTTTCTGCGCTGAAGTACTTCTCTGGCTCAATGTAGAATTTCTCTTCGTGTGATACGATTTCTGTTGCAAGGCGCATCAAAAGGTCGTCCACGGACGTGAGCAATTCCTCCTTGAGCGTGGGTACGTCGAGATAATCGGCGAATTTGAACAAGCTGAGATACAGCGAAAGCTTCCCAGCACAGCAGGTCGTCTTTTGACATGCTGAGATTGCGCCCGAATCAACTGTAGCCATGTGAGAATTTGGAAAACCCCGGGTTCGTCCATGGCCTACGCTTTCCTAAATAGAGATATTTGAGGACGCAGTCCACCTCAAGGGGTAGCTCATGGTCAAGGCATAACTCGTTCGTCTGAGCTTCCTGTGATCAGAGAACATGGTCAGTGTGGCATATAAGGGCTATATTTATGTATTTCCAGGGAGCCGGGGGGCGAAATATACCTGAAAATTACCGGTGAAAGCCTTCTTGAAGTATGAGGATTTCAGGTCAATGATGCATTTGTGCACGTTCCATTCACGAGAACCACATTTGATCTTGGCATCGGCGAAGAGCCCAGATTTCAGAAGTTCGCCTCCTAGTGTGGAAGGAGTATCGGCCACCTTCTCATCCACAGCAGAAGGCGGCATGATGAAAAATTAGGCGGTGATAATGAGGAATGTCAAGGAAATGGCATATGAAGGGTGACTGTGGAAAATGTATCGTAAATGAGAGAAGATGGAAGGAGGCGGCATAGGCGGCCTGGGGAGTTGCGAGTGGGGTAAAAGTAAATGTTTCAAATTCGCGGCAAGCAGTTTCTTTTTTGGATTTCTGACTTAGGCAGTCAAGTCGTGAGGCGAAGGTTGCAAGGCAAAAAAAGAAACAAGGTGGTAGTTCTGTTCCACACGAATCCATACTGTATCGTACTCAATTGATTGGAAATACCTTACGACAGGGTGGTCTTTGCTCTCGTCTCCCTGTTTCGACTTTCATTGAACTTGAGAACGATCATGTTGGATCCGGAGCTAATTCTAACGCATCTTGAACATATATTCTCTTAACTGGCATCAAGCTCTGGATAATCAAAGCTTGAGCCTATTTGGTGTTCTAGGATACCCTCAGCACCTACCACTCGATCCGATTATTCTGATTAGTACACCTTGTGCAACTATGATGCGATGGCATTTCATGGCCCCATCTCGTACCTTATTCTGTAGATTTATCAATCGAGATCGCTAGTGATGTTTTGATATGGCATCACACTGATCAGAGCATGAACATATTCTATGTATTAAGTCCGCTGCAGCAGAATGGTTTCATGAATAATATGGCATGTAATCAACCAGGAAATACAATCGAAGCTACATTAAACTCCAAGCATCCCGTTAACGTATGCAAAATACACTGCCAGATTACTCCGTACACGATGCGGCATCCGTTCATTCGTAAGATGTCGTTAAAATTGGGTATCAGTATTGGGCATCCGCCAGATTGACTAAGGAACCATAAGTTGAATGTCAGCACAGTACAGACAATGTGCCGCACCTCCATAAGCCTGATCGAACTCCTCCAGGTCGCCAAGCATTGAATCACCAGGAAAGTAGATTCTAATCGCGTGGGCCCAGCCATCGTTGGGAGAGGTGCTGAAACGAGAGGGCCTTGATGCTGCCACCTCCGGTGTTCATCTTCGAACGTAGGTAGTGCTAGCGCGAGCAGACGCTCTGTTCGCTGTGTATCGCGGACCAATAGGTAGCGCGCGGTAAGTCGGTACCACCGGTGGCGGTCTTGTACGCCATTCTGGCCAGCGCATCCGCCGCGGCGGCTCAGGCATCACGGGAACCCGGACTTCGTCATGGCTATAATAGCTATCCCCATCGCTTGTGTCTGAACCTGGCCTCCTTCTCACCGCAGTGCAACAGCACCAGAGTAAAACAACGAATACTGCTGCGCCGACACAGCAGCCTACAATGATGCCGATTTGCTCTGGCGTTAGGCCTTGTGACGATGTGCTAGCTGAGACGGGGGCCGCCGGTGCTGTGGTGGCTCCCAGTACCGCAGTGGACTCGCCGCCGCGACCCAGTGTCACAACGGTTGTGAGAGTGGAGGCAGGATATGTGATGGTCTGAGTGATGACCATCTGTCGTTGAACAAGCTCCGGTTGGGCCGTAACGGCAACGACGGTTACGGCCCGATTCGGGATCAGCGTCGGGGCCAGCATCATGGAGATCGGCCAAGACGCAGCTAAAAATAATGAACAAAACATCAACGAGAGAAAACGCCAGAGTGATCCATTCAGCCCCCAGGGCCCCCATCATATATCCCTTCAATCAGCTCCCAGCGCAGCGTGCCCCGCGCCGCCTGAGGTGCTGTAGAGGCATTTCCAGGTTCATCTGCAGCTGAGCAATATCGGGCTTCACACCCACAGGACTGCAGAAGACTCGGGAGGACTGTCAGATGACATTGGCTGGCCGGATTCTCGGCCAGGCGCTGATTGGGAGGAATGCGGGTCGCAGAAGGGCAGGCCTATAGGACAGGCATAGTCGGGCCCACTTCTGGCAGAACGGATTCGGACATTATGCCCATCTGACGGGTTGTACAGCGTGATTAGCCGCTAATGCACAGCACGCTGTCAAGGAATCCAAGGCCGTGGAATGCACGCCGACCAGCCATGGTCCATTCTGGAGCTGCTTTGGGGGCCAAATGGCGAAGCGAAGTCGAACTCGCTTAGAACTGACCGGCTCCACGTCTTCGAGCTGTGTGGCGCGATAAGTGAGAACCACGGTCCAGCGCGGTCGCTGCAGCCTTTGGTGTTTCACCACCGACTGTGTCATCATAAGACGACATGTTATACGGCAGCACCGGTGAGTGCTGGGCCACGTTCGTACGCCGGTGCGTTCGCACGTTCGCGCGTGTGCCGTGGACGGGGAGGCACCGGATCTAGGCTGCAAGGTCTCGATGCTGCTGCAGAAAAATGGCTAGATCCAGCCGTACTCCTAACTGGCCCAGCCGTCGGGTAGCGCACCCGAATTGGCACTTCTCTAGCAATCTGAAAGGCCAACAATACTTCACGTTGCATGAACTGCTATGACTCAGCACGGAGAGTTTTGACATGGTGGCAAAGATAAAAAGATCAGAGAACACTTCACCTTCTGAGGAAATGGCGGCTTCGAAGGCTTGCGATGTGAAAACTAAACGCATGTTCCTTGAAAAGCTTGGCAGCCGGAAGACTGACGACATGTAAGCAGAGTGGGATGAAACTTCCACACGACACGCATGCCACTAGCTCCGTCGTCAATAGTGAGAATGCAGTTTTCTGCTTATATTTCTCGTAGTCAATCCAATATTGAAGAATTATGCCCCGGCAAAGGAACTCCACGTCGGTTACCAGAAGCAATGCATCAGTTTGAAATGGCGATATAACTAACCTCTACTACTATTGCATCCAAGCACACGTGTTTTTACAAACATAGCATCACTGTACTCCCTGCGATGTAGCCTCTTTGTGGCAGGTTATGTTAACATAATCCATGACATGATAGCGCTAATATAAACTTGGGACATTGCCTAAGCACCCGGAAGTACAACACCGTGTCTGCTTTCATCCCCAGCTTGAACGTGATCCCCCTAAGTTGAACTGACTGTCTAGCGCTCTCAAACACTACTATATTGTTTCTGAACGTCCAGATGATGTATTTGCGTCTTTTCTCACACTTCTCTACTACATCGCCCAAACAAGCATAGCCATTCAGGCCAATAGCAATCACTACCACACAACACAACACTCTTTCAAGTCCGAAGCTAGTCACAAAAAGTCGATGTCGAGATGTTTGCAGGTTTTTGTCTGTATAGGAGAATAACGGAACTACTCGACGAGTGAGACATGAGTTCTGTAACATAGTCCAATATTTGCTGTACCCCTCTCTTTCTTTATTCCCAACTTAGATCTCTAGTTCTTGGGCGGTGGAGGTGGCGGCGGTGGCGGCCTAGGGTTGCCGTTGTTCCCACCAGCAACTCTAGCTGGGGGACGTCTATTCTGGCGTTCTTCCAAGTCGCGTGCTTCGACGACACAGTCGGCCCTCTTGTTGGGAGGAGGTGGCGGCGGAGGAGGCGGGTTTCGATTGCCCCCTGTGGCCGGCCTTGCAGGTGGGCGTCGGTTCTGACGCTGTTCAAGGTCGTGAGCCTCCACAGTATCCTCATATCTCTTGTCTGGTGGTGGAAAAGGTGGCGGCGGTGGGTTTCCATTAGCCGGACTGGCTGAACGCCGGTCCTGGCGTGCCCAGACAAGATGGTCTCCAGACTCCGTCGACCGCTTACTGGGAGGGGGAGGAGGTGGTGGCGGTGGGGGCCGGTTCCCATCGCTTGCAGGCCGAGCTGGTGGGCGGTTTTGAGGCTCGCGGACAATGACTACAGCCGCTTCCATACCTCCATGAGTGTTGCGCTTATCCAACTGCGCTACCGGAGCGGCAGTGACTGCCGTGGCCACCAGGGCGGTGAAAACGATCGAAAACCTCATTATAGCAAGGTTTTGAGCCAAGTGGCGTGCCAACGTTTGAAATGTCTAAGATTGTAGATGTAATTAAGACAAGCACAATGTCCAGGCAGACCGGCCGCTGGATTTGGAGGGTAATACAAGGAGAGAATTGAAAGGTTTTCTGCGTATGGTAATTCACACTTTCACAACTTTCCTGAAGGCTCATCTTATATGCTATTGGTACGCGCAGGATGTATCTCTAAACTGTAGCATGCCGATTACTGTCGTCCACTTGAGACATCACGATGCTAGCATTCGTAAGTTCTACTCCTTGACACTCCTTGGTATCCGCAATAGCCGGTTCGTAAGACTTGAAAAGGAATAGAAGTCGAAAAAGAGCTAGACCCTTTGAAACGCACTCGTAAGTCTGGTGGTCATTGATACCAGTCGGTCGTGTTGCACCATCTGATCTCATTGCGTTGGCTTTTAGGGCTGTTCTATGAGGAAGTGAAGTCACTGTAGGGTTTCACGAAGCTTTCTGACAAGCCTACCAAGCCATGTGGCATCAAAAAGCCAAGTTTAGATACACACGCGTGTTCAGTGAGGATCATGCGGAGACTATACTAAAAGAAGTGAAGGCTCGCATGTGCATTGATCCGTCCGAAGGGAGCTGAGACAATCGAACCTAGTGCAATTGGAGGGGCCAGATCTACGGGGGGTGTCTCAGACCCGTGGGCTTTTACCCCAGGTTCCACAATTACTTCTGGCAAGTCTATACTTAGCGTCATCTGATCCATAAATGGCTTGAAGCACCGCTCAGACGCAATGACGCGTCTTTCATCGACTTCTCCATGCGCCTGCTCGGGCAGTCACCGCTGTTCATACTTTGAGAGAGGAAAAAAAAAACCCGAAACGTAGTTTTGAGGGGAATAATATGATCCTCTTAAAATATGCTAGTGTTATCAACTTACCCTAATTCCCCGAAATCGTCAGTTCTATGCTTGGCAATTTGGTGTGTTGAAATTTCAGTTGTTCACCTCTGGGCGGCAGGTGTCGGACATTCATGACCGTCGCCCAAGGACGGCTGGCTGGACTACTTGGCTCTGACCGATTACATGAATGGCAACTTACCTAAACCCTCTTACAACTAGACGGGCGGCTCTTCAACAAACAGTCACCACAGGCGACTGCGCCATTCTTTCTTAAGAAAATGCGCCCGCAGCCTTTTCGGCATAGCTCAAAAACGCCGCACCTCGAGCATCTTATGTGCGAGCATGCTGTACATATCCATGTTACCTGCTTCAACCCACCAGCGCAATCGTGACATTCCCATGGCTTTGTCAAACACATCGAAGGACAGGCCAGCCCCAGGTCCGCAGGAACGGAGGTTGCCTCGGTGTTTTTGCACGGCACAGCAAACTTGGTAAGCTTCAGTACCGCGTTGCATTTTGCCATGGAGCAGTAGTCCCAGGTATCCCTGAAGTGGCCACAGGGATATGGACCGCTGACTGTGTGCTTGCACATGGTAGCGTCAAAGACTGTGCTGAGTGGTATCCCTGGGAGGTTGACGAACCGCCCTAGAAGAGCAGAAGGTATACGAATATGAACAGTCCGCCTCTTGATTTTGAACTGATTGGGGTTGTGAATGGGCTATTATTGCCAAACAGTGGTAAGTATGTAATTTTATACCTTTAAGGAGACCATTGGACAAAGCCGGCTGGACAAGCAGCATCCTTCGCACTTCTCTCTTTATGTCTAGGCTCGTGACGTTAGTGACAACTTGACAATGACATGACGGTGAACAAATAATGCTGGTAAATCCGAAACACATGCTAAACCTGATTATCTTCAATGCCAGTCTCGCTTTGTTTAGGCACATTAATATCGCCCCATTGTCCTTCCCATCTCACACCCACGATTTCCTCTTCAGCTCTGCACAACTCGGGACTGTGACCAAGAAAACCGAGGTCGATTACCTCCAAGATTCTTGTTGTAATTCTAACCATGATAGTTTAATGCAATCGGCATGTGCAAATTCTGGCTTAAAGCTAATCAGCCAATGCTGATCGGTGCCAGTAGTAACAACCACAGGATGTTGGGGAATTCGTATCTGCATCTTGCCCGATTGCAGCCGTGATGTCCTCATCTACCATGTTCAATTATCTTTGGCTGTGCGGATGATACAAAGGGATGGATAGCGGCTGACTACTAAAGTTACCACAGGTGACCTTGTGTAACTGAAGTTCTTCTGTTGTTGGCCGAGGGCTGTTCTGTCACCAATGCTGTGCGACCATGGAGTTTATTCTCCCTTACCACTGTCACAAATGTCTCCATATTTTCACGGGACGAGCTACAGAATGTTTTGATCGTAAGAATTTGGTCCTAGGATGATTACCAGGAATGCAAACCATTGGCACCTAGCCACTCTTTGGGTAATTGGGAGGCTCTCGTGTAAAATTCTATAAGTTTGCTATAGCTGACGAGCGTGGTCAGCGACTATGCTATCGTACAGTCCCAAAGCGCCGACTTGTTGCAGAGATAGTTGAGCCTTTGATGGTACGAGATCCGAATACTGTGTACCATTTACTAGGCCCCAATTTCGTGTAGCGTGACCTAGGGTTTGTACAGGGTCATTCAGGTTGCTATATCAAATAGGCCAGAGCATCTTTCCCAGAAACCTTTCGAGTACGAGCCGAAATATGTGTACGAATAACGAACTGTTTATCTGCTTGATCTTTGCGGATACCCGTATTGAAAGTGATACCTATGAGTGCACCTCTATATTCCGTCTAGTCTATCATGATTTAAATTCAGTATCATTTGACATGGAAATGCTACTTCATGTCGTGATAAGCAATGTCCAGCAAATACAACAGCGTTTCCAACAGGGGCGACGTCCATAATTCTCCCTATGCATACTGTTGGAACCCACGAGCGAAGTGAGTGTTGCATCTATTGACATTCCGTATCTATGGGCAGCTGCTAGTAAAGACTCTGAGACAACATTACTGTCAACGATGCAGATTTCTTGCACAGATCTTCGCGCGGCTGATATGCAAGATATCCGATTTGGCCGTTTATTCTACGGAAACGTGGTCTCACAAGCACCGGGTTGCTTGTAGAACCAATCAGTCACTGCTGGGGACAACATCTGCCATTGAGACTGAGTGGCACTTGTCTTGAGGAATTCGGCCACGACATCCCACTTGATTCAATACCACCTCTATACGGATGCAATAATGGTAACCTTGCGCCTAAAAGTACAATATATATGGATCGACTCTTTGGTACGTCATCTCATGTCGTCTACCGCCGCTCATGATGGCCTTCATTGGTCTAATACCTAGCGGAAATAGTGTATCATTCAAGACTCCCTCCGCGACTGGCGGCACGAGAGTGCAACTATGGAGTCTGTCTATTCATATGGACTGTTCAACATCGCCGGTGCATCAGCGACGGATAGCCAGGAACGGCTCTTCAGACCAAGAGACCCCATGCCATTCTCACCCAACTTTGCATGCACATCTTGGAGAGGGAAGAAGGTCGAAATGGTCTGGTACGATGATATGGACGGGAAGCGAATTCTGGAGGTCGATGATTCCTCTGACGAGTCCCTCTTCAAACGAGGCTGGGGTTTACAGAAGAGATTCCTGTCCAGGCGGAACGTCATCTTCACCAAGAGCCAGATCCATTACCGCTGCGCCGAAGAGGTCAGCTGCGAGAGCATACCCCCCGATCACCCGTTCACGCAGATCCCAAGGCTTGCGGCGAGCCGCGACAAAGAGAGAGCATGATTCTCGCGCATGAAATCGCTGGCTCACGAAAACTGCGTGGAGGCTTGGGAAACCGTCATGGGCCAGTACAACGACACGGCTATCGCGAAGCACGGAGACAGGCTGGTCGCATTCTCGGCATTCCCGCGGTCCATCGGGCCCCCGAGGAAAAGCAAATACCTGGCCGGGCTCTGGGACCACACGTTCTTCAACGATATGGCGTGGTGGTCGGCCGACCCGAGGCGGCGCCCGCAGCAATACGTCGCGCCGACGTGGTCGTGGGCCCCGGTGCGACGTTCGCAGAACGTGGATCTTCTCCTGAGCAACCCGCTGCGCCCGGTCCTTCTCAAGGGTTTGCGACGTTTCTGGGTGCTCACACGGAACCCTGCGGGGCCGACGAGTTTGGCGAGATCGAATACGGCTGGGTAAGGATCAAGGCGCGGGTAGTCTGCTTGGGCCAGAATATGCCAGTGAGCCTGTCGGATCTGCTGCAAGGCGCCATCAAACCATACATGATGAAGACGGCTGCGAATGTGAGTCTGGATCACGACCCCTGGTACGATGCAGGTGGAACGTCTATGTATTATCTGCTAGCTCTATCTGCCAGGAGCTGCTGGAATGATTCCCGCTCGCTCGAATCTCGTCAGGTAATCGCGACCATCCTCGCTGCTGTAACTCCCGCTATAGGGTTGTTCCAGCGTGTCGGTCTTTGCGAATTCTGGTGCCTTGACGAGGGTAGGAGGGACCTGGGAGGTTTTAACCCCGTGAACGCCTGGTTGAACGGATTCAAGAAAGCTGTGGAGCGACTTGATGGGGAGGAGATTCCGTCGCATGAACGGTGTGCGGATGGGGAACACATTATCACCATCATCTGATCAGCATAAATCGACGAGGGTAGTTGTCACGACCTCATGCAACGCTGTAGCAAAAAGCACATCGCGAATAATAAGGACGTCTTACTAGTAAATGTATCAAATAAAAGTCGCTATAACGTTTGCCCTAAAAGACTATTTGAGCAAATGTCTCCCGGCTTCAACTCGAGTCGAGAGCGCCTTGCCATCAACCGAAACGCCGAAACGCAAGCTTCAGTAGGCTCGCGGGTTATCTTACTCCGTATTATCTACAGACCGGGCAGGGTGACGACAATCAGTCGTATTCCCCACCCAGTCACGGGGCCAGTGTATCATGCTGTGCACTATTCACGTGTCCTCCTTTCTCGGGTTCCCCTATCCAAGCTTTTGAATCCTTTATGAGCGCCCTGTCTTCCAACGAACTCAGAGGCTGCCGCTAGCTGGCCTGCACCTCCTTGAATTCTATCCAATTTGGCATTGTGATTGCCTGGGGCGGTTGCAGAGTCTGTCATCTGACTCCAAATATGTCTCCGACGCGTTCGACCTGTCCTACGAGTAGAACTGCGACTTCTGGAAGCTCTCCATGGACACATCACCAGGCTTGCCCGTGACGGCGGGCGGGACAGTCGCACTAGTGAGAGAGTTCGTCCTGGGGGTGGAAGGCTCGCTCGCGGCCGCCTTGATCGCGGCGAGCGGCTGACCTGAGCGCTTGGCGACCTCGAGGAAGGTTGCGGGAAGCCAGCCCATGCGTCCGTCGCGGGCGCGGCAGCGCCACCATTCGCTGGGGACGCCGTTGGGGTCGGTCTTGGACAGGACCGCGATGAAGTCGCCCTTCTTGACGGCCAGGTCGACGCCCTGGACGTTATCCTGGGGCGTGAAGTCGTAGAGCACACGGCAGAACTCGAGCTGGCTCGGGTCCAGCGGCGCGTTTGCTTCCATGCGCCTGCGCTCCTCCTCTTCTTGCGAGGCGGCGAGCGACTTGATGACCTTGCTCATCACATACGGAAGACCAAAGGCAGCGAGGACAAAGAAGAGCAGAGGCTTTCGGCTGGGCTTGGGTTGCCCAGGAGCGCCTGGTGGCGATTGGCGTCCCTCGAATCGAGCAAAGGCAGCAGGTGTGAGCGCAGTTGCGTCCGCGGGCGGTGGGCGGCCGGTGATCTTGGCGATCAAGGTTCTAATCCATCGCATGAGCGTAAAGATGCCCAGGATGGAACCCAGGGTTTCTCTGAGGTTGCCGAACTGTTCAGCCACGGCCACCATAGCTGCAATATCGATTAGTATAAGAAAGGACCTTTACTCGCATGGTCCCATGACTTACCGAAAAAGCTGGAGTGTGTGGCCATGTATGTGCTCTCCAGCATCTGTGCGAATCCACCGAAAGCACCGACGATACCCTCCAGCATTTGGAAGGTAGCCTGGGTGCTGTTGTTGAACCGGTTGGTGAGGCTGTTGGGGTTGTTCGGGTCGTTGGGGTTCATGCCCGGCATCCCGCCGTACATGCCACCATACATGCTGCCCATGCCTCCCATTCCTCCCATGCCGCCCATGCCGTAGCCTCCATAGCCGCCGTAGCCGCCGTACATGCGCGATCCGATGCCTCCGTATTGCGAGTAGGGCGAGGAGTAGGCGGAGTTGTAGCCGGTGTTGCCCAGCCGACTGTAGGCACTGGCATTCTGGTTGACGCTGGAGGCCAGGGAGTCTGGCCGAGGGGGTACTACTGGTGTTGCCCCAGCTGAAGAAGAGGTGGTCGAGGCGGGTGCGGTCAAGGCGTTGGATGTCGCCGGCACCGACACGCCGGTTGCGGCAGCGGTTGGTGTGGCCATGGCTGGGGGCAGTTAGCGATGCTCAATTGATGACAACGATGGTGGCGAAGATAAGGGCGGCCTGGACGTACTCGATGTTGTGGCACCTGCGCGCTCCCAAGGCTTTGGTGGTGAAGCCATCGCCAGGTCCCAGGTCCGATTTTAGGTGTCTATGCTCAGCGGCAAGTGCGAGCGGTTGCCCCGGGCGCGATCACCACCGCCGGTCGCAAAGCGACGCCGGTCACCCGTAACAAACCAGGTCGAGCGACGGGTGCGGTCGGTGCACAGAGAGAGAGAGAGAAAGATTCGACAAGCAAAGGCGATGCCGCGAGACGTTGGGGTTGTTCGCACGCGTAAGGTTGTCTGTCCGTGGACGTTGGGCCGTTGACACAATTGAATGTGGGTTCAAGAGAGACTCTGGGGATGTCCCAAAAAGTCCCAGTCCCAGTCCCAGTCCCAGTCCCAGTCCTGATGCGGAGGCGAAATGAGTGGCTCTCGCCCGCCCGGCGCTTGTGACGTGCCTCGGTATGTTGACCCGTCCACGCTCACACACAACCAACACACCCACGGCTCTGGCGACCGGCCGAGCCAATTCTTCCCTTAGCACGGCTTTTCACAGCCGGGATCACGTGATACTATCAATCGATTGCAACGGGCTCTGGGTTAACTGACAGGTTGGACTCGTGAGCCTGTCTCTCCTGCTTTAAGCTCGAAACTAACCCATTAGCCCGGCTCTACTCAATAGTCTCGCTGACAGTTTCACTGCCACGAGCTTGTGACTCTGGAGTGTCTGGCTCGTGTTAATAGTCGTCGGAACACAGGTCGCAGTCAGCGGTCCAGCCCGCATCCCACAGCCACCGATTCACCAAGACCGCCTGGATAGTGTTTCACCTGCAGCGTCGTTTCTTATTCAACACGTATCAGATTGGCCTTTGTTTCCATTTATCTATGTAGGCAGGTAGCTCTAATCCAACATCCCCTCCGGAACCCCCTATTTCGCCTCGGCGAACCCGGCCGCCGAGCGGGCGTACTCCTCCCACGTGGTGAGGCGGTCCTCGACCAGGCCGTGCGTGAAGTCGAGCGGCTCGCCAAAGTAGTAGCCGAACTCGTTCATCAGCCGCATGTTCTGGTGCATCTCGTCGACGACAAAGTCCGGGCTGCCCTGGCCCTTGAGGAAGCCGCGGAACATGTCCTCGGGCACGTCGAAGAAGCGCGCCGTCTTGCCCGACTCCGGGAACGCCTGCTTGAACCCGTCGACCACCTCCTGGCCCGTCATGTACGCCGTCGCCCCCAGGATGTGCTTCCCGAGCACCTTGTCCTCGTTCAGCACCGCCGCCTTGATGTACTTGCCCGTGTCGCTGGGCAGGTACATGGGGATGACGGACGTCGCCGGGATGGGCATACCCAGAGTCCAGGCATCATCAGGCGGCGAGGGTCGGAACATGGCGCCTGGCAGGTTCGTCATGTAGAACCCGGGCATGAAGAATGTGGCGGGGATGCCGAGCTCCCGGATGTAATCCTCAACCAAGGCCTTGCTGTCGAAATGGTAGACGTGGGCGAGCACTCCGTTCGAGTCTGTGGTAATGTTAGTAACGGGATCGTTGTGACAACCCAGGATCCGGGACCACTAACGCTTGGTGACATTGTAAAGTGAGCTCCAAATCAGTAGCTTCACACCAGTCTCCTATTTCCTTTGTCAGTTTTGTGCTCTATTCGTCACAATTCAGGCGCGTGTACCTTTGCGGCATCGGCAATGTTCTTGCCCTGCTGGATTTCCAGTTCCATGTCCAGCTTCTCCCAGTAGTTGGTGACAGCGAAGACAGCATACGAGTTCTTGAGTGCCGCGACGACCGAAGCCTTGTCATTGAGGTCCGCCTTGTCCCGTGTTAGTCTTGGCTGGTCTTGCCGGGCGGGGTGCGCGTGCGACTTACAGAGACAACCTCCACACCCTTCTCGGCGAGTTTCTTGGAAGAGTCCTTGGTGACGTCGCGAGTGATGCCTCGGACGCTCCAGTCGTTCTTCAACTTGGGATCGCTGAGGAAGGTCTCAACGACAGATCCTCCCTGGTTGCCAGTGGCTCCAAACACGGTGATGATCTTCTTTCCTGACATGGTGCTTGAAAGTTCGATTTGCGGAATATATGAATGCTATTGCACTATGGTATGAAGATATAGATACTCGGAGGCGGGGTTCGTAGTAGCTGAGCTAAAATAGAGCTGAGGTTTGAAACAGTGTTGTACTGCGACTTGGGGGTATTTCACTTGACGCTGCAAACTGGTTATCTGGCTTTGATTGTGATGCTTGATGTTCTAATAAACCACATCCCTCTCGTGGCGGCCCTCGATGACCTTTATACTCCATGGGCTCATCTTGTACGACTGTTGTCTCTTGCCCTCTGCGCATAGGGACTTAGTAAGAGCCCGACAGTCTAGAGACGTGGATAGTGCATTAGGTACGGTTATCACACGAATCTCGCGCTTCGGTTTCCTAGTCCTGCGCCACTGGTCTGCACCATTCCTTGGAACTAGAATGCGTGCGTATAGAACCTAGCCGAAGACGAGAAGGAGATAAGTCAGCCGGGCGAGGTATAGACGACGAGCGCAGTAGCGTTCTCGTGCTGTGGTTGCTAAACGGAGGAGGGGCTAGTCCAAATTCGGGTCGCTGTCGATTACGAAGCTACGATTGATTTGGCAGAGCCCCACGCCAGAAGCTGATGATGTGCATGACGCTGCTAGTTATGGTTCTGGTCGCGTGTCGGTGACATTGGCAATGGCAATGGTACGATACCAAGGAGACGATGGGCATCCACAGAAGTCGACGAGGCGCCTGACAAGTGAGGTCAATCACCCAGCATTTGCTTGTTCCTATAAACGCGCAGAATAGTATCTTGTGGAAATCGTGTATACAAGATTAGATACCCCAATGATACTACTGGCCCACTGTGTGTCAAGTATTCGGTTTGAAGTTCGGGGCTTAGAGCGAGACACTCTTGAACGTGTAGCTCAGTTGAAGTACAGCCCCAGGCCAATCAAACCCCAGACAGCAGCCCCAGCAGCAATAGTCGAGCCACTGGATTCAGTCAATACACATTAGGAGTAGTTCACCGCTTTTGGCCAAGACAGGATATAGGACTTACGCAGTCGCACCGCGTCTCTTCCATACAGCTACAGTGTCCGCAGCACATAGAATCATTCCGGCCAATATCACCGTGCCCATTTCTTTCGTCTTGCCCGCGTAGGCGAAGCTCAGGAGCATGGCCGCGATGCTCACATCACGGGCCGCAATAAGGTTCATCAGGATGCCTACTTGCTCGTGGGCGTCGACCTGAGGGTTGATCACATGTTTGGGAATGTCGTAGAACTCCGACGAGGCCCGCACGGGTGAACAGGCCTGGAAAACACCCAGAAACCCGTAACCAGCTGCGACACCTAGTCCCAGGAGACGCCAAGTACGAGTGCTCAATTGAGGCATCGCGATGAACTGGTTAGTGCATGTTGGCAGATTGGAAAGCGAGCGGCCGTGGTTCGATTCTAGAAGCTGTTGAACATGGACGGTTGAGGAGCAGGTGCAGCGCCCACTAAGCGGGATTCAGACCTTCTCAGATATACCACACCTGTCCCTCACGTGAATGAGGGGTCATCACGATTGACTTTGTACAGCGCCAAAAGCAATGACTGACAGCCAAGCGCATCATGACGGGCAAAACCGGTCGCATCCCGTAAAACTGCGTAATTAAGCCAACCAATGGGCGATCTAACTCGTCAGCAGGGCCAGGAGAACCGCAAGACCAACTCGGGAATCAGAAGAGGGCGCGAGAAGTCATCGCTGAGCTTTCGCCGTTTCAAGAGGATGGCAGGAAACAAACTACCGGTACGTGGCTATGCCTTCCAACGGAAGCGGTCGTGTCCCTGGAGAGATTGCATCACCGACATGGGTTCCAATGGTCCTCCCAATCAATTCCATTCCATTTACTCATTTAACTTATTGTTGTTCCAGTTTCAAGGTTCCTAGCTAGCTGTCTGCCGTTCTGGGAAGTCTGCGGGGCAACACTCAGCCCACCTGTAAACCTGTGACCTGTAACCTGTAACCTGTAGTGAAGTGCGTACCGTCAACAACACACGGACAGTAAGGCGGCTCCAGCTGACGGGCCAACGCCTCAGCTCAGCTATGCGTGACAGCTCTCCCTGTTTACTGCAACAAGGTTGCAGCGGCCCCTAGGAGACGAGGAGCTTTCCCCGCCTTCTCGCATTAAATAGTGGCTTCCATTCTTGCTGTTGATGATCATCCGACTTCAGCCCATCTCCTCTCCATCATTCAATTGCCCTTGGACCGCAGCCCGACGACTACCTCAGTGTTGAACCACAGCCGCCCACTTACATCATATACATACATACATTCATACAAGCGCGGGGTACACCGACACCGAACGCAACCATGGCCGACAACAACACCCCGTCCGTCGACGAGACTCCCATTTCCCCGTCGCGTGACGGCCAGGGCCGCAAGAACTCGCTGGAGCAGCATCTAAGCCACCGGCCAGACCGCCATGAGCTCGTAGAGAGTGAGTCCACGGCGCCGATAGTTGCGCACAGCCAAGTCGACTTGCGCGTGTTGGCTGGTTGCAGGGCTAACGTGACGTCATTGTAGAGAACATCCTGCCAGCGTCCACAGCTGCCCCAAGTTTGCAGGAGAAGCAGAAAGAGGTTCGTGCACATCTTCCAATTACATCCAAGCCGAATCAAGTGAATGCGACAGTTTTTGGGCCTGACCTTTTCGAATCCAGCTCGAGAAGCACATGCGCGCCGACTCGCTCAATGACAAGATCTCGCACCGGCCCGCCCCGGAACAGCTGATCAAGGAAGGCGTCCTGCACGAAGACCCCAGGTCGCCGGAAGAGAAGTACGCCGAAGCGATCGAGGACGAGTACGCCAAACGCGAGGGCGGTGCTTGATCGGTCTATATGTCGGTTGGAGATACAAATGCACCCGTCTGGGAGAACTTGGTGCGATGATGATTCGCTCTGTGGCCTGAAGGGGCGGTTATGATACGGAATGCATGAGACAATCTTCGACGGTGCCAGCTCAGGACAATTGCATGTCTGAATGAATTTGTCCTGCTCCATGAAATTCAGTTATAAATGAGAAAAATATATATTCCTTTGAATGATGGACTTGGCCAGTATTTGGCGAAGCGTCATAGCTCTGTCCAAAACTGTATAGTATAGAGGTAGCGCTTCCTGTGCCTGACACGTTCAGATTCCCCAGAGGTCCAATGAAAGCAGTGTAGTCAAGTCGATCATCGAGCCTTGGTCACTTCGGTATTTCTCGATCGAGACTCGTTCTGCTAACATGTGATTGGTTGGTGGTCTGGTCTTTCCCTTAAGAGTATGGGATAATGTTGCATATCATGTTCGCTTTCTACGCATAGAAATGTCCAAGCAATGAAGTATGGGATAAAGACAAAGGGAGTTCCTAATTCGACGCCGAGCGCGCGGGCAAAGTTTTGGGCATATGTATGAACCTTGGAGCCAATTATCATTTTACTATATACTTAAACGATTTTTACAGTATGTATTTTAACGTCGCGTTTAATTTCCGTCCAAATCGCTAGATCATCGACCGCAGTCTCTGGAATAGTCTTGTCTCGAATCTTGAGACGCACACACGCTAATCGTCTCCAACTGTTATCCCCTTCAACGCTTTCAAGCAGCAGGAAACTTGCATAGATGGTAATGGTGCTAAGCGGAGGCCGGCACTTTAGCAATTGTAGGACAGCAAATTGTTGTCCTGGATAACCCCGGTGCTTTTGTCCATATTCACTTAACCCGCGCAAATCGGTGTATAATCGTGCCAATACCTTCGGATATCGAGACGTTGGGTGAGGGGCCTCAAGGATATCCTGGCAAGGAAGGACAAGAAATGGAGCCTGCAGAATTATGCTGCCGCACTTAACGGCACCGAAAGTGTCGTTTGTGGCAAGTTGAACGTCGACATCGATGACCTTTGCAAGGCGTTCGATATGATCGAATTGGCTCGTGCTCAAGAAAGTTACTCTTTTCCCCAATGTACTCGCCCAACTCCATGACGGGGCAATGTATTGCTCCGGTAATGTTGGTACGGGTTGCAACCACCCGCTGGGTGATTCTATTCTTGCGTGCCTTATCTGGACGCAAAAGGTCAGCTTTGACTCGATCGGCTACCGATCTGCCGTAGCGACCATTCACACCAATCGATGCGAGCAGCAAGCATTTTAGTGATAGGGACACTCACCCAGCTAAGACCTTGTATTATGTCCATCTTCCACAACCCAGCGACATACGTGTCGCCTGTAGCTCGATGAAACTCGCTCGCAAGTCCCGACAGTGCCGGAAGAACATCAGTGGGCTTTGTGAGCTCTCGAGAGGAGTAGTTTCCAACGATCTGCACCCAGAAGTCAAAATGCGATAACACACTTGGTTGTGCAGGATGCACGAAACTACCTTGCAAGGTGAGCGGCCTCCAAGGTATAGCTCTATGGCGCAATGTCTCCAAGTCTCTTGCCCGAGCAATATCGGTCAAAGAAGGCCACGGGAAATGTATAGCCAAAGGCAAGTGCAGGCTTCGAAGGATAGGCAGGAGTCGTCGCTTCCACGCAGGGAAAACATGCGTACGCAAAACCTGGATGGACTCTTTGCTGCGGTACAATTCCACGAGCCTAAGGGACCGGCCCCCTTCATCCACGCTACCCTTCGGACACTCGAAACTAATCTGTTGGTGGCCGAACCATAACGTCCGAGGAGCCAAGAGGGTCTCCTGTAAAACCCAGCCTCTGGTGTTCAAGACACTTTGACGCATCTTCTGGTCCCATAGTTCTGTCCCGGGACGGAGGAAAACCTTTGGTGTAGATTGGTCTCCGTTCCTCCATTCAAGCCAGCATCTAGGATAAGCTGCTTGCGGTCGTCCTCGGAAGATGCCCTCCCCAGTTCTAGACGCGCATGCTGCTGCGATGGTTACGACAGCCCCTCTATAAACTTCACGCATCCTGCTAGCCTCTACTTCCCAATCATGCGGCGAATCTTGTATAATGCACAGGGCATCAATCCAAATGTAGCGGAAACCGAGAGCTTTTGTGGCCACAATAGCATCACGGAAAGTGGGCGGAAATTGGCTGAGTGGCAGACCTTGGCGAAACGACTGTTCTGTTGCGCCCGTAAGCCTGAAGTCTCCGTCACCACCCCAGCAGTAGGAAAGAGCGACATATGTATCATTATGCCCTCCACCATCGACAAGCGCTGGGTTCACTCCCGCAATATCGATTATTCTTGTCGGTAGCTCTGACAGAAGGGGGTATTGGGCGCGACACGGGCCATGCGTATTTGTGCAGCTCTTGAGCAGCTGTGCTGCCAACTGCAGGCATTCCGTTGACCCTGAATTTCTGTATACTGATCTGGCAAGTAGATCCTTGTGGTCAGGTGGTTCGTGATCTACATCTTTGTTTATACACAGCCTTATTACTAGGACTAAAAAACTTACGTCTATCTGCACAAACTTCAAACGAAGCCAGGGAACGCATCTGAATCAACTTGGAACTGCGGTCCTCGTGGCTGTCTCTGTCTTGGTGGACAATGACATGAGGCAAGCTGTGGAGTGTAACGTCCCAGCCTTCAGTTCCGATGAATATCTGATGCACGCTCTTACCTTGACTCAGTGCCTCGTCACTAAGCTCGCTTGGGTGAGACTTTGCGACATAAGATTGCCAGATACAGCTGCAAAGATCGCAATCACTAGCGGACGCCCGAAGTGCTAGGAGGTTTGGATGATGTTTGAAAAAGTAAGGCATCTTTGGACGAAGAGCCTCGAGGGTTTGGGGAGCCGTAGGGTCATTGAATCCTTTGGGCCGTTGAGCGGCAGCTTTTAGGAGCAAACCGCGTACGTCAAAATTCACGCAGACAGAGCACAACATTTTGAAAGAACAGAAATTGCTGATGCGATGTTAGAAAAGCGAAAATAGATACGTGGCAGATGCAAGATAATGGTCGACGAGCTGAAAGTGTTTGCGCTAAGGCCCGTGCTCTCGGAATAAGTCAGCAGGCGCCATCATACTGTTGTACATGCCATTACACCGCGAGTCACACTTTCATAGCTTTTGCAACACATTAGACAAACTTGTGCATCTCAATACAAGCCAATAATTTAGGAAGTTAAGGTACATTTTAAGTGAAACCAGAATTTGAATGTGTCATCCGTAAAACACCAAGTCGTAAACATGATGCTCTTTTGGTAGTCGTCACTTTTGGCTGCTAAAATTTCTTTTGTACAACGAAGGTTAGGTGTGCTCATATAAGGCCTGCGTCTATCTTTTCTTAACAGCTGAAACAATCCTGGCACCTTCTCTTTCCAATGTTGGCAGAGTAAAGATGACACCGCATGATCGGTAGTTACTCCTATATCCAAGTCGTGCAAAAAGCTGAGAACGATGGGAAAATTACTCAACATCGGTTATGGACTATTTTCCAGTGCTACAGCGTGCAATAAAAGTTGAACAATATAGTGCTATCATGCGATGATGATTGCGTGCCGGATTAGAGCAATAGCCGTTACTTCTTGTAACAATATTGATTCACTACGCGAGACGAAGTTCGGAAGTTACCAGAGAATCAAAAAAGGACTCACTAGGTCTAGGCCGATTGTTCAACTCTCTCAATTCAATTTATAATATACAGATTAGGGTACCAAGATTCACCAAGATTACAATGGCAACTATCCAAGCTCCAATGTGAATGTACAATATTCACTGCATCGAGCTAGCCCTACAAATACAATCTTCATTCAACCCATTTCCTAGCCGTTGGAGAAAGTTTCATCTCCCGTCAACTTTTTCCTCCGGTTGCTCAAGGCCGACATATCATGCTTCTTTGAAGGAAGTCAGAAGAGGAGAAAAAAGACAGAATGACGAAGATCATTGCTCCCATTTACAAACAGTTGGAACGAGCCAACGATTGCATTCAAGAGCTCGAGACGAAGTACAAAGCACTGCAACACCAATACCTGCAAGTTGCAACACGACTGGCGAGATACGAGAAGCTGCCGAACTTATCAAGGACGACCACCCGGGCTGATTCTCCAAAGAACTCTGATGAACTCAACTTGCCATCTTACGCACGCGGAACACTCTCTTCGCAACGGAGATCCGGCCAAATGCCAGATGAAGCATCAATAAGAGCCAGACGAGAGACATTCCTCGAATCTGGAAAGATTCGCATTTACGAGAATTACAAACTGGCAAAAGTTCAGGACACCAACGTGTATGATGGCTGGCAAATCACGCCGCATTTTCAAATGGAGACAATTTCATCCTTCTCAAAAACAATCCGACTCGACAACAAACGCCGTAGCAGGCGATACCATACCGGACGCGCAAAAACATCTACGGAAACGTCAAACGAAGAGACACTATGGCCTACGAGTGCCAAAACTAACACCAAGGAGTTGAATCCGCGCGATGATGATCGTTATGTTCCCTGGATGGCATCCATCAAAGAAAAATCAGGGAATAACGAGGACCAGTGGCTACACCAAATGCCCGCAGGGAAAGTCTTCATCCCTAGCAAGTACGGCTATGATTTACTGAACCGTGGACTCGACACAGCTAAGCAACTATTCTACGAGATTTCTAAACATCATTTCCCGCACTGTATACACAGAAATAACTTGGAAGGCGCTCATGAGGTGCGCTTCGGGTTCAGGGAGCTCAACTCGATTCTGGGAGGAGACCGCGACACCCCGCGGCCGTTCCTTGCCATCCATGGTAATCGCTGGTCGTTTGTGAACGAAGCGCTCTACTCTATCGTGGATTTGCGCAATTGCGTAGCACATTTCAATGGAGCGCAATACTATGATATGGTACGGTACGATAGACTGCTCAAAAATGTCCACTTATTTGCCATCGTTGTCAAGGATGAGGTCAAAGCATTCGAAATGCGAGCGCTCAGAGACGAACTCCTGGCGTATGCTCAGCAGACCTTTGATGAGATTGTCGAGCGGGAGTGGCTCGCATCACTCCCATTTGCGACACCGTGGCCCATCCATCACCAGAAGCTATTCAAACACCTTGGTTATTGCAGCTCGATTGATGAATATCCGCCAGTTATCTTGAGGGCCATGGGAACTTGGGAGGGTAAAAAATCAGTCTTGGAAGAGGGCGAGGGCCGCAATGAATCAGAAGTCACATAAAGATGAGTTTTGGGCCGTGGACTCAGTTCCGGTAGGCTCAGAAGTCTACGGGCTGTGTCATACCAGTGAACCGATACCCAGCTCTTTCGAATCGGTGGTTTAGACTGGGTATTCATCATGCAACTCCAGGCACCGTGACCACCCAAGTTGTTGCGCCTGACCGAACTCAGCATATGACGTAGCACGGACAAACCTAGACTGAGCGCCATGATTGAGGCAGCCGTCAGACACAGCAATATGAGTTTCGACATGCACCAAACGATAAGATTATAGGCTGCTGAGAGCCGAATCAGCTCAAGATGTGCAGACATTACCGTCACAATAGCACAAATCGTGTTATTAACGTATAATTCCGTTCTGAATGGAGCACTTGAGTGCGTATATTGCTCACCGTTCACTTGGACGCGCTTTACTTTGGGGAGTGACTCATGTCCATGGCTTTTCCCTTTTGGCAAGTGCTCGTCTCAAAACCTCATCTGGACGATGCAATGCGACTTCCGAGCTATAGTGATCACATTGGATGAAATTAACTGGAAATTATGGATCATCGGCTGGCTTCTTCTCTCCTTTCTTTCTTCACCGGCTGCAGGAGATTCGCTTTGCTTTATTATTATCTTAATGGACTTCCTCTGCTTCCTCCTCCTCCCTCCTCTCCTCCTGCGTGGGGTTGCCTCACGCTTGCTCTTCAAAGCACTCCACAACTGCCTCTGCCCGGTTCCGTCGGTGCAGGGTCGGTGGTGGCTCGGGCCATGTCGAAGGAACTATCTCGAGATTGTCTGGTCTATCCTTCCCAGCTTTTTCCTGATCTTGTTCCGGCAGGCGTGTGGGTATCTGCCCTCGGAGCACTGGCCGGTATGCTCAAATGGTAACGCAATCTTTTGTTCACAACATCATCCTAGATGTCACGGTGGTGAGGTCTCACTGGAGGACGCACTTCTCGGCATGCCTTGATCTGCTGATAGTTCGGCGGTTCATCCGTCCAAATTTTTTGAACCGTTTCATCGCCGTTTTACGGTTGAGTTGGAATATTAACCGCTTCACATTGATCAAGAAGGATGTGTAGAGGTCCAAAGAAATGATTTGAGAGATCGCTTGGTACTCGCTTCAATCACTGGGGTGGTTCGTCGGCATTGTACCCTACTTGGTGAGCCCTACATTTGTTCGACAGTCAACATGGTTTTGCAGATTCCCCAGGTGAGGCGCCCCGAAAGAGTTACTTCATCGATCTTTTGTGCACTCTCCAATCTGACTCGGATATCTGGCACGACAGGCGTCCCCGGTTCTTTGCATCTGACCGGTTGATGATGGCTCCGATATGCAGCAGCCAATAACGGATCTCACCTACACCCCTCTCCATGACGAGTGCAGGTCACTGCGGAGTATTATAGTACGGCTTGTATAATTTTCACTGGGGGATGCTGTGAAGCATTCGGAGGTGTTACATCAGATCATGAAGGCAATCTGAACATTTGGTTGGATGGTGGGATTGAGTTCGGTGGACATGGGAAGCTGACTCCCTGGGCGGGTGTGTCAGCGGATGTTGAGTAAAAAATTCTCCCGGAGGACAAGAAAACCCCTTATTCCACCTCGTAATTTTGTTCATCTGGTGCTTACGATGATATCCTATTAACCTCCTTGCCACACTGCTGGTTGTTAACCAGGGAGACATCATCCTATATCTGGCTGCTGTAACTCCCATGACACAGATGGATGTCCCGGACCATGGTTGAAAGCCTGTATTATGGCAGCCCATCATCAGTTGCACAAATGGGCCACAAGGCATCTATCCCATATCATACACGATGGCGAGCAGGATGAGGCCCCCTACAAGAAACAAAGGGGTTTCTTCCAATGCAAACAGTATGGTTGTTGTATTTGCACCCGCGAAAAGTACATAAATCCTTGCCGACATAAGTATCGTTATAAAAGTCTGCTTGCGCCTTAGCGCCGGTGAGATAACATCCCACCTCGATCCAAGTTCAGATCAACGGCGGAATAGCAGATGAAATGCCAGCCAAACAAGACAGCACGCGCCGGACGGTTTGGGAAATGGAAAAGCCTGCAAGTTGATGTACATGAGGGTCTCAGGAAACAAGCGGAAGTTGGCTGATGTCAGTAGGTGCAATACGTTGAAAAATGTAGGTCTCTAACCAAGACCCTACATTGCCGATGGTACTCAGCACAAGCTCTGGAGCCATTGCGATGGCCGAAAGAATGCCCATCATAGGCTAGTCCGTGTCTTGGTAGGCGAAGCCCAAGGCTCTGTGTGTGAGGTGGAAGAAGAAAGTGGAAACTCGAACGAGTGAATTGTCAGACGTCGATATCCACGTCTTCTGGCATCGACTGCATTAGAAAAGGTTTGGGGGTTCAATGAAACATGCTCAACTGTGGGTTAGAATGTGCTGTGTGAGCCAATTGCAATTTAGCACCGCGGCCTTCATTGCTGCGAACTCACTTCCTAACGATGGTCTTGGTTCCGTTTTGCAAAATGGATGTCTTACTTGAGACATCTGCACAGGTCGTGAAGTAGTCGCGTTGGAGGTGTTCAGTGAATATTAGACCTCTGTATATTGTCAAGGTCACACATCTTTGCCAATCAGAGCTAAACATGCCCAGTATAACAGTTTTCGCCGGGGACTGGGTGCCTGAGCTGGGGAACTCTTACCTTGGTATCCGTGTCGTGTTACCGTATCATGGGTCAATAAACCTGCTGGCAGGCGAATCGATTGCTCAGCCCAAAACACGTGCTGGACGAAATGGCAACGGTCCTTGCTCTTGCACCACATGCCACAAAGGGGTCCAGGCCAATTGATGCTATTTACAGTACAGTTAAGGTCAAGCTTCGTTGACTCATTTGGGAACGACGTCATTGGTTCCCAGCCAACATGTGCCTGGCTGCGATGATGTCTCCTGAAATAGTTAAGGTGGAGGGTGTTTGGCTGCCCACGATCCGATTTCCAGTGGCCGCGCCTGTCGGCTGTGATCTCCAGCTGCATTACCCCGCGTTTTCGCCTCAGGGGCAGCTGCAAGCTAAGGGGACGGCCAGACGCGGCTGGTTCAGGGCAGCAGGGATCCAGGCCGGGCCCCAGGCTGCCAGGGGCCTGTGGTCTCTGGCTGCCCCGCCAGCCCATTGGGGACCCGCCCGCTACCGGCGGCCCCAATGATTGATTGCATCACATCGCTCGACGAAATTTCTCACCGAGACTCCAGCTTCAACCAGTCCGCTATTTAACCAGGCTAAGTCGGAACCACTCTGTCCCCAAGTCTGAAGCCCGTAGAATCATTCATCTGGGGTTCTTGTGAGGATGCCCTCTTGTCAATTGCCCACCTGACTTATCCATCTGCATTATCTCCACGCTGCAGGGACCTTAAACTCTCTGCAACAAACTCTCATACAGCATGGCTGACACCAACCCGCCGCCGCAGAGCTCGCGGGAGGCTAATGTTGTCTCAGAGCATCTGCCAGCAGGCTATGGAGCCACTTTCGATGGCTCTTCTGCGTCCGGTGCAGCTGCTTCACCACCCGCTCGTGCCGCTGAGCCGGATGAGGTCTCCTCGTTGAAGTTGCCGGGAGGCGACATTCACCGGGATCTCTTCATGATTCAGCAGCGGGCCGAACGCGCCAAGATGCACCAGAGGGCCAACACCTTCCATTACCCTCAGCAGCTCCACCAGGATAACAACGAGGAGCACCTGGCTGTTACCAACCAGATCGCTCCGGGTGGCTTTCGCCGGGCCTTTATTCAGCAACAGCAGAAGCGGAAATTCCTGGCTGCCCGAATGCCCGTCACGAGGAATTTTGTCGAGTTTCTGGATCTCTATGGCGCATTTGCCGGAGAGGATCTGGCGGATTCAGACGACGAAGCCATTCTCAGCGACGAAGAAGAAGACGAGGATGTGGAGCAACAGCCGCGAGAGACCAGACCACTTCTTGGGCGCCGCCGGAGTTCAGTGGCCACCAGGTCGGCCACCGCTGGTGTCACCAAAACTTTCTTCACCCTGCTCAAAGCCTTTATTGGAACCGGCATCATGTTTCTCCCCAAGGCGTTTAGTAACGGCGGCCTTGCGTTCTCCTCGATTACCATGGTCTTGGTTTCGACAGTGACCATGCTTTCTTTCCATCTCCTGCTTGCGTGCAAGACGCACAAGGCGAGCGGATATGGTGAGATTGGCGAGGAAATTGCTGGGATCAAGATGCGCAACTTGATTATGGCCTCAATCACACTGTCGCAGCTCGGCTTTGTCTGCGCTGGCATTGTGTTTGTGGCCGAGAACCTGCAGTCTTTTAGCGAAGCTGTTTCCCAGGGAGGGAAGCCAGTATCAACCGTTGTCATCATCTTGCTACAAGTCGCCGTACTCATTCCTCTGGCATGGATACGAAACATCTCGAAACTCGGCCCAGCTGCTCTGCTCGCCGATGTCTTTATCATGATTGGAGTTACTTACATCTACTACTACGACATTGGAACGCTCGCGAGCGAAGGTATTCACGAGTCGGTTGTACTTTTCAATCCCGACAGCTATACCTTGATGATAGGGTCTGCCATCTTCACCTTTGAGGGCATTGGTCTGATCCTTCCGATTCAGTCATCAATGGCAGAGCCGGAGAAGTTCGAGCCTCTCCTTGCCGTGATCATGGCCATCATCACCGTGATCTTCACATCAGTCGGAGCGCTCTGCTACGCGACTTTCGGAAATGGCACCTACATTGAAATTATCGATAATTATCCCCGCGACAGCCGATTCGTCCAAGCTGTGCAGTTCCTCTACTCGCTCGCAGTCCTGGTCGGCAATCCAGTGCAGCTCTTCCCCGCCTTGCGTATCATCGAAGGCCGTGTGTTTGGCCGCCATTCCGGCAAGAAGAGTCTGAAGACCAAGTGGACCAAGAATGGCTTCAGAGGAATGCTGGTGCTTCTGTGTGGCGCTATCTCAATTCTCGGGGCAGGAAACTTGGATAAGTTTGTTGCTCTCATCGGCTCCTTCGCATGCGTCCCGCTGGTTTACATCTACCCGCCATATTTGCATTACAAGGGCGTTGCCACCACCAAGCTGGCCAAGGCTGGCGATGTGGCTCTAATGACGCTGGGGTTGGTTTGCATGGTTTACACGACGGTTGTCACGATCACGAGCAGTTTTCTGCATTAATCACTTGGGCGGCAGCATTAATAACGGGCATGGTTATGGACATTTGCATATATCTCAGCGTAACTCTGGTTCTCCATACAGCTCTGCTTGAATTGAAATTCAAACTCCTGAACGTTTGTCTTAGCTAGACCGAATGGTCCAGATTGAATCCTTCGCGTGCAACGGCGCCCTGCCTACACCAATTTCCGTCATTACACTAGTGCTTCTGGACTAGATTTCTCGCCACTGTTCATATCGCAAGACTTCTTGTCTTTCTGCACATCTTCATATCTTGTTTCCGCGGAAACGGCGGCGATGAAAGTCAGAATGAGGGTTACCGCTTTGACTACGTTAATAACGTGGATCGGTACAGTGAACGCAGCGCTGTCCGCAACAGGCAACATCACACTCTTTTCCGACACAAGCTGCGCGGATCCAGTCTATGTAAACTCCTGGATTGTAGGCCGCGACAATTGCGCGGTCGCGGATGGCGGATCCCAGCCCTACTCTGGGCAGTTCCTGTCCTTTGTGCTGAACGAGCGGCCCTGGTGCGTCAACGGCTCGCGCCCTTACCTGAACATCTACCGCGACGCCGCGTGCACGTCGCTGCTCGTCTCGTTCGCGCCCGGCCCGCTGTACAACCCGACCGGCCCCGATGCCGACGGCACCTGCGTCGCGCCCGGGGCCGACTACAAGGCGCTGGCCTTCATCTGCGATGGACTCCGTGGCGCGGCGGATAGCGGGTTCTCCCCGCGCCCGTCGGGTGGGCAAGATGCTTCTTCTTCATCGCTACCAACCAGCACCTCGGATCGGCCGGCGCTGAACACGCAGACCTCGCGCACCGAGCCTGGGTTTTCGCAGGCGACTGAGACCGTAGGGACAACCACCCCTGCCTCTGGAACAGCCTCGACGACGGGCACTGCAGGGTCGTCTATCACTGCCACAGCTTCGGACGCATCGTCCTCAAGCACTCCTCCAGCATCGACCGCCGGCGCGGCGACGCCTATCACGCTAGGAGGGCGCATGTTAGTAGCCATTCTCCCGGCAGCCTTCCTCCTAGTGTAAGTAGCATACGATACCCCAGAGTTCAAAGTTGCCCAAACCTTGATGCCCGATGGCTCTCCATACGTCCCTCGAGATTTGACGCGGTCAACTAAGCGATTATGGAGCTGAGTTCTCACCCTGGTGGATCCAAGGTGCTTGACCTCGCGGTGAGATGACATGCTGGCCCGACCTAGGACAAGCCACCGGCGAAATGTATGAATAGCAAGCTGCATGTGTGATCCGATTCATACTGGACTCGGAGAGAGGAATATCTGAAAGGGCCGCCCAAATGGGACTTGGCCCGTGGACTTTGAGCTGATGTTTCTGTCCAAGTCACGGAGTATAAGGTTCTTGAAAGTACAGAATGCCATAAATTGCGCCGGGGTGTTTAACTATTCAGTGGTACAAGCTGTATCGATGTCTATCATGTTCCCTACCCTCCCGCAATGACGTTCAAAAGCACCTAGTACTTGATCCCCTTCATGGCAACACTGTGCAAGGATCTCAGATCATAGTCCGATTTCCCAAAGTTCTGCTGGTCGTTCATGACGGGCTTGGACTCCGCCGACTGCGCCATGCTCTTCCGACGATTCCTGGATTGGGGAAGCTTCATCGAAGACGAAGTCTTGGCCGCCTCCCTCCTCTCTTCCCTCCTTGCCTCTCTTCTGCCTTCTCTGTGTTCATCGCCCCTTTCCTCAGCCGGCCTGACAGGCAGGTCTCTGGACATTGGTGCCGGCGCTGGCGCCACTGCCTCTGTGGGCTCAACCCTGGGCTCAGGCATTTCGTCAGCAGCCAAATCATCCACGTCCTCGACCTCGTCCTCGTCGAATGTCTGCCCAACAACCGAAGGCTCGATCTTGGGCGGGGGGCCATTCTCTTTATCGCGCTTGGCACGGTACTCGGACAAGGCCTTCTTCAGGATATTTCGCATGACTGCCTTGTTGACACTCCGACGCAGGCGATCAAAGTACCGAACCACGGTTCCGACTACAATGACTTGGGCATCGTGGTCGATTTCGATGATATCGGCATAATTGGCACGCGAATCCTCCTTGACTCTGAACTTTCCCGGCTTGAGCTCAACACCGACGGGAGGGAAATGCAGGCGATTCCGCTCCTCCAGCTTCTCGTGCCACTGGTTCGGATTATCGTCGTCGAAGACGAACCCCTGCTGGCTGGAATCTACACCAGGTTTCGCAAAGTTGTGCTTGCTGCCGACTGAGATGGGACTTTGAGAAGGTGCATTAGTCGTGCGTGCGTGCGTGCATCGAGTTGTCGTTGAACGCTACTTACATGCAGACGGCATGATGGGGGAACGTCTCACTGTGCCTCAGCACGATGAATCGGACATATCCTAGACACTTCCACTCCCACTCGAACTCATTTGCGTCGGCCCAGAGAAACTCGAATACGTCTCCAATCTGCAAGTTCGCTGCAGTCCCTATCTCGTACCCCTTCTTAGCTGGAGAGGGGGAGTTAGCATTTTTGGGCGTGTCCGAATTTGATTTGTAAGGGGGCAATATGACCGACTTACCGAGTGGGTGGTCGGGGTTGGACTCCTGAGTTGAACCAGTCGACCCAGAGGCACCATCGTCCCCAAATCCAGAGTCGCTTCTGCCGGTGTAGCTAGGCATTGGTTGAGAGATTTCTCTAAGGAACAGAAAGGGCGGGAGCTGGGAGCAGAAACGACGGGAAGCTTTATGATGGCGGCCTGCTGTGACACGGCGGGCGGTTCACGCTCCCCGATGGGGACCCATTCCTGCGTGCCATTGGCAGTGGCCATGTGTCAAGTCGAGGAGGTGAGGTAGTGCTGCCCAACTCCACCGATCCACCGAGGTGCGCCGTTGGCGATGCGATACGCTGGCCCTCCGTTCCTGCTGCATCCTCTGCCAATGCATTGCGACAGCCTCAGCTCCACCCGGTCGTCTCGCGCTGTGTTGTCAATGGCGGCCGCCCGCGGCTCGCCCTCACCGCTAATCTCAAATAGTCAGCTGGGGCCGCCGCACCAGCGGTCACGGCTGGCGGAGAGAATGCCTGACCAAGCACATCGGAGCCCATTGCAAGTGACGCACCCGCTATCTCACATGACCAGCAGGCTCCAGCAACCGATGGAGTCGCAGTCTAAGGTCACACACGCAGTTGCGATGTTGATGCGTCTCGTTCGCGGCGACTCAGCCTGTCAGCTGCGCCCAGCTGCAGGTCTTACCAGGAGGAGGCTCCCCGCCCCAAATATGTACCACGTACCACCATCTCTTGCTCCCGATTCTTCTCCGTACAATGACCCAAGTTCCAATACTCTTCAACATGGCTCGTAGAAATCCAAAGCCATATATTTAATCAGAGTTAATTTTTTTCTCCCAAGAGGTGTCTTTGGCCCGTGTTATAATGCTGTCTCTTGGCCTACTTGGTGCCTGCCCAAAAGTGCTGCGACTGAGCCAACTGGCAGTGCTACGGCAATGTGCCACGATCAAGTCTTTCCTCCTCCCTCTCCAAGTACCTTGGTAGATACCACCTTGAAGTCACCAATATACTGCAATCTTGTACATCTTAGCCCATCATAAGACCGACATAATTTATTGCTATTGGCGGTATTAAAGCAGGAATTCTTTGACGACCTTGCGTAGTTGATGTAATAAACCCTATAATCAATAGCCTCCACCTTTGATTACTGGGTGCCCCGGTCTGTCTTCCTATTGCTGCTTGTCCTATGCGGCTCGCGCCTAGAAAACCAGAAGACGGCACCAACCATAATTATCAAGCTATTGTTGCAGCGACAGTGTAGCATTCTCCAGTGGTAAAAGTGTGGTGCTCACGTTGGCGAGATGGCTGACGTTACAGACCACCGTCAACAGCCAGCCTCGTCCGCAGGTCTCACCTGGGTGTCTAACTTCCTCTCAATACCCATCAGTATCTTTGGGGCAGATTCTACACCCAAATCATCTGGCCATGCTTAGGGAAAACAAGCCTACGTAGCATCATGGCCGATCTAATACTCGGCGCCCCAATGACAAAAACTTTGGACATCAACTCTAGAGGCGATGAGATTGAAGCCTAGGCAAGCTCCCTGAATAGTCATGTCAATATGTCAGGTGGTCACAAGGATCTGGAGAACGTATCAGCGTCAGGCAATGTTATAACTCCCAAACCCAATGATGAAAAGCTGCGGCAATCGTGCTTTGAACTTAGCACTTGGCCATTCGGATTTAAAAAGGCCGAAAAGTGGGACACCAGATTTGGTCATCATTGGGGGACCTTATCCAGAGAAGTCGACATGAACTGCCGACGGATACATCAGAAAAGAGATTCATGAAGCCTCTGTATCTAGTCAGTCTGGAGACGCTCTTCAAAAACCCATCTGACCGTGTATCAAGAAGGGAAGAAAACCCAAGACAAGACTGGGAATGAAGAAGATGCAAGTAGAGAGTGAGCCAGCTCTGCAACAGAATGTCGAGGCACAAGATCAAATGGTACATCAGGACACGAAAACACAGAGACAAAGAGGTAGCCGTGTGCGAGTCAGTAGTGTGCGCGTTCCCGAGACCGGTATGCCATCAGGGTATTATTTGGGCAAACGGTACTCCCAAGTCTCTAGATGACTTTGAAAGAGTCGTGCTTTATTTAGGCTATTCCAGCACGCGTTAACGTCTAACTAACCTGATAGATGCCCTGCATTACGGTTGGTTGGTCACTGCTACCAGACCAATGTAGAAGGAAAGACAAGGTCTGAAATCGAAAATCCTACGATTTAAACGTCTAGAGAACAGACCAGTGACTACGAGACTGATGCCTCGTTTAGAAGCTACAACCAACACACGCAGTTCTACAAGGTGGGCCCGCTCACGGAAAAAGGTCACTGGACGAACCCTATTATTACTCCCTGGAAGATGTGGATCAGCGCAACCAAAACCAGATTTTCACCAGAGCATTTCTAGCAACAAAGATAGGAGATGGCGTATCTCAAACACACAGGCTGTGGCTTTATTTCGCGGTCAATGGGCTCTAGCTCTAGACAGTTGATGAAGGCAAGCATCTGGTTGACTCCTCACTCTGCCGGATCTACTAGACAATGTTCTAAGACACCTTTTTTTTTCTAAAGACAATAATCACTTCGTCCACCCATAGATAAGATGCGTTTGACGACCAAGCGGTGGAGCGAATGTTTCAGCAATTGCGCGAGGCTAAGCTGAAGGAAACCGGACAACCACCGCTTTCTTCCTCGAGGAGACGAGCAGGTTTATTGTTACCTTTCGCGTCAACTTCATCAATAGCCTAACATGGAAGGGCTTTTCTCTGCGAATAGAGAAGGAGTGGCGTGAGAATGCAGTTCTGAAGTCGGAACAGTTATATTTGCGGAGGCAATCAACAATGTGATGAGTTAAGGAGCTACGGTTCGACGTATTGCTGGATGCTGGGAGTCTGGCAAGACCTTGTGGACAATGGCCGGGAGCGAGATGACGCTCGTGGCCCAACCTACATGCTTCGGAAAATCGACGAAATGATCAAGATGATTACTACCGTCCAACAATCGGTAACGCATTAATTTTATAGACAGATGAATGAGATACTAAACCTTGGAACAGAAGTGAGGCAAGGAACGATGGTGGTGTCTACAGAGCGCATATCAGCTCAAAAAGACAGTCAAGTACGCAGCGTAATACCACTCACAAAAGCAACATTGACAATAGGGAATGTCATTAAGGTCTTGAAACTGCTAAGCAGATTCGCCCGCCAAAGCACGAAATAGCACAGATTCCATGATATGAATTCCCTCCTTGCGTTGAAATCACGGAATTTCAATATAACAGCGAAGATGACCTTGAAGAATAGCCAGTCTGGATCTTTCCGACCATCTGTGAGTGTGACCCCTTGCGATAATTCCATACTAGTAAGCGGATGCTGAGAAAACATCGACAGTCTGCGTTTCGGCCGGTATTATCGGCCGTTTTTTATTTACGCTTTATGTAATTTATTAATAATATCATCATAAGAAGGAGTTATATAATCTCGATAGAACTACGCCATTTGCCGATAAATTAAAGCCTTAAATGAAGCTGAGCCAACTCCATTCTCATTCGAATCATATTGTACATGATTTTTTTTGCTTTTCCTTCGATCGCTTCATCAATTTCTTCATAAACGTCTCTGATCTTTACAAGGATTGTATCGGATTCCAATGACGATAATAGTGAAGCCGTGCAATTTGGCTTCTCCGCTTGAGCTTTAGCATTAGCCATCGTGCTGATAAACACCGCCAGCTTCCACAGCTCCGCCGGCTCCGACAGCTCCTCGGCCTCTTTCTGGGCTTCCAATAATGTTAATTCCATGGCTCCATAAACAGCACCCTTGTTGATGAGTAGTTCCTCGATCTCTTTACTGGATGCTAAATTTAACGCTGTGCTAACTTGTCTCGCCCCCTCGTCGTTGATATTAGCACCCTTGTCGATAAGTAGCTCCACGATATCTTTGTGACCTTGAAATGATGCGAATTGTAAAGCCGTACCATTTGACCCCTTCCACTGAGCATTGATATCAGCACCCTTGTCGATAAGCAGTCTCACAATTTCTTTATGGCCTCCGGATGCTGCTGCAGTCAAAGCTGTCTCAAACCGTCCGCAAAATTTGTTCAATTCAAATGAAAGTTGACTACCAGTCATGTGACCGGAACACGTTTCTTCGCTACAAAGAGATTCAAGGACCGAGACAGATCCGAGTAAGGCAGCGCAGTGAAACGGAGTGATGGTCAATTCCACGTTCTTGAACCTTCGGATCACTTTCCAAACTTGAAAAGCTCCATCCACATCTCGAAATAGTCGAATGATATGTTTCTCAACATCCAACGCTTGGGAGCTCTTTTCGAAATGACGTGGCCAATACCGAGCAGCATACTCTGCAAATGGATATTCATCTCGAATGTCATCAGCCTTCAAGCCTATCACACATGGTTCGAGCAGCAATGCCAAGCATGTGCAGGCCACCGTCGCATTGGATTCCTGTCTATCCAGTCTGAAGGATGCAGCCTCTCCATGTAACGAAATCCGTTCTGATTCAAGGTATTCCTGGACGGAGAAATGGGCAATACGAACGGTGTGCAATTTCTCATCATGATTCAGATCCACTTCCGTGAAGCCGGGGCAGACTTTCTGAAGGGCATCAAGGCTTCGGAGCCTGCGCTTTGGATTGAATCTGGGGTAGTCACCAGTCTCGATAGCAATAGCATCGATAAGCTCTGGGACAGTCAGCGGCCTTGTGGCACAGCAAAGGAGGGTCAACATTTGTCGCGCGTAACTATTCCACGCAGCAGGGATATTCTCCAGCATCCGTCTGTAAGTCTCGTCTAATGAGTTCGGTAGAGACTGGAGCAGCTGCTCAAGCAGATCCTCACTCTCTGGGCACTCAGCAAGAGCTTTGAACTGACACTCCACCCAACGAAAACTGTTGCCAATTTAGACTCTATTTTCATAAATTAAGAATAGCGTATTACTTACACGCCTTTGGCTTTTTTGACTAGCGCCTCTTCGATCTGGTCGTAGAAAGCCTCCCACTGTTTCAGGTGCCGACTGTTGCGAAGGTGGTGGGAAATGAAAACGGCTATGTCATTGTCTACGTCGTCATTTCTTAGGGCGATGCTCTCTGCTGGTGTAACCTCTGGTTCTTTGCGAATATCAACTTCATTGCGGCTCGTGATTAGAAGATGCAATCTTGGCTCCGACCAGGCTCGGATGTCACGTATGACCTCCAGGACTGCCTCACGATGCTTTCCCCTCGGACTTTCATCTAGGGCATCCACGATAATGTGAACTTCGCGAAACGTCTGTGTTAGTCGACGAAGGCAGTCTAAGAAAGCCTGGCTGGGTGGTGTAGCATTGCGATAGTTCTGGTACAATTGCAAAAGAGCGGCGGGGTTGTCGCGCAACTGGCCAGCCAACTGCAGGATAAGCGCCCGAAGCATAGCCGATGCGTCCTGCTTGCTCTCATCGTTGAACGTAAAGAAAAAGAACGCGACACCGATACGTGGACTAGACCTCCGGTGACGAAGCGTGTGCTGGATTGCTGTAGAACACAACACAGATTTTCCACAGCCGGCGAAGCCCTGTAGCCAAAGAAACGAATTCGCTTGCTGAAGCCAGGCAGAGAAGGATTCGCCTTTGACAAACCAGAGGCCAGTACCTGCGTGCTTCATCTTGCAAGCTTCATTGAAGTTGATCGAGGCGTCGGGTGCCTTGAGCCAGTCTCTGATCTCGGAGGAGACCTGGGATGCCCTGACCAGGTCTAGAACCACACTGGCATCTTCAACGGCATCCTCAATGCGGTCGATTACCCCTTGCTGGAGTAGTTGCAGGGCTAAGGACAGTTGGCTAACCAGCTCGTCGATATCTTCATCCAGCCTCTGCAGGGTACTCTGTCGAATCGGATAGGCGATTCGGCGGCCTGTTGCTTTGATCGCAGTCTGAAGGCTATCCACGGGAGTCTTCTTCAACTTATCCGCTTCTGACCTCAGCTCCTGGACGCACTCGTCACATTGTGTAATGGCTGATTCTATAGTCGAGGCCAGGTGCACCTCGCTAGGTCGAAATGTGCGGTCGGCGAGCTGAGAGCGCAGAGTGGCTAGAACCCCCAGCAGATTGTCAAGTTCCGTAACGTATGGGCTGCGGCCGAGTGCTGGTCCTTAAGATTCGTATAATAGTCGAAGAGCGCCTGTGTAACCTGAATTGCCAGCGAGACGATTCCCACCACGCTCCCAGTGACAGATATCACCTCAGCCATCGTTGTAAGCCTGCCGGGAGGCTTGTAAGAGAAATGTTCCAGAGATTTCAATGACTGAGGACTTGAGACTGACCTCAAGATGGGGCATTGGAGTGGGGTAATTCTATTTTGGGGGCGAGCGGCTGGGCATACTGCGAGGCTGCCATTTGCGAGAAATTCCCGCTTGAGTCTTGACGTGCATAGTGCTGTCAGTGGCATCCATAGTGGGACGGTGTGTCTAACCTGCTGCATCTGAACCCAGGCAAGCCGCTTTTGGAAGCGAGGCGATGTACGTTGGTTCCCAGTGTTATTTACATATTCGTTCTTGAAAGCGCACACTTATTATCGCCGACCTACGACACCAATCTCTTGGTTTGAATTCGACATTTCACCGTGTTAAATGTTTCGTTATGAGACATTGATCTCTGAAGCAAGGTAGCTTATTAAATGCAGCAGGATAACAGCAAACTAGCCCCTATACTTGTAGTTAATTATAGCAGATAACTACGGGCGAGTACCTGATGTATGTTTTTTCCTCAGTCGAGTCCACTGGCTTTACTTAGTAAAGATTGGACCGTGGGACAACTGGAGGTCTTTGGCAGTCCTGCTGCCTGCTAAAAGGGTGGTTCGGTCACGTGATGGCGCGTCCGCTACGCGTCGGCAATCGCCGGCGTCATCTTGTCCTCGACTCAAAGAATCTGATGCTGCAAATATGACATCGCTTTGAGGTACGATGTATTTGCTTTTGCAGCTGATGTCGGGCACGCATGAACCATGGATGAAAACAAAGCACAGGAGCCCATGTTGAGCGGCTCTCGTCCTCCACCAACAGACGACCATGGCCCCGCGACGGCGACTGTGACTACCCCCACCGTCGCTGAGCATGGCACATTGAAATACTCCCTGCTGGGGCCCTCCCTGACCAAGGCCGGCCAGGACTCGGTAGACCAGTCCAAGGTTTCGGAGATCATCTACAATGCCTCCAAAGGGTCCAAGTTCTTCAATCACGAGGAGGTGCGCGACAAGGTGCTGACGCAAAAGATTGCCGCCATCCAGACCAAGAAGCGGCGCCTGGAGCAGCTGGACCTTTCGCGCGAGCAGCGGCAAGCCGACCAGCTGATTGCGCAACTCGAGCTGACGCGCGACCTGACGCAGCACATTGTCCACGTCGACTGCGACGCCTTCTATGCCGCCGTGGAGCAGCTGGACCGGCCCGAGCTCAAGGACGTGCCGTTCGCCGTCGGCGCCGGCGTGCTGACCACCTGCAACTATGCCGCGCGCAAGTTTGGCTGCCGCAGCGGCATGGCCGGATTCGTGGCCAAGAAGCTGTGCCCCGAGCTGCTGCTCATTCGGCCCAACTTTGACAAGTACACGGCCAAGGCGCACGAGGTGCGCGAGGTCCTTGCCGACTATGACCCCAGGTTTGAGAGCGCGAGCATCGACGAAGCTTACCTTAACATCACCGAGTATTGTGCTGAGCATGACATTTCTCCCGATGATGCCGTTCAGCAGATGCGGGATGAGATACACGAGAAGGCCAAGATTACAGTGTCGGCAGGCATCGCGGCCAACGCCAAGCTCGCCAAGATCTGCTCGAATATGAACAAGCCGAATGGCCAGTATAGATTACCCAATGATCGCAGCGCCATCATGAGTTTCATGCGAGACTTACCGTGTCGGAAGGTAAATGGAATAGGCAGAGTTACGGAGCGGGAGTTGTCTGAGATAGGGGTCAAGACCTGCGGTGAGATCTGGGGCCAGCGACAATACTTGCGGCACCTTTTCGGCGACAAAACATACGAATTTCTCATGATGTGCCATCTCGGTCTGGGCCGGACCAACGTTCAGCCCGCCGAGGACTACGAGCGGAAAAGCGTAGGCACCGAGAGCACATTCCGCGATATGTCGGATCCCGTCCAGCTTCGTGAGAAGTTGAGATGGACCGCCGACGAACTCGAGAAAGACATGCGGCGCGCGGAGTGCAAAGGCCGCACACTGTGCCTCAAGGTAAAGCTCCACACGTACGAAGTCTTCACGCGGCAAGTCGTCACACCCAAGGCTATTTACCAAGCAGACGACTTGTACAACTTTGCCCTTCCCATCCTCGCCAAGCTCGAGCAGGACATGCCCGGCATGAAACTCCGGCTCATGGGCCTGCGCTGCACCCAGCTTGTCAGCACCAAGAAGCCAGACACCCGCGCATTCTTCGGGTTCAAACCCAAGCGCACCGAGTCAGGTGAATCAGATCCAAGCGCAACCAGCCGTAGGGTGGGTGATGACTCTCCCGCGGAAGATGGCGGCGAATGGGAGACCTGGCCCGATGACATGCTGGACGGCGCCGACGCGGAGCTGGAGGCGACCGCCTCGGCGCTCATGGGCAACGAGCCGGCCAACGACGACGAGAACTACCGTCACCACGGGAAGGAGATCACGCCCAACCCGAAGCGGAAAGCCCCACCGAAGGAGGAAGAGGAGTGGTGGGACTGCCCGATCTGCAGCCGGCCCCAGGCGGCCGACGAGCGGCAGTTCAACGAGCACATCGACCTGTGTCTGTCGCGGCAGACCATCCGAGACGCCGTGCAGCGGGATGCCGAGGTCGGCAGTCCCGCACCCAGGAGCGAAGGAGGGGACAGCAGCGGTACGAAAAGAGCAAAGACGGGGGCTGGTGACAAGAAGCGTGGGCGCGGCGCTTCCGCTGCAGCGGATCCCCGGCAGAAGAAGCTGTTCTTCGGCTAGGGTTCTCAACGTGAACAGGCCGTACAAGGAGGGCCTGGGTAGGCTCTGTTCGGAGAACAGCATAATGAGATTATGATCATGAGATATGTAATTGCATAAAGGGGGTATACAGCATCTATCGGAAAGTCAAAATATCTATGTCTTTATCTGCGTGTAGAAGCCTTGGCCGAACTGGGTATACTTCCACGTAGACCACTCGAGCGCCTGTATGTGAATCTTCCCACCGTTCGAAGTTTGTTTGAGCGAAGTGCTAGGTCAAGAATCAAGTCTAAACATTCCCGTCTGCATCTCGATACTCCGTGCTGGGGCGTCGCATGGACATGCTCCTCCGGATCCGATGATCCTCTTCTTCTGTGCGTCCCAGCTCATCGCCCGGCAAGCGCACAGCCCGATCTAGTGCGACGGGCAGACCACGATGTCGACCACGCAACATGACCAGGCACAGAACCAGCTTGCTCCCAGGATACCATCCGCCGGCGAAACTGAAGGCGTCGAACGGCACGCCGACCGAGATACCGACGCAGCCGTAGGCCGAGACGACCTCGAAGATGATGTTGAACACTGAGTAGGTGGCGGGATCCTCGAGGAAGTGGCGTGTCTCAATGGTGCTGATAGCCCAGACGGCGATCACCAGAAGCCAGAGGTCATGGGACAGCTGACCGCGGACCTGATGGCTGATGAAGCTGGTGCGGGTCTCTGGGACACGGTCGTTGGGTTGCTGGGAAGCCGCGCCGACGCCATCCCACCCATCGCCCAGCACCTTTCGCAGGGCGCGGCCGAAAACGCTCGCAGGCGCAATGCCCTCACCGCGCAGGGATGATGACGTCGAGTCGATGGAAGAAGAGTCCATGTCGTCGGCGTAGATACCAAGAGACCGTTCCTCGTAAACATTGGAGTGCCGCATGGTGATGACAACGGGGTACACACTGATGTACATCATGAGCACATACAGGACCTGGAGCCCAATGTACAAGGTGGGTATGGAAACGACGTAAAAACCGCCGGAGCGGACCGCTGCAGAGGGTCAGTCTGATGTCAATGAAAACAAGTCTACAGGGGTGCCGTATACCGAGAGCCTGAAAAAGTCCATCAATAATCCGAGAACCGACTGGTGTGCTTTCAAGTGCAGGGTTGCCAAGATTGAGAATCTCAAATGCAACCCAGTCCGTTCCGTTGAGTACAAACAACATGAAGACCAGCCACCATGTCGCCCTCGAAGGGAACAAGTTAGTGTAAACGCGCCGGGGATACTTGAGGATGTACTCGAGAGTAAGCTTGAGGTCACGGAACGATTCCTCGTACGTCAGCCACTCTAGCAGTTTCAGCACGCTCCAGAGCCAGAGCCGCAGGAAGACCGGATACGCCGTGTTCCCAGCGAGAATCATGGCGCCCATACAGACAAGCACAAAATACGAGCTGCCATAGGGAATCACGTTGAGATCGAGCACACTCATCCCGGAGTTGTTGAACGCAGACACGCCATTGAAGATTCCATTCCACCACGGGTTGATACCGTTATTCAAGGCAGGCTGCGGTTGGTTGTTGGCGATCCACGCACCCAGGGCAACACATCCGAGCACCTGCCAGGCGACAAAGTACAGCGGCACCACGATGGACAACACCTTCAGAGCCCGGTATTCGGTGCCACCGAGGTGTTCTCTCTCCTCGCTTGAGAGATCATGAAATTGCGCGTTGCGCCCGACTTTCTTGGGGGTGAGATATTGGCGATGGCTGGGCGCAGGTGCCAGGTTCCCGCCCTCCAGGCTCGAGATATCCGGGACAGACGCACGCCGGCGAGAAAGGCCACCGCCCTGGCTGAATCCGGATGTGGTTGCTTGAGCATCCTCGGCAAATACGATGTGATCTCGGGCGGAACCGAGCCGCTCAGCAGGCGACCCCGGGGCTACATCGGCGGTTGGGCTTTCCTCCGGCTTTGGGACCGGCTCTCCCATCTTCTGGGGCGCAAAGGGCCCGGAGATGGGCAAGACCGTAGAAGACCCAGTGTTTGGGTTCTGGACAGTGATACGGCGAGCGTCGAGTTCATTGCCCCCATCGGCGGCCACGGGAGGCTTGGTCTTGCCAAATGTCTGGGTGAGCTTCCTGGCCAGGGGCAGATCCGTAGTCAAGGTTCTGCTCTGTTTGTTGAAAGACCTCGAGGATCGAAGGCGCGATCTCTGTACTATATCGCGGAACCTCTTTTCAAAGGCGTGTTTGCGCGCCAACACGGTCCATATTGATACCCAGATGGAGCTTCCCAAGACGATCAGCAGCCAGAGCAGCGTCTGCTGCCAAGTGGTCATCTGACTAAGGTTCACCGTGTTTAGGCCAGCCTCTGTCATGGCCGAAATGACCAGAAAGAGGCTGTCCGTGTAGGTGATGCTGTACTTGGGACTCGACGAGCCCCAGAAGATGACCGACGCAATGAGACATACTGTGATGAAGTAGGCGTAGTGCAGCGTGATGAAGTTCAGCGGCGGCAAGTAGGGACGCACGGCGCGAATGGCTGGCGCCAGGCGATGGTGGCGGGAAGCCATGAATCCGACAAGGGAGCGTTCCAGGCGCTCAGAGAGTGCTCAACTACGGCGACATTTCTGCTCTTGGATATTCAATTGCTGTGCACTGCGAGATACCAGAGAACAAGCGTGGCGGCTGCGCGTCGAGAGGCAGTGGGGAGAAATTGGCCCAAAAAATTACGGGCAGGACTGGCGTCGGCGGGCGACGGACGGTGCGGTGTGGTTTCATTAAGTTAAGGGTCTCACGTTTTGGTGCTCACCAACTAAGTAAGTACTTTCGCATTGGGTTTGGGACCCAGCCAGCAGCTTCCTCGGTTCCTCGCCCGTAGGACATAGGACCCCTGTACCGAGCAGAGCGTGGAAATGACAGGGACGTCCAACGCGTGCTGCTGATGCGTTGCAGACAAAGAAGCGGCCGACGGTATTTCACATACACACGGCGCCAGGCGAGCATTCCAGTTGGCAAAACCAATTGAGACAATGCCCGGCAGTTGCGGCATGCCGGACGGGGCCGGGATGCGCGTCCGACACAGAGCGTTGCGATGGGGACCTACTCCGTACCTAGGTCTCTGTATGTAGTTAGGCGACCTTGGCAGCAAGTCGTGCACTTGCACAATCTGTAGTCGGCATCCACGCCAGGCGTCAAGCTTGAATCTGGTAGCAATTCTACTTCGAGGCACATTGTTTTTGCATTTTCAAAGTGGTCAATCGGTAGGAGGTAGGTGTTTTCTTCTGTTGTGATGAGTGCACGAACAAGCTATGTGTATGTCGCCTATTGCTCGTCACATATGAGTCCTGGGTTGCGCATACTCAGGCACGGCAAACCATGATCTACCACCGCCTCCCCAGCATCAGCATGCATTCCAGCGACATCCCGGGCGAGCACGGCCTATAGCTCGTTGTGCTCCTGGACGTCGTCGGTGTCGACAAGTATGGTCTCGGCGACCTTGGCAGCGGCACTGGCGGCGCTGGCAATGCCTTCGGCGACACCTGCAGAAGCCTTGTCCGTGGCCTCGCTGGCGGCAGAGCTGGCGCTGCTCAGCGGCTTCGTGACAATCTTCTCGGGCGTGGGGACACCCTTGATGCCCACAATCTCGACCTCGAAGATCAGAGTCGAACCGGCCGGGATGGGGCCCATGCCTCTGTTGCCGTAACCGAGCTCGGGAGGGACGGTGAGCGTCCTGCGACTTGTCAGATTTCAGGTGCTCGGTGGACACGGTCGTGGCCGTCATTTACCTCTTCTCGCCAATGCAGAGGCCCTCCATGCCCTGGTCCCATCTAAAAATAACGTCAGCACAGATTGCCGCCCGCGCGCGTGTCATGGTGCACAACGAACCCCTTGATGACCTGACCAGTTCCGAGCTTGAAGCTGAAGGGTCTGCCGCGGTCGTAACCTGTATCGCAGTGAGTCTTGTGCACGCCGAGGGAAAGGCGCGCAGCCGCTACGCACTGGCATCAAACTTCTCGCCGTTGGAAGCCAAGGTTCCGCGGTAGTGCGCCTCGATGGTGTCGCCCTTCTGGGTGCGGCGTTCGCACTCGACGGCCTGGGTGATCTCGACGCCCAGCTCGGCGCCCACCACGCCCATGGCGGCAGAGGCGAGGAGGGAGAGAGCGAAAAGGAGGCGCTGCATCCTGGCGAATTGGCTGGCGGGTCGAGTCGTCGAAAGGTAGGAAGGATTGGTTGAGGAGGGTGTGTTGTAGCGGTGACGGTGCCAGATTTAGCTTGTCGATATCTGTCTTCAGCGATGTCTACCGCAACTACCTACAGCTTGCCCCCAGCTAAGCTCTGGGGGCGGGGATAAGGGGCGTCGGGGGTCGAGTCGGGTTTGGGGGCCATTGACGTCAACGGCTGACTCGACAGGCTGCCAGCTGACAGGCTCTGTTTCAAAGCACGGGGCTTGGCTTTGCGGAACGGAACGCTTGTGAAGTGAAGTTGTCGACGCCTAGCACCATTGTGCTGTCAACGATACCCAGATATGAGCTGCGCCGCCTGGAAAAACTACGTCGAGTCTACGAGACGGATCCGTGTGTAAGTCGAGGCCTGACGGCTCCCAGACTCCCGTCTGTTGGTCCTCACAGCCCCCTTGGGCTAACCACGACGGCTTGGCCGATGGTTCGCCAGAAGTTATTCGACCTTGTTTCTGCCTGGCAGCCTTGCGTCTGGTTGCGCTTCAGCTCCGTTACGAAAGAATCGCCGGTGGCAGTGCTCTGTTTTTGCGCCAACACTGGCCGACTGGATTCACTGGTTGCCGTTGTGGGCGATTACACAGTGGTGAAGTTAGAAGGGGGGAGAAGTTGTGCAACGCCTGCATCTTGTTCCAAAAATTTGTCTTGAAATGCAATCGCAGTTCGAGGACCCTGAAAGATGGGTGGTGGCATGAACCCACGTCATTAGCGAGTTCCCCTGCAGGAAGGCCACCAACAACGACATTGAATGGGTACTTGGTGTAGCATACTAGATTGGACACCGACCAGAACAACATGATCTTGTGCGCCCTCTATTCAGGAGCAGCACATGGGCATTTGCACCCCTCATGCAAATCAAGTGCCGGCCGGCAAGGAGCAATCTTTTTGCACCTTGGGGAGCCCCTCGATGGAAGTGATGGGCTGGACCCCACCTGCTGGCACCGCACTCCAGCCACTCTTCGAACTTGAAAAAAGGCGAACAGGGCCAAAGCACTCCGTGCCATCGCATTCTGGTGATAACTTCTCCGCGCATCACCGCAGACCCAGATGACTCACTGGAGATGGCACATCTGCGCTGGGAAGCCCCAGGGGCCCTGGCGTTTGTTCTCGATTGGCGACTCACGACGAAGACACTGACCGAACTTAAGCGGCGGCATGAGAACCAAGCCCCTCCGGGATGCCCCTAGTGAAGGTTCCAGTAGGCTGCCAGCCAGAGCGTTACCCCGTGCCTGCGTGCTGCCTGGCCTCAGGCAGACTCAACTTCGATTGACCAAAGCAAAGGCTGAATTGAGAGTTCCAATGCGTCTAGCTTCTATGGACAATGACACCCAATTCCGCCCAGCGGCGTCGCTTCTCGTCGACTGTCAATTGACCCGCACTGCTTTGCCAATTGCGCGCTCCTAGGGTCATTGACCTGTCTGCTCACGAAAGTCCTGGCCGTAGGACGTCGCCAGGACTCTCGACCGCAACCACCCCCAAATGAGCCATGGGCAATCGAAAGCCTGCTTGGGGCTGCAGAATTGACACCATGCAGCCGACCGCGCACCCGATTCCTCGGGTCACGGCTGGCCAGATTCAAGATTGAGAGAGCGCACCTACACCCACCACCTCTCCTGAGATGCACGTGAGATCGTCCTAGCCGTTGCACCTCCAAAATGTCCCCCATAGCCTTCGCCTCTGTCAACACAGAGCTGCTTCTACTTGGGCCTCATTTGCCACCGCGTCTGCGCCTCATGTAAATACATGTTTGCAGCGGTCCCAACGGTGCTGATGTTGTTTCTCCATGTCTTGAGTTATTAACCCCCAGCTGTCCTGCCTAACTCTCATGGCCCCCAATGCGGCCATAGCCCCACTACGTGCCTAGTCACCTGCTCCAGTGATGCTTCTGTCGCTTTGAATAATTCCAGATGCTGCCTCGCCATTCACCTGGAAGTCCAGGCATGAGTCACTTTCGGTCTGTACATACTTTCGTTCGCGCGTTTCCGGCCGCCCATCATGGATACCTGAGGTCTGTCTGCCTAGCAGGGAGCACAGCCAGTTTGGCTGGCGCTCCAATGCCTCCTTGTGGTACCTCGTCGGTAAGTCTCTTCAAGTAATTATCTTGGGTAGCTTGCTTGCCGTCTCGTTTTCTACTGTGACCCGTTGTCTATAAAGATCCTTCGATCCTTTCTACTTGTTTTCTCTCGTCCTTCAGTTCCTCATCACAACTAAACCAAATCCTACGGGCTACCAACTCCTTCAGCGCTTCTTCAGTTAGCACAAGCAAGCCTTGAGTATTCCTCACACTTCAAACAACCAATACACCTCTATGGGTTCCGGAAAATCGTCCAAGTCTAGTGTTATTATTGTCGAGGACCGTCACTACTACTCCAAGTCCTCGTCTGGCTCCTCTAGACACACTTACTCGAGCCCGTCCTCATCCCACTACACCAGTTCTTCCTCATCCCGCTACGGCTCATACACTATGGGGGGTTCGTCCGACAGTTCTCGTGGCTCTTCGCCCAACTCCTACACTGAGTACAGAACTTCCAAGGCCAAAGACTACAAAGGTAGTTCGACCCGCAGAGGAGACACCATTGTACACAATGGGGGTGGTCGAAGCTGGGACGCCTATGACCCTCACCCAGGGTATTCGACATACGAGAAAAGCCAAAAAAGCAGCAGCAAGGAGAGAACCCACTAGTTCATCTTCTCGATAGAACGAACAAGCAAAGAAACACACATATACACACATACACGCATACAGTTCGGCGTTAGGGATTTGATACTATTGGGTATGCTGGGATTGATACGACTGTCGATTACGCCGGGCATGATTGACATTGGGAGGATTGGCATAGATTATTGTCTTCAGATGTATAGCCCCAAGGCGCCATACAGATTGATTACTGTGGCTCTGGCAACATTGCCAACTACGACACTACATTCAATTCATGTACTATAGCATTTTCATATAGCCCCAAGACAAGGCTTTTGAACGATCAACACTACCAGCCAATGACATCGTTGTGCCGGAGACCCTCTGTGACGTCCCCCGTCTTATTGGACAATTGCGACTGTCGATATATCGCCCCGCGTCGTTCCTGCTTTCGAGGGTTGAAACTGTTCCTGATCATCCCCTTGCAGCCTGCTGAACAATCATGCACGCTCCCTTCCTACGGGGCCAGCCTGCAGCAGCCGCACCGGACAGTTGCCCGATCCGGTTGCCATGAAGCCACCACATTGGCTGGTCACGATCCCTTACCCACGGTGCCGCAGTTTCGCACTTTCGCTTAGCTGAGCCGATGCAAGTCATCGTCCTTCCCCCCACAGTCGCTAGCGGGAGGGAATCCGCGCCGTCGACGATCCACAAACGTTTGTCGGCGCCAGGGGGGCACGGGCTTCGCGCCTAATTGCGGCCTGAGGGGGGTTACCAATGTGCTTCTACTTGGGTTGGATGGGCCCCTTGATACATCTATAGTGGCCGTGTGAATAAAGTTCAACTTGCTTGATGAGGTAATGCTGTCCACGTAGTGCGGCGGAGGGATCCTGAGCACATCGACACTTTGCTGCCTAGCATCTGAGGCGCAGAACAGGCCGCGTTGCCTGTGCCTTTGTGGAGAGACAAAGTATGGGCTCCCAACCGCGCAGAACCTCTTCAGGGGTGTGCTCACTGTACCAGCACCAAGCTACACACTGGGTCCATGACTATACCATAATGTGCTTCGCTCATTTTGACTCTCGCTCTGGTCGCGTCGTATCATCGGAGTGCTGGCGAAGGACCCAGCATCAGTCTCGACTAATGCACGCGCCGATCGCACTCATAGGGACTCCAGGTATTTCTTGGGGGTTCGTCATACGTATATAATAACTCGAAGATACAGCGCGCAGGAAATTCATACACTCTCCTCTCTTGGGCCTCTCCCCTGGAATACTTAACTCATGCTGGTTACGGCGACATTGGGTAAGCAAGACATATGGGGTCATATCAGCTCTATGTGCTACCAAGCAGGCCCTTAGAGCATCGTGGAAACACAAACGCCGAGAACGAGAATGCCATGATTGGGTGGCGACCCTGTCACTACGTTACTCAGACATGATTGCCTATCTTGGTAATAAACAGCCTCGAGCACGACGGCAATTGGCTATCGGCAGACGGCAGCAAACCCCTCGCTTGTTTTATTGCTTTCACGTGTCACCCATTACTTTCCCACTTATTTTAGTCACACCAATGATTCAACGTCAATTAACATCGGACGAAAATGTGGAGATAGTCGTCATAGTTGAGACAGCTGTTATGCGCAGGTCCGTGCAGCTGATGATTGCTACCTAGGTAGTTAACTGCCATAACTGTCAAAGTCGTTTGAATTTCTACACCATTATTGAAGTCTTCTTGCACACATACAATGCCCGGACAGTTTGCACAAAAGATCCTGAACAAGCTCGGCGTGGGCGAGCAGCATCAGGGCCCGGGGCCTAGCTCCGGGGGCTCCGGGGCGGCCGCATATCCCTGCCACATTGCCGAGGACGCACGGCAGCTCCACCCGTCCGGCGGCACCTACCCGCGGCTCTGCCGGCTTTCGGACGGCAGCATCCTGTGCGGGTCGACACGCTTCGAGGGCGCCGAGCGCGTGCTGCACGTCTCGCGGAGCACGGACAACGCGCAGACGTTCGCGCCCTGGGGCGAGGTGGCCCGCGGCGCCGGCGACTGCGACAACCTGTTCCTGTGCGAGGTCGGCCCGGGCCCCACGGTCCTGGGCGCCTTCCGCAACCACGACCTGGACCCGGGCTCCCGCAAGCCCACCCACTTCCGCATCACCGTGTGCCGCAGCGGCGACGGCGGCCGCACCTGGCACTTCCTCAGCCAGGCCGCCGAGCAGAGCGCCGCGCAGACCGGCGGCATGGGGCTCTGGGAGCCCTTCATCCGGCTCGGCCGCCAGGGCGACGTGCAGCTCACCTACTCGGCCGAGCTGGCCGGCGACAATCAGGAAACGTTCCGGGTGGTTTCGCGGGACGGCGGGGCCACGTGGAGCCCGCCGCAGTGTCTGCGATGCCATGGCCCGGAAGAGCGGCTTCGCGATGGCATGCAGGGCATCGTCAGCGTACGGGATGGGGCATCTGGCCAGGATGCGTTAGTCATTGTCTTCGAGACGACAAGACATGGCACATTCAGTATCGAGTACGCCGTCTCGTGGGACGACGGAGCGAGCTGGGGCTCGAGAGGCGTGGTCTACTGTCCGCCGTGGGGGCGGAACGCAGGCGCGCCGCAGATCGCGAACTTTGGTAACGGTGGGCTGGCGGTCGTTTTCATGACGGATGAGGATGCCATGGCTGCGGACTGGCCCAAGAACGCAGCCGTCAAGGCGGCGGTGGCCGGCGGGTTGCACGGTGGCCGGATAGCGTGGAGCAAGCCGATGCTCATCAGCGGTGCGTCAAGTTTCTGGCCTGGTATACTCGACGTGGGAAACAATGAGGTTATGGCGGTATTTGAGCATGGAGGAAGACCTCTGGGGAAACTTTTGCGGTGGAGGTAAATGTGGACAGCATTTGTGGCCACCAAGGCGCCTCCTAGGGATATATGCGGACTTGTAGCAATTTGCTTTAACACGTCTGGAACCACGGCGCAGTCTTTTTTCAGCATCTAGTACTTGCTCTGCGACACGGGGAAAATATGTCTCACTCTGTTGCGTGGCTTGTTCCAACACTAAGTGGTAAAGCGGTCGTCCTTGTGTCTTTGTCTTCAACAATGCATTAGCTGAAACGAGAGCAACGTGGCTGTCCATGGTGCATTCTTTGTCAAAGTACTTGACAAGATCATCTCCCCCCGAGTATAAAGCATATCCGCTCGGGCATTCAGAAATAGTAATACCGGGTTACGCTACCAGAAAGTGGTTTCACATTGGCAAGATTTGTAGTATTGGGTTCCGAGCTATGTTTCGATCGCCTTCCAGAGCCTATCTTCCCTGGGGCTGCTCGTTTCCCGTGATCGAACGCTCCCGATGGCCAAAGACGCATAGCCGGACCACAGGACGGCGGATGCTAGTGCGGCATTCCGAGTGTTGCCTGTGTCCTGATCTAGAAGAAGACAAGGAGAGGTCAAAGATTGTCCTTGCTCTAGCGATCCTATCAATCATGCGCCTGCACAAGATAGACCCTCGGGGGTTTCCCTACGTCCGTTTCAAACCAGCGTTCCAGCAGCTATGTGATCAGCTTGGGGTCTATGGGCCAGAGTGCACCATTGAGGAGCTTCTGGGCCTAGAAGGTTATATCCTACATGACCTGAAGGTTTTCTTGTGGAACCACCCAAAGGATGTTTTCCCTCAGCTTTTTTGCTTCATGGATTGGAGCGTAGATGAGCAAGTGGACTGGAATGGATTCATGGGGGTTCTCAAATCTGACACGCCAAGTTCCATTGTCGCGTGGGCCTGGCTGTTCAGACTTGAGGATTTTGAGAAGGACCTGAAGTTCCAAGACCCTGAGCCGGTGGCAGATGATGTTATTCCAACCATTGTGAACGAATGAAGGGTAGTGAACCCGAACAAGCATCTCCTACTCACCGCTTAAGTCTTGGAAGCAAGTTACCAAGGTAGGGGAAATTAGGTCGTGGCTTGTGCAAAAGGGAAACTACTCCATTCTCAAACCTACCACGATTCGCACCATTAGTCTGTGATATCGGCTTCTTAAAATCTGCTAAGTACTTCCTACGCATGTTATCTGATGTTAAACATCTTCACAAAGTAGTAAACAATATCTATCCACATAGCTTCTCAGGACTGACCTCTTATTATCTCCCAGATATCGTGAATATCAGCACATGCCTTGCCACTGAGCGGACCCTTCTCGATCCCATTCAGTGACTCATCCAGCTGACCCGGACTGCTAGTGCCGATGATCAGCGCATCGCCGTTGTCTCTATTTAGCACTGAATGATATGCAACCCATCGATACGCCAGCTCAGCTCCACTCACACCCTCACCATCTGCAATATCATTCCACCTGATTAGTGCTTCCAGAAACTTGGGGTTGCCGATATACGGCCGACAAGTCGCAGAGACTTGCGCTGTATCGTGTGTCATCTCCTCAGCTCGTGCCACAGTCTTACCGAGGAACCCCCCAGCCGATGGGCCGTATGCGTAGAAGGACATGCCCAATCTGCGCAAGGTCGGTATGAGCACTGTTTCTTTGTTTCGATTGAAGGGATTGTAGCTGCTTTGGTAGACTGCGGGGAGAGGGTAGCCCCTTTCGGCGCAGTGATTGTGTATAGCTTCAACTTCAGAGGCCGGGAAACCGGAGAGCCCGAAGCGACAGAAGATACCACTTATATATACGTCATTCACTGCAGCGAGCGTTTCAGAGACGGGTGTTTTGGGGTCAGGCCTGTGAAGGTAGAAGATATCAACCTCGAAGTGAGAGTTAGCAAAAAAATTTCGAATTGATTACAGAGCCGGACTCTAGAGACATAATCCTACCTCCCTCAGGAGGACAAGGGGATTATGCCTGACGAACTCCTAGCTTCTTGATGCTGTCTTTAGCAGAGTTTGTGATCTGAGCTTGCGTGGCCCACGCCGTGCCAGGTTCATTCCACAACGGACTCCATTTTGCGTCAATGGTGAATCTATCGCCCGCCTTTACTTTTCCAATTGTAATCTCGGAATTGCCGTAGCTCTGCGCTGTGTCGATGGTGGTAACTCTGTGTTCAGCTAGGATGTTGAGGAATCTATCAAGGCCGTTCTCTGGCGTGAATAGCGGTCTATTGCCAATTCTGGTTCCACCGAACACTGTAGCTACTGGCTGACGTGACATGTGCAGAGTCGTGGATGGTGGACTCATGCGTGCATTGATTTTGTTACGTTGAAAGTAGACCCAGACTCAGACCCTGAACTCGCATTTTCACTAGGCTCTTGCCTTCTCAGGCGCGGGGAAGGAACCGTGACAGAATCGATGAAGCAAATTCACGAAGACAGTGCCGATGCGCCCGCCACACGGAGCTGTGTGTTAGGAGAGGGGGGAAGCATTGCAAACCTCTGTCACTGAACTGGTCTTTGCTTACAGATCTCCTGACGTGCGGTCTGTAATTTACTTTCTAGCTGCAATATTTAATGTTACAAGAATGAAGCTTACCTGCCCATAGTTCGGTCCATTAACTTGCCTGCATGAGGGAGAGTTTAAACGTGTTCCAATAAATGACTAAACCTGTGGACACCATCCTGCAAGATTGCAGCCGAACTCATGCAGGTGATTGAGTGCATATCCTGCAGTTTCTCGACGGGGCATGAATCAGGTATTAGATGGAGCGCCTGTAGCGGTGGTCTCTTGTACGGCGGCGTAAACATATGCGGTCTGTTGGAGCGGGCTTTGGAATCCGAAGGCAAAACGAAAAAGAAGTGTTCACTCTTGGTGGCGTCACATATTATGGAATTCATGACAAAAGAAATTGTTGTTCTTCTCCCACATACGTAGATCTCGATGTTCGGTGGTACACCTCGTTTGGGATAGGCGACGCCTTAACTGTCATAAATTTCTAGTGTGAGTTAAGCCAAAATGGCGGGATTTATCACTACAGTCCAAAACAAGGCACGTGGGACAAGATTTGAGATTCTATGCCCAATCAGTCGGAGGCGCGATAGAATAGGAAAGGAAATCACAATGGCGTGATATACGCTATGAGTTATGTGGCTTCTCGATCTAGTCTCGAAGACATACTCAGCTCCAATAAATCGCGCAGAACTAGTTAACTAGACTATAAGTCGTGCCAAGCCTATTCCAAGTTCGGCGAAAGGACTCTGTGGCAACTCGCCGCTTCAAAAGCCACCTTCTCTCAGCTGGGGTGCTAGACTGTATTTTACTGCAGATCTTCAGTGTGATGATGGGGCTGATAGAAGGCACCTCATTCGAGACCAGTCACGCCTTGGACAGACATGAGCATAAATAAGGTTGGCATCTCTGCCATCCCAAGCTTACTTTTACTTACCAACATCATTCACCAACTTGGGTTTTCTCAAATACATTCACATCTGTACAAGCACAAGTAAAAATGCGTTTCTCTATCATCGCGATAGCGACCCTCCTCTCTGCGGCCAATGCCCAGATTGATGCGAACCCTAACCCCCGTGCTATTGAAGCTGTAAGTTCACTGAGTTTGGCACAATAGTATCAACTAATCACCGAGCACAGGCTCATAACTACCCTCGTCAGGTTGTGACTTCTTCAAGTGCCCGGCCCGCATCGACAACTGTTGTCACTGGTACCACTCTTCGCACATCGTCATCATCAGCGGCGGTGAACTCCTCCAGCAGAGCGCCAACCACTTCTAGCAGAGCTGCGACCACGAGGGCTGCAGGTTCAAGTAGTGCGCGTGCGAACGGCTCCAGTGCTGCTTCCTCCTCTGCCAGGGCTAGTAATACGACCTCGTCTGCTGTTGCAACTGCTACCAAGTCAGGTGCCGGCTCAAGCACGGTCAACAACCTGGTGCTTGGTCTGCCTCTCGTGCTTCTCGCAGCCGTCGCATTATAATTCTAGAATATGGAGGCATTATTCTTGTGATCATTCCTGGAAAATAATTCTTAATGAGTGTGTTTAAGGTTTAATCAACGAGTCAGGAGGCATGCATAGGTTCAGGTCAGATGAGGTGTATATCTTGATTTTACTTCATAACGTCACGTTTACAGCTGTCAACACAGAAGCAGTCCACGGGTAGTGATGATTTGAAACAATTAATGCATGCCAATACAACGCGTTCTGAACAATGAGCAATCTTACAAGCTGTAATTGGCAATAAGGTTTTAACGACTACCCTTCATTATGCGACGCTCCCTATTTATGTTCAAAGCGAAAAAGTGAGGACATTACCATGTCGCTGAAACTCTTTTCAGTATGCATGGAAATCTGAATATTCTGGCAGTGGCCGGTCATCACGGTCAGCACCATGTCTAGACTGCCGGCGCTCAAGAAAATTCACCCATGAAATCATGATTTCACCACAAAGTCGCAAGAAGGTTCTGGTGTCTTCTTTGTATTAGCGGCTTTTCCACATGCATCCGGTGTGAACCAACCTCACTCGTTCCGTAGCTTGTAGTGCCTCTGGAATCCACGGCTCATCTTCAGCGAATACAGTAAATGTAGAGATACCACTCTGGATCTGGAGCCCTTGTTCGATCTCTTCGAATCCGCGAGGGAGTGGCTTAGTCAGAAAGTCTTCAACTTCCTTTGCGACATAAATCAAGACCCAGTCGTAGCAGACGTAAAGTCGCTCTATAGGAAGAAAGGTATCCCGTGAGGGCCGGAAAATACGGATCTCACCATCTACACCTTTAGTCCTGAACAGCTCGAAAATCTCTGCTGCCTCTGGTGGGAAGATGCGATAATCATCGTGTCAAAGGGATTGTGAGGTCGGGTATAATCAGAAGTCCAAATGTATGGTTCCATTCATGAAGAGACTAAATCTTATCCCGTTTCAAGGAGAAGGGACAAGATGGGATTATATAGCGGACACCATTCGATGTCTCACCGGACCTTCTGTAAACCTAATGCACTACCGTGACACATCGGTCGCGTCGAGGCCATTTGCTTGAAGGAACTTGCCGAGTATGGTGACGCTGATTTCGAAGCCTTTCACAAAAGGGACAAGCGGCATCTTGCTGACGTGAAATACGGCGTCGCACTGCAACTAAATAATGACATTGGCCACTAAGAGTGTAACTTGTATTCGGGAGAGCTGGTATGGGCAAGAGTCCAGCCTCCATACCAACATATATCGAGGTTAGGGCGTTGTGGAGACCTGCAGCTTTAGGCGCCCGATGGTCTAGAAACCTGGTCCAGTCGAAGCGCCCAGGGAGAAGTTGGAGTTCTTATTGGTCATATACCCGCCGCATCCAAATTTATCTGCTGCAAACCTTCGTTGGAAATAACCAGACTGCGGTAGTGAGTCCCCAAATTCAACTTGCTCCCTGATTGCCTCCAACGATAGACTACGTTGCCAGCTCTTCGAAACAAACACCATGCATCGATCAATAGCCCAATGCTCTAATGCCAGCTACGATATAAGTGAGAAATGTGAGAAATTCTAGCATCGAACCATGTTCGATAGAATACAAATTCAGTTCAAAAAGACAGTCGTTTGTAAGATTCAAGACGACTGGATTAACAAGAACAAAGCTGCAAATAACGACAATAACCTTCAAGACGCGGGAGATCAGACTGGTAACATAATCAAATGCTAAATGGCGACACATGAAACACTGTCCGTTCCGCCTCCATTTTGAGCCCCAGCCAAAACACCAGGAGTAATATAGATGCAATGGTGTGGTTTAGGCCGCATAGACCTCAGATCCAAATGCTCCAATACCATCGACCTTGTAGTAGCCTCCCTCGTAGTCCTTGTGCTTCTTTCCGTAGCAGTTGTCTCGCTTGCCGAGGTAGACATATTCCTCCCCATCCTCACCTCTCTTGGATATGTGGTTTCCTAGAGGTGCCTTCATAGCCCTGGCACAGGTGGCATAGTCTACTGCATATGTACCACTCTTCTCTGTATTGTAGATGGCAAATGTGAGCTTTCCGTCTGGGCCATTGATCTTGTCATTCTTCTGGTTAGTGAGCTTGATGGGGTAGGTATCTGATGTCTCGTGTCCCTTTTCAATGTCTGTGCCGACATACGCGTTACCTGTCGAACGGGTCAGACAAAGATACTAGTTATGTGGCCTGTTATCAAGTTGAGGTAGTGTTTGCTTACAGAAAGTCGATACTGCCTCGCCGAAAGCACCGACTGGAATCCACTTGCCGTGGCCATTGCTGCCGCCTTCGCCAGTGACCAAGTGGCCGCAGTTCATGACCTTGTCGCGCGCTTGAAGCCCGCTCTCGTTGTCATCTCGTGCCATTAGGCCGCCGGCTTTCAGTGCTTCGTACTCGTCATCAGTGATGGGCACATTGTGCTTTGAGGCTGGGGTGCGACCGGCCAGCGCGGACGATTCGCGAGCTTTGAGGCCTGCACCCTTGAGTCGCGCCCATTCAGCATCGGTGATGGCAACATTCTTTCCGGGTTCTCTCGACTGCAGCTCGGAAGAGCCGGGCAAGGGGCCCGAAACGACAAGTCCCGAAAGGACCGCTGCAACAAAGAAAGTCTTAGAATACATGATAGATAGTTGGTCCGGCGTTAACAGAATGTGTAGGTCAAGGCTATGGTATTGATAAAGTGCTATGAAGAAGGGTGATATTGTACTTTGTAGGTTTGGTGTGCTGGTATGTTGGTGTGAGGGTGATCTGTTTGCTATAGATTTGAGAGATGGCAGTAGGGAATTTATACTCAATTTTTGCACCTCACCGACCGCCCATCTGCTCTACCTAGGTTACTCTAAGGCTTCTTAGTGACCAAAGCCATCATTTGAAAGCCGAAGCTTCCGATACGAGGGATCACAGCTGGCGCTTTGTCGTCATCACACCGCCCACTTCAGGCTGGCCATGGTGCAGGATCTGCAACCTTTCAGCGATAGGTGTTTGAATATTGGATTGCAGATGAATCGCTGAGATTCCAACAATAGTATACTTCAATCTATCGATATACCTCCCGTACTGGTTCATTTGTACGCGTAGGTGGCGCGGGCGGCGTATGCCCCTGTCGCAACTCCTTTTGGCGGCCGCTGGTGGCGGCGCAGGATCAATTCCGCCCTCAGCTTAACCCACAACAATGTAGGAATTTTTACGAAACGCCTCTTGAATTGTGTCACCTGCGCATTCTTTGGCTATGAATTTGCCCGGAACATGGGGGCCACCCCACGGTGACCACTCAAATCCTTTGGCGCCTATATCCACGTTGCAGGGTCCCATTTTTTTTTTTTATATTTCTAAGCAGGCGCCAGGGTCAGCTAAGGAGAAACTGCCCTGCCCCGTCTTGGCACTATTGGTTGCTGTGCCTGACTTTTCACACAAGCTGCGGGCAAGCTCTGAGTTGCGCCTGTGAAGTTGGTCAATGCAACCCTGAAGCCAGGATTGCTCGGAGGTCAAAAGGCGTGAGCCTCGCTGGAGCAGCCGCGCCGCGTGCGGTCTCAAATCTCTATGCTCAACAACCTCTGAAAGCGATGATGTCGAGGAAGGAACCAGGTTAAGCTTTAGTTGTGGCACAGCGGACCGGGGGAAGTCAATAAGAGTTCTCTCGGTATGTAGTGCAACAGGGGTAAGCCCTAACTTGCATGAAGTTCGGATGACTCGGCTGTTTCCTTCTGCAAGGCTCCAGCCTCCCAAAGGACCACCAACTCCTTACCTACGTATTAACTTAGTCCAGGGTTCTATTTTGTACCGTCTCGTTTTTGGGTCTCGCTTACCCAATGATCCTCGAGATGTGATCAGCCTCGAACGACTTGATCCTACGAGGCAGATCCTATATGGTGGACAGTCTGCAGACACACATTCTATAATTATCATTGGGGCAGTATAGAGCGTAAAAGTTTGCAAGACTGTGTTACTTCATCGTACCGACACTGTCTTCGATTGTGTTAGTGATGTTTATAAGAAGACGCATCGCCAGTGACTACCTAACATCAGCAACCAGCAACAAGAACATCTAGCATCCTGCAAACATTTCCCTAAGCAATTTATATTCACCAGTCTCATAACCGTCATCATGGTTTCCCTCAAGTCATTGTGCCTTTACGGCGCCGCGCTCATTACCGCGGTTCAGGCCATACCTACTCCGTCCTCGGATACTTCCCTTGCCGGCAGAGACGCCTCTTTAGGTTCGTCTGAAATTCAGCCCGCCGCTATTGCGCGCGAGATTTTGGATGGATCAGACTCCACCGATCTATCCAAAAGAGTCGGACGTGGCCGCATGACTCTGCAGTGGTCAGCCCAAGGTCGCATCTTTTTCATGCTCGGCGCTGGTTTCCCTCAAAGCATTATCGACAGCTTTGCACAACTGGGTGAAGGTGGTCCAGCCAAGGGTTTGATGTCCGAGTTTTGGGGCTGGGCTCTCGACCACCAGTCTCTCAACCGGAACGTCCGTGAGGCGTGGCGGATGACGAATTCTGCCACGAGAAGTGCCATCTATGGCAAAGCTGGAGGCGTCATTTCGAACGACTTCGGGTTCGGCCTTCAGACGGCCGGCGCCTATGCCAACCCTACGCTCGCTCAGATGCAGAACCTGATCCAGGCAATCCATGACTGGGCCAGCTCACAGGGCAGCGTCGTGCAGGTCATCCAGCGCCCCAACGACTTTTTCAGCCTCTCTGAGATCGGGGCATCGACGCGACGTGACTTGGAGGATCGTGCTCGCGGAAGCACTTGCCCTAAGAGCCAGAACTTACTGCAGTATGCTACCAAAGATGTTTCTAGCGATCTGAACATCAACAGAGATTTCCGAGCGGCTGGACAGTGTGGCAACATGTGATCTGGATGTCGATGAGCATTTACAACGAGCCCTGGTGCGGGCTGTAGACATATGTAGCTCGTCAGGTTTCAGGTGGTGGGAATGGGAAGACTGGGCATGTTTGTGAAGATTCACGTCGTTATTAGTCGAGATAGCGAACAATACAGGCGTGGGCACTTCATATGTAGAACCCGTCTTAGTTAGCCAGTGGCTTGAGGCCACCAAGGGATCACTGCTTGGTGCACGCTGCAAACAACTGATGGCAATTTTTCTTCTCTGAGTCCGAGAACTTTTGCATGATACCTTCTGGCACGTTGTCCGCCGTCATGCCCTCATTCGGTAGTGCATGCCGGAGGCCGCGGTCTATAGGGCTGAATTGATCGGCAAGGAATTGCAGGGGTGGTGCTGCAGCCCAGCACCCGTCACGACTCCTTAAGGCTTAAACTTATAAATAGCAGCAGCCTTGGCGCCAGATTTTCCCCACAATAGCAAACACGCTGCACACATATATACACCTCTGGGAGCCTTGGTCGTGCGTGAGACGCCCTGTCACGGATAGTACAACCTTTGAGTAAGACCAACAGCCCAAAATGCTCCGCCCCGCCACGTGTGCAGCGCCGAATCAAGCCAATCCACTCGAGAAGCTGCCAGATGAGATACTGCAAAAGATCCTCAACTTCGCCATGCTCCGTCCTAGCCCGTTCTATATCGACTGGGATCGCGACTCTGAGAAGACACAGCAAGGCACCATCGCCTTCTCCGGTTCTGCGGCATGTTCGATCGCGATGACGATTGATTACCCCCACAGCAGCACCACCACGACACGTCTAATCAGATGTCTGCCAGACAGTCAAGCCATCCATTGTGCCGACTGGCTCCGCATCAACACGACGAGCCGCCGCATCCGCAGATTAGGCAAGGAGGCGTATTTCGCGAACAAGATTGTCGCTATAAATACGAGGCGGACCTCATCAGACTCCAAGTTCTTCGGAAAAGAGGACAACCTACTGTTGCGGCAGCGTGTCCGTCACGTTATCTTCGCGAACCTCAACTTTCAGTCACCCGCCGAACTGATGAGTATGCCGAGACGCGTCGCAGTTTTTGAGCGACTCCAACATTTCACGCTCTTCTACGGCTTCCGTTTAGGGGACCAGCTAGAGTGTCTGACAGCGCCGATGTCGCACCGGGTCGGGCAAGAAGGAGCACAGTCCGGCGTGACTGAGGTTCCACCGACCTTGAAGGACCTCCTCAGACGAATTGGAGTGCCATCGGAGCTGAGTATGGATATCATGGTTGCATGTGGTACAACATGGGAGTTTTATAGAAGCAGTCTCGCCCAACACGCTTACCCAATGCTGAGATTCAAAGCCGAAGCATTAGAGCAAGCCACGGCATCCCCTTAATCACTAATAGAATGCCACCATGCAGACAAGATCAAGGAGCCAAATGCTACGTTGATTTAAAGCTTAACCCCCATATTTTCTTCGGGTCAAACTTGCCAAGATACGCGGAATCCCCATCTGAAAGCAGTAGACTAGAGATTCCATCACCGATGTCCGACCGAGAGATATTCATCAACCGTTTGAGTGGGAAAGGCAAGATCGGATCAAACATAGTAATCAGGAATGATGAAATCGGACAATTCTCACTAGCAGGTGAGCGTTGATCCAAGCTAATCCAAGCTAGTTGGGCCTTTGCTTCACTCTCTGCCTTAGTAGTATTACAGACAGAACAATCCGGCATGAGCAAAGATAACGTCGACGAATCAAAGGAAAAAGAACCGTTAGAGGCTCAAAGACCCCAAAACAATGCTTTCATGCCGTTTCCACACCTGCTTCAATTGGGCTAACGGATCAATGGCGACAAGCAAGCACTGCAACAATAGTTTGAAACTAAATACTATATATCAACGGGTTCACGTAACTTTTGAGAGACGTATAAAAGACTGTCTATTGAAATAATCGCGTGTGTGAATAGAACCAAACAGAAGCTTGACAGCTATGGCTTTATCAGGAACAATCTTATATACCTACTCACTTCTTCCAGTCCTCTTCTGAAACCGCCAGACAAAGTTACCACCCATGTATTGCAATTCTTCTCTTGGTTTAATCCTGACGAGGAAGTCCCTGCCTGGTGTCATGACGCTTGTTGAAATATGGTCTCTCGTCTCTGGAATGCTCCAATCACCGTCTAAGGGTGAAATATCGTACTTCATAACCATAATTATCAATATTCCCATGATCTCATTCATTGCAAAATGTCTGCCTGGGCACAAGGCGTGCCCGCCACCGAAAGCCCGATATGCGGACCTGGAGATTCTGTCGCCTTGTAGGTGAAGGAAGCGTGCTGGATCGAAAGTCGATGCATTTGGGCCCCATGCGTCTGTGCTTGCGTGCACAGGTGCGGAGGGCATGGCAAGGAATGAGCCCTTCTTGAGAAGGTAAGATGTCCCTTTGTCATCTTCAATCACTTTGTCCTGGAGCAGCAACCGGGCAGACATGCTATTGCTATGGACGCGAAGTACTTCCTTGACGAACGAATCTATGAGTGGAACGGTCTGGATGATATGTGGTACGTCAATAGAAATAGCAGTAAGAGGCTCTCGAGACTTGTACTGTCTAGAAATTGCGGCCGCAATAACATGGCGTAATTCTTTCAACAGAGCCTGATTCGAGAAGGCATGGAACAGCGTCCACCATATGGCCGGAACAGTGTTGACCAACAGGGCAGTACAAACGCCTAGGTCGAAATGCGCAATGTCTTCATCCGAAACTCCATGTTTCTTGTTGACGTTGAAGCGCGCTTTAATGAGATGAGATGCCGTCTTGACACTGTCCGTAGCGTAGTAATTTCGGAAAGCTTGAAAGAACCGCTCTCTGCCGCGGCTCCCCGCAGGTGCTATAAGGCCAGGCAGCACCTGAAGGCCTAGAAGGGCAAAATCTTTGTCCACATCCCTAAACCCGTCTTTAGTATGCTCTGTAGGACTTAATGAAAGATACAGTAATCATCCTTACCAGAAGCTTTCAATTATGGTTGGATCTTGCATAGGATTTCTATCAGATCCATATACAGCGTTAGTATTAACTATGCTGACAAGCGATCGGATCCACTGGAACATCGGCAACACTGCTTGGTTGTCGTTCTTAATGTCTTTCTCTAAGGATCTTGAGAAATTATTCAACACCGTGTGCATTAGTTCGTCTAGGCAAGTGCCTGGCATAAGTGTTTGGTGCATGATTCGCATGGTCTCGGGGCGAAGGGTAGTTGGCCCCTTGTTCTCAAGCAAGTCCTCGGACAGCAGGCGCACGCTATCCTGGCTTGCCGCAAGTATTCTTTTAGCAAATGTAACAACGTAAGGGGCAAATGAAACAGTTTTAGCGCTTCTGTCGCACGCCATAACTAGGCCAGGCGATGTGACTATGTACATCTTGCCCCCCGGGAAACCTAAGGTGAAGATTGGTTTACCGCATCGTTTTCTAGTAGTAACGAGTCAGTCTTGAAGATTGGAAATAGAAACTTTGATGACTAACGCAATATCTGAGTGGTACCTGGTACCATTACGTAGAAGACCAGTAACGTGTCCAATAACTGGTGTTCTGGGCTTGATAAGTGGCGGCTCTTTGGGATCATGAGAAGGGATTAGAAGGTGCCGCAGGATGTAGACCGTTAGCACCAAAACTGCAGTTAAAGATAGTAGAAGCGAACACATTTCTCCGCAGAAATACTGGAAATACGGTTTGATAATTTGACAGATTGAACTGAAGATTGATTCCAAGTATTGTACTTGGCAGCATTGGCTACGAAACAGATTTGGGCAGTATGAGTATGACGTTGATAAAGACCCCAACACTTAGGTAATTGAATCTTGAAGATAGAGGTACATATGTATGGGATCAAATAAAATGTGGGCAGGTAAAGATCAAACCCCCTTGCAGCAACTCACTCTACTTCGGCGCTTTTAGCAACCTCCACAGGTAGTGACTACAAGGGTATACAAGTTGCCCCACTTTGGCCAGAAGCCACATGTATATGTACTTGATTGTATGTACCGCAAGATCCAGGGGTAGCGGGGTAAGGCAAGCAGATGTTTTGGGGGCCGGCGGTTACGAGTCAAGCGAGCGCAGGCAAACAAGTAAACAAAAAGCTGTATGATCATCAGCCGGGAACCCAAGCTTGGGAGAGAAAACTCCTCTCGAAACTCCAACTCATAGTTTAGGACTTCGATCCACTTCACTCTCCACTTTTCTGCCGTTTTACAACTCATCTCACAAACTACGATGTCGCCTACCGTAGCCTTGGTCGTGGGCGCTATCGCTACTACTTACCTTTTTCTTCGCCTTCTCCTGCGCTTGACTCAAGATGCAAGCGAGCCACCAGCCATTGAGACGGGGATTCCGTTTCTGAGCCCTCTAATTGGTATGATTAGAGAAAAGTCGCGGTTTCATGTGCGATTGAGGTTCGTTTGTCAAAGCCAATCTGGGTACTTATCCCTGACACTCACCGCTTTGACAGGAACAAATATGGTCTACCCATATATACTCTCCGATTGCCTTTCCAACGGATGTATATTGTCAATTCGACTGAACTCATCCCCTTGCTGCAGAAGCAATGGCGCACGGTTAGCTTTGCCGCCATTGCGGCTGAAGCTGGCTCCGTCGTTGGCATGAGCAAGGAAGCTGTCAGGGTAATGCACCAAGATCTGACAAGTGAACATGGCTTCAGTGTTAGCTGGCCACGGTTTATCATACCTGCCATGGGTCCCGGAAAGGACCTTGATGCGATTAACAGGAGGTCTATCGAGGTTCTTGCCTCCGAAATGGAAACACTCAGTGCACAGGGAACTTTGAAACTTGGCCTATCGCAATGGTCGCGCAAAACTATGGTCACAGCTACTACTGAAGCTGTCTGGGGACCACATAATCCATATCGAGACCCTGCCGTTGCCGAAGCTTGGAAGTGAGTCTGTTCATATGGTTCCTCTATAAATTTTCGGCCTGAGAATCATTTCTGATCAATGATAGGATTTTTGAAGCTGGCTTCTTGACGTTTTCTATGTTTCCTTTGGCATCAGTCTTTTTCCCTAAACTTCTACGTGCTCGCGAGATTGTTGCCGATGCCATGATGGATTACATACGCAAGAGTGGGCATAACTCTTCTTCGGGGCTCGTGCGTCTGCGTTACGAGCACCACCGTGAGAGATTTGGCTTGAATGACGAAGATATCGCTCGCGGCGAGCTCGGAAACACATTCGCCGTGCTAGGCAACACTACGCCGTGTGCCATGTGGGTTCTGTACCACATCTACTCCGACGGCCAAGTTTTGGAAGATGTACGCCGCGAGGTCTCAGCCCTTGTGTATGAAGACCATAACAAAGATGAAGGTATCCTTCACTGCGTTGACTTGGCCGGCATCCGCACTTCCTGTCCAATTCTACTGAGCACTTTCCAGGAGACAATGCGTTTCCGCGCTGTCAACCCTGGTCCGCGTGTACTCCTCGAAGACGTAGACTTGGATGGCCGTTATCATCTTAAAAAAGGCAGTATGCTCATGATTCCAGCTACTGTACAACATACTGATGTTACGGCGTGGGGTGATAATGCCGGTGAATTCGACCACATGCGTTTTGCCCGCAAACCAGGAACAGGACAGAAGAGGCCAAACCGCGTTGCATTCCGCGCCTTCGGTGGCGGACATATCCTCTGTCCCGGTCGCCATTTTGCGAGTACCGAAATAATGGCATTTGCGGCACTGGTGGTACTTCAATTTGACATGGTGCCTGTCCAAGGAAAATGGGTTGAACCCACCTGTGAGAATTCGCCTGCACAGGCGGGATTTCCCATTCCGGACGAAGACATCAAGATCGAGCTTCGGCCCAGGGATCGCTCCAAGAAATGGAACATCATATTCTCAGGATCAGATAAGGCTATGGATATCGTATCAGAGGATAGTCCCACAAGTCACCCGATAGACCGCTTGGAACCCTCAAGCACTTGACAATCTTAGCTGAGTCTCTGTATACGGAGGAACTACTTTGCTTGTTTTCTACAGTATCCTTACGCATTAGTTTATAGAAATTGAATCTCTTCTTATTCTATTCTGTATGTATCTACGTTTCAAGTTACCTACTTCTAGCCTTCATCTGTCTGCGTATTAGAAAGTACACATAATGTCTCCAGACTATCATGAATAGATATTACTTTACTCCTGTTGAGCAAGCGTACTACGTGTCAGATCCAGGCCAGCATTTAGCAAAGTCAGTACCTACTGCCTGAGGACATTAGTTGTGGTATGGACTCAAAATAAATCATTGCATGCTTATATTGGGATAGAGCCCTTTGAGCATAACAAGATGTTGATGTAAATCAAGTCAATTTGATGTTGCTACACGCTGGCCCCACCCCCCTCTTTCTCCTTGTCAACGTATTTGTATGCAGCATTTAGCCTTAAATAATTGTTCAAGAGACGTTCGCTTGTTGGGCAAGCTGAGCAAGTCGCCGAGACCCAGAAATGCCCGGGCATTCAGACCTTGTTGGACTCAGAAGAGAAGGGCCAAAATCTGCAACACCACGCTGGGGGTGGGGCCGGGAGCTTTGGCCCTGCCGGATGACTCGCGAAAGATGGCGGGTAGCGCAGCTCGCCGTAGCCAACGGGAATTGACGGTGTGGGCCACAGGTTGTCTGCGCCCCACGTTTCAATACATCAAGGTAACTCTTTCTGTTGATTTTCAAGCAGGGACATACATGCGCTTTTAGCAAGGAATAACATGCGGCGCAATTCCTTCAATGCTGTCTAACGTAGTATTCATGTATGCCCGTAGTAGTGGACAAGTTGGGGCACAAGAATTCGGGTGATGTTGGTTGCGCATACATTACCGTCCTGCAAGCGGGACGGGCCTGAGAGGCAAGTCATAGATAACTGCATATATCAGATACTATTAATAGTTACCTCTAAGTTCCTTATGCACGATTACTTGCCGTGCAGCCAACATAGCACGAACGGTTTATTCTCTACCAATGGCAAATGAGCTTAGTCCTACTACTACCCAAGCTGTGACTGCCAACTTTCCTGCCGTGTTGCTCGCTCATGCATGCGCGGAACATGTGATCAATATCTTGGTAGTGTTATGACCCATCAATCCTAGCTGAAATGAAGCTCATGCTTCCCGAAATATCTTATGTGGGATATAGTAACTAACCAGGTTCGCTTCCGAGGGAAAGTCTCGCCAAGGCTCAAGGGTTCAGGTTCATAAATACGGGGAAAATAAGCCCGAATATGTACCTAAAAGACAATTCACGTATATGTACACAAGTAGATTAGCACACTACATCTGCAAAGTACTTTTGCACGTTATTGGATGCTAGTTGTTGGCCTTCATGCGCGAGGTCTTGTGCCAACTTCTTGTTGCACAGATAATACGTAGGATTTTCATATATGTACGGTATGTATGTTTCAGGTAGGGATTTTCTACCGCATGTGGAAGTTATCACACTAATCTGCATGAGCTTCCACTCCCATGGCCGAGCAGCTGAGCCACAGGAAGGCAGAAGAACTCAGACGTCAAATAAGATGGCAAGCGTTGGACAAGGCAATGCTACTCTCAACGCCCTTTGGACCTTTGACTACTACTAACTGTTCATCTACGGCTTCACTCCAAACACTTCATTGAAACTCACAAATATTTGATATCATATACGCACTGATAATGGACTCCAAAAATTCTACCAGCTCCACTAGTTCTGGTTTTATTATTTTACCAACCAGTAACGACATCATATCGGCGGCAGCCTTCTATGTAAGTTAATTCTACTAACATTGGGCACCTGCATTACTGCGAATTTTTGGGCATTGTTTTCTCCAATCAACGCAAGCTAGATACTGACTTCTGTTCTGCGTGGCAAGGTCCTAAATTGGCTTTTCTTCGCCCTGTGCAGCATTGCCTTTACCGTTCGGGCTTACATCCGCTTTGTCTGCTTTCACCGATTATTCCTTGAAGATTACCTCATGCTCTTCGCCTTGATCATTCATAGTGGGGAAGCCGTCCTCATCCAGCTATTTGTACAAAATGCCTACGACTTAGAAGCTGTTGAGAAGGGTGACTTGTCCAAGCTTCTCGAACCAAATTTCTATCCCAACTCCAAGAAAGCTTTCGTTGCAATAGGGACATGTGTCAATCTCACCATTGTGGGTGTCCTAATCGTCAAGCTCAACTTCTTGATTTTCTTCCGCCGCCTCGGCGCAAATATCCATGGTTTCAATATCGCCTGGTGGGCTGTCCTAGTCTTTACGGTAGCTAGCGCAATTGCGCAGATTGGAATGCAGGAATTCGGCTGCTTTTTCGGTGATCTCACCTACATTTTTAGTGAGCACTGTACCGATTCGACTGCCTTGAAACGCATATTCTTCAACGCTATATTTTCAGCCTCAGTGGATGCTCTGTCCGACTTTTTCAGTGAGTTCGTTCATTTGAAACCATCATCTCCCAAACTCGCGAGCTCTCCTCGTGATTCGGGGAGATTGGTGATGGGAGGCCGTGCAAGAATACAGTGCGTAGCTGACAGTAATGTTTAGTCATTGGTTTACCAGTTCCCATTCTCTGGAAAAGTCGTATCAGCACGCAGAAGAAATTGATCCTGACCTTGATTTTCGGTCTCGTATTTCTCACTATTGCTATCACAATCGTTCGTGGTAGTGTTTTCCATCAGGTCTATAACAGTGGCACTTCCACTGGAAAAGGGCAGATGCAGAGTGCGACATTCACTTGGTTCTGGTTCTACTGCGAGTTCAGTGTTGGTAAGCCATATGTTCATTCTCGCTAGAAAACTCTATTTTTGGCTCTTATGCGCCAGAAATTTGGCTAAAACCCACAAAATTTTCTAACAAAATTTTCATATTCCAGCCTTTATCATAGCTTGTATTGTCTCCTTCCGCACACTGTTTGTTCAAAGAAGAAAGGAGGCCGATAAACACGAACAGGAGCAACAACGGCGCGAGGCAATCTATAAAAGCGCCATTCGCAGAGGTTTGTGGGCCAGGGCCCGCCATCTCCACGACAGCGTGCTAGACACGTGCAAAACTTTGGAAGGCTGGTCCAGCAGTGATGGTGCGATCTCCATGCGCGAACTACCAGTGGTGCCAACGGGCCTTATGACGGTGAATTTCGACGAAGATAGTAATTGGAGAAGGACTGTGATTACAAATGGCACTAATTACACAAAGATTACTGAGGGGCGATCTTTATCAGAATAGAACCTCTTAGAGGCTCTATCGGCAACTCATGTATGTGACATGGCTCGTTTACGCCGTGTTCACATGTAGATAGGTATCTAAGATTTCTGTCGTCGTTAGGATGTATAGAGTGTCACGTGAATGTGGTACGGATGTTGGCTATGATCTGGTAGGCAAGTCCAACTGTTCTGGGATCAGTATTTCGGTACAAGCACGGCCAAGTACCGTACATCAAAACCACCCTGACTTTGATGCATATACTTACCGCTCAAGATGCTATAATTGGACCACGAGTGATTGACGTGCTCTATTGACTCATCAGGAGGTGTTACCGGCTAAATCCTTCATACAACACCATAGTTGTGCAAGAGAACTTATCCTTACGCTGTACCATGCTTTGGGAACCGCCCCCACCTCGGGGCCACCCACCCTTTTACAGGGGCCTTATCCCCTAAATCGGGCCTTATGCACGGATCGAGAGCCCCCAAAATTCTACCAACCGACGTACATCGGGGGCTAAACATTAAGCATGTATCCTAGGAAACGAACCAATCAGAATTGATCTTTAGCCTCGACGCGACTGCTACACACCATCGTACTTGGGACACGGTTGCCACCGAACGACATATGTAACATTATGTTAGAATGAGCCCATAAAGTTGCAATGTGTTGGTTGCTTCCATGTATCAGATGTATTGATCGATCGTAAATCTACCTAAATAGGTATGAATCAGCGTCGCCGTGTCAGATAAGTCTCTGGCATTAAATGTCATGGTCGATGAGCTTGGCCACCTCCTGATCAATTCAGGCACCCTACAATGCGTCTCCAGTCACTGTGCTGTTGGTTGAAATTCGTACTGTACAAATTACGTGGCTGCAGACGTGATCCGGCATTCTGTTGGCTATGCAATGCGTGTAGCCATGTCTGAGCCACACCTTTACATTTGACTCGTCGTCTGTCATCATTCAGCCTCGTTCCCAATGCTTTGGCAGTCTTATCCTGAAGCTTTTATGCCTATCTACTGTGACTCCAGTGCTACTCGCGTTGCAGGAATTCTAGAACCTCATAGGGTAAGTCAGTGCCGTTGCACCAGCTCATCCATATACTTAAATCTGGCCGACTCTTTCCTAGCCATAATAGCATTGCGGTTACCGAGGCGTCAACATTTGTATACGGAGGCCTCCGAGTCTGCAACCAAAATCTGCGTCATTATGGTCTCAATACTGCTGGGCCTTTGGGTCTTCATCACGCTGGGATTTGCATGGGCTGGATATTCCGGTTACTGTTTGTACATCAACTACCTCCAAGCGCGCGAGATGGGCATACCCATCCGCATTATCCCCATTGACCACCTAAACAAATTATGGCTTCTCGTGGACAAGCAGATTGTCTTCCTCGTCAGGATGCTTCCCGGGGTGCTGGGGGAAAACAATTTCACTCGCTTCAACTATCGTGGCTGGCATGAGCACGACAGAACTTGTGCGCATGATGAGATGGGCGACGCTTTCGTCCTGGTAACGCCTTCCCATAATTGGCTGTATCTTGCGGACCCCGATGCTTTGATGAATATGTACCGTCGAGGAAAGGATTTCCCTCGGTGGGTAGAGATAACAAGTATGTTCTGATTATTCCCACTGCAATTGCGAGCTTCGATCATTGGTGTCGGCAATATGAGTGCAAAATTAACGATAAGACTAGGAATGCTGGACGTCTTTGGTGGACCAAATATAGCTACAGTATGTTCATTCTTCTACTTTATCTGAATTCTCTGTGTCCTCGTTTTCATTTACGGTTTTTTTTTTTTTTCATAAGCGCCAAACCCGATTTGTTTGCTCCAGGTGAACATTGTGTTTGATTTTTTTTATATCCACAGGCTTCCGGTGACAAGTGGAGAGCGCATCGAAAAATTGTCCAGTCGAGCCTCAATGAGCGCTGTAATGCCATTGTGTGGTCCGAGGCTGCATCACTCGGCGACCAGATGGCTAGACACTGGGCTTCCGAGCGAGTGTTTACGAGCTTGAGCGAAGATGCGCGGACCGTATCTCTTCACATTCTATGTAAGGCCTGCTTCGGTCAGTCGTACTCGTTCCAGGGACATAATGACAGCGACCCAACCAGTCCATCGGCAAGCTTTCGATTCTCGTTGCTCAGTATTATGGAGAACGCGTTACTAATTCTAGCGTTGCGTCCGCGCTTCTTTACGAAGCCGTGGCTACCCCTACCTGATGCATGGAAAAGGATTGGAAACGCCTGTATAACATTTCAAGGACACATGGAAAGTATTTACAATCAAAAGCGTCACGGGCTAAGTGAGAACAAACTGACAGGAGACTCAACTCTCATGGCTTCACTGGTTCGCGCATCTCAGAACAAGGAGACGGAGAAATGCTTGGCTGAACGTGAAGTCTATGGCACCATGTTTGTAGTCAGCTTCGCTGGCCATGATACCACCGCACATCTTCTCACGTTTGCCATGTAAGTTCCCACGTCCTTTCGATTTCTTTTGTTTCTGCTCGCTATTATAGTACATGTCATAATCCCCGGCCTGTCTACAGTTTCTACCTTGCTGCGAACCCGTCTGTTCAAGACTGGCTTTCGCATGAGCTGCGCCGCGTCCTTGGTCATAGACCCCCTCAAGAATGGAACTACGATTATGACTTTCCCCGTCTCAAGCGCTGTATGGCAGTTCTCTACGAAACACTGCGCGTCAAGACTCTGGTGCCCGAAGTCAAGTGGACTAGTGATCGTACACAATCATTAGATATCAGAGGCCATACATTGACTATCCCTCCGAAGACTTTAGTCATCCCAAGCTACATTCATGTACACAACAATCCTCGGATTTGGGGTGCGGATGCGCGAGAGTGGAGACCGTCCCGCTGGATTGAGGAGTTCACTACCAAGAAATGTAGACCTTCGGCGACATGCGATCTCTCTCAAAATCGGGATGGCCTTCATCTCAAACTCGACTTACATGCGGACTATAGCGAGGAAGTCTTACTCCCACCGCCTTCCCGCGGTAGTTATCTTGGCTGGTCCGAAGGAGCAAGAGATTGCCCGGGAAAGAAATTCTCACAGGTGGAGTGGGTCGCAATAATGGCCGCTCTGTTTCGCGACTGGAAGGTGGAACCACGCCGGAGGGACGACGAGACCTTCGCGGAAACGAGGATGCGAGTTCTGGACTTTATTGATAATAACACAAGTTATGGAGGGTTACTGTTGCAATTGATGCACCCGGAGAATCTTCCACTCATGTGGAGTAGCAAGTGCTAGAGTTGATAGCCGTTTGATATAATAGCAACAGAGTGACATCAGGGTGCTTTTCGTGTGACTTCAAAAGGTGTGGCACAACTAAAGACCTTGCATACGACTTTTCGGTGTTCAAAAGGCTCTTCTTCAAGCAAGCCAGAGTTAACTTAAGGCGTGCGCACGTCCCGTTGTTACACGAGATTCAGTTGGCCAGAGCTTGGAATTGTGAATACCAAATGAGAAGTGAGTTCAACTGGTACACAGAAGTGCCCACAAGGCCCCGGGTTGAACGCGGAGCCTGCGAAACCTACAGCCTCAGCCTTACAAATGGGGTGGGATAATCCGTATCTTGTTCTTTCTGTATCACTACACCTGATATTGTATCATGCATATCCAGGATTCAAGGTTGGAACGTTGAACTTGCTGCGCCACAATCTGTGCAGATAACGTGCAGTTTGCAAATGGAACCCTCCTCTTCCGGGCGATCGTAAACTCTCCACAAAGTTTTTGGTATGCACGTTGAGAAACTTGCATGTAACATGCAGACGTGCAATATGGATGGATACGTGTTATCATCCAATCGCTTGTCTATATGTTGTGTTGCATGAATACGAGTTTCGAGATGGTTCTGACAACCTTACAATGAATCACCACACACAAGCTGCGCCGCTTTTCCTTTCCTTGAGTTGCCTGGAAAGGCATGCTGAGGCACTTGAGATCACATCAGACTGCATCCCAGCTCGCGTCCCATTCATTTTTGTACCTGTACCAAGTAGTATTGTCAAGGCACTTGCAGTGAGACCAGCCTTAATCAACCGTTGTACTTTGTAGGCACGTGAGGAGCCTTGGGATAGTCGACAGAATGATGTTGAAATGCCAGTTTTTGATCCCATTACTTTGCTCACATGCGATCTGCCTCCCTTGGTTTTATTTTTGATATTTGCCAAAACGCGAGTGTCCCGGTCGAGCACTCGAAATCTTGCGCAGCCTGTTCAACCTCCAGCACCAGTTAGCTGAATCCGAGAGATGACACAATTTCCCGACATGATGGGTTTTCCTATACCGTGGATCACCATTTTGCTCCCACTATCAATAGTAATATTCTTGGGTTTTAGACCAAAGAACAGGCGCATACTAAGACAGCCTCCCTATCTTAGTGAGACTATTCCATGCGTCTCTAATGCCTATCAGTTCATGACAAACAAAAGGCTATTTATTAATCGAGTCAGGTAAGATTTGATGTATTTGGCTGATTATTGAGTCCCACTAATATGCTGGCTTCATTCTAGAGAGGCGCTGAGGACAAGCCCAGTCGTACAGTGTAGGCTTGGCCCTATGACTCTTCATTTGGTCTCTGGTGGCAGTACGGTGTCGGCCATATTCCGGTCATCATTCACTTCGGACCCTTGGGTCCTGCGAATACTTGAACACACGGCAGGATATGCAGCTACAGACCTAGCAAAGTTCTCCTCAGATACATCCGGTAGTGCTACGCTACCTAGAAAAGACAGCGCCGGGCCAGCCGGGCCAGAAAAGCGCATATGGCACGCGATGCACCGAATGCACGAAGAAGGTCTGGTCAACGCTCAGTCCGTTGCTGCTTTGTCAGCGTCTTTCCAGCAGCACTTTGATAACGAACTTTCTCAATTTCCTACCGGTAACTGGGTAGAGGTACGGATTTCTAATTTCCTCAGGACGCACATGTCAACCGCCGCCACACTTTCAGTATTAGGCTCGCGAGTGCTTGAAGTCAACCCGGATTTCATAGACGCCTTCTGGGAATATGAGCAATTTGGCGAGTCCCTGTCATTCGGGCTGCCAAGTTGGCTGAATAAACGGGCAATTTCTGCTAGAGAGCGATTTTGTTGCATGTGTCGTATGTGGTACGAAGTTGCGGACCAAGAGTTTGACTGGAATGCTGCAAATCTCCACCGAGTTCAAGATTGGGAGCCTACCTTCGGCTCGCGGATTTCGAGGGGTTTGGCTCAATGGACGAAACAGTTCAGCTTTTCGGCCGAGAGCGTAGGCGCCGCTTACGCCCTCTTACTCTTTGGGTAAGTGTAATCCTTTATATGTGCCACCAGGAGCTGGTAATAATAACCCCCGGTGCAGGCTCCACGCAAATACCATCCCGATCTGTACCTGGATGATGTTTGAAATTATCAAGGATCCTGTTTTATATTGTAAGATCAAGAAGGAGGTATCAGAGGCTACAATCGCCAATGACGGCGAATCAGCAAATTTCGATGCCCAGAAACTCGCTTCTATGCCTGTATTGCAATCAGTATATACCGAAACCCTCCGAATACACGTGAGCATCCTTGTTACGCGAACTTCCACCGAATCCGTGGTAATTGGTGGTTACAACATACCCAAGGGATCTATTCTCCAGGCGCCTACAGAGGTAGCTCATCTTGATGAAACTGTTTGTTAGTGTCTCTCACTGTCTCTTCTTATTTTTGATTTTGAGCGTTGAACATCCACTTCTATTAACAACGCACGAGTTGAGTAGAAATTGGGATTGCTTATACTCACCTAAATCCTACATGATTCTGGATGCATCTGATTTCTTTACATAGGGGGGACTCCAGACCACCCAGCCTCAGAATTCTGGCCATATCGGCACTTGAAGGAGATAGTGACGACAGACAATACGGGTTGTGTCACTAAAAAGACAGAGTTCTCCCTAGATTCTCGAAAGGGCTACTATTTTCCATTTGGTGAGTGATTTACAAATATTTTTCCTCGACAACATGAAATTATGCTTATATACTCCTTAAAACAGGGGGAGGGATTAGTATTTGTGCAGGACGTAATTTTGCAAAGCCTGAGGTCTTACTTGCAGTTGCGATGATCATGTCTCAGTTTGAAATCAAATTTGTTGAATGGCTTAAGTCAGATGGAAATCATTCTGATCGGCCTGCTCTGGATAACACAGGATATGCCAATGCGGTAGCAACTCCGCCTGATAGGGAAATGAAAGTCATGTGGAGAAGGGTGTGATTTTCTTTCCTTTAGCAATTCAGTCGCAACAGAGAATACGAAATCGCTCAGAAGTAAATGATTTTCATTCAACTGGCTCATCTCTAGCTCTTATTGTTCTGGATTGGCTGGTGTAAGTGGTTGCTGTGGTGGAGTACGAGACATGAGGGACGGTCCACCTACCCCACGTGTAAATGGCAAAGGCCACAGTTATGGAGGGAACTCTTCTTTCATTTCCTCTCCAACTTGAGAATTTCGCAGAATTACGGGATTTGTAGCAGAGGGTCAATTCCAATTCGCTTGTGGTGCTGTGGCACCCATTGTAATTAATCGCTCGCAAAAGGGTGGTACAATCCGTAATACATGCGCAAAAGAGGTGTGGCTATATTGTGGCTAAAGAAAGCCAGGATAAAGATGTGGGATTCCACGGGAAAGGCAAGTTCTAACCAAGAGAAAACAGGAGAAGAAATCGATACGGTTTGGTAGAGGGGTTATACACATAGATGTGTGCCATGGATGCTTACATTCCTCATCTTTGATACATCCTGCATCACACCCCATAAGGATCGCATCAAAACGGAAAATTAGAGAAGGATAAATGGATATTGAAGACAGAAACGCTACAATTACCTAAAAAATGTGATATGCCATAGTGTCTTCAGCCGTTCACCGGGCTAGAGATTCTACATATTCTTCTTCTTATCATCCAATACACTTACGTCGTATCAGGAGGATTGAGCCTCAAAAATAATGCAGTCGCGGAAAGACAGAGGTCTAATCCCGCGGTTACTTAAGCAATAAGTAAACTTGGTGCAGAATACAGGCCCTCTTGCTGGTTTAGGGGGATTTCTGCGGCCCTACCTTGAAGTAAACACAAGCTCTTCCCCAACATCAAGGATCCGTGGCATATAGTCACACATACCCGTGGCTTTCCTCATGGATTCGGTCAAGATGAAAACTGCCTTGATATTTCCCTCAAAGTCGGACGAGCAGGTCAGAACGACGAAGCTGGGGAGTGGTCGATGGTGAGGTTATTCTACCAATACTCAGTCCATAGGTTGCTTCCACGTAAGATATCGTCACAGGCAATGGTGGCAGCCTTGCACATTGGACGGGTTCCAGCGTCCAGACCGGACCACTCATGGTTGGTATGGATGGGCCATGATCTCTAGACGAGCTTGAAGGCGCAGAACCGCATCCAGCGCATTTAAGTCTTTGCGTCTAGCGCACTCGCGTTGATACCTCCGTGCAATATCTTGGAGCTCCTTATACGCAACACTGCTGAGCAGCCGGTGGTCAAGATCAAGTCAACGCTGAGCAAGGAACGGACGGCCGACGTTCTCAAGGGGTGGACCGCAATGACAACCAATGTGATCGCTCAGATCTTGTTTGGGAACTACTTTGATATAGTAGATCCAGGCCACAAGACCGACTGCATCAAGGTGTTGAAAAAGATCCTTATGGCTGCTGGCATGCGGGAGGAACTACCACAAGTATATAATAGCATGCGCTTGATACTGTCACGAAGCACGCAGCAGCTCTTCTGAGCAGAAGAGGTCCCATTTATATACAGAGCGAGAGCGTTGATCAATTGTTGCTGGGCTGATGACTCATTCAGTCAAGTGATCGCCGAGCCACAAGAAAATGAGGAACGATTGCTGACTAATCGGGACATCCGCATAGAAGCATCCAACCTGATTTCCACGGACTCCGATACCACATCAGTGGCGTTTACATACCTTGTATGAACCGTTTTGGAATTGCCATGTCTCAGAGGGCGACTGGAAGAGGAGGTGGCCTTTTGAGCCCCAGTTTCCGTGATCAGGACGTGGAGGATTTACTGCTGCTCAATTTTATCATAGCTGACTATTTGCGACTATACAGTGCAGCACGTGAAAGTCTACCCTGGAGTGTATACGAAGGCGAAGTTACCACTGGCGGTTTATCTTCTGCCCAGGAGACCGTGGTCATTCACACAGGCATTCACCATTCACAGCAACCGAGCTGTCTTCCTAGAGCCCTGAAGTAAGTTTTCCATTGGTCCTTGGATTGAAAGCTGATAGATATTCTATGTTTCACAAAATAAGGCTCATGGGGGCCGCAGAATCCAGCTCAGAAGCTTCCTTTTCGTCCATTTGGTGCTGGTTCAAGATAATGCAGCGGTATCCACCTTGCTATTGACCTGCCACTGTGTTCTTCAGAGAGTGCTGAGATGGGAGATCGGAAATACCATGGATGACAGTGTGATGGAAATGGGACTTCATCTTTATTGCTCCTCGATTGCCACTGATCGTGTCCTGAAACTGGTATATCGAAGATATGTCAAGGGAATTGGCTCTGGATTTTCTCAGATCTTCATGAATTGTCCCTAGAAGCATATACTGCGGAAGTCCTTTCGCAACTGCAACAAGAATCACTGGCTCAGAAAGAAAAAAAAGAAAATAAAAAAAGGTGTAAAAGAAGTTTTTGAATCGAACTAATTCATCAGAAGAGCGGAAGCCGACCTACCCTAGCAGCTGCAAATAGGGGTACCGGAGCATCAGAGCCAGGACCAGAAAGTTCCGACACAACCTCCAGTTGATCCCCGGCGTGCCCCTGCTTCCCAGCTCCTAGATTCCTCCAACTTGATCCTTGACTATTTCTCCACGTATAGCCGCGCTGGGGCGCTCTTCCAGCGTCGGCGTCGGCGCCCCGAAGAACAGCCCCCGCTGCAGCGTCCCGTCCCTGACAGCCCTGAAGGTCAAGTTCTCCTGCCGGTGCTGGATCCGGGCAGGCAGGCCGTCGAATTGCCACTCCTTATCCTCCGCCTTGGACAGCCAAGCCGGATTGACGCCAACGTCGAGCCCTTGCGCTTCGTCCCCATGCGAGGAATCGGACTCTCGCAGGCCGATATTTCCCAGGTAGTCTGCCCAGCGGACACCCCGCCGCTTCTTGCCCGCATTGCGGTATCGTGCTGTCGTCCCCTTCGCCACGCCTCCTCTACTACGTGTCGCTCTCCTGTGCCGCTTCATCTCCCTCGGGTGCCGGAAGCCGTTGCTTGCGTACCATCTCTCGACCGGCAGCTCGTGGGCCCACGCGTTCCCGGGGAGAACGTGCCAGGCATGGTACCAGATGCCCCTGTGCTCCCACTGGCGCCTCACCTTCCAGTACGCCCACGACCCCACGTCCGAAACCCCACCAACCTGTGTCCTGATCCCACTGATCATACCGCCCTCTTCATGGCGTTCCTCCTCCGCTAATTTCGCCTCGAACGCCGCTTGCGCCGTCATCACCTCGGCCCGGAACATGGCGTCCGGCCTGCTCCTCGCCCTCCTGCACACCCGCTCCGCGGATTTCGGGAATGCGCCGGCCTGCAGGAGGCCCTCCTCGACGTCGCTCTGCTCGTGGTACCACCCGCCAACGTCCTTGGCCACGCCGCGCATGAGTGCCTCGAACGCGGGCCGCCAGATGCGCAGGTCCTCCCTCCAGCGGCGGCGCACGTTGGCGCGGGCCGCGACGACGAGCGGGTCGGTGGCGCCGCGGCCGTAGTACCTGCCCACGACGGCCGGGTCGAGGTCCGCCAGGCCCAGGTCCGGGGTGGCGCGCTCGAGGCGGCGGATCTCGGCCTGGACGTGGTCGAGGAGCTGCCATTCGGGCCGCGAGCGGTGGCGGGTGCGGAAGGCGCGCCACTTTGCCCAGTCGGCGGCCGTCAGGGGCTCGAGCCCGAACCTGGTCATGGTATATTATATAGGGTGTACGGGGATACGGGTTTCCGGGGGGATATCCAGCATTATTCAAGAATGTATCACGAGTTGGTGCTGATTGTCCCATCGGTCGTTGGTGTAGACAGTATTGACATACACATCTCCAGTGACACAACGGCCATGCCATTCCAGTATACAAAATTAGCAACACCTTCAAACGAAGTGGGCATGCGTAGCAGCAAGACAGCGCTCGATGGCTCTTTGTCTTATCCTCACAAAGCATGCCGAGACCTTGTCTAGCGATGGTACGGAGCAAACAATGGCCTGGATTTCGTATTTGTGCAATTCCATTTCGGCTGAGCTCTTTGTGTAGCATAGAGAAAACACTTCTGCAAGACGCAGAACTCCTAGGCTTGTAGGATTTGGGGTTCGTCGATGAGAAGGGCGCGGTTGAATGACGTTTGTCGTTTCTATGTCGCGAGTATCAGGTGGACAAGACAGTTGAAATACTGTCACTATGTATTGAGATGTCGGGTTTGAAGTTTGAAGTTTGAACGGCCGTACCAGGTCATTTCATCATTTAGATTCTCCTATGCACAGTAAATCCTGAACACCTGTCCAGTAATCTCAGATAAAAAAGCCAAAACCCCTGTAACATTTCTCTACACTCTAACGCCATGTGTACTCCTCAGTGATGAAACTTGTCCTCTAGAGTCGAGGGATCCAGATGTCAGCTCCGGTCAGATGCTTTGTCTGTAACAGATGGAGCGACGGGGGAGTATCCCCATAAGCGGAACGAGACGGGTCTATCGCGATGTCCGCATCCCCAGCTGTAGTGTTGTTGGCGCCGAGAGTTGCCTCCAATGGCATCTCCTCAAGCTCGTCAGCAAACTCCATAACATGCTCGTCGCCATCCTATGATCCAGCAGCAATGCCGAGGCCAACTCTCTGTCCGTAACGGTCACCCCTCGCTGACCCTTCATTCTCCCGGCTGCGATCTACGTTGGCGCGCATACGACGACCCTCCATAAGTCCGCGCAGTCCACGCTTCTGCAGGCCAATGACGCTGCTCAACTCACCACTCCAAACTTCTCTGGTAGTGCCACGCTCGCTGTCGCCGACTTCACTGCTCCATTCACTGCCGCTGACACTGGTGGTAGCGCTGAGCTCATCGCTGCCGGGGCGTGCGGCAGGAACTCCAGTGTTGATACGCAGTCCGCTCATTCCGGATACTGACTCGTCTGTGCTGGATTGCGATATCGACATGGACCGACCATTGGGCCCACCTCCAGCCAAGGAGTCTGCTTGGGTCAGGAAGTTCGGGTTCAGTGTACCGTCGATGCCCCGCCCACCGCCGGCGGCCATAGCTGTTGCGTTGAATACTGCAGCTGCATTCCTGGAGTCGAGCAAGGCATGCAACCGTTCCACCACAGCCTCCAGCAGACCATCCACCTTGTATGGACGGGCAATTTGTAGAAGCGAGCAGAGGATTTGCGGAGTGCAGAGTGGACTCTGGGGCGACGGCAACGACGATGTATACAGAAAATGCAGCAAAGCCTGCACGGTAAGATAGGTGTGGGGCAGATAGAGGCATCTCGGACGGATATTGGGAGGCAGGGATGCTGGCGTGGGGGCCGAGTTTATGGATGTAAAATCGGTGGGACCGCTGCTCGAGACAGATGTTGCCGCTGTGCTGGGAGGCTTCGCAGATCCAGCAGATGAGAATGAGTTCCCGACAGTAGAACCCATTGAGAAGCTGCTCTCGCCAGTGTTTCGATTATTCGACTGCCCCGGAGTGATCGTCATAACGGACATTCGAGTGCCAGCAGGTCCGGAGATGTTGGTCCTCAAAGTGGCCGAATCGCTCCCATCCTGCGTAGCTGCACCTTCCCGTAACAACTGTACAAAATAGGGTCCCCATCTTCGGCCAACGATCCGCGAGTTGATAGGGATACGTTCTCCTCCAATGCAGAGAATGTCCATATCAGATAATTCGCGCAGAACTAGAGCCTTCTCACCAAGTTCTTCCGCCGCGCGAGAATGGAATCTGCCGCCTCCAGTCCAGCCAGCCTTGCGCGCGATGCTGAGCCCGGGGATGTTGTATGGGCTGCTGGCTGATGCAAAGCCTGACAAGGGCGTAACCCGTCTCGGATTGTCGTAAAAGCCAAAAGCCTCCAGCTCGACCATGCAGACGTTGGAAAAGTTGATCCGTCGGTGGTTGTAGTCGTCAACCAGGCTGCGCTTGCGGTTACCCAGGATGACGAAGGTATTTCTTCGGTTCCACAGCACCCCACGGTTCCAGCTTCCTTGGCTGAATATGCTGCCACCCGCATCGATGCGCGCCCAAGTCAGGTTCTTCAAGTCCAGGGCCCAGAGCGCATACTCTTGCTTCGAGCTGGTCAAGTATGTGCCGCTTACAACGAAATACGTATCAATGACGCCTCCATTGGGGAAGCGCAGCCCGGGTGGTGAGTATGTGCCCGACATGGGCTTCTCGGCCAGGGATCCATCAGAACCACGGATTTGAAGCTCTAGCTTGACGTCTAAGAAGTTGTAGTTTGAGTAGATCAGCATTGACGATCCGGGGTCCCGAGCCTCCTGACTGAAACTGCTGTCCTGACGGGAAGCACCCGCGCCCGCCTTGCCGATCTTGGAGGTGACCGAGGGAGGAAGTGGTGCCACAACACTGCGATATGCACCACACGACTTCCCAAGTGACTGCGTTGAAGTCCATTTCAAGCTCCGCAAGTTGAACACGCTGATTTGTTCAATGTAATGGTTCGCACCGTCTTGGCCCCCGACTACAATCATCTCTGCACCTCCTGCTCCATCGATGTTGATGCCAATCCTCCCTTCGTTGGGATTCCCACTGGAAGGATTGTGCTGTAGGGCGGACAATGGCGCCTTATTTGATGAGAAAGTAGCTGAAGACGGAAGAATGCAAGCGCAGTGGGCATATCGTCCTTGAGGCGTGTCCTGGGTTGGGACGTAGGTCCACTTCTTCGAGGGGGCATCGTAGATGTAGATATCTGACATGACGGTGACTTCAGGCTGCTGGTCTGGGTTGGCCGGAGAGGACTGGCTCGGGCTAGGAGACATGCCTCCATAGCAGACCAATTTGGTGTCCCCCAGAGCGCACATGGAGTGGAAGTAGCGAGGCGGAGGTACATCTCCAGTCGTCTCCAATTTAGACCAATGCCGCCTTATGAGATCCAACTCATACAGGTCTGCCGTCAAGGGTGCTGGCCGGCTTCTGGAAAGTATCCGGCCGCCAAAGACGTAGAGCTTGTCTCCGAGGATAGTCGTAGTGGCTCCTACAAGGGGGTGGGGCTCCCTTCCGGTGGTTCGATGTACGTTACACATCAAGCCAGACAGGTGGGCAGAAGACGACGACGTCGAAGGAGTTCCCACAGGTTGACCTATGGCTGGGGTTCGGCCGGATGAGGAGGCCACGGGAGGGGATGGCCCAGCCGACATGGGCCCGTTACTCCGGGGCGTCAGGTTTTCCCTCTGTCCTTCTCCTCCATCCGGCCTCGCGCTAGCTATACTGCTCTGACTGCTGCTCATATCGAACCCTCCTGTGTACATTTGGCCAGACTGGTTACCGGGTACGGACGTGTTGGAATCCATAGTGCTTGTGCGGCTTTCCATATCTGCCTCGTACTCACTATCGACGATCGAGGCGAGACTCCCCTGCCTGGTATCTCTGCCAGAGATGGTAGGGGTGATGGGACTTAGAGAGGGAGGCGGCGGATGTGGCAGCGGCTTCTCGAGGCTGTTCTGCAAGCTCAGGTTCCGGGCATGCTTTGGTGCCGGGAAGTTCCTAAACGGAGGCGCTGATGTGGGGGTAGCGGACGGACTCTCAACCTGCTGTGCTGAAGGTGTCGAGCCTTGAGTCGCGAAGGCCTTTAGAGCCAGTCGTGAAGGAGCTCTGGGGAGCTTGAAGGATTCCTCTCGCGTGGGGATGGCCTTCTTGATGCCTCTATACACATCCGAGAGGATTTCGGACGTGGACTTTGGTGGAGGCGGGGCTCGGAGGGCCTCGTGGTACTCTCGCGGCTCGGCAGCCTCTCGAAGGGCGTTGTGGTAATCGTGGGAATCGCTATAGTCTTCGAAGTCGTAAGCTTCCGAATCGGACGACCATGAGCTGTCATCGTGACTCGAAGTCGCCCCGCGTCCCGCCATTTCGCCCAGCTCCACGCTTCTGCGACGCCTGGGTCACAGAGGGCTCTCAGGACGACGGTGACGACGATGACAACGACGACGAGGATGGTGAGAAAAGGGTGAAGCGTAAGGAGGAGGCCAACATCTGGGCAGGAAAAGGGCGACGGCGGAAGGGGCGGAAAGAAAGGGCTACAGAGTCGAAGAGACGCCTGTGGGTAGAGCAGCTGTTGTCACCTCCACCCCCAGTGCGACGGTACCCGCCAGGTAGGGGGTCTAAGTCGGTACTCGGGTATGGCAGGCGCCCGACGAAGTCTGATGTCGTATACACGGCCCCAAGGACGTGGCACAATCAGGTCGGGACAGTCTGAGGCTGGCGGGGGGGCACAGAGAGGATCTGGGAGGCTTACGGGGGAAGGGCACAATGGGTAAGGGGAGGCTCGCACAGGAGTGGAGGGGGGGGCCTGAAGGGGATCAAGGGGGGGGATGGACGACGACAGGTGACATCTTACCTCAACCCCAGGACGATGTTGCAATATTTAATTTCTGCAAAGGTGGAATGCCTCACCGGGGAATCCGCCGCGGTGCGGATCTCCCTCTCTTGGGTCGTGGAGAGAGCCTAGCTCAGTCGCAAAGGCTGACGGGCGACCAGGGCTCAGGCTCGCCGCTGGGAACTCGGGGCGGAGAGGAGCACCTGCGATCGCACAGACACACTCTCTGCTCGTAATGAGTGCCGCCAAGTGGACGACGAGGAGTGTGCGGAATGGGCGTTCAGCTGGGAGACGGGATGGGATAGGTCGGTCGCCTGGCCGTCTGGCAGTGGACGGAGGCTAAGAGGGGGAGAGCACGAGCAAAAGCGGAGTATACTGTCAGTCTCAAACGGCCGTGAAGTCTGCAAAGGGGCTGGCTCGATCGGCGCGGTGGGTATTGCAGCCTCGAGGTGCCCAGGTACGGTGCCGGTATGGGTACTGCGTAGGTATGTGCTGGGAAGAGCCCGTCCAGGGTTGAGGTTGTCGCCGGCGGTCGAGTGAGGTCGCTCGGTGGGGAAAGGAGATTCGAGAAGGAAATCTGAAGGGCGCGCGGGCCAGGGGAAGGAGATTGGGGGTGGGGACAGCCGCCGGGTCGCCCTTGGCACACACAGCCCGACGAGAGTTCGCGGAAGGGTCTGGCAATTGGATGGCAACCTCACCTTGACGCTTGGGGGTGTCTCTTGGGACGGGGGGCTGACTACTGTACACTTGGGGGCTCGGGCTGCACCGAAAGAAGGAAAAAGAGGCAAAGCGAGACAAGACAAGACGCACAAAACCAAGGTGCTGCAGATAGCTCGGGAAGGGGTGGAGGACCGGCACAGCAGCGGATTGCTCAATTGTCACTCGTGTGGTGGTAACCTAGCCTCGCTTGGTCCCCCAACCTGTCTCGGCCTGCTTCTCTGCAGTCAATCGGGCGGTTCGTCCTCTTCTCGCGTGCTGACTGGTTCGTGTGCCCCCTGGCCGCCCTGCGGGAGAGAGTCTGTGCCCTGGCCCTGCCCTCCCTGCCCTCCCTGCCCTGCGTTAATGACAATGGAAAGAGGAGACGAGACGGCGACGGAGACCTGGTGATTCATTCCCCTTGCCCCGTCGCCCACGTCGCAGAGTTGCAAATTCGAACTCGGAGCTGGATGACCCCATACACAGCCAGTAGAAAACACGACGAGTGCTTCCTTCTTTCAGCCCACAGGCCGACGGTCTTTAGTTAGTCAGTCAGTCGATCCCATGTCCATCGAACTGGCTTTTGTTTCACAAGCGACGTCCCACGAGATCGGATGCATGGCTGGCTGTCTGCCACTGGATAGCCCACGATGCCCCATTTAAAAGCCGTTGACAGGGGCCCCCCCTACTGTCCACGGTAGAGGCCCTGAGGCCCTGGAGGCCTAAAGGGGTGTGCCCCTGGGCCCTGGCGGCAGACCAGAAGGGAAATGGGGGGGGGGAGAAGGGCCCAGGGCCCAGGAACGCGGAGATTTCTCACCTGAACAAGCTTGGGGCGAGCTGGCATCCTTGAATCCTCGTGGCGGCTAGCCCGGCCGGAGCTTGAAACGGGAAGGATTCCTCGCCCATCTTCGCTTCCACCAGTTCGTTCCTGGATCTTCGTTTCGGCGCCGCGCCGCCAGTGGTGGCATGGGCAACTGGCAAGGGCAAATGGGTTGTTGGTCGCATCCTCAGAAATCCCATGATCAGAAATCGATAATCTGCCTCGGCAGCGCTGGAGCTCCATGGCAGGCCTGGCTATACGTGGGCTACGTTAGGGAAGTTGGCACGCCGTCGCAAAATACTATAGCCCAACGAGACCAGAGCCGCGCGCGCGGACCGAGTTGACGTCAGGGTTCGAGTGACAGGCTGCGCTAACGGATGGTAAAACAGCCCAGCTCTTAATGCATAAGCAGCACCTGAACGCACCAGCGCACGTGGTAGGTGTTCGTGGCGATTCTGTTGTTGGTTGGTCGGTTGGGTTGGTTGCTCCTGATCTACTGCTGCTGACTTACTACTCGCGTCCGAACAACTGCATGTCATTGCGTTTCATTGGTGGTAAAAACGATCCATGCAACGTTTGGTTCGGCAGAGCACTGTGACCCCAAGGTTGCGTTGCCGGGATCGTGCCGAAACGGTTTGTGACCTTCTTGACCTCGATCCATCCTGCCTGCCTGCATGGCACCATGTACAAACATGCGTTGTACATAGTGGAACATCTTACATGTGCCATGGGGCCAACAGCTTGATCCTTCGATGGAGCAGAGCAGCTTTCTTCGCATTCCGTTGTTTAGCCTATCTATAGTCCACCGTCCACCACAGTCGTTCTGTCTAATTATAGCTCCAAACCGAGGGGTCCATTTACACATCAGCGCAGCCAACGCACTATGTAGGCTGCTTCAGAACGTCAACTCAGCTGACCTATGGAGGAACGGTCAAGCTGTTCATGGCTTTGCTGCTATCGGGAACTATTTCCTGCCTGAAAATCTCCATTCACCAATACCAGCAGCCCCTGGTTGCATATTCATGTCTTGTACCATACGTTAGTACTCTGAGCTGAAAAGTTGGTGACAGGGGAATGCAAGCGAAGCCGTCGATCTACCTACGCTAGCTGGCATCAGCACTTGAGACTATCCCCGAGTGATTGGTTCCATCCATAGCTACCCGGGGATGAAGCCGCGGACCATTCCATGCCAGGGCGTGTGGTCGAAGTCCTTGTCACGGTAACTTGGCGTCCTGGCGAGTCCCGACAATTTTGCACGGTAGCGATGGCCGTGGGCCCGTGAGGCTCTTGAGTCGCAATGCCGAGGGACCCTATCCGTTTCAAGCAGACAGCAATGACCTAATCAGTTATGAGATGAAATATCGTATCGTCACTTTCACCCTTGGCAACCATCTTAAGCAGGAGTGGTGGTATCATTCATTCTTTTTATTCATTAGATACGGGCTGGCATATGGGTGTGGACCACGGCCAGGGGTAGATTCTTGTCTACCCATTTCAAAACCTGACTATCCAGGCCATCGCCGCCATTGCATGACAAACGCCGTTTTCGCATACCATCCTCTCTGACGTAGCCGTCGCACTCTGCGTCGCCCACGAGACGCTTATGCGACAGTAGCCTTCTCCTTGGGCAGAGGAGTGAATCGGAGGTAGGGCTTGACAATGCGGAAGTTGGGGAAGAGCTCCTTGGCCTGGTCGTTGTTGACCGAGGGGTGGACAATGACATCATCACCAGGGATCCAGTTGATGGGGGTGGTGATCTTGTGCTTGTCACCGGTCTGGAGCGAGTCGACAACACGGAGGACCTCAGCGGTGTTACGGCCGGTGGAGGCAGGGTAGGACAGGATGAGCCGGATGGTCTTCTTGGGGTCAATGATGAAGACGGAGCGGATGGTGAAAGCAATGCCCTTGGAGTCGACGTTGGTGGTGTCCTGGTAGTCAAGCCTGGGAAGCGCCACGCATTAGCACTCTGCCGGCCTCGCAGGATCCCACAGAGGTGGGGAAACGGATCGACTTACATGTCGTAGAGGTAGGCAACCTTGCGCTCCTTGTCGGCAATGATGGGGAAGGCAACCTTGGAGCCGGTGACCTCGTCAATGTCCTTGATCCATCCCTCGTGGCTGCCGAGGGTGTTGGCAGACAGGCCGATCAGCTTGACGCCACGCTTGGTGAACTCGGGCTCGAGCTTGGCAAAGGCGCCGAGCTCGGTGGTGCAGACGGGGGTGTAGTCCTCAGGGTGGGAGAACAGGACAACCCACTTGTCGCCAATGAACTCGTGGAAGTCAATGGGACCGGTGGTGGTGTCGGCCTTGAAGTTGGGGGCAACAGTGCCCAGGCGGAGACTAGAACGAAGAACATCATGTCAGCGCCATCGATCGACTCTGAGCTGGTATGTCCACCTCCAGCTTCCCCCGCTCCCCCCGCTCCCCCACGATCCATGATGCCTTGGGCGATCGTGGGGTGAGAACGGGAGAGAGGAGGCGGGAAGCGAGAGGATGAAGCGGCACTTACGGCGCAGGTCTCTGGTCAGCCATTGTGAAGGTGGGTGTATGTGTGTGTGTGTGGATGTGTGTTTGGTTTGGTTTCAGATCAACGAGACTGCCGGGATAGAGGCAGGGAGTGACAGAGGGCAAGATGGGTGCTTGCGGTATGTTCTGGGGTATCACAGCAAAAGAGATGAAGCAGAGGAATGAAGAGATGGAGGGGTCTCGCGCAGGTGATGGAGGGGCAGCTTGCCAAATAAATATTTTATGACCTCAGCTAAGCTACGTTCCCACAATGGCGCAATGCCCCCAAGATTGGATCATGGATCTATGGGCCTTGGGCCTCGAGGAGGGGAGAAAGATTTACCTCTGCTCCTGCACCTGTGCTCGTCTCCGAAGGGCCTCCGGTGGCCTGGCAGCGAGTCAAATATCGTCCTGGCTATCCCGGACGGGCTTGAGGCTGTCGCTCATGTCGCCATCCATCAGCAGCTCGCCGTCCGCGTCGACCAGAACTGCCCCGCGCATCCCCCGCACTAGCCGCATCCAGGCGGGAGGGGTGTATTGCGTGCTGCGCAGGCCCGTTGATTGGCCGCCAGCCAAGCCTCCCCCTAGCATTGCCATTCTAGCGGCGGCCTTGCGCCATCGCCAACCAACCCGCTTGTGTTCTCGAGAGCCGCCGAGCGTCCATGGTTGTGAACTGTCATCAGGGGTCTTGGGGTCTCGCGAGCATGATTGCTGAACCCTTGAGGCCATTCTGTCAGATTCGATCCACGGGCCGCCGGCCGAGCTCCACCTCGACCGTGTAGCCGGGCCCGATATCCTCATCATCTACCGACAGCCGGGCCAGCTGGAGGGCAATGACAAATCGTCCACCGGCGCTGCTGCCATGCTGGCCATGCTGTGTCACCCACCGCCCATTCAGGCACGCCACTGTACGCTGTGGGATGCAAGGCTGACGATGTGCCCAAGTATGGACTGCCATGATGCAAATCACATGACATGCCCCAAGTCACGCTGTCGGTCTTGTTGCATATGTGTTTCAAGCGGAGCGGAATGTTTCTACTTGGGCCGCAGAATGCCAACCCATCCTGGGAAAGACGTGATTCACTTTTTTCTCCCCTGTGTCTGCGTATCACACAGCACTGCGATGTAACAATAATCAGACATTCAAAGTAGAGCCTAAGCGAATGTATATATATCGACTGCTGAAGTGAACCCCTTCTAAAGACCTATTAATAGGACATTGCGCTTACACGCCTAGTTGCCCCTCTGATTATCAAATCATATTCCCTTCCCTCATTCTAGCACCGTTTGACTGCCTGCCCCCGATCGATCCAACGTCCAGCCTCATTTCGATGATTTCAAACTCGTGGGCTTCCTGGACCGAGTTTCGGAACAAGTACGCCTTTCCCTCATCGCCTCCCCACGAGTCACGCCGGTTGGCGTCCCTGCGCTTCTTGAGCGCTGTCCAGAGCGGCCGAATCATCGGTAGACTCGTGATTATGATGCCTAGGTTGCCCTCAAATATTGACACGAATATCACAGGTGGCATTGATCCCGTCCAGTCTGCCAACTCTTGGACGTGTGTGTAGTAGTAAAGACGCACAATCGATGCGACCGTCACCCTGTAGGATTAACTCAGGCTTAATGGTAGACATTTGGCACTGACAAATACTTACAAGATCCCAAGGAAGACTAGACCAAGAACTCCAATCTTCTCAGATAATTTGATTTTGAGGCCGAGGATCGTCGGGATGGGTATCAGCATGATTGCAATATCCGTACCGACGTTGATTGCTGCCAGCGCGATAACAATGATAGTCGAATTATTGCAGAAACCGGGTACGGATGGGTCCACCAGCACGGCAATTGGCTGACAAGATACTATTAGGACCGAGCATCAGCATTACCGTTCTCTAAACCAAGTCCGGGTACTAGTCCAGCAGTGTAGATGTGTAGATGAAGACTTACGCAGAGAAGTCAGTAAATGAGTGACGAACCAACTCACGACAAACCCGAGAGTTATATAAATTGTGAGTCGCGCCTTGGTTTCAGAAAACGCTCGTCGATAAAAGAAGAGCATGCTGCATTTTACAGCCGCAATGAGTGGTATGTAGCAAAGAGTGAATGCAGTATTAAGCTGTAGCAATCCCAACAGATTAGCGCCCGCACGGAATGGTTGATTGTGTGAGGATAGCATACAGGGAGGACGGTCCACAGGTTGTTTGGGTTATCGTATGTAGCTTTTCGGTATCCAAGGCCAACAGTCGCGACTGCAGAGAGATTGTTAGTCTAGTTTGGCGTGAAAATAGTATTAGGTGAGTACGGGATAATCTTACGAATCCCTTCAATCACCAAAAGGCCAATGCCTAATGGCAAGGCCACCAGGACGAAACCATCATCCCATCCTAGCCTCACGCCGGTCACCACGCGGGACACGATACGAGCCGCAACGAGGACGGTGGCTGTGAGTACTAAGATAGCATTGATAACGATGTGCACCTTCAGGTCAGTGGATATAGGATAATAAGTTGGACCCGGCTTCATTTTCTCTACCTATCGCAAGTGTGATAGAGAAAAGAGGTAAGGGTGAGGGAAGATCCTTTTCGAACACGAGAAGGCATGACCGCAATTATTATACATTCGCCACCGTCCAGGCTGCGACTGCGGCATCGTGTGCGGGTTTCGCACCACCCCATTGTTCATCGTGCTTCGGAGTGCGTGATATCCCTCGAAGGATCCTGCTTATGCTAATGCGCGCAGCACAAGACGTCTCGGCTCCTGGTGGTGGCAGAGCGCCAATCAGAACTCAAGCTTCTGTCGGTTGGAATCCTACGCCGATACGAGTAGTTTGATGTGACTCCTGATCCCCTCGCCCCCAAGCTGTGTCAGCCTGTGCAAATTGATGTCCTTGGCCCTTGCTTTGGGTCACATTCGGAATTCTCCTGGGCTGGAGTGTTGTTTGAAGCGTTTGAGTATCTAGAGGGAGTTGACCCCCCACACTGAAGGCTCGGTCACGAGACTGCTCCTATAGCTTATCCCCACTGGCAACACGGCAAGGCTATTCGCCGCGCCCAGTTTCATCTTTTCACCAGGTAAGATTTCTCAGTCGACACTCTTCTTATAAGCCACATTAGCGGAGACTCAAGCCTACGATTGTCATGCGGCCATGCAATTTCGCTTCCTCGGGCCGCTCCAGCCCTCTTCGACAACGCATTAAAACAAGGGAATACTCGTCGGCATCGTGAAGAGTCATGTGAGACATTTAAGACAGGCCAAAAAAAAAGCGAATTATTCAGAGAACGACAGGGGTTTGTAGTAGTCAGTGCCGTAAATATTAACCCGCCCTCAAACGTTATAGACACTGTTTCCTTTTCGAGGCTTACAGCCGATGTTCGCTTGTTAGCGATTCAACGCAAAGGCAAAAGGTGAAGCAAGAGTGGATTATGGACTCACTGCTTTTCGGCTAAGCGGGGTAGCGTCCATCGCCGGTGTGCATCACATCCGAAAGCCCCATAGAAATTGGGGACATATGTAACACCGGGATATTTTCAAACCCTCCGATTGTGCCGGGCATGTGCTCCTTTAACCCGAGAAAACACTTCCGTAAACTCTCAATCAGGGCAACCTCAATTTCAATACGATCTTGGTTCTTGATCGACATTTTTACGTCATGGCACCACCCTATAGAGCCGACCACATTGGGTCACTCCTACGACCTCAAGCACTCCTAGAGGCACGTTCTGGACTTTCCTCAGCGTCGCAAATTTACAACAAAGAAGTCCCTAATGGGGTAAAAGCAGCGGAAGCAAAGGCTGTCAAGGAAGTTGTCGAGCTGCAGAAGAGCAAGGGAGTCAGGCCCATCACCGACGGTGAATACACCCGTCACATCTATTACGGAGGGTTCTTCGAAAACCTATCAGGCTTTGAGATCAATCCCGAGCTCCCAATTCCAGATGCATTCCGTACCAACTTCCCTACAACCACCGGCCTGGCGAAGATGGGCGCCAAGACTAGAGCGGTTGTGAAATGCACTGGAAAGATTGAGTATCAAGAGTCTCCCTACCTCCCTGAATGGATTGCGCTGCGAGACACGTTGCCAAAGTCCCAGTGGGGAGAGGCAAAGCTAACTATGCCGACGCCGAACTACCAGCATATTCAGTTGAAGCCGGGGACAGCTTTCACAGCCGGCTCTGGCTACAAGTCCGACGAGGAGTATTTTAGTGATCTCGCCAAGTGCTACGCAGCCGAGTTGCAGACGCTTTACGATGCGGGCCTGCGTAATCTTCAAATTGATGATCCTCATCTTACCTACTTCTGCTCATCCCAGTTCCTCGATGGATGTAAGACGGACGGCACGGATACTGACGAGCTGTTGGATCTGTACATTCGCACACACAACCAGCTTCTAGCTAAGAAGCCTGCTGATCTCCATGTCGGCGTCCATCTTTGTCGTGGGAACATGGCCGGTTCTACCAACTGGGTGTCCGGCTCGTATGAAAATATAGCAGATAAGCTCTTCAATCAGACTGCCTACCAAACATACTACTTGGAGTTCGACGACTCGGAGCGCGATGGCGGATTCGAACCCCTCCGTTTCCTACCCAAGGGCAAAAACGTTGTCTTAGGTCTGGTGTCAACCAAGAAAGCAGAACTTGAAGACCGCAACACTATTAAAGCCAGTATCACCAAGGCTGCAAAGATCATTGCCGAAGCGCAAGGTGTCACTGTGGAAGAAGCGTTGGGTTCTCTTGCGTTAAGCCCACAATGCGGGTTTAGTAGCAGTAGCTTGGCTGGTGGCAAAGGAATGACTATGGACAAGATGTGGGAGAAGCTTCAACTTGTTAAGGAAGTGGCGCAAGAAGTGTGGGCGGAATAACTATGCAATCTTATTGTCTTTTGATAAAAGCCCGAGTGCGCATAGGTTGATCTACGCAGCTTTGATTCCTATAGGCTTGAATTGAGAGAGTCATGGCTTCCCTCCTTTAAATTTCAACGGACTGCCATAGTGTGTGCAGCCCATGTTCACTTTGCTAGAGCATAGCACTTCTCAACATTTACCGCGTCATTACCCCACCACTTTACTATCACCGCACCGGTCGAACCAAGAAACACGAATATAAACAATAAGTTCGCGTTGAAGCCCGTATCAAGTGCTGCTCCACTGATGTAAGCCCACTTGTTCCAAAACTGACGGCGATAGCGGTACAGAAAGAAGTTCGTGAATGTTCCGAGAAGTATAGTGGTGAATGGGCCAGTACTCAGATTGCCATAGAAGACTGCTGCACTGGCAAAAAAGATGGTCGTGTTCCACAAGTCGAAACGAGCGCGAGGGAATTTCTTGTGCAATAGCCAAATGATTACAGGTGCAAGGGCCCCAGCCAAGAAGCCGTAGAGGACTGGACTGAAGAATGATGACGCAAATAGCTTTTTGGGTCCGACCAGAGCATACTGAATACCGGCGGTGTTGTAACTCTTGAAGTCTTGGCCTGTCCACTGACCCAAGGGATCTGCGACTTTCCCGCTGACATAGTCAAACTTTGTGGCAAGCACCCATCGCATAACGCCGTAGTTTACTGGAAGTGCAACCATATTGGCGAGAATCTGTACACCTATAACCTGTCGAGGGGGTAGATGCAAATAATGGCCGATCTAAACTCTAGGTTAGTAGGCAGAGCAGCCTAAAGACGCATGCGGCCACGCTCACTTTCTGATCTTCCAAGACCGTACGAGCATCATACCACACATTTCCGGAAATAATACGGTAAGCGAGTTGTCCGAGAGGGTGGCGTGAAGAACCTGGGGCCTCAATCATATCTTCGCGCGTATTGATTAGCGTGGAACCCATCGATGTTAACAAACGACTTACACCCGTATATCAGCTCATTGAAAAAGCCGACCTTGATTGAGAATCCCGACATGGCATATACGAGGCTCATTGGTAACATAGCTGCTCCTCCAAAGCCAAGGGCTACGAAGTACGTCCAGGTCGGCATCCAAACGGAACCAGCTGCCACAATGGCCAGCAGAATTCCAATTGGAATGATCGTCAGTGCGACCCACTCCCTTGTCCGTGTCAGCCTGAACGTTCACAAATTACCGGATGGCTTACCATTTAGTCATTCCAGGATATTGTTGGATTATTTTGCTGCCAATTGTGAGCTAAGACAATATTTCGTATTAATACTTAGAAAAAAGTACCTTAAGCGGTCTTGGTGATAGTGGCCCTCCTGTTTCCTTGCTTTCCATATCTTCCAGATTTTCGGACCCAGAAAGAGACCACACCAGACGAAAGACGAGATATAAGATGCGTACCACTGCACAATAGCGATGAGCTTCGGCCAGGGGGATAGTCAGTCACTGACTTACCATAAAGATTTCCCAAGTATACTGAGCTCCAGAGTAAGCAAGCCCAACCTGCTCATACTTGGTCTCATTAAAATGTTGTACACCACTGGCATCGGTATATACTGCAGTAATGTTAGAAGAACAACCCATCAGGTAGAATTGATACTTACTGAGTGAGTTGAATGGGTATGATGACCCATTTTTCTGAAATACCCCGTTTGACATGATATTATAGGTTGGAGAGCCCCAAAGATTCCCGAAGTACGCAACTGGAATCAATATCCACGTCTTGGCCGCATATCAGCATAGCTCCTAATTGAGAATAGCAGGTGGACATGATACTCACTGTTATGACGAAAGCAACGAAAATAGTGACCTGAACGCTGTAAGGATACGTGATAATCGTTGACGTAATATTGGACCAATTCAGAGTAATGTTAAGCAGACCGATACCGCCGCGTCCAGCCCCTAGAAAGTTTACTGTATGGTTTTGACTAGCAAACCAACATAGTGGTGCCAGTGAGGCCGTGAGCGGGAACAAATACTCGGGAAGGAACTGCCAAACAAACGTTCCAAACAAAATCAACCAAAACACCTAACGTGACGTTAGCGAGAAAGAGCTTGTATTCTGATTTCGACACTGACCTTCATTTGCTGCTTGGCTCTACCTTGGTGTAACTCGGACTTGCCTTGCATGCTTCGGTACAATGTGACCTGCTGCATCGAGAGGGGAAAGATGAACTCGGGATCGTCAATGAGAATTTTGCGAACTAGACTTTCTCAGTTAGTGAAATAGTTTTCGCAAGTTAGGGAGGAATTACTTGCCCATTGCTGCAAAAGAAAATCCAAGAAGCGAGGCGCCCTTCTCTATGTCAGTAATCGACTTTCTCGAGCGCATAGGCTATTTACCCATCCAAAGAACAAGGCTACCGCGGGTTGCATCGTGATGCCATAGTACAGCGCAGCATTTGTTGGAAGATAAGCTTGTATGATTAGATGGCGTATGGATATATATGTCTGGGGGACTCACTGGCCCATTGTCCTTGGCTTCCAGCATTGGCAGCAATGCCTATGATGGCATGTTCCTTGACGGAGAATGGCCCTGGATTCAGAGAGAAAGAGAACCTCCCTAATGGGACTGTATAATCCGGCAGAATACGCGCGAGAAGCCTTCCTAATGGCGCAGACGTCAAGATGACGAAGAAGACTGGAAACGGTGCGTAAGTAGTCCGAAAGCTATGCTCAGTAAGTCAAGAGAGCTTCACATCACCTAATCATTCGTATAACTTACTATGATATCTGGGAGACGCAACTCCCTAGTATACAGAATAGCGACGACAGAAGCACTGATCGGAAAGTAATGACAGGCAAAGTCGGGTCATCCTCGAACCCCACCACCGTGCGGACAAGTTCAGGTATGTTGGCAAATTCTTCGGACGTGAAGTCATATTGAGGTTCATCCAGTGAGGGGTCATGGCTTGAATCAGAGTCAGCCCAGCTTTGACTGGACTGATCCTTCTCCTTGATCTCCTCTGTCGGCCCTCCCTTGCCGTCCGACGGTAATTGCAACGCCACTGTCGGCTCGATTTTCTCATCCCGCATGGAGGCCATGCTGGATAGCGAACAGGTAGGTATCACAGACAGTGATAGTAACCGTAGAAGAGGACTAGATGTCACGATGTCTGAACCCGAACAGCGTGCAGGTGTGCACGTGCTATATGGCTCATGTAGGTGCTATTTACGTCTACGAACGGAGTACTCCGACATTCTCATTTGTAGCTATCACTCGCAAGAGACGTTACATTCCAAGACTCAAGAACCAATTGAACCATGTAGAACATGCATGGTTATCGCGAGGAGAACACGCAAGTGCGGAGCTGGATGGTGAGGTGTGGGTTTCTGGGGTTGTGACGACCCACAATAAGTGGGTGGAGGCGATAGTGTAGTACTCGTAACTCGGACCTCAGGTAGATAACCATATCAATCTGCTGTAGGATTGGTCAGAAGTGAGATAGATCAATTGGGTGCGGCCTCTGATAGCTTTTTTTTGGTGCCGCAATTCGGCTTGGGTATTCATAATGTCCGATTCTTTAAGCCTCATTATTCACACGTACTGCTGTCTGGTGCCAAGAGCGTGGGATGATACCAGGGTCGCCGCATTGCTACTGACCCCATGTTGCATACCCTCTCGGAGTGCGACGAGACCATCGATTCATTCAGAAACCAAGCCAACGTCGGGAGCGAAGAGCCGGTTACTGGGAGAGCGTTCTTCCACGGCGATGACGTGATTTGGCCCAGAGTGACACCAGCAGAATATGGGCAGGGGGTCTCATACGGACCTATCTATGGGCGCAACACCTTGACATGCTACACTATTCTGAGAACACTGGATATTCGGACACGGCTGCTGTTATAAAAAAAAAATCATGGTTTTCTTGTTGGCTTCTTGCGTACAACGTGCATCCTATTGCTACTCTTGGTTCTCTAAGCTAGTTGGCACAGTAGAGCGACATTCCATATGTGACTATTGTTCGGTGCCAAGTGAAAAATTGGGGTTCATAAACAATCACGCTCAAGAACGTTTTTAGAAATAGTGGTGAAGTCGGTGAAGGGAAACTAAACATATGCGATGGTACCCACTGTGGTCAACATCGCCAACATAAGTGACATGAGGAAAACGGTACATCCGACAGATTTTGCTAGGGCCGCTTTGAAAGCACCATTTGAAGCAAGGACTTGCATCGAGCGTGATGAGAAGTTAATATCAATGCCCGCCATGGAGTCAAGCCAAACAAAATATATTTCAAATTATCACAAAAGGTCGCAAGATTCCAGCGTGGAAGCCAGCAGATATAAGGACCCCTTTGAATTCAAGACTCTTGCTGGGTGTAGGTTCTGTGCGATACGATTGCGAAGAAAGCGAAAAAGATTAGACAGGGTCTTGCGCCGTTTAGTTTCACAACATTTCATCTAACTCTTGGATATACTCCTCTTTTCAATCAATCTAAAGACTCGCTTAATTATCCTATATTTCACGACCGACCGTGTAAGTATAATCAGTGCTGCACATGTTCCCAAGTCAAAGGCTAAACCGCAACATCTCGACCAAATATAGTGACAGAACATGGAGAGTATGATCTGTCAAATTAATATCTGAAATCTTTGCCCAAGTCATCGCTTCTGCCCCTCCAGGTTGCTTCGGGGTCTAAGCAGCCGCAAGACAGAGCGGGAAACACAGAAATCGGATTGATCTTCCAAAGTGCCAAACAGTTGAAGAATACAATACAGATCTCCACCAGTCTGACATAGGGGCAACATTCAAATAAACCAAACCGTTCCCTTACTCCTCTGCAGCGCCAACCTGTGGCCGGAGAGTGTACTCCAGGTTGTCAATGCGTGTCCCGCCAGACGACTGGGGCGGATAGTTGGTGGTGAACATCACCGTGTCGATCCGGCGGAAATCATTTCTCAGCTGTGCGGGCACCATAGGCGCCGTTTCCCCAGCGCCGGTGTACGTGATATGGGGCACGTAGGGGAACGACTGTGAGGTGACATAGTGGCCCTGCCTGAGGCCCCAGACCGTGACGGCGCAGGGGACGGGGTCAGGCGGCACGCCCGGCTCGGACCACGATTCCACGCACCCGAAATAGAAGGAGTGGAAGTGGATCCACCGGGGTCTGGTCTCCGGGAGGAAGCCAACGAGCTGGGCCGGGCCGTACCTCTGCGTGGACGTTTAGACGCCCACGTTCGGGGGACTTTGGGGGAGGACGCTGTCTACTACCACGCTTCCTGGGAAAGGGCCGACCTGACTAAGGCCTGTAACGGGTGTGAATGTCAGTCAAGCTTCTTCCGAATAACTGAAAATACCCCAAGCGAGGAGAATGGTTGATGTGTATGGCAGGTGAGCTCTGGCTGAGCTTCTGTAGGCCGTACGAGGTGCATCTTACTGATTCCCTGGTACAAAAGTCCGTTGTAAGCTCCAATTGTCGGTGTCGGCGGGGGTGGTCCAAATTGGACGAATTCATCGAATTTCGCTAGATACCGTGTGGCTGTCGCGCCCTGGCGGTTCCCCAGATTCCTTGCCCGTGCAGCAGCTGCCAAAGCTATGCAGAAACATATGACGTGCTTGTGCATGATTGGAGTAGTAACGTAGTGTGTAATAAAGAGCAGGTTTCTGGTAGGGCTCCTCCAGATCTAAAAATCCGAAGGCTTATTATACATGTTGGCTGCTGGTTTTTAGACCACGAATAAGGCTGCTCGGTGTCTCATCGTGTTCTAGAAATGACGTCGGCAGTATCCGCTGCAGGGCGGGATCAACACTTATACTAGGACAGAACGCCATATCATGCATTTAATAGACAACACAGTACTGTTGAATGGAATAGCACTTTGCATAACCTAGGCCGTGCCATGGGTATCTGCGAATTTGTGTGGCTCATAGACTTGGGACTTTGACCATCACAAAATTGCTAGCTTCCCCCTCTGCATGGAGTGACAAAGAGGGCTGATGACTGCTTACCTCTCAGCACCGGAATGGGCATTTGACGCAAAGCTCACGTGCATAACGGCGGAAGTCATGTACCCCTATTTGCTAATATTGCGCCTCCAGAGTCAAGAAGGCTGCGTCTTCCGGCTGTGAAGGTAAACTCAATGTATCCGGACTTATTGAACCCCAAAGTTATCTGCTACCTCATTAGCGGTATAATAAGAAAATTATATGTCTATGAAGTAATGGATAGCATGTTACTTCCAGCAAACATGAACCCAGCAGTACCAAGTGGCATTTGCTCTATTACCCTAACCCTACATATGTAGGTGTAATATGTTCGATCTGTTCTGACTTCAAGCCAGTGGGGCGCAATTTAGTTAACCTTGAAATTGCTTTTCCTTTGGAACGTATGAGACAAGAAAGTCCGGTGTGGTTGCGAGGTTTGGGGCAAGCGGTACTCTCCTTATAGCAGTACACTATGGCTTCAGACAGTAACTTGTCGTATGTTTCGTTGGTGACGTTGCTTTGATAAAGGGCGTTGAAAGACACGGTTAATTGATGATTTTGATACAACCCCCATAAAAAAAAACCAAGACTCTATCTATGTGGTAGTTTCCGTTATATTGTTTATATACTATATCTAGTGGGGTAAGGCCTACCAGATCGTTTCCTTACATTCTGGCTTTGCTTCACCAGGCGTAGGGCTTTATGACGGACCGCAAATGTGCATTTTCGCTGCGATTATATCGTGTATGCAGTGATCCAACTCTTTACCTAGCTTTTAGGACCCGGAAGTTGCCATACGTATAAGATTACGACCACATTGAGTCCTACCTGATGAGAGGCGGTCTGCTCACACTATGACGGGTGACTGAGCCCAATGGCATGTCATGGTAGGGTATGACAATGAAAAGTCTATATACAGTCTATGGAATTGATATGATGCAACTCTACGTCCATGGTCGATGTGACTCTCCAAGTTATGACCCAGCCTTTGCTGTGTCACCGAGCAATGTTCACTCTAAGGTGCATCCTCAGAATGAAGGCCAAACGACCTCATGACAGCCAGTGCCACTGGGGACGATAGCATGACATCGTTGTGACCTGGGATTGTCAGAACGAAGGAGTTGTCTGGGGACGGGGGGAACATACCGCCATAGGGAACGAGTTCTTCTCTGATAATGACATCGTGGTCCCCTTTGACCTCAGCCACAAAGGTGCCATCCTCCCGCAGTACGGTGTTTTGTTTCTTCCACTCGGCAAAATCCTCGTCGTCCAGTTCAGAGCCGATCAAAGAGGAAGCGGCAGACCGGAACAGGGTGTCAGTCTCCGAGTATGGGATTTCCATGTCGTTTTTGGCATGTATCAGAGACAGACGAAGCCTGGTGCGAGTAAGGCCAACGACGGTGGAGAGCCTGTCCGAAGACCTCCACTTGTCAACGATGAAGCTCTGGACAAATCGAAGCAGAGGTGGTATCGAGCGCATGGGCGAGAGCACCGGGATGACACCACCCGCGGTGTAGCGGCTGAGCAGAGTGGGGAGATTGGAGAAGCCGGCAACGAGTATGACGCCGGCGAACTCGATGCCTTGCATGGCGTAATGCTCTGCGACGGCACTCGTGACAGCTGTGCCCAAGCTCTGGCCCATGATGACAATGCGGCTCGGAGGGACCTTGGCAACATTTATAGCCCAGTCCACCGCGGCGGTACCGTCGTTGATGAGTCCTGCTTCATTAGGAGCGCCCGTAGACTTGCCGAAGCCGCGATAATCGATAGCTAAGACATGGTATGTTGAAGTGTCTGTGAGAGTATGGTAGCTGCCCGGACGAAACCCCTGAGCCACGTGGCCGGCATTCTGTTCCTCTATCAGTCATGGGGAGTCAAGTTTCATCGTATTGCCCCAAACATACCCCGTGAACTGCAGCCGGTCAGTCGATAGTCATACCACGGACTTGGCTCAATACTTACAGCAGATAACTAGACGTGCCTTGGGATCATCGTGCAGTATTTTGAACGACTCGGTGGCAGCGAAGTCCTTGGAGAAGCCTGCCGGTGCTGCCTGGAGCTTGTCCTCGTTGCGCAAGTAGGTGGGCAACGGCAGTATATGCCAAGCGAAAAGACTCTCGCCGTCAGCTGTGTCCAGCGAAAATGGGGTGACTTGGTTTCCTGCCCGCAACAACGATTAGATCTTGTGGCGCGAGTGTCCAGGGTAGTGGAGGACCGTCTTACTGGCAAAGCCCCAATACTCGGGCTTGTTGACATCATGCCAGAATAGGGTGTTGATCTTATGGGCATACAAGAAACTGGAGAGAGGCTTTAGCGTGCGCGCGCAAGTACCAAACAGTGGGTTTGTGGGAGAAGACGGGACCTACTGTCTCTGGAAGAAGGGGAAGGCTCCGAGAAAGATGAAGGTCATGTACAGGCCGATCGGGGCGGCAAGACCGGCTACCAGCGGGATGGCCCAGCGGGGAGGATGGGATGCAGGTGCCATTGCACTGGATGCGGTATCAGCCTGGCGGAACAAGTCCACTGCATAGCGCATGCAGGTGGGGAGTGTCATGATGGATGACGAACGAACCAGAGTGTTGTGAGGTAACTAGGTTAGAGTAGGGTTCTATGCGCGAAACATTTCTCAACTCCTAGAATACAGGTCTATTGTACAAAGACGGTGGACTCTACAGAACACAGGGGCGGTTGCCTTGTGGCGGCGAAGGACGGCAGGGTCTACTGATGGTGATGGTGACGAAGCAGGCATTCAGTAAGTTAGGTATATTGGACAGGTCCGCATGAGGTTGGCAGTAGCCTGGATCGGATTGGGACGTTGTGGAGGAGTACCAATGCCCGGGTGGGTTGTCCCCGCACTAACAGCCACGACGGCCAAGTAGGCCGGGTTAGGCGTGCAGCTGTGCGCCGTCTCTGCTAGAGAGATACATAGTACACCCATTAGTTAGCCATTAGCGACGGCCAGCATGGGCGGCAAGGCCAGTGCGCTTGCAGTCGACCTAGGATGCGCAATCCTCGACGGGGCGAGGACTCAGCCTCATCGAGCAATATTTCCTGATTTGGACGCCCACGTTCTCTGTCCTCGAGTGCCGTCCTACATTTGTCTGCATTTGCTCTTGAGATGTTGAAACAGGTACGGAACATGATTTGATGATTTGGAGACGTGGTATACCAAGGATATATGATAGTATTCGATACCTAGACCAAGGTAATGGCTATTGAAAACCCGGACACGGCAGCGCATAGGTATTGGTGGCTGGCTGGGCACGCGTCTTGCAGCCATGTACAATATGTAGTACTGTAGGTAGGTAGTATCATCGAATCGTGCACATGGGATCATGCAGCGCCGAATCTGATGCACGGGTCACTTGTATGCAGATGCAGGCGCCATCAATCACAATGGGGCCCCGGGGGAGGGGAGCAAGGAGGGACTGAGATCCATCAATTGCTGGCCGTGGCATCGACCGACTGCAGGTTGTGTGCCTGTGTGGATGGTAGCACGACGCGGTGCGGACAGTCATGGAATGCATGCAAGGAATACCTAGAAGCGTGCAAAGCTCCCCAGGGTTCCAATCCCCAGTGGAACGACAACCTCTCTCTTTCTCTCCCAGGGCTCCCCCACCCCACCCCAGGCTCTAGACGTCGTGGCGGGCCAATGGGCGGCGCGCTCGGTGGCTGGCCCAGCCAATGGGAGGCGGCATCCCAACGCCCGCCAACCCGCCCTCTGGCCCTTGGCCGTGCTTGGGGCCACCCATCCCCGATTCCCGTGTGGCCGTCTGCCCATCCTGCCCCCGTCGGGTCTGGCTTTGAGGCTCTGGGCTGGCTGGCTGGCTGGCATCAAACACATTCCCGCCTCGCCAATCCCTCATACCCAGTCTCATATCCATACTCTCGTTCATCTGTCCCTCCCCCTCCATCCAGCCAAACCCCCGGCTGTGGTTCTGTCGAGCTCTTCGGCATTGCAACCGCTCTTTCATGACCTTCAGATGCCAGTGATTGCCGGCTTCTGCCGCAATATGCTTACACATGTGTGACATAGCACCTCTGTCGGACTCGTAACCGCGACAGCACTCCCATGACTGGGCCGACGCGGACCACCACCTTCTGCACGCCACACGCATCCAACCTCGCGCCCCTGTGAGACTGCATCTACGCTCCTGTGCCCGCTCTGTCGCCCCGACCATGACTTCGGAGAGGAAGCGCAAGAACCCTCCTCGCGGCGCCGCCAGCAGGGTCGAGCATGTCGCCAAGAAGCGCACCTCGACGCCGCCTGAGAGGTCCTTGACGCCCGCTCCAGCGCCGACGCCCACACCCGCCCCCGAACCCGTCGTCGAGGAGCCCCAATTGCCCAAGTCGGTACAGCCTGGAAACCCCTTGCCTACCGTCGAGAACGCCCAACCGGACGACTTGTCCAGCAAGGAATACCAGTCCATTCAAGAGAGGTAAGCTTGCCACGCGCCCCCAAAGGCTTCGAGAGCTGGCCGCCGCTCGGCACATCGTGTGCTAACATCCTCCTCAGTGGAGTTCTCGTCGAGTCCCTCACCCGGTCGCGGCAGAAATGGATCAACGAAGGCATATTCGAGAAGTACTGGACGAAGCCCGTCAAGCGAAAGGGTGTGGTCAAGGAGGAGCCCAACAACCCCCCAAAGGACAGCATGCAGAAGATTGGCAGCATAATCATCAGCATTGAGCCGCATGTGCTGGAGGCCACCATGTTTGGCGTCAAGGACAACTCCAAACCTCCTGTGCCCACCACAAACTCGGCCTTCCGCCCCGTCATGCAGTATGGCCCTCCGAACGGCGTCATGCCCCCTCCCCCGAAGCCACCCACACCTGTTCCCACCACGCCCTCGACGCCCTCGGCCGTGCCCGCATCACCCTCCCAGGCTCCACCACAACCGACCGTACCGGCATCACCTTCCCAGCGAGCTCCTTCACAGCCGCCGACCCAGGCTGGTGCGTCTGCGCCCGCCCCGGTGCTGGCCCGACCACCAACTCCATCACAACCCCAGCCGATGGCTCAGATGCAGCAGCCTGAACCGCAGAGGGCAACGCCGGCAACCACTGCTCCAAGTCCCAGCCATCTGCCGGTGGTTTCTGCCTACGCAGCGCCACCAGGATCGGTACTGGCACCTCCAGGAGCGCCGCAGCCCCCACCTGCACTGCAGCCGCCGATGAGGTCACCTGCTCCCCATGGAGTGCCAACACAGCCTTTGGCTTCTCCGATTAGTGCGCCAGCTCAACCTGGCGTAGCACGGCCACCACAGGCTCCGAGCGCCAGTCCGACGACGGGAGGTCCGTTGGCTGCCCCTGGACCTCCGAAACCAGCAACGCCGAGTTCGAAACCTGCAGCGCCAGCACCTTCGGGTGCCGACCCTATCATTGTCACATTGGCCGAAAAGGCATCGGAGGATCCCCATCTACGAGATCTGATGAAGCGTGTAGCTGTGGGCGATGCAGCGCCGCATGAACTATCGCACTTCCAGAAGATCATCGATCAGATCACTGCCGAGTACAGAAAGAAGGGAGGTCAACAAGGCCCATCCGCTGACAGACTTCTTGTCGACGGACGCACCGTCAAGTATTTTGCCGACGAAGTGCGAGCTATTTTGGACATTGTGCTGTCCTCGAACCCAAACCAGAAAGGTTCGGATCTGAGGCAGCCACCTGGTTCTGATGCGCTGGTCATCTTGCTGGTCAAGCGAGCATTGGATGACCACACAACAAGGAACATGGTACGCCGAGTTGCCGAGAACAAAACCAAGTTCTCCGATGCCACGGACTTGAAGGGCATCCTGGACAAACTGAAAGATCAGCTGCCCAAGCCAGGTTCTAAGACTCCTCAAACGCCTTTATCCAACCCAGGCCAGGGCCAAGTCAATGGAGCGGTCGCGAGAAAACCTTCGATTTCCCAATCGCCCGTGGCCACACCGACTTCCCAGCAAGCCTTGCGCTCCAAGGGGCCCCCACCCAGTTTCAAGACTGAGTACTCTGCTATTGTGCTCGAGTTCTCGGGCGGAACAGGCGACAGATATCTGTTCCCGAAATACAGTATCCTGGAGTACCAGCCGGGCGCTTCTCAGGTTCTCGTATCATTTCTTATCGTCAGGAAGGGGAGTAAGTCGGAGTACGGCGGCGATCCCGCCTTGGACTACTATCAGCCCATGACGATTCGAATCACTTCGCCGTCAGGCAAGTACCTGGAGCAGCTGGCCCGAGTGGTTGCTCCCCAGGACGAGGTGAGACGCTACATGGACGATGTCATGGACAATATGACGCGAGCTGAGTATATCCTACTGGCCATGCGTCTGCCGCGGCCAGACAAGGAGGACCAAACAGAAGATCGCGTCGGAACACCGAAGGTCGATGGGCAGCAGCAGCCCCAACCTCAGCCTCAACCTCAACAAGGCGTGTTGTGGACTACCAAGGCTGCTCCTGCAAAACTGCCATCACTTCAGCCGGGCGGCAAAGTACTTGGCGAGGATGAGCAGTACCAGAATTTTATCGCCACCGTTAGCTAGAGGCAGCGGTCAACGAAGGCGAAGGGCCAAAGTTGAGCTCAACGCTTGTTTGTAGGTAGATTTGGGAGGATGCACCCTGTGTAAAATGAAAAATCTCACGGCGTCGGTTGGTGGTTCAAAGGAAGGATTCGCCCCAGGCTACTGGTGGCACTGTCTTCACTTCTTTTTTCGAGGGTCTGGAGTTTTCACAGATATATACCAATACCATGGAGACGGGGAAGGGCAGGAATATAACTACATTCTTGACCATGATAACATGGCTGTGCTGTATTACTGCAAAATGGTGACAGGTGAATTCATTGTGATTAACTTACACGGATAGGCCAAACCTTACTTGTAATTGAGACGTGTCCTACAACTCGTGTGCTTTGCAGTGGGTGCCTTACTACTATCTGTTTTCATGTAGTGTTCGGAAGCTGCACTCCCCGACTTTTTGGTCGGTCAACCTCGATTGCTAACGAGATATCTTGAAGGTCACACCGAGATGTCAATGATGGAAGTAATCATGTTTCAATCAAGGCAAACTCGCCTGTTTGTTCTCTACGTGGTATCATCTTCTTTTCCAAAACGGAGAGTGTGCCGCCGCCCATGTTTTCCCCCAAACGCCGAGCCCCATGAAAGATACAGCAGATGTCTTTAAGATAAACATGGTGCTGCTGCAGCTGCTGTAGCAAAGACCAGTGAATGCCCCATTTTATTGTATCTGCCAAAGTTTCGCAGCATCACTTGAGGTCCCCAAGCGCCCCGTACATGGGCAGGTCCGGCATGTCCTCGAGCTCGATGCTGGCGCGCCGCAGCGTCGACGACGCCCGGTCGCCCACGAGCGTGCTGGTGTCCTCGTCCGAGCTGCGCCGCTCGCCGTAGTCGACGACGACCGTGTCGACCTTGACGATGCGGCCCGTGGTCTCGGGCCCGAGCCCCCCGGCGAGGCTCCCCGTCGCCCGCCTCGTCCGCCGCCTGTCCCGGCTCAGCCGGCCCCTCCTGCTGCCCCCACCGCCAGAGTAGCCCGACCGCGCCCCCGTCGAGCTGCGGTGCCCGCTGGTGATGACGGTGCGGTGCTCGCTGCCCTTGGACGCGATGCGCAGGTTGCGCAGGAAGGTGCCGTCGGCCGCGGACCGGTGGTACGGGTTGTTGTAGGTGTCGTTCCCGGGATGGTTGCTCGTGGTGGCGGCGACGTCGGCGTGGACGGTGACGATCTTGCGCACGTGCACGCGCAGTACCGGGATCGAGGCCGCCATGATGGTCGTGGCGATCTCGGCCACGGTCCAGATGGCCAGCTCACCCGACCGGTACGTGAAGTCGTCTTCCTCGACCAGTTTGATCTTGATGCAGCGGAGTATCGATGTTGCGCCGGCGCTGTTGATGGGGGAGTTCAGGATGGGTCCGAGTTGGGAGAATAAGGGGTAGGGCGAGAAAGGATAAAGGGGGGAGGGAGACAGTATAGTCGGGTAACTTACACGATGCCGAGGCTCATACAGATAGCCACTCCAACCTTCTCTTTCAGCTTCATATTCAATCTCCATATGATTGCCCATGCCATGATGGCCAATATCCAATCCATGGTCGCCGAATAGGCAGCCGTAACGATACTGTAGACGAGGGTGATGTGTCCATTCCAACATGTTCCCTCAATATAATACCTCCAGACTTTCTGAGTTGGCACACATTGGGCAAAGGGAAGGATGGCATTGACAATGAACATCAGGTTCATGGATATGATGATTGCCCAGACGCCCGCCTTCGCTGGGCCACGGGTGAGTTGTAGTAGCGTGATCGCGAATGAGGTCTTGGACCATGCTGCGGCGAGTAGCGTGAAGACGGTCGATACGCTCGCTATCAGAACTAGGTCGAAGACAGTTTCCATAGGAACAACCTCCTGGTGTTTTCCGAACCCCAGATGTACGCCATAGGTCGAGAGCGAAGCATCCACGACCAAGAACAACTGTACAGCATCATAATTAATACATAGTCATGACACAAAACAGATTACATTCTGCTTACCCAAGATGCTAGGAGGAAGTAGTCATCCCACCACAAGCTGCGACGGCCGGCGGTCAATCTGATATAGATTCGAGTCCCGAGGAAGACGCCGGCCACGCCAGTTAAAGCCCAGCTGACGCCGTTGATCTGGGGCCCAATGTCATCGACATTCTCACCAGCAATGGTGGACATCGTCTTACTCGGTTTGGGGCATGCCGTACCAGGCCAACGAACAACGCAAGCAACCAACAGCGAGCAGACGGGCCATCAAGTAAGAGAAGGTTTCCAGAACAAACTGAGACAGACCTGCAGGCTTTTGATTCAGAGCTGAACTGGGATCGCCATGGCTGAAGATACAACCCATGTCGGTGGCGTTGTGGTGATAAGAGTGGGCCGCCGGACATGTTGACGCTTCTGGTCAAGGGCTTCTACTTCAAGGGTGGGTTGATGTACTGCAGGGTCGTCCGCGACTCTACGGCAGTTGCAAGCGGGATCCCAGAGATCATCAGAATGCCTGTCGGACGCGGAATGCTACTCTGCATCTCATCTCATGACAGATCGGGGTTGCATCCCGATTGCGTTCCACGCAGGGGAAATCGCAACTGTGAATGGCCTATGCATGCTCGTTGACGAAATCCCCGTGTAGACACAGAGAAAGTCCCGATACGGTAGTGGATGATGATAACCCACTTGGGTGAGATAGGCCCCATCCCATCGGCCAACCCGCGTCGTCTGCAGCAAGGACTTCTCGAACATGGCAGGCGCTAGCCCAGATGAGAGGCCTTCAGCTCCACACTCTCCAGGCGGGCCAGGTCACGAAAGTGTGATCAACCCGCAAACGGCCCAAGGCTGAGGGACGAGCCAGGGCATGGCGATAAAAAGGGTGTTCGCGAATCTCGGGCGCTGGGCATCCCGTAGCGCCCGGGGTCTCCCATCCCAACGGGCATGGACCACGGTACCTGTTCGAAACGCTGGGAGCAGGGCTAACGGCCGCTGGCGTGACAAGTCTCCGAATAGAAGGCGGCCCTGAGGAGCTGGGACTGGTTCCATGAAGCAGAAATCGCCCGACACAAGACGATGCCCCCCTGTCTGACATCTCCTGTTGGGTGGCCGTGTAGTTATATCGCACGAGATATACCGTCGGGCTGTTCCTTGGGTTCCCGCGTAGGCGGGACACGAGACCCGGGTGCGCTGACGAGCTTGCGTTGAAGAGGTAAACGTCCGCCCGAATGGCTCTTTGGTGAGTCCTGTACCACGTAAAAAGAAGAGATATATATATACTTTAGGCAGTTCTCTTCCGTATCTTGGACATCGCAAGATGTTAACGCGCTGGGAACAGAGGCGAAGGTGGCGCGGCTCCTGCCCACGTGCGCAGCTAGCATCTCAAGCTTGAAACCAACCCGAAGCTTGCGCAGTCGGTTGAAGGTTTGGGCTTGCACTGCCGTTCCTTACTTTGTGCCAAGTTGATGTATGCCTGATGCCATCTTGGCAATGCTGGCGTAGAGAATGCCAGCCAAGACGGATTGGCATAAGGATGGGAGATGTGTGTAGATGGATGTCAACTTGTAGGGATGGAGTGACTAGCGGATGGGCACTACAGGTTTGGGTTGGCCGATCCGCACAAGGGCTGCCAGATTCCAGTATAACAGGATGCACATGTTATAGCCCCGGTGGCGGCAGTTGTTTGGGTGGGAGGGCACTGCAACCAACACACACATATTTCGTCCGCGGCTTGGGAGGACCAAGCCTTGTACGACTCTGAACAGCGACTCTGAACAGCTTAACATGCACAGTGTCCAGTATACACTAGCTTAGTGAATATTCGTTGTGTTCATACTCCGTTGTATTCCTGCGCTTCCGAAAACATGCAACCTAGTAGGCCTAGCATACCGAAAAATAGTATAGTGACGCAGTTAATATAAAAAAAAGGAATGCACCTTTATTACCTGCAGGCGACGTTGTACACAGTTTCTGCAATCTCTGGTGTTTCTTAGATACAATCTGCAAAACCCCACCACGCGCCACATGTCGCCTGATGAGCTACCCCACCATTTTATTTCTTTACTAAGTCAATACACCTGGACACGTACATAAAACCACGGAGCTCGGGCCAGATCATCGTCACTGTCGGCGACGACAGCGAACCCCACGTTCACCAACACAGCTTGGCCGCCTCGCACATTCTCCCCATTGACCCTGCGACGCCTCACGAACCATGGCCGAAGAATCGAAACCCGTCGACCCCAAGCTCGCCGAAGCCGACGAGGCCCCCAAGGACAAGGGCAAGGGCAAGGCGCCTGCTGTTGAGTCCGACGATGAGGCAGAGGCAGAGGCAGAGGCAGACGACCCCGCCGCAGACCCCGCCGCGGCGTCCACGGGCGCCAAGAAGAAGAAGTCCAAGAAGAAGAAGCTCAAGGAGGCTCTGACCGGCAAGTCGTCGCAGACCGACCAAGAGGCCAAGCTGCACAAGGCCATCGACGGCCTCACCCCCGACCAGGTCTCCCAGCTGCTCGAACTCAACCCGGCCCTGGCAGGCGAGCTCGCAAAGGCCACCGGCAGCGACGACCTCAGCTCGGCCACCGACGCCCTCAAGCGCATCAAGCTGCAGGAGATCATGACCGGCCTGGCAGCCAGTGGCAAGAACGTCAAGGACATGGGCAGCTACAAGTTCTGGTCCACGCAGCCCGTGCCCAACTTTGGCGAGGAGCAGAAGTTCGAGGACGGCCCGATCAAGATCCAGAAAGTCGAGGACGTGCCCAAGGAACCTTCACCACTAGTCGCCGGCTTCGAGTGGTGCACTGTGGACATTTCCAGCCCCAAGGAGAACGAGGAGGTCCGTGAACTGCTGCAGGGGCACTACGTCGAGGACGATGAGGCCTTGTTCCGCTTCAACTACTCTTACAGCTTACTGCAATGGTGAGCGCCGCTATCCTTTCCTCTCACTCGCCAAATGCTAACTTGCGAAAAAGGGCAATGATGCCTCCGGGCTGGAAGAAGCAGTGGCACGTCGGCGTGCGGGCTACCCAATCGAAGAAGCTAGTGGCCTTCATTTCAGCCGTACCCGTCGAGATCCGCCTACGCAAGAACATCTTGCACGCCTCCGAGGTCAACTTCCTGTGCATCCACAAGAAGCTTCGGTCCAAGCGGCTGGCACCCGTCCTCATCAAGGAGGTCACCCGGCGATGCAACTTGGAGTCGGTTTGGCAGGCTATCTACACTGGAGGCATTGTGCTACCCACCCCGGTGAGCACATGTCGGTACTACCACCGTGCCATCGACTGGCAGAAGCTGTACGAGACCGGATTCAGCCCGCTGCCTGCTGGTTCCAAGCCTCAGTACCAAGTCCGCAAGTATCACGTGCCTGAGAAGACCTCGTTGAAGGGCTTGCGGGAGATGCAGGAGAGCGACGTCGACGCCGTCCACGACTTGCTGATAAGGTATCTGTCCAGATACGAGATTGCCCCTGACTGGAACAAGGAGGATATCCGCCACTGGCTCTTGCACAAGAAGGCCAAGGATCAGCTCGAGGAGCAGATCGTGTGGTCGTACGTCGTCGAGGATGAGAACAAGAAGATCACCGACTTCTTCTCCTTCTACTGCCTGGAATCGTCCGTCCTGCGCGAGTCGAAGCACAAGGTCGTCCGTGCGGGCTACGTCTTCTACTACGCCACCGAGGTTGGCCTGGGAGATTCAGTGGACAAGAGCGCGCTAAAGACCCGTCTCACCGACATGATGAAGGACGCGCTGGTGCTGTGCAAAAAGAACAAGTTTGACGTCTTCAACGCCCTATCTCTGATGGACAACGGCCTCTTTCTGGATGAGCTCAAGTTCGGTGCCGGAGACGGCCAGCTGCACTATTACCTGTTCAACTACCGTGCCAACCCCATAGCTGGAGGCGTTGACAAGAAGAACCGGCTGGACGAGGCGCTCAGTGGAGTTGGTTTCGTCATGCTCTAGATAGTAGTCTAACTCGGGTCAAAATCAAGAGATATACTCAAACGTAAACGCACTGCATATTCTGTCTTTTACCAGCGCGTTTTGGTCATTGAAAGATGTTCATGACCTTGAATGTCTTGGAACTCGATTGATATCTTTTAGTTTAGAGACTATCGATGCATTTTTCAGCTAAACAAAAATCGATATGTGGCTGAATGCGTGATGTGTACATCACCATGGGAACACTATGGGCACAATCTTCTTCGTGCCGATGAGTCAACTGTGGTGAGCTGAACATGGATCATTGTTTTTGGCGTTTGGATCGGCATTTTGCCAACCCGGTGTGCCATACTGGCTTCAACGGGTTAGTGCCGTGTTTATGGCTGGCTGGAGGCTGTCCCGAACTGCAACTCATCACCCGGACAAACGACGTGCATACCTTGAAATATATGAAAATTTGGTCCTGTCAATGAAGCAACACTGTCCACGATACGTGCTACAATGCATTACTCTAAGACTGCGGCCGTAAACATTTCTCGATATGTCGTACTGTGAGGTATGTTTTGTCTAAGACACTCTGCTCACTTTCAGCTGCTTCATTCAAGCCCAGTAGCTCCTTCTAACTATTAAAATGCCGCTGAATCCTTGGTTAGAACAAAAATCTGTCCACCACCAGCTCATTCAAGCATAAGCATTATGTCGAGAAAGAAGATAGAGCCTGCATCTCTCATCAACTCGGTGCTCCGCACATTCCCCCAGCCCGAAAACGGCTTCACGCCTAATGGAGTCTACAAGGAGCCCAAATACACTTTCACCAACTCGTACGATCTGTACATAAGTGGTGACAACCTGGCGGCAAGTCCTTCCACAGAGGCCAAGAAGCACTTCGACAACATGCGAAAGGCAGGTTGGACAGCCAATTGGATCGATAGAGACCAGAAAGATCATTTCGTCGAGGTCCAGCACGTCGTTGACCTCTTGGCCGGGGGCCCACTGGGCCAGGGCCAATGGCTGAAAGCTTCATTTCAACAGTACCTGCATCTTGCATGGTACCAGAACGACCGCCGAAATACTTGGAACATCCCTACCTCGCTCAATATTCGCAAGGGCAAGATTTTGCTCTTCCAGTATATACAGTCTGGGCAACTCACCAGGATAACGCCGCCGTCTGGGGGTACGCCGTTAACAGACCCCTTCGAGGCAGTGCAGCTCAATTTCCTCGCCGAATACCTCTTCTGTTTCAACAAGGACAAGTCTACACCCTTCCTTCAGCTGATGGAGCTCTCTGTCGACATGGCGACCTGCGAAGACAATGACGTGACAAAGCTGACCCGGTACGTGGGCAAGCGAATTTTTGACGAACTTGTCAAAGCGTTCCTGAGCTGGTCGGCATCTCGAGGGGACGAGAGATATGATCGGAGGTTTTTTGACCAGTATTATGCCCAGAGATCCAGCAAGCGTCTAGCGCTAGAAACGAAAGACTGCATACTGGAGTTTACGACTGCCAATCTTGTTGACGGCCAGTAGTCACGACCTGGAGGATAATATTATTCTGTAAATCCAAATACCAATATCTATGCGCACTCTCTGCAGCTCCCAAAGTTCTACCCGTGTATAGAAACTAACTACGAAGTGGCCCATTGTAAGAACCACGATGTAGAAGCCTAGGAGTGTGATGCCATAGCGACTGAAGATATATACCACGCTGTTTTCCCGGGGCCGTGCAGTACCTGTCATATCCCGAGTCTAGGTACATAATCAGCACAAATGTACGTTGACCAACAACTTGCAGGCTGTAAGGGAGCAGATGGTATGACTTTGGACCCGAGCAAGGGACTGTGCTTACCCAGTTGGATCTCCACGTCGGTTGCTGCTGTGCCGTACAATTAGCTGAGGGGGTCCGCACTTATTAATTCTCACCTTCTTCGTATTATTAAACGCCAGGCGTGCAATTGCTTCCGTCCCGATACCTTCACCAACATACTTTTTTGCCTCAGGGGAAATCCTTCTAGATTAATTGCACTCGTCGGGCAATGTCAGACCAACTTGTCGTAGTCATCACCGGCGCTGGCAGGGGTATGTTTACGTGTTTAGCATGAACTTATGAATAGTAATCTCAGACAACAGATCATCAGGCCTTGGTAAAACTTTGGCGCAAATCTATCTCGCACGTCCACAATGTTCTGTTGTTGGAAGCGTCCGTGATGAAACAGCCACCGGAGTTACAGAACTGAAGGCGGCTCCTCGAGGAGACGGATCGAGCTTGCTGATTGTCAAGATTGAAAGCTCTTCTTCCACAGATGCAAGCAAAGCGGTTAAAGAGATGGTGGCTGCAGGTATCGATCACATCGACATCCTGATCCCCAATGCTGGCATGAGCCCCGACATAGAGCCAATCGAGACGGTCGACATTTCAGTCTTGTCAACTACATTCAACGTTAACGCAATGGGTCCTCTGTCCTTATACCAGGCCTGCCGCGCGTTGCTCAAGAAATCAAAGAATCCAAAGTTTGTGCCTATGACCAGTGCTACTGGCAGTATTAGTGGGATGGAACAGGGCCGAACTTTTATCGCGCCATCTTACTGCATCTCGAAGGCGGCCCTGAACTGGATCACCCTGTATGTCTGTGTTAGATTATTTCAGTAAAATGAAGCTCATGGACTATCATACAGTGCAGCTCATTGTAGCAACGAGTGGCTTGTCGCTATTGCCATCACCCCAGGGTAAGACTTTGCAGTGTTCGAGATCCTTTCAATCCTCAGGAACTAAAGCTGATAATCATCAGGTTGATAGCTACCGATATGGGAAACAAGACCACCGCATATTTAGGCCGGGCCAAGCCAACTTGGACCGCAGAAAACAATGCTGAGAAGATAGTAAAACTGGTCAGTTCATGCCCTTTTCGCCCTAGAAGACCCAAATACCTGACTTCTAGTAGATTGACGACGCTAGTCGTGAGAACTACTCTGGAAAGTTCATGGATGCTATAACTGGTAAAGAGCTCCCCTGGTAACAGGACATGATTCATTTCAACATATGAGAGAGAGAGAGAGAACGCTTCCAAGGGAGCGCAATATCTCTCTCCTGGAAATACTTTGGGGCTGGTAACCAGACACTTTACTGTACGGGAAACCTAGCCAGACGGTCCGCTATAGAAGGCTACAGTAGCAATTCATCTTTCACTGTACCAGTATCTGGTTCCCGACCTAGAGTTTCACGTGTTGCCTTACCAGTTCGGTCCTATTCATTGCCGCCGACCTTAAGTTTTTCTTGGGTATCGGGTTTAAGAGAAGAAGCTAATAGCAGCAACTCAAATAGAATCGAGGAAGTCCAGATTCAAATGGAAGAACAGCCGTTCCTTCAATATATATGGTCTTGGACTTTAGTTTATTGATCAGGCTTCAGCCTTCATGAACTTAGAATATTTCAACCCGCTAAGATCTACTAATCTATAGTATAATGAAACCTCCATGCATTAGTTGCTCAAGCGCGAGTTCAAATCTTCTGCAATGGAAAAGCGCTCTTCCAGGGTCTTGGCTAGCCAATCTGGACGCTCGACGATGGGTGCATGGCCCATTCCCTCAATGATGAGCCCGGCCCCAGGTTGTAGGTACTCGATCAGCTTCTTGCCGTGAGGCAAAGTGATCATACCATCTTCCGTGCCATGCATCACCAAGATCCGCTCCCGGCCGACCTTGTCGCCCATCTCCTTCAACTGGGCAGGGGACTTATGATGCCAGCCGGCAGCGATCAGCTGAAGCAAAAATCCTTTGCGGGTGAAGCCCTCCGTGTCCATCTGCTTGTGGATCTCTTGGGCAGCAAAACGCTCGAAGTTGGTCTTGAACTTGAGGTACTCCCCTCCAGGTGGCAGAATTGCCTTGGACGTGGCAGCAGTGGGAACGCTGGCGTTATCTGGTTGATCGAGGTATTCCGAGCCAAACAGCTTGGACGCTGCATACTCGATGCTTCGGTCAAGCGATTTGGGCAGCAACATCGTGATACGATTCACCATGTTCTCAGTGAAGGACGTTGTGTTCTCGATCTGCGCCGCCGTGCCCAGAAGATTGAGGGTGCTGATGCGGTCTGGGATTAAGAAGCCCAGTTCCTGCGCAATCATCCCGCCCATTGAGAGGCCGCAGACGTTAACCTGCCGCGGCGCTGTCCAACCCACGTGGTCCAGGACCTCAATGATGTCACGTGCCATCACCGAGGTGGAATATCGCGACAAAGGCTTGCCGGAGCGTCCCATTCCTCGGTTATCTACGATCAGGACTGAGTACTTGTCGCCATTGTCGTGGCCGAAGTGCATTGTCTGCCGCTGGTAGGAGGTCTTCAGGAAGCCAAGTCCGCATATCCACTACAAGCAGTTAGTGTCAGAGACGCCCTGAGTTGGAGCAACCATAGGAAACAAGGCGCTTGACCGCCACAAGCGTTCACAGGCAGAAGAAATGCATCACACTGGAACGATGAGGAGAGCGTTTCGCTTACAAGCACCTTGATCGAGCCCTCTCCATGGATCTCCCAATCAATGTCAACCGGCGCGCCTCGGTCCGCTCCGACTGGTAGTAGCCCCCTCCGGTGAGGCTCTAGCTTCCATGAGGCTGTTGGAAAGGCCGGAAGCTTCTTGATTTCCTCCACAAGAGGCCGGGTTGAGGTGATACTGGTCCTGCCCTTGGTCAGCCATAAACCTCCGTAATGGTCTCGACGTGAAGTCTCACATGCTGACCTATGACGCTACCACTGATTCGTGGCCTGTGCGTGACGTATTCCGAATGGTGCGATGAAGGCTTGCAACACAATGCAAGAGAAATCGAGCGAGTGTGGTGTGAAGAGAAGATCTCGCAAAACGGCAGGCGGTCACATGCACATGCAGGAAAGCAGTCTCGCCACGAGGTTTTGGTGTTGCGATGGCGACGATCACGCCCTGTACCATGTAGGCTGAAGAAGCAGGTACCAGCCTCGGCTGGGTTTTAGTGTTGCTGATAGAATGATATCCACGATTGCTGCATAATATACTATCTGCATTGTGACTGTACAGCACTGGACATCATCTCACCCCTTCTGGTATTGTACTCACATGCATTCTCTGATTTCAAATCAATATCATTGTATTTACTCATACGGAGCTGGATTTCGAAACCTTTCAAGTGGACGTGGCCCGGATTGAGTCTCGACCCATGTGAATTGAGCAGCGATTTCATCGCGCCAGCATTTTCAACCTGTACTCAAATTTCTTACCTGAATGGATTCTCTGTTCAATGATCTCAAGCAGAAAGCTCCAATACCTGGACCCCTGCGCCCTGTGACTTCACCAAGGCAGCAAGCTTATTCCACTCCGACTTCGCACTGCGTATCGTCAAGGTAAGCTTATACGACTCGCCCGCCTTCGCCAACTCTCTAAGCGTCCCTGACATTTGCTTGAGCATTCCATAATGGCCCTTCAGCCGCTCAAAGAGAGTGTCAATCTCATCAGCCTGCTGCGCCTGCTGCCCTTGTGCCCCGTTCAGCTCATGTGCCTCAAGAGCGTTCGCTTCGGGGTAATCGTCATCCGAGCTGTTTGCCGGCGGATTTCCAAAGCAGAAACCGTCCTCGACCGGAATCAAAATTGGTCTTCCGAGTCCATCAGTAGCCGTTATGACGCCAGGGTAGAACTGGCTTGGGACTTTTGCCTGCATCAGTCGATGCTGCGAGTAGGCATCATCCAGAACTGTGCCCATATCTCCGACCCATGAAAAGGTCTCCTGCGCACTGGCGAGCTGTTGGTTGTCACTGTTCCACGTTGGGGGGAAAAGATCATCCTGGCCGGCTACCGGGAAATTCTTCCATGGAGATTGGTCCAAGAGACTAGTATTCAAGTCAGCAGGGTATGAAACGCCTGGGTGCTGATTGTCTGGGACGTCCGGGTTGCCGAAGCCAGGGTATGCAACTGGTGCATCACCTGTTGCATACTGCTGGAAGGGGACTTCAAAGTTGAACTCACCAAATGATGCAGTCTCGTAGTCTTGCGCCAGTTCAGAGGGAATAGTCTGGTCAATGAGGGCATCGATTTCGGTATATTGGTCAATTATAGCTGCAGCGAGAAGGTCGTAGGTGAGCTGGGGCATTTCGTTGAAATTCTGCTCCATATCTTCAACCGGGCAGAACTGGGAAGCCTGAGAAGCATCTGGGGGCAGGCTGGCAGCACCGAAATCGAAATATTCATTCATCCAGTCGTTGTCCATGTTGTAAGTATGTGGATTGGAGTGTCTTGAACAGTCTGATCTTGGTGATGAGTTTTGGATTGAGTCTATTGCTCTAAGTTTGAGTTGGCTATGGATAATACATGTGCGGGTTCTTATATACAAATCGGACTTTGTAGACTCACTACAAGGCCTTTGTTTGTTGACGAATGAATAACGACAACGTGGCTGATTGTTCATTCCCGTGTAAAGGGTGGAAACTTTGGCTTATGAGCCACGGCGTCTCCAAAGACTCATATTACAGGCACTGCGGTAGACAAAGAGATTGGACTTGGCATCGGGTCATGCCATGAAAGAATCCTTCTTAGTTTTTACATATCAACATCCAGGTTGTGATGTTAACTCGTGCACCTCCTAAACATTGCGCCCGTTGATCAACAAGACTAGAACGCTGGTGGAGCCATGAGCTGGTATACCTCTATGAAGGGTGGGGCCTCTTTGTTAGTCAGAATGACTTTGTGTCCTGAGTCTCTATGCGAATTTGATATGCCCCCTCATTACCAGAGAACGGGTTTGTAATGGAGCTGGGTAGTCGAGTCCGTAAACGGACTGCCGAGAGCCGATGATTCGCTCGGGCCCCGGGCAGGCCGGGAGGGGGTCCCCCTGTGGATCCTGGCGTTCAGCGGAATCCCAGCCCATTGGTAGCCTTATCGATAGGCTTAGGTAGCTGGGTCGGGAAGCCAGCCGGTACGGGGCGTTTTAGAAACACCTCCATTCTTACTCGCTGCTAGAGCTCCAGCTTCATTGAGTCAATTGCTCTTCTTCCATTACCGACAAGCGTAATAAGTTGTTGCCGTGCCAAAGAACCATTCCTGGGATTGAGGTTATCTGCTCAATTGTTTCTAAGATGCAGCGTGCAGGTGTGCGGCAGCTTGGGCGCAACCTGCTCCTGGCCCGCGGTGTGGCCCCTGTATCGTCAGTACCGGTTGGGACCGTGGCATCGACAGCGAGATACACCAGCACTGCAGTCAATGCAAAGACGGGTACGGGTCTATGGAGAGCGGCGGCAAGTCCCCCTGCGCTGAGGCAATCTCGACTGCTTAGCAACACCGCTGCTGCTGCTTCAAACCCCGACGCGGGGGAAGAAGGGCAAACGGGAACGTACAGCGAAGCAGACCACGAACATGCTGTCATTTCAACGTTTGATCTGTTTTCCATCGGCATTGGCCCATCGTCATCGCATACTGTTGGACCCATGCGCGCTGGCAATATCTTTATAACAGATCTGCTCGAGGCCGGTTTGCTTGAACAGGTCCACAAGATCCACATTACCCTCTACGGCAGTCTGGCGCTTACCGGAGAGGGACACATGACGCCTTCTGCCTTACTTCTTGGACTGGAGAGCGCTGACGTCGAGACTGTCGACACATCCTACGTGCCTGATCGCTTCGAGCAAATCAAGAGAGAGAAGAAACTATTCTTAGGTCAAGGGCTCCCAGAGGGCAAGGGCAGAGGCAAGGAGGTGAACTTCGACTATGATCAAGACTTCAAGTGGCAATGGGGCAAGAAACTCGCTCTCCACAGTAACGGTATGCGCCTTACCGTGTTCGATCAGGATGGCAACATGCTTGCTACCAATGAGCTTTTCAGCGTTGGCGGCGGGTTCGTTGTCAATGGCGCTTTGTCAACTGCTGCTTCCCAAGCTTCCTTGAGTAAATCTCAGGAGGGTGCTCTAGCTACTGCAGCCGACACAGAAGGCGCTGGCAGACATCCAGCTGACCTGGCGGAGAACATGTACTACAAGGAGATCAGACGATCAGATGCCGCAGGTGACCGTAGAACTGGCGCTGAGATAAAGCCCAGCACGGATTCCCAGGAAACCTCCGCCACATTGCCCGGTTCCACCGAATTGGAACTAGTTGATACGGCCAGTGCTGGCGGTGTATCAATGGGCGAGGCGTCAACATCACACGCTCAACAACCTCGTTATCCTTTTCGCGATGCCAGCAGCCTCTTGGCTTTATGCCACAAACACAATCTGACCATTGCGCAGCTCGTCTACGAAAATGAGAAGAGCCATGGATATACAGACGAAGAGATCTTTGACAAGGTCTGGCGCATTTGGGAAGTGATGGACAACAGCATCCTTGAGGGCGTACAGGCTCCACTGGACTCTACATTGCCTGGCTCTCTGAAATTGCACAGGCGAGCGCCGGCTTTATACAATCGACTGACTCGAGGACTGTATACAACACACACTCAAGCTTCCAGCAGTGCCGATTCCAACAGTCCTTTGTCAGCTCCGAAGCCAGCTTCGTCGGCGTTGGCGCGGAGAGACAATTCCAACAAACGAGGGCCACCTCGCATACACGGTTCCATCTCTCACGCGGTCTTGCCCTCGCCGTTGAGACGGACAACATTCCCTGCCATGGACCACCTAAGTGTATATGCTATCGCAGTGAATGAGACCAATGCCGCTGGCGGGAGAATCGTGACCGCCCCAACCAACGGTGCCGCTGGTATCATTCCTGCAGTGCTCAAATACACTGTCGAGTTCATAAGTGATAACCCTGAACGCGATGTACCAACATTCCTGTTGACAGCCGCGGCTATCGGTATGCTGTACAAGCGTGGTGCAACCATTTCCGCCGCTGAGGGAGGTTGCATGGCCGAGGTTGGTGTCGCATGCTCCATGGCGGCAGGTGCGTTCGCTGCCTGCATGGGTGCTAGCCCGGAGATCATCGAACAGGCGGCCGAGATTGGCATCGAGCATAACTTGGGGTTGACGTGTGATCCCATCGGAGGTTTGGTTCAGGCGCCTTGCATCGAGCGTAACGCTCTAGGTGCCATCAAGGCCATCTCCAGTGCAAACCTGGCGCTCAGCAGTTCGGGAACTCAAAAGGTGCGACTCGACGACGCCATTCGTGCGATGCGCCTGACAGCCAAGGGCATGCGCAATGAATTCAAGGAGACCAGCTTGAGTGGTTTGGCAACCAGTGTGCCTCTCCACATCCCCGTCAGTGTGCCTGACTGCTGATCACGGACGTCCTGCCAGCATATGTCATGGCGCGATTCAATGCAACCTAAGATTTTCTTGAGTTAGCTCTTTCTTCTTTCATCACGTTGTAGCGTTGCAGAGGGCTAGAGAAAGGCGACAGGTCACCTGTCTCAGTACAGTATGCGGTTTGTCGACTGGATTACACTGGGCTCCATTGCACCTCCAGGCCGATATGTGCTCCCGCCAGTCTGAGCAGCGACTAGAAACATGGCCTTCCCGGAATAGTATCGAACTTCCCGTTTACTGGGGGCCTATATCTGCTGGGGATCACCGACCAACCTGATTCCTGGCCGATGAAGCACCATACCAACGAAAACCCGTGTTGTGGTGCTAGTTTAGAGGCAGGGGCTACCAGCCTCGTGTTTGGGTAGGACCATTTCGGCTTTCGGCTTCCTCTTTGTCATTCCTATTTCTTAATGCGCGTTGGCCCAGGCGAGCGCGTTCTGATCTGCGTTGTTACATTGATCGGTTTAAAGTTCCCACAGGACGAGGTGATAGAAAAGTTAGAGACTCAGGTCAATAGACTTCTCCTTATGTTCAGGGGCTCCAATAAAGTTAGAGAATATTTCAGGGTGTTATTGCGCCGTTCGGAGATGAGTCTTTGGGAGCCTACCCAGGTACTTAAAGACACAATCCCAGCACTTCGTAGTTGAAAACCTACTGCTCAAGTTTTCTTTTTTTTGGCAACGCATCGGCCGTCGAGAAAGGGGGTCATAGAGACAGTCTACAACAGTCAACATACCAACAAGCTTTGGGCTCAAACATCCATACTCATTTTAATTCGGCCAAACACATTATCGAAATAGTTACATACTACAATCATGCCTCAAGCCAAGTTGCCGGCTAAGAAACCTAAGGGAGCGACTGCCCAGCCCAAAGCTTCAACCATTAAGCCTTCCAAGGCATCAAAACTGCAGTTCTGGAAGAAACGCAAACAAGATGACAAACCAGAAGAACCCAACTACCCACCGAACCCTGCAATCAAGGCTGCTCCCTTCCCTGCACCTAGGATACAGCGCATCGCCGAATGGCAGCGCAAGCCGAGTATTCTGAAACCGTACTGCACGCCAATGGTGATCGCTGCACTCAAGTCGATCGACCAGCGCACGACATCAATCAACTTTCACCCCATCAATCGCATCAAGGTCGATCCTTCTCTGGCGCCGGTTCTAGGAGATCTTTGGGAGTCGCCGTCGACAGCAGCCAGCTACACCCCGCTGTTACGCCTCTTCTTCACGGCACCAGTGGTCGAAGGGATCGTTGCAGACGTCGCCACTATTGAAAGGCGAATTCGCAGGCACCTTACCAGGGGCGTGTGCTGCACCTGGTTTGACATGCTCCGCGAGGATCTGGATAGCGTGTGGGAGCGGGCGGAGCGCGAACACTTTGCGCGCGAGGAGGAGATGTGGTTCGTGCCGCGGCTGGTGCGTCGATCCAGGCGGGTGACCTGCTCCGATGCGTATCGGCATCGCGAAATCAAGGAGTGGCGGTGGAAGGATGGAAAGTGGTGGGTCGAGAGCATGTTTCCCAAGGCCAAGATCGTTGTTGATAGAATGACCGACGAGCACGGTTTCTGATTACGAGGATGAAGATCGGGAGCACGTGGCAGTAGACAGACTGGACAAAACAGACGTTGTTCTCGTTCTCAATAGGGGTATCTAAAAATGCAATAAGGCCCATCTGTAATTTATACAACGCCACCCATGCCCACTGTTATCCTCCATCGATTACCGGGCGCTTTTTAGCCTTTTCGGCTCGTCATCGTCTGAAGCCTCACTGCAATTCACACCTGATTCAGAAATTTGTCTCCTGTTTCCTGAGTATTAAAGTTGGTGATGCTACACTTCCGTTTCGTGGAGCATTCTAGCGGGTTGGTATAAAGTTCTTCGAGTCTTCTTCCTGTTGGGCAAAGGACTCGGGAAATGCTGCAATTCCAGCAATGATGCCGGCCACCATGAAAAGAATCGAGATGATCGACCAGATGACGCCCCAGCACTGAGAAGAGCCGCCATATCTCTGTGCGAAAACGCTGGCGTCTGAGCTGTTTACTTTACGTAGGATCAGGTCATCGCACTGTTTTGAGTCAGCAAGCAGCTTGAGAGGGTCTTTCGACCATACTTACGATATCCCAGACACTGTACAAAGAGGACATGACGCCAATAAAGAGCTGGAGGTTTTATTAGTCTCAGATTCATCCTCAGGTATATTAACGAGGGAAACTTACCACCACAAATCTCAAGGGCTCAGCGTGCACAATGAACCAGCACGCGATGATCAGACCGACGGCAAGGAGCACCGTTAAGATCGTCAACCAGTCTCTCTTGCCCCACCACAGTGTAAGCAGAAAACAGACTCCGAGGACGATACTCGCCACCTTGCTCGCGACAATATCAAAGCCGCAAAAGATGAGCAGGGCACCGATAAGAGACGATCCAAGGTAGCCTGCCGGGAGGGTGATGGCGCTCTTGCCTCCCACCATGTGCGTCACGCCACCTTCACGGGGATCAAGCGAGATAGACTTGACGCGGCCGCCGGTGCAGACCGCCGTGATGGCATGTCCGAACTCGTGGAACGCGATAACCAGCATCTGAATGCGCGGTAAGCAACGAGCATATACTCACGGGGGGAAACCTCCCAAATATGCGCCCGCGCTCACTTACTTTGAAAGGCCATAGACTCCATCGCACGTACGGCAAATTCCACAGAATAGCGATGACGACGATATACACTGCGATTATTCCAAGCGTGACCTTCTGCGCATCGCTGGAGACAGTCAAGTCGCGGCGCGAAAGGACGTCGCGGGTTGCGAGCCTGGCGACCCCCGGGCCGGCTGCCACCACGGCCGCCCTGGCGCTTCGGACTAGCTGCCCGGCAAAGACTCCGGACTTCTCGTAGACGGGGGCCATGTTCTGGAACGAGGAAAACGAATGTAGGGAGCGAGCGAGACGTGTACTTGGATGATTAGGAAGAGGGGACGTCGAGGGACAGGCCGCCGCATCAAATAAACCAGCCGTGCAACGCAACGGGCGGGCGTTGCAGGTTTTTGTGAAGGCCGGGGGGCGGCGTCATTCCTGTCGAGCCAAATCTCGTGTGGTCGGCCATGCCGCACTGCCGTTGGCTGACGTGGACGCTGATGCGCGGCATTGTAATGCGCCCCCTGGGTCCCCCCGTGGCACCACCGCTGAAACAACCAACCCTCAGAGGTGCCGGGACCAATTGGCCGCGACTGATCACCGCTGCGCCCCCCATTCTGGCCGTGGCTGTGGCTGCAGTAGCCGCTAAAGGCCCAGCCCTGGGGTACGTCAACCTTGGATAAGGCTGCGCCGAGAGCCGGGGTCAACCAGGATCAGAACGCTGAGCCAGGGGTACTATGGTAATCACCAAGGTTAAGGTAGAAGTTAGCTTGGGATATCTAAAGAGAGCGCACCGAACCGGCACCCTTGGTCCATCCGATTGCATCTTGATGCTTACACGTGGAAGTTTATGTTCTGCATCTCATTCATCGCGCGCTCCAGTGCCACCCAGAACGATTACTGACCTTGTCGAGGGAGAGAAGTGCGTTGCATAGAGTTACAGACTACAGAAGTACTCTTCGCCACATGAGACGACCGACCACTTCGCTGATCTCTGCAACGCAAACCACCACATAAAGTCATCCGCTTGGTATTTCGAGTCAAGTCTTTGCCAAGTATATATTGCTATTTCGGAATTTCAGACGTTAGCCAACACAACCTCTCGGCATGCTTGCTTCGATGCACTTTACGCGGTGATGCCCTGTCCACCTGGAAAGTTAAGCGCGCTAGTAGCTCAATCACTCTATGTTTTCTCAATGTAACGGTCTTCCACCTTGGTCTTTCAGCTCACTCGGCGCTCTCCATGTCCATCGTCGGCCACGGTTACCACAGCACGGACATGTGTGTGCAGATAAACATACCTAGGAAGCGGCTTGCACGAAGTCGCCCCTGTATGCCTCCAGTCACTACCTCATTCCTGGCATGAGTTCATATATTGATGCCCTCAAAGTATCCAATTTTGCCCACATGATTCGGTGGTGTCTGCGTATACCGAAGCAGGCTATACAAGACTGCAAGAACATGATCCCGCGTGTGAGCTGCGCTAGTGACGAGGGAACTAACAACTCACTCAGTTGCACCAATGGTGCGCTGTTGGCATTTGCAAAATCACTCGTACAACGTTACATATTTCTACACATCACAACGAGAATACATAGCCGGGTGCGACTGATGGAGTCAATTGCTCGAGGACAAGCTTTGTCGCCTATGCTAGCTCTAGCTTTTCTCGCAGTAGCAGTTCTTGAAGTCCGGTGCCCTCCTCGGTGCTCTCAATCCTATGAAACTGTTACAGAGGTTTGAAGATGGCCCATTGAACATTAGAGTGCTTTCCAGGGCCCTGATTGTTGTCGCAATGCATATCTCCCTCGAACTGAACACGAGGGTCGCCTGCGCGCTTCTGCATGGCAACAGTGATGATGTCGGTGATGTCCTGGGTTCCAATGTACGTGCCGAAGAAATCCGTTGTGTGGATGCCGAACACACACTGCATAACGACACACGATTAGCCAATGCCGCGTGAAGACAGAAAGAGGGTTGCGACTGCATACGTACCGTGTCATGGTAGGCAACTCGACACCAGTCCTTGTTATCGGGAAGATCAGCACCCTGGAAGATGGCGAACCAGCCCGGGCCACCCTTCATCTGGTTGATGACGGCGCTGCAGTCGATCTGGTTGGCCGAACCTAGGGTGGTCTTGTCTATAAAGGTACTCTCGCCGCATTTGTTGGTGTCGGAACCGCCGTGAAATACAATGCGGCGCTCGAGGTCGGGCGCTGTGGACGGTGCGGATGACTGGTCGACAGGGCTGAAATTCTTATGGAGCCAGACAGTCTGCACGGTACCATCAGGCATGGTGGTGTTGTAGGGGACCATGCCAGGGTCAGGGCCGTTGGAGTGAAAGGAGGGCTGGACATCAGGACTGGTTGGAGCACCCATCGCTATGCTGGCCAGCAGGATGGCCAGGAGTGACATGGTGTGTCGCATGGTTAGATGATGTGTTTGCAGTCAGACAAAGAGTGCTGGCAAGGCTTCTTTGAAGAATAAGCTCGAACTGGTTCGAAGAGGGGATAGTGGCGAGCTGGGTTGATTGAGGAATGATGGGAGGGCGTTATCTCTACTGGTGGTGAAATAGACGTCACGTACCTAGGCAGGTGAATCCAGTATCTGGAAATCGGTAGCCTAGCTCCGCTATCAGTGAATCAGAAGACTTGGGTAGCTTACTGTGTATATCAGGGCAAGCACAATGCCTTCATTGTAATCGGAAATGGTACTCGCTCTCATGTCTTCCCCCGGCCAGGTCGCTCCACGTACACATGAGGCATGATATACAGTCATGTCCTGCAGATATGTTCTCGCAGATTCCGTCAACGCTGTAATGGGTAACAGAGTTGCACGCTTCGTCGACCGTAGACCGCACTATATGGCACAGCACGTTCATTACGGCTTCAAGCAGGCTCTCTTCTCGACCCAGCGCAGGTGAAGAGTTTCTGATCCGATGGCGCGCATGCACGTACTGCATGTATACGTACGCAGTTTATCTCATCACTTAAATGGCAACTGCTTTGATGGGACACGCCTATCAGTCAAATGTCTCGCTGGGAGACTACGTAGCTGCAGTGCTCAAATAGGTACACTTGACCCGATCTTCATGTACTTGACGCAGACTAGGGTACAGCTATTTGCAGGGAAGGCACTGTCCGCGGTTTCTTCCTTGCAAGAGTGGCCGGCTGTAATGTAGAGCTGATCAGATCTGAGCCTGCAGGTCCGACACTCTCTGGAAGACTTATTTTACACTCCCGAAGTCCCTGATGTCGTGATGGCGGTAGTCTGCCTTATGAAAGTCTGGTACTGAACCAAGGATCTCGAGATTCATTGCCTCTCCATGTACATGCTGCATGGGTTGCGCTTTTCTGCGCAGCAAGTGCAGACAGCAACGCAGGCCTATAGTCCCGACTTTGACTGTGGCGGCTTCTCATGTCGAGCGCTACAGCTGGCCCAGTCCGACTGTGCACTTGCTACCCCTGAGAGACTTCATGCCATATCTGCTGTACTGAGATGGCTGCTCCTTACCACATGCACTACAAACTTCCCGAGCAGCGTGCCTGCCTGCCCACTAATCGATGCGTATGCCTTCCCGTGCTACCGTTGGCCAAATACAAAACAGCCTTCGAGCCCAGCTCGTGATTCCACCCAACTTCATCCATCGTTCATCACTTTTCTTGCCCAGTCTCACTTTGGAAGACTTAATCAATATTCTTTGGTCTGCTCACTCGCTAGCTGCATTGTTTTGGTCGGATACACACTTGTCGCTGCGTCGTTGCATTACTTGACATACACCGTTTGACACTCAGCTTCAAATTCCGGCCGGACCAACATCACTGACACCAATCGCCACGATGCATCCCTCCCACGTTTTCGCCTGGGTTGTGACGACCTTTGCCGGACTTGCCAACGCGGCAGACCCCTTGCCAGCCATGCACATCGATGACTTCTCAGCAACGGGGGCCTTCGGGTCTCAGCAGGGAAAGTCAGTGATGAACCGCTCTGGAGCCGTTTTCTCTTCTAACATAAATCACAGGGTTCAATTCAAGGTGAACTACGATGATGGCAAGAGCCAATTCACGTGTCAGAAGATGCCCTTTGCACACGGGCACCGCAACGGCTCGTTTCCTTACGTTGAGGGCCCAACTCCATGCTCGGATCCGAGATTCGACTTCGAGCTGCTGCCAGAAAATGGCAAACAACAAGATGCACTCTTGCAATTCCGCTGCTATGTGGACAGGGAACACCACTATTTCCTGCGAAGTCACATGATTGAGGGCCATGACATCGTCAACGAGGTGGACCGCAGGACCAATCTCAGTCGCCAGGTATACCGTGGGCCTAAGTTTTTCAATATGCCAATCGATCGCTCTGGCAGCATCCCGACCAAGCCAGTCGAACCCCCTGAACATTTCCACAATGCAGCGGATTTGCATGTGAAGGTACCGGCACTGCTTCTCCCCATTGCGGGCCTGATGATTTTTGGGATGTGATGGTGAGGCATCGGGATGAGATGGGACGGGTGTGCAGGGAAGACGCAAATCAGGAATTATAGATTCTAAGCAGCAAGGAGCATCGCACAGCAGTGCACTAGACCTAGACCTTAATGCTTGATCACGCTCTAACTACTTGACATGGTTGGCCTGCGTGCTATCAGTGCAATGACTGCTGACCGAAGCAACGCTGGGTTGTCCCATGCTACACGATCTACCCGGGTTACGTCGAATAGACTGCCTACACAGGTAGATAGAAATGTGCATATGTCCGGCCAGGCTTCGTCTGCACACATGTTGAACGTGTGCATATATTTACACGTGCAGTCTCTGTGTTGTCCCATGTCACGGCAGATGATACGCCGCTTGCGATAAAGCCTTGGCAAATCGGTATACGATGACTAGAGAGTTGCCGGGAATGTCTGTTGTCAGTCGCTGTGTACGGGGTCAAGAGGAACATTATGAAAAGTCAAGATTGGTGATCGCAAGGCCATTGAAATGCCTTTCGCTTACATCCACTGTAGGTTGAAGCGCAGCAGATCTCGCCCATGGCCACCGCCTGCCGCTCTGGCGTGACTTACCTCCAGCTGGGTAGAAGCTATGGCCGTCCAGGCGGCCCGCTAGACTTGAACTGCCACTGGCTGACACGGCGCAGTAACCTAGGCATCCTTTAGCGGAGGCACGCTACAGCCCAGTACGGTGCTACATAACTGATTGCATCTAATACTTCGGGGTGCTCAAGCTATCTCGTCGACCTCGCCAAACGAGCACACCCTCGTTTCACTCTGCCCTTCGACGGCAATCATGACCCTGGCGGCCGCTGAGCTTTCATGACTGCTCGCCCTCCTCTCTCCACGAGATCATTCTGAACGCGTTCTCGGCTCCGGCGCACCATTGCCGCTATGAGCTGCAAGGACCAAACGAGAAAATCATCATGTCCTCATCGTCCGCTGCAGCCTCGACCTTGACACGACCGCGCATTGCCATCGCCATCGTCTCGGTGCTGACAGCCGCCTCAGCTGGCTACTGCTTCTACCAGTACCGCCTTGCACAGTCCGAGATCGAAGGCCTGCCGGGCCCTGGACTCCATCGCAGCAATGCCGTCCGCCGCACCCGCCGCCAGACTTTGGGTCCGGACGACTCCTCCGACGCGGACGAGAACACGGCGACGAATGCCCTCGCCCCCTTGATGGAGGCCGACGGCCAGGACGACGATGACGACGACGACTGGTTCAACGACTCGTCGCGCCAGCGCACGGGCGAGAACATTGTCACCCTACTTTTCCGCGTGTCCGAAGATAATGCCAGACGCAACGCGTACGTCCATCGCGGCTGTCAGTGCAATGGCTGCGGTATGGTGCCCATTCGCGGCATCCGCTATCGGTGTGCCAACTGCGCCGACTTCGACCTCTGCGAGGTGTGCGAGAGCCAGGGCCTGCACAATAAGACCCATGTCTTCTACAAAGTACGCATTCCGGCGCCGCCTTTCTGTGCCCGCCAGGTCCAGCCGGCCTGGTACCCGGGCGACCCCGACAACGCCGTGCGTACACTTCCCAGGTATCTGCTCTCCAGATGGTCTAGTGAGACGGGCTTCGAGCGCGTCGAGCTGGACGCCTATTGGGAGCAGTGGACCTTCATGGCCAACACCGAGTGGAGGGATGACCCAGATGGACTGTGCCTTGCCATGGACCGCAAAACGTTTGAACGCTGCCTGGTGCCGTCAGGAGGGTTCCGGCACGCGGTCCCGAATCTCATCCACGATCGCATGTTCGCTTTCTACGACACGAACAAGGATGATCTGATCGGCTTCGACGAGTTTTTGCGCGGTGTCTCGTACAGGAAGAGGACCGACAAGCTTCGTCGAACCTTTGATGGCTACGATATCGATAACGATGGCTATGTAAACAGAAAAGACTTTCTGCGCATGTTCCGTGCATACTATGTGCTTTACAAGCAGATGCATCGGGATATACTCGAAGGCCTCGACGAGCACATGATGACGACAACGGAGGCCCAGCAGCTGGTCAATAGCCGCGCCCCCTTGAGCAGTCTTTTCGGAAGAGAAGGTAGGGTCCCTGCTGCCGATCACTCAAGGCCAATGGAGGGCAAGGTCTTCCGTTCCAACGGTGAGGTGGACGTTCACGATGGCAAGGATGGCGTCGTCAACGACAACAAGCCGGATACGTCCAGCCGGGAGGAGATTCTGAACGGGCTGTTCGTTCGCCACAACAATCGAGGCATTTTTACAGAGTCTTTTGGTCCTTCGTTTTCTCGACAGGGACGATCACCCACTGCTGAGTCGAGGTACATATCCGGCATCATCAACCCGCCTCAGACCATGGTGGACCTCTCATCCCTCATGAATGGCGATTATTCTCAGCTGGATGGTATAATAGCCTCTATTCGCAACGACGAAGCATTAAATCGTCGTTCGGTGGAAGAAAACGACAGCGAGAGCACGTCTTCCGAGGATGATGAGGAAAGTGCGTCGGGGGATAACCAAGCGAATGGGTCTTCCATCAATGCGCGGGTCCCCAATGGCTCTGCAGACCCACGACATTCGACACGACAAAGTCCAAACCTCTCGAACAATGTAGCCCCGACGACGGACAGTGCACTTCGAGCCCAATTCCAAGCCGTTGCAGCAAGTACGCAGCGCTTAGGTCTGGACCGGCGGAGACGTGTTCAGGCGAGGAGACAGCTTCACGAAAGGTGGAAGCGAAGGCAATTCTACCTTGATGAAGAAGAGGGTGCACTGCCACCACAGGGCTGGAAGGAGAACGAGGATGTGCTAGCCAACATCAACGGCAATGCTGAATCATCCAAATCAGCACCAGCAATGCTCTCCCCGCGATCGAGATCTTCCTCTAAAGTCCGCTTTGCAGAAGACACGGACGATTTTGACATCAGGTCCAACCCATCCACCTCATCGAGGAGTGTGCCAGAACGGTGGGGCGGAATGGAAATTCCTGACGCAGAGCGAGATGCCGGGAAAGAGATTCTGTACCAAGTCACTCAACAAGCTTTCAACGAACTCTTGGACGAAATTTTCAAGAAGAAAGAAGACCTTGCTGTACGTTGTGCCGAGACCAAGGACGAGCGTGACAAGTATCGCCATCTTTTCGAACACCTCCGAACGGACCAGGGTTCAACGACCCCTCCAATCCGCCCGGCCGAGCCCCCGAGCAGCCCGCCTGCTCACGAAAAGAGCCTCGATGAACTGTTGTCGACAAGCGGCTATAGTGTCAACCCACAAGAGGGTGTCAATGAAACTCTGCCGTCAGTCGCAACCGTAAATGGAGGAAGCACCACATACAGCGAGGAGTATGATAGACCTCGTGATGAAGCTACCAAGCAGCCAACTACTACAGCCGAAACACCCGCCGAAGAGGCATTATTAGCGCCCGATCCCACGATGCCTCAGTTTCGGCCAAACAATGCTTCAGAGGTCCCACCCGTCGACACACACCAGAGCAATGGCCTAGACTCACGCCTGGATCGGGCCTCTGGCGCCAAACCACGGGCCAATAAGACCAAACCGAAGCATCAGCAGAAGGAAATCCCGACAAAGCTAGTTCAGCAAAGCTCCCAGCTTCGGGCGGACGAGGAGACGATACCACAAGAGGTACTGGAGGAATGGAAGCATTTAGACTGTGCCGAGGAGGAAGCAAAGGATCGTGGTGGCTGGGGCAAGCTTAGCTTCGAGGAATTCGAGCAGGTTTACAAGGAGCATGAGTTCCACGACAGCAGCCGGAATCGATTGGACTACCTAGGGAGCTGGATTGACTTCTGCATCCCCTAGAGCGGGACTGGAAACCCAGCCGTGCTCCCAGCACTGCTACCACCCAATCGTCGAGATGATTGGTGAGGACCCGAAAGGTAGAACAACAGCCATGTATATCATGCTCACGTGTAGAGGTGTATAATAAGACCCCAAACGCAGCCCATTGTCGTCAGACTTGGACATGTAGACAAAATATTCCTGGCCCCGAGCACCCGTGGAACCCTGGGGCCCTCATGTTTACAGAAGCCAACAGACGCGCATTGACTGCTTTGATCCTAATGTGCCGATTCCAGCCACTCGGCATTTGCCGATTTTAAGCGCTTCTCCAGATGGCATGGGGGCCAAGGCGTCGATCTTCCGCTGAGGCGTCGTCGGCCTTCTTATCATTCGCTGCGGCGATCAGATAAGTCAGATACAACATGCCATCTTCGTAAACTTGCATGTATGTACGTACTGCTCGCGTCGGCCTCTTGCCAAGCTTTTTTTTCCCATTGTCGCCCAAACACCGCGTGTCCGCGCACTAGCTCAGGAGCTCCGCTTGTACCAGTGTGCTGACCTCGCTAGCCTCACGACGACATTGCTCCCCGAAGTCCTTCAAGACACCAGCCAGGGCGGCAGGAAAGGGACAGAAAGGCACACTGCGACTATAATGGTGTACCTGGGCCCCTCGCGGGGCTGTAATTCGTGCAGGAAGCGACGAAAGAAGGTTTGTGTCCCCAATTGGATGAGCCCTCCGTCAATGTGGGTTCGTGACGGGTTTTGTCAAGACAAGGAACAGTGGCGGCTGACATGGTGTCTGCCAATAGTGCGATCAAACTCGCCCGGTATGCGCAAAGACCCTATTCTTGCACCGCGCCTACGTTGCGGCAGTCCGTGGTCGCTGTCCCTGCACTCCCTTCCCAGCACTGGCCCTCTGGCTTACAGATTCTGACTAATCTTACAACCCAGTCTTGCATGAGATGCATCAAGGCCCACCGGGTCTGTGGCGGCTATGAGGATGGCGAGTTTACTGCCTTTCGACAGTACGGGCCTCAGGCTATCGATGAGACTTCTCCATCTGGGTCGAGCCCGTCGACAGCGTCGACAGCGCGCAAGTGCAGCCTGCCGGCGCGTGTCCCCGTTCCCAACAGCGATGTGCTCACTGAAGATGCCATCCCACCGGAGACGTCAGAAGAAGAGAGCAACGAGCTTGCCTTGAGAGCTTTTTTCTACGACTTTTGCATCACGTCTCCCAATGCAAATATCTCCAGAGGCTACTTGTCCAGTATCGAGGCGCTGGCGCACCGTCTCGGGCCGGGGTCTGACCTTGTCAAAGCCTGCCAAATCATTTCGTTTGCGAGCCATGGCAAGCCATTGAACAGGCCTTCTTTCGTCACCAAGGGAGAATTTCTATACCAAGACCTTCTTGGGTCCTTGGCCAGGACTATGAACCAACACTCGCCGGGGAATTTCGTGGAGGCGAGGCTCAAATCCATGCTGCTGGGTCTCTATCAGGTTCGTGCGACCACAGCAGCAGCTGTCCTGTGCAAGACCTGTTGTTATTTTCTACAAAGACCTAACATGAGACAGATTACGATGGCGACGGAAACCGATTACGGCCACCATGAGGCGCATTGTGGCGGCTTGATTGCCCTTATGAAAGCCGAGCAGATGCCTCTGTCTACTCTTAGCATCGGTGTACTTCCTGGGCCTCTATTTGTCGGTCCTGCACAAGGTTTGGACAGTCTGTTGATCGGCTTTGACTCGCTGTGGACAAGACAACAAGCACCCCTTAGCGTCAATGACTTGCGTGAGATCAGAAATGAGAGCATCGCTCTTGACCAGCAATTTGTAAGATGGCAAAGCTCGAGAGCCAGCGGTTTCGAACCTACCACGATGGGATACGTTAGACAGGCCCAGTATGGATCTGATGTCTCCGTGGGCTACTGGCCGGGACGCATCGACACTTATTTCGACTTATACGTCGCTGGCATCTGGAATATATTCCGTGCCACACGGCTCCTTCTCAAAGCTCTCATCATAAAACTATCGGACGCCGTTACGAATGCTACCGAGCCCTGGATCATGCATGTCCTTGACGTAAATCGGATATTTGAGGACTTGGCCGCATCAATTCCGTACCATTTGACCGAAAATTTACATGAGTTTCTCGGCGAACTAACAACGAGCACGGAAATCACAGACCCAGGCCGATCACTCGGAGGTCTACTTCTCATGCATCCACTGTATGTTGCCGCCAACATTTCACTTCTTTCCGACGCGAATAAAGAATACCTACGGAAGTGTCTACTGTGGATCGGAGCGCAGATGGGCATAGGGCAAGCGGCCCTCTTAGCAAATGTGAGTCAAGTCTATTCAGCCAGCAGTGTAGAAAGATGCCCTTAAAATCTAATCCTTCTCTGGCTTAGGTCCCTTATATTGACTGGAAATATGTAGCCAGTGCATGTATGATAGTTTGGTCCGGGTTTCTCTGCTGATGCAGACTTTGTTTAAAACATCAACATCCACCGGGCTGAAAATCATGGGTTTGAAGAACGATGCCTGACTACAGAGCCCATATAACTGTTGTCGAGTAGATTCACCCGAAAGCATTTATGGAGGGGCAATGGGATTATCCCGCCGTTAGAGCAACCAAGGATAGTCCAGGTATGTGTGATATATCGGAGCCATTAACATTACTAATTTTGTAAGCCTTCGCGAGTTACTTCCTGCTCACCGTCGGAGAGATTATTCACAGCTCGGGCCAGAGATGTTGACCGAGACCCGTCATTAGCCCGAGCGCGCAAGGCTAGCCGAACTTGGAATCGCTCTTCTCCGGGGCTCTGCTGACGACAGTGTGCTATACCTAATGGGGCTAGCGTTGCGCATCTATACGCCTGGGGCAGCTATACCAAGATTAAATTTGGGCCAAAAACACATTCTTGGAAAGACTTCGTAGGCCTCGGGGTTTGACAAACTTCGGAGCCGGAATGACTATATAATGGCATGGTAAATGGCCTTCAGAACTGAGAAAAGACATCACAAACCATCTCCCATTTTCAAGGAGATCTCACGGTATTGCGCCTGCCTATCTTCTTTACGTCCAGTGGTTTTGCTTCCATCTTCACAGACCAGGAAGGCTTTATATACTGCCTCCTCTACAGAGAAACTTGAACACACAATGGAATCCAACACAGCTGCCTGGCTCACTGCAGCCAAAGCTCGACCGTTCGAGATCAAGTCAGCGCCTATGGGCGCTCCAGGAGAGCACCAAATTCTAGTCAAGAATCATGCCATCGCTGTCAACCCAATCGACGGAAAGCTCCAGTCATTGGCCATATATCCCATGGAATACCCAGCAATACTGGGCCAAGATGTGGCCGGTGAAGTAGTTGCAGTTGGCCCGGGTGTCACGCGCTTCAAAACCGGTGATCGTGTGCTCGGTACTGCCGCCGGCTTTGGCACGAAACGCAGCGAGGACAGAGCTTTTCAGACCTATACTATTCTGGAGTCAAATATGGCTTGTCAAATCCCGGATGACATGACGTACGCCAGCGCGGCGGTGCTCCCTCTAGGCATCTCTACCGCTGCTGCCGGGCTCTTTAACGATGACTTCCTCGCCCTTCAAGCCCCCACCTATCCCACGCGAAGCTCGATGAATAAAAGTCTGCTGGTCTGGGGAGGCGCATCAAGTGTAGGGTGCAATGCGATTCAGCTAGCCGTAGCTGCTGGCTACGAAGTGTTCGCCACTTCATCCCCTAAGAACTTCAATTTGGTGCAGGAACTCGGCGCAAGCCGAGTGTTTGATTACCATAGTCCTACCATCGTGGCCGATATCCTTGACGCTCTCAAGGGTAAGGTCAGCGTGGGGATTCTCGATGCAGTTGGGGGCGCCGCCTGGGTTCCGAGCATGGAGATAGCCCAGAAGTTAGTCGGGGCCAAATTCATCGCCACCACCATCACAGGGTTCCCAGAGCCACCTGAGGGGGTCCTTATCAAGCAGATGCATGCACTTTCGATCGTGGGCAACAACCTAAGCAAGGCAATCTTTGAGGATTTCCTTCCCATCGCACTCGCCAAGAAGGCATACGCCGTAGCCCCGGCGCCCTTGATCGCTGGACATGGCCTAGAGAGTATACAGGACGCTGTGGATCTCCAGGCTAGAGGTGTTTCGGCGAAGAAGGTTGTGGTCACGCTTTGAGTGGATGTGGCCCGGTGAGAAACACGAGGTACTTCCCACGACGACTGAGTACAGATATTAACATTCTGATTTCACCTGCACAATATCTATGTCGGGAGAATCAGCCATCCGAGTAGATAGTGCAGGATAATTGGAACACTATATACAATCATTAAAATTCCTTTCAATGATAGTCCAATTCAAAAGCATTTCGAGCCAGGAAATCAAATCATCCAAGATGAGAAACTAGCTATCGACTGTGAAATTACAGGAGTGCCCCCTTGAGTATCAAGGGCTATTGCCGTTGACTCCGTCGGTTGATTCTGGAAGGACTAGACAAGCTTCGAAGTATGCCTGCAAATCGTCGAAATCCTCTAGCTCACCAACCCAGGCAACGATTTGGTCGGGTCTCGCAATCACGACGCAGCCTCTCTCCTTATCGATACCATAGTTCTTGTACGCATCGTCGAAGCCCTCATGTACGCTGATGTCGTCGGTGTAGACCCTGTCGTAGCTCCAGCCAAATTTGTTGTCGAATGGGTGCAGGACCTCGGGGAAGTCCCTGAGCAACTCGACGCTATGCCTCCTGGCAGAGTGAACCGTGAGCACTTCTATCACGCTATCGATGCGCTCGCCCTTGGTTCTGCGGAGAAAGCTATTAGGCGCATCCAGCGAGGCGCAGAACTCGTCGACTCGGGTTTTCTGGGCCGGATCCAGAATGTTTCCTGCGAAAAGGACGACGCGAAAACGTCCGTCAGACTTGAGTCTTTCTTGGAAGTGCCATGGCCGCCCATCAGATTGGTTCAGGACCTATGCGTAGAACTTATCAGACACTAGTCAAGAGAAACACGTGCTATGGATCTACTAACCTTGAAGCTTGCAAATCGCATACCGATGGGAAGACCAGTCGCTAGTGCCTGTCGCTTGGCAAACAGTTCAGCTGAGATGTTTGTTGACTGTGCAACCTCGCTACCGTCTCCTTGCTTCCCTGTGTCTCCGGGCTTGGTGACGAGATTGCTCGGCCCGTAGTTGATGGAAAGGCCTTGGAAAAACAAGTGACCAGTCATGATCGACTCTTTGAAATCATCCATGCTCACGCCCTCCGTGTCCTGAGAGTATAGTCAGTTAAATTCCAGTCCCATGCAACGAGAATAGGGCGTGTGGAGATGCTAAACTAACCATGATGTCCTTCGCAGGTCTACCAGAGAAAAGACGGCTGAATCGATGATCGAAATCAATGAGATCCTGAGCGACTCGGCGTCGCTCACTCTGGTAGGTCTTCAGGATACTAGGCTGGGCAATACCTTTGGTGACCAAAGCTATCTTCCAGCAGAGGTTGTAGCAGTCCTGCATAGAGACGTTCATTCCTTGGCCGGCTTTGGGTGAGTGAGTATGAACGGCATCCCCGGCAAGGAATACACGGCCATGGGCGTCAAAATTTGTCCCAACCCGTTGGCCAACCTGTACTATCAGTGCCTGTCAGGGAGAGCATCAAGATGGACTACATACCTGGTATGCCGTCCACCAGTCGCACCAATCATAGTTGATCTCGTAGGGGTGAAAGATTTTTTTGGCAGCGTTGAAAATCTGTTTAGGTGTGATAGAAGATCGATCCGCCCGCGCGCCGGCTGCGTCCGGCTTCACTTCGACCAGTTGGATATACAGCCGTACAATGTTATTCTCACGCGGGATAACCATGAGACTCCCGTTCTCGGCAGAGTGAATGATCGTGCGTTCGCGAATATCCGCTGAGAAATCCAAGTCAACATTTCATGTTTCTTTGCAGGGCTAGATGTAAAGTATGCTTACGGAAGTCCGTGAAAGGGATTATATCCATAACACCCCATATGAAGTCGGTTGACTCGCCTTCCAACTTGAAGCCCAATGTTCGCCGCGTCCAACTACTAGCGCCGTCGCAGCCGATGACATACTTGGCATGGACGATCTCGCCCGTACCTATAGGGGCGTAAATTTTGTGCGATCACGTCATAAAGCGTTGGATGACTTGCCTGCCCTTTCAAATGTCTTCTTGATCAACGCATCCTCGTCCTCCTCTATAAAGAGATTACTTCGGAAAAGCCCATCTGACACATCACCCCCGCCATGCTGCTTGGCTGTTGCCTCCTCTTCTGTCAAGTGTCGCAGTTCAACCGTCAGGGGATACGCGGTAGGGTCGTTGACTTCTGTTTCGTTAATTTCGAGGGACGCAGGTGCTACACCACGTTCCACCTTGATTCGGTCATTAGAGTACTTCTTGATGTTGTCAAGAAAGAATATTTCAATTCGACCTTGGTGCAAGACGCTCTGTTGGTATCTTGAGAGTCCTGGGGGAGTATCGGGTGTGCGGTCGGATCGCCGTATTATGCCATCGGGGCCCGGGTTCTAACATCACACTAATCAGTAAACGCAAGTGCGGCATGGCGAATGCGGGAGTACCCTACCCATAAACACAACTACAGTTGACGATGCAATGATTAGCTAATAGCAATCTTCATGTGAGGTAGGACTTGCCTCATTCAATTGGTTTGTCTCTTTCCAGGCTCTATCGCCGAAGCCAAAGCTATCAAAGATCTCTAGGCTGCGCGCATTCAGCCCATCGGCTTGACCGCAAAAGACTTTAGAGTTTCTCTTGTCGATTATACGAGCATTGATGCCACAGCGAGCCATCCAAGCTGCTGCCATGTGACTGAGGCCATGTTTAGTAGGGAGATACAAACATGAATACATGTGTCATACCCGGCTGGGCCTGCTCCTATTATGAGACTGTTATTCTGGTTAATATCTGCGCTTTTCGAACTACGCAGCCACTTACACGTCAATATATGACTCCTGGCTCCGTTGTCCTGCCATTGTGTTATTGTGGTGGCTGCAATGTTGGACCGTGAGTGATCTAGAGATCTGAATGGAAAGAATTGAAGTTTTCTCATGGTGTCCAGTGAAGATGGGCGTCCATAGCAGACGCGTAGAAATATGGCCACACGAAAGTCTCTGCGTAACACAGAGCTGGCATCTGCAACAGCAAGGAGACGCATATGCAATGCCACCCATGCTGTCCACTCAACGGCCAACCAATGCGCAAGATCTGCATCTAGTAACCAATGCCTGGCCCGGATCATATCATTTACTGCGGTGACACCCCGTTTCCTTTCAGTTCATCGTCGGATCGTCACCATTCTCCGGTTGCTGACATTGGGGTTGACTAGTTACCCTTGTCAGCTACGTTTGCCGTGTCATACTAAAAGATGACCACCTTCGTGACGACCGCCCCGCATACCTAATATGCGTAGCCAAGGCCAACATCATGCTAATCTGTCTGACTGAATCCACTCTTAGTGCGACGAGAGAGGCATATTTTGCGGCCGCACGCCTGCTCATTTCCAAACCAGAAGAAGAGCAAGAATATACCAAGGGCCCAGTACTGTTCATGTAAGGTTTTACCCCCGTCAACGTCGTTGGCTACCAATAGGAATTATCCGCGATACCAGGACGGCCATACCTTGTCATTGGGGGGAGAACCGTATCCCTGGCACACAGCACCCTAGTTCCAAGGCATCATTGGCTGGAGGGTGTCGCATACTGTAACCACGGCTGTGGATCATGCCAATCTTATGTTCGAGGTGCCAGGGTATTCAGTGTCACTCCAAAGAATTTGGATATAATTGCCCAATCATGGACTCCCTTAATGTGGAATTAGCTTGGCGGTTTGCGTAAAAAATGATCAGTCTCTTCGGCCCGTGACATGTTAGGATATAAGCACAAACTCGGAATGCGACGCGCAGAACCCCAGCGACACATTCCCGCGGGGCACCGTACATGAGGACCCATATCTTAGAATTATAGCCATTGTTCCTAACACAGCCATGGTCCAGTTCTTTGGTTGATGTGGACCCTCTGCTGCTCCCCTGGGTTCTCTGCACGTAGCGAGCAGCTCGGCTTGGAAGCCATTCCGTGCGACGAGAACGAGAATTAATGCATCTTGCAGGAATGGGTCTTGACGGTGCAACTATGGCCCGGCGCTTGTATGTATTTGGCATACTTCTCGTCTCAAGGCCAGGGGCCGTCTCGGGCATCACATTGCCGTTCGACGTTGCAGACTTAGCAGAATCGAGATGCTGAAAAATAAGAAAAATAAAGTAAAAAGACGTTGCATATTGGCATGTTTGAACCCAAGCCCCCAGTTAAGCAAGAGCTCGTAGAATTTAAGATACTATCATTTGGTCGGGAAAAAAAGAAAGAAAAAGAAGGCAGGCAATTTCCATCGAAGTGCATGTGCCTCACTAGAACATGGAGGAACTCTCCCACTGTGGACTTTTATTCCCCACTCCGACAGATATCTCAACATTGCGAACGGCCGATGAAGTCTGAGCGCCAGGCTTCATGCTCATGAGGCCGGGGTGATGAACTCCTAGCGTAACCAGAGCTTCTGGCCGCACCCCGGGCTAGGTTTCAGGAAGTGGCTAAGATCAACCAGAAGATTGAGAATGCCTTTCGGTCTACGATCATAGTGTCTTGATATGAATACTCTGCTGGATTATAGGGATGGTGGTTGCGGAAATCCGGACAGCATTAATGACAAGTCACGGCAGACAGTTGAATAAGAAGTCTGTCCGTCGTACGTGTTAATAAAGTTTCCGGTGGCTCAGTTTCTCTCAGAAACTTTCGTTTCTATATCCTATTAACCATATATTCGACCAACACAGTAACTTTCAACATGTCGGACTCAGCTAAAGCAGAATCTGAGAAGCGAGCAATGGACTTCATAACGGAAGTCTGGGCGCTAGCGGGAGTTGCGCTCTTCGTTTCCGGACTACGGTTTTATCAGCGGATCTCCACCGTGGGATGGAAACGGCTCGCTTTGGATGACTATTTAATGGCTTTCGTTACGGTAAGGTTATCGATCTATTAACTGGTTTTTCCTTCACGATTAGGTCCCAACACTTCGGAGTATCGGCGTGTATAACCTCGATTATTTGATTTCGAGCGCTCATATGCTATTTCTAGGCTTTCACAACCTTCGAATTCTACCTAGGCTACACAGTCGTGGCATACTGGCAAGGCCTAGCCAACAATGCCATGACCCCCGAACAGCGAGCAACTCTCGACCCGGCTAGCAACGAATACTATCTTCGCGTGTCAGGCTCGAAAACCCACGTCGGAGGTCTGCTCACCTATACAACGCAGCTTTGGCTCCTCAAAGCTTGCTGGGCCTTGTACTACAACAGGTTAACGTGAGTCATGTTGTCACCTAGGCGCTTCACAGTCTCAATGGCTCTCTAATTTCCCAATAGCGACGGTGTTCAGGACCGCCGACTTCTGATACGATGGAGTGTTGTTGTGCTGCCTATCACATATGCTGCATGTTTACTGGTGGCATTCTTCAAATGCATTCCATTTAATCATCAGTGGCAAATAAACCCCGAGCCTCCCAGTGAGATAACAACATGATGACCCAAACTTGAGAGTAGTTCGCTGATAATGGTGTAGTCAACTGCATGCCGGCCATATCCCCACTGCAAACTATATTTGTCATGGCAATGAACACTGTCACTGATTTCTATCTCATGGCTATTCCTTTACCTGTATGCCCCCAAAATGACTATCATGTTCTCCACTAATGCATTGTAGATGATTTGGCGTTCTGGTCTCCCACTAAAGAAGAAAATTGCGGTTCTTACGCTATTCAGTGGCGCTTTCGTCGAAATGGCGTTCGGAATCTTGAGATGTGTCTCTATCCTTACAGTAAGGTTGTGCCCCAAGAATAGCTTAATAAATCCACTGACATGTGATTTTTCACAAGGTTGGCAATACAGACCCGTCTCAATCGGGCTATTGGTCGATCCGAGAATCATTCGTCTCAGAGGTACTCACGAACATGCCAATGGTTTATGCTCTAGTCCGCAGCTTTAGCCACAAGATCCAAGGTAAACCAGATTATAGCAAGGGTCAGAACAGTGGATCCTATCAGCTTGGTACATACCCTCGCAATCGGAGCGGCACCGGCCAGAACATACGTTCTGCTCCAAACGGAACAGCATTTGACTCTAAGGAACAAATCTATATCGACGAGGGTCAGCAACCTCAGACGGACGACGATGAGAGATCTCTAGAGTTACCCTACCCGCGAGGAGATCGCGACTTCCCCAGGTTGCACGCAAGGGATATTGAGGCCGTAAACAAAGAAGCTGGTGTTTCTCGATATAGCCGATATGTTCCGAGACAAGAAAACCATATCTACGTCACGACCGAGTACACCGTTTCTAATGACGAGCGAGGCTCGAATAGAAGTATTGGGCCCGCATTGTGAGATGAAACGGTTCTAAGACACCAACGGTACAGCGCATCGTTTGGTAAGACAGTCACTGCAATCCTGCGACAAAGAAATTCCGATGATTTGGATCAATGTTTGTAATATATTGTACATATTGATTTCTATCTTACCGAATTGAGCATCTCAATTCTCAACTTGACTCATACCTGGAATTGAAGTAAAGGATTGGAGATCGGAAATATCGATCCCCAGAAGATATCCAGGATATCAGTTGGTAGGTGGTATCATTAGTTCAATAACAGTCTGGTGTACACACAGACCAAGCACATCAACCCTCTATCCGTGCAACGTTGGTATGCTCCGCTTCCGAGCATAGTCTTCCAGGAGACAGCCAGCCATCGATATTGAAAGTGTACCGGTGTGATATGGCTCCATTCTGTGCGCCCGCAACCAACAAACCGATAGGGGGAGAAACGTGAAAGTCTGCTTCATCCTCGAGAACCGTCGTTACACTGGCGCTTGCCGTAGTGGATGCCGGTTGTTAATCAAGGTGCAGATGTTATTTGGATTGCCGACGAGGTTGTAGCTGTCTCTGTGCTTGAAGCCGACGGAGTGATTGTTATGCCACATGAGATGGTTCCAGTCTCCTGCTCCTGAACGGTGTTCGTTACGATGACCGTCTGGGTGACAACAAAGCCAGCGTCCACAGTGACTGTGGCCTCACCCGATGTCACTGGCTCAGGAATGATCGTAACAGCTTCAGCGGTAGAAGTGGGAGTAAATATAGCGATGGAAATGGTTGGCGGGCCGTAACCTTCCTGCGACGGAAAGTCGGCATTCTGTTGTCGTTTTTGCCGCTTGCTGCCGCCGCATGGCTTTCTTGTTGACGATGAGACAGTAGAAGTACTGAAAGTGGTAGTCATGGAAGTTACGCTATAAGATGACGAAGAGGTGATAAGGGCAGAAGACGTGATACTGTCGGCGCTAGAAGAACGAGTTGCTGACTCCGAAGAAGAGGACGCGGTAGCAGCCGAAGATGAAGAGGTGGCTGCGCTGGAAGAAGTTGGCATTAAGTCTGACGATGAGGACTCAGTCGAAGCTGAAGAAATCGAGCTGACCGTGGTGGAAGAGAATGCTGACGACTCTGAGGACGAGGACTCGACCGAAGCTGAAGATGTCGAGCTGATCGTCGAAGAAGACATCGTTACTGACTCCGAAACTGAGGATTCAGTAGACACCGAAGAGGTGGAGCTCTCCGTGCTGGAAGAGATGGTAGATGATTCGGTCGAGGTTGAGAATGACGAGGAAGCCGATGATGATGTGCTGGACGCAGAGCAGCTCAACGTGACGAAAGAAGTCTGAGTTTCTGTTTTGATGACTGTGTCTGTCTCGATGGAAGTGCTTGTGGTAGTTGCTGTAATTGTTGTCGAGGGCACTGTGGGGGTAGGCTCATTGATAGTAGGTGTCTCCGTGACGGTGCCAGGAGCCGTTGGAGTGCCAAAGTATAAGTCCTAAGAAGTATTCATGATGAGTACGTCGTGTTTTAAAGTGTAGTTGTGGGGCGCAATAATCGGGGATAGGCCATGCTGAACTTGTCGCCGCTGGAAGGCATTCAAATTTCTCTCCAGATGATACTTACATAAGTTGTCATTGGGAAGTAGGTATCGGTTCTTTCGAGAAAGACAACCTCGCTGCTGACCCGGAAAGTTGCGGCTCCGCTGCCAATGATTGAGTTCGCAATAGGGCATAGCAAACTACCTGTATAGTATGCAGATGTGGTCAAAGTACGTGTTGTTGTTGAAGATGTATATTCGTTGTTGACAAAATAGTAAGACACAAATGACGACAAAGAGGTGGCATACGAGGCAGAGCTGGTAGGCATGGAACACACAACAGTTGTCCGTGTCGCTGCATTGTCCGTTTTTATGGGGAAGTCAATAGCGATCGTCGATGTAGGTACAGTGGACTGCGTGACAGTTGCCAGAAATCCGAAGCTTCTGGTGTCGTCGACCGCAAAAGTGTAGCCACTGGTGAACGTCGGCGCCCCGATAAAAGAATGACTTGCCAGGCCAGCAGCCAACTCGGGCGCCTGCAATGAAAACGCTGATCCCATAGCGAACGGAATGGCAGTAAATTAACTGCCTTGTCAGAGAGGTAGAAATGTGTTGGGTTAACTAGGAGGCAGTGTCTCGGCCCGAACAGGTCGGGAAACGTAGAGTTTACATACAATTCTCTGGCATCACAGAAGAGACGGGGCACTTTCTTCTTGCCAATTTGCACCACAGCTAGCGTTGATGTCGCTAATTGTTCAGCTGTTGTTGAATATGAGCTACTGGAATGTGGCGCAACATCATTCGCCTTGGCACGCCCGTTGTGGTCAAGGACTGTTGATGACTTCCAGTCATTGGCTGCAGCTGACTAGCAAGTAGACTCATATTACCCTGCATTCGACTCATGTATTGTAAAAGTAATGTTATTAGCAGCCGATCATACAGCTTTCCATAAAATATTTAGCTAGAACTGCTGAGCAGTCCAAGGTATTCTATTGGCTGTTGAGCACTGAATAATTCCCACGCCACCCAGCTATGTGAAGTTTATCACAGAATGAAGATATAAGCTTTCGATGCTTCCAATCTCCATTTCTCTTCCTTGCTGGGAGCCCGGCTGACAAAGGTTGACATCTTGGCGGGCCTGGGTCACAAGCAAGGATCCACTTCAAAGCGTCGATTCCCCTGGCTAAGCCTAAGGCGTGGTACGTCGGCATTAGTCGATCCACTATGGGGATTTTTGTCCCCTTAGCATCTGCACTACTGTATCCCTACGCCTGCACCGTGCCCCTTGCAGATGTTACAGAACGGGACGAGAGGTTGATGGGCTCGAAAACCCTACATAATGAATCAAGCAAACCGGCATCACTACAGAGCAATCTCGTAGCTGATCAATGAAGACACTGATCAACCACTTACAATTGGCCCAGTCCGTTGGGGGTTTATAGAACGCGTAACAGTACACGAAAGTACGTAGCTGACCAGGTTGTGGTGGTAAATAAAAATGCCATTTGTGAACATGCAGCTATTTGAAACAGCACTCTTTCATCACATCATATCGAGCTTTTGGGGAGGATGTATTGCCTTGTATTTTGTTGTCTAGATGGTACTAAAGGTCATTGTTCGAGGTAGGAAGACGCTGACCAGCGCGTCCAAGGATATTCTGAGACGCACTGAAAGTGATGCGCGTCAATTAAGGATGATATTCAGATTTCTTCAGTAGGGCTTCTGTCCAGTCCAGTTGCCAGGGGGAGAGTATCGACCAACAATGTAAGTGCCACCCTTGGCAGATCTGGCACTGGCCATTCCGAGCTTGGTGGTGGATTTCCACATGCATTGAGCTGTGTAGTTATTGGTTAGCTCATTTATCAATCAGGTGCTAGGATATAAGAAGAAAAATAAGGACAGCTTACTGTAATGGCCATATTTTCCAAAATTCCCTTGTCCGATAGGCTCGCCATGGTAGTCCTTGGCCTCGTTCATCCACATCTGGGCTCCACCCGAAAGGGGGTCGTTGGGAGAGTTGGAGTACCTATAGTGCTCCGATTCAGTTTTGTATACATCGAAGCATCAAAAAGGCGAACCTACCAGGCAAGATTCTCACCCTCACCAGGGCGCTGGTTGCCAGAGGAGTGCTCCATCTTATCAATCTGGGCCAGGTGGTTGGCCCACTGCTGAGCATGCTGGGCCAAACCGGCATCCCAAGTTAGTGCTGGGCAGCCCTTGGTCTTGCGGCCATCATTGTGAATCTTGAGTGCCTTGGCCTGATCACCATTGAGAGCAGCAGCGGCACTGACACTGAATTCCTCGACAGATGCGACAGAAGCACTCTCGTGAATAGCCTTGTCCTGCTCACCGTGAGCAAGGGGTGTGGGCACACAGGTTTCGGCAACGTTATCAGCCATATTTTTACTATGAGAGGGTGCGAAAGTTGAGAGTATGAATAGTAGTTGAGAATGGTTGGGTGTGAAATTGGAGTACGAAAACATTGCTACGCTGGCATCGACTGCGATATATATACTTGGTTTTCCTCTTGGTCTACCAATGTGTGAACCATCATCGCAAGGCCTAAGGAGGCGGGTAACGGCAGCTGCAGGTCCCGTGACGCATACGGCGGTGAAATGAGGTTCTCGGCCTCATGACCAGCAGTGCCTTACACTGTGGCGCGGCCTTGAGTAGTCCCATCGAAGCTCGGAAGACCCAATCACACCGAGCTGGCGTCATTGCACAGGCTATAAGGCAACTAGTTGTAATCAATTGTGCTAGTGATACATAGCTCTGTTGAGAATTTACTGCCTCGTACGATGCCCTTGGTGCCACTGGGTTAACAACAATATGTAAACATGCAGTCTTGGTCGAGGCTTTGCCACAGCGGATGCAAATGATCAATGAAAGGATTTGACTGGTCGGTCACGCGCAGAGTAGTCAGCATAAGGAGGGTTTGCTGTGTTGAAAGCCACTGGCTGATGTAAGATCAGCCTCACGCCAGCATGCTGACAGACGCGTGACCTGCATACGGCAGCCAACAGCCTGAAGCCTTGGACCCCACGTAATCCAAAGCCAACTGGCACACATTGTGAAGGCTGATTGACAAGGGTTTCTTCTTTTTATTTTTTGCCCATCATTTTTGGGAAGGGGCAGAGAGGTTGTCATTAGTGCGTCACTGTGCGTGAGACGGTCACACACTTTCTTGGTGCGAAGGCTTTCTAAAGTTATAAGCGAGCCGGTGCGTATTACTATCTACTTATGAGACATGTGTCCGTCTTGGTTAGCTTTGCATCGCAGCCATGCATGAGTTACTCGCAATGATTCGCATTTTGGGGGTTGTCAAGCTTTAAAGGTTCATCCTGGCAAGACAACCATGCCAATCTTCGGCGTCAGGCCTCTCATTAGAAAAGTCCGCAACATGATCAAAACCCTGGCCAATATAGAAACTACTTTGAGTCAGCATTCTATTGAAACCATTGTGACGATCGAGGATGGCTCGGCAAACTTACTTCAACAGACTGCGGCCGTTCCCATCCCAACAGTCTAAGAACAATGATTTGGCCCCTCTGGACACTGAGTACTCTTTCAGCTTTCGAATCAGCGCGGCACCGGCCCCTTTACGTGCATCGCCGGTCCTAAAATCAGAGATCAAGAAGTCGACATAAAAGGCCGCACCCTCCGCATCTGCCTGCTCAAATATAGGTTTGAGATGCTCGTGCACCTTGATATAGTCCGGCCGCCAGTTCTCCCGTACACCTGCTGCTGCAACGGGGAGAAAGCGTCTCCCTTGACCGTCTGTTCGAACTGATAATCCTTGCAGGTCTCGTGCATCATCAACCTCTACTTCAGCAATGAAAAGTCGCCCGACCTCGCTGCCTCCCTTGTTCAGGCGGGACGCTTCGGAAAGCGTAATTCCCTCGTGCATTTTGTGCCGGCGGTCCTTTCTTTCTGAGAAGAGTTGTGAGCCCCATTGCGCGCCACTGCCGATTGAAGCCAAGTGTGGTATTGCTGAGTCGAATGCGGCAAGCAAGAAAACCCCATCCTCCTGAGAACATTCCTCCCGAATATGGAACTTGTTTCCAGCCATTGCAAGTCGCGAATTTGCGGCAAGCCTCTGATATGCGGGGTTTGGCAATCTGATTTGAAACCGACGGGCAAAAAGCAATGAAGCCTACTGCACCATTGATTCGTGTGGGGAATGAGAAGGACACGCATACATATAGGAAGCGCTGCTGCCTAGAGATGGTCTTGTCACTGTGTGACGCTGAACTGGTATCCCGTGTGGCGAGCTTATCCCGAGAAAGATCTGGTGGTTGAATCCCGACGCCGGATAAGCTCCGTCTTAGGTGAGAGTCGCATACGATGAATACATAATCAGTCTTGTCCCGTATTCCGGCAAATTACTCCGAACTCCGCGACGCAATAATGTTCAATTTTAGCGCATAGTAAACACAGCTACTATGCATTTCTCAAGCTTTCTCTATACAGGGCCTGCATATACCTTGACAGATAGCAATTCTCAAGGGCAACGCAAGTTGGACTCTTTTACATGTCGCACTACGTCACGTGCGCGCTCAAAGGGGGAAAAAATCCCCGGCAACCAGTCACGTGCCAGATCTGAGCTTTTGTTCGCTCGTCGCCAGGCGCTGGTTTATGACTAGCAACTTGTCAGAGGACTTCGACAATCAAGTTAGTTGCGCATTCGCAATCAGCTCAGCATGTCATTTTAATGTGTCGCACGGGCTTCCAATGATAAGTGAAACGAGCCAAGTCACTGCTAACTAGGCCTTGAAAATGAGATCCAAGCAATCCAGGCCCTATGAAGACCTCTGTCGCCCGCAGTCGTGGGTAAAATTTACGTACTGAGAAGCCATGACGAGGTGGATCGCCACTAGCGCCCGTGTCACCGTCCACACAGAGGCTCGCCGTGGCCCAGGAATTGCCCGAAAGGGGATCGAGCTAGGCCTTACCATCAGGGCGGCTCAGATGGCGTGATTGATTTGCAGGAAAACTTTTTGGCGCATTGCATAGTATTTAGTGTCGTTGCGCCTATGGATAATCAATTGCAGAGAGACTCGAGCCATCCCGACGATCCTCTTGTTGCAACTGCCTTCGGATAGAAGTTGGTCAGTGTAGTCCAGTGTTGTTGGACCAATCCAAAATGTCGGCCGAGTCTATCACCCAGGTCACCTCCGGGCCCCGGAGGAACCATAGCTGGTTCCGGTCTGTCGCCTTCCAGATCGTCATCGCCAGCGGCGTTTCTTTTACGGCCCCGGGCATGTGGGACGCCCTCGGTGGTCTTGGTGCCGGCGGTGCCGCTGAGCCCTATGCTGTGTCGGCGGCTAACGCGCTGGTCTATGGGCTGTTTTCCATCGTCTGTGTTGCGGCCGGCGCTATCAACAACCGCATTGGCCTGCGATATGGACTTGCTCTGGGTGCTATCGGATATCCGCTCTACGGTGCGGGACTGTACACCAACAACGTCAACGCCACGACATGGTTCATGCTCTTCGGCAGTGCCATCTGTGGTATTTCGGCCGGCTTCTTCTGGGCTGCAGAGGCAGCCATCATCATTGGTTATCCCAGCCCGTCAGATCGTGCATTCTACCTGGCTATTTGGCAGGCGGCCAAGGCCCTAGGCCCGATCGTTGGCGGTGCTATCAACCTCGGCCTGAACGCGAGTCGATCATCGACCGGCTCCGTCAGCTCGGCAACATACATCGTGTTCATCGTCATCATGTGTCTCGGCCTGCCCATTGCGCTCTGTCTGAGTCCGGCAGACAAGGTCTGGCGCCGGGACGGCACCAAAGTTGTTACGCACAAGGCGGCCACGTGGGGCGCTGAGTTCAAAGCCGTCCTCCAGCTGCTCGTCTCACGCCGTATCTTGCTCCTGCTACCGGCCTTCTTCATCAGCTACTTCTACAACGGCTTCCTCAGCACCTGGTTGACCACCTATTTCACCGTGAGATCGAGAGCCTTCTCGTCTTTCTTCACCAACTTCGCCGGTATCTTCAGCTCCTTCATCATTGCCGGCCTTCTCGACCGCCAATCGATACATATCAAGACGAGGGCTAAAATTGCTTTCTCATCCATCGTAGTCGTTTTGATAGGCACTTGGATTTGGGCCACAATCTTGCAAAAGCAGTTTTACGATGCTCCTGAGTCGCCCGTTTTTGACTGGTTCCAGGGAGGTTTCGGGAAGTCCTATGCCTTGGTGTTCTTCTGGACCTTCGCGGGCCAAGCTTTCCAACAGTTTCTGTACTGGCTCGTCGGCCAGTATGCAACTGACTTGTCAACTCTGTCTCACCACACTGGTATTCTACGTGGATTTGAAGCTCTTGGACAGACGGTGGCTTGGGCGTAAGTAAATCAACTCCCCAAAACCTGAACAGATGGACTGACCCAAGCTCAATTAGTATGCAATCCGAGGGCAACGCCAACCACTTTGTGAGCATCGGCATCAACTTTGGTATTCTACTCATCTGCATCTTCCCGACATGGGTTGTGCTCTCGGAGTTGGAACACAGTCACGAGGTCCGAGTCACTGAGGAAGACGTCGCCCACGACGAGGAAAGCACAACTGACAATGAATCTGGGAAATGATCCATATGACCGGACTGGATCCGAATGATTCACTTGTAGACCTTCAAGCCTTAGTAGGGCCCTAATATACCCAAACGTCTCTCTTGACGTGCTGCACCAGATGATTCGGCGACGAGCCTAACATGAGAAGCGGCCCAAATAACAATGAACGCCGAAGTCTCATCGGCTCGTTAAGTACCAAAACCCCTAGCGCGTGATAATACAGCCCAAATATCACCCGACATGCCTCTGGCAACTAAAGGCCCGGCAATCAGGTTCTTTAACTATAAGGATGCATATCTTTTTGTAGTTAGTGGGGTACCTACGGTTTCCCGACAACCGGAGACTCAAGTCCAGATCAAGCCAGTTGAGATATGAGCTTGGTGGAGTTGTAGGGCCCAGGGCCTTGTGCTGCGCGCACCAGAATCACATCCGAAGAGTGCGAATTCTGGTCGTCGCCGTAATAACGTCAAGAACGCTCTATTTAGGCCCAGTATCAAAGACCATGAAGTCTGCCGGATAATAGAGCTGCGAACAGGCTAGTCTCTCGAAGAGCGAAGATACCCAAAAATTTAGTCAACTTGAACCGCCCTGTGGGTGGCTGAATAAAAAGGAATTCAATCTCAACATAATTTTAATTGCGGCATAAATTACAAATTATATAATTTAAACGTTGATAGCCAACATCAAGGAGCAGAGACGTGATGTGTCGTAGAAAGTCATTGAAGGCAACCTTCCCTCCAGTTAAAAAGGAAAATAAAATAAAACTTGGGTTTTATAGCTCGATAACACCCGGCATCATGCGCTTCGCGGTCGATGGCTAGCTTCTCGTCTAATCCACAAGCATCGACTTTTATCACTAATACCATCACCTTGATTACACTTATACTAAAAGGGTATGCGACTCAGCTGGCGCTCTGGGAGACTTTGCAGGGCAGTTCAAGTAGAGCTGCTCAATCCTCCCAGCTTCACAGGAAACCACCCATCAATCATCCCCGCTATCTTTCATATCATCAGAAGCGCCATATGGCCCTTCTCCATTACTCGTCTGGGATAGCGCAGCCAACAGGGGATCAACACCTTACCAACAGACCACCAATCTCTTGAGTACATGTGCAGCTGTTGATCGCCAATTTGATGTCTACTCTCGGGTGTTTACGACTTCGCCGTTCTCGGAATACGTCGTTTGCCAACCGACGCGGATCTCTCCTCTAGATGAATCGATCCATCCCTTCTCGCTATCACGCCCCTTTTCCTGATAATCCGGGTCACTGAGCAGCTTCCTCAAGTCTTCGAGGCTAGCAACATAGTACGTCAAGATTGCATCCGCCCCACCCAATTGCCAGCCCGGCCGTACCTCCTCTAAGTCAGCGCCCAAAGCCTAATGGATCAGTGAGGGCGTGTTGGTCTAATTCACGATATGTCAGCAACTCCAGCTTAGATGGTCTCAGATGGACGTAGACATACCACAGTATATCAGATCACTTGGTGCTTCTTGACGACCGAAACTCACTTCGGTGTCAGCTCCTCATGAAACCATTTTTTTGAAATCGTCGTCGCTGACGCTGTCAAGCTTATAGTGGTAGGCGGACACCTTCAAGACGTCCTTTGATGCCAATTTTATGAATAGTCGAGCAAGCGCAAATAGAGCTGCGGAAACCAAGTCTTCGTCTCACCTTTCCATCGATTTCTTACCATGGCGTCGGGTGGTGATCGGGTCGTATAAATGGCGGCAGCCGCCAAATACGCGCGGCTCGATCACGGCCAATCGGTAGGTTTCGTGCAGCACTTGGGGATGAAGCAACATGTCGAATACGAATCAACTCCTACAGCAGCATGCAAGGAGTCAGAACGGGCACGTCGCCCGGTAGGATGAGTAGGACTCGTCTGTATTATGCAAGGCGGTAGAGAGCATCCAATCACGCAGTATCCCTTACCGCGTGTCTGGGCTGCAACCAATTCTAATCCCTGCTCACTAAACAGTGGCTGCTGTGCGGGGACGCATTTTGCGCTTTTACATGATACGCCTAGCTAACCTGTCCACGCCACGACTTGATTTGCGGTCCTATCTCCAATATCAATGAAAGTGCGGTGAGGCGGACCGGATACATAGGATGATCTCCGAATATATTCTTGCTCAAAGCACCACCAGATAGCGGCAAATCCTTCTGGTCGAGTCTGATGTCGTGCAAGTCGATGACTTGGAAGCCCATACTTAAAGCATATATCTACTAGTCGATCCTCCTGCATTGAAAAATAGACACACTGTTTATAGGTTGACAATGTATTAGTTTCATGCTTAGCCTACAAGTAAACCGCCGTTAGCCTTCATGTATACCGGCCATTAGTGACCTGGGTCACATTGCCGGCATGTTTTATGAAAACATACCGATTCTCTGTATGTACCCCATAGCTATTTTACTCCCTGCAAGTGTCAAAGCAAACAAGCTTGACATCGTGAGCTAATCGGTTCCTCAAGCTTTGGACATTAGTGTACCTCGTACCAGTCATCTCCTCGACTTGTTGTCTTTTCTTTGCGTGGGATCAGTGGCTCTTCTTGAGGCTCTTTCTCAAGAAAGACATTCAAGTCCATGGCAACCGTCTACAAGCTTCTTACTGAAATTATTTCCTCCCTCAGGCGGTATTGATTTTGCTGACCTTTATTCGAGCCACTGTTGAGTCATCATTCTTCATCATGTAGAGCGAGCCTTTCCTTCTTCGCAAGAACGGCGCATACAACTGGTACCTGACCGGTGCGATTCTCGCCATCGCACATCTTATTTTCGCTCCTACTATCCTTTCCACGATCCGGTCACTTGAAGATAGAAAAAAAAAAAGCCCCTGAATAGCGGCACTCCAACGCTTCGGAGATGGTGCAAGGAGCCGCAGGCCGAGTTTTAGGTCGTCAATGCCCATATTTAAGCCCAAATACACGCCTTTTTCAACGCATGGTACGACCTCGAGAACACTGCATACAAATTTTGTCCAATTGGCATAGAGTCACCCAAACAGTGAGGTTTTGGGGGCCGAAAATGGAGGCACGCATGCCAAATGTCAGGTCCCAAAATAGTGGCAGTCACATGACCTCCCGTCACCAAACGTCTAAAACTTCTCTTAAGCTTTTTTCAGCTCACAAAAATTGGCAAATCTGAGCTTTGACAAATCATGGCCGTGAAGCCTCTCTTTCTAGAACTTTATCATTGTCATGTGTCTGTTGTTGGGCTGTATAGAGAGACTCGGTATCTTCTTTGCTGGTCGCCCAGATTGTCCCCACCTTCCCAATAAAACCCGGTCAACAAACTCCGTAAACGAGCGTTATAACTGCGCAGCAGAAGTGAGTTACAGTGCCGGCTTGCGCGATGTCATGCTCGGAGTTACATCAGCCGACTAGTACTACGGTTTTCTTACCAGTTTAGTTTAATAATGCCCCAGGGAAGTCGAAGCTTTGACAAAGGCGTTCGCCTTTGAAGTCTTCCGCGCTTTTGTTGGTGCTGGCTTCGGTGCTGCCGTCGGCTTTCATGCGTTGGACTACCACGATCGCTCTAGTTGCACCACCACCCTTTCGTCATGAAATCCCTCTCGGTGAATGGCGGGATATGGTTTCCAATGCGCTAGCTTCGTAAAGGCATCGCCTGGAGCTTACAGGGAAGGGGAGGAAGAGCAATGGACGTTGCAAGAGGGTCGTGGTCAAAACAGCCAAGCTTTGATGGCGCTAACTGAGCTTGGGGGTAAGGTCCTCCTTATTACCTAGGTAGGCAATAGGTGAGCATCGCGCTGCAGCTTGCGTCTGACTTTGTAAGCCCTTCTTGGATACTCTGAGCGGGCGGAGAGATAAAGTGCCAGTTGGTACACGCTCCACCGCCAAATTTAGGTTGTGCGGAATGTATGTAGTTGGGGGAAGCATCACTTGGCCAAAGACCCCTGCCTCACCAAAACCCGGCATATAGGATGTTGAAGTCTGGTGCTCAATCGGATAAAGTGCAAATACAATACTCTGTTTAACCTTACGTATATCAAATCATCAAATGCCGGCAAAAGCCTGAAATTGGCCAAGAGTTGTTGAGTCCTCCCGTTTCATATATACCTACCAGCCTAGGGTGATCATACAGCCTGAGAGTTTGTATAATATGTGAGCCACTCGATCCTCGATCGTCTATGAACGCAATCCATTGGGAAGCATAGGCCGCCCCCAGAATGATGCATCTCGAACTTTTCTCTACCTACGCTCTGGCATTGGTGACCGGTGCTTTGGCCGGCCCATCGGAACAGCTGGTCGCTCGCCAGCAGCCGTTCAAGTCGACAGCCATCACCGATCATTCCGAGCCATGGGCGTTCGCCTTCCTGCCCGACAACAGGATCCTTGTCAACGAGAGACGAGGCAACATGCGCCTCGTCGACCCGACCACTAAGGCTAAGGGCACCATCACAGGCGTGCCCACCGTCGCCTACGGCGGTCAGGGAGGTCTCCACGACGTCGCCTTGCACCCAAACTACACTGAGAACAGCATTGTGTATGTCAGCTATGCAGAGAGCGGCTCTGGCGGAGCGGGCTGCGCAGCCGCGCGGGCCAAGCTGACGCTGAACGCCAACGGCGGCGGCGCGCTGTCTGGCCTCGAGGTCATCTGGCGGCACTCGCAGAAGGCATCGGGCGGGCTTCAGTTTGCCTGTCGCATGCTGTTCGGCTCCGACGGCGCACTATGGATCTCGTCCGGCGAGATCAACCAGATGACTCCGGCGCAGTCCATGACCGGCAACCTCGGCAAGATGATCAAGCTGTACGACAACGGCACCGCCTTCGCGGGAAACCCGTTCGCCAGCCAGGGCGCCATCCAGTCACAGATCTGGTCGCTGGGCCACCGCAACCCACTAGGTATCGACTGGGACGCCCAGGGCCGTCTCTGGGAGGTCGAGATGGGGCCCATGGGCGGCGATGAGCTCAACCTGATCGAGAAGGGCGCAAACTACGGCTGGCCGCTCGTATGCGAGGGCAAACATTACAACGGCACCAATATCCCCAAGCACAGCACGCGCCCCGACTTCAAGGCGCCCAAGGCCAACTGGGTCCCCGTCATCTCCCCAGCCGGCTTGATCATCTACAAGGGCGATCTGTTTTCCAGCTGGAAGGGCAATGCCATCATCACAGGTCTCAGTTCACAACAACTTGTTCGTGTTACCATAACTGGTGACACAGCGAAGGAGGCTCAGCGCATCCCAATGGGTAAGCGCATGCGCGGTATCAGAGAGGATAAGGAGGGCGCTATCTGGGTGATCGAGGATGGTGCTAACGGCCGGCTCTTGAAGCTTACCCCGAATTAAGCTTGTATCGGATAGGTAAAGACTTACTTGGGAGGTTTGGGACCGCATGAATATACTTTGAAGGTGAAATATATTACCGTTTTCGCGCGTTATGAAATCGGCGCATTCTACCTTGCAATCTGTCAGTAGATGGCATCTTATCCTCCCTGTTGAGCTTGCCAAATGATCTAATTGCCATAGTTTCAGCATAATGACTCAACTCTTGCATGTCCCAGGGATCATACGTAACTGAAGCCTTTCAGTTCTTGGAGTCAGCTAGCTCAGGTTACCGTCTACTCACGAGTGCTACACTTCAAGTTGATAAGAGTATTTTGCCTCGCCTTTCGGCCTGAGATTCTTGTGGACTATACAAAGATTAATATTTAAGCGATCTAATACGAGTCCCCTTCGTTCGGCTCGTTCGACCACGGTATATTCCTTAAACACGTAAAAAATGGCAGTCATGATAATTTCCTCAATCCTGAGATTGAATATTGACTTAACTTGATTACGCAATATGCTTCTTATCATACAAACAGAATTCATTTCTATGTTTCCCAGATAATGAATCTTGTGTCTCCCGGTTTTCTTCTTTCTTACAAATTGCTAGTACCACGAGTCAAACCATGACACCAACAGTCCCAGATCGTGTCTAGAAAGACTGCTCCAGTTGACATGATAAAGCGCATATTGAAACTTGAGGATCATTGCTGTAATTAGATGACCAGTCTAATACTTACATAATGGGGACGCTAAAGCCTCAATGTGAGGTCGGGAAAAAGGAAGGGTGCTGGGAAAGAGCTGATATGGCGGCGACTTACGTGAACAAAAGCAAATACTACAGTCTTCTTCTCTATCTTATAGCATCAGTTGCTCAAAAAGAGAGTTCCGGGGGAATGCTTAGTAAGTACTCTGTTGGAAGTGGCAGAGTTCTAGAGTTCACTAGCCCTATACACCCGTTATTACGGAACTTGATTTTTTATAACTCTATATCAGGCTAGATAAAGGGAACATATTTATAAACAGCCAGACTCAACCGGGAGAATCCCGAAGTCAATAGTTCAGCCCCTTTGAAAGGCTCTGTACGCGTTATGTAATATGTTTACCACGCAGCAAATTCGTTCCACATTAGAGATGTTGCTTCGCCACATAGACGATTGCAGCGGTTGACAGGTCTTAAAGGGGAATTGGATGTCATATTGTCCACTGAGAGTGCAACTTAGACATAACTAAGATTCGCGCTCTTTATCAAATCAAGATACAATTTCATGCAACCATACTAGATAAGCGTAGAACAGTGTCCAAATTCATAAATTGCATGTCAATGTTATTCCTCTCCGCCAATGAACCGGGAACATACAAATGACATTAAATTTTCCACCATCCACATGCGACTCTTTCAAATACCAAAGCACAGAGTCCGGGTAGATTAAAGCTGTTAAGTGGCTGATGGTTTATTAGAATGTGTTATTCTGGAACGTCATAACAATGTTAGCATAGTGCGATTTCCAATATAGCCACGAACTGTGACTCCTGGTCTCCCATTGTGGCCAATCACGGTCAATAAATAAGCCCCCCTCAGGCTGGTTACATTTGCGAACTCAGAAGAGCATAGCTCAGGACTTCAATGGATTATATGGCAAGCCCGAGAATTCAAGGGTGAGTGAGCATTCTGTAAGATCCTAGCTACGCGAGAATTCAGAAGGCACGGAACAATGTATCGCTCAGCTTTCACAACATGCATCATTAACGGCAAACCTAACCCTACGAGGCATGGCAGGCGCACTAGACGTTGTTGAAAATCATATGTTGCCACGACGCCCTCTCGTGGGACCGTACCGCCCTTTGGTAAGTGTGGCTAGCTGAAGGGTTTGGAGCAGGATCTATATAGAAACATTTCCAGTAATTCGAACGAATTGCTCCTGCACCTGCGCCCACACCTTCTGCGCTATCCCGTCTTTCCTCAAATTTTCTAAACGTTGCTCTACCTTGGGCGGTGCACTCTCGGCATCGCTGTCGATCGAGTACACGCCACTGCCGCTCTTCCCGTCCGTCCCTCGTGCTACCGCGACATCTTTCGACAACGGAATGCCAAGAACAGTGCCACTCTCGCCTCGCCCCGGAAACCTGGCGCTGGTCGCGAGGAAAAGTTGGCGTTCTCCGACTTCGCCAAGGGGCGTAACGAGGAATGGGCCCATGAACAGGAAGAGCACCCACAGAACTCCCCGGAAGATCGCGGCCCCGACTCCTGGTACGTCTCTTCCGTAGTTGGTCTTGACGAACCCGGGGAAGCAGTGGACGAAAGACACGGTTGGGGCACTCTTTGCAACGGCTTCGAGAGATAGCGTCGTCAACGAGCTCAAGTGGCCGCGCTGGGCCATCATGGGAATGTGACGGGCCTGGAAGTCATTCGTGTCGATATTGCCTTCTTTGGTGGCTGTAAAAACGGTCACGACACGGCGCAGATCGGTTGCGTTCTGCAAAAGAGGCAAGAGATTGACGAGGAGGCGGAAGCGGGCGTAATATGACACCGCGACTGGGTAATTGAGTCCTTCGTCCGTATCTGTGGTAGATGCATTAGTTTCCTTTACTTGGTGCTCTGTTGTATCAGTCTCTCGCCTTTCCCAGAGATCATTGTACCTGTACTCAAGAACAACAGGTTGATGACCGATTCCTTTTCTTTGATCTCACGGCAGACGTCGTCCACGGAACGAAGCAGACTGATATCAACGCTGATATAGTGGTACTCTCCTCCGGCATTGAGCCTCTGCAGCTCTGCGCGGATCCGTGTGCCAGACTCCTCAGACCGCCCCAGAAAGTAGATCCGCGGTCTGCAAGTATTTTCGGCGAATTGCTTAGCCGAGGCCTCACCAATACCACTGGTTGCACCGGCGAAAACGGCAACGAGACCAGGCGGGAGCGTTGTGGCCAGCTTGGCGTTGGAAGCCCGTATCTGTGCTAGAGAAACCATTTCAGGTACTGTCCGCGGGTAGAGGCCTGAGTCTCCATGCGAGAAAGAATCATCGTTGTTTAACCCCTGGAAGTCAGACTGGCATATCTGTAAGCAACGCTGCTGTCAGACGGCGGACTCAGAATTGCTCCGAAGAGCTCCACTTCTTTTCCGGCTTGGTGGGGCGGACTTCGGTCGCGGGTTTTGTGGAGACGCCATCCTACAGAGGTAAAGATTCGGTCGGTCAGTGACAACAACTAGCCTGCCGAGAGATAAGGAGTTTTGAGTATTGGGAATACTATCCTGGAGAGGAGAGATGTAGCTCAGGATGATCTCAAGTCGCACTAAGTACCAGTCATACTTAGTGTTGTAGCTCTGTGTCACACCTCAAAACCAAAAACCAATTCGGTGTAGGCATCCAAGATAGGGAACTGGCTCACAAGGTCGGGATGAAGGTTCTCATCACCAATCTCCAGCTGGAGCCGGCTTGAATCCCCTTGTTTGGAACCCGTAATTTTACTTTATCTAACAAATTTTACTGTCTTGCTGAGATAATGGGCAAGCAGTAGAAGCGCCTGGATTATATACGGCTTTCTGTGTATATTCTTTAGATTACAGCGAGAGATGCGTGCGGACTTTCTTTGGTCCGGCGCATTCCTCGCCTATATGTAATCTGACCTGCGTGGAGTTGAAAATCAATGGCTCTTGAACAGCCAAAAAAGCGGCTCCATAGCAAAGCGGCTCCATAGCAAGGAAAGGCCCGAGCCACTCGGGACCCTACGGCCTGGCTTGCGTGAGTTGCTTCAAAGCGAAGCGCAAATGTGTGGCCCGTCCCGAACAAGAAGGCTGTCAATGATGTCATGAGCTGAAGAAACAGTGCTGTCCATCCACTTCGCTTCGGAGGGGCGCCTCCACGAGACCTTCCAACTCGATGACCCGTACCGCCGAGCTCGAGAGCAAGATTGACGGTCCTATATCCCAGTTGCAGTTGCGCAATGTCATAGAAAGCGATGCAACACCGAGGCAAAATCCGATGCTGCCGGAGTCCGCAGGGGCGTCATCATATCCGCCCTCGGATGCTGGGGAAGATGAAATTCCAGACAAAGATGAATCGGAAATGAAAAATGAAGACAACGGTGAGATTCAGGAACACACGCGCAAGAGTAACTCGCCAGAACTGCGAGTTTCTGAGGTCGAAGCCGAGACGTTTCTCACGACGTTCCGGGCGTGCATGCTACCCCACTTCCCCTTTGTGGACCTTCCGGCCCCTATGACAGCACTTACCACTATGATTGACGACCCAGGCTGGGATCGTGCTGCCGTGGGGGCCATCATTGACGTGCCTATGCTCCTTGGCCGCATTGACGATAAATTGGAGCTGGTATCTCGGACGGTCGCGGAAGAAGACAGCGATGGGATATTCACCGAGCTGGCGCAGATGATGCGTGAGTTCTACTCCGACTTAGCCGGCAGCACGGCGCACGAAATCGGGGAAGTGGGGCCGGAGTTGCCTGGTGCGCCGGCTAATGACATTGGAACATACTGTGACTAGACACGCACATGTCCGGCAATGGATGATGGTATTGGTGATAGTGATAATGATAATAACAACAAGGCTTGGCTTGCGGTTTTCGCTCCTCTCCCACCATCCATAAAGCTCATCTGGGAAATTCCCACAGGTAACAGGGTCGTTCCTCGGACCAAAGTAGGTTCTACATGCAATGCAACAACACTGAGAGTTAGTAATGTCCTAATCAGGTCCGCTTCTCAGGGATGGATTTCCTGTTTGGGCTGGTCTGTGCTTGGCAACAGCTCCAAAGGATGTTTTCAGGAGCGCCGAACTTGCCGCCTCAGGGGTGGGAACTGGCTCCCGATTTCACTTGCAGGGACTCTTCCACCAATACTGCCAGGTGCAATTTGGGTTGCTAACGTCTTGAGAATCAGCATCTTGATTCTCCAGTCCGGAACCTTCTCCACCGAGATTCAAAATCATCTTTACGAGCAGTTCGAGTAGCTGAATGCGACAATACTTTGATGATGTTTGGTCGGCATTGGCCACCTGATTAGGCCGTATCACTATCAGCTTTTCGGCTCAGCTCCTCTATCAGCGCCATCTGAACTGTACCTAGCATGTTCAGCACGGCTGCTATGACATGTTCGTCATATTTCTTGTCAGATTCTAACATAAAGTTGATGGAATGTTGGATTTTGTGCTTGTCAAGTATGTTGGTCCGCCAAGCCAGACGAGTTTCCGAATTGGTGGAGTCGTCAATTGCCAAGCTAACTTACCCCGACCAGGGACACACGCCGAAGCTGATCCATTTTCCAATCAGGTCGCACTACAGTTCCTCACCAGCTTAGTTGCAAGCTGGAGGAGCTTGTGTTTAACAGATGTGTTCGATTAATCGGCTACATGCCGAGACTTTCCATACAGCCACATATGTACCCCACACCCAGGTTCGGGACTTCGTATGCACGTTTGGTCACGCATTGAAACCTGGATCTTCCGGTCCGCCAAGCGTACCGGCGCTGTAGTCGATCTTGGCTGTAACACATGGCATCGAGGAACTAACTTAGATTCTTCCCCCTAAGTGCTTACCCCTCTACGGCGTTTCGAGGCCCGCATCTTGGCTAGCACCGCAACTCTGTTTCCGCAAATCAATGCTGCTCCAACGTGTGTTCGCCCGGATGCCAAGGTCTTATATAACAGGGTCGTTTAATGAAAGTGCTTACTACAAAATGTTTTCCGGAGCGATCCCTAATAATGTCCAATAGATCGTGGCCAAGCATTGCCTACTCTAGCGGAGTGCCTCAAGATGATGTTACTTTATATTCTAATTGAAGAGCCTGCGAATCGGGTATATAGTAGAGAAATACGCCAGTTGCATATCATCGCCATGGACCTCTCAAGATCGAGATAGCGAGCCTTCATTACCATTCGTCAACGTCTTGGGCAAACGATCACCATGTTGCGAATCTTCATCCTCTCAGTGCTTGCACTCATCCCCGTCGTACAGGCTCAATGTGGCTCGGGTACGCCAGACGCCAGGGTCACGGGCTCAGGTAGCACCTTCACAGCCACTCGAGGCTCCACCAACGTGTACACTGGGTCCGACTACCGTGCTGCGATTCAAGCTGCTCTCGACTCCATCAGCAGCGGCCAGCGTGTTTCCGTTATCGCATCGGGCTCCATTGGTGCCAACACCATCACCATCAGCAGTGGCAAGATCTTCGAGGGCTGCGGTACCATCAATGTTGGCAACAAGTCTGGACGCGGTGCCATCGAGTCCACCAACACCCAAAATGTTCAAATCCCTTACCTCACAATGACGGGCAACCCCTACTTCGGTCTCCGATTCTCTGGAACATCAGGTTTGAACCTGGGAACGATCACCATGAACCTCAGCGGTGGCTTGGGCATCCGCTTCGACCGTGACGCTGCAGCAAACTCCAACGTAAAGATGGGAACCATCACCGTGACTGGTGCCGGGAGCCACGCGGTCGAGACATGGAACATCAACGGTCTTGAGATTGGCTCCGTCATCGCGCGCAACGTTGGCGAGTCCGGTTTGCTACTCCAGAAAACCACCAATGCGAATGTCGGGCTCGTCGACGGTAACAACGTTGGCGCAGGCACTGGCTACGCCACCTTCCGTATGGCAAACAACAACGGCCAACTATCCAACGGCGCCTACACCACCAACGTTCGCGTTAACAAGGTCGTCTCCCGCGGAGGCGGCCGTGGTGTCTTCTGCGTCTCGCAGTCTGGAGGTGTTGAGATTACCACTGTCGACCTCGCAAATAATGGCAACAATGCTATCCTCATCGAAAATTGCTATGGCGTCAACATTCGTGGTGGTACTGTCAACGGGGGAGGAGAGGTTCGTATCTCAGCTCGCAGCGAGTTTCCCAACACCCGCGATATCTCGATCACCCTAAGGGTAGACGGTACTACCGTCCGTGAATCACCCTGTGGAGATAACACTACCTGGAACCTCTCAGGCAATGGCGGCAGAACTATCTGCTAAGCTTGACATCTCTTGAAGCAATAGGACTTCATGCAGAGGCCAAGCCAAGAGCCATGACCTTATGTTTATGGCTCTTCAAAATCAACTTCTTGTCTATATTTATATAATAGCCTGAGGGGCCGTAAACTTCAAACTTTGAATGTTGATAATAATCACTTGCTCTGTAATGCACATATCTTGTGCAGAATGTGTGACTGACGAGATGGTAACGGTCTTGTTGTCAGAATCGACGAGCAAAGTTTCTACGCATTCGCTCAAAAACAGGTACATTGACACCCAAACCGTTTGATTGGAATCATCGTGCCCTGCCAGGGTATTGGAGGGCCGAATGAGGAAGCATGCATTGGTTGGCCGGTTCCTTCGCTTATTCACTGATGCTCATATAGCTTCTGGATTCTGCCACGACGTCTGCGGTAGCTAGATCCTTTAGTATCAGCACAAAACTGCTAAAGTCTCATCAACAAAAAGCCTTACAAAGCAGGAAAGTTATTTGATGTATGCTTTGAATCTCGGTCGTCGTTACACGCTTTGATTACAAATCTACGACTCAACCGGATGTTGGGCTGCAATATTTTAGTCCGTGTTGAAGTCATCCAAATCAAATACGTCCGCGATCTCACATCTCCCCTTTCTCTGTAGTGGTATAATTCCTCGGTTTACAAACTTTTATATGCCTTTATGTCTGTTCAGGGGCAGAAACATTTCTGGTACGCAGTGTCACCGTTTTCTGCACCAGCGCTTCGTACGGTCAAGTAGCATCTCCTTTATGTACACAATCCAGATTTTATTGAGCGTCCGCTAAATGCCTCGAAACTCAAAAATTTAGAAAGTCCTTGTTGTCGCACGCACCAGTCGCAGGTCGTAACATTTAGAATCCAAAGGGATATTGTTTCAGAACGTGGACCCAAAACGTGAAGGAACCCTTGAATATATTTCAAGTGGTGTGAGCAAGCGTGATGATGAAATGACTGTGAACCCTAAAGGCGTTCGCTTGCAACTTATCAACACTATGCAAGTTTGGAAAGTAGCCGTTGCATGATCGTGGTAGAATAGGCCATCGAGTCTGTTCTAAGTCGCCTAGCTACTGCATTGCCCCAGGTGTCAACTCTAGACACTAGAGTCCAATATTCCTTCCACCGTCTGAGTTCGGCCGGGCTCGCTTGACGAAGAAAGTTGCACGATGCTAATACCATGGCGCTGAAAATCGAAGAGAATTCAAGCTGCGGGCATTCGATACTTCTCTGCCTTTACCTCTTGCTTCAGACTTCAGCGTCTTCTCATCAAATGGTTTCTTTCGCACCGCCATAACCATCGCCACAAGATTCTTCTCATCCTGTTGATATGCACTAGAATGTGCAAGCTCTAATATCAATTGGAAACCATCCCGAGCCACTAATACGCCCATAAAATCGTCCCAGCGCCTCTTCAGGCCTATATCTAATGGTTCTTCCACAATGAACGGACATAGGTTGGCACATGGAGTACTCGACGCGCCCAGCATGAGGACGATTTTCGTGATTTTATGTTGAATGCGTTCGCCCAACGATCTGATAGAACTATACTAAAACAGCAGTTGATCTTTATACTGTTACGGTAGAGGCAAAAAGGTGAAACCGAGTTTAAGAATAATAGATGAAAAGATCTTCTTGGAAGCGAATCCCTAAGACAGCTGGCCTGAATAACAATAGAACTCTCTGGTGCGACGTAAATGCATGACGTTGCGCACATCTGCCAGCCCCGGTTACCTCGAAATCTCTCAAGAGGCAGTCGGCACATCAGCAATGCAACTTTGCCGTTAACTAAATCATTATGCAATTTGACCCTGACCTCCAGGTGGGACAAAATTGATGGTAGGACAGTCATTCCTCCCAGGGCTGCTCTTTGAGTTCCTGCAGCACCAAACGCTGACCTTGTTGGCTTCGCAGAATGTCTCAAACTTGAACTCGCTTTTGTCAAACCTTGTCCCATCACCTGTGTATGTCAATAAATAGGTAAATACCCCATACTGTGTATAGCCACTACTACTTACCGTAGCAAACCAGGTCGGGAATGTCTTGGCCACCTGGGTAATAGTGAGCCACACAACATACATTCTCCGATTCACAGTCGAGTTTGACAATAGTTGGAGCCGAGGAAGGGCCGCTCGTCGTAGGGCTAGTAGGAGTCCTGCTGGAGGTAGATGTGCCACTGGTAAGGGTAGAGAAAGGCGACTGAGTGCTAGGCGTAGTTGTACTGGTAGTAAAAGTGGCAAGTGATGACCGAGCGCTCGATGTGGTGACACTACTGATGAAGCTAGGTGACTGAAGCAGGGTACTGGGCGCTGTTGACAATGTGTCGCTGCCCGCGGCTCTAGGAGTGGTGACAATGACGGTACTTGCACTACTAGAAGCGTTCGAGGCGACGCTTGTAGCTGCGGTAAGAGCCTGCGCAACTACCAATGCAGCACGAACACTGCAGAGCAGTGAAATAAGTTGTACCCTGAAACCTTGGAGAAGCATCGTGCGGGAAATTAAAGTTCAAAGAAGTGACTGTCAAGGGGTGTTTGACGAAGAAAGCTGTGGTGACTAGATTGAAGAGTGCCTGGACTGAAAATCACAGTTGGAGGCCCTCCAGGGTATCTCGGGGTTTATATAGTTGCGAACTAAAAGATCACAGCACTTTGTAAGTCCTGATACTGTGACTTCTATGCACAATGCTTCTGATTGCTGGCTCTGTCAAGCCCAATCTGCAGGCTGTCTTACTTCAGTTGGCCTGGATGGGGTCTAAATGTGAGCATTCCTCAACAGGGCACAGACCCGCGGCTCGATATCTAAGACATGCTTCGACACTTTCACAGCTGGGCGCATGAGCTGAACCTCCACATACCAATTATGGCGCCGAGCGTATGGAGCGGTATTTCTTTGAAGATGTACATCGTCGATGGGCGGTTGGTTTGGTTGGATATTTGGACTGCCACCGTGCTCCCCGTATGTCAAGTTGTGCTCTGGGCACGAAGTCATCTGGCAGTCTATAATTATATGTTTGTCGTATCCAGAGGTTAGATTCCACCCACGCGTTCGAGTAGGATTGTGCACTCATATCTGCCATTACGTAAATCCACCAGAGTATATCAGAGCCAAAACTCTACAACACTCGACAATTGATTGTGGCTTGCAACCGGATGAGACATATCAATGACTTGCGATCTGAGATTGGATGTCAAAAAGCCCTCGATTATGCCAAGGCCCTGCAGAGTGATACGAAAAGGAAAAATATTAGTAAAGACGCCAGCATCTGCTGTAAGTTGCTGAGTTCAACACCGTAAGACGTATTGACCGCAGCTTTGCTCTCGAGGTCCTCTGCGGATCGGCACATTCTCCCGTGTCCTTCCTATCCGTTTTAGATATTCTAAGTGTTTGCCGGCACATGGGTGCCAGTGCCCGCCCAACGATGCGGATAATCATGCCACTACAGTCATCTGCACGTTGCATATGCAAAACAAGATAGTAATGATTGCGATATTATCAATTAGTCTTATTATGAAAATAGATATAATAATAGATGAATAAACGAGAAATAATCACGGATAAAGCTGCAGTACAATTGATATTATAGGGAACAGAGAGAGAACAAGAATTCCTACATGCTCAAAATCGACACGCGCCACCGTGTTATGGGGAAAGCTCAAGGCTGCCTACAGGCGCGTGAGCCATCGAATCTGTTCAGTTAATCATCATGTGAACCAAGTCCAGTATCAACTGAAAGATAGTGGTACCATAACGCGGCATTGAGAAACCGCTAGACCATGCGGTTGATGGCCTTGGAAAATTCAGCAATGACGGGGGTTCAATGCAACATCTGCAAGGGAAGTATAATATCCATGTCAATTCAAAAATTGTGATTGGCTTTGGGGTTTGTCTTGATGGTATGCATCAGTCCATGACCGGTGAAGCCCGTCCTTGACCGCTTGCCTTGCAGGCACCTAGGATCTTCCGGTATCCTTCTCATGCGTACTCACCCGAGTTCGGCATGTCTTGCAGGACAACAGGTGTAGGCTGATCTGGCATACCGTGGGACGTCACCTCAACGACTTTTCTTGAATTTAGGAGTTGAAGTAAACCAGTCGCATGGTATGAACACGACAGGAAGGTGTTAGTTTGTGTCGGCTACGAGTAACAATGAGGCTGGGAGACCCAATGTTGAAAAAGGTTGACCTGACCGTAGGTACCGAATTGGATGAAATGAAACCAGCAGCACCATGCACAGCTTCAGTTGGATAGCCACTTCGGCTGCCAGTCCGTAAAAGGTGCACCTGATACAATGAATCCATTCTCGCAAGAATATCCAATCGAATGCCCCCTTTGACGGGTAATCAATGGATACCTACTGAAGGTGAATGGTGTACTAGCTTACCTGCCCCCTGCCTGGCACCTTTAATTCAGGCAGGCTACTCTGTACAGGGATGGGAACGCACCCAGTGGTCCCATTAGCGCCCACGTGAACTGGTGCCTGTAGCGCGTTTGGACGCCCGAGACCAGGGCCACGGCTGCCCCACTGAAGCTCGACTCTCTGGACTTCACCATCACCACCGCGCGCCGTGCCGACGCCGCCGACGCCTGCAGCCATGTGGCTCCTCGAACACGAGGGCGCTGCCTTCAGAGGTGTGTTGCTGTCGCTTGCGTTGCATTCTGTGAGAACATGCCGCTAATAAACAGCTCAATCCAGGCAAGCGGCTTTGGTTGCGCCCGGGCAAGCGCTACCTGTTTGGACGGACGGTCGCTGAACGTGGGTTATGCCCGACACTTCCTGAGACCTACCGCCGTGGTACAACTGCTAACCCGGAGCAGCTGGCATGCTGGCAATCAGCGGCGAAAAAGCCAGCTCCGTATCCCGCAAGCACATAACCATTTCCGTTGACGATGTCCGCGAAGGCGACTCGGTGCGTTTCTCCGTCCTACGCCGCGTGGTGCGCGCACTGACGAAATCCTGTAGCAAAAGCTATCGAGTCGGTCCAAAGTCACTGTCGAAGATCTTGGCTCCAAGATAGGCACCACTGTGAATGGCCACAAGATCAAAAAGGAACAATATGTCATCACACAGGACAAGAACGAGCTCAGGATGGGCAGCATGTCCGGCTTTCAGATTACCTGGATGCCCGTGGTCCTGAGCTTCTCGTTCACGCGAAAGGAGCTCGACGCTGGCGCCTACACCAAGCTTCGACAGAACCTCGAGCACTTGGACCTCAAATTCCTCTCGGGCTACGACATGAAAGCCACCACTCATGTCGTGTCCAAGAAACGCAATACGTCCAAGGGGCTTCAGGCTCTAGTTAATGGCGCATTTATTGTCGATGACAAGTTCGTCGATCGTCTCATCACAGCAACCACAACCGAGGTGCTCGAAGGCGGCGTTGATCGAAGCCCCTTGGAGGCCGACTTCGACGGCAACTGGCCCAATGCCATGGACTATTTGCCAGACCCCGGCAACGAACCTGTGACAAGGCCTGCTGAGTCATTCGCACCCAATCCTTCTCGGGCTGAAGTTTTTGACGGCTATACCTTTATCTTCTACGACCAGAAACAACACGAGACCTTGGTGGATCCCATCACCAACGGCAAGGGCAAGGCCCTGTACAAGGAAGTGATCCCGGGTGAGACTGAAATTGACGACTTCATTCGCTTTGTGAAATCCGTAGCGGGCGAAAAGGGACTGGGCGAATTCGAGGATGGCAGCGAGGGGAAAGGCGTTGTTGTCGTCAGATGTTTGCCAACAGGCAGTGCTCAAGCCTGGTACGAGCAGTTCTACACCGACGTCTCACTTCGACTAGATCATCGTCTTATAGACCAGAAAGATTTTCTCGATGCCATATTGAGCTGCGATGCCAGTAGTCTACGGAGACCGCTGGAGATCGACGATGCACGCGCCACTCAAAATCATCCCCAAAACTCTTCTGCATCAGAACCTATGAATGTTGATAATGAGAATGAGAATGAGCAGCCGCAATCCGCTACAGGGTCAAGGGCTAGTGCGCCGCGGCGACCGACTCGTGCTCCGATTAGAAAACGGTTCAAGGGGTTTGTCGCTGATAGCGACTCAGACGACGGCGACACCGCCATGGTCGATAACGGTCTAGTAGCTGTCCCGTCACAAGTCTCAGTTGGACCTGTGGCAGAATCCTCTCAGGAAGGCCTCTTTGTGTCTCAAGATGGAGGCCACGAAGAGCCCGATGCGTTGGTTCAGACAGCGCGAGGGTCGCAGCGTAAACGCCCCGCCTCTAGGATCTCGCAGGCTTTGGACATTGAGGAAGACTTTGCGCCTACGGCAGCTCAGCTGAAACGTCGCCGCATAGAAACAGGCCAAGATCCGATTCCTAGGCAGCCTACGCCTTCTCCGCCACCGGACCCCGAAGCGGAAAAGGAGACTCAGGCATCAAAGGGCAAGAAGCCGCAGAGCAAGACGGGGAGAGTCAAGAAGGAAATCATCGACTCTAATGTCATCGAACTGGCACGCAAGAGACGTGAGGAGGAGGAAGCGCGCGCGCGTGCAGAACGCGAAGACCTCGAAGCCGGGATCGAAGATCTGGACCTGGCCGAGATCCGCCGACTGCAACTGGAAGAACCAATGGAGCTACGGAAGGCACCGCCGCCTCGGACCCGTGAAGAGGACGTTGCGACCGGCCGGTGGGACCCAGCTTGGAATGGACGCAAGAACTTCAAGAAATTCCAGCAGCGTGGCGCAGCGGGTGCCGCCCGGCCTCCGCAGAGAATCATAGTAGCCCTTGAGGAGGTCAAGGCCAAGGGGTACGGCATGGGCGACGACTACTGGCTCGAGGACGAGAGTGGTCGGAAAGGAAAGAAGAAAAGCCAGCGCGACAGTCAGAACACATCAATTCAATCTACCGCCGCCACCAGGGAGAGTCAGGCGACCCAGAGCCGCAGGTCTGCGGCTGCATCCGCACCCCGCCAGGAGCCCCGCGATGGCGAAGACGACATTGAAGATGAAGGAACTGGGCTGAATGGTAGCTCACATGTTACCAAAATTGATACGGTGCAGGATGACGATGACGACCAAGACGTTGTCTTCTCCGGCACACGGAAACGCAGCACGAGGGCAGCGTCCACCCAGCAAGAATCCTCACCGTCACAACGCACGACACAGAGGTCGGAGTCGTCGAGGCATAGTATCAAGAGGTCAGCCGGCGCACCGCCGCCGAGGCAGCAACCGGCCAAGCGGCCCAGGAGAGCCAACATCCCCGCCAGTGACGACGAGGACGAGGACGAAAGTGAGGACGAGCTGAGATTCCGGTTCAAGCGGCGTTAAGGTAGCATCTGATCTGCCGGAAACATGGCGCTGGGATGTGAAGTGCCGCAGTTATTGATGGGATGGTTGGCTTGGCCCAAGGGTACATCTGACAGACCTGGACTGTTCCTGCTTCGCTTTTTTTTTTTCAAAGCTACACACAAGCGTAGACGCCTAGTCCGGGATGGTGTAATGCACGAATGAATGACAGAATACCATGCACGACTTGTTCGTTGAGTTATTCATTATTGGTGAGGGTATCTCTCTATCTGGTCTAGTTTAAGTACTGATAGATGTGTCTACATGGCACGCACGATATCTAAGCAACCGTTGTGAGCAGCCCTCAAGTTAGCTCCTCCTATATAGCAAGGAAGTAAGAAATTTGGCAGGCATCTGAAAACTCTAGCGGTAATTATACCTCACTGCTGGCTTTGTCCATGCAGATCAAGCCTTGTGCAAATCATACCGCGCTTGCCAGCTCTATGCTGCCACCAGAGCCGAGCGCCATTGATTCTCGGACAAATCGGCGGGGAAATGAGATGAGTGAGCTCCGGTGGGTTGCCAATCTGTGAGGCCGGGCTTGGCGCCTCGTTGATAGTCTTCGGCGCCGTAGTCCCGGCATAATGCATCAGAAGGCCACGATGCTGCAGCCGCCGCGCCGGAGGGCCCGGCAATCTGGTGGCCTGAATCTCAACCGGCCAGGAATCTCGACTATTCCCGTAGACTGGGGTCTCAGTCCATCTCATCCATGGCGCCGTTACCGGTCTCCTCGCCCTCCTCGACCAGCATGCCGATCAGGCTGCTGGCGAGCATGCCCTCGTAGTTGACCCAGGGGTGGATCTCGCCGAACAGCTTGGTGCCGTCGCGGCCGGCGCAGCGCAGCAGCTCGGGCTCGCCGCCCGGGTGGAAGGGCAGGTAGGGGGAGATGTTGTAGACGCGGCCGCCGAGGGCGGTCCAGGCGTCCTTGCCGCGGCGGCCCGTCTGGCGCTTGAGCATGGACGGCGTCACCTTGAGGTAGGGGGCGCCGGGCCCCAGGTTGCGCAGGTCCGAGGCCGGCCCGTTGGCCAACCGGGCCCAGTCGAGCGGCGAGTGGCCGGGCTCCAGCACCACCTTGCGTGACGGCTTGCTGGGCCGCGCGCTGTGCGTCGGCGGCGGCGCCAGCGTCGACGTGCCCGGCTGCCGCGCCGACGAGGCCAGGCTGTTGGGGAGCCCGCGCGCCGGCGCCGGCGACAGGTGTGACGGGGCCCGGTTGCTGCTGCTGCTGCTGTTATTGATGCTGTTGAGGGTCGGCGGGCGCGGCGGCGGCGGCATCAGCGTCGAGGGCGTCGCGATCGGGGCCGTGGACAGACTGGGCGGTGCCAGAGCCGGAGACGCGTCTGTCACGCGTGCTTGGGCGGCCGCGGATGCCGGGGGCGAGGCAGAGAGCGACAGGGACGGGACGGCGCCCGAGGTCGAGGCCGACTTGGCCTTGGGTGTAGTTTGTGGTGACGCTGCCGTGGTGTCTTCGGGCGGGCTGATGGTGGGCGGCGGAGGCGGGGGCATGGCGGCGCCATCAGATCGTGCTCTCGAAGTCTGGGCTGGCTCTTGGGCCCCGGGCCTGCTGCTCTCGCTGCTCGCCTCTGTGGTCGGAGGCTGAGCAACCTTGGGATGGCCGCGCCATAGGGCCATGAGGGTCTCCATGAGGGGCGGCGGTCGGAATATCAGCCAGACTACAGATGCGAGGAGGACAGAGAGAGCCAATAGCGCCATCCGTGGCGATGGGGACTCCTATCGGGCAGCTGGCAGCATGGAGAGTTGAGTCGAGTTGAGTCGAGTTGAGCTAGATGTGTCTGTACCGAGTTGCAGTTGTGGCCGGCGGGACGTCGTCGCCAGATTGTTAGACCCCACACTGGCCGGGCCTTGGTGTTCAGCAGCGCACCGCTGCGGCGGGCGTAACTACAGGGCGTGGGCGTACCTAGGTACCTACCCACTGAGCACATGGTGGGGTTGGTGTTCTAATTTTGTCTGGGCGGTCATGTCTAGTGCAGGCCGGCAGGCTCCGCAAAGGCAGCGAGGAGCAACGTGCGGTCAGTGAGCAGGTAACCCCGTAAGGCCCAATGTCATGGATGGACTCGTATCTAATAAGTTAATTACACGAGAGCTGGACAGTCGGACCGGCCTGGTCGTCTGTACTCTCAGCTCCGCATCCTCGGGTGATGGACACTTGGTTCGTGCTACTACCCACCGGGAACATTGAGCTTGCTTCCATGGTCGGATGGAAGGGGGCATGGGGGTTGTTGAATTTCAGACGAAGAAAGTCGCAGCAGCTCTGCCCCTTGGGCGACCCGGACGCGACCCGGACGCCAGAAACAGGGCTATATTGACGGGTGCTAAGTTTATTCCCAGGTCAGGGTTGCCATGCCCACGCGGGCCAGGTATGCACGGTATGACGCGACGTGGTGGGCGGCAGAAGCGTGAATCTGCGGGGAAGAGGGCAGAGCGGTGGACGCATGAATAAACAATCTCAGAATCAATCCGAGTGGCTCGAGGTGTTTACTCTGAGAAACAATGTCTCCGGGTTCCGTGAAATGGTCTTGGGCTGCATGAAACATATTTTTTATTTTTATTTCTCTTCTGCTTCTTCTGTCTCTCAACCGAGTCCCGACCTGGTTTTGCGTGCCCACCGAGAAAAGAGCCATTCTGCGTCCTGAAATCTCCTGGTACCAGGCCAATGCCCCCGGGCATCCACTGATGATTTGCAGGGCCCGCGGGCTGGAGGAACGGGAAAATCAGGGTCTGCCAGTGCCGCCGCCCACCGCAATAAGATGCGGATGCGCAGCCAGGCCGCTAACAAGTCAACACTGGTAGGATTGGAGAGAGCCAGCTGCTACAGAGTTCCGTTCCAGGTCTCGTCGTGCCTGTAGCTCTAGCTGTAGCTGTAGTTGCCTTGCACCCTTAAAGACGGGCGGCCAGCCACCTGCACCCACACCACACCACACCGGTACCACACCACACCACAACCCGCGAAACCCCGTGACAACGGGCGGCTGTCACCGTCACGGTTCTGGGGGGGCTAGGTACTGCTACCACCTACCCCAACTCCAACAAACATGCGCGCCCTCAACACCGCAACCACGTCCAAAGCCATCGCCAAGTTCAACCCAAACACAAAATTGTCGCAACGCAACCAGCAGCAACAGGCCTCTTCCCAGCCCGAACACCAGCACCAGCGCCCATCCGACGCTGCCGCACTCGCCCACGCCCGCGCCCACGCCCATGGGCCCCTCTACGCATTGAACGGCAAATCGACCTTGACCACGCCTGCGCCTGCGCCCGCGGCCAGGCCCCGCCCGTCATCTCGTCAATCCGCCCTCTCCTCCTTTTCCTCGTCCTCGCGGCAGTCCTCGGCCACTCACAGCAATAATAACAACAACCGCAACGCCAAGGCGGCAGTAAAGCGATTGCCTTCGTCCGACGCCCTCGCCCGCCAGACATCCAGGCCGACCATTATTACCACCGAGGCCACGCCCGCTGCCACCACCACCACCACCACCAGACCGCCAAGCCGCATCAATTCCAAACAACCCACGGCAACCTCGAGGTCGCCCTCTGCCGCCAGCACCACCACGGCCACCGCCAGGTCCCCCCGTGCATCGTCGTCCTCGCTGCAGACGGCGAGATCCCCCCTTGACTCCCGCGATCAAAATGCCAGCCTGACGCCAGCGTCCGCCTCGTCAATGTCGAAAAACGTCCGAGTCACGATGCCCTACGACAGCAGGTCGCCCAACCCCAATGGCGCCCGACCCCAGCTGCCCACCCTCAGCGCCGGCGCCGCCCGGGGTATGAGCAGAACTCCCATCACCCCCAAGATCGCCGCCAAACCCACCCAGGTCCCGACTCTGGCCGCCAACACGCACACACCGCTCCCCAGGCGCACGCAGCGGCCAACCACAGCAAACTCGGCCGCCAGTGCCCCATCCAGAGGTGCCACAACCCCCCACCCAGAAGACGAGCTCCCATCCTTTCTCAGCAATATTACGCCGCGTTCTGGCACCAGGCAGAGCCGTGTTGACAGCAGAGAAGGCACGCCCAACGGCACCCCGAACCCGGACCGCCACGATGCTTGGGACAGGGAGTCGAGGCCTTCCCTCGGCCATTCGAGTGTCTCCCCTGCGCCCAACGACATCGATCCACCCCGGAGACCGGCCGTAACCTTCAGCTCCATACCGTCCGACTTGACTCGGCAGCCGAGGCAGGATGAAATCGACTCCAAGTTCTTCCATGCCAGCGATGCCCGGCCCAGCCAGCATCATCCCCACCCTCCCCCCAAGCCAACATTGGCCAAGGCTCCCAGCTTCTTCTACGCCAGCGGTGGCCCCCTCGAGAACAGAGCAAATGGACAAGCTCCGCCCACGTCAGCACCGACATCGCACAACTCGTCCCAGGATAATGTGTCAAGCAAGTTCATCTACGCAAACGGCACCCCGGATCTGCGCCCTAGCCCGCCTATAGCTCCTTCTCGCCCGGCTTCGATCGTGTCCACCTCCTCAAAAGCGCCCACAAACCGGCCAGTAACCGGCGCCCATCCGAATGGGTACGGAGCCGCCCAGAGACCATTATCGCCCGTGAAACTCGTCCAGCAACATCAGTCTGGTCAGCCGAGGAGCATCAACGTGCCCCCATTAGCTGCCAATCGGCCTCAGGCTACTGCAACGCCGCAGCTTGGCCCACCTGTCGGGCTGCGTCGTACCAGCACCGGAACGTCCCTGAGTGCTCACTCCAGGAATGGAAGCTTGACCACAAGTGAAGCTGAGCTGTACAAGGCGGGTCTGGTACCGTCGGGTCCTTCATCGCCACTAGCATCTCCGCTGCAGCCTCCTTTTACTTTGGCGTCCATCATTCAGGCTGCTGAGGACTTTGCGGATGATGAGAGCGTTGCTTCGCCCGACGAGTCGCACTCCGAGGTCCAGAGCCCGACCAAGTCAACAAACTCCCTAGATCCTGTGAGCGAGCTGGTGGCCAATGCCCGACGGGAACGTAAAGTCCAGGATCTCCAAATCACGAATGCATCGCTGGAGGCCATCAACCGGACTTTGGAGCGTCAGCTTCGGAAACAGACAGCAGAGCTCCGACGATACAGGAGGCTATCGCGCTCCGGACGGCTGTCCATGGCCTCGGCCGCATCGAGTCGGCTGGTGTCGAATCCTCTCTCTGCCGCAGAAGGCACTGAAGGCCTGGCCCTGTCAGATCTCGACGAGGAAGATTCAGAGGAAGAGGACCTTGAGGATGACTCGTTCACCGACACCGACTCGGCCTCAGAGTCTCTGAGCCCCAGTCTGATGGCGGAACGCGATGCAAAGTACAGGAAGAAGGATGAGAAGCGTCTTCAGTTGGACCTGTCGAAGCACCAGGAGCTGCTCATCGACTCTCAGAAAATCAACCAGAGCATCAAACGTTGTCTAGACTGGACGGAAGAACTGATCAAGGATGGGAAGAAGGCGTTGGAATACAGTGTGCGTGTCAGTGACGTTGATATACCAGGGCCGAGAGTTCTGAACCCGGTCGACGAGGAGGAAGAGCGTACGCAGAACAGCATCAACTTCGATCCAGACGCTACAATCAATGACACATCGACATTGGGTGAAGAGCAAGACGACGAGCAAGAGAACGAAGGAGAGAGGGCAGTACCTCTAGAACCGAAGTTGGCGGGCTGGAAACCTGATCCACCTATACTGGATACGGATATAAGGCTACCGTCCGATGGAGGTTGATACACAGCAGTTGCGACCTCGTGTGTGCAACCACTTCACCACTCACAATACCTTTTCCTTTTTGTTCAACTCAGCATACTGCATTGGGACGGCGTTTCAATCCCGCTCCAGCCAGTACTGGCTAGGGGCGAGGATCACTTCATCGATCAAGTCTTCTTTGTGTTTTCACTGTACAAGTACCTTCTATATACCCCAGAGCACTCAGTATTGGAAAGGAAACGGTTCATTTACTCTCGGTTCGGCAAGCGGGAAAAGCTGCCCAAATCTCCACACACTACCAGGAACTTGGCATGTATTCTTTTCCTTTTTTTTTGACTTTTTTGCATGTTATCGATACCCCCTGTCTTCGCATGCCTGCGAGGCATATACTTCAGAGAAAAAGACGGCGGTACACCGTTGACCAAGGACATGTTTAGAGTTGTCGGGGTCTGAATCAAACCAACGAGGCGAGATCCGGGGACTGTGGTATATAGCTCTATTCAAGATAGATAGACGCAGGGGATCGATCGTGTACATTATCAGTAGTGATAATACGATAATCCAGGGTTGAATGAAGCAGGATAAGTCCATATGTTTGCAGAAAGTGAACTCACGTGAAAGGCTTACTGAATGTGTCAAGTTTGTCTCTTAAACATGCAGTCATGCTATGTTTACCAAGTTATAGTGTTGTATTGCTTAGCCTCACAAGGCTCAAACTAAGATTGGTAAAACACTCTTCAAAGGTATGTTTGGAACGGACTCTAGTTACTAATGGTGGGCTAGGTCTTCAATTTTCATCAAGAAAAATGTGTTAGAAATATCTACATTTTCCCCTTGCCCACCTAAGGCGCCAGATCAGGCTGTACCTGATGATAAGATTATTGGAAGCGTGTTGGCATCCAAGAATCGAACTTGTGTCTGGCTCAATTGCGAGGTCGTTGGGTAGGCAATTGAACTGCCTACCATAGCACTGCCATAGCTTTCTTCCTCGACCAAAGACCTGCTGGCCGACGAATCAAACTCGCAAGTATGTCCACTGGCCTGTTGATCCGAGGACTCAAGCATGATGTTAAGCCCTGCCGAAACTCCTCTATGAGTTTGCCTGAACTGGACCCAGCGCTGGTTCATGGATCTCGTATGTGGCTCTTCCACCAGAAGAATGCAGCGAGCACGGCAATGGCAACCGTACCCACGGGGTCGCTGAAGAAGTCGAGCCGAGAGTGGGCGGAAGTCTGGCTTGGTGGCCGCTCAGGGGTCAAATCCTGTGACTCTGGGGGCATCGTGAGTACAAGAACTTCGGCGCATCAAAGTGGACGAGAGAGAGGTAGGAAGCAACCGCGATCCCCGTTCCGTTTGAAATAGGTTTGCTCGGCCCCTCAATGACAGTGAGTCACGTCTACAAAGATTACGCAAGTCAGTTTTGACATGTGTTTCACAGACGGTTTCAATGTTACCAGAGAGAGTAATTATGTGCTGCATTGAATTCATTCATACTCGTTATCGACTGATATCTAGTAACACCCAAACGCCATGCCGATGCGCCGCTTGCAAAATGCTCTGACCCCGCAGATCTTGTGACCAAGGAGCATACTATCACTGTCATTTCCACCAGCTGCTTTCTATCCATAATAAGTCCTGCTGCTGCGGCGCTCCCGTCTCGCATCGCGCGCGTCCCGTGCGTGGTACGTGGGCTGCGGCGCCCGGGGACTACGCCCACGCTCGGTGTACACTGGCCTCGTAGTCGTCACGTTGCGCACCTCTACGCTGCGGCGTGGACTGCGATCATAGTGCGAGTGCCTGGACCGCGACCGGTGGCCGTGGTGGTGATGGTGGCCGTGCCGGTGGCCGCCTCTGGTCTCCTGAGTGTATAGGTAGGCCGGCTCGGAGGTCTTCGGCGGCTTCTCGTCGTGCGACCCGAATGTGCTGCCCCAGAGGCCCGGGCTCCCCAGGTTCGTGCACGACCGGAGGAGCCACAGGATCAGCAGAAAGCCGGCGATGGAGCCGATGACGATGCCGGCAATGGCGCCGCCGCTAAGGACCGTGCCGCCGGAGGTGGTCTCGGTCGTGGCAACGATGGTGGTCGTCGAGGCCTGGCGCGGGAGGATCTTGGTGGCAAGATCGGAAATCGATCTTGTGGGGAGGATAGTGTTCGCTAGCCGTTGTACGGGCGCCATTGTGTTGGTAACTTTTAGCTCTACGAGGAGCGGAGACTGGATTTGAAGTTTTTGGCGATTATAGCAGAAGTGTATATTTGCAGTATACCACGATATAGACCCAAAAGGAGTGTGAGAAACTCAATCCCCCGCGCGCAGAACTTGACAGCTATATGGATGGACTAAAGACGCACACAAAGCAGCCGCATCATGACGACATGTCGACTGGTTGCACGCTCGAATGCGACGAGGTTGGGGGTGAAGCACTATAGCAAGTCCTTCCCAGAAGCGCCGGCGACGACAGACGAAAACGGCAATGGTCTTGCGCTATCGCGACGTTGGGGCAGCCCCTGTCCCTGTCTAAACGGGCTCTAGCCAGATGCTAATCTCGCCAAGCCTTCCCCCCTCGCCCTCCCAATTGGTGGTTAGCAGACATGGCCATCAGGATGATGTCAGGTCCCCCAAAATCCCCCATCATCGTTAGATCGCGATTGAGGGGACCAAGACAGAAATATCGCATCCGAGAGGCTGGGAAGGGTTCGGCGCTATCTGCGCGAAACCAGGAACTGCATTATGGATTTCTCTCGGATACCGATAAGTGTCCACGAGTGGAGTGACACGGGTGTTATCGAATGGCGCACAGGCCGCAGCAGCTAACGTGGACAGCTGAATCGTCGGTTGCACCCTGGGGGTTTACTTGTGACTTGCCCTGGTATGGGAAAGGTCGAAATCCCATGCGGCGACCCTTGCATCTCCCTCCACGAATTGGTAGAAGCCCCAATGGGCTTCGGCTTTCCATGAATTGTCCGTGTCTTCTCCGAATCTAGGACTTGGGATCAAAACAGAGCACTGTGCTGAACATAAACGTTACTATGGCCGACCCACGCTAACCCAGAACTTGACACCTTGGCACTCACTCCTTTTTCGATTATACCACCATTATATACTGTGACATTAAGAATTGGTTACCAAGGCCTCGGCTGCGATTGAAAACATATGGCACATTCATACTTGGAATACCTGCGACTCAAGGCGATCGTCTCGGCTCTGCGGTATTTCGATGGAGAGAAGCCGGCTGAGCCCAGGCCCGATGACTCATTCACATTCAAGTCCAGCGATGGCCAGCGTGAGTTGAAAGTCAATGTTTGTAGGTCTTCTCTTCAGTCTTGCCGCAGCTCAGAATAGGGCGCAACTTCACATCCACGCGGCTGACCGCTTCGAGACAACTCCAAGGTCGGTACTGGACCGAAGCCTGTCGTCCTCAACTGGAATGGGGGTGCCTTTGTCTTTGCAGCCCACGGATCTGACGATGTCTTCTGCCGGCGCGTTGCCGACCAGACGGGGTATACGGTGCTCGATGCCAGCTACGCGTTAGCACCTGAGTACCCGTTCCCATCGGCAGTGGAAGATGCGGAAGAGCTCGTCTTGCAGGTGATCAAACGGCCGACCGAGTACGACTCTCGGAATATCGTCCTCTCGGGATTCAGTTCGGGTGGTAATCTCGCCCTTGCGGCGGCGTCAAATCTGAAAAGACAGTCCAAGATTTCGAGCGATGTCATTCGCGCTGTCGCAGTGCTCTACCCGTCTACTAACATGACGATTCCTCCTGCCGAGAAGAGGACCTTGGATGGGTCTCTTCCGCCTGTGCCGCCAGTTCTTGGAATCATCATGAACGCCTTCAGGTCTTCCTACCTCCCGCCTGGTGTAGACCCGGCTGATCCCCGAGCTTCAGTCCTGACGGCGGACCCGAATACCTTTCCCGACCGCGTGTTGATCATCACTGCGGAGAAGGACAGACTTGCTCCTGAGGCCGAAGAGCTTGCGGAAAAGTTGCAGAAGGCTGGGAAAAACGTGCTCTTGAAGCGGTTCGACGGCGTCGCGCACGGCTGGGACAAGACGAAGGACGAGGAGTCTAATGATGCGCGAGTTAGAGATGAGGCCTACAGTCTCGTCGTCAAGTTCCTGTCCGGTCTGGAGTCGTGAAATGAAAGTAGAATGCAATACAGTGGACTGGTTTAAAAGGAGCATAAAATGTAACTACTAATTACTCTGCAAGATATAGCCCACTCCATAATCTATGAGTCGAAGATCGATCACGATCCTTTCAGCTCATACTCAGAGGTACGTATCTGAAGAGGCTGAGTTCATTTGGACTTAAATGTTTTTGCATGTGTCTGTAGCCAGCTAAGCAAAAATGAAGCCATAGCATGCATAGTTGCAGGATTGCAAGAGGATCACATCAGAAAGATGTCAACGTTTCACAAAACACAAGAGTCGTGCGATTACGTACTGATTTGGCATTGTGAATCTGCATACGTGACGATGAAATTTAAAGTCTGGCAACCTATGTCATACTTCGGAGCCAAATGGACTCGTTTGATGATTGGTTATGGCTACGGCAGTGTTTTGGGTCAACCTGATAACTTGGCCATAGTCCAAACTCACACAAGGCAAGGCTCCTTCATGGCAATATGGAATGCCCGACTTCGCTACAAGTGATGACGAATGCATACTGTCAGCGCGGAAATGCCGCAAGGAATGCTGCAGATGGCTGTGCCCATCGTTCGGCGGCGGCCGGGTCGTACTACAATAATGTCGTATTCCAGATTTAGCACATACAAGCTGGCGGGTTTGGGCCAATCAAAGCGACAAAATTGTTCGTATATCACTGTCGGCTGATTGCCCCCCGACTGAAATTCAAATATGAAAGCTCACGCGCTTGGCCTCGCTATTCAGCTATACCCGGATTTGTGGGCAACGTTGCTGGTGGCGTGCACAGTCGAAAGGTTTTCGCATATTGCGAGCAGTATATATTGGCCATGGTCATTTCTCGACTTCTGACCAGATCCGCATTCTCAAAGACAACCACCAATCTCCTCCTTAAAACCACAAGACCGTGTCAAACAACTGTCACGATATTATCACCATGAGGGCCTCATCCATCCTCACGCTCCTTCCAGCTGTCTTTGCAGCCCCGCATACCTTTGTTGCACGGCAAGATGCACCGACGACTATTGTCACATCAATCACTTCGGCCACAAGCACGACGACCCCTTGCCCTACCCCGGTGGTTCCACCTCAATGCGTGGGCAAGCTAAATGTGCACATGGTCTGCATGTTGCAGAAGCTGTGGTGTCAGTATGAGGATTCCATCCGCCACACGCCGTTGTACAGCCCGACGGAGGACCCTTGCCCCGCTTGCATGCCGTCGATTCCATAAAGCGGTCTCGTTGTATGGAGGCATCGTATATGGCACGCTTTCTTCGTGGTAATTTCTATTTATACCTGTTCAAAATCGGATAATCGAAATCCGGGTCAAGGATTGGTGTCAGAGACCACTACTACGATATGGCACTGCAAACTTTAGAAAATTGTTGATACGGTCATGTGAGACGGAAGGTCCAAAACGTAATTTTGAATATAATATAAAGGCTACACATTAACTTAATAAAATAGACTAAACTTGATGGGTGTAGTTTCTTCTTGAATACATTCGTTAATGATGATCATGATTGCTACAAAATAAACTAGATTTCTCGTGTTGTGGATCATGAGTCCGAATTATCGTCAGACTAATGCTATGCAAACGAATTGGGCCGTAGCCAAGCACTAGCACCGAAGAGAGAGTTCCAAAGACATTGCAGAATACTATACATCGAAGACCCGATCATGAGTATGACTATAGTTAGTTATCTTGAATTGTATTTAGAAGACCACAGTTTATAATTTTCTCATGGACAAGTGTCTAGTATAAAAAGGGTTCTAAGCCGAGTGAATGGGTGAAGCGGGTAGTATCTTTGTTACTACTTAGAGGTATACTGATGTTTAGTCTCTCCTACTTTCAGAACTACAGACGTTTTCTTGTACGTTTTGCAAACGGTCATCTGTGACTCGACCACTTATATATCAAGAATACTCATGGAGACGAGGACTAGATTCTGGAAAACGAACCACTATGGGCCACTAAGGGCTTCCCGAATTAGGAGCTGCTTGATCACTTATTCTTAACCAGAGAAATTTACACTGTGGTATTACTGAAGCTGTAGTTGAATTGATAGTACTTCCAGCCATAAATTCGCGCCCCACTGGAAGAGCTTCGGATGACTTTAAACCGCGATCCCGTCCAGCTATCTGTCTCAGGTAGCAGTCAAGACGATAAGTGTAACTGTTAACTCACGCAGCCGTGGTTCCAATTCTGGGCGTCTAAGATTTCTCTAAACATACCCTAATGTGGTTTTGTATGACATAGAGACTGACAACTCAAACGCAATCATCACGCAGCTCGCATTGTAGTTACCGCGAGACATGTATCGTCTTGGCCATTTCTGCACTGCTTTCTTACGTGGGGGTTGATGTAATGCTGCTCTTCCGTAAAGTCACACAGTCTTATTTTTGGATATTTATAGAGCCAAGGAGACGGGTGAATCCTTCAGTCCAAAGTAGCAACCCAGGGGTTGCCCACAGGATTGCGTGAAACCCTCAGGTGCAGGTTGTCCACGTATCAACACTTTGCCCCACCTCGAGGCGTAATACGCCATGCATGCACTCGATCCTGGCGCCAAGGGCAGATGTTCAGGTGAAATATGGAGGAAAACTTACCAAATCAAGTAATTTCCCTTTATTGCCATCTGATTCATACAGAAAAATAGCGGTCGCATGCCATACAAATGCAGAGAGCAGCTGCGAATGACTATATAAGAAAATGTACCAGCTATAACCGGCCGGCTCACGTAACTTGAAAATTTCGGCGCTAGGCAACTGAAAGAGGGAAGCAGCGCTGTGTTTTTACTGCAACCCCCGTCCTAGTAAACGAATAAGACGTCATCTTTGGTCGTTGATATCCTATCGGGAGAAGCAAAGCAAAGCAAGAGGAAAATACGGAATGCTTTCAAGATATGGAAAGAGGTTTGATTCGTCAATGTCAAAGTGCCATGCAGGTTTAAGTACTAGGCCTGGTGATCTGCTAGAGATAGAGAGAAAGCGGACAAAGTTGACTTTTTTAATGCTTGCACACGAATTTTTGCCAAAGCCATCTGCGGATGCGTCACACTCTCGTTCACGCTGTGAGGAACATATTCGATGGCTGTGGCATGCTTATGTTTCACGGTGGCGCATGCACAAATCCATCGCTCATCTGAAAATAATCTTGGACATGATTATTGGCCTTAGCGTTCATGAATCGGAACCGAGTGATCCCGCCGTATCATACTGCTGCCCAATGAAGCAATTGGCTCGTCTAATAATGGCTGCCTTTGGCGGCTAGGTCTAGTCGCAAAAACCGCTGCACCTCCCAACAGCCTCAAGAGGCATGGGTTGCCAGAAAATCTCGGGACCGCTTTACCAAACCCATGGTGGGTGCTGCAGGTGAAGTTCAAACCATACCTGAGCCAAGATCCGAATTGCGCTGTCAGCTGTTTGAACCCATTCCATTTTAAGACAGCCTTGTCATCTGCACGGAACCGAAGTGGAGCCAACGGTATAGCCCGCACTGAAGGATCCAAATGCAACATCAAGGGCTCTCGTTTCGGTTAGCTATGTTTGGCTTCGGAAAGATATGTCTTGCTACTCAGCCTATCAAAGTGGATAGCATGCAGCCAAAGTAAGAGCCTACGCAATGAATTTGCAACTGCAAGGAATGGCGGCGCTTGGGGGCTTTTGATAGCCAGCAAATCTGCACAAAAATGCACATAGACACATGTTTGAACCAAAGTCCTAACATGTAGTACCGAGTAAGGACCCGATACAGGTCAGTGGATATAAATTATGGGGCGTCGGCTTTCGGTCGCAGGAGACAAGTCCCCCAAACTCATGAGTTACCACTCACGCAAGCAATCTGCCATGGCCCCATTCTCCCCAATATTGGCGCAGGCCATTCAGGTGATAACCAAGTCGCTTTCCCCCGTTCCTAAATACTCGGTGACTCCTGGGAATGACGAAACCTTCAAGGAGACAGGTCTGCTGAAAGACCTTCAAGAATTAGACTCTGAGGACTATAAAACTCTCAACGACTTGGTCCAAGTGTCTGTGAGTGGAGAAGAAGATGACAGTGAACTCTTTCTTGAAAGACTCGTGACGCTACTGGCTAAATTACCTCCTCATTCTCGTGTGGGAAAGCAACTCACAGATGGGTTTGTAAACAACTTGTGGGATGCCCTAGAGCACCCGCCACCTCGCACACTCGATAGGGATTACCGATATCGCCAAGCTGATGGATCCTTCAACAACCCACAAGTTCCCCTGATGGGCGCTGCCAACACCCCTTATACCAGAACCGTGTCTTCAGTGATATTTCAGAGTCCTGATTTGCCCGACCCAGGGCTTGTCTTCGACAGCCTCATGGCTAGAGGTGACGGATCTTCTTTCAAAGAGCACCCAAATAAGATCTCCAGCAGTGAGTTGTAATCGAGAATCATTCTTTCCCCTTTAAAACAGACATTAGCTTGCAAGTTCTGGAATTCAAAAATTACATGCTCTATTGATGTACTCAGTCATATATAGCTAATTTGGTATGACAGTGCTGTTCTATCTCGCTGCGATAATCACGCATGACTGCTTCCAGACTGTACGATTTGAGCCTGACTTATGAATGTTCCAAATCTTCTTGCTAACTGGGCTCAATGATACAGGATGTGAAGGATCATAATGTTAATTCCACATCATCTTATCTCGACCTTTCCCCACTCTACGGACGAAACGAAGACGAACAGAACGAGATGCGAACGTATGAAGACGGACTTCTGAAACCGGACTGTTTCTCCTCGAAACGTGCCTTTTCACTACCTCCGGGGATAGGAGTGTTCCTTATCATGTTCAATCGTTTCCATAATTACGTTGTATCTCAGCTTGCGCAGTATGTCTCAATGATTCCCACTTGCCATATAAAGCAGATCGTTACTAATCGGCTCACAGCATTAACGAGGGGGGCCGATTCACGAAGCCTAAATCCGATCAAAACTATAAGGCATGGAGAGATTATGATAATAATCTGTTCCAGACAGGCCGGCTAATCACTTGTGGGTTGTATGTCAACATCGTCCTGAAGGACTATGTCCGAACGATTCTAAACTTGAATCGGTCTGGCTCCACTTGGGATCTTGACCCCCGTACACACGAGAAGAAGACTGCCATGAACGGGAGGCCTGCACCACAAGCCACTGGTAATCAAGTGTCGGTCGAGTTCAATCTCATCTACCGATGGCATAGCGCCATATCAAGGCGTGATGAGGAGTGGACAACGATATCTTTACGCAAGGCACTAGATGGCGCTGATCCTGCAAAATCAACTGTTCCCGATATGTTATCTGCTCTCCGCCGTCTCGAGGACCAGATTTCGGACCAGCCAGAGAACCGAGACTTCGCAGGTCTTAAACGCGATGACGATGGGACATACTCTGACGACGAACTGGTAGAGATACTAACATCCTCCATCGAAGATGTCGCAGGGGCCTTTGGCGCCAACCAGGTCCCAAATGCGTTGAGAGTCGTGGAAATACTAGGCGTTGCTCAGGCTAGATCTTGGCATGTTGCAACACTCAATGAGTTCCGGCAACACTTCGGATTGAAAAGGCACGCAACGTTTGAGGACATTAACCCCGACCCCGTCGTCGCAAGTAAGCTCATGGCGCTCTACGATTCTCCTGACTCTGTTGAGCTCTACCCAGGCATTGTGGCAGAAAAGTCGAAGCCTCCGATGTCCGGCTCTGGACTTTGCGTCAACTACACCACCTCTCAAGCCATTCTATCAGATGCCGTCTGCTTAGTGAGAGGTGATCGCTTCTACACCGTTGACTATACCCCCAGAAACCTGACCAATTGGGGTTACAATGAGGCGAATTTCGATATTGACGTGAATCAAGGGCACGTAATGCACAAGCTTATCTTCCGAGCCTTCCCCAACCACTTTGCTTACAACAGTATATACGCACATTTCCCGTTCGTGGTCCCCAAGGAGAATAAGGTGGTTCATGAAAAGCTCAATACTGCTGAGAAATACTCGTGGGCACGGCCTCAACGCAAGTTGGATCCAGTAGTAATCAAATCGCACAAAGCCGTCAGCACTGTGCTGCGCAACAATCAGGACTTCTACGTGCCTTGGGGTGAGGCCATATCTTACCTCGTCAGCCCACCGGGGAAAATATTCGCAAAGGACTTCTGCCTCGCCGGCGATGGCCAGGCTAACCGGCAAAGTCGCGTTCATGTTGATCAGTGTCTTTATCAACCGAAGCAATGGGAGGACGAAATCAAACATTTTTTCAAAGTTACAGTAGCCAATCTGTTGAAGAAAGCAGCTCAGACACTCCCGCCGAGTCCAGCAGATCCGGGCATCAGCACCCAAGAAGTTGATATCGTCCGTGACGTTATTATTCCCCTGAACACACGCTTTGTAGCAGAATTCTTTGCGTTGCCTATCAAAACCACCGAAACGTCTCCACACGGTATTTACACCGAGACAGAACTATATGGCCTGTTGACAGCTATGTTTACTGCCGTATTCTTTGACAGCGACCCTGCTTATTCGTTCAAGCTCAGGACCCTAGCTAGGGAGCTTGCTCTAGGGTTGGAGAATCTGGTTCGACTTGAAGAAGAAGTTGATATTCGGGTGGGTTGGCTGAGCGGTGTCGCCGCAAAACTCGGGCTTGGGGCTAGTTATACAAGCCCGAGTGCCAAGAAGAATGGTGAAGAGGAGTGGCCAAGTCTGCCAAGCTATGGAAAGCAATTGCTTTCCCGCATGATGGAGAAAGGAAAGTCGATTGAGGAGTGCGTGGCCGGTACGGTGATGCCCATAAGCGCTGCGGGGACTACCATCATGTCCGGTCTGCTTTCACAATGTTTGGACTACTACCTTGGAAGCGGAAGCGAGCACCTTCCAGACCTTTACAAGCTTTCTCACGATGATTCTGAAGAGGCAGATGAAAAGTTACTCCGTTAGTAAGTTCCCACAACGGGCCATGTCTCACTGGAATCAAGCTCATCATTTTACAGCATGCTCGAGGGCATACGCCTCCGTGGAACTGTCGTTGTAGCCCGTCAAGTACACAGCCTGGCCAGCACGCAAAGCATCAGAGATGATGTGCCTTGCCTTGCCAACCCTTCTGATCCGACTGGCCCAGCTCCAGTGCCGAATCCCAACCGTGCGTCCTCACTCCGCACCTACAAGATAGTCCCAACGCAGCGTGCAATCATCGACCTAGTAACAGCGTCCCACGATGCACTCGCATTCCCGTCACCGGAGACTGTGTCTCTGGATCGTCCGTTGTCATCTTACCTCCCCTGGGGGGCTGGATCACACAAGTGTCTGGGTGATGGGATCACCCGCGTTGCGCTGGCAGCGGCTTTCAAGGTCATTGTAGGCCTTCCTGGGTTACGTAGAACACCTGGTCCGCGAGGCGAGTCCCGAAGTGTTGAGTTCAAGGAATGGAGGGGTCAAGCTGGGCGAAAAGCGGTAGAAGGGGGTGGAGAGGAATGGTCCGGCCTTAGAGTCTACCTTGCACCCGACCAAAGCAGATTCTCGCCCGTGCCAACAGGAATGAGGGTCAGGTGGAGTGGAGTTGCCGGTTCGAATGTCGGGCTCGGCAGCAAGGGCCAGGTCCACGAGGCGGGCTGGGTTGATCTGAGTAACTAAAAGCCAGGGTCTCGTAGTTAGTCCAGAGACACCCCTTTCCCTTCCAGTCATGATGATCCTGCCTATATTAAATATTTACAGAGGATGATACTTGTCACGTCTACGTTGAAGTTCATGTCAGATGCAATTTTGCTTTAGTGTGATCCACCTTTAGCGTTGCTGAGTGGAGATCAGCATGGAGTATCAACAAAATTTAGTTCCATTTTTGAACCTGAGCTTGTGGTGGATTGAGCTGAGCTACTACTTAGCAGACATGAGCTGTGGTTGAAGTTCCCTGAGCTCGAGCCTTCAGAAGTCTGATATGCCTAAGGCAATCCCAAGCGTTGCGGGACTGGGACAATATCATGATTATTCATCGCTCTAAGTCTTAGTTGGTTCCCTGCTTTTTCTCACGCACTTTGCATAAACGGGATAAGCCAGCTTGGTGTTAAGTTACAGTCTCATCAATCCCTCCTGTGGTCGAGTCTTCTTCAGGAGTGAGATGCTCTCGTATTCTTGGCACAGCCTTGCGAAAAAGTATTCCAATTGGAGATTGGCGAACCGCTGGCCAAGGCAGATCCGCGGCCCGTGATTGAAGGGCACATACTGCCTGATTTCCAGGCTTCCATGTTTCTGTTAAAAGTTTGCCAATTGCAGTCCCAAGATTTTCGGGCTCACGATACGGTACGTACCCCATCTCTCCGGTAACCACTGACTGGCGTCCTCGGCACTGAGGTCTTCACGATTCTGTAATGACAGCAAGCTATATGCTAAGCACAAAAGTCAGCACGGATGTCGCAAGAGGCATCAGTCAAGGGAAAGAGACTTGCTGATTTGGGTGCCTTTCAAAACAGCGACAGGGGATCGGCCATCTGTTCCTCCGCCCCGCGGCAGGGTAATGTCTTTTACAGGCACTCGAGGATTGTATCCTACTGATTGTATGATGCAAAAAGCTTTTGGTTAGCGTATTTTACATGAGAGCTGGTGGGGTTGTACTCACGGGGATGGTGATTTCGAAGAGTCTCTTTTATGACCATCTTGATGTACTTCAACTTCCGCAAGTCAGCCAAGGTCGGCAGCGTATCGGAAACTATGCTGTTTGGGAGTCAGAATCGGTCACAAGTGCGAGGAAAACGGTCAACCCACTGTTCTTCCATCTCAGCCTTCATCTTGGCGAATACATGTGGTCTTTTCGAGATTTCATAGAATGCGAAGGCGAGAGCGGTAGATGAGGGATCCTTACCAACACTCAAGATGCTGGTAACCGCATTTTTAATGACTCTACGGCTCTTAACCTGGCGGATTAGGTCGTCGACAAAGCAGGGCGACAACGCTGCAGCTTTCTTCACTGCGACATAACGCTGACGGAATGAGCTGTCATAATTCACTCTAGATTGCTTGAAGATCGCTTTAAGCGTGCACACGCCAAGCGTAGGCCATGGTCTGAGACCAATCTGCCCCCCACCTGACAGTTGAATCAGGATCAATATTTTACCACTAAATGCCGCTAGCTGGGGCTGGATGGTTGCATTCGGGATCCTTCTAAGAGTCCTGACAATCGCATAACATGGGAACTTGGTTGCTCGTAAGATTGGAAGTCTATACCGGTGGTGTCTGTGCAATCTCGGTGGGTTGATCACAGAAGTAACTACCAATGGGAGATGTCACGGTAGCACCCTTGCAGGTTTGACGCCCCAATCTGCGCGTCAACGGAAGCGCTTAAACCAGACGGCATCGGTACATGGGCACATGTAATATAGTCGCCCTGCGCCGCACGCACAAGCGGGGTTTCGATCCGCATTTGGCCACACTGAAACCAAATGAGGCGGAGGGATCCTGTGTTGGCTGCGAGGCCCGCTGCCTGCTGCCAACAGTGTCGGACCGTTCCCTAGGATTGTTCGTCGAGGGTCGGAATCCATCGGCTCTACCTTCATTGGCGCCCTGGGGTTCTAAGCCCGAACAATATCCCTTGGTTCTCAAGTGCGGAAACCACGTCTTGTTATGCCTGCTGAACTTCGAGGTCCAATTGTTGCTAATTGACCTACTTCCCCCTTGCTATACAGTACACTCGGCCCAACGATTCAACCTCCGACATCGTTTTGTCGGTAAATCACGAAACACTCAGTCTATCTCGTTGGAAGATATCCAGAGGCAAACTATCCCGTAAAACTCACTTCCTTGATTATGTTGGAAACGTCTATTTCAGACATAGGTTCCATGAGGGGTTTCTTCTGGCTTTGTGCGGCTGTGCCTGTGTTGGTTCGTCTTCCTCACTCTCTCCTTCACCCAGCCATCTCGGCAGTTTCGCAGGAGTAGAGCAAAGGAAGCTGACACAAGCTAACCGCACGGCAGTTTCTCGTCAATGCTTTCTACAACGTGCACCTCCACCCGCTACGGCATGTTCCTGGACCTTTTTGGGCAAAGGCAAGCGGTATACCATCGTGGTATTACACGGTCACTGGCAAGCGCCATATTTGGCTCTGGCAGTTATTCCAGATCTATGGCAAGAGAATCCGTGTGGCCCCAAATTTAGTCCTATTCTGCGACCCGGAGGCCCATGCGGATATCTACGGCATGAAGTCCAATGTGCGACGGAGTCCATTCTACGTGGCATTGACGAAGGACATTCGGGAACAAACAACTTTAACCACCATCGACCCTACGGAACATGCCAAAAGACGGAAGATGCTTAATACCGCCTTCACTGATATATCGGTTCATACTGCCGCCGCGTTCATGAGTCAGCATATCGATCGTTGGCACCAAATTATGTTGGACGAGCACGACAGCACAACGGAGTGGTCTGCCTCCATGGACCTAAGCAAAAACATAGATCATCTTGTGTTTGATATTATGGGTGATCTTAGCTTCGGGAGATCGTTCAATACCAAAGAGCCCGGTGACAACCCTCTGAAGGAAGTACCGTACAACACTATCAAATACCTCAAGTTTTTTTACCCGGTAAACATCGATTCATCCATGCCCGAGTTACCCCAAACAAGAACGGTTGCTAATTTTAAATTAAGATATGTCGCTCTCCTTTGCTAAGCTTGATTCTTTGGCTTAAGCCTCGCGGCCTAGATCGACTCATCGCGCTTGTCACCCCACCATCTGTTCAACAATTTGATAAGTTTGTCCACGACAGTCTTGCCCAACGGCTTGAATTATATAAGAAGCAGAAGGATATTCCTGAGAATGAGCGCCGTCAGGACATGTTCTATTTCTTATGTCAAGCTCGAGGTTCCAGCGAAGGTCACGCAGCGTATACCGAAGACGAGCTCCGCGCAGAGGCTCTTCTACTTATTATCGCTGGGTCTGACACTACGACTGCTAGCCTCGCAAGTATTTTCTGGTACCTTGTAAGAGCCCCGAGATCTTATCAGAAGCTTGTCAATGAGTTGCAAAGAACATTCAGGACAGCAGAAGATGCCACCTACGGCCCGAAGCTAACGTTTTGCACGTATCTTCGGGCTTGTATTGATGAAGGCATGCGTCTTGTTCCCCCTGGGCCCTGCGAACCTCCCCGAGAGATCCTTTCAGGTGGTCTCAAGATCATGAATAACCACTATCCTAAGGGAACCATAGTTGGCACAGCTCCCTGGTGCGACTCCCGCAACGAGGAGGTCTACGGAGATCCAGGCATTTTTCGACCTGAACGCTGGATCGTCGATGAGGCTGCGGGAGTAACCAAGGAGATGGTAGCCGACATTCGCACTAATTTTCACCCTTTTCTGACTGGCCCCGGTAGCTGTGCTGGAAAAAATATCGCAATGGCAGAGATAATGCTTGTAGTCGCCAAAACACTGCTTATTTTCGATATAAGAAAAGCACCTGGGTCGACCTTGGGGGAAGGTAGCCCTGAACTAGGCTGGGGAGAAAGAGATAAAAAGCAAATCCAGGTCGTAGATGCATACGTCTCAGTAAAGCAAGGCCCAGAAGTTCAATACAGGAAGAGGGCGTCTCCTAAGGCAGAATCCGGTTGAACGTGAGCTAAGACAAAAAGCTACGATGGCTTGATGTTCAGAGATTAGGAGAAAAACTTGGTTTGGTCCACGCACATTGACAATAAAAAGATCTTCTGTTCTTTCGTCGCCGCCTTTTCATCCCTTTGTCCTCTGTATCCTTTCTAGTTTAGCTAAGCTGCTCGAACTCAGCCATCTTATTCCTTAACAATACATTTCACTGATACAAATCGCTCTCATTGCCATTGCAAGGACGCCTTAGAGGTGCCCGACTAAGGCAAATCATGGGCGCAAGTAGACCTCTTTCTCCACAACAATACCGCGGGCATGAGCAATCATGCACGGCTCAATATAGGAGGACTCTCGATACTACGTGATAATATCAGGCCTCCATGGGCCTGCGTGTGGAAGTAAGAGGGGCGTATTGCGGGCCGTACATCTGTTGCTGGTATTCAGGGTTCATGACAGTAAATTTGAAACAGCAAATCCGGATTCGTGGACGATATGCAACGAGCTAAGAAGGCCAAAAGTGAAAGGTCGCATTTTCGAGTCAGAGTTCTCCCAGCCTCTCTGCACAGCCATACAGATTGTTCTTGTTGACCTTCTGAGAACTTGGGACGTCACGCCGGCTGCTGTTGCTGGCCATTCTAGCGGCGAAATTGCGGCCGCAGACACGACAGGCAGTCTGAGCAAGAGAGTGGCCATCATTACCGCTTACTTTCGTGGATACGTTACAAGGACTAAGCTCTTCAACGGTACTATGGCTGCCTTTGGCTTAGGCGCGGACAGAGTGAGACCGTACCTTCCTGAGGGTGTTGTTATTGGCTGTGAAAACAGTCCCAATAGCACAACCATCTCGGGCGACACCGCTGCTATCGATTTAATCCTCAAAAAGGCTCAATCAGGAGAATCCCGACGTATTTTTCCGTCCTCTTCGAGTAGACAATGCATACCATTCGCATCATATGAGGGCTTGTGATGCAGCTTATGAGAATTTGATAAAAGACGTCGCTGCTGCGGGTATGCCCACTATGCCTTTCTTCTCCTCCGTTACTGGGGAAATTTGTATCTCTTCCACGTGTTTTAAACGCTTCGTACTGGAGGAGAAATCTCGAAAACCCTGTCCTCTTCCACGCCGCCGTACAGAACATCATCCATGCAGACATCAAGGATCTGCTCATGGTCGAAATTGGGCCTCATTCTGCTTATGCCGGGCCTTTACGACAGATATCCCAGGCCGAGAGCAGGGCGCATACATATATTCACTCTTTCCTAAGAGATCGAGACGATACTCAATCGAGCTATGACTGTATTGGTTCACTCTAGTGTAACAATGTTCCTGTCACGATATAGGAGATATATAGAGGAGCGGAACAACATTAATCAGGGGGATCACCCCCTATATAGCAGGCTCCTCAGCCCATTTCAATCGTAGCTCCTCAAGGATCAACTCAAGTCAATCCCCATGCTCTCGCGCGCGTTCTAGTGTGACAACATCTAATACGCGGCGGAACCATGTGGTTTAGGCCACGTATCATTGACAATTGCGCCAACTGGGCCATAACTGTTGAACAATTACGTAGGATGAGCTTGCAGCGTAGCACTTGCGTGTGTGCAGACCGTTGTGCCTTGTTTTCAGATGTATCTGTACTGTCTGCTCTATATCTATAACTTGATAGTTGACTGCAGTGTTGGCTGGCCACCTGCATCATGTTCTCAGTGCCTAACCACCAGCCGGCTATTTAACACTTAGGAAAATGTGGTATTGCTTACTCCATCCGGAGTAGATCGTGGGAAGGCACGGACTAACTACAGTACTCCTTAGTATACAGTGTATGGTCTGCTGCGCAAACTTTAGCCTCTACATCATTCTCATACACAACACATTCACCCATACACTACCTGACATAGGTGGTCCTCAACATGTTAACCTGAGCTGAAGCTCTCTGAGCGAGGCTGAGCCGAGGTTGAGCCAGTCCACCTTCTTGGTGGAGTGGTATGGAATTGAGGGCTAACCGGATATGGGTTCCGGAGGTGGTTGCTCTTTGAGACAGAATAGCTGAATAGCTGAAGAGAAGGGGTTTGCGGGAACTCTTTAGCGGCAAATCCCCCGTACGCCCGGCGGAGACCGAGCATTAGTTTACCTCATAACCCCGTCAACTGGGTTAGCAATTGCAGGAGAGGTTGCACCTTGTGAGTAGAGTCAGTGAAGGTCCCTTGTATTCAAAGCGGATCTGAGACGGTCTGTGGCTGCAATGTGGAACTTCAAAACGGACCGAACGGCTCACGTGAGGCCCGCCCCTACCATAGACAGGATGCCTCTGGAGGCACCGTGGCCTATACAGTCCAAGTACGACAGATCGCGTAAGCTAGATAGGTAATTAGTCTCCAAGTCGCCTATCAAGACGTCATTAGTACCAAGGGTGTCGACTGGTCAGGTGCGTGGAAGCAGCGAATCGGCAGTAAGTTCGGTATCAGTGTCCACTGTCGGATAGGATCAAAATGTGGAGGGACCTTACCCGACAACTGCACTAACTTTGTGACTAGTCGGCAACTGGGCGATAAGCCTAAACTATATTTACTTCCCTAGCTATGGGATCCTCAAAAGGTGTGTGGGCTGAAAAACTATCCAGAATTTGAATCCTGCAGTCACCTACTTTCAATATGGCAGAAAATTCTATGTTTACTGAGGGCCAGTTCCTTCTGGGCACTTTCGCCAGCAACTGCAGCAGTGGCATGTCAGTGACGAAGATCGAGGAGCGATGGGTCAATTCCTGGGAGAACAATGTCAAGCTCGCAAAGTTGCTTGACGAAGCTGGTATTGAGTTTATGCTCCCGATTGCCCGTTGGATCGGGTACGGAGGAGAAACCAACTTTCACTGTGATGTTTTGGAAACTATGACTTGGGCCACCGGATTGCTAGCCCTTACCAAGAACATTAATGTCATCTCTACAGTCCACACTGCTGCCAACCTTCCTCCGGTTGTGGCAAAGCAGATTGCCACAATCGACAGAATCAGCAATGGTCGGGTTGGCCTCAACATCGTTGCTGGGTGGAACAAGCCAGAATACGAAGCATTGGGTCTTCAGCTGCCAGCTACCCATGAGGAACGATATGAATACGCACAGGACTGGTTTGATGCCATCAAGGAGCTGTGGACTAAGACAGAGTCCTTCGACTACGATGGCAAGTTCTTCAAAATGAAGAATATCTTAGGGCTACCGCAGCCATCGAGGAAGGTTCCTATCCTGAATGCCGCTGGCTCGGGACAAGGACGAACGTTTGCAGTCAACAGTGCCGACTTCTTGTTTACCCCTGCCATTGACCTGGAGAGATCCAAGGGTGAAGTTGCAGCACTCAAGGAACAGGCGAAGGAGGCCGGAAAGAAGGTGGGAGTTTTGACTCTCTCACATGTTGTTTGCCGCCCAACTGAGCAGGAAGCCAAAGACTTCTACGACTACTTTTGCACAAAGAACACTGACGAGGGGGCTGTGGATAACCTTGTTGCACTGCAGTTCGCCCATGCACAGTCTTTCCCTCATGACTTGCTCGCATTGATCCGGAACCGCATGGCAGCAGGACACGGAGGTTACCCATTGGTTGGAACGCCGCAACAGGTTGCAGACGGTATCATATCGCTGCATGCTGCTGGCTTCAATGGCACGACATTGTCTTTTGTGGACTATGTAAAAGAGTTCCCTTACTTTAGGGATAATGTCTTGCCAATCCTTGAGAAAGCCGGTATCAGAAAGCCGTGGAATCCGGCAGCCGAACAATGAAGTTAGCCAATAGTAGAATAAATCGAAATAGGTTTCGGTCATGGACGTGTTGTTTATTATGGCTACTACGTTTTGTTGGTCCTATTGGCAATTAAATCCTATGTGTCTTCGTTAACCGACTCATTCACTCTGTTTGCCCAAGATGGACTTGTCTTTGTTTTCTGAATAGCACTTTGGGACAATTGTATATTTTATGGAATGGTGTAATACTTCACAAATACAAGTCGACCTGGGCTGACGGAAGCGGAAGGTCGCAAGGCCCAACAAGTTTTGAAGGCAATGTATTTGGTAACCATTTCGGGTACTAGCGGCTGTTATATGGAACTGTTCTTGGCGCCTTTCGCTTCAATCATCTATTCATTGAGATCCAATGGTTTTTTTCATGACCTGCTCCATTAGGCCAAGACATTTCCAATGATGCACACCGAGTCGATACAGGACAGGAAGCTCTTGGTTACTGGGGACCGATAGATCTAGGGACCTTGGGAGCAATGAGTGAATCATGGATTCGATGCAACTTTGATTGACTGACTTCTCAAGTTGGGCACCTTTGCGCTTCATGGGGTGTCATTAGGAATACGGGGACATCCGGAGGAGGTTTTATCTTCGATCATTTCCCACAATCACGAGAGTCTACAAAAGCCCACTGTCCTCGTTGCGATGACGATTCTATAAGCCGAAATAGTCTGGTTCTACTACATCGGTCGCGATTGTCATCACCCAATTTCACCATTCGCAGATCTGCGTCATGAAATCTACTGTGGCTTTGAGTCTTCTATCAGGGGCTTTGGCACTGCCGGCCGCGAACCCCGCGCCGCAGACAGTGTCTTTCGGCAAGAGAAATATGCTCACTCGACCCAATGGCGAAGCCAACGTTGCCGGAATCTTAGCGTCCTTGAACCACACATTGCATAAATATAATCTGAAACCGCTTCCATACTACGCTCCAGTCGCTGTGCTGCAGGCAGAGCTGTTCAGCGTCGACGTAGAGAAGAGACAAGCAAACCTTCCCCTGATCGATCAGACGCAGCTTGGAACCGAAGATGTAGCATACTATGGCTCCATCACCATTGGAGGTGGCGATGGGAAAGCACAGAAATTCAATGTCATCTTTGACACGGGCTCTGCCGATGCTTGGGTCCCCGGTCCTTCCTGTACTAAAGCGAGGGGCTGCACCCATACGACGAAGTACGATCAAGGTGGACGCAACTTGGGTACGAAGACAAGTATACAATATGGGTCCGGCTCCACCGAGGGCGAAAACTACGTTGACGACCTTACGATCGCAGGCCTTACTTCAAAGAGCCAAACCTTAATATCAGTGACTACGGCTGCTGGTTTCACTCAGGTCGATGCGGATGGCCTTGTTGGGATGGGTTTTTCCAGCATTGCTCAGGATAACGGGACCACGGTTTTCGAGAATCTCATTGCTCAAGGCACAGTTCAGGCGGATGAATTCAGCTTCTACCTTGGTCGGGTCTCAGAGAAAACAGGAAGGAACTCACAACTGACTCTCGGTGGCCGCGACAGTACTAAGTATAAGGGGAATTTTGTGACTGTCCCTGTTTCGTCCCAGACCTACTGGCAAGTTGCACTAGACGGTGTCAAAGTTGGAGGTAAGAAAGTAGCCGGTACCGCGGGTCAGGCAGCCATTGATACAGGTACCACTATTCTTTTGGCCCCTACTGCCGTCGCCAAGGCCGTATTCGACGCGATTCCTGGCAGCATCGGACTGAATCTGGCTGGCGAGCACATTTACCTATACCCTTGCAACACTGCTGTTACCAACATTCCGAAAATCACCTTTGCTGGCCAGGACCTCGCCATCAACCCACTAGACTTCAAACTTGGTTCGTTAAGCGCCGCAGATGTTGACAACCTGGCCCTTGGTGACAGGGCTCTGGCGGCTCAGATCCGAGAGCAGATGGCTCGCGCGGGCTTATGCATTGCTGGATTTGCGGGGGGCGATTTGACCGGCATTGATGACCTCTACATCGTGGGAGACACATTCATCAAGAACTGGTATTCTGTGTTCTCTTATTCTGCTGCTAACGGCAAGCCGGCCGTGTTATTCGCCCCCAATATTGGCCAATCTTGTCAATGGATCGGTGGGTATGGACCAACGGAGTTTATCTAGGGTGAGAATGAGGCTCAATGAGCATAGAAGTGTTGTCTTAATTAAAGCCACACGTCTAATAAAAATTTCGCGTCAGCATTGGACCAGCTTGTGGATTCCACTTAAATATCCTCAAAATTGTCGTCACTGATTTCATTGAATCATTTTCTTGGCCTCTTTTCTAGTGTGCAGGTGGCGTATGCCCTGAGAACAGGCGGCACATCCATCGACTGTAAGTCGCAAGAGATTGGAGGGGACGAGGGGAGAGAGGTATATTGCTTTGGGGTGGTTTTTCATTTGGATAGTGTAAATTTGAGTGCGTTCGTGCAGCGTGTATATGTGGCGCTTGGGTGTGTTTTGTGTGACGTATAAGGGCGGACGAATGCTTTGGCGTGGTTTGCGAGGCGTTGTAGAGCTTGGTCCCACAGTATAGTTGCCAGGACGGCGGAGCGTGGCCGAGGTGGACTAGTTGGCATCCTATAAACGTAAAGGAAAGGTATCCTTGGGACGAAGACCCCCCACTCTACCCTGTTATAGTGCAAGGTACCTAATTTGCTAAGTTAGTCGCGATTCGAATCCACAGAAGAAAGTAGTTAACTTCAGCTGCTAAGGTGGGGGATTACACCGATAGCAAAGCGGATCGAAACCGCGAATACAGGATAATTCATGGGAGTTCTTCTGATTTCGTATCACCTTTCGGCAACTGCAGGTGCTTCGTAATCAATGCATCATTGTGCTTACTAGGCCTGGAAGTCTATGTGGTTGACTAATATGCAACGGAGGGGGCGGAGTCTATGCTGACGCCATACATGCCAGAGGTGTCGTTTGGGGAATGGTCCAATAGTCCCCCAGCACGTGCGATTACAAATGCGCTGGAGCTGGCTTACAATAAAACAAATGGGTGTGGTCAGTGATTGCTGCCAATTATTTTGATCCTTAGTCCACAAACATCGAAGCTATTGACTTGGACCGTTCCGTTAAGCAACCTGATCCGAATTAAGAAGACCGACGCCCAGGTTTCAACATATACCGACAGGATGGCAGACAAACTTTTCATTGCCGAAACACCCGCCGAGGTCAAGGACGCTAAAGGCCTGCACCTCATCACCCAGAGCACTCCCAACGGGCAAGCCGTGCAGATCTACTTGGAGGAGTTGGCAGAAGCGTATGGGCTCAAATTCACCACGACCTTGATTAATATCTCAACCAACGAGCAGAAAAAAGAGTGTAGGTTACTTCCAATCGCTGAAACGTAGTGGGAAACAGCTCCGCGCCTTCGTGCGGGGACACCAGCCTTGATCCTGTGGAGCACCACTTTACGGAGCTAGAAGTGCTGACTGATGTACCAAGGGTTTCTTCGACTGAATCCAAACGGTCGCATCCCGGTTTTGGTCGATAACAGCCAGAATCCGCCCTTCCCTGTGCATGAGACGTCTGCTGAGCTTCTCTACCTTTTGAAAGAGGCCGACAAAGAGGATAAGTTCGGCTTCAAGGACGACTTTGAGCGCAGTGAAGCTCTGCAGTGGCTTTTTTTCTGGCACGGTTCCGGCGCACCGTATCAAGGGCAGACAAACCATTTCAAGAAGGCAGCCCCCGAGAAAATCGACTGTAAGTTCTGCTCGCGTCACTCACGAGAACCATCTGACAGTTCAAATAGACGCAATCAACAGGTTCCACAATGAGACGCTCCGTGTCTACGGCGTGCTCGAGATCCGTCTCTCGGGCAAGTATACTGGAGAGCCACGGGAGTACCTGGCCGGAAAAGGGAAGGGCAAGTACTCTGTGGCAGACATCAAGACCTGGCCGTGGGTGAAGGGCTGGGAGAGGACCGGATTCAGTAAGCAGGAAATGGAGGCTTTCCCGCATCTCCTGAAGTGGATTGATCGCATCGCACAACGTCCGGCAGTGCAGAAGGGCATTGGGGAGAAATACTCCCAGTCTTAATATAGGGTATAAAAACATCCGTCAATTTTAAAAGGGGGCTGATAGCACCGTCAATTCCCTATTATGAGTATCGTTATTGCCCCACCACGTGACATATCATACGAGGTAACGGTGGAGGAAGTTCGCAATTTACGGCGAGTCTTGAGCATCGCCGAAGGCATGTGCCGCCCGAATTTCATATCACTGAATTCCATAGGCCAATGATAGTTTTTCTCACTATCATGCGCGTTCTCTCGAGAAAAGCCATTCCTCTTCTTTGATTGTGCTTTTGCAACAGTTGACAATGCCGCACTTCAACATGAGGATAGAATGGTTCGGGAAATTTGTGATGATTTTGAAAGGTGTTTCTATTTAATATCCTCTATATGAGCCCTCTGGTAGTCTGCATTCTCCGGGGCATTTATTGATCGTAGCTGGTTTAGATCTACCAACAACTCGTGTCTAGCCGAAACTGTTCGGGCTTCTGGTCAATGTATTGTTCGCTGACAAACTCCTCGATAAAGGGCTACGATCAGTGAACAGACATTCTCTTACAGTTTCGTGTCATGTCTCCAACCTGGCATGTCGGCAAGGTCTTTTGGCGGTGCAGCACGTGTGGACTTCTGGGCGTCGCCTCCTGGCCTCCATCTCCATGCATGGGTAAGGTCGTCTGAAAGTGATCCTTCGATAAGCTCAACAACATGTTTGCCGATTATGGGCAGGATTTTGAAGGAATGTCTAGAAGGATTAGCAGTCACTCAGGTACCTTGACATCTGAAGATTTTACCCGCTGTCTCCTGTTGCGAGAATGAAATTCTTCCATTTTGGGTGTTCACAGATGAGCAACTGTGAGTCCGCCGTGTCTGTACACCAACACATCGCCCTGTTAAAAAGCTCTCTCTTCTCAAAGCGAGGCAGATATGTCGAGATGGCCTGTCGTATCGTGACTTCAGACGCATCTGGGTAGGTGTCCGTAGGGTGTTTGGCATGTGACCGAGGTATAGATACAGGCTTTGGGGCTGAGGAGCCAAATGGCTGGTGCTGTTTAAATCGGGAAAACCCAGGAAACTCATCGCAGACCTTGATTACACCGTGTCTGACAGAGAGGGGTTAGTACCGGGTCTCAGAAGAGGGCAGTATTCCACGACTTACTCGTTAGGCTCAAAGAAAAATCCAATATCGCCATTGTATACCACTGGCACACCTTTGTACTCCGCAGCTTCTTCGGGCGAAAGCTGAATGTGCGCATATACCCACGCCTTGAGGGTCGAGTTAGATACATAAGTTTTGGGGGCTGGGTAGTGATCTTGCCTTGGAACAACATTGGTCTTCGAGGTCTACGAGTGCTGGACTCCAAGCACCGGCAGCCAGAACGACCTTGTCAGCATAATACTTGGTCCCATCTACAGTCTCGACACCAACGCAGGTTGACCCATCAACATCCAGTAAAGGCTGCTTGAATGACCCGGCACTGCAGTTGGATACGTTAGATTGCGCCCAAGTTGGATACGGCCACTACTGACCTGCCAAAACCAAAGTTCACTCCTTGTTCTCTTAAAAACTCCCCAATGGCATTAATAGCCTTTGCTGCAGCGAGCCAGCCTCCGTCCTGGCTCCATATCGCTTTCCACCCCTGGAAAGCATGTTGTGTCAGCTTCATTGAATGAGTGTTCTCCAACTGAGCAGGTTACCTCAATCTGATCTCTCTGCAGGAGAGGCATTTTCTTCAGGATCTCATCTTCACTGTCTAGCCACTCGTGGGTTGTTTCGAGACCAGCACCAGCGTCAAGGATTGCTTGGTATTCTTGGCGCAGTGCAGCGACACCTTGCTCTGAGCTCTCGCAGTCTATCTAGATCTAGGTTAGCACAGATTTGCCTTTTATCTGGAGGATGCCTTACTCTGCCAACGTTGTGGAAGAATGGCTTGAATAGCTCATCTTCCCTCCACATCTGCCTTGCCTCTAAACTGATCTGCGTATCGACTTTGCTGCGCAAGCGCACACCCATGATCTTGTTCAGGTCATTGCCGGCCGACTGTGCGGACGGGATCTGGAATGTGTCCAGAACAATGATGTTTGCCGGGGCGTAGCCGAATCTGATGAGATGCAGTGCAGTTGACGAGCCAATGGTGCCGCCACCGCCGACCACTATGACTTTGGTTGTAGCCCGTGATGCTGCCATGTTGGAGTTGTGGCCGGCCTCCGTTTTGTGGGGCAATACGAGGTCAGGTGTACCGATTCCGATTTCATGCAAAAGTGGTTTGAAGATGTTCTTGGCTAGCAGATGGCTTTCAACTTGATCCTATATACCACACATCCAAACTTGTGCACTAGGTTGGCCATCCAAGCTGACGGGCCCTGGGTCCACCAGGTCGCACGTCTGTGGTTGTCGCCCCATCGTGCCACATTGGGTCACACTAAACTTTCTCCAAAATCCGATACGTAATGATCGAGGGCACAACGGATAGCGCCGGTTTGATTCTAGCGGCCCAGGGGTTCGTGGGGTAGCAAGGGGACCCATGGATACGGTCCTGCAGTGGCATGAGTGGTCGCCGGCAGCTGGGTGACTCGTGACTCGTCGTCGCATCGGAGCCCTTCGGAGCGCACCCTCGCCTCGCTTGGACCTTTCTCTCGCCTGGACCTTCACTCAGAGAATGCCAGGAACCCGCCAGGAACCCGCCAATCACGAGCGTCCCCAGACCTCGAATTGGCTCGACCTAGGCTGGGGAAAGACGCACTTACATAGTACGCCATCCCCAGAAAGTATCCGATGATAAGCCAGGTACCCACCTGGCTGATCTGAGCATTATAGCTCCCTATGACACTTTAGAGTTGGCAATGCATAAAATGAAGCCCAGGAACGCTCTCGTTTGGGGTTCCATCGGTCGCAATCCCTTTCATCATTCATAGGAAGTCAGTAGTTGTTCGTAACATCATCTCGCGATGTCTCAGTTCGACACTGCTCCTCCCAACACCCACGCTGGTGGAGACGATGATGCCCTCCGAGCACGGGGCAACCTCCCCATGAATGCAACGAATAGCGCCGACGATAGGGTGGATATGGAGGCGTATAGGCAGAATGTACCGCTGTGGAGACGATTTTGGCAGCACAGTCTAACACAGATGATGCTCATCAGCATCCAGGCCTTCTGCGGCCCGGCTATGGCAGATGCAATTGCTGGTAAGTTTCGGGCCGTTGTGAATTACTTGTCCAGTGGCACGCAACTGACGTGTTTCACAGGACTTGGTGGAGGTGGCTTGGCAACTCCACAGACATCTAACATTGCGTAAGTCGCTTGAGTTCCGTCTACTTGTAACGAGATGCTAAACTCGCAACGCAAAGTACTGCAATCCTGTACAGTATGCTTGCTACCGGTTAGTCTTACAGGCTCTTGTTGGACGCTTTCAAAGACACTGACCAGCATAAAGTTTGTTTCCTTGGTGGGCCCATTGTCAACAAGCTGGGTGTAAAGTGGGCACTGGTGCTCGGAGCTATGTCGTTTCCCATTGAAGGCTCGTCCTACTACTGCAACAGCAAGTTCGGCAATCAGTGGGTGAGTGCAGTCCAGGTCTTTCCCCAGACATGCATGGATGGATGCTAAATCCAGGCAGTACCTTATTCTTGGCGGCGCCATCAGTGGTATCGGAACGGGCTGCTGGTATGTTGCAGAGGCCGGAGCGATTATGTCCCTCGCGCCCTCTGGCGCACGTGGAAAGTACCTGGCATTGTGGATCGTGTCTCGCAACCTCGGCCAGCTTGTTGGTGGTGCCATCAAGTAAGTTAGGATACTCCATGAGTCCTCTCCATTGGAACAGTGACTGATAGCTTGTCGTACCAGCCTGTCCAAGAACTTCGAAAAGGGCGTCGAGGGTGGTGTCACACCAGACACATATGTTGCCTTCTTGATCATCGAATGCCTGGCGTAAGTATCTGTCCCGGTGAAGTCTCTGATGTTGCCAGGTCAATGCTGATGATTTCCAGTCTGCCATTCGCGTTCATGATCTCTCCACTAGAGAAAGTGGTGAGGTCCGACGGAACGCGCATCCTGGTCTCGGAGGCACTTTCAACGAAGGAAGAATTGAAGCGTATTAGTCGTACTATGACGTCAAAGCTCATCCTGCTCTCGGCGTTCTGGGCTCTATGGTCATTCTTCTACAGGTGAGCAAAGCTATGCGCTGTTCAATGGGGCATTCTAACGTTGATATCTAGTGGTACTTGGTCAACTTACCTCGCCACGTACTTTTCCGTCCGCTCTCGGGCCTTGTCCTCCCTGGTGTCACCGTTCTTCTGCATGTAGGTGGTACTCTCTAGCTCTCAAGCTTTTGTCAGCAATACTTACTTAGACGCAGTGTCGGCTGCTTCGGTTTGGGATTTATCCTCGATCTGAAGTGTCTCAGCCAGCGACGGAGAGCACAGCTTGGTCTTTTCACGGTCGTCGTTCTCAACTTGGGCGTCTACATCTGGTCAATTGTCATGCAAGTGCGATTTAATGCATCCGACCCTGGAGCGATCGACTGGGATGACAGCCTGTATGCATCCTCGTTCCTCCCTTACTTTTTCGTCCAGACCACCGGCCCGCTGTCGCAGTCGTACATGTACTGGCTTCTTTCATCATTTGCCACTGATGCCCAAGGTAGGTCGTTGACCGAACACGTATATGAACCACTAGCTCATTGCAACTGTAGCAAATGTCCGCAACGGTGCTGCATTCAGATGTCTCGAAGCTGTTGGCCAGGCAATCGCTTACGGCATGAACACTAAGACAAGCACAAGCCCTTTAATTGGAATGTAAGTCCCTCATGATGCTCCTCACCTCGTGTTCTATCCAGCTCACTGTTCATTCTCTAGGTGCGTGAGCTTTGCCCTCATGGCTGTTGCTGTGGGTCCGATGATCGTCTTGGTAAACTCGACGCCTGACCGGATCCCGGCCGATGTTATTGCTGAAGAGATCCATGGTGTTGAAGTTGAGAAAAAGTCCAACCCACCAGTCATTGTCTCTGATGCAAAGGTTTGATGCACGAATACAATGATAAAGCCATTTTCGTTGGAAATGGTGGGTAGGCAAGGTATTCCCGAGATGCAGAGTTCGATTGTGATATCACTTTGTGTGCGTGGTTCAAAGTCCAGTCCTATATAGTACCTGAAATCAATCCATGAAGAGAAGCTATTTATCCAACTAAAAAATCAGGACATAGCTTGCGGTCGCCGACACTTGTTGACTGGCTCGAGATTGACGCCATAAGTAGCGTAGATTTGGCAGCCCAACGTACTCAATCAACTCTCTTGAGGTTTCATCGATCGACATGCGCATGAAACAGTCGGACAGAGCCTATGTATGCATGCTAGCTGAGTAGAAAACGATTCCACAGATATTAATTATCCTTGTAAAAGGTTGGGAATGAGAGAGTGTATGGTTGACAAGGGGGGTGGGAGATGGAGATAGAGAGAACAAAGAAAACGCAAAGGAAATCAAGGGTCTTCCAGGGGCCCAAAAAAGTTTGCTCAGCCACAGGATTGAACTGAGGACCTTCGCATAAACTTGATATTTCCGTGAGGAGATATTAGTACGACGCTCTAACCAACTGAGCTAGCCGAGCAACTTGTTTGACATGACTGGAGGTTATTACTAACTAGCTTGCTAAGCAGCTTTTCCCCGCACCTGTCCCTCAGCCTTTTCCCTGGTATCTCACCACGATGCTTAGTTTGCACTGACTGAGTTGTAGGCTAGTGAAACAAAGACTGTGATTGAAGGTTCGCCAATGACAAACATTTGTCATTACAGGAGAATTCGAATCTCAGCATCGTAACTTATACTCAACTTGGACCAGGGGCGGTGATGCCGCCTTTGAAACCCCACCGATTTAGCAGTCCAACACCCCTAAAATTGTGGCATCCCCAGCATTACAGCCGCCTATGCACTCTAACAAATGCCGTGAAAAGCGCTTTCTAGCGGTACACAACCATGGTTTTCCTTTGTTCAATACACATTCGCCTCCTCAGAGCCAGCGCGGATAGACCAAGACCGTCAACGCGAATATGATTCATTGTCCACTTCCAAATCAGGTGCATCCAGATGCAGAATAGCCAGCTTGATTGCTTGATTACGTGTCCGGGTATCACGCATTTTCCCTCCCCCTTGGCTATCAGCAATGTCTCGCATACGCCACTACCTCAACTGTCGTCTCCTTTCCCTACATAAGTACTTCAGAGAGCTCCTCTCGCCGCAAACGCGGTGCGCAGTACCTTCTGCATCTGGAAGACGTGCTCCGGGCTCAACATTGTGTAATGAGCGCCAGGACTGTCGTGGAAGCGCGCTGGCTCCTTTGCAAAGTCATTCCAGGGATGAAGGTGTTGGCGCAGCCACTGCTGCTTGTCTTTACCCACAGCGAGGAGAGGGTTTGCAAAGAAGACGTCGATGTGATCTACCGTTCCACAAGGGTCGTACCTGTGGGCCAGCCCTTGGAGCTGCAACGAGATGTCGGCCCAACGCGCGATTTTCTCTCTGGTCAAGTCGAGCTCCCTCATCTTCTCGGGGGGCGCAAGTGCCAAAATTCTGTCCAGGATCTCATCCCGGGTGTAGCCCGCCTTTTCACCACGACATATTCAGTATGCTATGTAAATGTCAACGATGAAAAGTTCTGCACTTACCTTGTGGAAATCAACACCCTTCTGGACGGCCTCTTCCTCCGTAATGAATCCTAGGAAGTAGGATAGATTGAGGAACAGTTCACACCAGTCAATCTGAACCATTCTCCATTTGATGTGCGGAGGACCATTGAGAGACCCCATGAAGACGACGTTACCAGCCGCCTCCAGCTTCTTGGTCGTCTCAAAGGCAATCATGGAGCCAAATGAATACCCTACCAAGACATACGGACCATGGGGCTGCCTTTGCTTGATCGCGTGCATGTAAACACTAGATAACCATCGTCAGCGCATGACGGCGAGTTTGAGAATTGACGGCCATGGCCTACTCTGTCATCTCATCAATCGAGGTAAACATCTTTTCGCCCGGATTGAACCCTGGTGCACGAAGTGCATAAACCTGTCTGTCCGAGAAGAATCTACCGATGTTGAGGAAAACCAGGACTTCACCGAGCCCGGGATGAATAAACCATATCGGAGTGCGCCGAGACGGAGCTGACTGGAGGACGACGACAGGGTCATAGACTCCTACCTCACCGCTCGATGATAGTGCCTTGGCCATGCTAGAAATACTTGGGTTCGTAAGTAACACACCAATCGGGATATCGGAGATACCAAGCTGGTCCTGCAGTACGCCCTTGAAACGTAGAAGGCGTATGCTGTCAACGCCGAAATTAACGAGGCTGTCATCAACGCCAACCTCCTGCGGATCAAGTTCAAACTCGGTCGCGAATATTCTGGCCAACTCACTCTCCATATCTGTCTCCGGGGATTTGCGCGTCTTTTTACGGTACCGTCGCAGGCATGTCGCAGTGTCGTTGATGTAGTCGTCAAACTTTCCGTGTTCATAGGCCTGCTTCAGTGCAGTTCGTGACAGCTTTCCTAACGATGACTTGCCAAGCAACTTGGACGGCAGGGGAATGACCGCCGATGGTTTCTTGGAGCAGTACAGAAACGTAGCTTTGGCGATTTTGTCAATGATCGCGGCAAGAGCCGTATCCTCGGGGTTCGCTTGCACGGTCAGAATGGTGATGATGACCTCTTCACTGTTGCCGCCCTTGGGCCAAGTGGCGAAAGCACTTGTGAACGACGGCACAATATCTTCTTCTCCTACAGCAGCGTCTACTGCCGCTTCGAGTTCGTGAGAGAAGTATTTGACTCCATTGATGATGATCGAATCTTTGGTACGTCCACTCAAGATCAGATTCCCCTGGCTATCCAGGTAGCCAGTATCGCCAGTCTTAAACCAACCATCATGTGTAAATAGTTGAGTGGCGTTTCGTGGATTATTGTAATAGGCCTGTGCGACTGCTAGACCACTGAGCTCAAGCTGACCTGTCTCTGTGGAGGAAAGGATTGTGCCCTCCGTATCGACGATGCGTATACTGAGAGCGCTTGTACTCTGACCGACTGAGGCGAATTCCAGTTTAGCTTCTCTTTCGAGTGCTGGAAACTGGAAGTTGTAGATAGATCCAGCGCAAGTCTCTGTCATACCAAAAGCAGGACAAAGGACATCTCGAGGTGCACCAAACGACTTTATCATCTCATTGAACGCGATACCTGTAGCTACGGCATTGGCTTCGCCGCCAGATACAACCAATCGCAACTCAGACAAGTTGAAAGTATCATCGGATGCCTTGCCTCTGACAGCCTTGAGTACCGCCGCGAGAAAGAAATTCGGTGCAAAAGTGTAGCTCACTTTGTGTGATGCCAGTTTGTCAAGCCAGAGGAGGGGATCACGAATTACCATCTTAGGCTCGATATGGACTTGTGTTGCACAAGCGGCAAGAGCATGTAAATGGATTTCAGTAACACAGGCAACATGATCAAAACCTGCAAATTAGGTTAGCAATGTCTATCATGGGCTATAGAAACTGTAGATCGACAACATGTGGCCGCTGATCTGAGCTTTAGATGCTCTTAACGATATTGTTTTTAACACCAGGGCTACGTTCCTCGCCGCATGGAAGAAGATGAAACTAGGCACTTACCAATCCAGTTGAGGAATGTGTCCCTCTCGGAAGTGCCGGTCATCTGGGATTTCGCCTGAAGTGAAGCTAGAACTTGTGAGTGCGTAATATCGACGGCTTTTGCCCCTCCAGTAGAACCCGATGTGAGCATCATGAATGCAGTGTTGTTTCCACCCCGCGCTGCTGTTTCGCTATGAACATTGCCGACTGGAGGCGGTTGCGTTCCTTTGCCTACAGCAGTTGCGAGTTCATCAAGCAATCGGATTTGCGTGTCGCTGATGGACACCAATTCAGCCCTCAACGATCTCACGGTGAGTACAGTAGGGTTGCCAAGCAGGGCGTTCAGGTGCTTCAGGTGCCGACCACTGGCAACCTCATCTGCAGGGAGAGGCGTCGACATCACAGGTATCGCATTCGCTGCCAAGACAGACCAGAACCAGGTCATATAATTTGCCTGCGAATCTAAGTGAAGCAGGACGACTTGGCCGGGTGACACGCCAAGTTTGTGTCTGATTATGAGTGCATTCTCCTATGATGTCTGATTAAAGTCTGCTTTCTTTGAGTGGCTTCTAAATGAAGGCAGAGAGCAGAGGAAACTGTTTGAGATCATGATGACTTACAGTGGCTTGTCGATGAAGCTCGACATAAGTCATAGCGATTGGTCCATCTTCTCCATGGAAAAACACGTGCGCACTCGGCGAAGCAGCGGCAGCGCGGTCGAGGAGGCCTAGTAGTGAAGCCATCTTTGGAGAGGCTAGCTAGTCATTGCTCGCAAGGAGTGGTGTTGAGAAGAAAAAGGCTGTGTTCAAAACGTAATGAAGGCAGAAGATATATGCCCTTTGGAAAACCCAAGGCAGCAGGTAGCCTAGTTCGATAGGTGAATATTAGCAGGATGTTTGGCTGAGAGCTGACTCCGATTGTGATTGGAAGGGGCGAAGCCCGATACCACGGCCTCGATGCCAGGGCTACGTTGAATCCTTTACTTTTGACCGTTGCCCCGGGATTGAATTTGACTGGCTTAAATTCACCTGGCTGGCCCCCATGACTGCGCCTGAACCTTTAATTGGGCAATAGTTCAGCATTGTTATATACCTGACGAAGTCACCTGGGCTCAACTGCTTACGACGTCCCAAGGTACCGAATAAGCCGAACGCCAGGGTTATTGTTCTCCCAAAAGCCAGACAATTGCGCTTGTCGCAGAGACTATCTGAGGTGAGACAACCTTAGTGCCAGTGGCCTGGAGTTGACCCGACGTATACGAAAGTTTCCGAAAGGAGCATAGTTTGAGTGCCTGCAGCTAACTTGGCCAATCTTGACTGGGGAATTCTGTCCATTGTATCGACGATTATAGGTAGCTTCTCAGCAACAAACATTCCCACAGGAAATGAGGCTATGGATGCCGCTGCAGGATATGCCCCTTACATTGGCTGTTGTATTACGTTCTAGATATGGTCGAGGTGGTTCCGCCAGAAACGAAACTTTGACGCAAAAAGTTGAATCCAAACAGACACGGAATGTGCTGGTGTAAATTGCTTCGTCCCAGCCAGGAACATTCAACATTCAACTGGGTTTTTGGGTTTTCTTCAGCAGGTTCACGCCAACGAGCGAGGTTGGGGGCGGCAACTGCACAGGTTGCAAATGAGCTCTGGGTGCTGCACCAGTGTTACAGATCTGGTCTTGTGCGGGCACTCCAACTTTGGTCATGTCCACGGGTAACAGGTGTGTAACTTGAAGTAGTAAAAGGCCAGGCACGCTTGAAGTGACTGTGGCAGTCGCGCGTCTCAGTATCTGGATGGAGAGATAAGATACCCGTCTGGAACAATGCCGGCGGCCACAACACAAACTAATGATCCGATATGTCCGCCTTGCCGCAACTGCATTGGCCGCACCGGGGTCTAGACTTATGCCAGCCTGTGCCTAAGTTAGAAGGACCCACGATGTTGTTGGGTTTGCCTCGATCCTGAGATTCTTACAAATCAGGGGTCAAAAAATTCACCAGTTGTATGGAACCAACCCCTCATTGGGGGGCCTCGGCTACCGGGTTGAATCAACAGCCCGAATTGGATACTCTCCATATGCAAATTGCACCACTGACGTTATCAATACTGATGTAATGACGTCTCCTCACGCATGATTCCCGTGCAATCTCCCCGTTTGTGTTTTACATAAGCACGCCTCTCGGGTTGGCGTGCTGACGCCATGGATCCCGGATCCGTAGCGTCGAACAATAGGCCTTAAAAGTGCCGGCGCCTCCCCTCCGTGTCCGCTTGGCCGCACCCGAGACCTGCCAGCGCAAAGGAGAAATTGGAAATCTTTGACAGCAGCGAAAATGAAGGAAGCAATTGTTTCAAAGGGTTAGTTATTGAAAACAATCGTGGCAAAAACTTCCGACTGACGTGTTGCACAGGACCGACTGTCCAGATTGTGGACTCACCAATCCCCAAGCCTGGGCCTGACGATGTTGTGATCAAGGTGGTGTACGCCGGCTCCAACCCGAAGGACTGGAAGCTGCCGGATTGGGTCGGCACTACTGCCAACCAAGGCGACGATGTGGCTGGTACCATTCACGAGGTGGGCAGCCATGTCACCGAGTTCAAACCCGGTAAGCTATTGTGCCTAATATCTGTCTAAGTTACCGCATCGACTGGTGTTCAATTTGGCACGCAAGGAGGCCTGTCAAGAATGCAAGGAGGGTCACAGATACCCCTAAGAGCAGTCATTTTCCTTGCTATGTTTGAAAATCGCCTGAGTACCCGTCGTGTTGTTATTAGACATCACCCCTCGCTTTGCCCTTCGCAACAACGGGTCAGATGTAAGCTAATACGAATGAACACAGGCGACAGAGTAATGGCATTTCACGTAATGCAAGCTCCTCACGGTGCATGGGCAGAGTACAGCTTAGCACCTGCACACACAACCGCCCATCTACCGGCCGAGACCAGCTTTGAACGTGCGTATAAATCTCTGCACCGCTCAGACGACGATTTGCTAACAAACTTTCCAAAGAGGGCGCCGCCGTTCCCCTGGCTGCGCTTACTGCCGCTGTGGGACTCTACTTGCGCCTGGGGCTGCCGGAGCCCTGGCGGCCGGCCAAGGAGCCGACGCCGCTTGTGGTGTACGGCGCGGCCTCGGCCGTGGGCGCGTACGTGGTGCAGCTGGCCAAGAAGAGCAACATCCACCCGCTGATCTGCGTGGCGGGCAACTCGCAGGACTACGTCAAGTCGTTCCTGGACCCCAGCAAGGGCGACACCGTCGTGGACTACCGGGCGGGCGACGAGGCCGTGGTCGAGGGCATCCGCAAGGCGCTGGGCGGCCTCAAGCTGTTCCACGCCTACGACGCCGTCTCGGAGAAGGGCAGCTACCAGAACATCAGTAAGGTGCTCGAGCGGGGGTCCAAGATCACCTTGGTGCTGCCGTTCAAGTCGTACGACGAGATCCCCGACTACGTCGAACAGGCTGTGACGTCTGTCGGGTGTGTCCACGACGACGACAAAGACTTTGGGTTCGTCTACTTCAGGTACATTGCCCGTGGTCTGAAAGAAGGCTGGTTCAGGGCCCAGCCCACTGAGGTAGTGCCGGGTGGTCTTGGTGGTGTCCAGTATGCGCTGGAGCAGCTGAAGGAGGGCAAGGTGAACGCCAAGAAGCTTGTCTTTGAAGTCAAGGCTACGGAAGGCGTGAACTGAGCGACCAAAACCTCGAGGGAAATGGAGTTCTTGGTTAGCGGGAAATAAAATGAAAGTGAACACAGACACCTGCTAGGTATCACGTATGGAACAGTCACTGCGACCTCGAACGACTCGACTCAATGTAAGGTGTTAGGGTATCATGACCCAGCTTGGAGAAAGCATATAGCCAAAAATTTGTGACATTTGAGAGAACTATACCATAACCATCCAATTCATACGGGTGTAAACCACATGGTACGTGTGACTGAAGATCCTAAAACGCCGTTGTAACGCCTTCGCTGGCAATGCTGATATCCCCCCATCTCAAGCCATGGAGCCACCACTTCTATTAGACCCAACCAAGCCAGCCATTTCTAACAATGCACGATCTGCGGCTACGTCCCCTGTGCCCAGGTTGATGCGCCTCCTTGCTTCCGCCTCTCTGGCCTCCCACTCCCATCTCTCTCTCTGTATCTTAGCCTCGACGTCGCCGCCGCATCCCCAGACTTCGATGTCATCGATTTGAAACCTCTCCTGGAAGTCGAACTTCCTGGTGACGCTTGTGGAGAAAGCACCACCCCTGGAAGTATAATTGTGCGTGAAGACACCGAACTCGAAGCTTGAGTCGATCACCAGAGATACTGGACCTAAGGGTCTCAGCGTCTCGTGCCGTGAGGCTTGACCTGACTTGGGCGGTGAACAGCCAATTGTGATACCAGGGTGGGTGACCGGAGGTTTTAAAAACGTGACATAGTCCTTATTGATGGCCGAAGTGGTGAATACATCATGCGTGGGGCCTAATTGGAACAATATCATGTCATCGCCACCGAAACACTCCTTATTAGTATGGCGCCAAGGTTGACGGACGAGAGCTCCAAATGTGACTCGATCTTGGCCTGACGAATTGCCATTCGGAAAGCGCTTTGGCGGTATTGACTCCAGAAAGTTGGACTTGGACCCGCTGCTCTCACTCGGATCTCCAAGCCTCGTACCCGAAACTAGGAGTATAGTAGGGGCTCGCCAGTTGAATACCTTGGTTTCAAAGCTGCCCATAGAAAAACCAGCGTCGGCCCCAGAATACAGCAGACGTAACCGACGAAATAGCTCGTTTCCAGGTATAAAAAAAGACAGCTGAGAAAGAACGTTCAAGTTCAGAATACGGCCTTTGTCGTGTAAGAGAGGTGGCGGCGGTATGACATGCTCGTCGATCCTTGGAGCACTATTCTTGCGTTTGGAGAGGTCCAAATTCTTGGAGAAAAGAAAATGCTCAAAGAGAGCATTGAATCCGTTGAATAAGTATGGAAAGTTGAGAGGGATGACTGCATTGAATTGCGCAAATGTGATGCCGGGAGATTTCTCCACATTCAGAAACGCCGATAGGATGTTCTCTGCTGTCGCACGCAAGCTTTCCAATTCCTCGCCCGCAACACGTGGAGCATAGGTGGATAGATTCTGCTTGACCTCCATCGGTGCGATGAGAATGAGCAACATCAATAATCGCCGGAAGTTGTCAGCTGGGATCATGGCGCCGTGCGTAGTCGCGGCGTGCATATCGCCAGTCTTGAATGCGTCAACGAGGTCGAGCGAATCCAGGGCAGCAAGGACCAACTCATCGTCATCTGCCGCATCCTCTTCCAATTCGTCGCCCGCTTCGTCAACCGCAAAGCCCTGTGCATGTGAAGCTGCCTCGCCGGCAGATTCCGCCCTCTGCCGCCTCTCGATCTCAGACACTTTGCGATCATACACTGCCAAGCTCTTGAAGAGGAGCTTCCTCCGCGTGGCATCGCCTTTCGCTAATATCTTGGTATATCTCTCCGTCATGATCGCGACAACGTTGATCATCTGCTCGAAACCAAGGACGGCCGGGGCGTCGGCGAGGAATGGGAAAGCACCGATGTATGAGACCATCTGAAATATGACGGGAGAGACACCAAGAATGTCCGGGAGCTCGAGAAATCGGGCGATCGTGTCCTCTTTGAGATATCGTACGTCCTGCTCATGATCGGCCAGCGATTTGAAGTTGTCCTTGAAGGAGTAGAGCTCTAAGGGTTCGAAACATTTCCGAGCAAACTTCTCGGCCTGTGCATCGCAACATGTCAGTCTAGGTAAGGCCGAGTGAGGTGCGCGAACAAGGAACTGCGAGATCATACCAGTTCAGCTGCTATTTCTTCTCGGGAGCGGTGCTCGACTCCTCCGGGATGGGATTGTCCCATGCTGTCGAGGTACGTGAAGCATCTACTGCGTCGCGGTGCTGTGGGTGTGGCGTGTCGCTGTAATGGCAGTCTTACACGACCACCTGTTCTAGCTAGACGGCAGATCGAATTATTTTGGTGCCAAAACAGCTCCTTTCAAGATGTAGCGTCCCGCCTGGAGCCTGCTCAGCAAACGGAGATAGATGTAGTGATGTAGTCGGGAAAGATGCCGCGGAACAAGCTTTCCAGCGGTGTGCTATATTTCTCTTGCACGTTGAACAGGCACCCGTGGGCCAAGACTGAAAGTAGAAATGGCGGGAACATGTGCTAAATTCGTCTACAGAGTGTATTGTCGAGGCCAGATAGGCTTGATAGACACGGTTTTCCTGGAATGGAGGTATGCATGTGAAGGTGCTGGGGAGCTGGAACGAGCGGCAGGCATCAGGCCGCCATTGGCAAGCTGACGAGCTGGACCCTTGGTTCAAACTGGATGTTGCTTGGCCTTGGTGGGGTGACGTAAGGCCACTGGACTGGACTGGGTGCGGGCGCTGATCACCGCTAAAGCTTTACTGTGTACCTTAGTTATGGGTCGACATGAGCTGAGTGTCAAGTTGCTGTATCAGATTCGTTAGAGTTGTTGCCTACCTAGGTATCTAGTATCGGTTCATATGCTATGGCATTTGGAGCAGTCTCCTCAGGTCTTTGGACTTGACATGGACGCCCAAGACCTATACGGAGTAGTTGGTCCATATTGAGGAACGCCGCATCCGCAGGCGCAGCACCCGCCGTCGTGGAACCGGCCTCCAGTTTGCCATGGAGCGTCTCTCATAACGTGCGCATGCCCATATTGAAGTGAATGTCTGCTCTCAGCCCTTCCCTGTCTGGGTCGACCTTGAACCCTTTGGCTAGTATCCCGCCCGCACCAGGTTGGACTTCGAACCCAAGCCTCGTCCAGAAACCGCCGGTTTCGTCCACAGCATAGTTTGTGAATAGCCGCGTCCCGCCTCTAGATTTGATGTCGCTGACCATCTCGGCCAAGAGCTGGCGAGCAAGACCTTGCCCACGCGCAGACGGATGCACGCAGAAGCAGCATACCTCCCAGTCTATGGAAACAGGTACCGCTTCGACTTTCGAAGTGCCTCGAGAGTCGACCTTGCTGAGCCAGTTCTCGCCTCTGTAGGGCAGCCAACCGGTACAGGCGACCGGGCTGTTCGATGCCGAGAACGCAATAACCATATGTCCGTAATCGCCGAGCTCCCGTGATAAGCCTTCGGCCCCTTTGGCTGGGTCTGGGTCCAGCCGTGTCCAGGTCGGCGGGAAGACGGAGTAATTCTTGTTGAGAAAAGCGGCGTTGATCACAGCGTGAAGCTCCGGCCACCAAGATTGCGAGGGAAGCGATGCCCCCGGGACGATGGCAAAGCTATATCGAGGTTGTGGTGTTAATCCAGCCATTGCAGTTCCTACTCAAGTAATCGGATCGTTCTGTGGTGGAAAGCTCTATATTGAAAAGTTGTTGCTCTGAAGGCCTTTTTGGTCTTCAGGCGATAGTTTCCTCCGAGAATCCGCCCGCCCATGAACGTTTGAGTCACTCGGTCAAGCTCGTAGATGGATACGTAGCTGCGCCGCATAGACCTCACAACTGCCACGGATGTTCTGCACCTATTAGGAATAATACATAAGTATGTGGTTTTACATTTCAACGACAGTATTGTGTCATTATATACAGAGGAGTGGTGTACACGATAAATAGATCGGGACCCTTTTAAGCCGCTTGGCCCTGTTTTGAGCCAGTTCCGAGAAACATAGAATATTGCAACTTTTCATGCACAGCCCAATTATTTCTTGGGTGCCTCTGTTGCTGCTGTTGCTGCCGCCGCCTTTTCATCTGACTGTCTCTGGTCTTCCGGTTTTGGAGTGCTGCTCTTCCCCGTGCCAAACCAACTGCCAGCATTTGACAGCGCCCCCAGGACGCTAGATCCCTCCTTCTTCTCTTGCACGGGGACCTGGCCGTCCGCGTCCGCCGTCGTCTCGGCCGTCGTGCCGGTTTGGCTATCTCTCTCCTCGGCCCTGCGGGCTGCGACCCTCTCCTTCCGGCGTTTCAGGTGCTCCTTGAGCTGCTTCTCCTCCTCGTCTCGGACCTCGAGCTCGTGCAGCCACTTCTGGTGGCGTTCCTCGGCGCGCTGCTGGGCCTCGAGCTTGATCAGCTCCGAGCGCTTCTCACGGTCGGCACCGTAGTAGGCTCCGCCGGCAACGATGGCGCAGACGGTGAACGCTTGGGCACCGATACGCGCGCGAAACATGCGCTGGACCTGGGCGTGATCGCCCTTGCGCATGGCGCGCCAGGCATTGTAGAGGGCGGCGCAGGTAAGGAGGGTTCCTGTTGTTCGGAGGGACTAGTTAGGGCGGGTGGGTTCTCGGTTGACCGTAAAGAGTCGCTTATTCGCACGTCACGTACCGAGCGGGATCAGAGGTTCCTCCCGCAGCTTGCGAGTCACTTTTTTGAAGCCGGTCTCCTGGTAGTTTCTGCCGGCATGGTGAGCACGTTGCTACAAGTCAGGCGGCGCAAGGGGTTGAGCTGCACGTACTGGTCCTCGTCAAAGGACGAGGGCATGGGTCTGTCGGCCATCGTGTGCAATGTTGCCAATGTCAAGGCGGTGGCATCAGTGGGTACTGGCCGGGAGCATGTGTCGCTGCGGCGGAACGCGATGGGATGCGAAGCTGCAGATGATCGAACGACCAGCAAAGTTGCTCAATGATGACATGGATTTTTGCGGATTGCTTCCAGAACCCAGGGCCCGATAGCAAGGGTATCGGGAGCTTCAATACGCTAAGATAAGCGATGGATGCTCAAGATGTTCCAGGCATCCCCTGCCAACCCGCCCTCCTGATGAGCCCTGTCTCTGGGCCCCGTAACATTAGATGGGGGAACGGCCAGTGGGTGGCCGGTTTTCGGTACAGCGGCCTCTTCTGCACGAGACACTTGGAGACGCTACGTCTGGTCGGCAGGTAGCTCGAGGTCTCAAAGGTGGAGGAAGGGCTATAATCACCAGCTAAACTCTTGCATCAAGCCGTACATGTGCGATTATATACTCTAGCGTTACCCCTCAGAAACCAAAGTTCCTTCAAATCCAAGGCAAGCATTTGAGCACTAAACAGAAGATATACCCCGAAGGTCCCTAACGAGGTACCCAATGAGGTACCTAACTACCTTCCAGATTCCAGGTTGAGATAGGTAGCCTCTCACAGCGGTTTGCGGTGCGCCAAGGACCCCGCTAACCTCCATTGAAGCTGAAGCTGTCGGCGAGCACATCTGCGGGCATGACTCTCAGTGCCCCGCTAAAAATTTCCGTGTCAATTGAGTTGACGTCGGCTACAAAAGCGGTGACTAACACCTGACACTTCGCATCTCTCGAGAGCCATTGTCTCAGACTGGACCTCACGATGGCTTCAGATCCTGTTGTAAATGGCGTGAACGGCACGGCAACTGCCAATGGCCGCCGCACGCCTTCGCTTTCGGGCCTCTCCCTCACCGAGTACAGCGCCAACCCGTCGCCGCGATCGGCCAACAAACAAGCTCACATTAAGCAGCTCGTACCCGACGAGCTGCTCCTACCCAATGGACACCCAGATGTACGATACTATCGCTGTTCCAGCTTAATCCCAGACTAACATATTGACGACATCATGTAGTATGTTGGCATGATCCTCAACTCGAGGGTCTACGAAGCCTGCAAGAGAACGTCTCTGACCCCCGCCACGAACCTCTCCAAGCGACTCGAGTGCAATGTCCTTCTCAAACGCGAAGATGAGCAACCGGTGTTCAGCTTCAAGCTGCGCGGCGCCTACAACAAGATGGCCAACCTCGACCCGGAGCTGAGCTGGAAGGGTGTGATTGCTTGCAGCGCCGGCAACCATGCCCAAGGCGTTGCATACTCGGCTCGCCAGCTGAAGATCCCGGCCACCATTGTCATGCCGCAGGGAACTCCTGCGATCAAACATCAGAACGTTTCGAGGATGGGGGGAACTGTAGTGCTACACGGTGCCGACTTCGATGCTGCGAAAGAGGAATGCGTCCGCCTCGAAAAGCAATACGGTCTGATCAACATCCCGCCTTTCGATGATCCCTACGTTATAGCCGGCCAGGGTACTATAGGATTGGAACTTATTTCCGATACCAATCTTTCCAAAGTGGACGCCATTTTCTGCTGCGTCGGCGGCGGCGGCCTCATTGCCGGTATCGGAGTCTTCATCAAGCGCGTAGCACCCCACGTCAAGATCATTGGTGTGGAGGCTGAGGATGCCAATGCCATGGTGCAGTCGCTCGAGAAGGGCGAGCGCGTATTCCTGAAAGAGGTCGGTCTGTTTGCGGATGGAGCGGCTGTGAAGACTGTTGGAGAGGAGACGTTCCGCATCTGCAAGGAGGTTGTAGATGAGGTCGTCCAGGTCACAACGGACGAAACTTGTGCTGCCATCAAGGATGTCTTTGAGGACACCCGGTCTATCGTCGAGCCTGCGGGTGCCTTGGCCCTTGCTGGACTCAAGAAATGGGTCAAGAACAACCCCTCCAGTAACCCAAACCGATCAGTCATTGCTGTCACCAGCGGTGCGAACATGAACTTTGACCGGCTGCGATTCGTTGCTGAGCGAGCGACCTTGGGAGAGGGCAAGGAAGCATTGCTGGCGGTCAGCATTCCGGAACGACCCGGGGCCTTTTCCGAACTCATCAACACCATCATGCCCCATGCCGTGACGGAATTTTCCTACCGATACGCTACAGACGAGGTTGCCAACGTGCTTGTTGGTATCTCGCTCACGGCACCTGCCAGCCAACGTGTGACCGAACTCGAGACGCTGCTGGAGCGAATCAACGCGTCAGGTATGACGGCCACAGATCTGTCGGGAGATGAGCTTGCCAAATCACACATCCGATACCTGGTCGGTGGACGGTCTAATGTGGCCGACGAGCGTGTCTACACGTTCACATTCCCAGAGCGGCCGGGTGCTCTCCAGAAATTCCTCAACACGCTGCGACCGCGATATAACATCAGCCTGTTCCAGTACCGAAACGGCGGCAGCGACGTTGGTAAGATCGTAGCAGGCATCCAGTGCCCCGATGCCGAGGTGGCAGGGCTGGAGAGGTTCTTGAAGCAGATCGGGTACCCATGGGAAGACTGCACAGAAAACAGTGCCTTCAAGACCTTCCTGAGGAACTGAGCTATCAGGAGTCTCAACGAGGAGTTCAAGGCGTCCGATGTAAAGTCTTTTTAAGGGGTCATCTACGGGTCTTTATCTGCGACTGGGCTATTGCGAGTAGCTGTTCTTAGGTCCTCAGGTATAAAAGCCAAAAATTAGAGAAAATAGACTAGGGTTCACAAACTCCAAGAACTCAAGATTCAAAGATATGTAATTCATAACGATGGGATTGGACGAAACGCAATCGTGTAAGTCGCCCGTAGCCAGTATCGGCGGCCCATGGGAGTTACTTGGGTGCGCTGTTGCTCCGGCCGGCAGAGGCGCCGCCGGGTTTTATCCGAAAAATTGCATCCACCCAGACCATGGCCTCGCCCATTCACTGTACCATGCTCGCCTACGACGTCGGCTGTCTCCCAGGCCCGTGAGATTCCTACGATAAAAACACAGGCACAATGTGCGGACCCTCGATATCGCGCTCGTCGAAGATGGCGACGTCAACCCTCCTCTCGTCGTTCAAGGCCCTGTCGCTGTCCGCCTCCGCGAAGCCCATCGCCCGGACGGCCTTCCGCGCGCAACAACAGTTCGTCGCGCGCCGTTCCATTTCCTCTGCGATCCTCCCTGCGACCGCAAGACCGACGACTATGAGGGTTACCACGATGGCGGTTAAGGCTCTGCAGCCGTCCCTGCAGACTCAGCAGACGAGAGGCATGAAGGTCCACAGTTCGATCAAGAGGAGATGCGAGCACTGCAAGGTACGTTGAACCGGTTTCTCCGTTCAGACGACGTGGTTTGGATTTGAAAGAATCCCGGCTAAGGCGAGGACGTCATGCAGGTCGTGCGAAGGAAGCGAGGCAAGCGAGGCAACGGATACCGCTACATCATTTGCAGCGCAAACCCGAGACATAAGCAACGGCAAGGATAGATGAGGAAGGGGGAACAAGACGATGTGGTGTACTGGCTGCACGACGCTGGGCTCTGGGCTCGGCCAGAATGGCATGATACGATACAGACGTCTGCCCTCGTATGGAAGTGTATTACTACAGCAGCAGCGCAAATGTACAAAAAGATTCAGGACCACGGCGTCAACAGGCATAATATCATCTAGAGACAACCGGCACAGGCAAGCGATAGAGCAACATGTCACGATACTTTGGACCAACTTCAAGTACCATTCGGTTATGTGTGCTATGAGTAAGGATGGCATTGCCCCTGGGCTACATGCCTCCCATATACCTCTCCATAGCCTCCCACTCCGTCTTTCCTGTAGACAGGAGGTATCTGATATGCCCCTGGGTTTTCCATGTTAGCTTTCCAAGGTGTTCGGCAGATTGACAAGTGGACTGGACTATCTGCAGCATACAATGTCGGTAACGGCACGGTGGCGCTCAAACTCGGCGCGGGCGAAGCTGCGCGTCTCGGAACGGGTCGTCGGGTCGCCGATGCGCCTCGTGCCTCGCAGGATGGTCCGGTAAAGCGACAGAACGCGCGAGCGCTGCAGGAACTAGATAGCAGTATATTGCCGTCAGCCGTGGGCTGTTTCTCGTCTCGTCGAAGGCGGGATTTCATGTGGGAGAACGCACATGATCCAGGCTCAGCGCTCCGCCGAGGCGGCTTCGATGCGACTCGGTCGCATAGCTCCGGGGCCCGATCGCCGACCGAAGCAGCCGCAGGCTGGAGGTGCTCATGGGGCGCATGAGGGTTCAACGGGGCCTGGCTCCTCACGGCATCGGATAATTGGTTGTCGGCTTCGCACGTTGAGGAGGACTCGAACGTTCCGTGTGTCCGTTCAATCAACAGCCTGAGCAATTAGCGAAACTTTTTGTTGGAGCTCCCCTGTTGCAGCTGGCTTAGGCAGGGATGGGTGGCTTGCAAGGTCGCCTTATCGCCGAAATATTGCTGTACCGAGGTGTTAGCATTTCGCTCCCTGTGCTTGCTGCACCAACTAAGCCGCCTGTCAATCATCTCGAGTGGCTGGCCTGACGCTCGAGAAGTGTGAGAAGTGTGAGAAGCGTCGACGGGTGATTGCATCATCGCAATCCACTCGCTTTCACCTGATCCCTACTCATAGCGCATGTTAGAACGATGGAGCTTCAGAATCGATGAAGACTTAATGATTCCTTTGTTCCAAGCCAACCTCAGTGTCGGCTGCCAATAGCCTACCATGGCGCCATCAACGCGTACCCCCGACCCCATCGAGGAAACGAACTTGAAGAGCGATGAACAGTTCATTGACGAAAATCTACGGCCGAGGTATGCATTTCATGCCCTCTGTCAACCCTTGATCAACACATGTCAAGTCAATATCGCTGCTAGAATTGCTTGGCATCTGAGAGAAAATCTACTAACAGTCAGCAGCGACGGCTGGGCAACATGGACACATCCCAGATCTCAGGAGTCATACTCCATCCGTCTATTACAAGCTGCCCAGATGAGCGCGCAAGATCTGAAGCTATGTCTGTCGTTGATAGAGGAGACGAGCAGGTCGCACTACGAGGCGTCGTCTCGCGGCTGGAAGCCCAGGGCGAAGCTGGCCGAGATGAAGTCGCCCGAGATGCGCTACGTCGTGGTCAAGGACTCTCAGGGCGAGATACGCGGTTTCACCTCGCTCATGCCAACGTATGAGGAGGGCCAGCCCGTCGTGTATTGCTACGAGATCCACCTCAAGGACGAGATGAGAGGGTAGGTTGTCTCTTCGAAAGATGATTTATGCAGCATACAGGCGCATACTGCTTAGCATCACGCGCATAAATCTTGTCACTCTGGTTCCCTGCTAATTAGTTCTATAGCACTGGATTGGGTGCTCATCTCATGGGATTTCAGGAAATGGTGGCCAAGCATACGCCAGCCATTGAGAAGGTCATGTTGACCTGCTTCACTAAAAACATTGTCGCCATGAGATTTTACCAGAAATTGGGATTCGAAGTAGATCCGATATCGCCTGAGCCGAAGAGGTTGCGGTTCGGGAAGACGTCGGTGCCGGACTATATCATCATGAGTAAAAAGGTAGTTTAGAGGGTTACGAGCGCAAAGACCGGCTAGCCATGATATTACTTCGTCGTACTTGTAAACCTGCCAGGCTTGGTTATAAGACTTGAACGCCGAAGAAGGGGCTAGGTGATACGTTTGACTGACTGATACATAGCCCATGGAAAGCATCACACCAGCCGTATCCGCTGTGCGTCAGGTGTTGGGTAGTACGACCTTCCCTTACGCTGGACCAGATAGGGTCGACAAAAATCATCTCACGTAAAGGTGCATACGATTGAGAGCACCGTCGTAAGTACCTTGCCATTTGCCGGCCTTTGTACATCTCGGTCTCTTGTGTCAGATGACCTGACTTGATTCGCCCTGGTTACAGGAAGCAAACCGTATGGTCCTACCATAAAGGACCAGGCAGGCAAGGCATGTATGCAAGGGGCTATGCTGCTGCTATGGTGGGTATCACTTCAGCCCTGGGCCGCTAACGACCTAAGGTTATTTTCGTAGCTCAAATTAGCAACCAACCATCAGCCCCAAGCCAAGCTTTTCTCGCTTGAGCTCGACATTGTCTATCACAATTCGCACGCTCAGTGTTTGGGCGTAAGTTAGACAATTCATTGATCATGATACTCCAGTTCCCGAGTTACCCGACGGGCGCAGATCATTCTATGAGAACGGGAGACTTACGCCTCCAGGCTGCGGGGGCTAGGCACTTCGCCAACTCCTTCACGTCGTCGAATGATCCCCGGGCTGCTGGTCACACACACATGAAGTCATGCAGAAAGCCGCACATTCCAACCGCGAAGCTGACGCCCCCTCCATTCCCTGCCTCATGATGTTGTTTCATTCCGATCCCAGTGCGGATGGGCTCTCGGCAAGCGCCACCAATTCCCACGCGAAGGATTGTCTCATGGCCTGAAGCGGAAAGATCAGGCTGACACCAGCAAAGCAACGGCGTTGTTGGCGGCCCCTTGGCACGATCTTCAGCTGCGCCTCCTGTCGGTGACCGTAGAAGCCAGAGTTGCGTCGAAAGATTGACATAAGTCGGCGCGCTCTTCTCGATGGCTGTGTCACTGTGCGTCTTTGCTTTTCTGTGATTTCATTCGATTCAATACGTACACGGTGTTGTTTTTGTGTTTTTATCCATCCCAATTTCCCAAGGAGTCACTTTGGCTCCTCTCGAAATCCTCACCCTCAGCCATCAACCACTGTGCGCCTGTAGAAAGGTTTTTCATCATGGCCTACCAACCTCAACAGCCGATGCAGCCAATGTTCCAGCAAGACAATGGTGGTGAATGGAAGAACAGTCTTTGCGACTGTTCGCCATGCGACAGCTGTATGATCAGCTTCTGCGTGCCATGCATTCGTAAGCGGTTCCCGGGCCTTGTCTGGTATATCCCACCTACCCACTCGCTGACTTGATTTCTAACAGTCGTTGGCCGAACGACCGAGCGGCTCCGTGACCCTACGATGCAAACTGCCGAGAGCATGAATAATGATTGCTTGATTCACGGTGGTCTCTGCTTTTTCACTGGATGCCACTGGATCTACACCATGCTCAAGCGTGGTGAAATTCGAGAGAGGTTCGGCATCCCAGGTAGTGGTTTTGGCGACTGCTGCGTTACCTACTGGTGCCACTGCTGTGCGGTCATCCAGCAGGACAACGAGGTCAAGACCCGTATGCGGCCTACCGGCCCTATCGATCAGCAATACCAGCCGCTACAGCAGGGCATGGTCATGCCCCAGGGTCCGCCGCCGGCGCACGCACCCCCTCAGAAGGAGGGATACACCCACCAATAGATACATTGTGGGATATAACTAGGGTCTATCGAAATCAGGGGGATCCTCCACATGTCCACATTGGTCAAACGTTATAAGATGTTGCGCACCATCAAGGGATGGTCTGCAAAAACAGCGAGGGTGATAATATGGAGTTGGGATTTTGTTGAGGCAGGCTTAATCGGCTCCTCTTCTTGGCTTACTATTTCCTTGCGATTACCCTAAGTCCAAAACTTAGATATGAATTACAGTTGCAGATTTCAGCGCCCACCTCTGTGGGCTGCTTTATCGGATAAAATTTGAGTCTCCTCCCTGACCAGTGTGTCTCCAAATTGGCTACAGTAACCAGACCTGGGCTTCTACGTTCGGTGTCGATATGGTGTTGGAGGTCGACAACCAACACTACCATCTAAGCAACACTGCATGAGTATAATGGATGATGACGTATGACTGGCCATATCTGTAGCTGTTGCACTTCATTCGGTGTCAAAACTTCATTCGCATATCATTGGCAATAATTCTCTTAGCAGGGGTTCGAAGTAGACTACAACCAGAGGATGAGGTCAAATAAGAGCCATCCCAGTCGATATCTTGTCGGTTTAATTCCGACTCAGGTCATCATCATATTCACATTGTTTCAATGTAATGGTACTGAAAAGTGACACTAAAATTAATGTGAACGAGAGCCTTGAAGATGACAACAGAGACCAGTACTTACAGGAAGGTATGCAAGGGTCGAACACATCGTCCCCGAAAGCTACTGACGCGTTCAATGCTTACTTGATTCTCAATGATTCTAGATTAAATGATCTGAGGATTCCTCGAAAACTAATAGCATACAAAAGTTGCGGCCGAATTCCTGTAGTCTGCTTAAACATATGACAGTTGCGCGTGTATCCGTACACATGATATTGTGTGATGCCTTAGCAAGCTACCCGAGATAGCGCATGACGTTGAGCAGTTAGATTTTTCCATCCATTGTTCTATTTGCGACTCAAGTTTCACCAAGATAGTAAGCAAAAAACAACATGATGCAAGATGTAATGTGTCATGATGAATTACCAATACTGTGTCCAATGGCGATCTCAATCGTCCACTTTCTGCATACCTACAGTTTTCTAACACTACTTCCATAATCGACATAGCTCCTAATTGTTTTTCGAAAACATGAAAGCATACAAGCCCTTCCAAGGTTGGACTTATTAATAATGGCAAATACTCTAGCATAGGCTACAGCAATATACACAATGCCCATAGCCTGGAGATCGACTTCACCGGACAGTACACTTAGCATTTTCTCTCGCCGGTTTTCAATCAGATAACTTGGTGTCAGATCAAATTGCAAGTGTATGTACATATACGGCGAGGGAAGGGCGAAAAGGATCAATGAGATTTGCGCCTTGTCACCTCACGCGAAGCAGAATTCGTATGCGGCGCCGCGCATGTTTTGGAATCGATCATGAACACGAAAGCAGCAGACTATGCGCCATGCATACTCATTGTAGCTCAATTGAGCTTGCTTGCATCCAAGTATATGCACTTTGCTTCACACTGGCACGAGTTGAACCAGCTCCTCGGATCTTGTTTCCACTTTGGGTATATCAAAGGGCCATTGGAAGTTGGTATATGCCCGGAACTTTCGCCTGGCGAGGTCTAGGAACCAGGCTTCCACGATGCCGTGCCCAGTCCTTGCCTCTAAAAGTCACATCTCGGAAATTATGACTGTCACCATCAACGCCGATTTTTGACAATTGAAGTGATAGCACTATAATTTGGTCAAGTAAACGCAAGTGTCCTCTAATCTTGTCCCTCTTCCTTGAAAGGGGACAAGATTCAGTCTCTTGATGAATTGAACCATACGTTTGGACTTCTGATTATACCTAACCTCACAATCCCTTTGACAGTCTACCAAAATCTCGCCAGTTCAACTGGTGAAGCTTCGCGAGACTATGACTGCAAGGTCATCATCATTCATGAGAGACATCTCCTGAATAATAAGACATGCTAACTCTTCTCCAGGCGCCGTTGATGCTTGCCCAGTTGGGTATGAAGTCTAAATTCGGGCTACAACTAACACATCCTAGGGTCCCGGTACGGCAGTTACGACAAATCGCTATGATTTAAGTTGGAAAGCGAGTGGTTCATCGTGGATGTTTCAGGCCAGGGCAAGTTGTGGCGATGCCGAAAAGTCCGGCTGGATGTCCATTCCCCCTGCGACTGTGAAGCTAGAGACGGCACCGGGTCCCAGGAACACAACTACATATGCCACAACGAACGCCATGACACTTATGTGGCTGCCCCCAGATGGGACTTGGAATATAGGCCGCTACCAGATTATCACATTCGACAAGGATACGGCCGGTGCATGCATCGAATATGTGGGCACGAAAGGCCAGTCAGCTGCCATCAGCGGACTTATACCAGGACATCATTATAGCGTGTTGGTAGCAACATGGACCGACAAGGGCGGCGGTCTACCAATTGGTGCCCGAACAATTACTGTTGGAGCTGGTACACCTCAAGCACCTGACGACCTCAGGGTAATCAGTACGGATTCTACTACAGTACAACTCCGATGGACGGGAAGTTCGGCCGCTGCAGGATATCGCTGGTGGACCCGCAACATCAACGATGGAAGTGCATCGAAAAGCAGTGACTCATTTTCGACTGATGTGCCCTGCCACTCTACTGGCTGGCTGTTCCCCGGCGTTTGGAATTTGAGTTCTGCATATCAGCCTATTACGGCGCCGATGAGTCTGTTGAGGGGAATTGTGTCACAGAAAGCAGAAACTACACAGGGGTGGGCCGTGGCCGCTTGTCCAGCATACAATCCCTTCATATTTGGGGTATCATTCTGTAGTATAGACATAAATAGCAGTAGTGATACAAGGTAGACTGCTGAACCAAGGGAGAAATCCCCACCCAGCCAAGGAACGGCCAATCATGCCATTAAAGAGACGTATATAGCCATCAGAGACCGCAAAAAGTAAGAAAAATCAATTGAAGCTATGCCAGATGCAGGCGGCCCGGTCTCTATAATCTGGATGGCGGAAAGGTCTTTGCGGACTGGGACCAATTCTCCGAATCAAAGAAATGGCGCAGAAGATATTGTTCCCAAAATATCGATTTTGGTGCTGCATTATTCGACTTACTCACCCATATGCGCTAATCGTGTACTTCAAAAGGCTGGTTCTGGTAAGCGTCACCTGATAACATATTGCGTAGGCTTGCTACCGCTTAATGCAACGCTCGACGGCGATCCCACATCATTTCCTCCAGATCAGCTCCACTACCTCGTCAAGTTCCCCGGAACGATGGTCCCCCTTTCGTAGATAGAGCTGTCTCATGGTATCACCGCTGATCTCCGTATCTTTGAGATAGTAGGTCTTGCGCCGGTCTTCGCTCACCATATCGCGCAGTGAGCCAAGGATATAATCATAGCGAGGATCTTGGTCACCGTATAATTTACCCCAGGTGTGTTCCATTTTGCTGAGGTCGATCGTATCTAATCCTTCGGAGTATACACTAACGGAATAACCATTGGATAGTATCGTATCGTTCCCGAAGCGCCATCGCTGGAGGAAACAGTTTCTAATTAGGGAAAAATTGTCAGCAATCAGTTATCTTGGTGCCACAGTACTGTTTTTGATTGTTCCACACAAGAAGCCGTGTGCCAAGTCCCTCGCGTTTTCTACTTACCCGCAAAATTTTGTTGCAGTAGCCATTTCTACAACTGGTGCATGGTACCTTGATGACAATCACAAGTCAGCATATTTTGAAGAGACTAATACACCGTGAAACAACATGAAGAATCACGCCAAGAGGGGTAGAGGTTTCGGGGTCGCATACCAGCTCTTCCAGTGATGTAAGTTGAGCGGATCCACGCCAGACTCGAAGAAGCCGCGTAGGTCACCGAGGAGGTCATGTTGGTAACTGAATTTCACCATTAGTTGTCCAAGCTATGCCTTGTAAGAGATTGAGTTACATACAAGCCTGGCAATACTGTCATTCTCGCTCTACTGTGGTGGTATACACAGTCGCGAATGATGATGTCCCCTAAATTCGGAGGAGACTCCTGGAGGCATTGAACGGCCTGGTCCACAGTACCGAGTTTCTTCGCCAGAGCTGCAGAGAGATATGCGCCAGCTCCACCGTAAGCCATGATTCCAAAATTCTGGATTGATCCAAAGTCTTCGGCCAAACCACCAACATACATGTCTTGGGTATGATCGAAGGCTCCAAGTGCATCGGAAAGCGGTGCCAAATGAGGGTAGAAAGTGTCATCGTCAAGAAGCCCAAACCATTCTGTTTCTGGGCCACTTTCCTCAACCATCCGAGTCAATACCATGAAGTGAGACTGTGATGTGGAATGTGTCCTGTCAAATGGTTCGATGAAGAAGGCTTGGATGCCACTTTTTCGATATGTGCCCTGAAGCTCCAAGACATCCTCTCGACGGTCAAACCAGTCTTCGACAACGACAAACAGTTTCGATTCTCGGCCGGAGCACCAATGCCCAATAGAAGGGAGTGAATCAAGCAGCCTGTTGTAGGTAGTTGCCATGCCGAAAATGAGATTGGGAAATGTCGCCCTTCCTGGATAAACATGGTTTACGGACAGGGAGATTGGAACACATCCTCCGACTGCTCCGCTTAAATCTCCCATGTGATCCAATTCGACCAACGCTTGCTCCGTGATAAGAGCTTCGGACACGTTAAGGACTGCATTACGATTGGCATTGGGTGATATGATCACTTCAATACACCGAGACGAATACTTGATAGTTGGAGACAGATCAAGGCCAGTTCTGTCATTCGCGAGACGAACAAAATCTAAGGTTATTACGTCGCCCGTGAAAAATGTGAAAGGAGGCAAGGGTGAGCCGTGTTTGAGGAAAAAATTTACAATGATGAACAGAACGATGCAGTATCCCGTGAGGTGCACCCAGCGGCGTTGTATACTGGCGTTTGCCATAATACAATAGATAAAAATATGGTAGAGGCGCAAATTTCATATCACGCGAAGTAAGGAGCGTCTAGGTTGAGCGGACACAGGAAATTCAACCAAGAAGTGGCAAAGATTGAATGACGGGTGACTGGGTAGCAACAGGGTTGGATGGGTGGGTGCCTTCGCTGGGATCGATGGGCCGCATAAAATCATATGTTGGGTGCGGCGGCTGATCTAAGTCTAATCGAGTCCAACGGCAATCATGATGTACCCAGGGGGCAGATGCTACGTTCCGGCGCTTCACTGCCATGGCGCCTCACAGATGAGTTCCTACATACCTAAATCGTCCTACAGGCGGGTAAGACAGCTGGCGATAATACTAGGCCCGCGGAAATTTTATTTCCCCCCGAAACTTGAATTGTCACGTCTACGTTAACCGTAAGTCAATCCTATGCTGCGAAGAAACATTTTCACACACCTGAAAGCTGCTGGTACAAAAGCGGAGCAGAAAGTATCCATGTTGGCTACAGGCCCATATATTACTATGATCCTTGATTATCGGGCCAACCGCGTAGATTCCCGTCACAGCGGCCCGCCATTTCATTGGCCGGCAGCGGGGCAACACGACATGGGGTTTAATTCGGCTCACCAGAACTTCCAACAAGAACAGATAGATGATTCGTCGTGACCAGGGAAGTATGGGCCTTTTGGCGCTTAAGAATTGTTTTGCGTTGAGAGTACATGATTCAGGTTAGCAGCAATCATGACTGCTTGGCGCCGCAGACGTGAGTTCTGCTAGGTCTAGGATAATGTTCCCTTTACGTTGAAGCATTCGAACAAATTACTAATGGAAGATCCCTATGCGAATGGTGGCTTTCTGCTTGTATGAGATGGGTTGAGAAATTATAGTTCTGAGGAGGAAGATCCGGCAATGGGCAACTACACACACATGTGCCGCAGGCGTCATCACGAAGACTGCCCAATATCACGGCGAACCAGCTACACAACTCTACTATAAGGGCTAAGCTAGCCCTCTGCCATACTTCCACAGTCGTGAATAAGCGGGGAATACTTTGCTCTCATCACGGAACTGACGTAGCATTGCCGACCAGGCTGTGTCTTTGAGGGTGTGGGGGCCGTTGAGATGAATACGGAAGCGCGCACCGATGCAATCCAAAAATAGATGCTCACATGAAGGTACTAGACGGCCAGCCTCCCTCAAGCAACAATCAAAGCAGCGTCCCAACAGCATTCATCATTTATCCAGGATCGGTGGTCATGGACGAGCTTTCTGGCCCAGCGCCCGGCTCCGCGCGGGCCACCGACGCTGAGGATGCGGGAAGTGCAGCCCGGGCCGAGTCCCCGCTTTCCGGCCACGGCGTCGCACATCCAGCAGAGGCGAACCAGGCTAATAGCCAAGACAACAATGAGCAGGATACCGAGCATAAATCATCAGGCGATGGAGAAGCTCGAAGGACCGCTGTTCAATATCTTCAGAAACTTCACGGTAGTCAAGGCCACGTTGGTGTAGACCGAAGCGTGCATGGAGCTAGCCTCCCGGTTATTCCCAGTTCTCAAAGCAGCAATGCAAGTCGCGACGTATCATCGCCAACGAAAGCTGCTGAGGGGCACCCGGAGAACGAAAATGCGCTAAAAACATGATGTGTTACCGAAAAATAACAATGAGCCACGTTCGAATCTAGCTTATGGGGCTTCGGACGCCGATAAACCCTTGTATTTAAGAAATGCACCTATGGAGTGGCCACAACCTTTCGTCTCTGACGACTTCGCCGTCACAGATGATGACTCCAGCTGGGTGGAGATATCCCCTGAAATGACCAGAGACAGAAGCAACCCGTCAAGGAATCCCCAAGTCTTGTATTCAGCTGGAAAGCCATCACCATCTCGTCGACCCGGTGGAATACGTAAAAGGCGCCCAGGATACCGAGGGACTCCCGGCCAGTCCCGCATTAATATGCATTTTACAAGATCGGGGGAAACACCAAAGCTGGTTATTGACCTGGATGGTGATTCAAAAGCAGATAATGCTGCAGAGACTGAGGAGGGGAATTTCTGGTTTCAAGTCAAGCACAAACGATGGTTTCAATTTTTCCTGAGAGACATGGACGATGTGCAAGGTTTCTCTGAGACTACGGGAAACCCCATGCTGGGGATAGAGGAAAACGATTGGGCTCAAATGTTTAATTCACCACTTGCTCAAGCATTTTGTCGCCAGAAGTCCAACGCAACTAAACCTGGCTTCATACCAGCTGAGAATCACTGGAACTGGTGGATGCAGGGGACAAGACCCGCTCACCGTCAACGTTTGCTAGCTACAGAGCTCGCAAGTCTCGGAACAAAGGGCCACCCACCAGGACGACAATCAAGCCTGGGGTCTCGACATGGATCTGAAGTTGGAGACAAGGATCCGACACTGACGAGCTTGTCTCATTCTGTCAGTGATGACAGAAGTGCACATGACGATGTTCAATTATCGTCTCAGAAGGGGATTTTTGAAGAACCATCATCTGATACTAGCAAAATCACTTTGTCCACAAAGCCTCCTCCTATAGTTCACGCAGGACCAGGGCAATATGATACCGAAGACGGCGTAGGGCGTTATGTTCCTCCAGTATCTGTGACTACACACCGCCCGCTTTCCTTGACTATCAAGCTTGATCCCAAGATATGGGAGCCAGCTACAGATAAGGTGTTTGGCGGGCCATGGAGGACCCCAAAGACAGTATTTCAGGGTGGAATAGAGACTGAGTTAACGACAATATGCGCCGCAGAGCATTCATTTGATGGTGAAGGACAAGAATTGACCTCCCTTATCTGTCGATATGTTAACGAAGCGAAGGTCCCCCACATGCTGTGGCTTTAAGTTCGCAAAAGGGGTCCGTCAAACTTCACATAATATTGATCTGGCATACAGGCACGTAAAACAACGAACGTTCACTTGAGTCTTCTAGAGGTATAGTTCAAAAAGCTGTCGCACGTTTGCAGACGAATGGATATTCTAACCCTAGTGCAGACGTACGTTAAGAACTGCCCTTTCACTGACTCACGGCACCGGCTCATTGCATTATCATTGCTGAGGCATGAGAAAGAAAAGATAGAGCAACAGCAGCACTTGAATTAACAATCCGAGAAATATCGTGTGTTTCGATGTGATGGAGCCACGGGATCTAGGTACGATCCAGATTGGTCCGTGACTTTCATTGCTCTTCCTTACTTGCTTCCCCGGAAGCGAGAGCATGATGTGAAGCCAGTTCGCAGAAACGATGTCATGCCACGAACTCTGTTGCAAAGTGCGTATGGCCAAGTCTACGGTCCATAGGAAAACACATCCAAATCGAACGGCGTTGTCGGTAAAGGCCTATCTGTGTCACATGTTTGGTGTCTTTTACCGGGCCAAGGTTCGTACGCCTTATACATTGATCAGAGCCTATGCTGAATGGCACAGATGTCATGGCGGAACTAAGAGGTCGCCAGATATCGTTGCGTGAGACACCAGGTCTCAATGGCCCACGGATGATCCGTATGTCTGATTCTGGTGGAAGGTCATATAATATAGTTGTGGAGCTAGGCTTCACCTACGCTGTAAGTGCAACAGTTCGCAAATAGGCCACTAATTTGTCGTTAGATTCAGGTTGAACGGTCTATACAGTACTAATCTTCAACAGGACTTCCTCAGCCACGTGAAGAGTTTGACCTCATCAACTCGCCCGAAAGACACTGGTTTTGACCTTGTGGTGAACAATGAGTGCGTCCTTACCGCTACGGAATGGGTCGAACTAATAAAAAGCCCGGATATGAATGAGATACAGATCAAACTCGTCATGTCAGATGATCACGCTCCATACGATAGATGACTAGTCCTCTATCCGAAGGCTAGTCAGCCATCCGTCTACTCGAGTGATGAGAGCCACCGTATTCCTATTGCTGATCCTTTGACACGCAACTCCTCATTCACATACGAACGACCTTTAAGTGAAACTCGAAAAAGGGTTCACTCGACGCGGTCAACCCATGATCCGACGTCTGGCTCCCAGGGCTCTAGGACACAGACCGTACAGACCGGCCAGAGATATACGGCAAGTACCGAACCGAACTTGACATACAGAGAAGTGTAGAACGGAAATACAGATCAGTAGGTACCCATTTACGAGTAGGAAAGGAAGCCTCTTGTTGAGAAATTGTACATTGTAGTCGCATCCACCCTAAAAAGACGATTCAAAGCTCAAGCCGACGACAGATTTCTCCTGAACGCCAGCCGAGGCGCAATCGGTCACCATCCCCACGGTCGATGGAGTCACCACGAGGGCCATCGGGAAATCGGCCAACATCGTCATTTGGCATGCCTGTCCGGGCGCAAACATTTGACGAAAATATCCTTAGAAAAGATAATGGCCTTGATATGAAGGGGGCAGACCTGAAATCACGATTGTCTCGAGGCAGGCCCCAAAGTATAAAAATTGAAGCATTGGCCACTTCTCGATCCTCAAACCCAAGTATGGAGGATGCCTTGATTCTACGAGCCGATCGCTTTATAAGCAAAAGCCTAAGTCCTATTCGCCAAGAATCGGATGAAGACAGTCTGGAATCGCCTACCTCCAACGGGCCCATCAGTGTTACTGCTTCCAGAGCTGCTATTCCAGCTGATAACACAATGCTCTATGATACAGACTGGGACTCAAGTTCACCTAACTGGTCGCCCGGCTCGGATGATGAACCTTCCTTGGGAAGTTGGCGTCCTCCAGTAAGTGGTATATCAAGGACCTGATTTATTCCAAGACTCCCATTCAATCCACATTTTAGGGATGGATGGGGCATTTTACTAGGTGAAGGCTCAGAGAAACAGCCAGCTGACATCTTTTCCAGCGTGAATCACCGTCTCAAAATTCAATGGGCGGTTCATTTCGGTCTAGAGGAGATTCGGCTGCGCCAAGCCCAGCATCCATGGCACCCTCCAGCTCCAGAGCAAGGAGCATGGCGCCAAGCATTTTAAATCAAGATGCAGATCAGGAAGAATCTCGATCACTTTCTGATCATCCGTTTTTCACCTGGAATACAGGCATGGAAGAGCCTGACGATCAATCGTATGGGGCGAGCTTGCGACGAGTGCAGTACTTCCTCGACAAGGTCCACAAAGACACACCGGCGGAAGATATAGCCTATCAAAATGCATTCGAGTGCACAATCGAAGAAATGCGATCCAGGCACAGATGTCAACATAAATGCACTATGGCAGATCAACATAGGCTACTTGGGAATATTGGGGCAGAAAACCCTTCAGAAGACTTTCCACGGGAGGAAGGCACAGCGAAGAATATGGCTAGACGTTTGCATAAAGCTCAACGGTATATGCAAGGACAGCAGCCGAATTACTCGGAATTTCAAAGCAGAGATAATGTACCTCAGGCACGACTCCAAATTACTCCGAGCTCGCAACACTCCGTTCAGAGTAAGGCATCTGAAGAAACCGCCCACGGCCCAGTCTCTGGTGGAATCAGGAATCTGCAAAGCTTGTGGAGCACTCAAGTTGATCCCGAAGATCGAGATGCCGAGCTAGAAGAAGCAGGTGGCATTGAGTGGGCTCTAACCAACTGGACCCCTGATCAGGCGCTCCATCAACTTTTTGACTTGTCCGAAATTGTCTTAGGTTTATGGGTGCCATACTATGGCCACGTACTTCATGGAGTGATAAGAAAGTATTAGGGCTCTTTAGACTCCATATCAAGGGTGATATAGCGCCTCAGACGGAGTTTTAAGATGTGCGGCTAATTTGTCTTTCCTTACAGGCCGTGGCATATTCTATGGATGCGATTGGTAACGCGGCTCAGTACCTCTGGAAAGTAGAAGCGTATGATATTGGACTTCTGGTGTCCACTGACGCAACTACCCAGATGACGGTTGAGAACTCGTTTGCAGACTGCAACGCGTGCTCTGCCGGGAAGATATACGATAGGTCAGAAGAAGCACTTCGCCACGTACACGGGATCCATATGGTTCATTCAAAAGAGCAAGCTGAGCACGTAGGTTGCTTCGATCCAGGGACTAACCCCTGCTTTGCTTGGATAGAAGCATATCATGGTAGAAGATGGAACGCTGACTACCAGGACCAATTGAAACAACTTGTGGCGCCACTACTCGACGATGTGATTAACAGATTGTCGAGCATATACCACGAAGCACGAAACATTCTGCGTTCGGTCACTACACTTGGTGATGCTATCCCTGGCACTCCAACAAAATTGAAAGCGCCCCACAGACTACCTAAAAGCTTGCTTGAAGTCTTCAGATGTATACTGTCACTCCAGATTCTCACTGCAACCCGTATTGTTGAATCTGCAAGGGCTCAAGAAACACCTGCGAGGGTCATCGGGGGGTTGTTAATCGGAGGAGTACGGAGAGGGAAATTGGAGTTGCAATCTCGATTGCTCCAGAAAGCTGCTCACCAACTCAAGGATCAGGTTGAGGAGATGCTGGATGCCGCCAGGATCCGTATCGTACTGGGTTCTAGTTCCAGTAAAAACACCGGTCTCATTAGCTTGGAACCCGTTGGACTTGGGTTCCTTGTCGCTGCAATAGCAGCCAACTTGCAGGATCGACCACTCCAACTGGAAAACGCGACTGACCCCATTAATCCCTACAAACAATATGTCTCCAGGCTACAGTTTCTAGCTACGACTAGACCTAAGCGTCGTCTTTACCTTGAACTCAACTCTTTACACGGCGAAATTCAAGCGCTTCGCATTATAGTGGAAGGACAATTCAATATGTTGATGGATTATAGACATGTCTTGACACATCGTTTCAGAAGCCCCGTCTCGATCGCCAAATCCACTTCAGAGTTGAATCGAGTTTCATCGATGCTCAGATGACAAAATTGCACGACAAGATTATCCAACTCGAACACCTTGAACACAGAACCCAGGATATCAAGAGCCAAGTGGCTCAGATCGTGGAGATAATTGACGAGGATCACGGTAAAGCCATCCGCGTGTTTACCTTTGTGACGGTCATATTCCTTCCGATGTGAGTAAAACGAAACTCAACCTCCCGACCAACCCTAATAAGACTTCAAGGTCATTCATGACTAGCTTTCTTGGCATGAACACTACCGATATCGCAAGCATCAACCAAGACTCGGGATTTTTCTGGATGATATCAATTCCTTTGACAGTAGCTGTGGTGGGCACGGCGTACATATATGGTTACAAGTGGGAGTCCATCATGGAAAGCTTCAATAGACATCGGGTTCAAGTATCTCACAGTACACAACCATTGTCGCAACAACATGAAATGGAAGCTGTGGTGCCGAGCGCCAAAGAGCCACACCGGCATCGCAGGCTGTTGCGCGGCTCCCACTGGCTTGATAGCGCCTTCTTCACGGACAGGCCCGGTCAGAGGCGGCGCGCTCTAGGTCAAGACCAATTAGATGTAGAGTCTAGGGTGGCTAAGGTTCAAGGGTGACGAACCTCGGAGTTCTGTCAGGTTATCATGTAGCAGTACCTCTCGGTCATACGTGCGCTTATATTCACTAGAAAGTCGAAATATGCTATTTGAGTACGACCTTGAGAGTGAGTTGCGCTATGTGCAAACCTCCAGTACAAGTTTTGATGGGGATTGGTATGCTATGCTGTAATACGAAAGACTGGTGGATTTATCATGCGCATCTCCAGGTGCTCCGAAATCAACCTAGCACCACCTTGCCGAATCGTCTTGCCGAGACCTTCGCCGTGTACTCGTGGCTTGATGGCGTCACGCATTAGTTAGGTGTGCCTATTGTTGACGAGATTGCGATGGAAAAGAAAGGATTTCTAAGCATTCACAGGACACATTAGCGCACTGGATGTTCGCTAGGTCTCTTGCCGCATTTGGAAATCGTGAAAAGATAACGATTTAACACTAAAGAGCTCATAGGCCTCCCTTCTGCCACTTCATGGGATATGTGGTCGAATCCTTCGACAGAGGCTGAGCCAACCCAGCTGGAACTAAGCGCTGTTTGACCTACTATGCACCCAAGAGAAGTAATGTGCAACATGCGCGAAGAATTGACTCAGGAGGAGCGGCCAAGGCCTCTTGCTGTAGTACAATGGGAGGAGAGCAGAGAAGCAGAGAAGCAGAAGACTGTGCAATTGAACCTCGGCACCCGCGTCGTTTGAACTGGTTGACAAGACATAACTAGACTCTTCATTAAATGACCCAAGCGATGTCCAAGACTACTGTAGTGCATTCATCGTGGGCCGCGCGCCGGTGTGGGATATTAGTCCCGCGGCTGTCAGCCGGGTTCCCTGATGTAGCAAGCCATTCACACATCAACTAGGGACCAGCTGCCGGTGGTGGCATGTACCGACATATGCATCCGTTCCCAGGCCAAGAAATAGTGCCGAAACCCCGCACCGTTCCCCAACTACTCCAGCTGGGGAAGAATCCTTAGCCTCGCTCTAAGTCGAGCGCCGTTATCCACCGACCAGGTTACCACGCATTCATGCCGGCCATGATTGGCTCCGCAGCTGTTGCGACCCAGGAAAAGCGCAGAGCCGGGGCCTTGGGCTTTAAATCACAAGCCAAAGTGAATGGAGGACTTTGGGGTTGCCAAGGTCCCCAATTTTGCGTAGTGGCTTATCGTGAAATATATTAATAATAACGGACACGCGCCCATCTGCTCTTCAGCCCTCAATCTCGAACCCGACAGGCTCCATCTAGGGCACACTGCAATTCTCACGGCCACTCGACGCCCTGACCAGAAACCTTTCTGTAGTACGCAATGGGGTCTCAGGGGAGTCTCAGCGACAAGACATCAGGCATCACCGGAGTCAACCAGCAAGAAGACATACACACCGCTGCTGAAAAGGGTCTTGCCGCAACGGATAAGTAAGCACAACTGGCTGACCTGCTGCTGCCCTGCTGTTTTCAGCGTACTGACGCACCCCTTAGATATGGCGAGGCGACGGTCCAATTCGACAAAGACGCCGAGCGACGCCTTCGGCTCAAGATCGACCTGATGATTGTTCCGACTGTCGCGGTCCTCTACCTGTTCTGTTTTATCGATCGAGCAAACATTGGTTGGTGCCGTCATATCTCACCATTATGGTTCCGTATTGACGTTCGATAGGCAATGCTAGGCTAGCAGGACTCGAAAAGGACTTGGGAATGACCGGAACGTACGACTACAATACGTTGCTGTCGATTTTCTACATCAGCTATATTGTTTTCGAGATCCCATCCAACCTGGCTTGCAAGTGGATCGGCCCCGGCTGGTTCATCCCTTTTCTTTCCCTTTGCTTCGGCATCGCCTCCGTGGGCACGGCTTTTGTCAACAACCTCCCTCAGGCATGTGGCGTTCGTTTCGTCCTTGGGGTGTTTGAGAGCGGCATGATGCCTGGCATCTCGTACTACTTGTCGCGTTGGTAGGCGTGCCCCCGTTATACCTTTTGCAGCAATGTGGCCGTTCGACTAATCTCTTTTGTAGGTACCGACGGTCGGAACTTGCTTTTAGATTGTCGCTGTTCATCGTCATGTCTCCGCTGGCTGGCGCCTTTGGCGGACTTCTAGCCTCCGGTATTTTGAGCTTGGAAAGCTTTGGAAGCCTTCACAGGTGGAGAATGATCTTTGCTATCGAGGGTATCATCACCATTGGTCTCTCATTGATCTCCTTCATCACCCTGACCGACAGACCGGAGACTGCCCGCTGGTAGGATCCCACAAGTGACCTGGACTTGTAACAAGACATTCACTAACGTTCGAACAACAGGCTCACACAGGAAGAGAAGGACCTTGCTGTCGCCAGAGTCAAGTCAGAGCGTCTTTCCCAGAGTAGCGTGTTGGACGGCTTTGACAGGAAAAAGGTCTGGTTGGGTTTCTGGAACCCGGTCGTTCTTAGTACTGCATGGGTTTTCCTTCTCAACAATATCACCGTTCAAGGACTGGCATTCTTCCTGCCCACTATCGTGGCGAACATCTACCCGACCTACACCACAGTGCAGAAGCAACTGTATACAGTCCCGCCATACATCGTCGGCGCATTTTTTACATTGCTGCTGCCTGGGCTAGCATGGAAGTTTGACAGACGACAAGTCTTCTTCATCCTGTCAGCCCCTCTTGTTATCATGGGCTACTCAATGTTCCTCGGCAGTACTGATTCCAAGGTCCGCTACGCAGCAACCTTCTTCTTGACGAGCAGCTGCTTCTCCCTTGGTCCGCTTGCGAACGCCCAAGCAGCTGCGCAAGTCAATAGTGACACTTCTCGGGGCGTGTCCCTCGCCACGAACATGATGTTTGGCAACGTCGGGGGTTTGATCGCCACTTGGAGCTACATAAGCTGGGATGGTCCGAACTACCACATCGGCAACGGCCTGAACTTGGCTGCTGCTTCGGTCATTCTTATTTCGAGCACCTTGACTCTGTTCTGGATGAAGTGGGACAACAAGCGACGTGAGAAGCGAGATGTCGATCAGGAACTCTCAGGACTGACGGCAGAGGAGATTGAGAACCTCGAATGGAGACATCCGGCGTGGAGGTGGAAGCCGTGAGCATGTAATTTGAGGATATCACCATTTATATCTGCTTGGTTCTCCATTGCAAGCTGTAGCATGGAGTCTGCAATGTTTAAATGTAGCACATAGCCTCTAGAGAACACCCGCGATAATGTTGTTGTTGTTGTTGTTGTACTGGTAGTGAACTAGTGCCGGTGATGAAGTGAACAACGGGAAAATTCAAAGTCATGCACGTTGAAAAAAGGAAGAGACGCTAAGCACGCCAGTATGACATCTTAAAAAGAGACTCGAAACTTATTTGGGGAACGACCGTTGAGAAGAACATTCTGACCATCTAGTTCTTAGCAGCATCAGCTTCTCAGTATACTCGGCTTTGGTAGAAGCTTCGCCATGATTGCGTCCTTGGGCTTTGGGGGGCCTTTGTACTCGGCAGGGTTGTGCCGGTCAATTTCTTTGACGAATCTCTTCCGCACGTATATGCAAATATCCCGGGGGGGTTCAAGTTCAAACAGAGGATCAGCTTCATTGGAAGGAAACTCTATCAGCCAGTAAGCTCTAGCCAAACATCGTGTTCGCACAGTGTCGTCGTCCACATCCGGGCCACTGTGCTATTAGTCCATGGGCTATTAGATCTCCGCAACTCATAACCTACTACGGCATGTGATACTCGGCTAAACTCATCTTAGTGTCGCTATTTGCTAAGTATAGATGTCCAGTCTTGATTCTGTTACAAATCAATACCGCTGGCCACTGGTCGTCGTATAAATCAGCAATCGCCTGCTTCACGGGGATATCAGAGCTTAGCGAGATAACAACACTCCGGTGGTCAATTTTCGTGAAACCCTCAAAACCATACTTGTCGAATTCTTGGAACATCCCTTCACTGAGAAGGTTGAAGTTTGTAACACGATTAAGCACGGTCTTGTGCCATGCATACCGCAAGTTTCTTGCCATCTGACGAGCCAGGTTCTATCCCCTCTATTCTTTGGCAAATTGTATTTGCCAGCTCGTGTTGAAAAAGTTATCTATTTTGTTCCATATCGCATTTTATTAGCAGCCCCTCGGATGTGATCATTAAAGGCAAAGCAAATGAACTTGTTGACGTTCATCGGATTTTTGCACCCGTTAATGATATTGAGAATCTTTTCAACGCTGTCATGACCGTTGAGGAGACTCTTTGAATGTATGGTTGACTAAGCTGCTACATCCTCTGGTGTCGGCGCGGGCAGTTCTTCTTCGTAACTCAATTGGAAACCGACTCTCAGAAACTGACTATCAGCCAGCCATAGGGTCAAGGATACGGTGGATTCCCAGGCAAGTAACCAAGACTTTTCTAGAAGTTCGAATTATTACGCGTTGAGTGAGAGCTGCCCACGGATCTCATTCTTCCTTTTTAAGCTCTTCTGGTCGTAATGCATTGCTGTGATACTATTCCACAACATGACTCTTCCAGTCAGCGCCCCTAAATTTGGCTTTGCGTTTGTCTTGTATAGGCTTCGCTTCCTCTTCTTCGATTATCTTGATGAGATATCTGTCGAAGTGGATGACTCTCTGGTCGTAGTTATTGTAGTCTGTAACAAATCTTTCCCTTCTCTGCTGGAGCTCTTTCCGCTTTTCACGTGGATATTGTTCTTCAATGGACTTCCAATATATGTTGTTTTTGAGGGGTTCATTCCAATTAGGTGTCACAATTATGTACCTTGAAGCCAAGGGGGCTTGCGGGTGCACTTTTTTGAAGTCTCTTAGTTATTATTGGAGAGGTCATGATGAAGAAAATAAAAGGGTGTTATATTTTCAGAAGTTGAACAGCTGATCTTGCTCCTTTTAGCGCTTTAATATTGAGAATCTATTCTGCATCAAACAAAGGATGACGCATAGTTAGCTGAGTTTCTCTGGTCAATGCATAGCTAGTTGAGCAACTTGAAGGCCTCAATCATGAAATTCAGACACAAAATCAAGGATGCGCTAAGAACAGTTGGGTAAACCTTGATTGTTCTTGTGACTTTTCCTTGTCTTCCATGTGTTGTGTTGGAGCGTAGACAGTGGCGCAAGCTCGGCAAAACCCAATTCTCTTTGTCCTTCAATTGCACCAATGCTATGAAATAACATCGTTAGGCTTCGGTGGATAATTACAAGCTTCAAATTGCGTGGATTACGCTGTTGGTGCCTTGATGTTGGGATCATGCAAAATATGTGACCGCCAACGAACAACTTGGTTGCCGGATGCGGAAAGCAGCCGACTTTCCCCCAACTTGGCGCAAGTAGGAACCAAAACGGATTAGGGACCAAAACAGATCACTTGATCATTTATGTTGGAATGCGGGCTGTTCATTTTGGAAGATCAATGTTTACCGTCATTGCTAGGAAAGCCCGTTACCACAGACGAAGGCGGTCTGGGATGGACACATCAAGTTTCAAGTAATCGTGTGAGACAAATTGGTACTTAGCTAGATGCTTTCTAAATGCCATATTCAGATGTGATTTCTTCATGGGCCGTCATCATACCACCCTACGCCCCAGCGCCTAGCTTTGGGAAATAGTAAGCTATGAGTCTATCTTTATGGGAAACAATAGCAACATATAGCCTGACCTGAAGACAACACTACCACTCCAGCACCCGCCATCCGGCTTTTATCAATGCAAGAGCTTGGAGCCGAATAACCTACTCGTGACCCAGATCCCTCTGACTATCCACTGTAACCCAAAGAAAAGGAAAAAGAAAAAGATGCCATGAGCTAACGGCACCAACATCCACCAGAAGAAAATAGATACGGCAAGTTTAAAGTGGAATCTCAACCCGCGTGGGGGTGTCCGGCATCGGGTTTCCGGCCAAGCCAATTCAGGGCCAGGTCGTGACTCTTCATATACTCTTTGTATTACCCCAAACGAAATCTCCTCCGCAGTCAGTGAGGTTTCACTTGGCAACCCTGTAGGAACAGTTTGTGGCGGATAAGGTGTGCCGGTGGTGCCAGGACCGTGAAGGAGAGACCCAGATAATAACAAAGGCTCAAGTCGTCTTTCTCCAAAGTAGTTCACCCCCTGGTAGCGATGCAAGAGAGAAGTTACAATGCGATATGGGTGTCGAGGGTGGCTGCTCATTATTCTTAAGACGGCCCAATAGCTTGCAAACAAAGACCAGGTGATAATTCCACCCGGAGACGGACCTAGCCCTTAAATATGCTGATACCTCTGTTTATGTGCTACGCCATGTCAAAGAATCTATTCAACTGTTCCAGAACAAAGACCTCTTATATGTTTACAGACATGTGTCTGGCCCAAAACCTGCGTGGGGCACTAACATCACTATCCATAGTGTCAACTGCGAATGAGGTAGAGCTCCAGTTGCCAGTATGCTATGATTCTTGTCGTGAGATCGGTCCAGTACAAGATTAGGGCGTCGTGGTCCGTATCTCATCGTGATTAGCATCAGGCGCCAACCAAATGGATCTAAATCCTAGAGCTGTAGAGCTGCGTTTAGCTGCGTCGCAGGTGTAATAACTCTCTCTACTAAAGCTTTCATCTCATCAATGAGACTGTTTATGTCAGATAACACAAACGTGTAGTCAGGGAGCCTCGCATACATTTTTCGAAACTTGGCCTCTTTGAAATACATGACGGAAAGCAGTGCGTGAAACTTCAGAGCGTAAACGGCGTTTCGCCCGTCAAAATCTTCAGTAGGTTCAGATATGCGCATGCGCTCGAGATATTCTCGAACATAAGGCGGCCCGAGTTTATATCGTGGGTTTCGGCAAATTCCCAGATCCGCTTCAACTACGGTCAAACGTCTGTATAGATAAAGGTTGCTTACGCACCTTCGTTGTGTCCCCAGTAGGCGCTGGCATCGAACATGCATAGGTAATTTGTGGATGCCATTGATTTGATGTTGCCAGGCCATAGGTCTGAGTGGATAAGGCAGGGCTGAATGGTGCGTCCTTCCGATTCTAGTGGTCCCCAGAACCGAGGTATAACTAGATCAAACAATAAGGGTTTAAGCATCGAAAGCTCATCGCAGAAGCCGTTGACTTGTTCGTCTCGGTCCAGAAGACTCCGCATTTGTTGAGCCCAGAAGTCTTTCCAAGATGAGTTCCATGTATTGTTTATGGGTACATTGGCCAAATGAGTGGTTACGTGAAACCCGAACTTTCCGGTTGGCGATTTGCCCATACTATTGATATGGAGGCGTGATACAGTAGCTGCCCAAGATCGAGCGTTTGGAATTCCATCCTGCATCTCGACAAATTCACACATGTAGAAATGGGAGTTAGGGTCATTGCATGATGTGCCCCAACCTAGGGGCTGGGGCACGTGGGCAGGAAGGAAGGTGTAGAGAGAATTATCTGCTTCGAACGCCCCTCTCATCATATCCATGCCTATACTGAAGAGCACACCCTACACACCATTAGCGAGCTCTAATCAAGGAGGAGGTTGTAGGAGTTTGTGATTTAAGACCTTCTTAAAGTACTCTCTCACGCATCCATTCTGCAGCCGGACACTGATCTTGAGAGTTTGTACCCAAGCACTCTGACCGGATGGTGTAACAGAAAGAACTCGACACCCGGCCGGAAGTTCTAATACTCCTTAGATCAGATACAACTGCTCGAAACTAGCCCATATTCTCGTAGAACCACGGACTTTGACGGTTTTCATGACTTACTAGAGATAACAGCCTCATCAAGTGACAAATTCTCCACAGTTGGGTTGAATTGTCTGGGATTAACCTCTGCCATCTTCTTCGCTCGCGAGCTTGACAAATGTGCAGTGATGATGGAAAGATAGTCACTCGCATGTCAGAGCAAACACAATGCATTCCTTCCAACGGGCAATCTGCATGGACAGGGATCGACATATCCTCGGCCCGAAATGTCAATCTTCCCCGCCAACACACTTCCGTGCCAGCTCGTGCAGCCCGGACCGAGCCGTTTGCAGATGTTAAAGCGTTCTCAATATCTACGCAACTCGACTGGCAAGACACAGGTAACATTCAACCACGACATTATGCAAGTCAGAGTCGTAGAATCTTCTCAAAAGCCTGGAGAGCATGCGGCAGTCGATCGTAAACATCAGCATGCTCAGGAAAACGTGCCATATTCAGTCTTCACCAATGTGGAGAAAAGGTTCATTAGCTCAATTGCATCATTCGGTGCCATGTTCTCTACTCTCAGCAGCTATATATATTTTCCGGCCATTGTTCCCATGTCCCAAGACCTCGGTGTCTCTGTCACTCTCATCAACCTCACGGTCACTTCTTACCTAGTGGTTGCGGCGATCGCTCCAGCGTTCATGGGAGATATCGCGGACCAGAGAGGCCGCCGGCTTGCCTATCTCTTGATGTTCACGCTTGTGGTTGGTTCCAATATCGGCATTGCATTGCAGAAGTCTTACCCTGCTCTTCTTGTGCTGCGTATGATTCAAAGCGCAGGATCATCGGGTAAGTTGAGCTGAGGAACTGCGGGGATCGTGTTTTGACACTCGACAGGAACCTACGGAGCTGCTTACGGCGTGCTAGCCGATATCACTACAACAAGCGAGCGCGGCTCCTACGTTGGCTCGCTTATATTATTGTGAGAGTTTCGTACACGTAGTCACACTTACCGTGACAAGCCTGACTCATCGTTCTAGCACCAATGCTGCGCCGAGCTTTGGCCCAGTTATCGCTGGCGCCTTAACCCAAAAGCTGAACTGGCGATGGATCTTCTGGTTTCTGGCTATTCTGACTGGGGTATATCTCCTGCTTCTTCTCATGTTCTTTCCAGAAACTCAACGCAAGATTGTTGGGAACGGGTCGAAAAATCCAGGTGGGCTTCACAGAAGCTTGTTTACTCTGCTTCTGCGAGATCGACTAGAAACTGGGGAGAAAGATGTGTCGAAGTCTTTCGTCCAAACCAAAAATTACATACCTAACCCGTTCAGCTGCATGCCAATGCTGTTCAAGAAAGGCAACTTGGCTGTCATACTAATCGGTTCAATCACGTATACTATCAAGATGACTCTGCAGACCTCGTTGGCAGCGCAATGCATCGAAATTTATCATCTGGACTACCTTCAAGCCGGTCTTATATACCTTCCATCCGGAATTGGTGGGGCTCTGGGATCCTACATTACAGGTTAGTCCTACATGCCACTTCTAGCCTCATTCGTAGCTGAGGCGTCCTAGGCAAGGTGCTCGATCGGAATATCAATCGCTTTGCATCCAAGCACGGTACCAGTGGGAAATACCATCGGGGTAATGACATCTCAGATCTTGAAATTGAGCAAGCTCGCCTCAAAGGCGCCCATTTCTTAATCGTCGTCAGTGCAGCCGGGACGGCGGGATACGGGATTAGCTTGATGAGAGAAGCAGTATGTCTCCAACTCCTCGCCACCAACCTGATCTGAGCTACCCTTGACCACTTCCCTAGAATCTTGCGGTACCACTGGTACTGCAGTTCTTAACTGGAGCAACTACTTCGTCCATATTCACAGTAAGTGGCGGCCTGGCCGTCCTCGGGATATTTGGGCGTGTCATTAACAACATGGGGAAGATGTGCGGCACACTGTTGACGGACCTCAACCCGCATTCCTCCGCCACAGCTCAAGCATCATACAATCTCGTAAGGTGCATAGGAGCTGGTGCGGGTATTGCATCTCAACAGCCGTTGGTGGACTCAGTTGGATCAGGTTGGTGTTTTGGGATTTTTAGCATTTTGCTGCTTCTGGGAATTCCGGTTGCATATCTACTGCAGAACAGGGGAATCCAATGGAGAAATATGGCAAAGGACAGCACGTCGTGAAGCTCTCGCTGTGTATTCTAAAGCTTGTGTCGCACCAAAATATACCCAATTAGGCGCTAGGCCAAGTGGAGTTTCATGGATCTTCATTTTGGCACTGCTAGCGCAGTGGTTATTTTGTGACAGCTTGTCTCGTACTACTCTTGCTGGTGCCCAGCGATCGAAGCGACGACTACCGAGGTAGTCGGCGTCAATAATCTCTCGGAAGATGATTACCAGAGATCGGCCCGCGTTACACGGCCGCGTAACGCAGGCTCACATAAAGTCTTAATTTACCACCACGTTGCAACATTCGAGGTGCCGACTGCATAGCATTCGAGCCCTTAGTCTCCTTTTGGTCACTCTTCGCGTGTATTACGTCGCTCATTTTGTGAATTGAGAGCGAGAGGTCTCAGAGGTGTGCCATGCGTACGCAGTCATAATTGCTGAGCGTAACAGCACGGCCCAGCGGGACGCATCCCCTGAAATCAAGGGTATGGCTTGGACGGTGAGATATTGCGCGCCGGCACGGGCTTTCTCCTTCATTCCGGGCCCCTCGGGAAAAGTGGATTCAGACCTGCACCCATCCGCCCCGCTAAAATTTTGACATGCAGCTCGTTCCCGTTGCCTGAGAAAACTTGCACCTTTGCACGGATCGCACTGCCACTGGCAAGCAACTCTCACCATGGCGGCCGCTAAGGACAGCTTCGAGGAGCTCGAGCGCCATCGCAAGGCCCTCGAGCAGAACGTCGACAAGCTCTCACTTGCACTAGATGAGTGGCGCCAGTGGAAGCTCGAGTATGAAGCCCTTGCAAAGCCAGTCAGTGAGATGCCGAGCGAGGCGCTGCCCGCGGTCCTGGCTCAGACCCGCGCCGCATACAGCGGCGACCTTGTCGACAGGAAAGTGCTCGACGAGATATTCGGCCCCGATGCCTCGAGGAAGCGCGACCAGGTCGCGAGCACCATCAGCAATCGACTGGACTACGTCCGTAGGAACATCGCGACGCTCGAGAAGCAGCTTGAAACGGCCGAGAACAAGCTGGCGGCAGCAAACGTCCTCAGCAATCCCGACATGCCTGAAGATGAGGAGGGCCTTCCAATCACAGAAATTATGGAAGAGCTAGATGATGACGACAACGTTGTCTCTTATAGTCTACGGACACCAGGGCAGAATCAATCACAGCTCCTCGAGACTCTCAAGAAGGCAGGACTGAAAGAACTGCCATCCGGACAGCCTGGGGACTCTGCGGTATCTTCTTCAAGTCAGCCACCAACTCAGACGTCTCAGCCAATAAAATCGGCCCCGAAACCCAAGCAGCCTGCCCCTGCTCCGGCGGTGAAGAGCGCGCCTCACAAACCTAAGCCCATGAAGAAGAACGTGACATTCAGCGATGACACCAAATCTACCGAGGAGAAGCCACAGTACATGTCTTTGTCGGCAGACAAAATCGACGAGCTGATGCGTGAGGCCAAGGAGCAGGAAGGCATCATCTCAGATCCCGTCGTCCCGGATGATGAGTCAGATGAAGAGGCTCAACTGCGCCGAGATATGTTGGAGTACAACCTCTCGGAGCTGAACCCAGTGGTTGCTGAGCTCACCTTGGAAGAGGGCGGCATCACAGACGACGACCTTGACTACTCGGACTATGACGACGAAGACGACGATGATGAAGATCAGTGGGGCAGATCCACCTCGACGTTTATCAACGAGGAGTACCGTCAGAAGATGGCCGAAATCCAAGACAGGCTTAACAAGCATACGTTCAAATCTCAGCAGGCAGCGTCCGAGGATGCCGCCGAAGACCAGGTTGCCCAAGAAGGCGTCGGCAAGATACGCATTCAGAGCCAGGGACCGTCGTCAAACAATGAGTCTGTCGGCAGCCAGGTTGTCGAGATAAAGGAAGACAGTGAGCCAAAACCTGGCTCTGAGGCTAAGAAAAGTGTCCGGTTCGCGTCCGCCCTGGATATTGCCAAAGAACCAGCAGCGAAGCCAGCATCCGCCCCATCTGTCCAGCAGCCTCAACACCCAGAGGTCGACCCCTTGTCAGATGTCATTGAGCGTAAATCCGGTGAGTCGGCCAAGTCGGCTGTTGCTCCCACAAAGAAGGCATCGCGGTTCAAAATGGCCCGAAGTGGGAATGCTCCTGCTCCAGGCTCATTCAACGCGCCAAGGTCGTCCGACGGATCGTCAATCTTGCCGGAGCAGCCCGTGTCTGACCAGCAGTTCGCACCTTCTGGGCCCAAGGGCGCAACCATGGCGACCACGGTCCTCGAACGGGCGCCGACCTCGACGACCAGGGAACCGGACGAGTTCGATGCCGACATGCTCAAACAACAAGTGGCGGTCGAATACCACAAGGTGCGAAACCGGATGATCCAGAAGCAGGGCGGCTTCATGAAGGAAGACGAATCGCCCATGGAGCCCTTGGACGAAGAGGAGGGTGGACCCCCGCGCCTGAGCCGGTTCAAGGCAGCGCGGCTGGCCAGATCGTAGGGTCGGGAATCCTCAGTAGCTCAATCATGAGACTTCTGGCTGTTCTTGGCTAGGACTTGCTGATGACGATAATGTTCGACATTGGGTGACATGACCACGCGACACTTGACATACTTAGATATCCCCAGCAGCAGATTTTCCGGCTAGCAGCTCGACACACTCTCGGTCCGGCAGCTCCCTACAAGCTACCTGCAGGTATGCTCTGGGGACATGTAGGTGACTGACTCTCTTTCTTGTTCTTCCCTTACCTACCTCCTGCTATGGTCAGCTAGTGACCTCAAGACCGGAACGCTTCAATCTGACAATTGATGCATAGCGGCACGCCCATCTGCTATGACATTACTCGCGATTCCAAGAACAAACACTAGGGCTCTCTGACGCCTCAACCCTTGGATTTATATCCCCCTATGGTTTTGCGCGATTCGTTTCACCCTTAACATCTCATGGAGATATATTTATTTACATGGGCTGATTAGCTAGCTATTTTAGAAGCCAACCTCGGCGTTCCTCGCTTTGCTTGAAACAACTTGCTGTAGCTGTAACCGTAACTGTGCTCTTGTGTGGCTTCCTTCTCATGTCTCGTAACTCTTATTATTTCCATTGTCTTCCTGTTGCGCGCCTAGCTGATCTTGGCGTTGCTAAAGTCCATCTCGGGATGCTGGGCCTTGAACTTCTCGAGGATGTCGGCCTTCTTCTGCTCGTCGCTCGTGGGCCTGCCCATCTCCTTCTGGCGCTGGTCGAACATCATCTTCTCGACCATGCCGCGGGTCTCGCCGTCGAGGTCGGACAGCTTGCTATCCTCGGGCTTGATCTTGGTGACGTCGATCTTGGGGTCGGTCGTGAGGACGTGGGCCCACCACTCGACCTTGTTGATCTTGTCGAGGTGGATCTCGACGGTCTTGGTGCCGTCGGGGGCGGACGTCAGGGTCCAGGTGCTGTCTTCGGTGTGAACGGGATGCGGGAGGTCGCCCTATAGATTCCACTGGGGGTTAGTCTCTTGTGGAAACCAAAGCCACAGTACCGTGTGCGCAACTTCGCGTTTCCGGGTAACTGAAGCGGTCCGCCGTGACGTACGTTTATGATGGGATCCTTGCCATTGATACCAGCGACCAGCTTCTGCCTCTTGATGTCGACGACCAGATCACGGCCCTTGAAGTTGCCGGGAATGCCCGTGATCAGGACCTCCAGCTCGCCAATGGTCTGGGTCCATTTGTACGGGAGTGCGGCCTGTTCCTCGGCCTCCTTGACGCGGGCAGCGGCCTCTTGCTCGGGAGTGGGATCTAGGTTTCGAGACGGGGGATGTTAGCCTAATGGCGGGGTGAAGCAGAGCTCTCATATTGGCAGATGGGGGAGGGGATATTGGAGCGGGAGCGCAATGTCCCGTGACCATTAAAGGCTGGATGAGGTAGGGGTTGACATACCGTTTTCAGCCATCATTCAAGTGTTGTCTCTGACCTTGCCAGTGGTGATAGCCTGAGCTTGTGAGCCGTTGAGAATTTCCGAATGAAATGCGACCTTGACGAAGCATCCAGAAGGCTGAGGAATCGACGCGGGGCAGCTGCCAGGGCTGCTTCAGCTGGGTAGGCACCTACATAAGGTACGTCGTAGCGGGCAGGATCCCTGTATTTCGCATCCAATTAGCGGCTGGGGGGGGGGCCCATTTGTCAGCCTTGTCCGCCAAGCTGCCCTGGAGCTTTTAGTTGTCCGGACCGACACTGGTAGCTAGCTACCTAGGGTCGTCCTCTTTGCATTCCACAAACGCATACCAAGGAGCTGTTGGGCTATCTCTCCGCGAGGATCGGGGAAGACGACGGGGTCCGAGGTGGTACTTTTCACTCTTTCGAAAAGCACCAGTGCAACTGAGCTGAACCGCAGCTTCGACCAGTCTTCTCGGGTGCGAGACGGAAGAACAGAGAGCAGGCGCCGATGCTGCCGCCTTGGTGAATAACTGCCCCGTCTGGAGAACACGGACAACTTTGGCAACGGCATATCTAGGATTGTGGCCCAACTCGTACGGGTCCCACCACGACAAGCTATTCCACCGAGTCCCGCTACTCGAAACGTGCCGATACTATTGCCTTTGACCGGCCCCGATCACGATAGCCACCCGGCTTCCGCCGTCGAGTCTCGTCACGCCTTTCGCCATGTCCCGTAGAGCGACTGGTCCCACGACTACGCTGGGGACCATGGCGGCCCCGAATGTCGTCCCCGAGGACATCTGTCCCGTCTGCAAGCGGAACCGCTACCTCAACTCTAGCATGACCTTCAAGATCAACCCCGAGTGCTACCATCCCATGTGCTCGCAGTGCGTCGAGACCATCTTTAAGACGGGGCCCAACCAGTGTCCTTACGCATCATGCAACAAGACCCTGCGGTTGAAAGGCTTCCGCGAGGCCATGTTTGCCGACTTGACCATCCAGCGCGAGGTCGACATCCGGAAACGTGTCGCCGCCGTCTTCAACAACACCCAAGACGACTTTGAGACCCTGAGGGACTACAACAACTACCTCCAGGACGTCGAGGATCTGACATTCTCTCTGGTCTACGGCGAGGGCACGGAGCGCGCAGACGCCGAGGCGAAGCTGGCCGACTACGAACAGCAACACAGGGCCGAGATCGAGCGCAACAAGAAGAAGGGCAGCGACGCTGAAGCCTTGAGGCTGAGGAGACAGAAAGAGGCCGATGCTGCCGCTGCCGCCCGTCGCGCCGAACTCCTGAGGGAGGAGGCCGAAGCCCGCGAGGAGGAAGGCAAGCTGAACCAGGAGGTCATGGAAGCCTTACAGCGAGGCGAGTCTGGCAATGCGGCCGAGATCCAGGCCAGGATCCTGGCCAAGAAGAAGGCAAAGCTTGCGAAGCTGAACGCCGAGCACTTCGGCCCCAGCATGGACAACGCGGGGCCGAGGGGCATCTCTATCCGTGGCTTGCGCCAGAAACGGACCGGCCCAACCGAGGACGAAGAGGACAGGAACAAGCCGTACGACCCGTACGCCGGCGTCAGCTTGCAGCCAACACGCTACACTGTACAGGATCACTACGAAAACCCGTTCTTGGAGCCTGCCAAGGAGCGCGAGGATCACAAAGTCGGCGGCTACAACGTCCAAGAATATGTGGCGCGTGCCATGTTCGAGGCCTTTGCCGGCCTGGGCGTCATGGTCGGCGAGGAGAAGGCCTCGGAGCAGCGGTCTGTCGGCACGACTGCTGCGAGAGACGCGGTGGCCAGGAACAAGACCAGCGGGCCCATGACCACGGGGCGCAGGCAGGAAGTGGACGATGTGTTTGTGTAATTAGAAACTGGGGCATCTGGGGCATCTGGGGTTTATTTATATATATGCATAGCGACGGCGTTTGATGTGGACACTAGATTCGCATACCAGGAAAAGTGGTCTTGGAGTTGTTCCATACCGATTTCAACGTATAGTCTTCATTCAATCTTTCAAAGACGTGAACACTGCGTACCCAGGTGGTCAATCAGATGGCCTCGAGGCTTTCTGCGCGCTCAGAATTGTGTGGCCATGCCCCTAGTCATGCCATGTGGTACAGGCGCTTCCCGGCTTCGCAATGTGAACGACACCGACCGACCGACCGACCAGTCGTGGCGCGGCGTGTGACATATGGCTCATCGGGGCGCAGTGGCGCGGACGTCATGTTAGCGGTAAGGTAACTAGGCGCTCGACGATCAGGAAGTGCAAGTTTGCCTAGAGAAGCCGTCTTTGCCGCACTGCTGTGCCTCTCGTGGGCAGTGCAAGTCGCGCGCCGCGGCGGAGTGGGGCATACGGGAATCCTTCGAGTTGTTGTCGATGGGGCTTTGATGACCATTTAACCAACGCCTGCTGCCCGAGGTCGGGTTTGCGATGAGCATTTATATTCCATCCATCAACAGTGCAAGATCTAAAGCCAAATCTACGTCAAAGTCCGATTATCATTCTTCAAAATTCAATAGGTGGCACTATACCCCAGTTTATCATCACCATCACGCCACTCTATAAGCCTCAGGCCCTGGTCCACTACGCAATTTGTCCAATACAAGGGTCCCATTCTATCTCATAAGAGATCACAAGTCTTCAAACAACAACATAATGAGCTCATCAACCGGCTACGCGGGCACGTCCGGCTGGGAGGCGCTCGGCTGGAAGCGCCATGAGGAGTCCTTCTACGCCGAGCACCGCCAGCGCCGGGACGACGCGGCCGCCCGCGGCGAGGACCCCTACGCCGAGTACAAGAGGATGGTGCAGGAGAAGCGCCACGTGCCGCGCACCGAGCGGCTGTGGAACAAGCTGACGGGCAAGAGCCGCAGCAGCAGCGACGCCAGCACCCGGAGCACGCAGAGCCGGGGGGACGGGGACGAGCCCGTCATCGACCTCGACTACGACGGCGTCAGGCGGAAGAGGACCGGCGAGGACTGGTTCATGGCCGACAGGGGACTGAGCGGTGCGGGTAACCAAGGAAGGACCGTTAGGTGATGACGGCCAGGCGGGAGGGAGCGTGTACGATTTATATTACATGGGTTACTGGGACGGGCTTCGTCCTACTGGCGTTTGGAGTCCGGATGTACAGCATTTCGGTTGTTTGATAAGAAGGGAACACTTATCAGGCCGAAGGGCCTCGGTTACGATTTAGTTTGAGGCGGATCTGCCTTGTATCATGAATGAAAGTGACATCGATCGGACCTCGAGTACAACGATGATATCTTTGTGGAAACGTTTGCGTGATGCTGCATGAACCCGGAGTCCTTTGTGCCGAATTCTATTTTTCTTTAGGCTTTCTGGCAGAATCCCTATGCGTCGAAGTCATGAATCGGGTATCCTGACTTGTGGCCCGTTTCCAAAATCCGCGACGCAAGATTCACTTGATGTCTTCACCGAGGGGAACTTAAACATCAACTGTCAAACATTGGTCTTTTGAGAACTCTGCGTTGAGCCGAAGACCTATTCAAAGAGGGTCAATTTGACTTCTCTTGAAAGCATAAAAAGCCTGCTGCCTTGAATCGATACAACTCTGCTTGTACGCCTTTGTCATGGCCTGTTGTCGAAAGAACGATCACTCGGGCACTAGGCTCATATAGCGTGGTGTGTTTTACAGTTTATACCGTCTCCCCCTCGCAGCTAAGGTCACCATGAATTCTGCCTCCTACAGCGAATTTGCTGTCTTGTCCGCCCGACGCACGAGTGGTCCTCTGGATTATCCGTTGCAGGAACAAGTCACAAACACCCATTCATTCCTATAAGTATGCACCTACGAATTTCTTCGTATCAGGTCTAGCAAATTTATTCAACGAACAAAAGAATTATGTGGCAGGGCGCAGATTATTCCGCACCGCCGCACCCCGTTCCCTTGATTTGATTTGATTTGATTTCACGTTGAGAAAGTTTCAAATAGCCTTGGACTAGAAGACCACGGGAGAGACAGCGGTAATGTTGCCTCCTAGGTACTAATGCAAGGGCAAACTTGCCCCGCAATGCCGGGGCCTTGTTTTGTCTTTTCGCCCCTGCATTAGTAGGCATAGGCAGCCTGAGTTCCCTCGATTAATAAGTCCCTTCTACACAAGCCATGGCATCCTTCTGGGCCGCATGTTTATTGGATTCACTTCAACCAGGGATTCTGCCAGCATATACACGACAATGGACATTGAAGTAACACTGCGGCTCACTAAAGATACGTTCCATCAAGATATTTGAGTTCCACAGGAGCCCATTGCAAGGTTCGAAACATAGTATGCAACCTATCAAAGGCACTCGGACAGTTAACCATGTAGATCTACCACAAAGTAATATATCGGCAGGCTATTGAATGTTTAGTGATGCAATGGTGTCGATTTTATTGACTCGTGCCAACCCCCCGCCACGTATACGAGTGATCCCAGGAGACGCTGATAGCGGCTGCACATCGTGTTGAGCAATAGGTTCTGGGCTCTAAAGGTAAGTACGAAGGTAACCAGTGCCCACATACAGTCATGTTACCGTGGTCTCGTAGCTGACCTTCTTACTGAAGCGTCTACTGAAGCTCCATCTGAGATATCAGACATTATCCACCGTTTTTAAGCGCAGCCTCGTTTGAAATGTGCTTTCATGAGAGCTCAGCCAGGAACCTCTCGAGAGTATCACATCACTTGCAACTTTGCCATGATTGAATGTGCTGCTTAGCGCCTAGCGCCTTCTAAACCAGCGATGGTTACCATCGGATACATCTCAACCAATGAGGCCCTTGCCGCTTAACCCTTGACCAGTCCAATTTTCACGTACTGAAGCACTTTGGAACCTAAAGCACTCAACCTGATGCAAGCTTGAGTTCTCCAGGCCATTGGGCATTTCAAGTACGCAAGGGCAGGGTTTTTGATTAACCTCGTCCTCAATTCTCGGTTTGGCTCTTTTCATGTTCTTTGAGCCGGTGCCAACTATCACTTGAGCCATGGTTCATAACATCTCGTATAGGCTTGACACAAAGTCAACCTGCAAAGCTACCAGCGATGGGCAGCTGACGTTCACATGCGCCATGGTGGGTGTTTTCCTTGTCATGACCGTAGCATGTTTAAGCAAAATCGGATGTATGATAGCGCTTGTCTTCAAGCATTTAAGGAGATGATCCTGCATCAATCTCTCTGAATCTCACGCTGGATCACGCTCCTCTGGCGTTACTGAAGTCTTCACTCGTTTTTCGCCGGCTTGCTCACGACGGTTCACATTCATTGAGGCTATTACATCCATTTTCCAGCTTCGCTCGTCACCTATATTCGGGGTTCGGGTATTTTTACCATGGGTAACCATCTTCGACTGCTTCGAGCTCTGCTCTTGGCAGGTCCTGCGCTGGCAGCCTATGACCCTGCTCCGGCCTCTGAAGAAAAACAATCAGCCTCGTTCGCTACTGTTGCTCCTACAATCCCTCATGGCCATGATGCCGCCGATATCAATCACCTCAAGCCGGCCGAAAGTTGTGCCTTGCACTTTGTCGGCTATGACGGGGAGGGCTCTGCCGAAGTACAGCATTATGCTACCATGCACGCAACATTCGCTCACCCCGCCGTGGTCCTTCATCATTCCTCACTTGTGAGCGAAGTTGCTTGCGCTGAGGATGGGCTTTCCCTCGAGATGAAGTCTGAGGCTGCTTTGAAGTACTGCCAGGAGCACTGGGACCCAAGCAGCATGGTCTTCATCTCCACATCTTGCGGTGCTAAGAACGACGGCCACAATGCTTATTTCAAGGTTTCTGGAATTACTTACGATGAGTCAACCTTGACCGCCCACTGCAAAGCGACCGAGATGGAAGTCCCCGATGTCATGACTGGTGGCAAGATCAAATGGAGCACTTACGGGAAAGAAAAGCACGGTATTGCAAAGCGTGCAATCTCCAGTTGTACAACGTCTACCACCTCTACGACTACCTCAAGCTCCACAACTCCGTGCACAACTCTCATCACTACGACCACGACCTCAAGTTCTACGACTCCATGCAATAGTCCGACTACTACAGGCGGAGGCTCTGCTACTTCATGTGGTGCTCCTCCAGCTGCAACTATATCTGGCTTGCCAGCTGCCGCTTGCGGTACCAATTTTGACCGGGCTCTGGACAACTCGCTCGGATACTGTAAGTATTACCCCCGTATCACTTTTCTTGCATTTGTGGCATTTGTACTGACGAGGGTACGCAGTGGAATTCAACGACGACTCCGATTTCAGCGCCTTCGTTCAGCAATTTGCGCCTGGTATAGCCGACCGCAACGTTAATGATTACCAGCTCGATGACGTCAAGGGTCTGAATTTCAACAGCACGCTCAACACTACTAGAAGCGCGGCCAAGGAACGAGGTATCATGGACCGTCGCGCTGCCCGAATCCAGAAGCGGTTCAGCGTACTCGGCTTCCTCCAGTCTGCTGCCAGTACGGTGCTCAACCTGTTTTCAAGCTCGGGAGATACTAGCGTGCCAGACAATGTTTCTACTGCTGTGCAAAACACCGGCGACTCAATCGGTTCAGGGACTTTTGTCGCGTCAGGGACTCAAGATCAATTCAGCCCCTTCGTTGGGTTTGGGCGTGTCTTTGAGCTGGACGCGAACCAGGACCCTACTTTTCTGTCCGTCAACTACCAGCAGAACGGAGACCAGGGCCTCTTTTTGCTCTGTGAGGGCTGCAAGTTTGCAGGGGAGCTCCGAGTCTCGGGCGAGGTCGATTTCAGTGTTTTAGAAAATACCATTACCGGTGGCAGACTAGAGTTGGATGGCAGCTTGTCGGTTGGAGGCACTTTGAATGCCCAATACTTCGGTGGTTCTTTCGCCGTCTCTCCCACCCAGCAGGAACTTGCGACTACGAGCATCCCCGTCTTCACCATGCCTGGGGTTATAGACGTTAGCTTCGATTTGGAGATTGATGCCATCGCTGGTATAAGTGTCTCGGACCAGTCTAATCGAGCTCAGTTCCGCACAACGATAACTGCAGTATCCCCGGGCTTTACTGCTCAAATCGACCTGAGCAATTCCAATGTCGTTCAGAGCGGCTTTGATCCTCTCCTGTCCACAGACTTCACCACTACGGGTGCGGTTTCTCTCGATCAGGGCCAGTTTAGTCTTCCCAACCAGGTTTCGATCAATTTCAACTTGATTCCACTTGGACCAAGTGGTCACCGACTCCTCAATTTAACCAGTTTCCCTGCCGCTACTTTCGATACGGCGGCGGCACTGGTCGGCGACTGTTTCACTGCCGGGGGTCTCATTTTCGACTCAGCTGTCACCGATAACATCGTCCTTGATACCTTTCAAAGCACGACAGTCCCTCTCGCCCAGGTCACTGGCCCGAGTAACACTGCTGTGTGCCTACGTCCCGGTGCAACGATATCTTCTCGCGCTATATCTGACAGCAATGATGCCTCCGGAGCCCTTCGATCTTCACCGGCGAATATGCGACGACGCCAAGAAACTTGTAATGATACTGATGACTCCCTGAATGGTAGTGGTAGTCAGGCCTTCTTCTACTACACACCTCTCACCGACTTGACTGGTAACTGGGCTTTATACAGCGATGATGATGGAAGTCTTCGTGTGGTGCGAGGAAACGCATCGGCTACTCCCGACGCAACCGCCAACAATACTTTGGGAGATGCTGGTGCTTATTGGGGCTCATATGATCAGATTATCACCAGTGACGGCTCTGCTCGTGTGCTTCACTACTATCCCGACACCATTGATGCATATGGAGTGTCACGTCTCCGAATAAGCCCCATCGATAAGATGCCGAAAACTTCCGACTGCATCAGCTTAGTGCCTGTTAACTACGACAACTCGCCTTCCACACCGGGGGTATACGTGGCTGTTGATACCGTAGGAAAACTGTTCTGGCCGATTATCTGCAATATCGCGGGCCAGCCTTCAAAGATCTTTGTGGCGTCTGACCCCGTCACTGGGCCAGCCAAGCTCACTGACCCGGATCTGCGCTACACCGTGACAGGTGGTGTTGTTCAAAACTGCACTTTCATCCCATTCGAGTCAAACCAGCCTGGTCTTCTGGGTTAAGCTTAACCATCTAGCCCGCTTGCAATGCCACCCCTTCGTCAAGTCGAGCGTGGATATGAGCTCTGCACGCTGGATAATGTCAATCAACTCAGCCTTTCTTCATGGCCTGTTCCCCATCATGAAACTTGGCTTAGTATTATAGATAGGGCGGTCATGTTTATATTGGTCACTTCATGCAAATGAACACGACCTCCTTTCGATGCTATAGTATAGTCCAGATTGTTCCCCAAGTTTCGACAATATTTCTCGGCCTTCACGCCTACATCAGGTATAATTTACTGAGCGGTGGTTGATATGAACTCTATAGTACCTTTAGGCACTGGTCGCCGTCTCCTTTCCTAGACCATCATGGAGAATGGAAAACTTTGTATTGATGGCCAAAGCCGAGCTAGCCTTATTTCTACATGAACTGGAAGTCGGCTGCATGGAAATCTAACTTGCGCTTAACAAAGACCGAAACCTCAGGGGTTCGTCGAGGCTGAAACCGTGAAGTTGCATGTGTTATTTGTGAGCAGAATAGACAATTCTATGAGCGGTTCAATGGGCCAGAAGGGGGCGGAGGATACAATGAGCCCTGTTACAATTTATTCCAAGCACGTAGTTTGAATCACAAAATACAAATCCACAGTCCACAGCACATGTGCATAGGCTTCAGGCATTTGTTAGGCTCGTCCAAGTATCAAGTTACCGGCCCGCCGTATAGCGAGCCCGAATGCTGGCGATGCGACGTTTTGTATTACAGACTTTCTTTACGAATTTTAATTAGACCTCTAAAATTAACTCAATACAGTGCTCCCCGGCGGGAAACGTTCGTGCGCGGTTATTCATCAACCTCGCGAAACTAAAACGCAGCTGCTAAGGCCGAGAAGGGAGATGCTGTGCCAAGGAACCTTGTAAAGTCCGCAAAATCCGGCAGTCTGTGGGGCGTGACGAAATAGGTTTGGCCGGGGTTTAAATATGCAAGAAGGTAATGCTAAAGCCGGATTGGTCATTTTTGTCAATTTGTGGTTCATTCCATTGAGCCTTTGCTGACGGTCACCCATATTAACAAGGCTTAACGCCGATATTCATCTTTGTCGTTGATTAACGCCTAGTTGCCAAGTATTATGATGCTTGAAAGTTGTCAGGCTTTATAATAAACATGCCAGTCAATATATATATATAAGCAGGACCAATGTGCACTCGAGGCAGTAAGATGGCATTATGGACGAACAATTCTGCAATAGTCATATTCCTTCTAGACACTTAACTCACGATGCCTCCTCCAAGAGGAACTTTCAACCCTCTCGAGGGGCCAGGTATGGCTGACTTTCTAGGAGTCTGTGGGTAATTCCCCGGCATGTGCTAAAGACAGTATTCTAGCGGACTATGACATGACCTCGGTGGTCCATAACGACAGCTATCCCGGAATTGATCCGTCCAAGACGGATCTCACTGGCAAGGCCGTTTTTATCAGCGGCGCCTCTAGGGGACTCGGCCGCGCCATGAGCATCTCTTTCGCCAAGGCCGGTGTGTCCATGCTAGCTCTGGGTGCTAGGTCCGATGTCTCGGAAACCGTGAAAGCAGCACAGGAGGCAGCAGCGCAAGCTGGCAGGGCGGAGCCCAAGATTCTGTCCCTCAAATTCGATGTTTCAGACCGCAAGGGCGTCGACGAGGCCGCACAGACAGTGCGGGAGCAATTTGGCCGGCTCGACATCCTCGTCAACAATGCTGGTCTTCTCCTCACAGGCTTCATCGCGGATAGCGACCCAGATGATTGGATGAGGGTCTGGAATGTCAACTTGATGGGACCGTACCTCCTGACAAGAGCCTTCATCCCCTTGATGCTGGAGCGTGGCGACAAGACAATTGTCGCCGTCAGCAGCGTGGGCGCGCATTGCCAAATGCCTGGTTTAAGCGCTTACCAGATGTCAAAACTAGCTGTTCTCCGGCTGGCAGAGTTTGTTTGCGCCGAATATGGGGACAAGGGCATCTTGGCCTATTCTGTCCACCCTGGGAACGTTCAGACAGACATGGCCGATGGTGTTGTAAGCCCGGGACTAGCACCAGGTTCGTCTTCATGACCCGGACACTTGACATTTTCTGATGAGGGTTCACTGATGCTAATGGTCTCCCTACAGTGTTTGTCGAAACGCCAGAACTTAGTGCAGACTCACTCGTCTACCTCACCTCGGAGAAGAGGGACTGGCTCGCTGGCCGATACCTAAATGTTACCTGGGATCTCCCAGAGCTCATGCGAAAAAAAGATTCCATCGTCTCGGGGGACAAGTTGAAAGTCAGACTCGTCGTCTGAAATGACAAACCGTCTCATGGATATTTAAGAACAGCACACTCAATATATAAGATATCGTCAGACGCATTTTGTTTTCTGGGTGTGATGTTAATGGAATGCTTCTGCGCCGATCGATACTAGTAGTATAAGCTTGTAAGATCACCTTTAGCAGTGTTCACCGTCGGCCATCCGCTTCTTGCAATTCCATGGTCTTGCCATCTTCTTGGACCTGGTATGTGGTTGTGACGACGATTCCAGCTTCGCTTCCTCTCCGGCCGCGATCTTCTGTAATGACACTGGTGTTGCCGGATATCTCGTTCTGCACAGACTTGGCCACCGCATTGTCATTGATAAAGTCTTCCTCGCTGGTGCTGAGTATACGTGTGCCTTGTTCCTTTGGAGTGTAACGTGGCAGGATGCTTCGAATGTGGGAACTCTTTCCAGACAGTCCGTACGTCCGACTGTTTTTGTAGGACTTACTGTCAGTACCTCCGTTTCGGCTGGATTTCAACCACCGACTGTTCGAGAACAAAGGTTTAATACAGGCTGCATTTACAGCGATGATAGCGACAAACTGTTGACAGGAGTATAAGTCATCAAATGACACTCAAGTTTATAGTACATCAGATGCGCTTACAGTTTCGCGAATAGCCCATATGGGGTATGTGTTAATAGCCTCAATATTCTGAAGCGAAAGAACGCATCTTAGCAGCGTTGAAATCATGACAAAGACCCCCGAGCACAATAGGACACCAATGGCGAGTTTGTGACCCAACGTAAGCCTCACAGCCCAAAGGAGTGGGATCGGTATGGCCACGATAACTACATCAGTACTACGCGAATATTGTTAGTGTGGATGCTTCCAAATGTGTTTCTCGGGATCTCACGCAACATTCAGACAGCCACTGCGATGTAGTTTATTACTGAGCAGTTTTCTGGAAAATTATTAGAGACAACCCATTTCCATAGCAGTTCCGGCGCGGTCTTACACTCTGGTATAGGAGCGACTCGCCAGTTGTCAAATACTGGAGTGCATTGTGCAAAGATGATTCTTAACATGGCGAGATTAGTTGCCACACAAGTGACCCCTGTCCATTTTACGATCCGTTGTTGGTTGAGCCCGAGCCTATCAAGCGTTGAATTAAGATCCTTCTTACCCAAGCTGATTGTCTTGAGCCAGTCATCGTCGGCGGGAAGGACTTACGTGATGCGGTTAAAGAAACACAGCATGCAAACTTTTAGGTCCAGATGAGGGCAACGTAAGTTTTCCATCCTGTAATCTTTAAGAAGAGAAGAGATATGCTACAAGGAAAATTACTCTCTGTGGTTGAGCAGACTGACTCGCCAGCGGACGAGTTGTTGCTGGCTGGGCTTAGTGAGTCTATCGTCACTTAGACCATTAAGATCGGCAGGCACTTGGTTGAAGTACAACGCATTTGAATTCGGCTGCGTTACGTACGCCTGATCTCTAGTCTCGTTTATCACATTTGCATATGTCATGAAAATATTCCCCATTCCAGAGCTTTGATTTGGTATGGACTTTCGACTAGTATGTACTAATCTAAAGCCCGTATATTGCAGTTTCCAGGCGGTTGGTCAGCCAGCCTAATTGTGGAAGGGCCTAACTAATATTCAGAAGCTAAGGGGTTAATCAAGTGCTTGCGCTCGGCTCCCGGCAGGCTCTTTCTGGCGCTAGTCATTGCGCCTCTAGCCATGCTCATTCTTAGGGATTAGGGTCGGAAGCTCCTCAACTGTTCAATAGGCCAACTGGCGCTGACAATGACCAAAACAGTTACCCAAGGCCCACCTACTACTGGTAGATGGAGATTTATCAATGATCTCGAGGTCTTATTAGGCGTCAAAACGATAGGGAGCTGTCGGGATTAAGCGATGCTAGTGAACTGGCCGCAGGCTCAAGAGTGAGAACGCGAAATCCTCCCACAACTTGCTGATGTTACAAATTTCTCATACTCATATTCATATGTAAGCAGTCAAATCAATCGATTCATACTATAGTTACACTGCAGCGCCAGGCTGAATTGCTTCATTGGGAAGTTCACCGTGTCCAAGAGGGACCTCGTAGTAAGCTATATTAATCTGCGATACTCACTCACCCAAGACGCGCGAACATGCCTATCAGGTGTTTCTACTGGGCTTCCTGAGTTCAAATATTGATAGCCATCTTGAGGAAAAGGTGTCGAGGCTATAGCCACGCTTCACGTTTCTGAACGATTACCGCAGCCGGATGCCCGTTGGACACTGTCGATTTAGAACTGTCTGCTGTGGATCTCCGTGGATCTTACAGAGATTCGCAGCTAGCGAGCGAGTGGAGCTCATATGGCTGCGGGGTTATAGCTGCACCATAATGTTGGTTGTCGGGAAGTTGTGAAAGTCGAACTTTGTTATCGAATATGCTGCGCACGGATGTTTGTAACTGGACGAGTATCTCTTTGGACGAGGCTGATACGATTGGTCCACAATAGCAGACATCTGAACTCTACGTGTTCAAGTAACGCACAACTACATTGCCAGTCTGTCGTCAATGGTCGGAATCACCCTCTCCCGTTTTTTTGCCTGGATGGTGTTTTCGGCCAGTTTTGGCTTTACGTTGATGCATACAACCGTAGCAGCGTACAGCGGAAGCAGAACACGATTGGTCACATCGACCGGGTTTCCAAACCTGCACGATGGTGCGATTTTAGGGAACTTCCTGTACGATTGTGAGTCCTTCAGAGACTGAGTAAAATGCAACCGGAATTGTCAAATACGCGTCACTAACAGTCGCGTTTGGTTTGCATGAATAGCATCCTTGTCGCAAATTGATAGTCACCAAAGGCAGAGCATACAATTGTCATTGACGATTGAATACTTCAAGGTGAAGAACGGTGCTTGAAGGGGGAACTACATCGGGCGATAGCGAGTTTATCGAGAATGGTTGCCCAATTCTAATCGAATCAAAAACGTGTTCCTTTGGTGCGAGTCTGACTGAAAGCACACGTGCCAACAGCAGAGTCCACGTTCCATCTTTGTAGTATGCATTTTTCCCTGTTTGAGCCATGATTGACAGCGAGGTCACGATTATACTAGCCATCCTGACTAAGTGAGTCGAAGATAGAAGCTTCGAGCGGGAGGGTTTTCATGAGAAATGGCCACGGGCCAGAACCTTGGAAGTCTGCCTTTGCTGACTCGTCAGCAGACCTGAGTCGGCGACTGTTGGCCGCCGACGCCGACTCAAACCCCTGGCAAGTCGGGTCGCGCTTAACGAAAGCTCCGTGCTCGTTGCAATCCCTCCAGCCAAGCGAGCAGGCCTTGGCCCAGACGGGGACAAGCGCATGCCGTATCCAGCTAGCATCACAACGCCGTTCTTTGACGGACGTGAGCAATGACGGTAGTGACAAACCACGGCCAAGACGCATCCAATCAGCCGACAGAGCAATGACAAAGCAGCAAAATGCGCCGCAGAAAATGGGCCTGAAGTCGGCCACTTTTGAATCAGGCCCCGGCGTTGTTGATAGGAAATTTGCAGCGAGCTAGCAACCGCAGACTACGTAGGAGGAGGTGGGCGAGGCGCAGAACTCGGAGATACTCGCTCTTCTCAGGTTGTGCGAGCTGCAGGATTGGGCCAGTGGACTGGCAATATATGAGACCTGGCTGCCATCACGGAGGGAAGTCAAAATCCAACCTTAACTTTGCTTGCACTGCATCAAGCGCTCTATACAGTTGATCGCATTCCGTCAAAGCGAATCATAACACCCGAAACTCTACTACAGCTAACGCCCGGGTCTCTCACTCTTGGCAAACTCGCGCCAGTGCTAGACCAGACCGAGCGGTACTCTGGGACACTATCTTGCCATAGCAAAAAGGTGGCAGCACATATACCGATTAGACAGCTGGGAGAAGCCCATGATACGAACCCCACTGCGAGCGTCGTTCACGACCCCGACCTTTTGAAACGGCCCAGACGCTCAAATCTCACGCCGTTGCCTCCCTCGCGTCAGCAACCAAGGAAACAGCTTCGTCCAAGATGTCGTCCTCCTCAGGGCCACCGTATATGCCAAACATGGCCCAGGTCGGCGGCCTGCCGACAATAATACCCGACGTGCCCATCTCGGCCACTCTGATTTTCGTGTACCTCTGCCTCGCAGTAACGCACATGACCATATTTCGGGTCAACCTGAAGCGCGACCACAAGTTCGTCTTCTCGGGCTTGCTGTTCGGTCTTTCGATGGCACGCACAGCCGCGCTGGCCATGCGCATAGCCTGGGCTACACATCAAACCAACATTTCTATTGGCATTGCGGCCAACATCTTGACGCAGGCAGGTGTCGTCCTCCTCTTCGTCGCCAACCTCTTCTTCGCTCAGCGCATTGTCCGCGCCTATCACCCAACCTTCGGCTGGCATACCGGCGCACGCATCGTTTTCCGATTCCTCGTCGCTTCCGTGATCGCTTGTCTGATCATGGTTATTGTATGTACGGTGCACTCGTTCTATACCCTTGACACCGTGGCCCGCCAGATGGACCGCAAGGTGCAGCTCACCGCCGGCGTATATCTGGCATTCCTCGCATTTGTTCCGGCGCCGGCGGTCATCATAGCCTCGTTGTTTCCCAGCAAAACCCGCGTGGAGAAGTTCGGTCAGGGCCGGTTCCGAACCAAGATTGCGCTGCTCCTTTTCACGTCCTTGCTCCTGACCCTTGGCGCCGGGTTCAGGGTCGGGACAAACTTCGCTGCAAGGCCGCAAAATGATCCGGCCTGGTACCACCACAAGGCGTGTTACTACTGTTTCAACTACGCCATTGAGATTATCGTGTCCACACTGTACGCAGCTGTACGGTTCGACCGGAGGTTCCATATCCCCGATGGCGCGAAAGGTCCAGGCGATTATGCACAGGGTGTCACAGGTCCGCGAGTTAATACTGAGGAGGAGGCATTTGGTCCTGAGCGAAGTGAGGACGAAGCAACCATAGGAGGCGCAACACCGACAGAAAGCGCATGGGAGGAGAGATTCAGGAAGGAGCAGAAGAGTGAGGCCGGAACGACTGTTTAAGAAAGACTACGATACCCAATAAGACGTACATGCATACCTGTATATGTAAATGCCTAGAATAAGTTATAATAAGATATAGACCAATTGCATTATATCAAGTATGGCGAGATTGGTGCTTGGAATTGTTCAGCCATGGGAAGTCATAGTTCATACACATTGACCCTGATGATGACGAGCAGTCCAGTTCTTTTGATACCGCCTCTGAATTCCTGCTTCATCTATATGGTGAGCTCGGGCTGGTGAGACGTGGTATAGAATTGTGGCTGAGAAATAGTGGCTGTGCTTTTTCGCGTTTCACTTATTTAATTTCCTTCTTTTCCGTAGAATTTAATACACCATCGCACTTTTTGCCTTCATTTTACGACTGTTCGGTTTGGCGACCGTCGATTTATACGTCTATTTTGACCATACGAACGATGTATGTTCAATTCGTCGGCACTGACGAGGAGAACTGCGTTGGCTGAGGTTGTGTTACTTGGGGAATATGGCCCAGGAGCACCACTCCAGTTCAATGGTCAAGGAGTTGATCGAAACATACTGGCTATAGACATCTACCTTGTTCTCGTCCGCATAGCCCCAAATATCTCGATCAATTTCGTGGGCTGTAGCTGAGGTTTGGGGAATCATCAAACTTCTCGAACGGTCGCCTTTTAGTTAACGCTGATCCTTAATCAGAAAGCAAAGCTGCGATATATGCTGCAATACCATATCACCAATCTCTAGGATCGGCAGAATTGCATGTCCCGATAATGTCTGGTAGTGATTTATAATACAAATGCTGTGGTCAATAAGTATATAGAAGCACGACACACAAAGCAGCCTGGTCAGTTACAAGAATCCGATACTGAACAACGCAAGAACAATGAAGTTCCTTTGCAGTGTCATTTATATGTTACGTGAAAAGGGAAGAAAGAGCGCAGACATGATTATACCGATGACCAAGTCAATCAACACTACCAACGGATATTGTTCTACATGATTGCCTTTAGTTGTGTCCGAATCACATCGAACCCTTGTCTAGTTTGCTGCACAATACTTACCAACCGCATAATGATAGCTAGGGTTGCTAGCAGCAGCCGGGCAAAGCTATGCAATCCATGTAGAAACCCGGTTTAAATGATGCATGAATCTGCAAGCCCGTTGGCCGAGACTGCCTTATGGATCACGAAGATACCTGTCAATGCAGCGCATACCACTTACACCTTGTTGAGTGCATTGTGGACTACAGTGAATGTACTGCTAGCCAAAACCTCGATGACAAAAGATACCTAGCTACTCCGGCATGGGAGCATCGCAAGCACCTCTGGAGGGCCACTGACCAGACGCGGCACATGCCGTTGAAGTGGATTTATGCATCACTATTCCAAGTATTCTGGTCTCGGCTGCTCCCATTCTGACAATGCCCGCGCAGAGTACGGCAGGCCAAGGTCCATGCGCAAATCGCCGTCCGCTGAGCACTGACACATGCATGCAGTCTTAGCTTGCAACTGGAAATGGCTCCTTAAACGGCATTCCGAAAATTCGGCACGAAAGCAACGGAGTTCTTCTCGGCCCAATCTTAACACAGGTCTCAGTACACCCGATAGTTGGCCTTTGTGGGATTGTATTTTCGAATGCCGCGATGGATGCACTCTGCACCTCGATGGTACGTTTTTTTGCCATGTGACTACATGTAAGTACTGTTTAGTACTAGTCCTTCACAAGGGATAGAGTACATATTGTCCAATAGGAGTACACTCCGCTTTCGCGAAAGTTGCACGAGTCATTACCATGGAGTGTGCAGGGTGATTGAGTGATATGGGCCATGCAGATACCATAGTGGCCACAACTATACTTGGACCTTGTATCAAGGTCTGCCGCAATGCCTGCTTTCCAATAGACCCACTGGCCAGCTTGGCGTTGGTCACACCTGCAATGGAACTGGACCTTTTAGATGGTGCACATACTTAACAGACGAGCCTGGCGAGTTTACGGATTATTGCACCTGTCCTCCGCTTGTCACTGAGTTCCGCTCTCAAGATCAAAATCAAAGTCGCAATGAATTCTAACGACATAGAAAGCCGAAAGGTCGCAATAATCACGGGCTCGACGGTTTGTTGGCTTCTTCCCTTGACCAATCCTCTACGTAAATTGACTGACAAAATCTAGAGTGGGATCGGCCTTGATCTCGCGAGGCACCTTCACCGTCTTGGATATCGAGTCGCTATTTCTGGCAGACGTGTGGAAGTTGGTGAGCAAATTGCTAAAGACTTAGACTCCACAGGAGCTACCGCTACTTTTGTCCAATGCGACGTAGAGGCGTACTCATCACAGGCCAGTCTTTTCAAGACTATCTGGGACAAATGGAACCGCCTTGATGTATTCATTCCCAATGCTGGTATCGTCGACAAGGGGAGCATCTACAACTTCAGACGTCGCTCAGCTACTGTTGACGATATACCGTGCGAACCTGATTTGACTTGTACCGAGGTTGGCTGGAAAGGTCTGATTTTTGGAACGACTCTTGCTACACATTTCATGCGACACAACACTGTACCTGGGGGCAAGGTCATCGTAACGGGGAGCATTATGGGTGTTCATCCATGTCCTACTTTCCCAGAGTATTCTTCAGTCAAGGCCGCAATGCTGCAATGGGCCAGGGCAATGGCCCCACTGCTTCTGAAGAAAGAGAGCATAACCATAAATATAGTGCTGCCGAATGCTACGGATACTCCTTGTATGCCCGATTTCAAGGTGGCCTTCTTGCCAGAGCAGTATGGTCCCTTACCCAACCACCATTAGCAGCTGCTGACAACGTGAAGGTTGACCTTGAAGTCATGCCTCACTTCTGCTTATGACATTTTTCTGGATGATGGCCCAAACCAAATGACTGGGCAGGCTGTCGAAGCTGCTCACGACAGGCTCTATTTCTATGAGCTCCCAGAGCCCAAGGGTGGAGACGTAACAAAAAGGACCATAAGCGCGTACGAGCCCTGGTTTGCACCGATGCATGGAGAGAAGAGTGACTTGGATACTGCGATCAAAGCGCCACCTACGCAGACCCAAAATAGCACATCCTTAGACTGAAGCTCGTTGTCTCTGAAGTGAATATATTCAGACTCCGACAAAGTTTGGCGTAATTATCAACCACTTCTAAATTAGCGTATGGATCTTAGCTCGCAATTTATTCGTTGTGCCATAGTAACACCGCGAGTGCGGTTCAAAGATCCGGCTTATTGATGAGGTAGGAGGGCAAATGGGGAGAGTTCACCGGTGCCAAAGTAAGTGTCTTACGTAGGCACCACGCACCCGTCGTATGTGGGAACATGGCCCACACAGACCCGCCTGTCGTACTCCGCATGGCGGCGAATGATATGTATCTGATCAATAGAATCTATGTTTGCTCCTCCACTGCGGGTTTGCCGGATGCCATGTTGTGGCACTGTCCGGATACCGCTCGGCCGCCTGGGTTAAGTGAGACTACATACCCGGCCCTTGTCATGCTGCTCAGGGAATCTGGTGGTTGGGTGGCATCACCATCGTGCTCACCCATGAATACAGTCAGCCCTCCAGCCCTTGTCCACTTTATGAATTTTTCGAAGAACATTTCCTGAATTCGACCCGCAAATCGAATGTCTGCCCCCTTCAACCACGCTTATTTCCACCAAGTCCAGATATGTCAAAGGTGATCGCTGTAACAGGAGCCACTGGCTCTCAGGGGGGTGGCGTCGTGAATGTGATGAAGAAAACACCGGGATGGAAAGTCAGAGCAATCACACGGAATGTCGACAGCGATTCTGCGAGGAAGCTCGCAGCTGACGGCGTAGAAGTTGTCGCGGCTAGCTTTGACGACGAAGACTCGTTGCTCAAGGCATTCGAGGTTTGCAACACCACTCTAGTCTTCCTGTGATGCTATTGAATACTAATCTGAGTTAGGGTGTTTATGCTGTATTTGCTGTGACAAACTGGTGGGAACACCTGTTCAGCGGCAAGTCTCAAGATGAAGCTGGCGTACTCGAGGAAGAACAAGGTATGAAGATCGCGCGAGCTGCAGCCAGGACCACAACGCTGGAGCACTACATCTGGTCAACTTGCCCGAGCGCTAAGAAGATTCTTAAGGGGGACAACGTAGCCCCCCACGTGAGTGAACCTAATACCGTAGTGCCGTACCTGACTACTCAGGGAGTTGCTAATTATTGATCAATGCAGATGGACTACAAGGCTAATGTCGACGATCGCATCAAATCCGAGCTTCCCGAGCTCGCAAAGAAAACCACGTATCTTATGTTTGGTTATTACCCTCAAAACCTTGCTTTCTTTCCGCTACTTAAGCCGATCGCATATGTAAGCCCCAGCATACGTATATAGAACCCAAATATTTCCGCTGACCCCATATAAGCCAGGGACGGAGCAGTACATCCAACTAATGCCAACCAAACCAAGCGCTAGGATCCTGCTGTCTGGTGACATGTCCACCAATCCAGGAATCTGGGTACGCCAACGTAGCCCTTGAGAAGTGGACGTTCCAAGAAATGGCAGATGTCTGGTCTCAAGTCACTGGGAAGAAATGCAGCTTCGTCCAGTGTTCCCCAGAGGATTGGACCGCACTGTGGGGGCCGGCCGGTCATGAGCTCGGGCTCCAGTTCAAGTTTGGCGAGCTATGTGATCCGTGGCAGGAAACAGATGAACATATTAGCGCTGAAGAGCTAGGGATTGATGTCAATGAGGTGGTTGGGTTCAAGGGTACAATCGAGGGCCTCAAACATCTATTCTAGGAACAAGGAACATCTGTTCTAGCCTAATCATATCATAGCTTCATTGTGAAATGCAAATCCATTCGTTGTCATTCTTCGAATTCGTAAACATGATATTGTTGAAAATAACTCCTTCGTCAATGTACATTTACGTTTGCGGACAATTGCCATGGTACGTCTGGGGATTCAAATTGAGTGTAGACTCTGCATTTCACAGGATCTGGATCGTGTCGGTCAGTTGATGGAAGAAATTAATGACCAATGGTAGGAGTCATCAAGGTCTTTGGTTCGAGTGTTTACTGTTACACTAGAGAGATGCTTGCTTTCCGTATATGTACACTATTGGTTACCGAGGAAAAGCTGACAGAAGCCGACATTTACATCTAAGTTTCGAACTTGTCCACAAGACGACGCTTGCTTCACAAGTTGCATCGCTAAGCTGGTTATACCAATGCTACAACCGAAACAGAAAAGAGTTACCGCGTTTTGAATCACAATTATATACCGAGAAGCTATAGAACACGAGGCGGCGAACTAAGTGGCTGACCCCCAACATGCTCGTGGGCAAGCTCAATACAGTCTCACGCCCCTACCTTTTATATGAATACTCGTTGCGTAAGCAACACTGTCACAGGTGAAGCAAGAAGTCGTCTTTCCTTGAGAAGTATATTACTGATATTTACTGCTGCGGGTTCATTGGTGCCCTGACTAGTTCGGCTCCGGTTTCGTTAACCCTAAGTATGTACTTACGGCGGTTAGTGACGGCGCCTGTTGCAACTGTGGACAAGTGGGGCGTAGGCCGCCGAAGATCGCCGACATGGTTTGCGCCTTTTCCCTTGCATGTGGAGACCAAGTCCAGGTATTTCCAACTGCTCGACTTGACTTAGGTATATAATAACTGTTTCACTGCTTCAGGTCTCCTGGCACAGTCTTCAGCTCGTAGGACCTGAAGTGGCATATTCCACGGCAACTTCCCTTACTTTTCTTCCACGATGGTCAAGATCCCTCCGTTCGACGTTGAGCAATGGATGGACAAGTATGAGACCACACCAGGTGTTCTCAACATTGCCGAAACATGCTGTTCTTCGATATCAGTAGATGCCCTTCAAAGGCTCAACAAGCGGCAAGATGCGCCTCCACCAGTCGATTTCTCAAGACCGATGACGTATGGCGCGATCTTGGGCTCGGCTGAGCTTCGCCAGAACATTGCCAGCCAGTACGACAGCGCAGGGAGCTCTGGAGAAGTGCACCCGGATTCGGTCATTGTCACGCAGGGTGCTATCGCGGCGAATCACCTGGTTTTTTACAGTCTCGTGGGCCCGGGCGATCATGTGGTCTGCGTCTTTCCAACCTACCAGCAGCTCTATGCTGTCCCTGAGAGCCTAGGTGCTGAGGTATCATTGTGGGAACTCAAAGCCGAGGATGGGTTCGTACCCGACGTCAAGGCGCTTCGGGGGCTTATCAAAAGCAACACGAAGGTCGGTAAATGATCTAGCTAAGTCAGTAGGATCGTACTAAGGCGAGTCGGTCACAGATGATTGTCATCAACAACCCTAACAACCCAACTGGAGCGACTATACCCACGGAAACTCTGAAGCAGATAATTGAGGTAGCGCGCGAAAAAGGCATCATTGTCTTCGCCGACGAGGTCTACCGGCCGCTCTACCACAGTCTTGACGCTGACAAGATCCCGCCCTCTGCCCTTTCGCTCGGTTATGAGAAGGTTGTCGTCACGTCGTCGATGTCCAAGGCCTGGGCCCTGGCTGGGATTCGTGTGGGCTGGATCGCATCGCAGGATCCCAGTATCATCGAGAAGGTTGCTTTGGTTCGGGATTACACCACCATTAGTGTATCGCAGATCGATGACCAAGTGGCGCGTTATGCGCTCAGCCCAGATGTCAGGCCGCAGCTGATAGCTCGAAACCTAGAGCTCTCGAAGAAGAACTTGGCGTTGGTGGATCAGTTTATCCAGGGTCACCAGGACGTCGTCTCGTGGGTGAAGCCGACAGCAGGCACCACAGCCTTTGTGCAGTTCAAGAAGAACGGCAAGCCCGTCGACGATGAGAAGTTCTGTCTCGATGTTCTGGAGAAGACAAAAGTGATGTTCCTACCTGGATCCAAGTGTTTCGGGCATGGAAAGGGGTTCCAGGGGTATGTCCGGATTGGGTATGTGCAAGAGACAGGGGTGCTGCAGGAGGCACTGGAGCAACTGAGCGCATATGTCAAGGAAAACCTTGCATGAACTTGATGTCCAGACTATAAGATCTGGGCAGGAGATCTCCCATCGATGGTGTAACTATGTACATTCGAAACAGCAAGCTTGCCATTGGACCGAGCCCAGAGGTGGCGGATCAGTGGGAGATTTTGGCCCATGAATAGTATCAGACGTCACTTCACGCCGTGGTCGGAAAGAGGATAAATCAAGGCATTCACTCTGGTATCGTATATAAATCATACTGCGCCGTTGCTTCAACAAATTGTAGACGCATAGCCGGACCGTGTACGCCCTTGGCCATGTGAGATCGCTGACTAGATACCTAGCACGGAAGTCATCCGAGGAAGCAAGTTCTCAATGCAATAAACTAGGTCCACTCATCAACATTCTAGTTTCCCAAGGTAGGTCGTAATTGTACAAACCCGGAAGAGGCGGGCTCGGAACGCTCGTAGGATGCCCCCTTTGAACCCGTGGCCGGGCGACGGCGTACGCCTTGGCCAGATTCCAGCTTTTCAGGGAAGCGCAAGTCAAGCCAAGTCATCAATCGAGACGCCTTGTTGAATGTTTTTCGCGGCGACCCGGAGCCCTGGGACCGGGTGCGTTCGGGACCTGCAGCCCCAGCTCGGCGCATCCCGATCGTACCACGGTGGTGCAAGGCGGCCCACAAAATGTGTCGACAAATGGTCAGCAGCCTGGCTGGCGGCCCTGGAGAATCCGACGAAACACACCACTTTTCAGGAGCGCATGTCAACTGGTCGACCCAGCTCAGCCTGCGCCAGGGTTTGCGGCTCAGCTGTCAAAATGTTTCCCTGGTGCTTCTCTGCAGTAGCTTCCGCTGCTGACCCAACGCCCTGGTTTGTGGCCTGACCCTACGGGCGAAGCAGGCCATTATGCCTGGATATCTGCTGATGGCACTGTTTTCCGCCAACGTGTCTCTATTGCTGCCGTGGAGGAGTGGACGATGGTAAACATGACCGCCGGTGTCCGGTCCTGCCCTCGTCCGTATAAGAGCGTGATGTTGGTTGTGTGTCCGAGATGGTGTTTCCCTCAGTGCATCAGCAACATCACCACTCTAGACCTGTAAATAGGACAGCATCTCAACTCCTCTGTACATACTACTACCTCACCACTCAAATCATCTCGCATCGATCTCGAGTTTCTTCTCATTCTCGGCTACTATAATCATAATGTCGGCACCATTCTCCCGCACAGCAGGCCAGGTCCTTGCAAGGAGGCTCTTCTCCTCCACGTCACGGGCGCAGTCCGTACATGCGAGTGCAGGGTCCGAGTTCCGAGCCCTGTTCAAGCCCGCGAGCTCCATGGGGTCGCAACCGACGGACTGGGGCAGAATAATTCGCACTCGTGCAGTAACCGCAGTCATGTGAGTTCAACCCCGATATCAGCGTGGCTCGGCCCCACGACATACTGACTGGTGTGGAAATCAGTTACTTCACAGGCATGGGCACCGTCCTCGGCTGGCCTCTTGCCGCAGCATGGGCCTTGGATGGCAAGATCGGGAGCGGCATCTTCTGATAATTTGTATGAATACCCATTTTAGCATTGACGGGGCGTTTGGTGGTGGCATCAGGGAACGGACAGCAAATCGCATTTTCACTTTGTTTAAAAAAGAGAAGGGTACACCTGGGGTGTATATCTGGATGCTTGTAATGTGGCAGACTAAAAAGAGACCTCTTGGATGGCGGCCATCATAGACAATAGACTCGGATACCCACAACATGACTTGTAACACTGACTTGCTGGTTTGCATGATTGAGAAGACCCCGCCGGTTGAACTGGATGGGAACACCAAGGCAAGTCCTGTAACCCGTGTGTAAAAGGCAAACAACGGAAGCATACATTCCTGTGCCAACAGCAGCGCGCAGCCCGTTGTACAAGAAGCGAATGCGACTCACCGACAGGAGGGTTGCCAAGCGAGTCGACCGGGCACGACCCAATAGGAGCTGGGGCGTCGGGCTGGTGTGCATCATGATCCAAGTCCATCCTTGATCCTCCCAGCAGTGCCACCTTGGGCTTGGAATACAAGGCGTCGTCTTGTCTGTCCTCTTCTGCCACCCATCTTGTCTCCTCAGATGTCTCGAGGCGGAGAGAGCGGGAGAGGATGCCATTTTGACAAATCCGCGACCAAGACCGTCAATTGTTCGCTTGTCTGCTGTCTCGCTCGTACAGTTCGTTAACTAGTTAGTGGCGCTTTGACCTGGAACCTGGGGAGCTTGTGGCTTTCCCCCCCGGGCCCTCGGTCTAGCGTTGCCCGCAGTGACGACCTGGACGAGCTCGTCCCCGAGAACCCCCAGGCCAGCATTGGCATTGACCTCGTGGCTCACTGTGGGGGTCCCCCAGTTGAGCCTGGCCCACTGCCAGCCATCGAAACTGGCCAACCAGCGCCCCGCCCTGGGCAGCTAGGGGCGGCTGCAATCGCCTGTCATACCTAAGTACAGTAGGTATCCACTAAGTTGCCTACCTACTGCCAGCCTGCCGCCCGCTCTTACGTATCGCCGCTCGCCTCTGGATGCTGCCGATTGGAGAGAGGCAGCTGATCGATCGCCAGCACCAGCTCCGTTGCTCCCTCCTACAACCAACCCATCGTCTTTCCTTTCCGACACCTCCAGACGCCTCCATGGCCATGTCCATGTCCAAGATGTCGTCGCCGAGCTTGAGGTTACTGGCGCTAGGCGCCCTCTCCTTATCGTCATGTCTGGTTTCCGCGCAGACCAACTACACCGAGGTCGACATGCTGCGGGCACAGCTGACCCTCCTCACCGGCCGATCTGACGAATGTCCGCCATGGTGAGTTCCGGTCCGATGCGCCTTGCGCCGCCCCTCAGCCGTCGATGGAGAGTACTAATACCCCCTCCTACAGCTTCAACTGTCTGCTCCCGGCCTACACCTGTGGCCAGTTCTCGGAATGTAACGAATACAACGGCAAATGCGAGTGTCCTGCCGGCTTCGGAGGCGACGACTGTTTGGAACCAAGTACGTCCATCCGTCCAGCTTGTGCTCTCAAACGCCTCCAGCGCACACTGCTAATCCTTCTACAGCTTGCGGTTCTCTCGCCCGGGGCAAGGACCGGCCCATGCGACAAGGCGACGCCTGCGATTGCGACGAGGGCTGGACCGGCGTCAACTGCAATGTCTGCACCGAGAACAAGGCCTGCGATGCTCTCATGGAGACGGGCGACGGCGGCGTCTGCTACCAGAATGGCGAGGTCATCAGCCAGAACTACCAGATGTGTGACGTGACCAACGAGAAGATATTGTCCATGCTCGATGGCAAGATCCCCCAGGCCAGTTTCAGCTGCCAGAGAGAGAACGGCTTCTGCGACTTCCAGTTCTGGATCGACCGCCTCGAGTCCTTCTACTGCCACCTCGAGGACTGCAAGTCCAGCGCCGAGTTCGATTCCGACAGCAACAGCACCTACTACAAGTGCCCCAAGGTCCAGTGTTCTTGCATCCCGGACCGAATGCTCTGTGGAGAGGATGGGTCTATTGATCTCACCGACTTCCTGGCCGAGGGTCTGACAGGTCCCGCCGAGTTCGAATGTCTTCAGGAGAACGGCGGCGTCAACAACTGCAAGTTCAAGGAGCCCGAGTTGGACGGCATGGTGAGAGCGATCTTCGGAGACCCTAGTATCGAGCTCAGCTGTCGCTCTGGAGAATGTCTGTACCACACCGAGGTTCCTGGCTACGAGCGTCCCGTCAAGAAGATCAACACGCCCTTGATTGCTGGTGTCATTGCTGGCTGCTCGCTCTTCCTGGTTGCCGTCATCCTGCTCGTCTGGTATCTGTCACGACGCTCCTTCCACTACCAGCCTGTGAGCCTAGACGACTCCGACGACGAGTCATCCAGGCTCATGGTCGACCACAAACCTGCATCGCTGTATTTTGAGGACGTCTCCTACGACCTGAACGGGAAGCGCATCCTCAGCAACATCCAGGGTATGGCACGTCCCGGAGAAGTCATGGCTATTATGGGTGCCTCAGGCGCCGGAAAGACCACCTTCTTGGATATCTTGGCGAGGAAAAACAAGCGTGGGAACGTGGCTGGCAACTTCTACGTCAATGGCGAGAAGGTTGAAGATGCCGAGTATAGGAATGTGGTGGGTTTCGTCGACCAGGAGGACACCATGCTGCCGACTCTTACCGTCCACGAGACCATCCTGAACTCGGCCCTTCTTCGACTGCCCCGGGCCATGAGTCGTGCTGCCAAGGAGCAGAAGGTCTGGGACGTGGAGAAGCAGCTTGGTATCTACCACATTCGCGACTCCCTGATCGGGTCCGAAGAAGGCAAAGGCCGTGGTATTTCTGGTGGTGAGAAGAGACGTGTGGGTATAGCCTGCGAGCTGGTAACAAGTCCTTCGATCTTGTTCCTGGACGAGCCTACCAGTGGTCTCGACGCCTACAACGCCTACAACGTCATCGAGTGCCTTGTCACCCTCGCCAAGACCTACAAGCGCACCGTCATCTTCACCATTCACCAGCCCCGATCGAACATCGTCGCCTTGTTTGACCGACTGATCCTGTTGGCCCAAGGCAAGACTGTGTACTCGGGCCCATTCGCTAGTTGCCAGGGCTATTTCGACGGCATCGGGTACTCATGCCCGCCAGGGTTCAATATCGCCGATTATTTGGTTGATCTTACCATGCACGCCACCTCGTTCGAGCCCTACGATGACGGTACGCTCCACGCGGATAACGCGAGCGTGGGACCGAGCAGCACAAAGGCAGTCAAATCGATCGCCAGCATTTCTGGTAACAGCACTGCCGAGGACAGCGTCAATACCGAGCCTTCATCCAGTCGACCCAAGTCGAAGCGCAAGGATTCAATCAGGACACGCCAGGAACGCGAACTCTTCACACGACGTAAGAACGCCGCCAACAACAACAATGTGGACACTGCCGCATCTTCCGACGTCGACGAGGAGATTGGGGCCTATAAACTCCACAAGCAGCCCCCACCTCCTCATATCAACATTGACGAGGCGCATGATCTCCCTCCATCGGTCCATGATAACGATTTGGATGGACTTCATCAGGCATTTGTGGAATCCGATATCGCGGGCTCAACACACGATGAGATCCAACAGGCTGTCGAGAATGCCCGCAACGCCAACGGCCAGAATGGATATACCCCTGAAGGCCCCAATGTCTACGTTGGCGGCATCGGCAAAGGCTACGCGCGCCCCAGCTACGCGAGACAGTTCCTGATCCTATCGAACCGGACATTCAAGAACCTGTACCGCAACCCGCTTCTCATGTTGACCCATTACGCCATTGCGATTCTTCTGGCCGTCCTGTCGGGCTACCTCTTCTATGGGCTCACCGACGACATTCCTGGCTTCCAGAACCGCCTTGGTCTCTTCTTCTTCCTCCTTGCGCTCTTCGGCTTCAGCACCTTGACCAGTCTGAACGTGTTCGCTTCCGAACGCCTGCTGTTCGTCCGTGAACGCGCCAACGGCTACTACTCGCCTGTCACCTACTTCGCGGCCAAGGTGCTCTTCGACATCATCCCCCTGCGCATCATCCCGCCCATCCTGATGGGTGCCATTATTTACCCCATGACGGGTCTCATTGCTGACGCCCAGCACTTCTTCATCTTCATGCTGGTTCTGGTGCTGTTCAACCTCGCCGCAGCAGCCATCTGTCTCTTCATCGGCATTGTCTGCAAGGACGGCAGCGTCGCCAACTTGATCGGGTCCCTCGTCATGCTCTTCTCGCTGCTCTTTGCGGGTCTCCTGCTCAACCATGACGCCATCCCTGGGGCAGCCAAGTGGCTCCAGGCACTGTCCATCTTCCACTACGGTTTCGAGTCGCTGATTGTCAACGAGGTGCTGAAACTGGAGCTCGTCGACAAGAAGTACGGCCTCGACATCAAAGTGCCCGGCGCCACCATCCTCTCGAGCTTCGGGTTCAACAACGGTGCTCTCTGGATGGATGTCCTCAACCTTGGCGTCTTTGCCGCCGTCTTCGTGGTCCTCGCCTACGGTGCTATGCATTTCTTGCTTGTAGAACGTCGGTAGAACCGCTGGCGTAGGTTTGCCAATTGCGCACCAGCGCCGTGTAGGATAGAGTTGTCAGCACAGTTGTGCGTGACAAGGGGGGCTGGCTTTGGCGGCAGATATACGTATAAAGAGCATAGTGCGGTGATTTCCTATGTACTGCGTCGAGCATTGAATCTTGCGCCGGGCCAAGGGGGCGGTATTTCCCACCCTCATCAGCTAGCTTTTCATAGGACGGCATCATCAGGCATCATGGCGTTTGACGGAGTTTTGCTTTGTAATTCTACAATTGAGACAGGAATGGAACACAGCCACCACGGGTTACATAGACTACCAATCTTCTCTCGTGCGCGACCCGGTTCTTGTATGAATAAGCCACTTGCTTGGATGCGATGATACGATAAAGCTGTATTTCATATGTACAGTGTTCAATTGTACCCCCGAGGCACATATTTCTGTCGTAGTGGCGCGCCAATCCCTTCGCAGAATGAGACCTTGACCCACGACGTTGATTATTATACAAATTTTGGCCTGGTTCTCTGTTGAGTAGTCCCAGGCCATCTTTTTTTTCTACACATTGTACACGAAGCCTCCTGAAACCGCTCAGCAGAGGCAGCGAGCTTCCATACTTCGCGCTCGGTGCCAACAAGCCGCTGTACTCTATAGGTGGGGGACAATTGACCCCGTCTTGGTATTCACAGTCTCCCCAGCTTCTGTTTGTCCCTTTGCTCAGACCTCATCCATGGGACCACCGGTCAGCTCCTCGGCCACCCTCCTCTGGCGCTTGCTGGTGCGCGTGCTCTCGTCCGAGGCGTTGATGACCTTGTTGTCGGTGCGGAGCACATCGCCCATCATGTTCCTGACGGTGGACGGGGCGCCGAACATGTCCCAGGCGTTGACGGACGTCTTGCCCGAGGGCGTCAGGGTCTTGCTGAAGTAGGCGGGGTCGAAGACGCGGTCGACCTCCCTCTCGAGAGCGGCCTCGTCGACGATGAAGGAGCGGGCCGACATGTACAGGTGCTGCAGGGCGTCCTTGCGGTCCTGGGCCTTGGCCTCGGCGATGGCGGCGGTGCGGGCCTGGGAGGCGAGGGCGCGGTCGAAGCGCTCCGGGTCCTGGGGCACGTGGGTCTGCAGGACGGCGGCGGGGATGGTGGTCTCGGTGAAGCGCTCGTCGAGGCGCTGGGCCTTGTTCGTCTGCTGGCGGTTGAGGTTGAGCTTGGAGGCCTGCTGGGACAGGCGGGCGCGGTCGGTGGCCTGCTTGCGGGCCCACAGCTCCGTGACACCCTCGTTGAAGTTCTTGCGGCGGTTCTCGGCCATGCGGCGGCGGCGGGCCTCGTGCTCGCTCCCCGGGGGCAGCTGGGACTTTGCGCTCGTGGGGGCCGGGGCGGACTGGGCCAGGAAGACGGGGTCGTGCTTGGGCAGCTCGTAGGTGCGGCGCTTGAAGATGCGGCGCGGCAGGGGCAGGTGGCCCTTGCGGGCGAAGCGGTCGTGCTTCTTGTCCTCGATGGCCTGGGACAGGGGCGGCGTCGGCACGTTGATGAAGGCGGGCGACTCGGGCGGGATCTGGTTCGTCGGGCGGAGCGAGGTCGCGGAGAAGGCCCGGCTCAGGGACGAGATGGACGTGGCCGTGGTCGTGGCCGTGGCAGTCGAGCCATGGATCGACTGCGCGGCCCTGCGGGAGAGGGCGCAGGGTATTGAGGGAGGCATGGTGCGGGAGAATGTGATGTGAAAGGCCAGAACAGGGCACGAGAGGTGAGTCTCGCCGGGGGGTGGGGGGGTATCTCTCAATGGGGCGGCCCTGGACCACGGGTGCAGCCAGAATATATCTCGAGCTTCTCGCCTGGACCTCGACTTCTGGCTCAACTTCTGGCTCGACTTCTGGCTCAGTAGAACCAGCAGCATCCAACTTTTGCAGTTCGCGTCCCAATTCGGTGATTCGATAATCCGGCTTCCAAGTGCGACCGAACCGCCCCGCTTATCGGGCCCGCTGGGCGCTAGACGGCCCGGCTAGGCCTCTAGGAGTCTAGCGCACTGCTGCCGGTGGAGCGCCCCGCGGCAGAAAGGCCAAGGCGGTCAAGATTTTCGAAAATGTCGGCCGCAAATCTGTAATCTGTACCCGCCGCCAGATTTCTGCGTCTGCTCTTGAAATTTTCCCATCCCCAGCCAAGTAGAAAAGAGGCCCCGTCCCCCGCCAACACCTGTGCGGTTCTCTTTCTTACTCGTGCTGCCTCCTCTCGACGCCTGTCTTCTCGTCTCGCCACTCGACCAGTTCCGAGGCAAGATGGGTACCGGCAAGAAGGAGAAGAACCGTCTTGTCCGCCAGGGCAAGACGGGCACCGGCATGGACAATGTCCACGTCAAGGGCGAGAACTTCTACCGCACCGGCAAGAAGCTCAAGGTCCTGAACATGCGGACCAAGGGCAACAAGCCCCAGCGCAACGCCGACGGCAAGATCACCCAGGCCGGCGCCTACCAGTCCAGGGACATCCCCGTCGCCCGCGTCGAGCCCAACCGCAAGTGGTTCACCAACACCCGTGTCATCTCCCAGGACAGCTTGGCCGCCTTCCGCGACGCCATGGCCGAGAAGGCCAAGGACCCCTACCAGGTCCTGCTCAAGAGCAACAAGCTGCCCATGAGCCTCATCCGCGACGGCTCCGACACCAACGGGCTTAAGCAGCACAAGGCCAAGATGACCATCGAGACCTCGTCCTTCGCCGACACCTTTGGCCCCAAGTCCCAGCGCAAGCGCGTCAAGCTCGGCGTTGGCAGCATCGACGACCTGGCCGAGGACTCGGAGAAGAGCATGGACAAGTACAAGGACAAGCTCGAGCAGAACAGGCTGCTGAGCGGCAACTCGGGTGCCGATGCCGACATCGCCGGCGACATGCAGGACGAGGAGCAGGACCCCTTGTCCATGGCCATCGAGCCCGTCTTCAACAAGGGACAGAGCAAGCGTATCTACAACGAGCTCTACAAGGTCATGGACAGCAGTGACGTCGTCATCCACGTCCTCGACGCCAGAGACCCCCTGGGCACTCGCTGTCGTAGTGTCGAGAAATACTTGAGGGAAGAGGCGCCGCACAAGCACTTGATCTTCGTGCTCAACAAGTGCGACCTGGTACCGACCTCAGTTGCCGTAGGTTTCCCCCGTCTTTCCTTGCCCCCGTGCCTCTTTCATCAGCCCCATCCCACCCCAATGCTTTGAAGTCAGGATGTCTACCGCAATTTTCTTTGCCCATGGAAGGAATCCGTTACGTCATTGGGAGATCGAACATTCGAACTCGTATTTCCGTGTCTTCGGGCCGGGAGTAGACTCGACTCCGTCTTGGGGTCTTGTCGTGAGTGAGACTTTGTTTCATCATGAGTTGAAGTCTTTACCTCTGCCCGTCAGGGTGGCCTGTGGTAGTCTTCTTAGTATTGATTCATACATTTCCTTCACTCTCTGCGTGATTCCAAGTCAGATTGCGACATGTGCTGACTATATACAGGCTGCTTGGGTGAGGACTCTGTCCAAGGAATACCCCACGCTGGCAATGCACAGCTCCATCACAAACTCTTTCGGAAAGGGTTCCCTGATCCAGTTGCTGCGTCAATTCTCGGGCCTGCACAAGGACCGCAAGCAGATCTCCGTCGGTCTCGTTGGGTATCCCAACGTTGGTAAGAGCTCCATCATCAATACCCTCAGAGCGAAGAAGGTGTGCAACGTTGCTCCCATTCCCGGCGAGACCAAGGTCTGGCAGTACGTCACATTGATGAAGCGTATCTACCTGATCGACTGTCCTGGTGTCGTGCCGCCGAATCAGAACGACACCCCTCAAGATATTCTCATGCGCGGTGTCGTCCGTGTCGAAAAGGTCGACAACCCAGAGCAGTACATCCCCGGTATTCTGGCCAAGGTCAAGACTCATCACATGGAACGTACATATGAGCTCAAGGGCTGGACCGACCACATGAACTTCCTTGAGCTCATGGCTAGAAAGGCTGGCCGTCTCCTCAAGGGTGGTGAGCCCGACGTAGACGGAATCGCAAAGATGGTCTTGAACGACTTCATGCGTGGCAAGATCCCCTGGTTTACCCCGGCCCCCGTCGCCGAGGGTGAGGAAGGGAACGTCAAAGAAGGCCGAGAAGGCAGACTAGGAGAAATGCCGCGGAAGAGAAAGAGGGAAGATGGCGAGAGCGTCGCGGACACCTCTGTCGCTATCTCCGAGGATGCGGATGAAGACGTGTCGGAAGACGACGAAGACGATGAGGAGGATGGCGACTTTGAGGGCTTTGATGACGATAGTGACAGCGACAGCGATGACGAAGCTATCTCCAAAGCCAAGCAGGCTGCCGCAGCAAAGTCGGGCGGGATCGAGAGCGAAGATATGATACCCCTAGACGCATCAAGCGATGAAGAAGGAGACGAAACATGAGATAGCTTTCTAGCAACCGACTCGATCGTCTCAACCCAACAAGCACCTGCGGCTTCACGACAGCAATGGAGTCCCGGCGACATGAGCGCACCAGCCAGGCATGCGTAAGCAAAAGCACGATACGGCAGAATGTGTGAGGGCGCCGCATGCCGTCGTCAAGCAGGTGTTGAAGCAGCTGCCATGTCGTCAAGCCTTTGCAGGCTGAGAAGAACCCACGACTGCCCGTAAAGTTTCGACGATAGTAACCTGCTTGCGGACACGTCAACTTCGGCAACTAAGGGGGCAGCTTGACAGCCCCGAGGACAGATATTGCCGGTTCGTGTTGCAGATACGCAGTCGACCCCAGTGACTCGGGAGTTTGCGTGCCAGCGAACCCCGTCGTCGTCATAGGAGCTATTGGCTCATCCCCGAAGGAGAGGGCAGGTACGAGTTACCCTGGGCTCTACAAAATTAAATACAAAACGCGGCTTCTTTCGCCATATGATCAATACCATCAACTACTTCTTGACTAGTGCCTGCCTGACTTGCGAAATCATGTCCGTTCTCCCTAGTGAGCCACGTTGTCGTTGGTGGACGGTCTCCAAGCTTTCTTGTCGGATTTTGGCTTTCATCAACCCGCTGACACTTCGCAATCTTCCCACACCACGCTGTCTTTTGGTTCCTTTTTGGCATTCTTGGAAGCCTCGACTGCTTGGCAGCTTGCACTCACCACACCAATGAACGCAACAGACTAGATTGGGCGTACTGGCCTCCTCTTCGGATCCTTTCTCATACTTGTGACCCTCAATTTTGCTCCCGACGGCCTTGTCGATCAGATCTACACGCCCAGCCACTCACTTTAAGATGCTGGCACTCCTTGCCCTTCTGGTCTCGGGGATCCTCTTCGCTACGCTCAGCCAAGGCAGCTCCATCACCCTTCGCGCAAACGCAGGATGTAGCTTTCACCTGTCCACTGGAGGGCCTGCCCCGTTCTGGGTTGGCCAGCTACCAGACGGTCAGGCCCGAGGTGGAAGTGATATCCGGGCATCGACTTTTACTTGGTTCGGCGACGCTTTCGTCGACCAACAGGGTCGCGGCTGTTGGTGGACTCGTAAGTTGTGACACCGGCATCTAAGATTGCACTCAGCCGCTGACTTCGGTCAGCGCCGTCAAATACCCTTCAGTGCGATGTCAACCAGCAGCCAGCTCACGGATGGGACATCCCCTGCAACGGTATCACGACTTACAACGGCCAGTCTACCTTCTACCAGTGCAAGACCGGGGACGGTGGTCAAGTGAACCTGTACCTACAATCGATTGGGCCTCAATGTCAGCAGGTCACCTTGATATCGGACGGATGCACAGACTGCCAGAATTCTCCGGGGAATGGCGCATCTGCTGGGCCCCAGCCTGCTTCGACAAGTAGTAACTCCAATACCGTGCCCTCTGTTACACCATTCACAACAAGCCCGAGCCCCCCAGGAAGTTCCAGTCCAACAAGCCCTTCCGGAAACGCAGGCCCAAGACCTACTGCTCTGCCGCCTCCTGCCAAGGACTGCTCCGCTGATTTGACCAACACGTTTCATTACCCCTCGCTCCTCGTCCCCATCGACGTGGCGAATCCTGACAAAGCCTACGGCTCCTCAGCGTACGGTCAGGTGTCCCCCAACGCCAGCACGCTCTTCAACTTTGACTTTCCGGCCGCTGATGCCGGCAAATCGTGCAAGGTCTTCTTCTCGCTGCCCTCACAGTCAGTCCTCCAGTCTCAGCAGGGGAGCAGCTACTACTTCACTGGCGACGGCTCCGTGGTCTTCTCGAGGATGGGCAGTGCCGCGAGCGCGGCAACGACGTACAACGACATAGCCCAGGGGCGTATCGGCAGGAACGACCTGGGGGCCCTGAAACTACAGCCCGGCAACACGTACGTCATCGAGACCTTTGCGTGTCCAGCCGGCCAGGGGGTAAGCTACATGGTAGCGGAGCCGGCCGGTCGTGATACCTGTCTGATTTACTACCAAGAAGGGGCACCCGTACCGGTGGGATTGTTCGTCTCAACCTGCTGAAGTGAGTTCCCGTAAGAATGCTCTGGTAAGGAGGGAAGCTGCTCTGGATGTATTGGATGGTACGAGGAGAGACAGCAGTTATGCAAGTTCTATCGGAGGCTTTGAAGGGCGTGGCTTTGGTTTTGGGGTTTTGTTTCTTTCACACACACATTGGGCCTCGGCGGCCGTTTTTGGAACGAATAGATCTTAGTCGATTCTCTCATGTAGTGACTAGCTACTTCTATACCCGGAGAAGTCCATCATATCGAACAGTACAGGATGAAATGCGTATTCACAATTATAGCCTCATGAACCCTGTGGAGAATTTGCATGATATAGTCATATGGTGGTCGGGAAATGATGATGTATACATAGGCCTCAGCTTTGCTCATCGAATGTCTCTGAAGGCGACATCCGAGGTGCCTTCCAGGGACGTTTTGGCCAAAGAGAAAATTTGCAGCATCTGGACTCCCGAGCAACTTGCTCCTGCAAATAACACCGCCCCGGACGATGCGAGAATATGCGACAGGTAGGACAGGTTGTCACACAGCTTTTAATCGGCAATTTCGAACCCTCCTGCCTGGCTATACGCTACTTTAATTCGCCTCCTTGCGGATCCTGAAATTAGCAAGATTCTCTCGAGAGACTCGTGAAGAATTTAGCAGTTATCAATGGATTGTACCAAAGTAGGTAGCAGCTCTTCCTTCTCTAAATACATGTCTTGAGGAAGTGCTGCGTATCTTTCCGACCAAAAATCTTGATCTTATACATATCAGTCCTGGAGCTCACATGGATGGGATATATATTTCACAAGGGCAAAGGAGTTATTGTTAGAATGGCATGTTTAACAGGTCCCTAATCCTGGGGTTCTCGCTTGGCGCGCTCGGATTCCGGTTATAGCGCTATCTTCCTGCTGCTCATCACCGTAGCAAGAGCAAGATAGCCCTTTATGCGACGATATCAGGCTTCTATACCCGTTTAGTACTGGTATGGCAGACTATATTGGCAAGAGTCTGATGTGAAAAGTCAGATAATTAGTTATTGGGAGACGGCTCGTGACTTTTGGCCGGAAAAGAGTTTGTTCATGGACAAGAGTGGGGTTCTGAAAAGGATTTCCCTAGATACGATTTTGGATAAAGTCAAAGTTGAGAGCTCGTCATACACAAGCCGAAAGATACCGTAATTGATTCGGTACTTATTTTCATACTATGTGGATGAATATCATATAGAAGTGTCGCACTTGTTAGTCATGTCCTGGGGTGCCAACATGGCGGGTCAGAAATCCCAAAACGGTTACCCAATAGACCAGGTTCGTTTCCATGCGGTCCTGCACCAAACAGCCAAGGGCGCTTAGCAAATGTCGCCTATTGGATACCATTGCCGCATCACGATGATCCGATTCCCTGGCGAGAGTTTCAAATCAATTGCTACACCTGGTCCCACTGTCTTTCATGCGCCCCAAATCCATGTTTTCGACGACTGGCTGTTTAAAGAATCTTTGAAATCAAATTTCCAAGGCCATCTGCTCAGCATTCATCATGTCTGCTGTCACCAAACAGAGAGAAGCAGCGAAACAACTTTACCGTAGAATAAGCCCTTGGCAAACTCGTATTTTGCGGCTTGAACCTGCTCCTCATCACGAACAACCTGTGTTTTGCCGCCTTCAAGCTGCCAATATCACCGCCTGGGAAGGCCTCGGGATCGTTGATGATGGGAAGGAGAAAGAGATCCCATTCGAGGCCTTGTCCTACGAATGGGGTACCCCAGACTTCACCCAAACCCTGACGGTCAACGGCCTAGAGTATCCAGTTACCCAGAACTTGTTTTCCGCGCTGCAGCATCTGCGAGACGACAATAGACCCCGGTATCTGTGGGTTGACGCCTTATGCACCAACCAACACGATGCAATTGAAAAAGCGATACAGGTACGACGGATGTTTGTCATATATCGCAAGGCAGAGCGGGTCATCGCTTGGGTGCCTGGCTGGTCTGAAGGAATGATTTCCACTCTACGCAGTCTACTGGCGGAGCCCACTTCCGCGGGTCACATGGATGGTAGGCGTCAAGAAGAAACCTATAAGCTTTTGGTTGATGCATATCACCCATCACTCTTGAGGCGGACTTGGATTCGTCAAGAGTTCTTCGCTGCCAACGTCATAATGTTCCAGTATGGCAATCTCAGCCTGTCTTGGGATCAGTACAGCCAACTAGGTGATATAATTGAAACGGTACGAGCTTCCGATCCGATTCCTCGCAAGGAGGAGGAAGAAATATGGCATACAGATGCGAACAGCTTGCGATTTCCGGATGTCGCTGCAGAGAGCCTTGTGCCTCTGATGCAGGAGCGGTGTGCCGTGAGGCCAGCACGTATCAACCCTTGGAGCCCGAGTAATGCCGTTTCACTTCTCGGAGCCTTGGTGCTCTCATCTCAATTCCAAGTTACCGATGAGCGAGATCTAATCTACGGGGTTATCGGTCTCACCAACATCGCTACTAAGCTTACACTGGAAGAAAGCGACGGAGAGATACCTAAGCTGCCAGTGGACTACTCTATATCGGTTTCGGAGGTCTACCAAAACACTACTATATTTTTGATTCAGTCTGCACGGTCTCTAGCTATTCTCGACTTTGCCGGATGGGCAGATGGGCAGGACATGCCGCCGTCTTGGGCCCCTGACTGGCGCCGATTCAAATCGGAGGTTGCAGAGAGCCGCGTGTCCAGGCAAACGGATAGCTGGAAATATGGCACAATTGATCTGAAGCAACTCGACGAGAAGATGTCTCGTTGGCAGCCGCAGCCAAAACTGTTGAAAGCTCCCGGAGTTCTCAGCACGCGGGGTCTCGTTCTAGCCAATGTTGGACCAACAGACGTGGACGGGTATACATGGAGCCCTTTTGTATCCCCCAAACTTGTTGAATCGGTTCTAGCGAAATTCGCTAGTGTTGACCACTCGTCCCGGCCAGAAAGGCTGCGTGAATTTACCAGTATGTTTCCAGATATAGGTACCGGCCACCAGAAACGTTTCTTCGACATGTTTGAGAGCGAGGAATGGGAGCTACCTCTGATTGACGGCACTATCCGTTCGGTTCAGGTAACGGAGTCTGGACTTCAAGTCTTCACGCAACTGCAGGAGGAGATATTTGAAGGGTGGTTTGCAGAGTATACCCGATACGGACAGCCTTTCCCTGGCTTTCCCGCAGAGCCTTTATGGCTGCCCACTGTGTCAGTGGCCACGGTACCTCATAGCACCATGCAGCGGGACTTGATCGTCCTCCTAAGCGGTGCGCCTTACCCTTTCGTCATGAGACCGACAGATGGAGGGAAATACCACCTGGTTGGCCGCTCCCTCTATTCTCTATGGTTTGACCACATACCTGCGCGGTCAGCCATGCCTTGTCGTGTGCCGATGAGTGACTTCGCGTCGTTCGCATGGTCTCGCGTGATCGAGACTCTGAATTCTTCGTCTCAGTTGGGAGAATTTGATATTATCTGAAGTTGAAGGTGTATTTAACGACAATGACAGTGGAGTGAGACACTGCGCCAATATAGCGATCAAGCAGGTTGTCCCTTGGTCATCCACAATGACATAATTGACCAGCTGCACTTTGCCCAGGCATGCAGAATGATAATTGTTGTAGCAAGGTTGTTAAGATTGGATGTTCCATATGGCTTGGAGTTGTACTCGTTAAGTAGTCATTCAAACTATTGAGGCCATGGTGTATCATTTCGAGAAGGTTGAGGAATCGAAACACCTCTTTTCCGTTATAAGACTATTCGAAGGCTTGCCGTAGTCGCGACGAACCGGGCCATCGTTCCTGATGCCCCCTCTTAGAAGCCTGGATATGTACCTGAAGTTTAGTTACCCGGCAATTTTGGGGACTAATAACGCAGTACAATCTCATTGGTAGCTTCAAGGACGAATTGGTGGTACAAGTAGTCAACTCGGGATGTATCGCGTTGTCTGTGCGGTGCTGCAGGCTAAAACTTTATCCCAAGATGGAGCGGGAATTGGGGAAAACGCAGCGAGCTGATGTCACAGCCGAGGATTCCACGTCTGGGCAAGGTGCAATCTTCGCTGCGTATATGGCCCGCTATGCGTGTATGTAAGCGTTACTAATGGCGCAGACGGTGCTGCAAGCCCTTAATCAGCAACACCTGCACAACGTCGGTTCGCCAGTGGCCAGCGTGGTGTCGAGCTGCGTCAAACTCATTCGGCACGAGTTTGTTGGAACTTCCAGGTCGATTTACATCACAATATCCCAAGGAGCTCACAATCATCGAATCTCCTGCGGCCAGCAGGCTGTAGACTCATTACCGCGACCCCAGAGATGTATCTCACTTACTTCGCGCTATAAATGGTTAGATGTATAATTTAAACGTCTATCTCATAGTTTTGGTGTCACCTGCTGGTGCTGCCAAAGAAGTCGTATACAATCAGTTGCATTCATGTGCCATATCGAGGCCTCATGAATTCTAGTCGTGTATACTTGTGCTATCGAATCCATTCTTCACATGAGATAGATAGATAGCTTGCCCAGCGCGGGCGACGCTTTTGACCGAAGTACAGTACTTAACTTGTGGAGACTAGAAGCAAGAACTATCGCCTGCAGGTACACGGCCTTTCGGAAACACCGCTAACTACCCCACCGTAGCCCCAAGACTAGTGCCTAGATGCTTAGTGGCTGGGGTCGAATGCTGATATCATCTCTGTCATCAACACTAAGCTTTCCACTCCAACTCTACCTGGCCTTCCGTTCGCGATTTCCAATGATTAGATGATGCAAGTAGCCTGATTTGGACCGATGCAGGAACCTCTCCAGGCAGGGAACGAGAGAACCTCTTCGGCACCTAGCAAGCCTAGGACGGATTCTTAGTAGCTTGATCAGCCAACATGGCTGCCATGGACTGCACCCAGGCGGGGTTTGTCTCATGCGCGCCCTGAGCCAGACACTGAAAGAGTATTTAGGCTCGAGACAGCCCGGTGCACTCACTCACCTTGTTCTCCGACTGTGCCTGTGCAAGCTGTGCTAGTTAGATTTCTCCCTCCACCTCTAACACTTCTACTGAAAGCTCCGTGAACAACTGCAAAATGGCCCCCAAGATCGCAATCGTCTATGTGAGTATTTCCAATTCTACGTATCGACCCAGATTCCTACTCTGGGCCATATTCCCTATACCCGCTGGCATGATTATGACCCCGTGACTTTGGTTGTTCCAATTGAATGGCCAGTCACAGGGCAATGATGACGAGGTCTTGGAGCAAACCATGGTACTGACTGCAACAGTACTCCATGTACGGACACATCCGTCAACTGGCCGAGGCAGAGAAGAAGGGCATCGAGAAGGCTGGTGGCACTGTCGATATGTTCCAGATCGCCGAGACTCTCCCCGAGTCTGCGCTGAAGGCGCTCGGTGCTCCCGGCCAGTCAAGCGACGTCCCCGTTCTGTCAGGATCTGCAGGCTCCAAGACCCTTGAGAGCTACGATGCCTGGCTGTTGGGCATTCCCACCAGATACGGCAACTTCCCCGCCCAGTGGAAGGCTTTCTGGGACCACACCGGTGGCCAATGGAAGAACGGTCTATACCACGGCAAGATTGCTGGCCTCTTCATTTCGACTGGTACCCTCGGTGGCGGCCAGGAGTCGACTGCCATCGCTGCCATGAGCACCCTGGCCCACCATGGAATCATCTACGTCCCTTTTGGTTACGCCAAGGCCGCAACGCAGATGATGAACTTGAATGAGGTTCACGGTGGCAGCCCGTGGGGAGCTGGTACTTTCGCGGGCGCTGACGGCACCCGGCAGCCCAGTCCCCTAGAATTGGAGATCGCAGAAGCTCAGGGCGCCTATTTCTACTCGGTTGCCGCCAAACACTTCGGTTGACTACATGGCGGAGCGACTGACGGCACGAAGAAGGACGAGGTATCTTCATCAGCCCAGCCTGCGGCTGGAGTCCGCAATGGCACACCAGCAGAGTCGCAACAGAAGGACAAAAAGACAGGCTCGGGCCCATGTGGTTTGCCAACAAAATGCAACATACTTTGATTAACGCTAGCGTTGTAGATGAAAACCAAACAAGGAGAAAACTAGTTCCTGAACAGTTGGTGTTTGTCCAGAGGCTAGTCTGTAGTAGTGAATCGTTTGACTATCTGACTCCGTCAACGCCCTTTTCACCCTTGCGGTGCAAGATGAATGAGACCACTAACAAGACATCGCCGGCCAGCAATGTTGCGCCGCCATAGGCGATGAGCCCCTTCCATGATGCTTCATTTCCATTACCAAGGATGGCGCCGCCAATGGGTGTCCCGATCAACACCGAAACCCCCATAGCGAAGAAGAAGGTCCCCATCCTCGTCCCAAGCCTCTCCAAGTTGGGGACGTATGGCACCATAGCAGCGAGCGTCCCACTTGTTATGCCTCCACTGAAGAACCCGTATAGAATACAGAAGACTATGAGTCCTGGGAGATTCTTGATGCCGATCCATGAGAATATCAGGACTGCAGAGGCAAAGGTGGTGAATATAAGCATTTGGATAGGACCAAAGCGATCAGCAAAATAATTGGGTACCACGCGGCCAAAGATGCTTCCAGCATTCAGTATAGTTACAAGGTATGGAGAGAACTCAGTCGACGAGATTCCCATCTTGACACTATAGAGCTGCACGTAGAAAAAAGGGACGTACATCCCGAGATATGTGCAAAACATTTGTGCCACGAACAACAAGAATGGAAGGTCTGTAAGGATAGACTTGTCGAAGAAAGCTCGCCGTTTTGCCGCACGTGGAACCCGTGTTTTCATGGACGTAATCGGGATGACGGAAAGTGCCAGCATGAGAAAGGCGATGGCTCTGGTGGCCCAGCCGAAGCCTATCTGTGGCTGGAGTCGACCAAACATGATGGGAAGAAGGATACCAGCGATTGGTGATCCGATGGACTGCACGCCCAAGGCCAGCCCCCTCCGTTTGGCAAACCACTGGCTTACAACGGCAGCGCTGGGAAGGAACATGATCCCACAGCCAACACCGACGCATACACCCTGAGCTAGGATAATCTGCCAGTACTGGGTGCACAGGCTTGTCATGAACATGCCAAGGACTACCAAGACGTTTCCCACAATGATCAGTCCCCGGAAGTAGCCCGCGTCGTACAGGGGCCCGGTAAAGACACCTCCCATGGCGGGCAAGGCGCCTTGTAGAGAGCCAATCCATGAAATGTCTGATGACGAGCTTGTCCGCAGAAGATCGGTCCTGTAATAAGTCTGGAAGACGCCAAAGCTATTGATGATTCCCCATGTGTAGAACAGGACGACGATGGATCCTGCGACGACGAGCCAGGCCTCGAAGCCGCCGTCTGGGACGGCTGATGCGTCCAAGTCTGGGCTCGTGGTTGGACCAGAGGGCGATGAGTGCGGTCGCGGGGGGGACGAGGCTGGTCGGATTGCTCCAGGAGCGGGTGCTACCTCGCGTTTCTCCTGTGCGGCCATGATGGGAACAATCTTTGCTCCACCCAATGGTTGGTATCTAGGTTGAAAGTGGGATGGTTCAGGAGCTCGCTCGATATAGCCAACCGGCGGTTGTTCTTTTGGAGCTTCAACCTTGTCCGCTTTAGATCAATTGCGAGACTCTTGTGACCACATACACCACTCGGGGTGTTTTGAGCCGATGGCGGCCGGTAATATTTGCAAGATCATCCATCAAGTTATGCGGAGTAATGCCAGAGTAAGGGCGCGTTTTTGAATTAGTCATCCATGGATGTTACTGACGTCGGGTACCAAATCACATCATCTTGGGGAACGACCCCTGGCTGCCGGGCTTACATCTGATGCGGGCCGCCCAGAACAGCACCTGCATAACTCGTACGCACCCCGGGAATACCCAATGCACATAGTTCTCCGGAGCACGCAATCCCTTGTAGGAGAGGGACCTGATCCTGTTGCTCCTATCCTGTGGCCGCACCAAATGTTGGAGGCGCCTCTTTGTGAGAAGCAAGCTTCTAGTTGGCCAATACGTACTTGGACCAGGTCTCGAGTGCACGGGTATACTTGAAAGCCATCGGGTGCATTGCATCTTTTGCTGCCGCAGCGTGGATTGCTCCTGATTCATGACTGAAGAAGCCCTAGCCTCCGTCCTACGAGAAGCTGGCATCAGTTCTCAACCGCATGCGCTGCCTTTGTCCAATCTTCCCTTCCATAGCCATAGACAGAGCCTTGCGCGATGCATGGAGGTGCCGTCGGGGTCTCAACGGACCAATCGGAAAACACGTTGGGCTTAGGGGCACAGGGATGTAGTAGCTCTGTTTGTGTGAGAGAGACAGAGAGAGAGAGAGAGAGAGTAAGACACACACATAGAGAGCGGGAGCTCTAGCCTGAAAGGGCCGAGTTAGCGGCTGGAACAAGCTAGGCCGACCTGCATACTATGTATGGCCCCCCCGGAGCTATGGTGCATTTGTCGCTGGACTGATTGGCCAACCAGGCGGCCTAAGCCCAAAAAAATTTCTTGAAAGGTCCCCCGTCAATCGCGTATCCAGACGGAGCATATCGCGACGGGCCAGCACTTCCCACTCATTATTACGTCTTCGTTTCTTCTTGTTTCGCAGCATTTTCCTTTCGCCTTGCAAGATGAGGGCCCAACGCGCGGCCGCTGTCTTGGCCGACAGTCGGCTCCTGACTTCCAAGTGCAGTGGCAGGTTCATGGGCATATGTTCCCAGCTCTCCGGGGCGCAACCACAGGTGCAATGGCGACAGGCGCCCGTTCAGATCGAGGGCCGCAGATACTTCAATGTCTCGCGGCCGAGGAGGGCAGGGCCCGGCGGTGCTGCCGCTGCCGCTGCTAGTGCTGCGTAAGTCCCTGCGTCCTGCTGTGCCATCCGGCGCACACACCAGCCAGGCCAGCCAAGGCGTGCGTGTGTCTTCGTGGGCTAACGTTTGACTCCTGGGCGAACAGCTTGAGAAAGGCCGCCGAAGATGCCGCCAACTTGACGCCAGAGGCCGTCTACGCCAAGATGAGCCCCGAAGAGAAGCACCGACTGTCCAAGGTGCGAAACATCGGCATCGCCGCCCACATCGACAGCGGCAAGACCACCGTCACCGAGCGGGTCCTCTTCTACACCGGCCGAATCAAGTCCATCCACGAGGTCAGGGGCAAGGAGGGCGTCGGCGCCAAGATGGACTCCATGGACCTGGAGAGAGAGAAGGGAATCACCATCCAGTCGGCTGCCACCTTCTGCGACTGGAAGAAGGTCGAGGACGGCCAGGAGGAGACGTACCACATCAACCTGATCGACACCCCCGGCCACATCGACTTCACCATCGAGGTCGAGCGGGCCCTGCGCGTGCTGGACGGCGCCGTCATGATCCTCTGCGCCGTCAGTGGCGTCCAGTCCCAGACCATCACCGTCGACAGGCAGATGAAGCGCTACAACATCCCCAGAATCAGCTTCGTCAACAAGATGGACCGCATGGGCGCCAACCCCTGGAAGGCCGTCGAGCAGATCAACTCCAAGCTCAAGATCCCCGCCGCCGCCATCCAGATCCCCATTGGCCTCGAGGACCAGCACAAGGGCGTCGTTGACCTGATCGACATGAAGTCCTTCTACAACGAGGGCCCCCGCGGTATCCACATCCGGGTCGAGGACAAGGTCCCCGATGACCTCAAGGAGTTTGCCGAGGAGAAGCGCCAGGAGCTCATTGAAAAGCTAGCCGACGTCGACGACGAGATTGCCGAGATCTTCCTCGACGAGCGCACCCCCACCCCCCAGCAGATCAAGGACGCCATCCGCAGGGCCACCATCGCCCTCAAGTTCAGCCCCGTCATGATGGGTTCCGCCCTGGCCGACAAGTGTGTCCAGCCCATGCTTGACGGTGTCTGTGACTACCTGCCCAACCCGGCCGACGTCGAGAACCTGGCTTTGGACAAGTCCAAGGGTGAGGCCCAGACCAAGCTGGTGCCCTACAACTCGTTGCCCTTCGTGGGTCTTGCTTTCAAGCTCGAGGAGAACAACTACGGCCAGCTCACCTACATCCGAGTCTACCAGGGTACGCTGAGAAAGGGTACCTACCTCTACAACTCGAGAAACGACAAGAAGGTGCGCATTCCTCGTATCGTGCGCATGCACTCCAACGAGATGGAGGACGTCAGCGAAGTCGGCGCCGGTGAGATCTGCGCCGTCTTCGGTGTCGACTGCGCTTCCGGAGACACCTTCACCGACGGCAACTTGCCCTACACCATGTCGTCCATGTTCGTGCCCGACGCCGTCATGTCGCTCTCCATCAAGCCCAAGAAGAGCACCGACGCCGACAACTTCTCCAAGGCCATGAACCGTTTCCAGCGCGAGGATCCCACCTTCAGACTCTACGTCGACGAAGAGAGTGAGGAGACCATCATCTCGGGTATGGGTGAGCTGCACTTGGAGATCTACATCGAGCGTCTGCGCCGCGAGTACAAGGTCGACTGTATCACCGGCCAGCCTCGTGTCGCCTACCGAGAGACCATCTCGAGACGCGCTGACTTCGACTATCTGCTTCGAAGACAGACCGGTGGACCCGGTGACTTTGCCCGGGTTGGAGGCTGGATTGAGCCGAACGCCGACCCGGAGTCCAACTCTTATGAGAACCAGGTGGTTGGTGGCGTCATCCCCGACAAGTACATCTCTGCCTGTGGCAAGGGTTTCGAGATCGCCTGCGAGAAGGGCCCTCTGTTGGGCCACAAGGTCATCGGTGCCAAGATGGTCGTCAATGACGGTGCAACGCACGTCACCGATTCTTCCGATTACGCCTTCTCGCTCGCTGCCCAGATGGCTTTCCGTAAGGTCTTCGACGAGGCTGGCGGTGCCGTGCTCGAGCCCCTGATGAAGACTACCATCATGGCACCCAACGAGTTCCAGGGTAACGTCCTGATGCTGATGAACAAGCGCAACGCCACCATCGTCGACACCGAGATCGGCAGCGAGGACTTCACCCTTATTGCTGATGTCAGTCTGAACGCCATGTTTGGATTTTCGAGTCAGTTGAGAGCTGCTACCCAGGGCAAGGGTGAGTTCAGCATGGAGTTCAGCCACTATGCTGCGGCACCGCCGCATTTGCAGTAAGTCTTACCCATGCCCCTCTAGACTGCAACAGTTTACTAACGACCCCATAGAAAGGAGCTGGTCGCCAAGTACCAGAAGGAGCTGGAGGCCAAGAGAACAAAGTAAACAAATCTACTTAATGCCAGCAGCGTCACCATGTTGTCGGCCCCCATTCTTTTCGGCCGTGAAACAACAAGTGGCTGGATTGCTGTGTGTTTCATACAGCATTGCAGAGCCTTCTTGGAGGTGAGGTGTATACTAAATGTACATGTACAACAACACTGTGATGATATTTCATTATCAAGAGGTAGACATGACTAGACATAGATCTGGTCTCAGTATAGAACTTGCACATAGGGAAATGGCATGGGCGGGAAACCAAAAGCACCATCATTCAGGTGCTACTTTTGAATGAACCAAAACTCTACTCTTCAACAATTCATGCGTCTTGCTTATCGATGTGAAGGTTGGTCCTGGCCACACGTGCCTGAGTTATGTAGGGCAGATACAGCAGTGCAATATCTGTTTCAGAGGGTCCAAGACTGCAGAAGGAGTCCAACATAGCCTACGTCTGGCTGTACCAATAGTACAATGATCCAACGGAAAAGCACTGACTCAGGTCGGTTCATATGATTTGGAGTGATTCCACTTGCCTGCTCCCCGAATAATGGACCTTGTGGAGGTCCTTGTTAAGACTAATACCCAAAGCCCGAATCGCCCGAGAAGATGGAGCACAAAACAGTCCACTTCGCCGATAGATAGAGTCGATAGGGTTTATGGCCTCAATAATCAGGCCTGTGACCCAAAAGAACGTCTTCTCCAGATCGTCAGCTAGTTTGCTGCAGCGGAGGGGAAGGTAATGGGTTCCTTTCCACGTATTGCTATCATTGGCAGGCGGGTCCTGGTACGTGAACATCGGGAGCCGCGGCTTGGCGGCAAGCTCAACTGGAACAACGAGACCTGTGAGGCGTATATTTCCGTCGGATAATTGACCAAAATCTGATCCCGCTATGGGAACCATCTCGGCTGTCACACTGGAGACTAATCTTTTCCACCCCAACTGCCTGTGGGGCGTGCGCAGTTGTCGCTCGTCTGGAAGGCATTTCTTGTTCCAGTCGGCAATAGAGTATCCCCAGCTTGGATGCCAGCGAAGATTATCCCACTGGGAGAACACCCGCGGAAGATATTCGAAAAACACTCGACCTTCGACACTTGCCCACGACCAGCTGGGAGCACGGTACTGCGAGGGCCTGGTCGCGGTTGTAACAGTATAAGCATGTTGTGGGCTGCACGAGTGCCATTCAAGCATGACTAGGAAGTGATGCATAAATGTACCGGCCACGTAACGCGAAGAATTAGGTTTCAGCCCTTTATACAACTCTGCCGTCGTTTGCGCTACTCCAGCTAGAGCGATGAGCTTGTCTTTGGGCTCAGTAAGACGAGTTCGTGTGTAGGCTTGTATGACATCACACCAGAAGTGTAAAAGCTCCATATCAGATGGCGATGCGGTCAAATTGGTGTGCCGCAAATCTACTGAGCGACCCTCGATATTGCCTTTTAGATCCGCAGGCATCATGAAATCAAGGTTCTTGAAGTCAGTGTGGCCATCTGATTTTGTACAGTCGAGGACTCCTCGTGGATATAGCTCACAAGCATCCATAGTCGCACATTCCCATAACATCTGGGTCTTCCCGAAATGGAGTACCCTGGGTGCTAAGAAGCGCTCTTGAAATACCCAGCCGCGCATCATCAAAGGCGCCCTGGTGACTTCGGCCCACCAGAAGAAGGGGTCTACCAAAAAGCAGGTTTCTCCAGGGAGAAGTGCGGGCTCCGCTCGAGGCAGCATGGGCAACGGCTTCTCTAGCATGTTGAGGAAACCCGACGTGTTGTTGGGAGCGCCTGTCGCGGATATGTTTAGGGCAGCATACGTGTAGATTTTGGACATTTCCAAGCTTTCCGTTTCCCAGTCGCTCTTCGAGTCTTGCATGATGCAGAGACAGTCAATCCAAACGTATTCGATACTCAACTTTCGCAAAACCAAAATGGCATCTCGGAACGATTGTGGCAGGTCATGTATATCTTGACCGGTCTGAAAAGCCGAGAGATTCTCGTGCAGAAGACGAAGTTGCTGGTCTGGACTCCAGCGATGGCTCAAAGTTGCGTACTTATGGGGGTGGATCCATACATCATCGCGCAGAACCAGACGCCAGGTCCCTTCGCTTGCGGATCGTATTTCGACAAGCCGTTTGGGTTGATAGTGCAACTCTCTAGTTTTCCAGTTACTCAGAATGGTGCATTTAGGGTGCCGGTTGATGCAGTTGTCAATCCAGTCAATGGCTGTTTGAAGAGAACGATCTGGAATGGGCGCCACATCGGTCAAAACCCCTTCAGGTAAGAAAGGTTCAACCTCTTGGATGTTGTCAGCATAGTATTGCTTCGCCGATATAGGGCTCGGATTCACAACCTCTTGAAGGGATAAACAGAAATTGCCGGCTACACGAAGGGTGACTCTGGCTTTTCCATTCCAGAAGGAGTTTCAGACCCCCCAACTCATAAACGACCCACCACACAGTGTGCGAGACAACAGCGGTTTGAAGCAGATTGTCTCCCCCCAATTCAGAGGCCAGAGCCTTGCACAACAAGCAGCCAGCTGTGACAGACGCCCGGAACGACTCGGTATCCCCGTGGTGGGGCCTGGCGACACCATCCCTGGCATCGGTATCATTGTTCAAAACTCGCACAATATCTCGGCAGCAGTGGCATAGCATTTCGCTGAAAGGCCAGCTGCTCGCAATCATACAATTCACCTCCGTGATATCTGAACATAAAGACGACGGTGACTAGAAAGAGTCGGGGGCTTCGTGACTACTGTCAGATCTGGGATCTGCGTGCGGCTGAGCGCTCACAGCCCCGCCATGCAAGAATGTGTTGGGTGGCTTAGCTCTCGTACCCGTGGAGGAAATAACACAATTGAATGCAACAGGAAATATATGACGAGAAACAATAATTGTATACATAATTCGCCCAGCCTATATCCGTTTACCTATCTTAGACTGTTCTGGTGGGTCTGCAACTAGTCCTTGGCGTTAGACGTTGGGAGAGCTCAGTCAGAGTTCGATATTTCAACACCCGGAGCCTGACTCCGTTTGTTTATCCGATAACTTTCAGGCAGTTCGAGGTGATTAAGGCAGATAATTACGCAAGAAGACCCGGGAATGAGATGAAGAAGCTGCGGCATGGTTCCACCTCAACTGCCGATCACTCGGCCGCGTGTAAACGGGCAGCTCGAAGTCAGAGGACTCTGGAACTAGAGGTTTGGTAATATTCCAGACCGTATCCTTCCCCCTTGGCGCGCGATCTGGCCCAAATTTATAATATCCTCAGTGGCAAAGGAACTCAGAAAGTCAACGTACTGTGTAGCAAACGCGCCGGTTCTGTTACTTGTTGGCCAGTCTCTGTAGGCCTATGGACTAGTTAATCCAGACAATGTCGGGAATGGAGACATTAATCTACATACAGGCTCGGCAGGTGCTAATGGTTGATGCCTCTATGGATGTCAGTTCATCTAAGATTGCCAAGGCGCATCCTTTTCGTCCCAGTGGTCTTGATGTTCACTTGGTGGTAGAGTCTTCGCCCGGACCGACCCCTGGTTTAGATTGGCGAGCCCGGAGAGGGAAGGCGGTTTGGGATACGGTGGGTCGAGATAAGTGGCCTCGTCCCGATCGCCCCCACGTGGAGCCGGAGAGTTGTGGCAGGCTTGGCAGGAGTTTGGCGCGTGCAGGTGAATAACGCGCGGCTCCAACCTCGTTGCACAGATATCAAGTGGGACGATAATGCAATCCATAGTATTTGAGTTCTGGTCTTGCTACGGTGAGCCAATGGGATCAGCGACGATCTGTAATTGACGGCCTATTGAGACATTTGACTCGGTTACGAGTGCCGGGAGCTATTGTCCCCTGGGGCTGGGTATGCAGGGGAATTGTGTGTGTTTTTCTCTCTGCTGCATGTACTTGGTGTGGCATATCCTCAGGCCGACTCAGTGCCGGAAATGTACGGGGACTCTAGCCGAATAGGAATGCGGAATTCAGGAACATGTAACATTCCCGTTATCATAGAGGTGCAATGCTTACGACGTCTGCCGAAGCCGCTACATGATAATCGAAAACGCCATTTGACGGAACGGGCTCGACCGTCGACGTGGTTCAAGAGTGCACTGAGGGGGGTCAAGCGGGCCAGTATATGATGAGGAGGATTTCTTGTACAGGACAACCGGAATTAGACACGCTCTAACCTCCATCCTGTCAAATCCTTTAATCACGATGAAGACGGCCAGGAGTTTCCGCATCCTTGTTGCGCTATCAACGGTAGCCAGCAGCTTGGGAGCGACCAATTCTTCTGTTGGATACAACTCAAGTGTTTCAGAATCTCCTCCTGCGCCAATCTTGGGAGATGGAACCAGTAAGCAATGATGTTCCAACCCAGCGGGGATAACAAGCATGGACTGATTTGCGGGTAGTCGATCTCGGCATCGCGACGCCTGCCTTCGAGAAGGCCAAAGCTCTTGTTGCAGGAATGACAAATGCCCAGAAAGTCAAAGTCATCACCGGGCAGAGTGTAACAGGCGGTAATGGGACTTGGACCGCCTTGAGCTCAAAGGATGGCGTTGCCGGTGTAAATCAAAATTTCTTGTAAGTAGCCTCGAATCCGTGTTTCTTACCACTTGAGTATTGCTTGTATCCTCCAGCTCCCAGGACCAACATATCCAAGCTCACTTGTCCTATGGAGGACCGGAAGATTTCTAACTTTCAGCGCACAGTGTTTCAGGCTTTGCCTCCCCCAATGCGGCAACTATGACATGGAATCGCACTTTATACGAGGAGCATTCCAAAGCCATTGGCGAGGAGTTCTATGGGTCTGGGTTTAACCTCATGATGGGCCCTGTTGCTAGTCCCCTAGGCCGTGATCCTTACGGTGGCAGATTGCCAGAAGGATTTTCTCCCGAACCGTACTTATCTGGTATCATGATGGGCAAGGCCACATCTGGCATAAATTCCGCTGGCATAGTGACAGTAGGTCGCCACTGTAAGTATTCCTAACTCTTCTTTCCCCGGTGTCATGATATGCACAGGAGCGGCCCTCCCACCCAATCATTCCCGTGAGGATGGCAGTTCCATACTTGTTGAAATACTCTTTAAGGTGTCACCATAATCAGTAACTAACATGTATTCACTTAACAGACCTTTTGAACGAACAGGAGACAAATCGAATGAACGGTGGATACTCTGCAAATGCCAACGACAAGACCATTAGCGAAGTGTATCTCTGGCCTTTTGCTGACGCCGTTTACGCCGGTCTGATGGGAGTCATGTGTGGTATGAACAAGGCCAATGGGAGCTTCGCGTGTGAAAGCGACAAGCTCCTCAACGGGTATCTGAAAACGAACATTGGCTTCCCGGGCCTTGTCACTCCCGATGTGGCATCGCAGCATACTGCGTTGGGTTCCGCAAACGCTGGTCTCGACAAAGGTCAAACTGGTTTGTGGAATGAGGCCACTATTTTGAAAGGAATTTCTAGTGGTGAGCTTTCTCAAGCGCGTCTTGACGACATGGCGATTCGCAACATCATCGGTTACTTTCATGTTGGTCTGGACAACGGTGCGCAGCCTAAGACTGGTTCATCTTTGTCCAACCGCAACGTTCGTGGTAACCATGCGGCCATCATTAGACAGGTCGGGCAAGAGGCTATGGTGCTACTGAAGAACGATGTCTCTGGTGGTGGTGGATTGCCTCTGAACAAGCCACAGACCGTGGCTCTATTTGGTTCCCACGCCGGCCCCTGCATGGCAGGACCAAATCAAGGCTTCTCTGTGGCTGGAACGCCCAGTGATATTTACCAAGGCCATCTATCGACTAGTTGTGGTTCGGGCGATGCATCATTGCCCTACCTTATCACACCTTACGAAGTCATCAATCTCCGAGTCTCCGACGAGGGCGGGATGGTTTGGTGGGTCATGAACAATACATATACCCCAAGCTCTTTTAGCGGTATTCCTGGCGGCGGCGGGTTCCCTGGAGGTAACCTAGGTAACTCCTCCATCGTGACTCGCCAAGGGCCTGGAGGAGGCGGTGGCTTCCCCGGCGGTGGTTTCAACTCAGGGACAGGTTCCACCCCGTCGATCGAAAACTATTCCGAGAACGCAGAGGTCTGCATCGTTTTCATCAACTCTTGGTCGGGCGAAGGTGCTGACCGCAAAGAGCTTTCGAACACCGACCAAGACAAGCTAGTCAATACCGTGGCTGAGAGTTGCAACAATACCATTGTTGTTGGAAATTTTGCAGGCCCTCGGGTCTTGGATTCCTGGATCGAAAATAAGAATGTCAAGGCCGTCCTCTATTCTGGTCTTCTTGGCCAAGAAAGCGGACGAGCTATCTCAGACGTTCTATTTGGCGACGTTAACCCCAGTGGGAAACTTACACATACTATCGCAAAGAACGCGTCTGATTATCCGGCTCCCACCTGCCTTACTACACAGTGTAATTACACTGATGGCGTTTACCTCGACTACCGATATTTCCAAGCTCATGACGTGGAAGTACGCTATCCATTCGGGCACGGTTTGAGTTACACCACATTCACGTACGGCGATGTGACTGCTACAATCACCAACCAATCTGCTGTTGCTTCTCGGTACCCGACTGGGCATCTTACTCTTGGAGGGCAAGCTGGTTTGTTCGATGAGGTCATCTCGGTCCAGACTACAGTCACGAACTCGGGTACTGTGGATGGTGCCGAAGTTGCCCAGTTATACATCAGCTTTCCTGAGGGGGCGGCACAGCCACCCAGTGTTTTGCGAGGCTTCGAAAAGGTCACTGTCCCCACTGGCCAGAGCGTCGACGTCACCTTCAGCGTCAGACGAAGGGATATCAGCCACTGGGATAATGTCGCTCAGAAATGGGCTATTGAGACGGGCGAGTACACTCTTGCCGTCGGGTCGTCTTCCGAAGACATCAGAGGAAACACAACCTTGACAATCTAGATGTTCATTTGATTCACTTAACATTTCTTCGTAGCAACAATAAAAGTCTCCTTTAATATCAGTATAGATGTATGTTTTGAACTATGCCACTAATATTCCTAGCATGCTCATATATATATAAGATTCACGCATGGTGGTACAATGTGGTTACTGGTGTGAAATTGACGTCGATATTGAAGTAATATCAGGGCATGAGGGTTTTCCTCAGTAGTCTCCTTTTTATATTTATAAACAGCAAAAACCAGGGCCCAAGTACTAACGCCGCAACCACGAGAAACTCGAAGTAGGAAGAAGCGCCGGTGTCATTTGCAGGCGCATGTACTGAGACCGTATTTTTCTGTGGCATAAACGGCTTCACCGCCCCGGATGGCAATAAGAAGCGGCCATTGGCACCGTACAAGAGTCCACCTAGGACATCTCAGAGAACTTTGGTAATAGAATCCACCGAGATGTGTCGGGATTTGTAGTCTCTCGGTCCAGCCTCACGTAAGCTTCCGCAGCTGTCAGGTTGTTACAGTTCTGTAGCACTATTGCCAGCACTGCCGTAGAAGTAACAATCTTGCAACGAGCGGCGTCCACGATTTGCACATCTCTTGTCGAGACAACAACGTTGACCTGCTCAAGACCCGCTAGGCCCTCGAGAAGCTTGGTAACATCTCCTACACAATCACGGACGCTGTCAAAAATTACGCATCGTGCGCCAGGTAGTTCTCTGACCATTCTCATGAAGACGACCCACAGCTCATCAAAGCTCGCAGCCTCTAAAATAAGATTTGCAAGAAGATGGTTATCGGAAGCAGAGCCAACGACAACGACCGGCTGTTTCTAAGCCATCTACCACATCATTAAATTAAATACAATCGTTCAAGTTGGCCTCGGTCAAAACTCTAACTAGAAAACGCGGCTAGACATCTGCCGACTGTCTCCTCACGAAGATGTCCGCCATTTTCAACACCCCCCCCCCCCCCCCCCCCCCCCCGGCAGGGGAGGGGGGTTACGTGGATCTCCGAGTAGCCCAGATTTATGTTCTATCGATCGGTAATAAGAACGGACGTAGGCCTCCGTCCGTCCTCGCCCGTCCTTCGCCGTCCCCATTATCCCGTCGAACAGGTATGTTATATAAGCGGCTAGATGGAAACCTTCCATACGCTGCAAGGCGTCCTCGGCGTTCCTCTAGTCCTCTAGCCGCAGAGCGAGGTCGACCTTGAGCGAGTTCTCGAAAGGTAACGCATTCACCCACCAGATCCCGGACCCCAACACCTCGAGGATCGCCACGCCGTCCTATAAAAGTTTATATCTAATATACATCGTGACGATCTAAGGGGTGTATATAGCGTCGGGTTCAACCTCCGGACGTTAAACATCCTTTTTATTATAATGGCTTGCTTTCAATCTTTTTAATTCTTTCTCTCCTCTTCCGTAAAACCCTGAGAAATGATCATAATTTCCTTTTAAACCTGTTCGTAAAATTTGACTGCGAATATACGTAGATCTGGGAACTAATCCCTGCAAAGTGGTTGAAGATAGTATAGAGATTCGTATATCGAATATTCACATTATATTATCAAAATAGAGATATGCCATTGCTCTCGAGTATTGCCCACTTCTGGGGAAGCTTTGGAAAATCTAGAGTAACAATTTCATAAAAGTGGTAGCTATAGCCACCAACAAGCCATGAGCTAAGGGTAACCTCACTACCGCATTGCTGGTCACCCTCCCGGCCTCTAGAGCACTCGCCTGGGCATCAAGCACTGCAGCACCGGACCCTATGGTGGTTGACGTGTTGAATGTCGACCCGATTTCGCCCCACCTGATGTTTGAAAAAGTAACTGAAGCATCGGGGTTTTCTGCCATTATAGTCTCGGGATTACCTGAGATGTTTGAACAAGGCCCGGCACTCCCCGAGTCCAGCCAGTTCATGAAGTCGCCCTGCGATGTCCAGATGCTAAATAAGAGCACCATTCCACGCTGAAGTGATGCACCCATGGTCTCAAGACCGCCCAGCCGCTCGAAGCTGGACGCGTTCTTCGCCGAGCAGAAGTTCTGATCAATCGTACTGATTGCTTCCAATTGCGGGCCCTGCGTCGCCGGACTTTGTTGAACGACGGTGCCGTTCTGGATGTACATTCGCCGGATCTCGCTCAGAGTGCCGGCCGAGGAGTTGTCGGAGGTCAGAAACTGTGTCACCACGGTAAATGGGCTCCTGGTATCCACGGTCATTCCTGGCCCATAGAAGTTCTTGACTCCTGCGCCAAACGGGTTCAAGCCACATCCGTCCTTATCGCAAGCACCAGCGTTGGTACGTCCGCAAGCGGCACCCTCACAGGTGAAGGAGCCAGCTTCGTTACATGGATGAGGCGTTGTTGCGGTGGCCAACGAGTTGGCTTCCCAGATATCCATCTCGTTACAACATGCGCCGGAGCTGTTGAGGTTGGGCTAGCAGTATGTTTGTCAGTCTGCGAATTTACGACGAATAACTGGAGGCTATTGTAGAATACCATTCCGTTGATCCAAGTGGTATTGAAGCATTGTGCATCACAGTACCCCGTTCCATACGCAGCGCCCGCAGGATTCGAATCGCTCCTCGCACCGGACGCTTCCATCTCGGACAGATACAAGGCGCCATTCATGCCGCATCCCAGTTGACTCACGTCAACATCGAAGCTGAATTCCTGGTTGACCAGCTTCAGCAGCTCGTAATTCTCGTCGTCTTCGGCCAGAAGCGATACTCTGGGGCTGACGGCTTGCAAGCCCTGACCATTCGGGAGGAATTGACGCATGGTCAGGGCAGACCCTTTCGTCAGAACGCCAATGCTGCCATACTCGACACCCTCCAGCGCGCAGCTACGTGTGCATGTTGCAGCGTCGGGGCAGAGCGTTGCGTTCACTGGGTTACACGAGACCGAGGGCTCCCCCACAGCGTGGAAAAAGCGTGAGAGGGCGTCTGTCACCAGAGACGTCTGGCGCGATACGCAACCGCCCGCTCTGGTGCATACTTGGGTTGTGAGCTTCGGATGCACCTCTGGGACGAGGTTTCCAATCTGTTGGGAATAAGAAAGTACGACAAGGTGCGGCAGCACAGCTGCCAGCTGAGTTGTCAAACGCATTGCAGAGTACTGAAGAATAACGGCAGAGCAAACTGACCCAGGCTCAAGGAGTTTCTCAAGGCCAAGCTGGCCATGCTACTTACGGCCTGTAAAGGCTATATAGGCGTGACTTGATAGATAAATTTGTGGCCTAAGCCGAACCATTTGGAGGAAGATCCTCAGTGCCGTAATGCCGTCTGTTCCATGTCGAAGATCAGGCAATGCGACTCTGTCGTCGAAATACGGTTTGTGCGGACGATGAAACACAATATTTGCTCATGCAAGAACTACCGTGAAACCATGATCACCGATTTCCCGTGCATAACATTCAGCCGCTGGCGGTAGTGTGCTTATTACATGTCTAAGAGCTCTGGAGGGGCACTCGCCATCGGAAAGGAATGCAAGGAACCAACACCACAACAGCTCCGGCTGTCAGCGTCTAAAAAGCAAGCGTTTCGTATTTTAAGCTGATTTACCGCCGCTCCTCCCTCGCCATGCGTCACGAGTCTCGTTCAATCGGGCGACCAATTAAAGGCGATGTGTGCAGCAACGTGAATCAGAAAATCGAACTGAAGTTATGCCTAAATCCGGTAGGCTGTACTTCCTGTATCCAAGTGAGGCACAAAACACTCTTATTCCAATGCAAGTCTTGGCCCGAATAGCCCTAGTATAATTATAAACGGTATAACTAAGCGCTATATAGCGGTATATATTATAATTTTTATTTTGGGGCCTTTTTATTCCCTGCCGAAAGGGCCCCATGACTATTAACATCTCAATTAGACGGCGGGTACTGTGGGAACGTTGCATAGTCCCAGTCAACGCTATTCGCAAGAAGCTGCTCGTCTAGCCCGCCGACACCGGCGCTCACGTACAAGAACTGCGTGAATGCCACCGTGGAGAAGTAAGAGAAGGTCGTGTTGCCGGGAACAAAGACGACGTCGCCTGTCTCCAGAAATTCAGACTCGCCACCGATAGTCACGAGCAGCTGGCCTTCCTGCATTTGGAAGGCCGTATGTACGGGGACCGTCGCGACTGGAGCGGTCTGATTCGCCAGCTTCTTGCTCAGCGTCATCGTTCCTTCCGTCAAGTTGTTGGCAGTCTGCTTCCCGGTGGCAAGAGGAGCAATGATGGTGTATATGCCCCCCTCGCTGTTGAGGTATTTGGGGCCGTAGTTCTTAGCGATGAAGTTCGGCGTGAACTCATCGGCTGCCAGCTCGTTGCTTCCGTTGTGCCAGTTGCCGGAACCAGCGATGCCATTGACAGAATCTTGACGCGGCACAAAATTCGGCTCGATCCATGAGTCGTATACTTCTAGCATGGCAGCCAGCTCAGGCGTTACGCCAGTGGACGAGTCATTCTTCTGTTCTGTGATGAACTCGGACCCGATTATAGACTTGTATTCTCCTCCTGATATGGCCAAAAAGAGTGCTTCGAATCCGCCAGGTTGAATGGCAACAGTAAATTCCGTGTCCGGATCCTCGAACTGGTATGCGTGCTTGGTGTTGTGCGGAACACAGCCGTAGTCGCCTGCCTGCATCACCCTGGTTTGTTGCTCGTCCATGTCCGCCGTCTGAGCCCATAGTTGCGCTCGCCCCTTGTTGACATAGAAGTTTTCGTAATGTAACTTATGGAGGTGGGGGAGCACACCGATAGAGGCAGAGTTCGGGGCATTGGCCTGCAATATTGTGAAAGCTCCACCAGAGGAGTTGCCGGTGACGGGGAATCGGTAGACCTGGTTGCCCATGCTCGAGGTCAGCCCATCACCTCGACGGATAACATAGGGCCGAAGAGACTGTGGTGCTTCGGTCACGACGAGGGAGCTGGGTTTTGACAATGTAGGATATCCCACGACGGTTGAGGCTGACAAAGCCCAATTCAGAACTGAGGACTTCATTGTAACTGTAGATAGGAGAAGTGCTCATGAATTCCGCACACTTTTGAAGAACATGTAGCAATATATGCCTTGGATCAACAGAGAGGAATGACGGACCTTCCTTCCTCTGCATTTATACTTGGAGACGTCTTCGAAGTACTGCGACGGTCAAGCACCCTGATGCCGAACGTCCCGATACCTTTTCCTCGGGCTTGCGGTGTTCTGGCGAAGCCTAGCTCATTCAGATCACCCTTACACAGTATACTGACCCACTATCGACGCCCCGGGGCCGGCCCCAGTCGTGTGGAGTCCCCAAATTTCCCCACGCATTAACTACCTATGTAATAGCTGAAAAGTAGCACGGGAAGCATACCCTTCAAGAAAACCCCGCTTAGTAATCATCGCTGAGCCCTGGCTGTACGTACATAGTATTCCGCCCGCCTGTCAGTCAAGGAGACAGAGTTCAAGCTAATACATGCGCAACAGATTTTGTCGCCTAATAACATTGGCTCTAGGACCTTTTCAGAGAGCATGGTACTTGTACTGCGTACCTACATAGGTTCGTGCGAGAGTTGACTCAGGTGCGTAGCACAATCCTGGATTCCTCGTTAGTAGGGCGAAAGAGTCATCTCAGCATGACTAGGATGGAATCTGCTGCGTGTGGGTTGGAATAAGGCCAAATAATGGTCTAGAATGCCTTGCTGGAGGGGTATCCCTGGTCTTCCAAGTAATTCAGGTACAAACACAGTAGTAGTATGCAGGCACGCCATGGCTCAACCCCACTTGACAATTTGAAGGACTAGGCGACGAATACAGTACAAAATATTGAACGTAGTCGGAGCCTGGCAATACAAGCTTTTTGCCAGAAGTTTCTTTCTTGGCGGATATTATGGCCCGTAAGTTGTGTTGTGCTTATGTGGCAATAGTGTAAGAACCTTCATTCGGATCGCGACAAGCCACCGAGGGCGAAACATTCGTCCTGGAGCGCGAGCAAATGCTCCGAGACCAGTGAATGGCAATAATCTCGGCGACGACATACATTGTAAGGCTTGGGTTAGATATGGGGCAAGTGCCGTGAGAAATGATGTTGGAACATCAGGGAGAGACGCACCTCACTGGCGGAGTGCCTTCGCAGACACAGACAAGGCTTCGGGGCCGGCTCCAGTGCATCGTAAATAATCCACGCTACTCAAGTAAATAAGGGTGAAGCTGATCAAACCATAACTATGTATCTAACCAAGAAACCACGATGAGCTTGACGTGTGCATGGTTATAGACAGTTGATTGTGACAAACTATTGATACATAATCGAAACACCGACATCCATCCGATACATACTTCGTAGCCACGAAGCCAAGCGGGCGGACATAATCACGTAACCTTTTAGCAGTCGCCATCGGCGACAACGACGGACCAGTTTTGGTGGCCCTCGTTGGCGAAGCCGTGCACCTCGTGGTGGCGCTCTTTTCTTGGATTCCTGCACTTGTCGAAGATGATTTGGGCTAGGTCGGCGACGTAGTTGCACTCGGGGCTGACGGGGAAGTCGTTGTCGTTGCACACGTAGATGGCCGAGCGCCACTGGCAAGCCACGCGGTTGCACTGGCCCTTGTCGCTGCCCGGAGCGGTGGGACAGAGGCCGCCAACCCTGCGCAGGTAGTCGATGTTCTCCATCGTGCGGAAAGCTCCGGCGTTGCTATAGTCTGTCGGTTGCCGGCACCAGGGGCTGCCGTCCTCCTAAGGAATCAGATGGTTAGTGACATGGCGAGGTCTTGACTCAACAGAGGCTTGAGGACTGCGGTAGTCGAGGAAAGGTGACACTGAATGTTGGCGTATGCACAGCATATAAGCAAGCAAGGATGAGACGTACCATCTTGCGTGGCTCGATCGGGTCGCCCACAGCAGTGATATTTTTCAGCTCAGAGGAGAGATCAACAGGCTTGAGAGGTGTGGCCTGGTCTTGTGCGTTAGCGCTGTTCTCGATCTGTTCAGATAAGGAGTGTGAACATACAGAAACACATGTAACTGCAGCAGTCACAAGAGCGACAAAACCGTTGCCGAGCTTCATTTTGGCGGTGTTGGTCTGTTTACTTGGGAGTTGATTTGTGGTGTAGAAGGGAATCCAGGAGTTGCAGTCGAGGTCGAGATCAGCTGCGTATTTATAGACCAGGTCGAAATTGCAGAGGCAGGTATTACGGAGATAGAAAATGTGGCGATACTGTATACCAACAGTTTAAGTTGTGCGAAGTCTATCTGAGGGACATCTCAATTGTTCCTCAAAGTTTATATGAATCATGCTCAAGAGGCAATTCTCCACTGAGCAAGAACATCTTCATCGGAGCACAGATTAGATACAGTGACGTTGCTCGACAATGAAGCGCACTGGCATTGCTTGTCCAGCCTGTCGGACTCACAACTCTGTTCGACGTTGGCTAAGGAGAGTTCGTTTAGTTGGTAGCTGTGATGGGAATTATAGGTGGCAACGAGGTACTGAAGCCCAATGCGACGCGTGCATAATTGAACCTATGCCATTGCCCAACGAAAGCGAAGGGATTCAACCTATCGACTGTCCACTGATACAAGCCTACCCGGAGAGCATTTCATCACGCACGGGGTGAAATAATTCCATGTCTCGTCTGAAACCGCCGTCAATTGCCTGTATAAATTTTTTTTTTCTTCTTTAAGCTGACTCTTTGTTATCCAACTGGCAATTCGTAAAGCCACAATGATCGCTTTTATCTACCGTACACTGTTTCTCATGATTCTGGGTATCGCATTCCATCCGTGAATCTTACAGTCTTCGGAGGATGTCCTCGACGACCTGGTCGGTCTTGGCCTTGCCGCCCAGGTCAGGGCTCAGCAGCTTGCCCTCCTCGAGGTTGGCATCGACGGCAGCGTAGATCTTGGCGGCAGCGTCCTCCTCGTTGAGGAACTCCAGCATCAGGGCGGTGGAGCGGAGAGTGGCGATGGGGTTGGCGATGCCCTGGCCCATGATGTCGGGGGCACTGCCGTGGCACGGCTCGCCGATGGCGAAACCCTCGCCGACGTTGGCGCTGGGCACCAGACCCAGGGAGCCGACGAGGGCGGCAGCACCGTCGGACAAGATGTCGCCGTACAGGTTGGGGGCGACGATGACATCGTAAGCCTCGGGCTGGCGGAACAGCTTGTAGACCATGCTGTCGACAATCTGCTCCTCGACCTCGACCCTGCCAGCAAACTGGTCGGCGGCCAGGGCCTCGCGGCAGGTGGCACGGAAGAGGCCGTCGGTCTGGGAGAGGACGTTGCTCTTGTGGGTGATGGTGACGAGGGGGCCCTTGTGGATGCTGGGGACGCCGGCCTTGCGGATCTTCTCGCGCCTCAGGGCGATCTCGCCAGCCATGGTGGCGATGCGGGAGCTGGCCCTGTAGGAGATGCGCTTGATGGCCTCGGCAACCTTGCCGTCGGGGCCGTCGTAGGTCTTCTCCTCCTTGACGTAGAGGTCCTCGGTGTTCTCGCGGACGATGACCATGTCGATGGGGTTCTGGGCGGAGAGGACGGTCTTGACGGGGCGCACGTTGGCGTACAGGTCGAGGCGCTTGCGCAGGGCGACGATGGGGGAGCTATAGCCCTTGACGGCGGTCGAGGGCGAGGAGACGGCGCCGAAGAGGGCGCCGTCGCACTCGTTCTTCAGGACCTCGACCGTCTTGTCGGGCAGGGCGGCGCCCGTCTTCTCAAAGGTCTCGAAGCCGGCATGGAGGTCGACAAAGTCGAACTTGAGGCCGAGCGAGGCGGGGAGGGCCTCGAGGACGCGGCGGCCGGCGGGGATGACCTCCCGGCCGATGCCGTCGCCGGGGATGAGGCCTGGGGCGGGGAGGTCAGCAGGCGGTCTGGAGATGGAGAGGCATTGGCGGGGGCGGAGGGCACCAGGGAAGACGCACCGATTCTGAGAACGCGAGAGGCCATGGCTATGAGGCAATTGGTCGTCGACTCACTCTGGCTGGAGACGGGGCAGGCTGTTGGCTTGGGTGACGATGGTGCCCTGGGTGCTGCTCGACGTTCAGAAATTCGCAGCGCTTCAATTGAGTTTTAGTGGGGCTGCCCAGCGCCCAGCTTCCGGCAACCGGAGCTGGGCCTCGAACCCGGGCTTGGCCCATCTCTCTCTCTCTCTCTCTGCTGACGCGCCCATACCAAACCTCTCGCCCACTCCAAATCTTAATCCAACCTAACGTCGCCGGGTCATTCTGGGGTCGTCGGCAGGGGTTGGATATGGACATGTTGCAGGGGGGTTTTGTTACTGTTCAATTACGGAGCAACTCCCTCACGTCGGTACCCAAATCTGCTTCTACCCAACTAAGATTACGGCGCTCGGTCAATCGGTAGTACACAGTCACCATGGCCGTGGACCTGGCGGGCCCACCATTTGGTAGTTATTGGTCCTGGTAGGTAAGGTAAATCAGTGCATGCTTTGCCAGCGGCCGGCGAGACGTGGCCGGTGGTGCGGAAAGTCTCGTGTTGGTGCTGCGCATTAGCTCGTCCAAGTCACGTTGTACGCGCCTCTGGATTTGGCGTTGGGGACAGACACCGACCGACGCGTCGAGCAACGCGCTGCACATCGGGAGGTTGTACAGTAGCTTGTGAACATGAAACAAAGAATGACCCGCGGGCTGCCAGGGGGCTGGCGTTGGCATTGAGTTTCCCCATGACAGGCTCCAGCTAGAAACATTCTAGAAATCAAAGAAGAGTCAAAAGGAATCCGCTCTTGTAATGGTGACTATATTAGCTCCGCACATCGAATAGAACACCCGGCCCATTCTGACTGGCGCATGTGTCAAGTAAACAGACTTCCAAACGCAGGCAAGACTTTAGCCGCTTCCGCCGTCTCGTTACCAGTGCCTCGGAAGTGCCACCTATGTACGGTCTCGGGAGTCTACCTCAGGTACCCGTGGACGAGTTGTACCGGTGCCCTTCCACGGCCGCGGCCTGGGTCTGGTTGAAAGAGCCCCAGAGAAACACCATCATTGGGGGCTTTAGATCGTAGCCTGTCTTGTTAGGCATGGACCGAACCTCCAGTCTGGTCGCCTTCCTCCCAAGTTCCTCGTAGTCATAACTAGTCTCAACCCCATCCGGGCGGGTGAAGCGTGACCCGACACCGCAATGGAGGCTCAGAGCTGATGCTGAGCCCTGGCACTGCAATGGAAGCCCCTCAACCCTCAACCCCTGAACCCACCCATGGAAATACGTCCCCTAATTAAAGGACGCCTCCTCAGGGGCCCCCTCAGGGCCCCCAGGTGCCCGAGGGCGGGAACAGCCCACCACGTCAAAAGTGGACGGCCGGAGCCCATGACTTACTGTGGTAGCCCACAAAGATGCCTGCCCGTGGACCCGACTGGACTGGACTGGACTGGACTTGGACTGGGCTTTGGATGGGATCCAATCAGACTGGCGACGTCGCATGAACTTGGGGGGGGGGAATCGCCATGCTGTCAACGTTGCAAGATTGTCAGACAACACCCGCGACAGCAGCAGCAGCAGCAGCAGTAGCAGCGGCCACTTAATCCCATACTCCACAACCATCCGTCCGTCCGTTTGCTGATGTCTTGTCGCATTCCCATCGTGGACTGAACTCGACACTTGCCCATCGTCGCCGACCAAGCTCCAAGCTCCCAAGATCCAAAGCTCCCAGCAGCTCCCATCGGGCAGCTTCCCGGACCCAGTCCCTGGGCAGTCCCCCCCCGTCGGAGCAGAGAGCTACCCGAGGTGCCTCGCTCGCCTCGACACAAGAGGAACGAACCTCTCGCAACATCGGACCCGACCAGCAAACGAAGCGGAAACAACCCGCCAGGCAAACGGGCACCGAGCTCGAGAGGGCATGTACTTGGGCTCAACAAGCACCAACGCGACCTGCCTCGTCTCCCCCGGTGACAGCTGCCGCCTCCTCCGCCAACAGCCCAAGGCACATAGGTATCTAGTCTAGTATCCAGTCACCACGGGAGCTACACTGGACGCTTGTTTGGTCTGGCCAACCACCACCAACACCACCACCACCACCACCACCATCGCCACTCCTATTCACTATTGCCGACCAGCCAGTCTACTAGACTAAAACTCAATCCGCGCCTGCCCCTGAGGACCGCCCCCCTCCGGCCGCGATACCTCACTCCGCCTCTGCCTCTGCCTCTGCCTCTGCCAACCCCTAACGCCCCTTTCGCCCGTGTTCAGTCTGCAACTCGCAGTCTCCGGCCGCAGCCATGTCGGGAGTCAGGAACCTCCGCGCCATGTTTGAGCAGAAGGGCGGCGAGCCGGGAAACAGCCCGCCAGACGACAGAGGTCGCTCCCCAGGTCCCAATGGACTTGCATCCTTCGGTACGCACAAGCAGACACCTTTCCTCCCCCTGACCGGGGCCCTGTCCATGTCCAGATGCTCCCCGAACCCCCTTCCGCGTCTCTAGTCTGTTCTTTCTATGCACCAGTTTTCTTTTCTTTCTCGCGGGCGCAGTCTACCAGCCCTGCACCACTGTTGGTTTGGCTGGAGAGCTCAGGCGCGGGACCCAGTATATAATGCCCATTCGAACACCGCCATAACGTCATTCGCGCGTCAAAAACTGGAACTCAATTGTGCCTGCATCGCTAACCCGAACTCTATCTACTCACAGGCTCGCCCACTCCCTCACAATCTCCCCGCCCGCTGTCCAAAGTGCGAACCAGCTTCGTTGCCGTAGAGAAGGACGGCCGCATAGGACTCCGACGCGAACCCAGCGGCGACTCCATCTCCGTGTCCAGCAGGAGGATGAGCAACGAGACGGAGAGCACCACCCCGGCCGCGCTGCCCGACAAGAGCGACCCCTTCACCGACAGCATGGCCAAGAACGCCGCCTCGTTCAAGACCAACCTGTCCAACCACCCCATCCCCGAATCTCCGAGGCAAGACTCGCCCGCCAGCTTCTCCCCCAAGAAGGGAACCGAGACCCCCGAGGTCACACACGGCCCGAACCCCGACAAGATCGTGGACGAGGAGGAGACCAGGACCAAGCTCACCCCCGCGGATCCTACCGTCAAGGCCGCCGTCAATGGCAAATTACTCGGCCTTGACGCCGCGACCGAGGCTAAGGACAAGCACAAGGACAAGGCCAAGAGCACTGCTACCGTTGGCAAGCCTGCACCCAGGGCTACCCCTATTTCCACGTCGTCCAAGGCCGCCGCGAAGCCCTTGAAATCCCCATCGGCACCCGCACCCGCACCCAAGGCCCCGGCCAAGGATGCGGCAAAGGGCCCCGAGAAGAAGCCCGCGGCCCCTGTCTCGAAGGGCGACACCCCCAAGAAGGCTGCCGCGCCAGCCCCCAAGCCAACAACGTCATCTGGCAAGAAGCCTGCCGCCCTTGAGCTGTCGCCTTCGAGCACTGGCTTTGTCAAGCCGAAACCCAAGTCGCCTACTCGTCCTGTCAAGCTTCCTTCAAGCCTGACGGCCCCTACAGCTGCATCCGCCTCTAGGTTGGGTGGCTCCAATGCCGCGGCCCCGAAACAGCCAGCCTCCCACGCGTCCGGCTCCCTGGGTGTCCCAGCTTCGTCCCACCGACCCTCCAGCAGAACCAGCACCTCGACCGCGGGGACAGTTACCGCTGGCAAGACCTTGAAACGACAGAGCTCTACCATCAACAGGCCAAGACCGAGCTTGGGTCCTCCTCCCAAGCCGGCCGCTAAGGACCACCCTGTCGCCCGGAAGGAAAGCCAAGCAGATGACAGCTTCTTGGCACGTATGATGCGGCCGACGCAGGCTAGTTCAAGCAAGACCCACGACAAGACGACGCCCGTCACGCCACCTCGAAAGCAGAGCGCCCCGTCGACGGTCAAGAAGCCGGCAAGCAGGGATGGCGAGGGAAGTGCGAAGAGGGCCACGGCCAAGGTCGCCGAGGTGGGCAAGCCCAAGGAAACCATCAAGAAACCGACTGTAGGCAAGGGGACCCCTGCCAAGGCCAAGGACGCAACCAAGATGGCAGACACGACCAAAGACACCGCTGCTCCCGCCATTGCCGAGCCGACAACAAAGGCGGTCGCCCCAGTCGTGGCCCAGGCGGAGAGCGCTGAGGAAGTTATCGAAGCGGCCGCGATTTCGAAAGATACTGCCATCACTCCCGTCGTGGAAAAGCAGGAGGAGGAGGAGGAGGAGGAGGAGGAGGAGGCCCAATCTGTGCCGGTTGCGGCAGCAGTGGACAAGCCAGCCGTTGACTCCGCAGAAAAACCACTCTCAATGGTCGAGGCGCCCGAGGTGACCAAGGAGCCTGCGGTGGCCAAGGAGCCTGCGGTTGTCAAGGAGAGGCCTGCGGAATCCGCAGACGAGGCCTCATCGTCCCAGGAGACGGCCGCGGCTGCGGAACAGAGCCCGGCTGCAACCGTACCAGCAGTCACTGCTGACCCAGAAAAGGTGGAGGACATTGAAGATGTTATCCATCTGAGCTCGGGGAAGCCAGTCGAGGAAGACAAAAACGTCCCTGAGCACACCGACATACCACTTGAGAAGACGGTCGACGGCGCGATCAGCGAGGCACCCGCAGCTTCGGAAGAGCCCAAGACCGAGGGCGCCCCAAACACCGAGGATGTCGAGACAGTGACTGCATAGTCAAGCAACTTCCTGTCGTGGCGTTTTCGAGGCTTACATGTTCTCCACAGCGCCGAAATGGGGCAATTACGTCCTTGACCATCCCGTCTGTTGTGAGAGCTTTATTTGGGGGTGGCGTCAGGGGGGTATACCTTTTACTTGTGCTTCTTCACACACCAAAACAACTAGGGAACTTGCATGGGGGTGTGGGAGTATTTGGAGCTTAGCATTCGTCTTTTTCGTTGCTCCTGAGCTCCGGGAGGGTTGGCATTATTCTCTTTGGGGAAAGGGGAAGGAGAAATAATCGCCTTTTGTGATAGAAGAAGCCCATGGGCCTGTACATATCAGTTTTTAGTCAGAATGGATACCACTGTTCAATTCCAAAGCCCGAGAACCGCATTAATCGATGCGCGTGGGTGCATTGTGATTTTCTCTTTCATGTTTGGATATGATACAATAGGCGTTTTGCTTTTGTACATGTTTGGTACATCGTGGCCCTGTCCGCCTCTATGCTTGCTGTCTGTCTGTCGTCTCGTCGTCGCTTGTTTGCGAGCACAGCAGGCCTGTATGCCTTCTACCGCCCCTTTATGCCCGCACGAGGCCCCTATATCATACAAGCCCGACCCCAGCGAGAGTGCAGCGCCGTGCGTGTTCCCCTCCAATATCTCTTGTCCATCACCCCGTCCCGCCACGGCCAGCAGATCACGGCGAGACCCGGCACAGCAGCAGGCCGCCCATCTTCCTCTCGACGGCCTCGCGGATCTCCATGACGCCCTTGGGCGTGCTGACGTACATGCACTCGCCGAGGTTGAGGCCGCGCTGGATGAGGCGGGTGGGGCCGCTGTCCCAGCCGCGGGCGAGGCGCTCGAGGTGCTCGAGCTTGGCCGTGACGGGGCGGGTGGGCCGGCTGATGATCTGCAGCGAGCGCATGACGGGCTCGTTGCTGCTGTACTTGAGGCCGACCCACAGGCGCTGGCGCGCGACCGTCGCCGTCGTCAGCGGCTCGGGCGCGTAGGTGCTCAGGGCGGCCGGGTCGGGCGGCACGGCGCCCCCGCGCGTCACGAACGACAGGAACCCCGTCCGCTGCAGCGACAGCAGCAGCGACAGGTTGCTCGAGTTCCACGGCGTCGACGTCAGGCCCAGCCGCGCCTTGGAGGCGTTCTGCAGGTGCGAGCACACGTGGGCGAGGCTGAGGAGCGTCATGTCGACTTCTGCTGCTGCTTTCGGCAAGAGAGTCGGCTGTTCGGAAGACGGTGTCTTTGGGTTCGGCGGTGGCGGCGCCCTGGGAAGGGCGGAACTGGTGAGGACGTCGCGATTCGGTGACGCTTCTCGGCTGTCTCGCGGGACCGGATTTCAGGAGGTGCCGGATGTCGCTGGCTGTTTTCCTCGGGGGACGACTGCGGCGATGTACGTCAGAGTTCGGTCGGGGGCGCTCAGTGCTGTGTTGCCGAGAAGCACCTTGATTGGATCCCTGAAACAGCAGCAGAAGCTCGTCAATGGGCGGGTTTTGGTTGTCTGGCAAGCTCCGGGATCGACTCTGACATCGAAGCTATCTCCAGCGTCCCAGAAATTCTCGAGGGCGCCGGAAGAACCAAAAGCCCGAAAGAAAGACACACTGCCCAGGTGGACCCGCCCGAGTGCCTGGACCCCTGTGCCCTGTGCCCTGTGCCCTGTGCCGTCCAGGGGCCGGGTCAAGTGCCGCTAACGAACCCCCGTCAAGCCCGTGCCTCCAGCGGGCTTAGCGACCGCGGGCCATCATTGGAGGGTCGTCTCGACGCTACAACCCCGCTGTCGCTCCCGGTGGCCCTCTCGAGGGGTCCTCCTAAGCGCCGACAGCACGCTCGACCTGCAGCTGATGCGAGCAGAAGCAAGGAATAGATAGGATGGGAATGGGCAAAATTGGTTTGGTAGACGCCCGCGGTCCGGATCGTCGTCAGCGGGCAGGCCATGATGCTTGCTGTGCAGGTAGGGTAGGGTAGCTTGGGCTTCCAATTCTTTTTTTTTTGTTTCTCCTCTCCCTCCCTTTCTGTGCTTCTGCTTGCTGCTCTCTCGTTGTGTCTGCGATACCCTGGCGCTGAGGTCGATGCTCGTGGCGCAAGGACGCTGAGCACTCTCACATCGCACACCATCTCACTCCGTGCAGTCTGTTTGTTTTCTCAGCCAGTTTCTCCTCCGTTGCTTTCTCTCGGCAGTTTGGGCAGTGCCCCTTCTGCGAACCCCTTCAGCGCGAGTAAGATGGCGGTCCGCCCGGGAGAGGAGAATGTCGCGACGCTGTGAGTATACACACTTTGCCGACCAACCAGCCGCGAAGCTTCAGGTCGACTGGGTGCGGGGACTGACAATTCCTGCAACGCGCAGCTTCGGGGATGTGCACTACTTCTATGGCCCGCCGACCGCGAAGCCTCCGCATCATCGCTTCGACAAAGGTTCTTATGTCTATCTGTTCGAGAATGCGAATGACCGGAGGGCGCGCGTCGAGATTGCCAACCAACCCGGCACGGAGGACCAAGATGCCCTTGATGGATGTAAGATCAAAGCGCACCCACCACCTATCTCTCATTTGCCAATGGCCAGATCCGAGGAGCACGTTCTGATTCGGCCTGACTATAGTTCTGGATAAGACTCGAGTGAGATACTCTTACAGTCAGCAGTGTCTCGTGAGCATTACCGTCGACGATGTGCCTGGTGCGCCGATGGACCACAGCCAGTGGCACCTCCCAACCTACGATCCGCGGAATGAGAACAAGTACCACTACAAGCTGCACTCCCTCGACATATACTTCTGGACGCAGACCGACGCCCTGCAGTTTGTCAATGGCATCCGCCGGGTCCTGCCGCCCTCCCAGGTAGAGGTGCTCGACGAACCTGGTCCGCCAGCCCACGCGCCCCGGACTCACTCCCAGGACGTCAACCCGCTGGTACAGAAGCTGGAGAGGGCCGCCATCTCCGAGAACACCAACGGCACGCCGAGGCCCGCGCTGCAGGGTGTGCCGAGCTTCGATCCACCTCCTATCTCAGCCGTACACGGGTCATCCGAGTCGCCCGCTGGTTTCGCGCCGATGGCATATAACCCGGCGGCGCCGGCGGCCCCTGAGCAGGTCAGGCATCGGGAGAAGACGCCCCCACCGGAGGATGATGGGGTGGACCCTCTCCGGGCCGCAGTGGCCGTGGATCATGCACCCCCCTATACCCCGGGCTACGGGCCGCAGGGACCCATGAGCCCAGGCTTCCCTGGCCACCCGCCCAGCGCTCGCCCCGGCGTGGTCAGTCCCGGCTTTCCGCCGTCGCAGTTTGGCCATCTCCAACGCTCAGTGACCATGCCCGTCTCCGGTCTGGCCTCCCCGGGCCTTGCTTCGCCAGGCCTCGTGTCCCCAGGCCTAGCCAGCCCTTACGGGTCCGCGTTCCCGGTTTCGCCGGGCTTCTCGCCGCCGCCGCCTCCTCCGCCCCCCAACACCCAGACCAACACGCACTCTCACCCGACTCCGCCTCCGCAACAACATCCCCATTCCCAACCCCTCCAGAGCCCCGGCATGCCGCCGGGTGGGTACGCCAACTACAACTACAGCAGCCCGGTGGGCGGCGGCATTCCGCCGGGAGGCGAGTTTGCGATCCACCAGCAGGTGTACCGGCCGTCGGAGCACGAACACAACGTCAAGTACAAGCCGAAGCCGGACAGCCGGAGTAAGCTCGGGGAGAATGCAGACAGGCTCGAGCGCGGGGTGACGGGCATGCTGAAGAAGTTTGAGAAGAAGTTTGGATGAGAGGAGGTTGCGCATGAATGGCAACAGGAAGGGCTAAGTGCTTAAGAAGATTGCTCGGCGGAGGTTCTATGTAGGAAGCAATACAAATATCTTTTAATTGCCTTTTCCGGCTCGGAGCCCAAGAACCGACCTCGTGAGTACAACGCAGAGAGACTGTTGAAGGAAGTCAAATCACGGGACTGGAGCGTCATGTGGAACGCAATCAGGCACTTCAGCCTCGGAGTCTTGATATGCTAGGTTGTCAGCGGCTACCATGTATTGAGTCATCTTGGCTATAAAGCTATGCCACGGGTCGGGCTTCCTCCTCTACTGCACGATTTCATGGGGGCAATTATGAAATTATCGTTGGGAACACTGCTCGTTATATCTACATCATCTAGTCTCTTTCGCTGGGATGTGGTTCGAGTAATAGCCACCATCATAGTTGGTCTTGCCAGTGACTGCGTTGCTTGATTCACTTGACCCTCTCCACTGTGAATGGAACTGAAACCGAAGCGAATGCCAGAATGGGCCTGATGCGATGTTATTGCCAAGTCAAAGACCAACCTTTACCAAGTATATATTGAGTGGACTGGCTGTTGCACGCGAAGGATTATACGAGACTAGCATAGCTGCAGTAGTCGGGACGCCGTTTACCGGCGGGTCCGGGTCCGAAGTTCAGTCGTGGTATTAGCTCCGGGCCCCGCCCCCAACGGCCCCCGGCTGCTCCAGTGGTGCCATCACGTGCGGACGGGTCAGGCAACATGATGAGGGATGAGATTTCCCCCGTGATATAATCATCTGAGGCGTGGCGCAGCATGCGCGTGCTTTATCGTAAAGCGCTGGCCTGGAAGCAGGCCCTGGCAGGGGAGGGTATAACGGTGGATTACTCGGTCACGCGTCTGACTAACACAGAGCCCTTCGTAGAGGGAAGACTCACAAGCCATTGGATCTTCGTCGTCGTGATCAAGAAGTACTGTACCTGGAGCTGGAAACGCCGATGGATGCGAGCCAAGGCACTGGTCTCCATTCAAGTCTTGGTCAGCAGTAACGCCATAGTGCTGTCGTACTTCGCCAGAGGGCGATATTCCAGTGCGGCACAAACCCCAAAAGTCGGGTGTGACGAAGCTGCAGGCCCCGGTCGATCCATGCGCCTGTATGCACGAACCGTGCGCGCTACGTTTTCCCTGATGCTACGCTGGGTCGCGGCCCGATTTGGGTAGGTGGGAGCGTGTTGCCAACAGTTGCGAATAGCTTCAAGTTCACAGTCGGTCGGGGCGAACACAGTAAGTTAGTGACTGCCCTCAAGTCATTGTCTGCTCATTGGCCCCCGTCCTCAATGTGCCGAGACCCGCGCAATCGTCAACTCGGAGGATCTCATGCGGTTATCAGCTGTGGAGCCGGCGGTGGACAGAGCGTTCAGCCCTACCATGTCCTCCCTAATCTCGGCAATCCCTCTCTGAATCGAGCCAAATCCTGGCCGCCGTCTAGGCCATCGTTGATCGTTCAATGAATCCACAGAGAGGCCAGGCCGACAAACGCGGGAAGTCGGGAGCTCGTCAGGGCAACGGATAATGAGTTTCGATTGGCGAAAAATGCGAGAGAGCCATTACTGGTCAGGTTCCATCATGGCCCGAGACCTGCCTGCCGAGCATGTCTCACTACGGAATGGAGCCCGCCCTCTCCACCCACCTTTCATTTTCTCGGAATTTGACCAAGCTTGCTGGCTGCAAGGTACTGTACAGCTTGGGGTCCAAAAACCCGAGTGCTACTCAACAGCAGGCGGATCAGGTGTCTAGATCCAAGAGGCACTTGGGGGCTCCACGGCCAGAGGTGCTTTCGATGGAGGCTCAATATGGAACTGCTGAAGCCGATGCAATGTGACGACAGGCCCGAGGCAGAACAAGAGGTTCGGCGATTGCGATTGACCTGTGTGTTGTGTTACACAGAGCGCGATGGCATGCACGCTCTTAAGTTATGTGCTGCATGCGATGGAGGGCGGTGCTGCGGATCGCAACGGTCTTGAGCCACGGGCCACCACCTCGACACTCACTGCCCGCGGCGCAGCAAAGTCGCGAGAAACCCGCCAACTTTTCTTTTTCTCCGATGTGGAAAAAGTTTTACGGATTCCCTAAGCGCCGTACGACGCCAAGGTTGGAAACACCAAAACGCCAGTCAAGGATACGATGGGCAATCAAAAGGTCACTGCAGGGCACGGCCATGGCCAAGAGGCGCCTCGACGTTAGCGGCGGGGGGATGCTATTTACGGCGTCTGCAGCAGGCAGGCTTCTTCCACCCTTCACCCAGCACGACGGTTGCCGACCACCCCACTGCTACGTTGTACCATAGCAGTCCGTCAAGCAGACGATGGAGAGAGGTCCGTCCAGCCCCTGCAGTTTGTTGACGGGGTCGTCGGTTTTCAACAGACGACAGGCCTCTGTTCAAGGACGATAGTTCGGCTCTTCCAGAGAGCTTTCCTTAAAGCCTTGACAGATTCCATTGGTAGTAGACCTGAACTGTCAGACCTGGGACCAGACCAGTATCTAGGTTTTAGCTTCGGAAGTTTCGTAGGTAGGTTCGACGATGACAGGACCAACTGACGGGCCAGATGCGAGGGGTGGTTGCACCAGTCTCAAGAGCATCTTGTCTTGTCGTCATCTGCAGCAGGTCTACGGGCGTCAGATGGTTTCCAACGCATGCCACTGCATAGTCATTACTGGGCGACTGTCTTCTCTGCCTCCGACAGAGCCGCGCTCGCTGGCGACGATGATGAATTGACTTTGCCCCACTCTCACACATGGGACGAGCCAGCGAAACCCATTTTTCCCCAGCGCGAAATCAAGATCTTGGTCTCTTCGTGAAGGGAAGACCCCCGGGGACCACGCTCGGCGATTTAGTGTAGTGGCCCTTCACTGGCCGCTCACAAGCTGGCGTCCTATTCCCACCGTCTAGTTGCTGGTTGCAAGCCTGCTAGCCTACCTAGTGGCTGGTTTCCTGCTGGTCCACGGTAGTGAGAAGGAGAAAAGAACGTCGTTACATGGCACCGCGACAGGGGGCTGCCGGCGTCTGGGGTCCCCCTTAGCAAGCGACCCGACCATGCGATTTGACATTACCATTTCGGTGATCAACCAAAATCTGACATGGTAGTTAATCAGGCCCCATACCTAGGTACCCTCTCGACATTTGACAATCCGAGGTCTCCAGCCTTTGTTTTATTTTATTTTTTTCCTGCTCACTACTCTCTGCGGCCGGATATCTTCCACTCCTTCTCGCCACACCCCACCCTGAGAAGGCAGAGTGTATATGCTGCTGTACGAGACGACCGTCACGCATCCCTCGTTACGACCGCCACCCCCAGCGGGCCAATCGAGAGAAGACGAAACCCTGCCGCCCTCGCCCGTCACCCTGACCACTCACTGACCAGGTGCCCCGCGTCGACTTTTTGGGGTGGCCGAGTTTCCGTCGCAACGCCGCGCACGCACGTTGACTTGGTGCTTGGGGCGGGAGCCCACTGCCCAAGTGGGAGGCGAAAGAAGCCGTTTGAACCAGCGGCACGGGAAGGCCCAGCGCTGGCCCAGCCTAAGGTACGGTACTTAAGTAATTGATAGACCGCCAAGCCGCTTAAGCCTCCAAGACACCCGCGGCCGCCCGCCCAAGGTTCCAAGGTTACGACTTACACGAGGGCGCATCACGTCCCGTCCAGCCAACCCACGCCGTCGACTGCACCGGACTGCCACAGACACACACACACACACACCCCCCCCCTCCTCCCCTCCCATCCACCCGCCTCTTCCCCCCATCCCACCACTCCACAGAATCGGCCAGGCAGGCAAGGTCACTTGCATGGTCGCCGCCACCAGCTGTGTCTGTCTGTGTCTGGGATCAGCCTCGTCCTTCAGGGCAGCAGTCTCTTCCGACGGCCTTCGTTTCGTCGCTTCATTACTTCATCCATCCGCCAGCTAGGGCAGACATCTACCACACAGCACACGACTGCTGATTTGCCCATCTGCATCCACCCTCCCGAGTTTCGCGGTGATGCGGTAGCAGAGCATAACAGCCAGCATCCCGAGCTCAACTCCGGCCTGGCCAGTCCTAGCCAGCTCCTCTCATCGGTTTAGTGGGAACGGTCGTCTCCAGACCCAGAACAGGATACTCTTCTCTTCCACACAGATAGCCCACCACCACCACAGTCGCTCGTTTAACTCTCGTCCAACACCATGCATCTTCCTCCCCGGATACAGACACCGAGGGTTCGAGACCTCAACCGTCTTCTCGCGCGCGACTCCTCCAGCAACGACCCCAGGGAAAAGGGCATATCTGTGTCGGTAGTGGTACGTACCAGCCCGCTTGCGTCTGATCTTAATTTTCTGGCGACTCCAGTCAATGGCTAACACCGGCGTACTATCCAACAGGCGATTGCCGTGTCCGGCGGTTTTGTACTCTTCTTAATCTTCATATGGATGTGCATGAGGTCGAAACGCAACAAGGCATCTAAGCGTAACTACTCGAAGCGATACGGCTACACCCCGACCAGCGGCCAAGATGACTCGCCGGAGAGTGGGGGAAACACAAGTCGCCCAAGGCAGACGGGTTCGTCCGGTGACAATGCCACTACCAACCGAGACAGCACTGTCGACAGGAACACGTCTGTTCGTTCCGTAATGACTCTGCCGGCGTATCGCAACAAGGCGAGCGAAAACGAACAGGTGCTTGGCCGCGAAGGCGAGCGAGACGGTGTCGACGTCGTGGTGGAGATGCCGACGGTCGAGGACGCGGAAGCTATGCGCGAGGAGGAGATGGAGACCATGTACCAGATCCGGCTGGCTCGACGACAGGAGATCGCAGAGAGAGAAGAGCGGAGGCGACAGCGAAGGGAGGCCAGGGCCCGCGGCGACACGGTCGCTCTGAGCGAGTTGAACGAGCGCGCGAGGGCCGCCAGTCAGTCCAGCGCTGTGAGTGAGCTGCGGGAGGACCACCAGCGCATCAAGAACCAGCGCCAGCGCGCCGTGTCGAGTGTCAGTTACGCGGACCTGGGTGTCGCAAGGCACGATGGCACCAGACTTCGAGCCAACAGCAATGAAAGCGAGCGGATCGGCCTCTTATCCGATGCCGCTAGCATCGCCCTATCCACCCGATCCCCTTCGGCCCTCAGCCATCGTCGGGACCGAAGTGCTAGCTCAGTCCTAAGCTTCGACAGCACACAAGACTTCCCGTCTCCGGGCCTGCCGAGATCCGGCGCCACCACTCCTAGAAGATTATCGGCGCAGCATTCGGTCGGCACCATGACCGCGGGCTCGAGCCCCGAGATCATTGGAGAGGCCGATCTGGGCGAGATTGACATGCCTCGCCACGAACCCCCAGGCTACGACGACGTAAGTCTGGACGACACCCGCTCGGGAGCCACAACGCCCATGTTCAACGAACCGCCCCCGGATTACCCCGGTCCCGCGGAGGAGCGCCATCAGAGATTAAGTGCCCACGTTGCCGATATGGTGGACACCGTTGGGCCCGAAGGCGATCTGAGCGACCGCCGCTCGTCGACCTCTACCGGAGTAACGCGGAACTCTTCGTCGGGGTCAACCCGCGCCACAACCTCCATTCCACGGTTGCCCAGTCTCAGGATTGGTGGATTACCGCAAATCGTTGTTGAGCCCTCCAGTGCCCACCCCGACCGATCGAGGGACCGGTGAGCTCACAGCGGGAGCTATTTGCTTCAGCGTAGAGGGGAGTAGCAATGCACTCCATCCCCGCATCCAGCCTCGCCAGGTCGGGATATCAAACCAAGGATCCCCCTGCGATCATACGACTGTAATCAGTCTCGAGACAAAATGAAACCTTTCTGGCAGAACAGATCTCAAAATCCAACACATTATAGTTTGCCGCCCTTTGTTGGCGTACACTATCACACGTGTTATCTCTCAATAATCGATCGATATACGAGCACCGACAGTTATATACCGCCATTAGCCTCAACGAGGAGGCACTGGATATGAAGGGCGACGAAAGTGATGGAAGCAGTTGTACGTTATAATGGCCAGGCGCATCTGGAGAGCGGTTGATTTATTACCAAGTTCAGTCCTGGGTTCGTTTGCATATATCGGTGTCGGTGTCCATCTACAAATATACCATCTTCCTAGTGTAGTTTACCAACTGAAGACATTCCCAACCCAATGTTCCATCTATTGCTGGAGGAAACTCGACGTGAATGCAATCTTTACAGAAATGATACCAAGAGAAAGTTCAACTTCGCGCTGAGTTCTGCAGCGTAGTTGCATTCGACCATAAAACTAACACTCTTCAACCACAAAGAAATAGTCCAAATCCATGCCTAACTGAGATTTGTCTCCGGAACCCTTCCCGTTTTTCGAGAGCTATCGAGTTGTGACGGATGCTCTACGTGTATATGTATAAAAATACTTCGGCCTGATGGATTTTACGGTGTCAAACTGCTCACCCATCCCCTGATGACATCACGCAAGCCTCATCCATTCGGCATTGCCCGTATCCTGAGGTTGACTCGGATGTGAATAAGACGTTCAGGGAGCATCACAGACGTCGAAGGCTCCTGGGTCATGGAGACTGTTTCAACCACACATATTTCAGACCAGAACAGCGCCTCTCGGCAGACACTCAACAAGTACTCTTCCACCCTCAGGCGCCATGGCGGCGCATGTTGACCCACCAGCCTCCAGTCAACATTGGTCATGCCACTCCGCGAGCCGTCAATGGAACACCTGTCCGTGCTCCATTCTGTGGTCTACGCGGCTGTGAATTTCAGGTCTCAAGAAGGATTAAGGAAGGTGAGATTGTTTGAGATGACGAACAGTGGCCTTGGTTTCCTTGGAAGCACCATGAACAAGCCGTTTATGGGAAGTTGTCTCCGTATGTGCTCCAAAATCCATCAAACTGGCTCCTGTGAGGGTTATCGGGTCCCTGGTCCAGTCGCCAACGGTGGGAGAGCCAAAAAGGCCAGTATTTTCTTGAAAACGACTATAGCAGACCCTTCTTCGTCGTACACGTCGACATCGCCGTTCAGGGCCTTTAGGAACAGGATCAGGCGCTCCTTCTCTGCGGGGCGCTCCATCTGGACAGGAGAACACCAGCGCCGCCCGAAACTTAGATATACTATCATCTCATCAGGATGGTGACTTCCGGATCGCGTCGGACGCATGTGGGACCGAAGCTTTGCAAGCGTTTTGCCGTTTTTTATACTCGCGAGATTTCACTTTCAAGACGATACTGTGTGAACTAAGTTGATGAACGAGGAACACCTTCGGCGGCTCACTACGTTCTTGTTCAAGATGGCAATAGGTAAATCACATAGGTGGCGGTTATTTTCAGTGAAGGATTAAATCAATGACTATCTCGGCCACGAAAGTAGACTAGCATCATCACTATACCCTTGTGCCTCTGTGAATAACGGTATTCGCATCGAAAACTTGATGCTTTTCAAGTGAGTCAGAGTTTATCAATCATCTGGAACCCCCCCTTTCCCCTCCCCAGCACGTTGGACCAGACCAAGCTCGTGTCGCAGCTTTGCACTGGCAAGCAGACATGCTGCCATGCTTGAAGCATCGTGTGCATAGAGACCTTGACGCTTTCTAATGATGTTTCTAGCGAGAAGTGAAGATTCGAGGTTTCAGTTCTTCCCCTTGCCTAGCTTTGTAGATATGTGGATAGGGATCAGGATGACGCTTAGACTCGTATTGAGGACACCGATTCTACCTTGGTCCAGAAAAGGCTTTGATGCATTCGATGTTTAGTTGTTCGCGAGCCCAAGGCCGATCAATCAATGAACGGAGGTCCTGCAGGTTCTGCAAACCATTGCCACTTGGAATGAGAACCTTCCAAGGTTGCGTCTTTTGAGTATTGTCGTTCATCTTCCCGCTGGATGTCGCTAGAATGAGTAGTTGCATAAACAATTCTGACACGCAAGGGGCAAATGAAAGATGATCGAGATTCCTAGATAAAGTGGTGGGAGGAGCGTTATGAGGAATACGTATATAGATACTGTGGGCTTGGTTGATTGCCCTCGTTTGGGAGTGACATGCAAACGCATAGCTCATTGTCCAGGTCGCTGTCATTTGTACCGTCCCAAAGCGGGAAGTAACGCAATGTTCATTCATTATACATTCGCCCGTAGGTATATCTGAACACAAGCCATCACCAAACAGCATTAACTAATCTGAATGCAGGTATATGGGTAGGTACTACAGCTCATTTGCTGCACTGGCTCGTGAAGGGACGAAACAGGTGGCAGATGTCGCATTCATAAAAAATGGCGACCGTCGTGGCTGGCTTTCTGCAGCAGCCATCTAATGATCCTACTCGAACTTGATGTGGCTTCCGTCGCCGCGCCTTTAGTCCTACAATGTATTCAAAGTCGAAAGCCTAATGGCCTCCAACAGGTGCTTCTACCGATTTAGCTGTGCTACTTGTGCTGTACTTGATGCAGCAAACAATCGGGTTCCACGGGAGACGGACGCGCTGTGACGCACATCATCAATACTTCAGGGGACAACCGGTATGAAGTAAAACAACCGATTCCCACCCCCGCCCCCAACAGCAAGAAGTTCACCTCGGGCCAAGGGACAACCTCCGGTGGCAACATACAGTTGCTCCTTTTTTTATAGATACGTTAAGACCTTGTGTGAATTAACATTTTCAATCCTCTCATATCCCTTGGCTGACTCTGTCGTTAGAATCCTCATGTTATGGAGCATAGCGCGACTACTTAGTAATCTAACAAACTCAAACAAAACATACTCCATGGAACAAAGCCCCGAGGACTCAGGGGTCTCGCGAAAAGTCATTTTCTCCCTTAGCTTTCTCAGGGACCTCAAGCTCTATGAAACGCAGAAGCCTTTCTGCTTGACTGTCTCGAAAGACAGAGAGCTTGACTCAGTAATCACTAATATTGTTCACGACTCTGGCGAGTTAAAATATCCATCAAAGCAGGGGCAGTGACCACGGACGACACATGCCTGGAGTACACATTTGCGAGAGATACTCGAGCATCATTAGCTTCCGATAACTGTACTGATGATTTAGTAGACAGCTCGAAAGAAGGCGCACTTCGAAAGATATAACTGCCCTAGCCCGCAGAAGGAGAAACAAAAAGGAAGCGGCGTTTCCTAATGCTGGAGTCAATTACGTTGCCCCCACATATAAATGTTTGCCCTAACAAACCCAGTGTCTAGAGGCCGTTGACAGAACCTATGAGGGATTGGCCACTAGCCCCTGTGCGACGTGCGAAGCATTGGTTGAAACTACGGGGTAAACGACGTTTTCGGTGTACTTTACGAGAAAATCCTCCAGATTCTTTCTGGGGTCTTACTTGGGAGAGTTCTGAAAGGTTGGAACGATGAATGTCGATCGAGGTCTTAAGAGGATCCTTCGGAGATGAAGTGGGTTCTATCAGGCGTGAATCACGGATTTCATGCCCGTTATAACAAGCCTTGTCGCTGAATTGTGGCATTCCGTCCCAAGAGGTTGGCGACATCAGATCATGACGCTCTTGTTCACTAATCCTATGACTACAAAGAAAGAACCCAAGTAGGTTGCTCAACCCGACCTCCTAGTTGAAATCAATTAACTTACTTATTTGGGGGTTTGGGATAATATCGGCCCATTTCCTTTCTAGATCCTGGCCTGATTTAATCTCAACTTCCTTGGTGTGATGCAGGCGAATATACCTGATCGAGTCACAGAGCTATTTCCTAGTCTTATTGATAAGAGGTGGACCGATATAGGAGGACACAGCAATAGTTAAGGACTCGGGTAAGGGCTGCCCTTGCACATATGCAGCAACATATCTCGATGCCTTGACCAACCCAGGTCAAAGCGATAAAGTCTGACTGATCTCTTGTTACATTTTCTTGTTGTGATTCTGATTTCTATAGAATCACATATGGGCGCTAGTCACTAGATTCCAGCAAACCACTCGACACCATCGTATTTTGAGTGAAGACCATAGGCGTCTCCAGGTCGACCTTTTAGCTTGAGAGGTAGGAGTTCTAGCTCACAGCTGGTAGCTTGTAGGTCTATAGGTATTTGCCCAGCTTAATTATTATGCTATCAGTGAATGGCATAACTGTTACCGTCCTGTAGAAACTAGAGTTGGAAGGTAGACGTGTAGACTCCCATGCAGTCCCTTCATTTATGGCCTGCTATTGCATCAGAGGGTTTGTTGAGACACATAAACACATGCGTTGTCATTATATGGTATGGCAGCGATCAAGTGACTGTATAGTCATTCTCAAACGGTATGATCTGCTGGAACGCTACTGACTGCTTTGTAGCAACAACTATTACCGTGTAAATACACGTCTCCGCCATCTCAGAATGTCGGAAATGGATCGCCGTGAATCTCCCCGCGGTATGTCAATGTAAATAATTCCTTGACTAACATTTACTGATGTATTTAGAAATGAACCGGGTCTACTTCGAGAACTGGGATTCCGAGTACAAACAATAACGGCTCTCTTGCTTTACCATCAGATACCTGCTCAACGGAGGGGCTGTGGTCTGTGCAGAACGACTCACTCCGACCCTGTCGAGCCTGCAGCAGCAGCAATGCAAACTGAGGGCCTGCTCCTCGTCTACGTCATCGACTGCGCGCGCCCGTCGCAGAGGTCGCAGGTGTAGACCGGCTTCTCCAGGGACCTGCAGGCGCGGCTGGTCAGGTCCTGATACGGGGGCCCGACTTCGAGGACGACGAGGACCGGTCCGACTACCGGCTGTGGTGCACGCGCGACGGGCGGGGCAGCTGGGTGCCGTTCCCGTTCGACCCCCAGAGCAAGCCGTACGTCGACTGGTCGTGGTGGCATCTGGACCAGTGGATGCAATCCCGCGGGGAGCGCATGCGGCATAAGTGCAACGCCGACTGGGAGACCGACAGCGACGTCTCTAGCTGCCAGCTCAACGCTGATGCACTCCCACTTCCTGCACCTCAGGGGCGACGAGGCCGAGTTTGCCAGGCTGTAGGTGAGTCTTATGCCGTCCGGCGCCCTGACGCGCGGCTCACCACACGCGCAGGAGGAAGACCCCTCGCTGCCCGATCGCGACCCCCCTGCCCCGAGACCCGTCCGGCCTCTGCCCTGTCCCGTGGTCTACGGTGCCCAAATCCTCGAGCGTGGGAAAGCTTCGCCACGACCGCGTGATGGACGCCGCGTCTGGCGGCGTCCTCGACCTGACGTCCCCACATTTTGTCTACAGGTGGCCGGCGCGTGCGCAGGACGAGGATGACGATGCGGAAGGCGTGGAGGGCCTTGGCGCCCTGGGCGTGTATTGTCAGGATGACGTCGAGGAAGAATATGACGACGACGACAACGACGATGATGATGATAGCGATTATGAAAACGCCGACAGGGGGGGCAGAAGAGATGATGAGTGACGAGGTCGGGAGGCCTGGCCCCTCCTAGAAGAGACGACGTTGAGGTATTACCGTTGAGGCTCGGATCGTCCGCATACCAGGTCACGGACCAGCATTCCTGGGAGCGCAGAGCACTGACCGAAACTCGACTTCTTGTGTATGGAGTCCGGTAATGACGAGGGAAATTGTCAAACAAGGGGGATTCTGTAAGACAATGAATGGATGTGGTCGCCCGAGCGGTGGACCTTCCACGTTCAACTGATTCACTAGGTGCTCGGAAGTGCCGTGGCGGGAGGGCTGTCTGTTGTGTGTAACATCTTCTCTTGTCCCCAGAATCATGACGCGATCTACGAGGTCCAATCTAATCAATTACGTACCAGCTAGGTCGCTGTGAACCTGCATCCACCTGGCTGTCTGACAGGAAGGGAGACTATTTCAAGGATAGTGAAGTTCTCTCTATATAATTAAGCATCTTGTGGCATGTGGTCTGTAACTTATTATATAAATTATATAAATCTTGATTTAATAGTTTAGTTTAATTGATTTAATTTATTTTATTACTTTTACTTTTTTTGAATTTAAGAGTGAAAATTTTTCCCGAAATTGAAAAAGTTAAAGTTGAGTGAGCACTTATCTGTACTCGGATAAGCCGGATCGAGTCAACATCAGCCCCTGGCTTTAATAGCCCGCTTGGCACAGTGGTAATGCGTCTCACTCGTATAGATGAGTACGCTATGAGAAGATCAACGGTTCGATTCCGTTAGTGGGCAATTTCATCATTCTTCCGTTCAACCATTCAATGGCAGCGGTTGGAAACTCTTTTTTTGGAGAATTGTTCATATATGGTATCGGTGCGGCAACACTAAGGGATGGGATGCACTTTGCCAGACAAGGACGGTGTTCTGGCACACCAGGCGCTGTTAAACTTCATTATGATCCGTAGCCTTTGCTTGCTTCCTTGCTTGCGAAGGACTATCCAACTTCATGTTGCAGCCTCCTAGTGTGGAGATTGGCTATACTTGATGTGCTGGGCTTGCTGCACGTCGACTCTGTTCCTCAGAATTGACGATAACCCTTTGTGTGTTCCGAGAGATAATGAAAATTATAGTTGTTGCAATTTGGAAGTGCATGCCATGCATCTTCCCTTTGTGCGTTGTACTTATGGACTATAGTAGGGATGCCGTATACCGTCCAGGTTGCTACAGAGACACGACCGAATTCCGTTTGAGCAGTTGCCTAAGATGCTTGCAATCGCAATCTCCTAACCATCGGATTTCATCTTCCCAATACTGTACTTCGTACTGCGGAGGTTTGGCTGAGAAGATTGGAAGAATTCATTAGTGCGACAATCGGGATTCTACGGCTGAATGTCGGCGATTGTCTCACTGAAACAACCTGGAAGCGGTCGATCTCAAAACTTGCCGCACTTTGGCCGGCATCACAGCTCGTTTCGCTTTCAACTCATGAACTTACATGATACGGGAAACATGATGGTTTAAATCCGTAAGTGGTGTTGGGGCAGGGGTGTGTATACCTAGCACTAGGTTTCCAGCTTCCTACCTAGGTAGTTGTCGACGAACTATAGTGGGCTGTCTTGGTTATTCGAGTTGATGTACATACTGTAAGACATTGGTTATCCCATTCGACGAATAGGATCATGATATAGCATCATGATACAGAGTGCGCCGGTGTGCGCCGGTTTACCCTACCATCCTACCCGCGCTGGTTGGTAGTCACTGACTGAAGTGGTAGTCAGACAAGACACAAGATCAAACTGATCGGTTGTCAGTGGCAGGGCGGGCTGGGAAAGTATAGCCTAGACCTGGAAAAGGGGGACGCATGAGGTGAAAAAAAGCCACAACTTGGATTGCATACGGTACTGTATGTAAGTCTACCGTACCGCACAATGAAGGCCTTATCAAGGCAACCGGGAGTTGAAGGCTCCAAATTACAGGAAGGATGCGGAGTCAGCACTGCACTGATAAACGTGGGCATTGACGTCAAGCCGGTGATCCCAAGGAACCCCCCTAGTAATCTTGGCGGATTATCGCGCGGGCGCGGGCGTATGATAAGAGGTATGTACAGTACTGCACCTTCAAAGAGAGCCTCGCACCTCTTTCCTGCACGGCAAACTAAGTCAGCAAGGGAGAAGCCGTCCTACAAATGCGCAACGTCCGAACAATGCAGTGTAGACAGAATGCTGCCGAAGCCCACATTGAGCTTCACTATCCCGAGCGTCCATGACCACACCAAGCTCGACTGCCGCGTCTTCCACCCCGCCAGCCTGGGCAGCCAACCGCCCAACGCCCCGCGATGGGGTCGGCACGTCGCAGTCGTCGCGCACCCGTACGCGCCGCTAGGAGGAAGCTACGATGATCCCGTCGTCGACGTCGTCGCGGGGACGTTGTTGCAGCTGGGATTCATGGTGGCGACCTTCAATTTCAGGTGTGTTTAGACCTCTGCCGCATGCTCCTGCGAGGCCGCGCCGACCGCGACATGGTTGGCTAACTGCAGACCCAGAGGCGCATCATCGTCGTCGGGGGCGCGTACGTCCTGGACGTCGCGGCCGGAGCAGGCCGACTACATGTCCGTGGTAGGGTTCATGGCCTACTACGCACACTACATCGACTCCCCCCACCGAATCAGCACCGAAGGCTCAGTGTCGCCAATCATGCTGCAGGCCGGCTACTCCTATGGCGCCATGGTGACCACCAAACTGCCCCCGCTCGACACCATCCTGGCCATCTTCGAGAGCCCGCCCATCCACGGAGCCGCAGCGGATATCAGACTGCGCGCACAGCATCTGGCCGAGCAGCAGAACAGACTGCTCGACCACCCAGCCTCCCCGAGGAAGTCGCTGGGGATGAGGGTCGGGGGCGACGAGGAGCTGCCGCGCCAAAGCCGCGAGAGGAGGCGATCACATTCGCTGGACCGGGAAGAAAGGATCCGGAAGGGCGTCAGGGATATTCTGGCCAGGACCAAGCGCATACACAGGAAGCACCGGCACGAGTCCCACGACCACGCCGGGGAGGCACCAGTCGGCGAAGAGGAGTGTATGGCCAAGGCGGAGAACCCGCTGCCCTACCGCAGTGCCTACGTGGCAGTCTCTCCCCCCATTGGCGTCGTCACCAACCTGGCCACCATGTCTTTCGCCAATCCCTTCAGTGGCTGGCCGAAAAGGGCCGCCAGGGCGGACGGCCCGGGTACGCACCACGAGGGCGCGGCCGAGCCCGGGCTGGATGCGTCGGAAACCAAGCTGGCCCGCAATCCGACATTGGCCGTCTACGGTGATCAAGACGGATTCCTCACGCTGCGCAAATTCCGGGAGTGGACGACAAAGCTCAAGGCCCACGAGGACTCGCGGTTTTGCGACAAGGAGGTCAGTGGGGCTGGCCACTTCTGGGTAGAGGAGGGGGTCATGTACGAGCTCCGCAACGCCGTGGGCGCCTTTGCGACAGAGCTGCTCGGGTTCAAGGCGCAGATTCTGCAGCCGTACGATGGCAGCTGACGCAACAACTAACCTGTGACTGCAGATGGTACACCGCGCGGCTTTGAGGGGAACAACCATGCCTCCCCTCCCTTTTACCTCCTCTTCCCCCGGGCCTGTCTCTCTCTCCGAACCCGCCCCGGGCCGGATGGGAAGCACCGGGCCAGGGCGATGGACCACATCGGGGGGCCAACAGAATGGGGACCACCTATTGACTATCGCCGGCCTGGGTAGCATGGGGCTGAGTGGGCAGCGAGATATGGTGAGGTCAACTGGGGGCTGTGTAGATGGAGTCGGCAGTCATGCATGTATGTGCGGCGATTACGAGATGTCAGCTATTCCCCAGTGTCAGACGGGGGCGCCATGACAATGTTCGAAGTGGTGTCACGGTGAGGGACCCGGGCTACTGAGAATATGGCAGACAGAATTTGGCATGAGCGGTCGGGTCCAGGATTTCGGTCGACTGCGCAGTGGGTAAGTCAAAAGGCGAAGAATAGGTGATTGGTGCGAACTACGTCAGATCGGGGTCAGGTTGGCCATGTTCACAACGACTTGGCCAACTCATAGGTCTAGGGTGGGTGGGTAGTCAGGAAGCCGAACGTGACAAAGAACGGCGTACTCATATCTAGACAGCAACAAACAGGCGGGGCCGTCTACTCCGGACAGGAATGGGATTTGAAGGAAGAATATCCTCTTGTTCTAGATTGATACCGAAGCAATGCGTGTCTGCAAACTACAGCCAATCAAGCCTTGCCGACCAGCAGCTATATTCGTTGCCTGGTTGCCTAGGTAGGTACCTATGAGATTGGACATCTAACGTGCTATTATGAAACAACACCGCAGCGCGTTGTAGTTATATAAGGGGAGCGTTGCGATCCAAGCCCAGCTCAACATGCAAGTCTTTGGCAGTCTGACTTTCACATGATTCGTGAAGACGCGCCGCGGCCGGCTGTCTGGGGGTTCCATTCTACCCCACGCCAGCAGCCAACCGGCCGTCTCAGCGAGCAGGGGCCCGGCATGGGAGTTGTAGTGGGCCGCACCCGGAAACGTCCAGTATAACTAAGTAGGTAGGCAGCGGGTATGGGATGCATGTATAGGCGCCGCTCCCATCGGTCATGACCAACACGACGACGATGCACGATGCACGACGCACGACTAGTTTTCGTCGACGACAGGACATGTGCATGCTTTCAACATGCCAAGCAAAGGGTGTCCATGATTTGGGCGTGCTCGAAGCCCATAATCTACACGGTAGGCATGTGTGGACGGACGGGGTGTACTGTGTGTGGTGTCTTGTGGTACCCGACTGCGGGTAGTCTCCAAGGTTCCAAGGTTGCGGGTTGATCACGGGCCACACATAACCCCACTACAACCCCGGACTGCAGACCTGCAGACCGCCTTGTCGTGGCCTGCCTGCCGAAGGAGGGGCGGCTCAGATGGGCAGGATTAGCAGCACCACATGGCCCCGTGGCCCGTCGGGATGGGTGTGGGGTTGCTGGGCTGTCAGGCTGTCAGGCTGCCGGAGCGCTGATTGGTGTTGTTGGCCAGGTCAAGCCCAGCTGGCCTTGCCAGGCTCAATCCCCCCCCCCCCGGCGGGGGAACCTCCCCCTGCAGCTTGGGGGGGGGGGGGGGGGGGTCAGATGCCGGGGCTGATCCCTCTGGCCTGGGCCCGGATCTCGATTTCTTGGGCTGCGTCGGCCTGTCTGACGTCGAGTCCAGCTGGTGGTGCTTCTTCTTCCCTTTGTCACCAACTCGCCGGACTCTGTCTCCCTCCCCAACTGACGCCGTTTATGCCTCGAGTCGCCGAAACTCTAACCGTTAGTGATATGCCAACTGCCGCAGAAACGTAGAACGAAAACCTCCCTTGCTGGCGGTGCAGGTTGAATTTTCTGCACAAGAGGTTTTTGTGCTGTGCTGTGCTGTGCCTTGCTGTGCCGGGCTGCACACGAACCCGCTACGCAACGCAACACGGGCCTGGTCGACGACATCTCTGGCCGTTGACTGACTAGGTGTCGCCTCCGCAACCTGCTCGCTCACCTTACTCATGAAACCTCACTCCGGCCTGGTGGACGCCGTGTGCTAGTCGAGCCTGGCTATCCGTACACCTATCTATCCAAATTCCTACCGTCGCTTCTCAATCTCGGTTCTGCCGCGATCCCCGTCAAACTCCCCCGTTGACGCCTATGATATCCTACCCATAAGTTAGTTAGTAGACATTCTGTACGCAGCTCCGAGAGCACCTCCGCATCGCCCTGCCGAGAATGATACAGTTGCCCACCTGGCCGAACCCGTGCTGGCCGTCCTGCTACCATGGCGCAGCTCTTCCTGCCCGCCCTGCGCATCACTCCGGCCTCTCCCGGTGAAGCTCCCCCGTCCAGGCGCTCTACTGCTCCAAAGAAGGGCCCGAGGCCCCCCAGATACGGCGCCGTCGAGCCTCTGTCGAGGGCCATAAGGGGCGCCGGCAGCTTCGCCCTGTACCTGAGAGATGGCCTCACAGGGCCCGAACGGGATCGGCGGAGGCTGCTGGACGAGCGGAAACACGTCTTGACCGCCAGGCTGCAGAACGCCGAGACCTGGCAGCAGTGGGACAAGGCCGCCCACGAGCTCGACGCCCTCGAGGGCAACGAGGAGTGGAAGAAGGACGAGTCGACCGGCGATTACAACCCCGAACTCATACAGGAGCGCCTCGACGCTCTCGACAAGGCGCGGGCCGACGGCGACCTGCGCGCCATGACCCATCTGGTGCGCACCGCCTTGACCCGGGACTTGGGCGGCATGGGCAACATCGACCTGTACCGCCATTCCTACTGCGGCACCAAGAAGCTCATCGAGCGATACGTCGACTCGGCGCTCCAGACCATCGCGGCCTTGGTCGACCAGAGTGCCCACAGCCGCGTGCCCGGCGGTCTGGAGCCCAAGGATCTCCTCGACGCCGCCCTCTTCGCCCGCCAGAGCTTCGGCCGCAGCGCCCTGTTGCTGAGTGGCGGCGGCACCTTTGGCATGTCGCACATCGGCGTGCTCAAGGCCATGTTCGAGGTCAAGCTGCTGCCCCGTATCATCTCGGGCGCCTCGGCCGGCTCCATCGTCTGCGCCGTCATCTGTACCAGGACCGACGACGAGATCCCCCAGCTGATTGAGGAGTTTCCCTATGGGGACCTGGCCGTCTTTGAGGAGGACGGCAACGAGGACGGCATCGTGGACCACCTGCGCAGGCTCCTCACCGAGGGCAACTGGTCCGACATCAAGCACCTCACCCGCGTCATGCGCCAGCTTCTCGGCGACATGACGTTCCAGGAGGCTTACAACCGCACCAGGCGGATTTGCAACATCTGCGTCTCGTCGGCTTCCATATACGAGCTCCCCCGGCTTCTCAACTACGTCACGGCGCCCAACGTCATGATTTGGTCGGCCGTAGCCGCCTCGTGCTCGGTGCCCCTGGTCTTCAGCGCCGCGCCGCTGCTGGTCAAGCATCCGGTGACCGGCGAGCACATCCCGTGGAATCCGACGCCCCAGATGTGGATCGATGGCTCCGTCGACAATGACCTGCCCATGACCAGACTCGCCGAGATGTTCAACGTCAACCATTTCATCGTGTCCCAGGTGAACCCACACGTCGTTCCGTTCCTCTCCAAGGAGGACGCGCCCTCTCCCGCCTCGGCCTCGCGGAAACAGTCCCCGCGGGGCCAATCCGACTGGATGTACAGCATCACACAGCTTGCCAAGGGCGAGGCTCTCCATCGGATGCAGGTGCTGGCCGAGATTGGCATCTTTCCAAATTTGGTGACCAAGCTGCGCTCGATCCTGAGCCAGAAGTACTCGGGGGACATCAACATCCTCCCCGCCATAGGCGTTCTGGATCTTCCCAAGGTGCTCAGAAACCCTACGACCGACTTCATGTTCCGGTCTTGTCTGCTTGGAGAGCGTGCGACCTGGCCCAAGCTGTCACGGATACGCGACCGCTGTGCCATCGAGTTGGCCCTGGATCGAGCCGTGCACGCCTTGAGAGCCCGTGTGGTATTTAGCAAGAGCCAGGTCGACCTCAGGCGGATGGTCACGGGTACCACGGTGAACACCTCGAGGGGCAGCCACGAGCCGCTGAATACGATGGCCACTGCTACCGAGAGCCTCTCGGCCAAGGACAAGCTCAAGCGCCGTCACAGGCGATCGAGTGGAAGTAATCTGCAGCCACTCCTAGCGCACCGGAAGCATCTAGATGAACCCTTCAAGGTGACGGACGATGATACTGACGAGGAGGAGCGCCTTGAGATGACACACAGAAGATGGCCGGCGAAGCCCAAGCTGAAGATCAAACGTTTCCCGCACCCTCTTCCATTGCAGAACGGACCGAAGACAACCCCCCACCTATCCTCGGTCAACCAGCCTGATTCATTCAATTTTGCGAAGCCTCCGCATCCCAAGAGCCCGCTGCTTGGCCAGCCATCCGACAGGGCATCTATGCCGGCCGTAATCCCGACAGCTCCCGATACGGTAGATGTCGACGACAGTCCTGGCTTTCCAACGGCGGATGAGGCCTCCATGACTTCGCCCGCACAAGCGGCGACGGCACTGCATGAGCTGGAGACCAGCGATCCTTATTCATCTGATGCTGACGTGGAAAGCCACTCGGATGGCTGTGCTGCCGACGTGCCCCACGTGTCCCCGAGCTTGGGGCTCCCCGTGGCTGAGGACGAGCAGGTGCATCATGTCGAAAAATCAAGGCAGCATACGTGCCCAAAGGAAGACATGTTTTCCTTGGCGCGGAGGGAACGGGACTCGAGACCTAGCATCTCAAATTCGGTTGATCCAGGTGCGGGTTTGTGGGATTGACTCGTCGAGGGGAGGGTGAGCTCTGGAGACGAGCTTAGCGATCAGGATAGCACGACCGTACGGGCGGGTGATTATGAGACGCATTGTGGCGAAGGCGGCTGGCTGGATATAGATTAAGCATCAACGCAGGGTCATTCAGGTTGTCGTTTGGCATTTGGGCAAGGCGTCACGGTCCATAGTTACCTCACTTTTGGGTGTTGGGGGGGGGGGGAGGGTTGTATCTCTTCAGTCACCAATGGCACATCAACGGTGCCGGGCTTGGTCGCAATTCAAACACTCTCCAAGACACGTAATGGATGATACGTAGAAGAGAGCGCTGGGTTCGTGGAGTAGCATTTTCTATATACAGATACATAGCACCCCCGTGCCAACAAGGCCAGCCAATTGTCGGCTGGCTGGATCCTATTTAATCCCGCCGAGTCCCGTTCCCGCCAACCCCAGCCGACCTCCCTTCTAAAAGTCGCATCTGTGGCAAGGAATGCCACTATGCTATGGCCCCCTCGAAGACAGGTTCACCGGTATCCGCCTTGAGAAGACGGAAGAGATCAAACCTCTGGGGATTACCTCAGTAGGACCGCTCGTGATTTGCTGGGACTCTGAGGGGAAATATGGTCAAGCTAAGTTTTACCCTGAGTGGTCTACTAGGACCCGTATAGGAGACGGATGCATAGCCGCGACTCTGCCAATGAAGCTTACTAATGGAAGTAGTTTCCTCACAGTTGAATGATTCTTTGGGTCTTCGAGGCTCTCTTCTCAATGGGTTACCGCCTTCAAGATGTCCAGGAACCTCAGACATAGTGCAGTACAAGGATCCTGGTATCCCTGTGCTTGTTGACAGCCAGTGACTTTACTTAAAGTGCGGCATCGCCCAATAATCAGCCATGTATGACACGCTTAGGCCACGTTTGTCTGCCCAACCGGCTGGATTCTTCTAGTGATGGTATGCAGCCGTATGACGATGGGATAGGCCTGGTCAGCTGTCAGCAACACCTTCAAAACATATACGGGGGATATGCGTATTCACCTTTACCCACTACATGATTCAGAAGCAATGGCACTTCTCCTTTCCCCGTCTCTTACTCGGACCCCCTTCTAAGCCGCTCGTGCCTCGGAAGAAGCGAATAGCTATTCCACCTTTCATCGTCTAGGTGTACAACTAATCGATCAACCAGATGCCATTAGCCGAGGGCAGCTCAACTGGCCTGTCACTCGCTCGGATGCAAGGAAAACGTGCGTGATCACAATAAGTCTAGTAATTGCCGACCCAAGACTAAGTGCGTGGAGCACTTGAGTACGTTCACAGCACTATTTCATGGCAAGGTCCCGTTAAACAGCTGCAATCACTTGGGTAGATGTTGTGAATTATTTGCGGTACCACTCTATCTCGGCTTCCGCTACATCATCATGTGGCCCTGGCATGCGATAGGATCGTTGCTCCATACGCATTGACTCGTAGCCCTTTCACGTTGAGGTATGTTCATCATTCCACGGTGTTCGACCCGATTTGTTAATACTAGCCTACAATGTCCCAGGCCGATACCTCGACGCGGGGTTGGGATCACTCGACTAGGCGTTCGTTATACGGGACGGAAGTATACAGATAGCAATGACTGTGGCTCGTCGGAACGAGACGGCACATGACAGCCGGTGTAAGTTAATGAGATTGGTCACCACAACAAGATGCACTAAGTATAATCCACGCTTCTTCACTGGGCTCGTGCATATGTAGATCGCCGCTCTTATCTCTTGGATTGGTATACCCCGCTGCTATCATGACACGGGCCGCGCACTTGGGCCGAAATAACCGCATCGGATCTGGGGTAGCGGGGCACAGGGTTGCGAGTGACTAGCAGTATCCGCCTTGCGCTCGATACATAAGTTCTGTCTATTTAATCCGTTCTATGCATGGGATTCCCTGGGGAATTAGGCATTCAAACGTGCAACCAGCCTGCTTGATTAATCGGAATCAAGTGTCGTTTTGCAGCAGCCATTGTGTCGCCTCAAACTATACATCACCATGTCAGCAACCTCTTCCAAGCCTGTTATCCTCCTTATTCACGGTGGCTGGCATTACCCGAAATGCTATGGGCCACTCGTGGATGAGCTCGAAGGCCTCGGCTATTCCGTCCTATGCCCCGAACTCCCAACTTTGGGGGCAGATACGCACGGTAAGACTCCAGCCGACGACGTCGCCCTGATCCACGAGATTGTCCTGCCGCTATTTGACCAGGGCAAGGAGATCGTGATCATTGGGCATTCATATGGCGGGATCCCCGCATGCGCTTCTACACAGGGCCTCGGAGTACAGGAACGGGCTCTCGAAGGCAAGAAAGGTGGCTTCAAGTCCATTGTGTTCCTTGCAGCATTCGCTATACCAAAGCGTGGCATGGACTTACTGCAAACGTTTGGAGGATCCTGGGGAGTGTGGCAGAATGCCACAACACCGTACACTAGGGTAAGGCAGAATCCCAGCCTCAATAAATACATCTACGAGGCTCACTGAATCCGGTGCAGAACCAGTTGATCACTGTCAACGACAACGCCAAACATGCCTTCTACAACGATATGCCCGACGACGAGTCACAGAAGTGGTTTGACACGTTGGTCCCACATTCTCAGGATGCCTTCGAGACTGGTGTCGACTACGTGGCGGCCGACTTGACCATCCCGAAAGGCTATGTCATTTGTGAGCTGGACCAGGTGAGTGCCAACTATGACCTTCCAATCGTGCCCAACTCGCGGTCCAATTTCTATGCTTCAGCCAGCCTACCTCTTCAGGCCGCGTGAGCTCCAACTGGGGAATAGAAAAGTTGCTAACACATTGTAAGGCGATTCATCGGGATATTCAAGAAAACCTGGTTGCGAGCATGCCTGGGTTTAAGGTTGAACGTATGAGGGCTGGTCACAGCCCATTCCTCAGCCAGCCTCGAGAATGTGCACAAAGGATTATAAATATAATTAACAACGAATAAACATTATATAAATATTTATATAAAATACGGATAAAATAATTTTAATTTCTTTAAAATTTAATATAAATAATATATTATTTTTAAATATTTATTACGTGAATTATAAAGTATCACGTGTAAATAAAAGATAAGATAAATTAATAAACTTATTTTATTTATTTACGATGTAAATTAACTTTTCCACGTAAGTTTAAAAAGTTTAAAATCCATCCTTTTACATAGCATTATTTTAACCTTTAATATTTATATATTAATATTATATATAAAACTTATTATTTTTAAGTTTTTATTTTTAAAAAGTTAAAATAAAATTTATTATTATTATATTATTATATTTTAAATTAAATACTTAAATTAATAATTTTTTAAGTAATATTTTTATATATATTTATTAATATAAATTAATTAAATTTATTTTATATTAAAAATTATATTTAATAATATTAATAATTTAAAATTATATATAAAATAATATTATTATATTTTTAAAAAAGTTTTTTAATAAATTTTTATATTATTAATAATAAAATTAAAAATATATTTAAATAATATATTTTTATTAATTTAAAAAAGAAATTTAATATAAATTAATTTGATTTTTAAATTAATTTTTAAATATTTTTATATTAATATACTTTTAATTAAATATTTAAATTAATTTTTTACTAATTGAATAAACTATTTTATAATTTTATTTATTAAAATTATAATTAAATGATTTTAAATATATATTTAATAAATATATATTTATAATCATTTAATTATATTTAATATTAATTTAATTAATTTAATTATAATAAAGTTTTATATTAAATAAAAAGTAATATAAACACGATTTTTATTATATTTTTAATTAAAATTAAAATTAATTAATTTATTATTTAATTTAATTATATTTAAAATATATAAATTAAAATTAATAAATATTAAATTAAATCATAAATAATTTATTTAAATCAAATTTATTATAATATAAATATATTTATTTTTTATTTTTTAAACTTTATTTTAATTATTTAAGTTTTTTATCTTAAATAAATTAATATTTATGATTTATATTTAATTTATTAAAGGTTTAAATTAAAATTAAATTAAATTAATTACTTTATAAAAATTAATAAATTAAATTTATAAATTTAATTATATTTATATTTATATTTAAAAATCATTAATTATTTTATAAACTTAATAAATATAAATAATTATACGTTACGTTTAAATATAAATAAATATTTATTAATTGTTTCATTTTTAATATTTATATTTAATAATTATAAATAATTATTTATTAAATTTTAATATAAAAAACAGTGTTATAAGATTAATATTAAGTATTTAATATTAAATTAAGTATTTACTTAATTTATAAATATTAATATTAAATTTTTAAATACTTATTAAGTTTAAATTAATATAAATATTCGATTTTAAAATACTTAACGATATTTATAAGTATTTAAGTATTACTTATTATATTTAAAGACTTTTAAATAACTTTTAATAATATAAAATACTTTTAACTTTTAAATTTATAAAACATAAATTAAATTCATTATAAAGTAAATAATTAATAAGTTATTAAATAATATATAAATAATAAAGTGGTAATTTTTAAAATCGTAAAACTTTAATTATTAATAAATTAATTAACTCTTTTTAAATAGATTTTAATAATATAAATTACCTTTAATTTTTAAATTTATAAAACATAAAATTAAATATATTATAACGTAAATAAATAAAAATTTATTAATTATTTAAAAGTGGGCGATTTATATAAATTAAGGTTATAAAATGAATAATAATTTTAAAATATAAATTTAATTAAAATCATTCATCGTTTAATTTAGATTTTAATTTAAATTTCGGATAATTGAAATATAAATCATAAATATTAATTTATATTTAAATAAATCAATTAACTTAAAAGAATTATAATCATTTTTAATAATTATTTTTATTAAATTTAATTAAAGTTTATTAAAACCTTATACATTAATAATTTATAAAGTTTTAAAATTATAAAACTTTAACTATTAATAATATAATTCTTTATAAACAAGTTTTAATAATATAAAATATCTTTAATTTTTAAAATTATAAAATATAAATTAAAAGTATTAAAACGTAAATAATTACAAAGTTATTAATTATTTTAAAGTGAGCGATTTATATAAATAATAAAGTGGTGATTTTTAAAGTGGTAAAACTTTAATTATTAATAAATTAGTTAATATAATTCTTTTTAAATAAGTTTTAATAGTATAAATTACTTTTAATATTTAAATTTATAGAATATAAATCAAATATTTAATAAATTAATTAATTAATTAATTATAATTACTTTATAAAAATATTAAAAATTAATAAATTTAATAATAATAAAAATAATAAGTAAATTAAATTTAAATTTAAAAGGTAAGATATCGTAAATATATAAAAAAAAACCGTATAATAAATTATAAACAGTTAATTTTAAATTATTAAATTTAAAAACTTTAAATTTATTTATAAAATAAATACCGTAAATTTAAGGTTTTACCTTTTATTTTAAAACCGGTATTAATAATATACGGTATTTAAAAATAATAAATTACGTTTATTATAATAATTTATCGAGTTTTAAATCCCGTTTTATAATTATAAATTACGTTTAATTTTAAATTACGGTAATTATTAAAGTTGTAATTAAATAACTTCAAATATATATTTAATAAGTATAAGTAATTACTTATTAAGTTTGAGTATAAATAAATATTCATTAATTATTTCACTTTTAATATTAATACTTATAAATATATTAAATATATTTACGATAATAACTTATATTTAAAATTGATTTAATTAATTAAATTATAATAAAATTTATATAATTAAAAACAATTAAAAACCTTTATATTCTATAAAACATTAATTTTTTAAATAATTATAATAGTTATAAATTAACGGATTTATATATTTTAAAATTAAATAAAAGGTAATATAAACCCGATTTTAATGATATTTTTAAGTATTAATTATAATGAGTAATGCTTAAATACTTATAAGTATTATTAAGTATTTCAAAATTAAATACTTATATTAATTTATATTTAATAAATATTTAAAAATTCGATATTAATACTTATAAATTAAGTAAATACTTAATTTAATTTTAATTACTTAATATCAATCTCACAACTTTAATAATCATAATAATTAATTAAATTAAATTACTTAATTTTGAAATTTTTAAGTAACGGATTTAATTTTAATTTTATTTAAACGATATTTTATACCGATTTATTTTATATAAACTACGATTCTTCGTAATTAATTTTCTTTTTTTATTATACATTTAATGTTTAATATTAAATTATTTTAATTAATTAATATATATTATTATTATTTATTTTATATATACGATTTACGTGTGTTTTACTTTTATTTATATAGTTTAAATACGTTTTATTTTTGTTTATATTTATTTAAAATACGGAAAAAATCTTTTAAAATGAATTTTAATTTATATTCTAATTTTATTTTTAATTACACTTTTAATATTTTAATCGAATTTAACCTTTAATAAATTTAAAGATTTACTATTTAATAAAGAATCTTTTAAATTAAAACCTAACAAAAACGAAGATATTTATATCTTTAAAAAATTATTTTCACGTACTTTATTATTAATTAATTATAATAAAAAACGCGAAATAAAATTACGTTATAATATAAGTTATTATTTATTTATTTATTTATTTATTTATTTATTTATTTATTTATTTATTTATTTATTTATTTATTTATTTATTTTTTTATTTATTTATTTTTTTATTTATTTATTTATTTTTTTTTTTATTTTTTTATTTTTTTTTTTATTTTTTTTTTTATTTAT